ACAACCTGTGACTCAGAAAATCTCTAAGTAAATTCAAACTCTGAAGGGTTCATCAAGATTCTGCTGCGCTCTGCTTCATATGCTCGTCTCACTCCCTCTTCATCTTCGCCATCATCTAGTGACAACCTGCGGCTCCCACCATCATCTTGAATCCTGATTCCTCTACTAGTTGATCTCAGGCTTGGCAACATGTTCCCGTCACATGCCACCTACATTTGCATTGAGAGGGGCTGGTTGCTCCGTCGCATGATAGGTCAATATGATTTTCTTTCATTCAATATTCATTGCTAACTCTGACATTGAGCTTACAGGTTGTTCGTGATTGGTGCAGGGTGGAGGGCATACACTAGAACGGCATGATGGGAGGGCTACTGGTCAGAGCAGGGCCAATTTCTGGTAGCGGACGGTTCGTAGGGCAGCATAGCATAACGTGTATCAAAGTCCATATAAAAAATCAATAATTTTGTGGTATACAGTTTTTTGGTATTAAAATGAGATTTTTTAACTGGTTGGTCATTTGTGAGCCCCAGACGAAGTGTCGGACTGGTCCTTTCCTCAGCCATATTCTGGGCTGCCATGGCCCCATAATGGCATGGGAGTCTAGGGTTGTTTTGGTGTCTGACTACAAGCCCTGAAATGGGGCTGCACACGGGCTGTCATGGGCCTGTCTACGCAGCTGAATTGACAACAATTACAAGCATTGTATAAGGGTTTTTATAAAATATCGCAAAATCATTAGATGAAAAGGGTAGTAATGAGCTGTGGCATAGCCTGGTACGGGGCCTCTGCTCCACGGCCCCATTTTGGTGCTGCAGAGATCTGGCCATGTACCCCTTCCACACAATATCCCTGTCCTGGTCCAAGTGAAAATTCATCTTATGACAGCTTGCACTGAAGGTGGTCAAAGGATGATCTCTCAGATTGCTGACCACTGTCCCACTGTCATTCTGAGTGGTTTGACTGCCCATGTTCTATATAATGATCCTGCTGTCCATAAGGACTTTGGTTTAGGCCACCCACCAGATGGTCTCTCCAACATTGGTACATGGTCATTCTATCCCTATTTTTCTGAAATTGTGTTCCTTATCTTTATTGTCCTCAGAAACCTTGCACCTTTGGGTTGATGCTTTGCATGATGTGGCCCGTGGACTATACGATGTCATGCACGAAATCACCGGTAGATGTAAGTTGGCAGATGGTACCTTGAGACAGTTACAGATTGTAGTTGAGGAGTTGAAAGTAGCCTTCAGGCTTGTAGCATTCCCTCCCCCAATAACCAGCTTCTGATTAGTGTCGGACTGAGGTCTGTCATGTAGCATCATGTAATATCTCCAAAATGTGAGACCGCTGATGAATGCACACCCGACACAAACACCTAAACCTAACTAAAACAAGAAGAGATCTGCGTGAGAGGGAAGGGTAATACGACTGTAATATGATGTAAGTGGATCTCAGAACCTCGACCAAAGCCTAGGGGGATGCTACCTGTAAAAGAAAGAAGACTTGTAATGAAGTGCAAAGTCGGGCAACAAAATACGATAAAGTCACAAAATTCAGAGAATGAGAAGCTAAGGTTGTGTCAGAATCACCAAAGTCATAGGCGAAGATGAACTAAATCACAAGTGGAGGGGAAGCATCTGTGATGAAAACGCTATAGGAAAATGCAGTATTCATCATCTCAACAAAGTTGCAGTCAGTCTAATGCAAAAGTCGGAGTAAGACTAATGCAGATGGTGCATCACAGCTCGAAGTATCGCTATGTTGCTATGTCACTATTGCAGTGATGCTATTGCAGTGTCACAGTCTCTAAATGCAGTGTGCAGTCTCGCTATGTCGCAGTGTCACAGTGGAATATATCACAGTTCGACATTGCTATCACAGTAAATGCAGTTTTCTCTGTAATCTGAAGTGAAGGGGAAAATCTCCTCCTGGTCTTTACAGCCATTTGCAGAACATAGGGCGCAAGCCCAAAATTTTTATTTTCGGTCACATTTTCTATTGTACACTGTATCCACTGTAACTCTCTTAATACCCATTCGATTCCTTTGAAAATTAGTGCAATAGAACAGGATTGTAAATATGCAGGGGATGATCTGATCAGATTTTCAAAAAGTGTGAATTGAGCATATCTCGAAATACTGAGCCTATTTGCACAGTATTTCCGAGTTTCTGAGACAAATATGCCACACCTATCTAATGGGTGATCACTACACTATGTCAGGGTCAATACCTACAGGACCACCACTTTATTTTGTGTGTATTCGAGCTGTGTTCAATTGTCCCACTACGTCCACTGTACAGCAGTTTCGGAGTCCTCCTGCCAGAGCACGTGACAATGGTTATCTCAGTGTCATTGCCGCTGTGCTACTCTCGCACATCTGTTTCGTTCATTCAGACTGTCTACATTCTGTACTTCTGTGCACTAGCTTCTGTATACTAGCTTCTTCACGCGATGCCTCATCTCAGGGCGAGGATTCCAGTACAGCAACATTTCTTGAAGGATCTCAAAAGGCGGGTTATCTATCAAGCCTATGAGATCAGAGGCGAGGCACCCAATTACATCGTCTGCATCAATGAAAGTGCAGTGAACATCTTGACGACCTATCGACAGCGTGGTTGGGCATACAAGCATGTGCATGCTCAGAAGCGTTGTTGCTTTGTTCGAGGAACATGGTATGTTGTTATGTGACTGTGAACATCCTTCAAAGGCTGATCTCTCTGTATTTTTCAGCTACTCCCTTCTTCCAGCAATCACACTCGATGGCATTATATTTAGTCACATCAAGGTCAGAGGCTATAATGGCGAGCAATTTATTGAGTATATTCAGGGACTGCTCGAGGTAATGAACCCTTACCCTGGGCCACGGAGCATGCTGGTTATGGATAATTGCCGCATACATCACGTTGTCAGCATCGAGGAGCTATGTGAAGCCCGGTAAGTCAGTGATACTTCAATTCTAATTGATGACACTTACTGCTATGATATATAGCAGTGTAAAGCTCATTTATCTCCCGCCTTACTCCCCCAACCTCAATCCCATTGAAGAGTGCTTTTCCTTTGTCAAGCAGTGCATACGGCATCGTGGACAAGAGTTTCATGATCTCATTGAGCTCGGAGATGTGGCTGGCCCATACTTGTTTCTGTACGCTATGCTTGATAAAGTGACACCTGCAGCTGCTCAGGGTTGGTTCCATCACTCAGGATATATCTGATCCTGATGTCTACAACACATGTGTCTCAATCGGGATACTTTTTTAGCCCACCTGTGCTCTCTTCTTGCCCGATGCCCTGTCTACTCGCTGAATTTCAGCTCTTACCTGGTTCAACAAAAATCTGGAATTTTCACTCGGCAGCCCAAATTCTGAGCTATGCAAATGTGCCTCATCTAGGTCTACAAGCTCATCAATATTGTAGAAGTCGGCATCTTCAAAGGTACTGATGTAGTTGTCTAATCTTCATTTCGGGTGTTGACTGTGAAGGTTCCGAAGAAAGTCCCCGACAGAAGTGTACAATGTAGCGTCCTGTTCTGGTGGGTCACTAGAGAGGATATCAGTGGCAGCTCGCTTATGAGTCATGCCATTGGACGGCATTACTGATGGTGTTGGCAGAATATTAGGTACTGCTCCATAGGGCATGCCCATATACGGTGACCACTGATACCCAGGTGCCATTGGCATTGGCATTCCATATGGATGTCTACTGGTGGGGTCCTCTGGTTTGTTGGGCATCATTCCTATCCCATGTCCATGGAAATTGACAAACAGCTCTCCCTTTGGAGGTGATCTCAATGTGACACCATGAGTGCTGGTTGCCTGAGAGCAATTAGACCTTGTGTGTAGATCAGATTGCAATGCTAATCAGTGCAACAGACCAACCACGAGGCTGGTTGAATGTGAGATTGACATGATTACCACCTCGATCGATTTTACACCACTTGGAGGTGCCGCAGCACTGACAATTATTTAGGGTCTTCTCAAGTTGAGTGAGGAATCCTTTTTCTTTCTCTGCCATTCCTTCATCCTCTCCTTTATCATTGGGATCACTGTTATTGAGGTTCAATAGTGCTGGCTTCTTTCCTTTTGGTTTTGCTGCTGACCTCTTAGAATGGGCACGAAGGAACTCCATGTACTGCGAATGGTGTACCGATAAGCTGTCATTGTGCATGATACAGTTGGTGGAGACTTACTTGTTCAGGCACCACAATTTTGACAGGTACTGTCACTCCCTTCTTCTTGTTTTCGGCATCGACAATATCTCCAATGCATCCTGCCCAGTCCTCCTCACTACCAAGATTGATGGCATCAGACTTCACTGTCACTGTCCAGAGTTTGTATGACAGTGATGGTTTGCAAGCGACATTAACACATCCTATCGTCTCATGTATGATCTCCAGTGCATCTTCAAATGATGTTCCACTGACGAGATTGTTTTTCTGTCGCAAGCCGGAAAGGTGGAGTACGAGCGGAATCAAGTCCGCATGGGGTCTGAGATGCGATGAAGGAGAAGAGTCTATTCCAGAGGTATGAGGTGGGTAGCCTGAAAGCGTAGCTAGGAAAATGTCTATAGTCACAATGATTGCTGGAAACGCATCGGACTAAAATCGCACTGCCCTAAGGAGAACGCTGAAATGCGGAAATGCAAGACTGCCCAGAAAATGCACAAAATGCAAGACTGCCCAAAGACGCACTAACTGGATGGGATGGGAATGTGAACGAGTCTTTTTGCCAGTGTACCTTCTGGGATGGTCGTTCTCCCTGACCTCTTCCCCTGCCTTCATACTTAAACTGGTCCTGACCTTTCCTGTCCTCCCGATACTGCCTGCATCTGCTTAACAATCGCTCCGCTGAACCACTGCCCATCACGCCATATCTCGCAATCCCGTCCCCACATGCTTCTACTCCATCTGAGGGGTCATCCATCACTGGTCCCGCCCGAGCACCTAATAAGCACCCGCCTGCCTCGGAGGCATATCTCCCATCCCGAACTCAATCTCCCATCCATGGATGCCAGCGTCATCCTTCGCAAATACACCCTCGCAGAAGCACTTCTTCGTATTGAGATCTTTACCGAGCCCTTCGATCCAATCCTGTGGAAAGCATGGGCAGTCCGGATGCATGTCCTGCTGGTGAGGCTCCTGCAATTATATGTTCCTTCGCTTTTCTGACCCTCACACGTCCCTCAGGTCTTCATGGTCCAACCCCAGTCTGAGGCGGCCAGCGTGGAGATCATCCTATCCCTTCCGTGCAATATCCCTGTCCTGGCCCAAGTGGAGATACACCTTGCGACAGCTCGCACTATAGAAGGCAGTCGTCGGATGATACCTCGGATTGCAGACCACCTTTCTGCCATAGAAGGCGGTCGTCAGATGATACCTCGGATTGCGGACCACCTTTCTGCCATCATTCCTCATAGTTTGACTGCCCGCGTTCTGTACGACGACCCTGCTGTCCACGAGGACTTTGGTTTAGGGCACCTGTCAGACAGTCTCCCTGACATTGGTGCGCGGTCTTCCTGTCCCTATTTTCCCGGAATCACATTTCTCAGCCTTTTATTACCATCAGGAACCTTGCACCTTCGGATTGAGACATTGCGCAATGCGGCCCGCGAACTGTACAATGTCATGTGTGGAATCACCGGTAGATGCGAGTTGGCGGATGGTACTTTGAGACGGTTGCAGATCGTAGTTGAGGAGTTAGAGGTAGCGTTTGGGCTCGTAGCGTTCCCTCCTCCGATAACCAGCTTCCAATTGGTGTCGGACTAGGGTCGGTCATGTCGCACCCTGTAGTATCTCCGAAATGTGAGATCGCTTCGCGGATGTGATTCCCACATCAGCACACTATGCGTCCCTTCACTGCATGTGAGACTGAGCCATTGGGATCCTTCACTTCCAGCCTGCAGGACCAGAAGCACAATTTCTACTCCTCAGTGAGTTTAGGGTCACATTCTGCGAACCGACAAACTCACTTTTGTCCTTCGTGCTTTCAGAAGACTCTTCTACAACTTCCTTAGCAACTGGTTTCTTGTTTGATATAGTGGAGGCTTTCTTCAATGCCTTGTGTGGCTTCAGCTTTGGTTTCGGCTTATCAACAGCTTTGACTGAGGGAGCGTCCGAAAGCTCATCGGGCGAAGAATCGTCAATCACAGTTTCCTTGGCTCCATCTGACTTTTCTCCATCTGGTTGTAACATATCCTGAGATTGCTCCACCTTGGTATTGGAAAGGGCCAGTCACCGCAGTTTGCGAGTGCTGGTAGACTTACTGTTACCCATGAGATATTGTGGCCCAACCAAAAATGGACAGCACCACATGTCACATGCTCTGGCAGGAGGACTCTGGAACTGCTGTACAGTGGACGTAGTGGGACAATTGAACACAGCTCGAATACACACAGAATAAAGTGGTGGTCCTGTAGGTATTGACCTTGACATAGTGTAGTGATCACCCATTAGGTAGGTGTGGCATATTTGTCTCGAAAACTCGGAAATACTATGCAAATGGGCTCAGTATTTCGAGATATGCTCAATTCACACTTTTTGAAAATCTGATCAGGTCATCCCCTGCATATTCACAATCCTGTTCTATTGCACTAATTTTTAAAGGAATCGAATGGGTATTAACAGAGCTACAGCGGATACAGTGTACGATAGAAAATGTGACCGAAAATGGAAATTTCAGGCTCACGCCCTATGTTCTGCAAATGGCTGTAATGATAATCGACGTAAATACAGCAGGTATTTATAGAGAGGGAAGAAGGGAGAGAAAGTGAGAAAGTTGCAAAATTTCGGACAATAAATCCTGACATCAAAAAGAGTCGCAATGGTTTAGGACCAATAGAAAAATAGGGAAAGTGAGTGGTGAGGTGAACATTGTATGTTGGAGATGGAGATGAACAGTAAAGTAGGGGGGAAAAGAAAGAAAACATATGCTACTTGTTCTGAACCACATGGAACATCCAAATGGCATTTCCAGTCCAGCACGAAGGTAGGGGTCTTGAAGGAGAAAGTTGAATGATAAAGAGTATCAGATTTGCAAAATGAGAGGGTGCAACTGCTGAGCAACATCGGCAAGTCAGCACGACAAACAAGAAAGTTGGCGCGAGGCCCCATCCAGAGAGGCGGCATGACATCAGTAGTGTATGAAATTGGATGAGAATCAGGCAGGGCACATCAGATGAGACCAAAGGGCAATGGGTAGAACATATTTGACAGAGTGGGAGATGCAAGAGTGGTGCATGAGTAATGAAAGAATGTCAAAGTCAAAGGTTCGAGAGAAGTCACGTGAAGTTGTTCAATGTCACAAAAGCTCACAGAATGTCGTGAAAGTGTCGGACTCGTCTTAAAGACTAAGGTATAGAGTGGAAAGGTCTGAAGGGTCGATGGAAAATGCATTTTCAGAGGCCAGGAGTGTCAGGGAGCTTATCACTGCTTTGCCAGATATAATTCTCACCTCAGCATGCTATGTGTCCCTTCAATGATCAAGGTCACATGAGCTTTAAAACATACTGCTAGGTAGTGCTCCGCAATTATGATTAAATATGCCACGAAGGCAAATAATAATATTATGTATTATTACTTGAAGACCTTAGCCAGATATCTAATGGTGGTCTAATATAATCTAAAGTATTCTATTATAATTTATTATGATCACACCTTTTCACAAGGGGTCAGTGCAGTATTATGTGAGCCCAAAATTGCCCTGAGAAGGTCCCCAAGTATGGATCATTGGACAATTTTCCCGGTATTCAGAGTTTGGTGCCTGGAGGTGACCTTCTGAAAAGGTAGGCTTACCTGATATGGAACATCACATTCCCTTCTATGGTATGTCCGGGCTCACATATGCTTCAGTCAGTTACGAGAATTTCCCACAAATAGCTGCAACTCTAAAGAACTGTTCCGGAGCACAATTTCTTCAGATTCCCCCTAGAACTCCATCACGTGTAGTGTATTTCGAGTATGATTAAATAACATGTTCATATTGTAATATAATGGATTTATAATATTATCTGGTCCCATACTATTTAATCGTATTTTTGATTTAATTATAATTATAATAAATTATAATAATAATCTCGCGGAGCACTACTGCTAGGATAAAGGAGTGAGCACAATGATGAAAGGTTCTAGGAGGCTGGTTCGAGACTAGAACTCGAAAGGATTCTCATTCGAGTTATCTCAAAGTGTACAAATATGGATTCTCATGTCAGATTTCGATCAGTTATGAAGTCTTCATACGAATGTTTTCTTCCACTTAGATCAGTGTAAAACACTTGCAATAAATTATCTAACGAGGTTTGCAAGCGAGAATTTTGGTTGAGACGGAGAGTTATGGTTAAATGTCCTTACACGTGAGTTTCCGATCAGGACTCAAATTTGCGCACACCTCAAGCGAAGGAAGTGGAGAGAATATTAATCTAATCAATACATGCGCACTCTATGTCCATAACATGTCCATAACAAAACAACCGGAGTGATTATGCGCCTATACCAACACGTAAGTCGTGGTTGTGGTCGGCCTTACAGTCGTAGTCGTCGTGGTGCTAGTGAACGTTGTGGTTCTCGGGACGGTAGACGTAGCATAAGAAGTCGCGGTGACCGTAGTGGTAGTGTCGTATGCCACGGTGTTGATGCTTTTGATAAACGTGACCGTCGTAGTAGACGCGCCGGCAGGGCTCGCTACGTGACGATTAGACTATGCATGGAAAACCAGGAAATGGGTGCGTACCAAACGCCACGGAGCAGGCGGCAAGAACAGCAGCGAGCGAAAGAGTGCTAGGGAACATCATCTTATTAAGATTGAGTTGATAGTGGGTGTTATGTGAGGATATGTGGATGATGAAGAGAATTCGAGTTGATGGTTTCTGGCCGTCGTCGAGCTGGACTTTATACCTGGATCCCCTGGCTCGCGTCCTACTTGGATATTCTGCCTTCATTGTGGACAGGCGGAAACTTCGACCCTTCGTAAGCCGACCGGTTGCGGAAAAGACGGGCGCGCGGAAATAATTCGAGCTCGACCCGCGCGGCACGTCCAAATGAAGCCTTCCGCCCTACGCATGTCGGATACGGCGTCTGGAACAGGTCAGCCGAGGGCATTGGTTTCTCGACTATTTTGATCAAGCCTGACATTCTGTGCAAGCCTGGCATTTTGATCAAGCCTGACAATGTGTGTGCGAAAAATCAGAATTGGAATCCACGAACTCTGATAGTCACTATGAGTGCCAAAGAGTAGGCGTGCTTCCTCCTAAGGCTCAAGGTGACACAGAGAGAAAAGAAAGATTCGCACAGGTGTACCGCTCGGGAGAACAGGTATACAGGGCGTTTACCACGACGGACTCCGCGAGTACGGGCAAGGATAGAACGGTTGATAAGAGAAGAGATGATGTCACTCCATGCGGCGGATAGCCGATGCGATACGCAAGTAGAGACATCCCTGTGAGAGAACCGGACACGAAGGTACTGCATCGCGGACGCGGCGGGGTACCTCTAATTCATTGGAGAAGATGAGTTTTAGCCAAAGAATACAAGGAATTGAATGCAACAACATACCATTCAATTACGGATAAAGCGCAGTGCGGGTATGTCCTCAATCAACGTCCTCGTTCCCAGGTTAGACGGGTAGTTTCTTGCTGCATGGCCCATGTCATATTCCGTGTCGAGGTGTACCTTGTCCCCAGTTAGTTCGGCCGCGCTTCTAGCATGGCCGCTTGACGAGGGGTCGTAACGTAGTCGAGTGCATTCCATCAACATGACGCTTTAGACCCGAGGAATTCTTGAAAAGGATCCTGCAGCCAGCGACGGGGTACGGGATGCTACGAGGTCGGGATATATGGCACGTTAAAAGAAGTGAGGTGGCTGCGACGACGAACAGTGTGGGACATTTCCGATGTAGCGGTGAACGTCTTCAGTAATAAGCAGGCGCGAACTTTTTGACGCTTGCTCTCTGTCACTATGCGTTGATCATTGGCACCCATGAATACGCTCATGGCTCCCAAGAATCAAGACCAAGCTGCCTGCGGACGGTCGGGCACGACTCGCCCGACGCATCGATGTATTTCAAATTACACACTTCCTTCCATACCTTCCATATCCGTTCCTGGTGAGGTTCGAATATCTCTTAACGCCGACGGAGCGTCCACTCACGACAGGGATAATTTTGATATAGGCCAATAGCAAAACAAACTGGATTATATATAAAAATCACGACGGCGGATGACTAGCAAGTTGCTACATGATCCTCTGGATAATGAGGGACCACTACTATGCAGAACGCGTGTGTTAGATGGCGCTTGCGAACCACGTACACTACGACTTCATGCAGAACAAATGGGCAAGATAAACGGGAAGGAAGGCGAACCACACGGCGCTCGGGTCGTTGATCGAATACTACAAGTGATCGATTTGACTGCTGCCTGGACGATCGTGCTATAGCACCGCCGCCTCGAATCGAGATGTCCACAACAGGGGGTGAAAATCCGTCGATTCGTGGGAACGTGAATAACGACCGCCGTAGGTCCTAACATCGGAAGGAATACATTGGACACCGTCAGCACCGTAGCGGGGTGTGCCACATTGGGCTCACTTCCGGAGGACGGGACAACCTGCAGCGGCTGGCGGATCCGGCATTCGGACGGTGACTATCCATTGGCACTTCGACCAATGTTCGCGGATGCAAATTCTGCTCCCGCGAATCCGCTTCCGTCGAGAGGGAGCTGGAGAGTGCTAATGGCACCGTCGAAAGGTATATAAACCTATGAACTTTGACAGATAATTATCACACTCATCTCGCACACACATTACACACACTCACCTATTCTACACCACCTCGCCTATTATTCATCATGTACTTCAGCAAGAGCATTCTCGCCGCGGCGGTCCTGGTGGCTTCTGGTGTCAATGCCGGTAAGTCTGATAATATCAAACTCCAACCTGCGCTCACCTTCTATTTCTGTTATCAGTTTACGTCTACACCACCGTCTACGTGACGAGCACGCGAACGATCGATGTGCAGTCCGTTACCACCACTCCGGTGACGTCCACTCGTACCTCCACGATTACGGCGTCCGCGACCTCCACCGATGTGTTAACTTCGACTTCGGTGTCGACCATCACTTCCACCATCCACCACTGAGGACAGTAGACATGGAGAGTAGCATGTAGCGATTCGTACACTCTGGATGCTTTTATACTCCCTTTCTTTGCTTGAATCATTGCAGCATATCCGATGAAAATTCAAGTCTCGTTAGTGTAAGATTGAAAAACGATACACAAGCCTGCCGTCTGAGCTTTGCATCTCCGCGTGGTTCAACGAACTATGCGTTAATGACGGCGGGTACGAAATCTTCGGTTACAGCGCCGAGCCGTTCACCGAAAGTTAACAGACGATGCTACCGATGTAATGGAGGGACACTGGAGTTGGATAATATGCGAGCAGTTAACAATCACCTTAGCGCTCGCGTTCTCGGGATGCACAGTATGTTGCGCGATTTGCCTCTTCGCGAGCATCTGGTTGAGCTGGAGAGGAGTAGTTGCCGAACTAAGTAAAGATAATCAGTGAAGGATGAAATGAGGGAATTGTGCACCCTCGCGAGCTTCAGGTGGAGTGCTGCCATCATGAGGCTGTTGTGCGGAAGTCGAAGGAGGCACCAGCGTGGCAGGCTGGTGTTGTTGACGGTGCTGAGGGGTCCCGCAGTACGCGAATGTGGGTAGAGGGGTAGTTTAGAGCGGGAGATTTCAAAGGGCTGGATGAGGTTGCTTGCACGCGTAGAGCGGGGTCCATGGAGGAGTGAATTTGGAAGAGTGAAACACTCCCAAATACTAGCGTAGGGGTTCCAATGTAGCTGAATACGATAGAAGTCTGTTGTCAGTGTTGCTTAGATGGTCGAAAGTGGAGCGCGATGGACACTCGTATGTGCTGGCTTACCGAAAGGATGTCCGGGAGGGTTTCCAGTCAGTCAGTCAGTACGGGCTGCATGATATGTGCGCAGTGCCACGTATGCTTTCCCGTGCTAGTGGTGCAGCTCAATTTGGCTTACCTGATGTGCTCGACGTCGCGTCGGGCTGGACACCTCTTGCGCTTCGCCAACAGCATGACGCCGGAGAGTCTTCGGGGTACGCAGAAAGCTTTAATTAGCCTGGAGTATTTTCCATCTCTCTGAAGGAGATATGAGACACAATCAGTCAGGATGAAGAGGATGGTCCTAGACTCGTCCACCCACCAGCTGATCTTCTTTGTAACATTGTGGCTCCGTTATGAACTGTGTAGAAGATGCCGCACGTCGACGCGGATCGCTTTAGTATCCGGTAGACGTTACGGTGATCTTGGTTGGTTTGATAACGGTGAATATGCATTAATGCATGACCCTTTTCTCAGGCCAGACCCATCACACGAAATGAGACTTCTCCATACGTGGGACGGCAATGCAGCTTTGAAGTTTCAACATATTCTGGCTCCTGCCGAAGAAAGGATGATAGAGTGCTCAGGTACCCATCTTTATAGGGCCGTCATGTGTCTGCCTGTACAGATCGCATTCAAGTAGTGGGTAAGCATCCATGTTTGTTTTGCAGTGGACTGAATGGGCTCAAGGCTTACAGGTCGGCTCGGAAGTGTCCAATCACGGGTGGTGCCCTCTTCAGCACGTTACGTTGATCTATGACTCGGAGGTCAGTGCAACGTGTAGAGGAGGAGCAAGGACCGTTCCCGACATGCGTGCGTCCATACCCCATCCACCCTTCGACCCTTCATATCGGTGAGGCCAACTATTCAACCGCTAAATGGCCTGCGAGCCACGGCCTATCTGCTGGCCCCATCTGGGTAGAACGAGTTCCATTCTCCCAGCAACGACTCTCTGTCATTGACGTACTGGACCATACCTTCTCCGTCGCTAATGAAAGCTATTGGATAGTGATTGTCAAGAACGTCAAGCTTCTAATTTCCCTTGTCCGCTAGAAAGGGTATAAAGGCCGTTATCTGAATCAGTGACGCTAGAGGAGGGCGATTCCGGGAAGAACCCGTTCCGCCGTGCGTTCCTCGTGCGGCATGAGAAACCCGCACCTGTCGATCCTCGTTGATAGTTCTAGTCTGCTTCTTAATGGCCGTCGTCATGTTCGCGTTGTTGTTGCGGTAAAGCTCTGGATTCACATAGTTTTTGCTTTTCAAGTCCTTGGATGATGGCGGCCGCACTGCCTCTTTGGCAGCAACAAGTTCATCACGTTGCTGCGTTATCCTCCGTTTCTTCGTAGATCCTCCATCCGTCTTCTTCTGAGATGCGATGAGCTCCTCGTGCACATCGCGATAGCGCGCCAGGAGCCGCTCCGACTGCATCAACGCAATCCGACAGGGTACTGTCGCGTAGTGCCACGCGCCAAGCGGCGTCGAGATGTCCAGTGACTCCGCCTGCCGCTCGAACTGCCTGAGACATCAGTGAGTTGTCGCATCGGTCTGCGAACACGTACCCCATCCTTCAGCCACGCAGGCCGGCAGTACCATTTGGGGGCCATTTGTCAGGGCGCTGAAGACAATAAATTCGCTAATCCTCATTGCCTCGAGAAACTTGAGCGCCGCCGGAGCTGATTTGTGCCCTTGTTTTGTTGTATTCAACGAGCAAGAGGGACATTTCCAGTATGGATTCTCTGTTTCAATCTGCATGTTCTGGAACAAGGAGGCTACATCTCACTCAGAAATCTAAGCGGGAGTGTGTCCGTTCGAGATCGCATGAATTCCGTGCACGTCTGAGACGGAGCCTATGAGCACTTGCAGCGCGAGAGCCGCTCCTCACGGTCATGTTACCTGCACGCGTCACGAATTCCCTTACGCGGCCGCGCGCTCTCCATATCTGTCACGCGACGCCAAACGAGGCAAGATCTGCATGCCGGAATCCTGACGGGCGTATACTGGAGAAGTGGTGACCTTCGCTTCGTCACGCGGGGGGTCCCCAGTGGGGGCCACCACGCCTGCAACCGAGTTTGTAGTACCCCATGATATACCCTATGTCCGAAATGTGAGCATACGAACTGCCTTTCTAAGAATTTCCGTCACGCAATGTAACGCTTTCAAGTTCTCACGTGCAGTGGCGGATTGACAGGAACCGTTTGTGTGTGGCGTGCTTGCTTTCCCTCCATTATCTCTCACGGCCTCAATACCTAACAGAACTTGAGACACGGCGACACCATCAGCCCACCCTTCTCCAGGATGCAAGATGGAAGAGCACCTCGCATTAAGAATTGCGCGCCCGCAGCATTTCAAGTAACAGCCGAACAACTGCTCCGAGATGCCCAAGAACGCCAGGAGTCCCAATTCCGCTCCCCAAGACAGCGCGTAGAGGACGTTGAAGAGCTGCATGAGTACCGAGGTAGAAAGCGGGAGGAATTCGAAAAGAGGATCAGACAAACCGGGGGAAACATGTACGTCCTCCTGCTTCCATCTCCCAAACAACGACGTGACCGTTTCAACAGCAAAGAATGGCTGCAGTATGGAAACTGGGAAGCAAGCCAAAATGAGTTTCCTCGGGCACGTTCTGTCTTTGAGCGAGCTTTGGATGTGGATCCACGAGACGTCAAACTGTGGCTCAGCTATACTGATATGGAGCTAAAGTCCCGCAACGTCCAGCATGCGCGCAACCTCTTTGATCGCGCTGTCACTCTTCTCCCCCGCGTAGACCAGCTGTGGTACAGATACGCCTACCTTGAGGAGCTGCTCCAGAATATCCCCGGCGCACGGCAGGTATTCGAGAGATGGATGCAGTGGGAGCCGGATGACAAGGCATGGCAGGCATATATAAAGTTTGAGCAGCGTTATGAAGAACATGACCGGGCAAGCGCGATCTATGAGTCCTGGGTTGCAGTCCGGCCAGAGTCCCGTGTATGGGTCAAGTGGGGCAAATTTGAAGAAGAACGCGGTAATCTGACCAAAGCAAGAGAGGTATTCCAGACTGCCCTCGGGTGTTTTAGAGACGAAGAAGAGCAAATTGAGAACGCTCAGGCTGTATTCAGTGCCTTTGCAAAGATGGAGGCTCGGCAAAAGGAGTACGAACGGGCTCGTGTTATTTATAACGTAAATCAGCACTTTTCCTGGCGATTCGTTACTGAGCGGTCTGTAGTTTGCCTTATCGCGGCTTCCACGATCAAAGTCAAACGCGCTCTACGCAGCGTATACGCAATTCGAGAAAGAGCACGGTACACGGGTTACTCTCGAAGCGACTGTCCTCGGTAAACGTCATATTCAATACGAGGAAGAGCTTTCGCGCGACAGTCGAAACTACGACGTATGGTTTAACTATGCAAGGTTGGAAGAAGGTGCCCTTCAAGATCTGCGAGGTGAGAATGCCACCGCAGAGGAAGAAGAGCAAGCATACGGCCGTGTGCGAGAGGTCTACGAACGAGCTATCGCTCAGGCTCCCCCTGGAAACGAGAAGCGGTATTGGCGACGCTACATCTTTCTATGGCTGAATTACGCTCTCTTCGAGGAGATAGAAACTAAGGTGAACCAGCTCTGCCTCTGCATTTCTTCCGGCTGACTTTTTGTGAGCATTACGCCCGGGCTCGCGAGGTATACCAAACCGCGCTCAAACTCGTTCCGCACAAACAGTTCACGTTCGCTAAGCTCTGGATTCTTTTCGCCCGCTTCGAAGTTCGACGCATGGATCTAGGAGCAGCAAGGAAGATCTTAGGGACAGGAATTGGGATGTGCCCTAAACAGGCACTCTTCAAAGGGTACATCCAGCTTGAAATCGACGTAAGCCTCCAGCCCTCTCACTATCCGTATGAGTCCAGACACCAACCACCTATTTGTAGCTCCGTGAATTCGACCGCGTACGCACACTGTATGGAAGATACATAGAGGTAAGCCTTGTCCCCTCTTCCCGGCCCTTCTCTGAACCTGAAACCGTTATATACAGTATGACCCTACGAACTCCAGTGCATGGATAAAATTTGCCCAGCTCGAATCGCAGCTCGGTGACTACGCCCGCGCCCGTGCGATATTCGAACTCGGCATTTCTCAATCGACGCTGTCGATGCCCGAGCTGCTCTGGAAGAAGTACATCGATTTCGAGGTGGAAGAGGGGGAGCGGGAGCGGGCGAGGGCGCTGTATGAGCGGCTTGTGGTATTGAGTGGGCACGTAAAGGTGTGGATATCATATGCTTTGTTTGAGGCTGAGTCGATGCCCGCGCCGAGGAGCACGTGGGAGGAGGATGAAGACGGAGAGACGGAGGTTAAGATGGTCGAAGGGAACGTTGATTTTGCGAGACGAGTATTCGATCGGGGGTACAAAGATCTAAAGTCGAAGAGTCTGAAGCGAGAGGTTCGTCCGTATTCTGTTTCCATCTGTACTCTTCATGCTCACAATTTTCTAGCGAATGGCTCTGTTATTGGTATGGAAAAAATTCGAAGAAGAGCGCGGCACACCGGCAGACGTCGCCGAGGTTGAAGACATGATGCCCGTACCATGTGTGACACGGCGCGTTGATGAAGAGACTGGTCAATTCGTGGAAGGTACGTACGCGTACGTTCTGGCTCCCGTCCCTCAGCATTTCTCAGTCTCTGGAGCAGATGATGATATGTTGTTCAAAGATGAGGAGCGCCAATCAAACCCGACGTCGTCTAAGTTCTTGCAAGCGGCCCGTGAGTGGAAGAACGCCAAGAAGTCCGACGACGTACTGCCCCCAAGGCCCGAACTTGCTGTCGAGGCAGATGCTTCCAGCGATGTAGCCAGCTCGCACACTGGCGATTGATCGGATTTGTTCAAGATAGTTATATAATCACACTGCCATCAAAGAATGTGAGTCAGTGAGCAGAGTCTATGGTTGACACATGCACCATCGTGATCGTATTTGCATACTGGAAACTGCTCATTAAGTTTGAGGAGACATGCTTGTAGCCACGATCCACGTAGGGGCATGCATAACTTTGATCAAGTAGCGGACCAGTTAGCAGTATGAAGGATGGACGAACATATTCACGGTCCATAAGAATTCACGAACTGTTGCTCGCTGGACGATAGGACGACTCCGCTCTGGCTGTTCAACAGCTAGTCATCAGGAAAATATCTCTCTTTTTTTAACCTTCTTGAACTTTTTTTCTTACATCCATTGCTCAAAACATAAATTTTGAGATCCTGAAAGAACATGGCTTATGGGCCTTTCGTCCTTATGTGTCTTATATAAGACCATGAGTGTACTAAGTTATTGCATAAGAAAGAGAGATGTTTTCCTGATGACTGAAGGACTCGCCATCAAAACCACTAGCTCCTAATGCTAGTGACTTAGGCCTTCCATTAACCGATACTATATAATACCAAAGAAAACATTACACAGAGCAGAAGTGAGAAACAGGTCTCCAGTGAGAAGTTAGCAGAGCATAAAGAGAGAAAAGCTATCCCGCCCAGTAGGATCGGCGGTAACTTGAAGTAGGGTTAGTAGGGTTAGGGTCGACCAATCAAATGCCGAGTTTCCTTGAAAGTCTGTGGCTATAATTGTGACCGTCCTCCCCACATCAGCAAGGTCACTATTGGTCTGCCTTCGGGAGACTAAGTCTGTAGTAACTTACTAGTAAGCAGTCTCTTGTCTCTTTCTTGTAAGGCTCTCGTACCTGGGAAATCGTGAAGCGGTACGTGGATCCCCAGGCTTCCCTTGAGGCGGCTCTATACTTTACGATGGGCCAGCAGCGTCCAGGAGTTTGCCAAAAAAAAGAAGCTCATTAGCATCGCGCAAGTTGCGTTTGCCTAGTGCCTGGTCACAGATGGCGTGAGGAACCACGAGCCTTGGCAATCTAAAAGATATCATCGGTGAGTATCGCCGATTGCCTGCAAAGAATGAATTAATGACAGTCAGAACGCTGTCGATGATACCTAGGTGGAGTGCCCGTAACACTCCGAGAGGATTTCAAGAACCGTTTATTGCTGCCGACTCCGGATCCGAGAGATTCATTGCGATTGCGTGCCGAATACTTTTGGCTTGTGTAGTCCTGGACTCGTTCACCCACTAGATGATCTCCTCTGTAACATTGTGGCTCTGTCATGAAGTGTGTATAAGATGCAGCACGTTGACGCGGATCGCGTTACAATCCGGCAGGTGTTACGGTGATCTTGGTCGGTTTAATAACGATGAATATGCATTAACGCACGACCTTTCAGATATTCTCCGGCCAGACCCATCACAAGAAATGGGACTTCTCCAATACGTGGACGGCAATGTAGCTTTGAAGTTTCAACATATTCTGGCTCCTGCCGAAGAAAGGATGGTAGGGTCAAACTGCTCAGGCACCCCGGTGCCATTTTTATAGAGCCGTCGTGTGTCCGGCTGAACAGATCGCATTCAAGTAGTGGGTAAGCATCCATGTTTGTTCTGCGGTGGACTGAATGGGCTCAAGGCTTGCAGGTCGGCTCTGGAGTGTCCACTCATGGGTGGTGCCCTTTTCAGCACGTTACGTTGATCTGTGACTCGGAGATCAGTGCAACGCGTAGAGGAGGAGCAAGGACCGTTCCTGACATGCGTACGTCCATACCCATCTACTCTCCGGCCCTGCACGTCGGTGAGACCGACTATCTGACCGCTAAGTAGCTGGCGAACCACGGCCTATCTGCTGGCCCCGTCCGAGTAGAACGAGTTCCATTCTCGCAGTCACGAATCTCCGTCATTGACGTACTGGACCATGCGTTCTCCCCTGTGTCGTTAATGAAAGCTATCGGACAGTGGTTGTCAAGTCAAGCAAGGTTCGGGTTTCCCTTGTCCTCTAGGAAGGGTAAGAAAGCCGTTATCCGAATCATTGACCCGAGACGAGGGCGATTCCGGGAAGGACCCGCTCCACCGCGCGTTCCTCTTGCGGCGTCAGAACCCCGTACCTGTTGATCCTCGTTGACAGTTCCAGTCTGCTTCTCAATGGCCGTCGTCATGTTCGCGTTCTCGTTGCGGTCTATAGCCCTGGATTCACCTAGTTTTTTCTTTTACACGTCCATGCATTGCGCTTCAGGGCACAGACCACGCGCTGGAAGGCGAACTGTCTGCTGTCGGGGCAGATTCTCGGCCATCGATGGGAGGCGTGTGAAAGCAGGACATGTTCGTGACGGAGGGTGTCCTCATGTTCTATGCGAGAGTATTGCAGGTGTGTCTCGTGTTCTTTAGGTCTCTCTGGGGGTCACACTGTCCGCTAATTTCTTCCGCATCACCGGTTTGAATTTTTGAAATTGACCTAGGGGAATATCTGCGTACAGCTTTCCTACTTCATACCCGTCGCCGCAAGGTCTCCAACGTATGACTATGCGTTGCGAATATACTCAGACTGCCAGAGTCCCCACATCAATTATTCCCGTATTTCTATCACCTCTGATGCAATTCTACCACTTGGGGTGGCATTTTGGGGTGTAATCATCTCGGCTCAGGACGTAAGTGTAAAACTCCTAGCGAGCATAAACCTTGCCCTAGTCATGAATGCACAGGTCTACATGCATTGCTTGCAAATGCATTTGCAAGCTCATCTCGCAATTCCCGCTGAGAATCCATGCCAGAAAAACGAGGGTCTGTACTGCGAGACAGATTCCTCCGCGAAATCACCCGTGCGCCGGTGCATAATGTTCGGACTTCCATACCGCCGGCTGTTCTACTGACAGGGTCATGGTGGCGCTCCCATGACAGAATCAACTTCGAATCGTGCGTTTGCATTCAGCATTGCCGAGAGCGCGTCGAAGGAACTGGCTCCCGATCGTGGCACATGTGCCCCCAAGTTCCCCGTGCCTTGTTAGAATCCCAAGGTAGATTCTGAACTCTAGGACTATCACGCGAAGTTGGCGGGGTTGCTTCCATCTCCACTCCCCTCGTGAGACCTGTCTGGCTACGATGGCGGGACGCCAACAATGCTGCTGATGCCTTCCAGCCTGTTGCGTCGCTTCTGCGTTCTATCGGATTGGTCATCGATTTCTCTGGACGTTGATACGCACACTGGCGCACCGTCCAAATTACCTTGCGGTGCATCGAGGGTGGTGTCCTTACGCACTCCTCGGACACCTCGGACTGCAAGTGCACAATCCCGTCCCGCGTTGCACAGCAAAGCATCGACTTACGGCTGCATGATCATCGTGATGGCGGACGTGTGTGTGGAGGGCTGCTGGAGTACTGGTCCACAACAACAGGATCTCGCATCTGATCCGTCTTGCACCACGGGGATCTTCAATCGTGTTCCCGGAGATTTGCTCACTGTCCCGCATCTTATTTTGAGCTCTAGTTCTGGATGCCGTGTGCAATATCATACATGCGCGTGGTCGTTCGCGGCTCTGCATCTTTGTGAGGCTCGGCGCCTGTTGACACTCTCTAGGCGTCCATGTTCAAGGAAGCGACCAAACGTGAGGAAATTCGGTGCACTATTACTTCTTTGATAATGGGGCGTCTACCGGTGCTCGCCCTGACGACGATATTCACATCGTCTACCGCACTTCTCTTCTCTGCCACTGCGCCGTGTTGACTTGACTTGGGCGCGCAAACTTTGTGCTGGCTAGTCTTCGAACCTGCATACTGCGCAGACGCATGACCCTCTGCGTTCACAATATGCACTGGATGAACGCTCCGCTCCGCGCCTGTCGAGCCCCACATCCCATCCGACGTTCTTCTCTGCGAAACGTACCTTAGCTGCAGCGCACCGACTGTCCGTGGGGCGCCGCGGGGCGCTAGCCAGTGCCCGTGGCACTTTACTACCTTCAAATTCTTACTATCTACGGGACTGGAGTTCGCGGGTCCAACCGCATCATGATCGATGCATGATCTGCCTCGCGAGCCGGACAGAGCAGTGCGCTACCGGTGGCCGTACGGTGCGCCATCGGCAGCTCAGCTCGCTAGCATTCAGGTAAAGACGTCGGTGCACATCGCGCGCCTGGGCGGGTACGACGGCTGTTTCGGGCGGTCGTATACACCCGCTGCACGGTCGGTTGCCGTTCGCGGGGACGGAATCTTGATTGACGTAGAGCGGCGGGTGGTTACACATACGCTGCGGTTCACTAGCAAGTTATGAGTACACTAACATGGAATGGTGAACCGCCGTGGATGGGCCGAGCGCCTGGGCGCGCCCGCCGTTCTCTAAGATACAAGGCTGATGTTGAAGCGGTGTCGCGCATGTGCTACTGTGCTACCTAGAACCGTGATAGTATGGTACCGCTCCTCATATGTGCGCTCGGGAGTATGGGATGCGCATGGTACACACGCGCTGCGTAATTTAATTCCTAACACTTTACAGCGACGTGATCGGGGACGTAGAGTAAGCTCAGACGCGCACGGGTAACTGTATTATTGTTATCAAGATCTTCTAAAGCTTCCAACGCCCAGGGGTCGAGTCGGCAGGTCAGGAGAACGTTCGCAGCAGCGGCAGGGCCCGTTAGGAGGCATTACGAATACTGAACCCTAGCGGATATAGCACGAACGCGAGTAGTGGTACCATTGGGGCAAGTGTTGTTCTCGCCGGAGCTGTGCAGAAGACATGACGAACAATAGACTTGAGATGGGCATCCTCGCAGTTCAAGAAGTGTAATCATGTGAGTGATAGAATAGCTCTGTCCTTGCACTGCCCCACAGCGCGCTGTCGAAGAACTGATCATTGTCACGAACCGGGCTAGCTGCCTCTCGAATCATGTTGGAGAGTTAGATTTATTAGATAGAACGGACGACAGCCACGCCACGCAGAGTGTGTTGTTTTCATCTCTGCTAAGCTGCATCACTCCGCACACGCGGGGCGGGAGGATCGAATCTCTTAGTTCGCCTCGACGGAGGGGACAAAGATCTCAGACTCCCTGCTGGATTCTGACACTCCGTTAAAAGTACGCACCGCTGTTCAGATCACCCGGTGCTAGCGCTGATTGATCGTCACGCTACAATAGCTGAGCAGTGCCGCGAGCTCTGTCTACTGTGTCCTGCGGAGCGTTACAGGACGCGCTTCTTCACGAAATGCAGCAGTCGCGAGCAGGACGCGTCATGTCCGCGTATGGTATGTCTAGTCATGTCGCAACTGCGTCCGAGGGAGGACCGGGTTAAAAAGGTACGGTGCTAGTGCCGGAAGTTTGTTTAGAGCGCCTTGTTTGTAAGCTGGAGGGAGTCGCTCCCGCAATGTAGGGTATCAAGAACGCACGGATAGAGGGTCAAATGATGACACGCGGCATGTATATGTGATATCCTGGCAAGCACACAAGACGTACGCGCATCAGGGCTTTGACAGCCATAGCCTTTGGAGAAGACGCGCCATCAAACCGTAAAGCGGAGTGTGCATCATGCAACGAGGAAGAAGAAGAGCGGGCACGCCCGGTCAAGGAGATAGGGAGGATAAAGACTCATAATATTCTGCAGCTTCGCTCTGCGCGAAACGATGGAATCCTTCATGCTTCTCGAGGCGTTGCAGATGCCGAGAGAAGGGTCGCGGACAACTTCCGAATTGAGACGGTCCTCTGAGAGAAAAAAGCCACACCGAGCTGCCGAAGGAGAAAATGACGAGTCCGGGAAATAGTTAAACTTTGGTCCGCCGCTGCATGCCGAGAACATTATATATTACCACGACCTCCGGGACCGCGCCTGTCGGGAGTCGGCTCGGCGACTTGCGCCATGTGCTTTTGCATAGACGCCGAGGGCGTACCTGGGACTCATCGACAAGCATCGATCCTGCATACACGAGCTCGATATAACGGTCTGGAGAGTTGCGAAGATACAAGAAGAGAGCCTAGAGAGTGGGCGGCAGATAGTGCGCCGCAAGGGGACGGCTCGACTATAATGATCGTGCGCGGATCCGGACGGTGAGGTAACAGGGAAAAACAGCAGCTTATCTGGGTAAACTCCGAGCTGGCTCGGAAGTTGGTTTAAATCTAGAGTTTGACCGGTGAAACGAATATGAGAGACTCCACGGGGAGATGGCTGGCGTATTCATCGTGCAAAACAGTGGCACTGCCTTGCGAGCATGCGAGATGGACTCTGGAGCAAACTGAGATGTTTTTTGGCTCGAGTAACGTCGTTCGGGAATGATTGGCCGTGGTGGGACCGAGGACATACAAACATGATGGCACGCGCCGTACTCTGTCGGAACTGGCCAAGCAGTGCCGGCGCTTGCTGGGGTGCTCGGATCCGTCTACCCCGCGAACCAGATTTGCTACAAGTACTGTCTCGTTCTTTCATAATGCCCTGCCTGTGCCTCTCTTGATTTCTTCACTTCATCTGTTCGAGTCGCAGTCGTATCGTTCAACGACGTGCCCACCGCCGCCGCCGCCATCCTTTCCAACCTGGCAGCCGGCTTGGACAGCGCTCACCCTCTTTAGCTTCTCCGCAGTTTTACTTTCACAGCCTGCGCCGTCCCCGTGTCGCCCCTTTCCCAATTATTCTACTATTTTTGTAATGGCCGAGAAGCAGATCACAAACTCTTCCCCGGGACCGAGCTCCAGCACTCTCCAGAGAGGTGCGTCACCCCTCTCCCCCCTTGGCCACAATTGACCGCGATTCCGTTTAGGAAAGGCATGTTTACGCTGCAGAAAGCGCAAAATGGTGCGTGTTATTTTTTTCCTGTTTAGTCGCCGCGCACTCACACCCGTGCCGCAGAGGTGCGACGGCGCAAAGCCTGCTTGCCAGCAATGCGTACGCGCGAAGAAGGCTGACGGCTGCGAGTACGACGATGGTAAGGGCAAAACCAGGACGCAGCTCATGCGCGAGCACATCGCACGTCTCGAGTCGAGGATAAAGGAGCTCGAGACCAACGAGACCTCTACCCCCTCCGTCACCCTCTTCGACCCTCATGCCCCTTCCCCCTACTATTCAGAGTCCTCCGGCTCCTCAAGCCATGGCTCTCCGGGGAACATCAGCCTCTCGGCTTCCACGTCTCCGGTACCTTACGGTCCAGACGAGATTCGCTCGACCATGGTGAGCCCTCTGACGGTGAAGTATCCAGATATGGATTCTTCTTGGGAGGCACAATGGGACCAGATGACAGTGAGTCACCCCGAATCAAATGTCTTGTCTCTCAGACAGCAACTGAGTCCGACGAGAACTTTGCCTCCGGTAGTCAGGTTAGCGATGCTTATAGGGCATCAGAGGAACCCCCGGTCGAACTTGCACAGATGTTGTACGATTGTTCTTGTTATCGCACCCCGCTACGCCAGGCTGATGTTATGTACTGTACAGATTGGAACTTTTTCTCCCTCACCGGCATCAGTGTGGGTTGGAAGTCCATATCGGTCGTATGCGCGAATCGCTCGGGCTTCCGCCATCGGAGCAACGTCATCCAGCCCTGATGAACACCATCTACCTCTGGGCCTGCTACCTTTCACGGCCAGAATCTTTATGTGAACATGAGCCCGTGTATTTGTCGCGTGCGCTCTCAGCGATGAACGAAGCCATTCAGTACCCGACAAAGGTCGTCGACATTATCCAAGCATCTTGTTTGCTTTCGATGTATTACCTCTCCAACGGCCGGCTCTTCGAAGGAAATTACTATGCGTCTGCTGCAGCGTCGCTCGCGTTGCAGTACCGGCTCCATCAGATTGATTCGGACGAGCTCAGCGCACACCCAGGCATAGGTCTGTGGGAGCCCACTTTCAGTCTTGAACCGGAGAAGGACCCTATTGAGCGTGGAGAGCGAATTTTAACTTTCTGGCAGGTGTACAGTCTTGACAGGTGCTGGTCGGTCGCGCTTCGGCGGCCACCGATAATTCCGGACAACGACCATCCTTCGACACGTATCACCACCCCATGGCCGCAGCGCATGGAGGAGTACGAATCGGTATGTGGTGCATAGTTTACTTAGATGCCAGACTGAATTGGGGTCCGTTTTCAGGGCGATCTTGAAGGCAGCTCGGGCAACGGCACGATCTTCGATTTTCTAGCCCATCAGGCACAAACGTCGAGCCTCGTCGGAGGATTTTCGACGATTGCGCTTCGTGCCAAGGCTTCTGTGTTGTTCGAGGCCGCCGATCGGCTCTCTTCTAGTTTCATGCGTCGTAAGCAGCCTCCCACGTCTGGCTCTTCGCACACGCTGATATTCAAGGCCTCCGCCGCAACAGTTCCCGCATCGAACACGATGATGGACGAGTTCCGCGTCCTAGAGCATACGATTACGCGGTTCACCGCGACGCTGCTGCCCCTGCACCAGCTCAGCGCGGCGGTGCCCGAAGAGAAGTTCACGCTCATCGTCGTGCACAGCCTCGCCCACGCGGCTATGATCCACCTGCACGCCCCCTTCGTCGAGCGCGACCCCATCTCGCGCGAGAAGTGTGCACGCGCCGCGCGCGCGATGATGCTCGTCACGAAGCACATTGCGGAGTTGGACTTTGACTTTCTCGAACCGATCGTCGGGGTGCGTCGTTCTTGACTATTCGGGTTATATTGAGATCTCACCCCAGATGCGGTGCCTGATATGCAGCCTTGCTGGCTCAGCGGTGCCAAAGTGCTTGAGTCCGAGCTCATACGCCTACAGGCGTCATGGCCCCCACCAAATATGATGGAGATTCGCGGGGAGCTCGGCGGTTTCCTCTTCGTTCTCACGAAACTCAGCGCTCGATTCCCGCTATTAGGCTCGTTGTCCTGCTCTCTGCTGCACGCGCACCTCTGATAGGTGTATTTGGCCGTAACAGGATACGAGGCAGCCAAGGTACAAAGCTCACTAGAGGGCAAGTAGACGGCCCTCCTTGCTGCTACCTGGCAATATTCAACGGCATTGCATTTTCTCTCGCCCGCCTGCCCGGCGGGCAACGCAAGTACGGAATGACATTCATTGACGAACTTTCACGCTCGCTACCCCATTATTTGGTCACCCCGCTTCATTCGCTCACGTTTACGGACGCTTACGGATTAACGGACTCACATTCGGACTGGCCGTCACTGACTTGATTATGGACTTGTTACCACCACGGACCTTGCTTGCTGCTTGCGGACTACATGGATTATTCAGTGTCGGACATTCGGAGCGTCCGCTGGACTTTCTTATTCTTGGACTCCGCTCGGACTGGACCTTAGCATTTTTCTTCTGCTGCAATCCGCATCCAGACATCTATTTGCATTCACATATTCGCACTTTGCAATCCGTACCGGTACCCTCTAGCCTCATACGTTTGTCATAGCTTTTTGCTCACGTACTTCCGGCTTAATGTTACTGTAGAACTAGACAGTCATAGTTTCCGCTTCCCCTACCCTATAATTGTAGTCAGTATATCCCCATTCTCGGGTAGTGTCGTGGTCGCTTCGTGATTTGTTTTCCCTTCCGCTTTCGTTGGCGTACTTTTCTTCCTTCGACTGACGGACGTTGACGTCCCCTCACACTAACGTTACTTACTTGCCCCTTGAGCCGGGATTGATTATTCGAGCTAGCTCTCCTTCGACTTCGACCCAGGACTCTTTCTTTACTTAACTTTTTTTGACTTGGACAGTGCCGACTAGTTACCCTGAGTATTGCGGAGTCACTAAAAGATGTACATTCCTGGCAGAGATGGACAAATTAAAACGTGAAGGACGTTCTGATCCTCCTCTGTGCTTGCTTCTCCTGTAGACTCGACTCTGGATCGTGGATGTTTTTGTGCCAGATATTCTGCAGGAGCGGTTCTAAACCGAGCAAAAGCTAGCGGTGGTCAGGTAGTGGACAGACCCGCCATGCCCTCGAACCAGTTCACCACCGCTGCGACTTTGCGCACGGCAGCGTCGCTGAAGCCTAGTCTGAGATCAGGCCGGAAGCGGTTGTCCTGCGGCATCGAGGGCATCGTGCGGTAGCAGATTTCGAACTTCGACTTTAGATGCGGAGATGCTGTGAACGATACCGGGACAGTATCTACAGCTTTCCCGGGCTCAACATCCCACACCGCAAGGACATCTGTCAGATTCAGGAATCAATTCATGATTATACCAGCGGCTTAAATACTAGCTTACTCTCAAAAAGCACGACGTCGCCCCGCTTGACGCCAGGGCTGGAAAAATCGGGGTCCGCGCCGCCCCAGCTCTCCGCGACTTCCCGCCAGGCGGCGAGCTTGCACACCGTCCCGTCCTCGTCGCCGAGGATCAGCTTCAGTAGGGAAACCTGCTTGCCCGCGTCAACGCCCCTCTTGATGCGGATGCTATCCGGGCCCTCGACTTCGAGCACCGCTACGAGGACCGATACCTTGCGTGAGCCCTTCCCTGGGCCGCGCGCGCCCGCGACGAGTGCGGCCAGCGGCGTGAGGGCGTGCAAGCTGAAGTGGAATGTAGGGAAGCGCCCGATGGAAGACGCGTCGGAGTAGTTGTATGACGCTGTTTCCTGGGTTCCTTGGGTCTCGAGCTGAGAGCGCATACGTGAGATGCCTGCAGAGGAGCGCAGGAATGTGACGGCCGCTCGGGAAGCAAGTTGACTTTCGGTGTAGTCCTGGGCAGAAGGAGGCCAGGTGATTGCAGTGGTCTCGTCTGTGAGCCCAACAGTGGTCATTGGTTTATAGGGCAACTGAGATAAATAAATTATACCTTGGTCGTACTGCGGGCCTTTATCACGCACAGGTTTTTTCAGTGCGTTTTCGAACCCTTCTTCGTCTCCTTCTTCCTCGTCATCTTCGGATTCGCGGAAGATGATGTTTTGGTACAGTAAAGAGATACGACGACTCGCAGCCTCCAGCGTCGCGGGTGGCAGGGTGAAGGTAACCGGCTTGGATGAGACAGTCTGCCAGTGATATGATACAGCAGGATTGCGGAGATCCTTAGGCGATGGAGCACCAATAAAGACGCGGTACGATGGAGCCATGTTGTTAGTGCAGGCCGGACACAAAATTCATTCCGGTAGTATTATGCTCGGACCGATGGTGTACTGATTAAAACGTAAGATGCAAGAAAAGACACATTGCGAAGGGCCACGGTGCCTTCCCTTCTCTTCATCGCATGGGAATTAAAACGTACAACGGAGATGTGTTGGCTAGCCCGAGATTGTGCTGCTGAGACCAGATTGCGGACCTGCATGCCACGTTATAACAGTACTGATGAGTTTCGTATCATGTGTCTTACTACTGGTACGTGTCCTCTGGGACCGTAGGCTGTAGGTACAAGCAGCCTATTTGCAGATGTGACCAGAGCCGTTGGAAGCATCCACACATACTATGTTGGGAGGAACACGGGGTCACGGAATCACGTGATACGTGACATTGGTCTTTAGCTGCCCGCGGCGCTCCTGTGCGTTCGAGACACCATCATCTGTAGACTGCTGGTCTGGTAGTGCTCTGTTCACTCTGAGGTTTCACAGCCGTTGTGGACCAACCCGTTGATTTTGGTGCAACTTAGGACGATTTTAATACTTTCGGTGTTCTTGAGCATCAGAAGCATCCGAAAGGCGAGGCGGTCACTTGACGGACTTCGTTCTCAATGTGAGCTCTCATTCAGAATTGGAGCAAACAAGGCCTCCATGTGCTCATAGTCTGTAGCTTGACATTACTTGACTACTCACGAGGAAATGTATAACCCCCTGTGTCTCTCCTGCTAAGTTTACGACTCACGAATACATTGACCGGCGCCTTGGGATCAAGTTGAAGAGGTTATCTTGCATGTGAGTTTCTACCACTGTTATCTCCAGAAGTTTGTGTCATTGTGGGTATCGTGACAGTTCACTAAATCTTCAATTGTGGTCTCGAAAACCAGTATGTTGCCTACCAAGGGCTACAAGGCCAAGAGCTCCCCGGATATTCCATCTTCAGCCGTCAAGATACCTCGTCGAAATGCTGATGGTTCTCTATATGGCTTACCCAGAGATATAGTTGGCTCCCCTGAACAGTTGCACAACTACCAAGGAACGTCCTCCGCCATTGAAGCTCAGCAGGTCCCCTCAAATACTAGTGAGAGCATTAGCCCACTCTCTACAAGGCCGACCTTTAGCCGCAGTGTTTCTTCTTCGGCCATGCCACCTAACAGAAGTTCCGGTACGATCTCAAGATTTCGCGACTTCTCGTCTAGTTTGTTACGTATGACACATCACGACCGTCCATCCGAGCGTGAATGGAGTGTCTTCGGTCAACTTATGGAAATCGATGATCCTTTATCATCGCGCAGGGCCCCAGGCACCCTTCTCTCGAGGCAAGGCGTGCGCTTCAGCCCGCCCAGACCGTCTGTGTCACCTTCTGGTGGTCTCAACCCAGCTACATCAGCAATGCCCGAGCCCCAAGAAGCAGAGACTGTTCAATCACCCGTGGACGACTCCAATCTCAGCAAACCTTCGGTAGTTTCATCAGAGGATGATGGAGCTTCCACGTCCCGAGAGGGATCTTCACCAGACGAGTCCGACAGCTACCAGGCGGATGCCAAATTGACACGTGGCAAGCGGCCTTGGTATTCGCTGCCTACGTTGCCCAGTATACCGCCAGTATACCGCAATATACTCAAATGTTCAGTGGCTTACTTTATAGGCTCTCTGTTCACTTTCTCGCCTTATCTCTCCGGATTCATCGCTGATCTCACGAATTATGGGCCTGGTGAGAGTGCACCATCACCTTCGGGCCACATGGTAGCCACTGTGTAAGTGATTTGCAAACCCCATGGTGGAGAACGAGGCGCATATACTCACTCCGACTTTCATTCAGCGCCGTGTACTACAACCCCGCAAAGACGCTCGGTGCCATGGTTGAGGCTGATTTGTTCTGCATGATGGGTCTGCTGTTTGCAGCCACCGTGGCTCTGAGCAGTATGACCATGTTTTGGTTCTTCGAAACACGACCAGGGTGGGAATGGCTGGCAGACGTCCTAGTTCTATCATTCATTGGGCTTGGCATGTCTGGCGTTGCATGGATGAAGGTATGGATGGCTAAGCCGACCTTCAACACAGGTTGGCATTTGCATGTTCTATATGCTCGTTGAAATGGAGAGGCTGAAATCTGTCTTAGCCTGCAGTATGACCGCGATCATTCTATTCATAGTGTAAGTTATCTAAGCATATCTTTGATGCATCACTAATTTACCTGCAGAGTGGTCAAGGAGGGGGGTCTCCAGACGCTGCTGCAAGTCTCATTCATCGTTCTCGTTGGCGCTACGATATCAAATGCCGTCTGCTTCCTCCTCTGGCCGCAACGCGCCACGAATAATTTGCAAGCTACTATGACGAAAACGCTGCAATCATTCTCGACACTGCTGGGGCTGATCACTGAGACATTCCTACTCGAGGAGCCGGGGAACAATCTCAGTCGCGAAAAGATTCAGCGCGCAGTTGAGAGCCATCAAGCCAGTTTTACCAGCCTGAAGAAAAGCCTCGTCGAAGCACAGTCCGAGTCCATGTTCGGCGGGCCAGGCAAGGCGAGTGGTGCCCAAGGCGAGGAAGCGCGGAAAAGTTCTGGGCAAGCGTACGAGGATGCGATTGCTAGTCTCACGAGACTGGGTCAGCACCTCAACGGCCTGAGGAGCGGGACGACGCTTCAGTACGACCTCATAAAGGCGCACAGGGACGGTAAGGTGATGCTCAGGAATTTGTCGATTAAGCGACAGGCGAATCCCAACCTCGCGGCGAACGGCAAGGCTAGAATGACGGACAGTGATCCTGAGGATCCCGAACAGACTGCGATGCTTCAGGCCGCGGCATTAATGTTCGGTGACCTCATGGACGATTTGGGTCCGCCGTTGAAGGCGCTCTCAGTAACTTCATTCCATCAGTCCTCTCTAGACATCTGATCTTAATGAGTTCGTCAGAATATCTGCACGTCGAGTCTCAAGCACTTGCATGAGGCCTTTGTAAAGCCTCGAAGTGGTACCCTGGATGACGTGGATTTGTTCGACGTTCAGCAGCTCTCGGACGATATTGAACGAGCCCTTTTCACATTCGAGAGCACTTCGAATCATGCTGTTATGCGGCTCTATCGAAGCCAGAATATGTCTGGCACACAGTCCAGAGCATCTGTGAATTCTGCGGTTAACGACAATCAGGTTCTCATCGGTAGCGACAGCGAGCATGTCTTTCTGGTATATTAGTTAGTGCCTACAATTTTTCAAGGGCGCGCCTTGCGACTGACCTTTATTCTATGCTAGCTTTATTTTTACGTTGCAAGAGTTCGCCAAAGAACTTCTCTCGCTTGTGGATGCCATGGGTCGCATATGCACTATTGAGAGTGCACGCGCGGCTCGTGGCAGCTGGTGGAAACGACTTAAGAATGGCGTCGGCAGTATGTGTTCGGGATTCAGACGAGGCGCACGACACAACGCACGAGAAAAGCTTCATAAACAAGACAGTCTTGGCAAGAGAATTTGTATGTATGAACAAATTTCAAGCTGAGACGTAACTGAGGGCGTTTTAGCTACATATTTTGTCCCAGATCCTCATAGGAGCGTATCTTTCCCGAAAGTCAAACCCCACGCTCCAAATACAATCCTCACTCCCGATCCATCCAAGTTGACCTTCCTCGGAAGGATCAAGCTAGCCTTGTGGGCATTGGGCGCACGGCTCAAGGAGCAAGATCTCAAGTATGCTGTCAAGGCAGGCATGGCGACAGCCATCCTTGCTGCGCCTGCGTTCCTGGAAACAACGCGGCCGGTCTTCATAGAATATCGTGGAGAATGGGCTCTGATCTCTGTTAGTGTCTTTCTTACCTCTTGTCCCACCTAAGCTGATTTGCCTGTTCAGTTCTTTGTCGTGATATCTCCTACCATTGGAGCTGTAGGTGCCCCGATTGTGTTATGCGACCACCTTGCTGATATCCCTATCTCGAAAGACGAATTTCCTTGGCGTGCATCGTGTGCTGGGTACTTTGTAAGAGAATGCATCTACTGCAACATGTACTATAACTCACTATTTTTGCATAGGTTTGGTGCGGCCACCGCAGGTAAGATTTGAATCTCGAAGAATCCGATGAGGCTCAATTCACAATTGTTTCTTCCAGTGACAATCTGGTCTCTTGCTCCCGAAAATCCTTATGTCTTGTCGATCTTCGGATTTTTCTACTCCATCCCGTGTTTCTACTACATTGTTGCCAAGCCAGTATATGCCACGACATCAAGATTCGTCTTGCTCACCTACAACTTGACGTGTCTCTACTGGTGCGTGCGCGTAGCCTCGCCATCATTCTGTGTGCTTTCACTCAATTATACGTCCTCTCAGTTACAATCTTCGACAAAAGGATATATCAGTAACGCATGTCGCGTTTCATCGGGCTGTCGCTGTTACTGTGGGTATGTCATCATAGTCAGCTCCTATCCCCAACGAACATGCATTGAACGGCATTTGCAGGTGTTGTGTGGGCTGCACTGGTCTCGCGATACTGGTGGCCGATAGAGGCAAGACGTGTGCTAGGCAGAGCACTTGGCGAGTGAGTCACTCGTGCTGTCTCTAGTCGCTGAGTTTCAATACCCGTTCCAGCTTTTGCTTGAACATAGGATGGCTGTACACCCGCCTAGTAGCCTTCAACTCATATTCTGACAGTGAAGGCAATGTGATCGAAGATGAATCCCATGAGTCGTCCGTCGAGAATGGCTCATTGTTGCCATCTTCACAGCCTGCACGCTTGACAAATTCGATTCAGGAATTCATGGCGATGTATGTGATTTTTCACCGATCTTTGACCGACACTTCTGAGACTAACGATATATGATAGGGAATTACACCTGCAAATCAAGCTAATTGAGCTGCAGGGACTGCTGGCTCAGACTCAGCACGAGCCTCGTCTAAAGGGGCCCTTCCCTGTGGCAACGTACCGTTCTATCCTGACGAGTCTCCAAGCCATCCTCGACAGACTGCACAGTATGCGATGCGTCACGTCTCGCAAGGAGTGGTGCGTCTTTCAGTACATGCTATCGCCTTCGTACCTGACTCGAGCTCCATCAGGCACACGGTAATGCGACATGTGGTCTAGTTTCATCACTACCGTTGGCTCATGCATATCTTAGACCGTTCGTCGCGATTTTATACTACCAGTCAACAAGGAAAGGCGTGAGATGGTTGGCAACATCATCCTGTATTTCTCCGTTCTTGCTGCGGCATTCAGAACGAAGACACCTCTTCCGCCATATCTTCCTCCTGCTGAGAGGGCACGAGAGCGGCTGGTATGATCTGTTTCGTTTTTATACTGTTGTCAGGGTGAATTGACACCGTCTCCAGGTCGATGCTATCAGGAAGTTGGATGTGGTGCGGAATCGCGATGTCAAAGGATCAAGACAGTTACTCTTCTTTGCCTATGCGGTGACAATGAAGGGGGTTATACAAGAGCTGGATTTCCTTGGACACACCCTGCAAGAGGCCTTTGGCGTTATTGGCCAATCGACTGAAGACTTCGAGGAGCTGTTCGGGGAGAGGGAGAGGATGGTCAACATCGTTTAGATTCGCGGACACCATTCAGCATCGTGATTCTTGGTATCGTTACCATTTTACCATGGCACGTTTTCCTCGGATGGTATGAAGTCGGAATTAGTTCTCTGGCTTTTGTATTCACCCTGCACACTGTACATCACTCACCGCCCTCACTTCTGGAAATACCCATAATAATATCCTTATCGCCTTTGACAGTCACGGCAAGATGGTCGCACGGATGATAACCTAGAAATGCTTCAAGCTGAGCAACACGCTGGGAACAATACACTACGTCCTTGTCCTTTTCTTCTTCTTGCGCGCACCTACATCCCACTCGTCATCATCCTCCTGCATCCTGTCTAGCAACGACGACGCTGACTGCCGCGCATCGTTCGAAGGGGACGGGCGATTAGCCGCCCTTGCGGCGCCTCTGATGCTGTACCCGCCGACTGGATCTTTATCCGGATCCTCCCTTGCGACCTGCCTGGTCTGTAGGCGGGACGCAGAGATTGGTGGTGGCTCGAAACGACGTTTTGCAGGAATCAACGGAGAGACGAGTTGCCTCGCTGTGCCGCTGACATTGCCATCCGAGTTTGAACCTCCCAAACGGCTAAGTAGCGATGGCGTCACGGGACGTTCCCCACCCTCGCCGCCACTGCCCTTCTTCGCGCGCTTGCCCGTTCGTAGGAGGACATCCGTAGGTGAAACGTGTCCGTTCGTCGGCGCGGAGATACTCGCCGTTATCGACGAGCGCGGTCGCGGTTGTGGCGCATGCGAGTTATGGTGTTCCCGGTAGGGACCCGTCGGCCGGGGGCTTCCTGTGCTGTGGTTGGTCGCCGGTGCTGCAGTCTGTGGTGGCGGCCGAGGTGGCAGCGACAGGTTGAGGTCGTCTTTCCGCTTGGTGACATTCATGATGCGGCGGTCGCTCTTGCCGGTGGAATGGTTGCCTTGCGTGCTAGTCATACCTTTCGAAACGTCAGTATTCGCTGCAGCGGGGGCGGGGGCCGGCGCCGCCTCCACGAGCTTGGGTTTGCGGGCGGGCGGGATGAGTGACTGCTCAAAGAGAGAAGAGAGGAACGTTGGACACAGACGGCGAGAACGAAAGACGGCCCATTGCGAACCCTGATCAGGCTGTGGATCTCTTGCAGACCATCCACATTAGCTCCTTCCTCCTGGTTCTCCGCCACGGTTTGCAGGTTCCGCAGGATTGCGGCGAGGTGAGATGGTACAACCCACTTCGAGTTGGTTTTGCGCTGTTTGTGCGCGTCAGCGGTGTAAGAAAAAATTATAGGAGACAGTGACGGACGCGAACGCAAATACGTAGTAGCACTTGACATGCTGACCATGGTCGTTTGCCGCCAAAATCTTCCTCTGCAACGAACTGCGAGGCGTCAGTAAAGGCATTCAAGCAAAGAATTGCCGGAGCGCACCTGAAGCAGAGCAGCACATATATCCGGAACTTGTTTCCGTACCGAGGGGTCTTCTCCTGAAGAGACATCCTGACTGCCATCTTCACATGCAGATAATGTATTCGCCACATTAGAAATGATGAAGCTCTGGGCATCTTCTGTCAGTCGCAGAAGGACCATCTTCGGCACGAGGGAGGTGTAATAAAACCGGACGAGGTGCGAAGGATGGGCAAGCCGCTTTTCGACAGATATAAATGAGGCGAGGTCGAGAAAATATCGCGAGTGCTCGAGAGACAAATGATCACTCCCGGGAGGTAGATCTGTCTTCAACTCTGACTTTGCCCGATCCAGAACAACATCCAATAGGTCCCTCCCTCGCGAGGATAGTGGCTTGAATGAGGCCACTGAGAGCAAGATCTCCTTCACAATAATGTCAACGTCCCGTGGCGTTAACTTGTTGATAGCCTATGATGACGCGTTAGCCTCGCAAGAACACGTAGAATGCAGCGTAAACACCTTGAACATTCCATTGACGAGCATTTCCTCAGCGGGACTACCGGGAGTGCTGGTGTGGCGTTCCATGATGGCGCGTTTCGCTTCCCCAGTGACGAAGGCCAGCACTAATGAGCGCAGCCTGTCTCGGATGCCTTGCTCTTCCTCATCTAACGGCTCCTCCGGCGGCACTATTTGATCGCATATCACGCCGAGAGTTACGACAGGGTCCATGTCCAGATGCTGAGTGAGAGCTCGTTTGACAAACGTCACTTCTTCGGGCTCGTCTGGAGATCGTACGCTTAGTGATGTTGAGCAAAGTTTCGAACGAAACTCACCACTTTGTAGCAGCTGAATCAACACATCCGCATTTCTCTTCACCCACTTGTTCTGCTCCTTGGAGACATCCACAATAGCAGCGTATCCCTTTATTCGAACCTTTGGAGCACGAAATATGAGCACGGGCGCGAGTGATGGCGGAACAAACACACCTGAGTAACCTGGTCTTCGCATAAGTCGTAGACCGCATTGATGGCGTCGTCCTCAAGCTCGGGAAAATCTTTGATGAAGAGCTTCAGGTTTGTTGCAGCAATGACCTTCAGATTGGGATACGGCGAGTGCGCAAGGTCAATGAGTCTCTTGAGTGCATCTCGCCGCTGTCCGTCGACCTCTAATTAGTATTGTTCAAGTAACTCAAAAAGATAGGATCCTCACCAAAGTCGATGTCTTCAGAGGGTGTCGCTCTGCGCGCCGTAAGAGGTCCCTAATTTCCCTCTCCTGCTCTGCCTGAGCCATGGTGGATGCAGTTCAGAGACTCGTCTGCGGACTGACCGCATTGCACTGAACCCTCCGCAAATATTGCTGAGTCAGCAACATACCCAAAGAGGAAGAAGAGCTGTCGCCGAGACGAACGTTTCTCTATTTTCTGAGACCTTGGTAATGTTCAACCTTTTTTTTTCCACGCCGTACGATGAGGGGTAATGCTACAACACGTCCACAGTTACTCTTACACGTATGCGAGCTGCGCATTTCCGAATCATTTGAATGGTGACGGGCACCAGCCGGCGATAGCCGCCTAATGCCCCCACAAGACCTCCTCCCTCAATCCATGTACGGAACGATTCTGGTTGTCCTCCTTCTCGTTCTGCCTGTTGTGTACATCATTCGTGGAACACTCACAGTGTCTCTGCCGTCTCCAGCTGAAGCATCCAGTGAGAAATCTATCGAGAAAGAGCCTAAGATCATCATGCAGTCTGCAAAGACCGATCTTGCACCCCCGAAGGATGACCCCTTCACGCAGGAACAGTTGAGGGAGTTTGATGGATCAGATCCGTCCAAGCCCATCTACGTTGCTATCAAGGGTGCGTGCACATTAATTGCCTTGGGTCTCTGACCGTCTTAAGAGAACTGCCGCAGGGACGGTATTTGATGTAACGCACAAGGCCGACTCGTACGGGAAGGGCAAATCATACAATATCTTCGCAGGGAAGGATGCTTCAAAGGCGCTTGGAATGTCTAGTCTTAAGCTGGAGGATGCTGTATCGGATTACAGCACGCTGCCAGACACCGAGTTGAAAGTTTTGCAGGACTGGTTCGACTTCTTCTCGTGAGTTCATTCGCCAGAATTCCAGTTCCTCATTATCTCTGAAATGTTGGACCTTTTGCAATGCGCAGGAAACGTTACAACATCGTCGGACGTGTGATAGATCTGCCACCACAAGGATCTGGCCAGACCGCGAACCTGTAGTCCAAGTCTTCGTTACATTTCCGGCGGATATGCTGAGTATACCGAGGTTGAAGGGGGGAATCTGCTATCAGCTTTTGGCATCATCGTGGGCATCTGTCAGTGCCAACCATTCCTACATGTGCTGTTTATTAACGCCCTTTTCCAGGCGTTCTCCTGAGCATTGGCTCATTCGTAGGATGATACAGCATCTGTCAGAATCACTACTTTCTTGGAATACCCCTCCTACCATCTTTTTTCTGTCAATCATATTGCTCGAATTCTCTCGCTAGTACAACCTAGATCAGTGTAGGTGTTGAAGATACATGTATGGGGCATCGGACGTACCTTAGTGAGTGAACGAGTTGTGGGATTCCCGTCTGCTTGTCGCCGTCATGTGAACCATCCTATTCTCGTCAGGCCACGCAGTCTGCAAGTCCTCAACTCACGACGGAAGGCGCTGTAGATGCACGGGACAACCGGCCTGCTTGGCAGTCTCAGACTGCCAACACACGAGGCTCACATCCTTTGAGCGCCTATCCTGAGGTTTGAGATTCGAGCGCTAGCACTGTATGTTACTAGCCACTCAATGAAACACAAGTCACCCAGTGCTTCAGCACGCCTTCCGGTACTGTGTTACGTGCTTTTTCTCGTCTGCCGTCAGACGGGAGCTGCGTGCACGATCGGAGATACTCAGTACGAGATGTCGACTGGCGAAACAAAGAATTGTAGTTTGTTCACGTCTGTTGTCCAAAAGCCTCGTCCCTGACTTCTGCACGTCTGCACGCCGCCAAGATGATACTTAGCAAATGAATCACTTTCACTCGAGTACCGAGTATCACAGAAGGGATGTATATACTATGCAAGCATACACAACATACCATACAACAACAATCCCTCTATAAACAACAATTTGAGGCGAAGTTCCATCACGAACCCGCCAGCCTGTAATTACCATGTAGTCCCTTTGATGGCAAAGAACGCGTTGCAGGACACATCTTGGGAAATGACCTGCATCGTTCGCGGCGTGAAGCTTGCTGATAATAATCCGGATACGCAGAGAGTTGTAGATCGTCCAGCTCAGCGATATCAACCTGCAAGGATGATGTAGACAGTGCCAGCAGAGGATATGTTTGAGACTCTGTTGGTGTGCCAATAGCATTTGGATGCTCCACATTGTACCACAATCACAAATCCCTTGGCTTCATTAAAAGGTACTTGCGATAACGACGGGACGGGCATGACAGGTGAGGGATAGCGAGGTCCTGGGTCGGGGATGAGGAGATGGCTAGGAAGTCCAAAGAGCGTGAAGAGGACGAGGAGGGTGGTGTGGTGTTGGCCAATGCTTGAACCCCGGCAGATGACGCTTGCGAGAATGGAATGTCCGGCAGGATGAGCGATGTTGCGACCACGAGATCCTGAGGGAGCACGACGAAGTGGCAGAGAAGTACGAAGAGGACGAGTAGGAGGAGAAGGAGGGCAAGGAGAAGGACAGCGAAGAGGAGGATGACGAGGACAATTATGCCGATTGTGGGGGAGATCGGTACCAACTTCTCCAGGTCGGCTACGTCCTTATCACGGGCGTGGTCATAATTGTCGATGCGTTGAATACGTGCTTCGCACCGAATATTAAAGCTGTCCGTCATGTTGTTCACGAAGCACGGTGGATGAATTTGACGAAAACTTGTGGTCCCTTCGCAAACTCTGGCGAGTCATAGCATCGAGAAGACTCGAGAGCGCGACATCACTACTGAGATATCAGCACATGAGGATACAACTGCGGGGGATACATGCATGAAGAGCACGCACCGATGAAGCCTGCGAGGGAACATGGCTGCGAGCCGACGGCCCTAGTTGTCCAACAACAAAATTGGTGTTCTCCGCTCAAAACCATCGCCCGTCGACAAATTGTCGATGAATGTGAAAGTGCCGAGGAGCGCATCCGGGTCGCCGGCCATTTTTGACCCATGAATCGCTTGGTTCGCGGCTCCGTGAGTCGGTTCAGCATTCAGCGCCGCGACAACGAGCCTGTTGGTCGTCGTGTGGTCACCGTTCAGACCCCTGCTAATACTTGAGTATATGAATCAGCGAGATGATGGAACACGTACATCAAGGTCCATGAATATGGTGTCAATCGAGAGTAGTAAGTGGACAGAGTGTAAATGGAATGTGGTAAGGATGCATAAAGCCGCGGTGCAATTCTCTTCGCCATGGCTGAGCCAAATGATGCGCAGCAAGGAAGATAGGTGCGTGGAAGTGACGCTGGGGGGAAACTGAAGGCAGAACACCGCAGGGGGTGCCTCTTTTATAGGCAGACGGTGTCGCCAGAGAATAAAGGGATTTCCCGTTTTGTCTAGATCGGAGCAATGGTTTCACGCAACGTTGAAATGCGCAGCACAGCACAATAGCGAGAGATCGAGATCTTCTTCTTCCAAAAACAACCAAACAAAGCGTCATGACTGGACCTGCACTTGGCATTACTGACTTCACTCACCGCTGACCGTACAAGAGAAGGTTACAGCATTCAGGTCAATGCTCCAAGCATGGCAACCTTATGGGGTTTTATAGCAAAGAATTCTGGTTAGTTCTCGTTTGCTGCCAGTGCCTGCCAAGATAACTTCATTGGCATGGTTCGGCTAGGCCGTTGGTGAGTCGCCGGCATGAGAGTTATACAATCTGTATCCAAGACCAGGGGGTGAGACATTCTGAAAAGTAAATTGTGTCGCTCCGTACAGGTAGGACAAGCAGCTTTAGAGTGCATTGCGCTGCAATCATCACGTTAGCCTTGCGAGGAGGATTTTGTTTGGCTCTGTTGTCCAAAGGCTTGCCAGTGGTGGCGGTTGTATGAGGACCCACAAGAATAAACACGGATATCCTCACTCAGGAGCCGTGACGAAAGATGGAGCAGAGAGTCTACGATCTGCCTTCTCGGCGATCACACAAGGACCTAAAGTATTATGGCCACTACGCTCCCCCGGAACACCGGTTTACGCGCGCATTTACGTGCGCTGAGGTCGATTCACAACGCGCCACGCTCATTTGTATCGGCTTGGCCGAAGTCACTTTGTCGACCGCAGGCACGCTACAACTCTACAGAGACGGTGGTCACCTTGAGAAGACCTACGGGTGGATTCGACGAGGAGCCCATCACGTACGACACTCAAAGCGGGTATGGTTTCGCGCCCATTAAACACGGCGACCTGGTCGGGCCCGAGGGTCGGTTTGAGATCCTGCGCAAACTAGGGTGGGGTTGTTCTGGTACCACCTGGTTGGTCAAGGACGTCAAGTGAGTGTCTGCCTTTGCTCCGTTTGAAGCCTGAACGTCTCCTTCAGAGAAGACCGCAAGTATCTGGCGTTGAAGGTCTTGACTGCAGGAAATACCTCCCTCGTTTCGCGGGACGTAGACGATCCTGCAGGGATAGTGTACGACGAATGCAGGATCATGCAGCGGGTCTCCGAACCTTCATCCCACCCAGGCGCACAGTATTGTCTAAAGTTGATTAACCAGTTCTATCTGGATAGCGCTGCTGGTAGACATCTGTGTCTACTGACAGAATTAGCCGGCTTGACCTTGGGGGACGTGCAGGACATGCTGGTGACTCGCGATGGGTTTCCGAGTGAGCTCGCCAAGATTATTGTGCGAGAGCTTTGTCTGGCTCTAGACCACTTGCACAGGGAGTGTCGCGTCGTTCACGCAGGCATGTATATTTCCCCAGTACATTCCGTCGTTACTGATGTCAATGTATTGGAAGACCTGAAGATGAGCAATGTCCTGATCACATTCAACGATCTAGATACGAGAGACTTGGCAGAGCTCCTCGTGAAATTCCGCCCGCCAGAGACGTACCCAGTCCGTCGCATGGACGATGTTCACGTGCAGACCATCAAATCGCAGCCTCTCCCACAGCCGGGATTTGCAGACGTCCACCCAGCACATTATCACTTTAAAATTACCGATTATCGGTCTGGTGCGTCCATCTTTTGCCATCTGCACTACGCCTTATGTATTTGGTGCTTTTCTCCTCAATGTAGCGCAATGGCTGGACAGGGCGCGCCCAACACATGTTCTGGAGCCTGTAGACCTGCGGGCTCCTGAAATGATACTCGGACTCCCATGGGACGAGAAAGTTGACATATGGACCATTGGGTGCATGGTATGCTACAACGCTCTTTCTCTACTTCAAGTTAAGCATGCCTTGCTCTAGACTTACAAGCTATTAGCCGGGAGAGTACTCTTCCCACAAATTAGCAATGCACATCGTGACACCGCAGAGGAGAAGGCCCTTTCGGCACAGTGCATAGTGCTCGAGCAGGATCATTATCCGCTACGTATGCGTTCTGAAGGTGAACGCGGCATGGAGTTTCTGAGGGAGGACGGTGCGTAATGTTGTACTTTCTGTCTTGAGCTAAGCTGAATTTCGTATGATTTCTGTTTAGGCACTCTTTTGTGCATAGCAGAAGGTTCACGACTCCACCACAATCCCATCACAACGCGGATGAAGCAATACAAGGTGCCGATTATAATGGACGATCCTGAGACCGAGCTCGACGAGGCTGTCTCGTTCATCAAACATTGCACGGCACTGGACCCGAGGGATAGACCCTCAGCAGCTGACTTACTGCTTCATCCGTGGCTCCGGGACGTGCCGAATATTCTTGCCAAGTATGACCAACCTCTCACAGCGCCAACATCGATACTATCTCGCTTGGACGGAGCGCGTTTCACCCCAGTTCCCCAGGAGACATGAAACTCGCCATGTTCCTGCGCACTCAGCCTAATTTTGTCGCATTTCTTTTTTCTGCCCCACTGCCGAAGGTCGTACGTCTTGTGTATCATTGTGACCCCCTCTCATCGGATCTGTAGCTATATCTAGTGGAATGAATACGAACCCCATCTCATATGCTATGCACGATTATGGTGCTACCTTGACATTTTCAGGACGCGCAGCTTATGTCTCTGCGAAAGCTCGCATCTCTATGAAACTTCATAATGCGACTATATGTCTGCCATCTAGATTATGAGTCTACGATTTGGACAGAGTGAATTAGCCCCACGTTCATGGAATACTGCCTCTCTTATTTTGACATCGCCTCTACAAACAGTCTGCGGTCTTCTTTCTCTACATAACTGCGGCATAGATCTAGGGCGGAGCCTCTGTGCATCTCCACTTTTTTTCTCGGTTTTGCTCAACTGAACACGGCGCTTGGTGCTCATTGAACGACCTGTGGAATTTGTAAGGTTGGCTTTTAGTGTCTCATAATTAAACGTCTAGTATATATCGGTTTGTAGTCTACATACACAACTATTTGCGGGACACATTTTTGAGGGTTCCGAGTATTCTATAACTAAATCGGGCAAGTCGCTTTCCCATTTTGTAAACCACTTACACTGCATACGTCATACTCCCCTATCTCGTCGTCATCTACTCTAGAGACGAACGAATCAGAGACCGACGATGCGTGCGGCAGAGATGTAATTGCATGGGGATCGGGCAGAGGTGCTGTATATAAGATGTTTGGTGCACTTTCAACGACCTTCCTATCTTTCCCCCCGATTTCGCTGTTCACCCGCAATAGCTATAGTAAGTACTAGCTCAAGCAGTATACTTTATGGAAGTCGCTGCTGGTGAGTGAGTATAGTACACCTTGATTAATCATGTTTATAGTGATGACAAGTTAACGTCTCTTTTCATCTGGGGGTGTTGTCGGTGACGTTCTGTCTTCGACTCTTTGGTGAGCGCACTGACGGATGAATTGTTGCACCGCAGATACAGCGCCTTGGACCACGTTCTCTTCTGGCGCATATATATGCATGTTAGCTGGTAGGCCTATGGAAAATTTATGCGCATGAGCATACTTAGCGCCTGTTCGTCATGGTTCTCGCGACCGAAGTTACTCTAGTCTGGTAGCGCCGCACAAACTACGCCTGGTTCTTTTCACCCAAAGTTTGCTCCAGGACTGACATCAGCCTGCACGCATCTCGCCTCGAGGACAATACGCATATGGTCAAACTTATCCGAGGGGAACAATTGCTCGTACACGCTCTCCGATTGGTGTACCCAGAACAGCCTCACTTTGAGGATTTTATGCCTCTCCAGTGCCCGAGCATTGCTCTGCTTTCATTGAACTTTCGTAATGGTGACTCGCAACTTCGGCGGTGATCACTAAATTGGGCAAGCGCGGCCCCGGGCTGACCATGGCGGTGCCACCGCGAGATGGCCGGAGGCGCCGGGGACAGGATATTACGCGGACCACGTTCCCATCCACGTTTTGACCAGGTCACCCCATAGCGCTGGGAACGCAGCCGCTGACGCGTCTTTCACCTGGACGTTCAAGTCCCTCAAGTCAGTGCGAGTCACAGCCGTGCGCGCAGCCAGTCTGATCTAGATTACCCACCGCCACAGACAAAACCGTACCTTTGTCCGAATTCCCAAGCGGTTTTATACTCACCCCCAATCTCACTCGAACCACCATTTTCTCCTTCCAAGCAGTTGCAACGTTGGATCTACCGCCTCTGCGTGTACCACCTCATCAACATAATGGACGCACTCAAATCACTTGTGCAGCCCCTCGTCGGCGCCGGCGGAGGCTCATCAGTGATTGACGGTGTGAAGCTCGTCGTCTTGGGTGGCACCGTAGAGACCGCCAGAAGGATGGCAAGCTCTGGATGGTATGTATTTAGCTCTATTTGTTTCGTCGTCTCACTTAACCTGGTCTATGTGTCTCTCGCTTCTCAGGTCGCATTTCATCAACTGTGAGTGGCCTCGCCACTGACCCTCCACCCTGCCTCTGACTTCGCAATGCACAGCCTTCTTCTTGACCGCACACTTCTCTGAGGAGGATTACCCTTATGATTGGCTCATGTTATGGCTTTCTCGTCGACCCGAGTGGCAACGCTCTCGTGAGTTTGAAACCACCACCCGCACGTCGACCCACGGGGTCGGTGCGCACATCGCCGACAATTCGTTTGGGGATGACGATGAGGACGACGAAGACACACCTGGCAAGGTCAAGACCCGGGTCGTCTTCCAGCCCACGTCAGATACGACGCACACGATCTATTACAAAGGGCACTGGCTGCGTGTCAAGCGTGGGAGAAAGACCGATGGCAGCGGCTGTGAGATGCTGTCCGTCAGCGTCGTCGCGCGCAACAACTCCATTCTGAAGCAGCTTGTCCTCCAAGCGAAGAAGGAGTACGAAGCGGAGTCCGTACACCGCATCCAAATCTACTTCGCCGACTCCCATGGATGCTGGCGATGGACGGACTCGCGGCATAAGCGGCCGATCTCATCCATCGTCCTGAACCCCGGAGTCAAGGAGATGCTCCTGGCCGATACTAAGGACTTCCTCAAGTCTGAAAAGGTAGCGTATATTCTTCTTTCTGCTTGTTTAAGGCGCTGACAATGTATTAGTGGTACGCCGACCGTGGAATTCCCTTCCGGCGTGGGTATCTCCTGCATGGGGTACCCGGGTCAGGGAAGAGTTCACTGATCCACGCAATCGCCGGTGAGCTGATGCTAGACATATACGTGGTGTCGTTGTCGTCATCATGGATCAACGACAACACACTGACCACGCTGATGGGCCGAGTTCCCGCACGGTGCATCGTGCTGCTGGAAGACCTAGACGCAGCCTTCACTAGGAGCACCACGCGTGATAGCGCGTCCACGGGCAGTCCAGAAAATGTCGCAACAGCCGCAGAAGAATCCACAGATTCGTCAAGCCGCCACGGCGCGAGGCGCCATAAGAGTGAACAGCTGTCAGATGTGAACACCCTCAGTCTTAGTGGACTACTGAATGCCTTGGATGGTGTAGCAGCCTCGGAGGGACGGATCTTGTTCGCGTGAGTGGGCTTCCATATCCCGCTGGCGTACTCGTCTGATGAATTGTGCCTAGGACCACCAATCACCTCGAGCGTCTCGACACGGCGCTCTCCCGTCCTGGCCGTATGGATGTATGGGTCGAGTTCAAGAATGCTTCCAAATGGCAAGCGGAGTTACTCTTCCGGAATTTCTTCCCCTCAACAGACGACGATGGCGTTGTGCTGGAGGGTGAGCTTGAGGGCATCGAGCTCCCCACATCGCCTACGCCCTCGGAAGCAACTTCGTCGAACTCATCGACGTTGTTCTCTGTGCTGTCAGCCACGACATCATCCTCGTCCGTCCCTTTAACGCCGACTTCTGGCAATTCTCCGGCTTTGTGCAGGTCTAGAGAAGTAAGCGTCGATGAGGGTTTGATGAACCAAGCATACCTTCCGCCCCCGGTCGAGGAAGAAATTGCTGCGGCGGCGCATTCGGCGCGTCCACTTGACGGAGTTACACTGGCGGCGCTCGCGAAGAAGTTTGCGGATGCTATTCCGGATGAGGAATTCAGTGTGGCTGCGCTACAAGGATGTGAGTGGTCTTTTTGTTGTTCGCTGATCTCGTCTTGGTTCTTCCGCGCTACTGTAGGCGTTTTGCTGCCCAAATAAGGGGTGGTGCGTGTGACGGTGGATTGAAGAAGTGTGCTGACGGGCTTGCTTTGTTCGTGCTCCCTCGTCGGGCGCATTACAGACCTGCTGAAGAACAAATCTCGACCAGAGGCTGCAGCAGGCGAGGCGGCTGCTTGGGTGGTGAGCGAGAGGGAGATGAGGGAGCGGTTGAGGAAGGAACGCGAAGCCCGCGAGCTCAAGGAGAAAATCGAGGTGTGTTGACGAAATCGATTATCTGATGTTGTTGCCTTATCTGGTCATATGTGCTGATCGCTGCTGCGTCCCTGTCATGATCTGATCTCTGATCTCCATGACATCTAGCGCGAGAAACGGCGCAAGGAGCTGCTCCTCAAGGAGAAGGAAAGGGCGGAACAAAAAAAGAAGGAAGAGGAGGAGGCTCAGCGACAGCTCGAGGAGAAGACGAAGGCCGAAGAGACAGCCCGTCTCGACGCGGAGATTGCTGTCGCGATCGCAGAGGAGGCGGAAGCAGAGGCTAATGAGGACCAATCGAATTCTAACGGAACGGCCGACGCTGCGACCGACGAGGAGCAGCCCGACGAGGAGTGCTTAACGGGCACTGCCACTCCCTCCGCCGAGACTCCGACCGGCGCACAGTGGGTTCAAGTCGCTTCCAACTGACTAGAGGCGCGCAACGCTACCGTCTGCGCGACGAACATCGACGTCGGTCTCTCCCCCTTGGACACTGTACAAAGTGAATTGGCTGATCATGACTGTGAACACCGCCCTGGGGCGCCCGTGCGCCTGACCGCAGACTGGGTCTCATTCGCACTGGCGCGGAGGCATGCTGGTGGCTTTGCGCTTCTATATCCATTCCTGCTTCATCTGTATGTTTTGCTGCAACTCGCTCTGTTTGGTGGAGGAAGGGCCAGCGGATGTTGACAACTGTCAATGTCGCTGCGCCTGGGCGCCGCTGAATTTTCTTGACTTTACGTAGATTGTTACTGCAACAGCGCTTCTGAGGTTATTCACATACTGCTTCGTATAGTTGTTCGAGTCGCATAGTTCTCCGTAGCATTTGCACAGCACGTCTGTCTAGTGAACGAGAAAGAAAATCGTTATTAGAACATCGCCTGCTGTGTGATCTCCCGTGGTATGAGGAGAGCGGGAGTAAAAGATGAGCCAGCCCTTCGGGAACGGTCCTCAGGGGTGCAATACAGTTAATATTATTTTTGTGTGTTTGTTCCACCGAGAAAGGCCAATTCCGGTCGCAATCACTCCAAGCGAAGTTCACACAACTCCTTTCTTCGTCTCTCGCAGACGCCTTTGTCTCCGCCCTGCCAACGCCCTTCCCGCTCGTTTTCTTCTCTTCCTTATACCACTATTATTGTCCTCTGATTCATTGCTCACACAATGGGTTGCGTACAGTCTTCTGGCGTCGACGACGAGGCCAAGGCCCGTGAGTGTTGACCGTGCTGCAGCCCGTACAGGACTCTCACAGCCGTTCCGTCTACCTCCTTCTATCTACAGGCAATGACGAGATCGAAAGTCAGCTCAAGCGGGATCGTATGATGGCCAAGAACGAGATTAAAATGCTGTTACTGGGTGCTGGAGAGTCGGGCAAGGTGAGCTCGCGTATCCGCCGTTTCCGCCCGATATCACTGACGCCAGTCTGCCGCCCTTCAGTCGACGGTCTTGAAGCAGATGAAGCTCATTCATCATGGAGGTTATAGCGAGTCAGAGCGCGACTCGTACAAGGAGATTATCTTCTCGAACACCATTCAATCAATGCGGTAGGTGGTCCATCTCAAGTGACGTCTTACCCCCTCTGACATACTTCCGTGCAACTCCAGCGCGATCGTCGACGCTTTGCCATCCCTGGACATCCAGCTGTCGCCTCCAAACGATGCGCGACGTTCAGTGATTCTCTCCTTGCCAGTGCAAATCGAGGGCGACATTCTCCCACCCGACGTCTCTGACGCTGTTCGTGGTCTGTGGAACGATCCCGGTGTCCAGGAGGCCGTGCGCCGTTCACGGGAGTTCCAGCTGAACGACTCGGCAGTGTACTACTTCAACGCGATTGACCGCATGGCCGCGCCAGGATACTTGCCTACCGACCAGGACATCCTCCGGTCGCGTGTCAAGACGACTTGTATCACTGAGACAACATTCAAGGTCGGCGAGCTTACGTACAAGCTGTTCGACGTCGGTGGTCAGCGCTCCGAGCGGAAGAAGTGGATTCATTGTTTCGAGAATGTGACGGCGTTAGTTTTCCTGGTCAGTTTGAGCGAGTATGACCAGATGCTGTACGAGGATGAGAGTGTCGTAAGTTCCATCATATCGAGCCGATAGTATCGTCGCTAAATGGTATTGCAGAACCGTATGCAAGAGGCGCTCACCCTCTTCGACTCAATATGCAATTCAAGGTGGTTTATCAAGACATCGATTGTACGTCACCGTGTTTTTTTCCCCGGTTTTTTTTTCCTCCTGGTCCTCCTGCTTATCTCACATCCGTTCAGATTCTTTTCCTCAACAAGATCGACTTGTTCGCTGAAAAGCTTCCTCGCTCACCATTGGGTGACTACTTCCCCGATTACCAGGGCGGTGACAACTACGACGCTGCCTGCGACTATCTCCTGCATCGGTTTGTGTCGTTGAATCAGAGCGCCGCGACGAAACAGATCTACGCGCATTACACATGTGCTACTGACACGCAACAGATCAAATGTGCGTTTCCGGCGGAGATCCTGTTCTCTTCTAAGCGCGTGTGCTGACGTTGGCACTTGACAGTCGTATTGAACGCCATTCAGGATATTCTCCTGCAGATCCACCTGCGGGACTGTGGGCTGCTATAGTCGCTAGAGGCTTTATCAGTCGGGGAATGTTATTATCCGCATGCATATCTACTCTCTGCTACTGTCATCTGTCTCCTCACTGTCTCGCACTGGCGTGAGGCGCTGTTGCCGGCCCGCTCTGCATTACTTGCTCATACAAGGAACTTTTTTTTTCACTGGTCGCTCGTTCTTACGTTCTTACGTCCATGGCGATATTGACTCTTCAATCCACGCCTTTTACGATTGCCCCGGGCCCGTCCAGAGCATGCGTGTGCATGGCCGTTTCGCCGTTCTCCCTTTGGTTCGTTGATTCTGCAGCCGGTCTCGGTTCTCTCGGTTCTTCCTCAATTACCGTATACCTCTTCGAATATATACTTAGTCGCGCTTTTCATCAGCTGTAGGATTGTATGGCATTGCCTTGGAATCGTACATTGCTACCCGAACACTTATTGCTATCAGCTCATCTGACGTGATACGCTGTTGCGGGCGAAAATGATCCTGGTGATCCTGGTGATCCACTGGCGTGCTGGCAGAGAGGATTGGTGAGCAGTCAAGTAGTGGAACTGTAAGTGCGTATGCGTCAGACTGCCGGCGTGGGGTGACACTGTGACGGCGTCAGATGGACGCAGAAGCGGCGTATCAGCTTCGGTGTGATGTGGTCCTGATGCTGAGCGTCACCGAATCGCTGGCTGCTGGCAGTCTGGATCGCACAGCTACTGTGCAGACTCGTGGTGCCACCGGGGCGTCTCGCGGGAAAGGGTGGTACGGCGATAGGGACTCACACATCGATGGAAATAGCTCTATGTGGGTATCTGACGAGACTTTGGACCACACACTGCCCACTGCTTCCTGACTCTGGTGCAACGACTGGTGTGGTAGTTGTCAGGAGTGGAGGGAAGCGACAGCGGTGTGAGCGTTGCTTACGAGTATATCCGGAGAAGGTGTTGCCTTTGCAGACAATGTATTGCTGTCGGACAGTCGTGGACTTTTCTAGTGATGGTGGTTCAAGGACTTACGACAAGAAACCGTTAGAGTCCTTCCCTGCAGCTGCACGTCAAGATAGCCTTGGCGGAGGTCATAGAGCGAGTAGCGCACTGAGAAGGCCCTTTCGCACTAGAGCTCGGCATAAGTATCATCCGCAGTGAAACTCAGTGGCGCCATGCAAGTTGCAACTCTTGAGTCTGTCAATCGTAGGGGTACTACTGAAGACTTTGCAACATTCGCAATGAATTTCCTGGAGCATAGTGTCAGTCCCTACATATGATCCGGGTGTCGGATCTTTCTCAGTGCTCCCAGGAGCCGTTGCGATAGATGTGTGGCGGCGTAGGCATGATGCATTCCGCGTCCAGGTGCCAATCACGCTTCAGGACCCAGGTGATCCCCGACCGCGTGTCCTCGTTCGATGCATATGTGTAGAACGAGTATAATTGCAAAAGTCGTCCAACCTCGAGCCGGGTCAGAGATGGAGCGGCTGATGAGGCCAGGGCGCATGACACATGGACGACTTTATTCAGGAACCTGTTCGAAGTCGTTCCAGGGCATTTGCGAAGCAGGTCAGAATTCGGGCTCGGCGAAGGAAGGTAGCATCCACTTACTATACACGTTTCGAGAACTTGCGCTGATCCTAAGAATTGAGCATTATGAGCGATTTGGAACGTCCGGTGGGGCTTGTTTGCATTACATACAAGGTGTACTGATTGGCGGCTGGAAGCTAGAACTTCAAGATGGACCTTGGACCATCATCAAACAAAAATACTTCAGATCGACTGTAACCACCTCAACCTCGACTGCTGACCTCGTTGTTTACGAGTACATGGTTTCTTGAGGTGTCGAAACAAGACATACCGCATGTAACAGAATCGCGTCTCGTAGCCGCATGTTTCCGAGTGGCGGAGACTTTTGAGCGTCATCCACTGTTGCACGGACTTATTCTGAAAGTTGGCTTTGAGTTGGCTGCAAGATTGAGGAAATCACCCTTGATGAATACGATAGGTAGACTTCGTATGTTTTTCGTCGACTTTCCCGGTGAAAATCTCTGCGCAACATATACAGGCCAGGCAAAGTGCTTTTCTGGGTTAATGACTGCTGCTTAGTCAGCATAAGCTAGAGAACATTGGGCGCTTGGGGGCATCTGTCGTTGCCGGCAGCGAGCTTGCTCCTTTGTTCTCTGTCTTCGCCTGGCGTCCGTGGCTATCCGGGAAATCGCTTTGAACGCCGTAAATTGCGGTCGGGATTCTCCAGAAGCTTCATCTATGTTTGAGAGGACTGTTGTCGTTCAGCTTCCACCTAAAGAGTCCCTCAAATAGTACGTGTGCAAGCGTCTACTGAAAGCCATCTCTGGTACGTGCGTTTTGCCGTTCCACTCTCAAGCAAACTGAGATAGACTCTTTTATGGTTTCATTGATCAGCGTCTAGTAATCCCGACCGCGGTTGAATATTGGATGTGCGTGAGCATCTGCCATTGCTCTATTGTCGTTCTCAAGTGAAGACCCACAACCAGATATCCTGACAACAGCACCGCTGGAAGCTTGATCTGGTACGCCAGCTTACCATCTCGTTGGAAGTTACGCTGAATAAGGTGAGCTCCATTCAGCGGTCTCCTAGCCGCTGAGATAACTTTGACGCTGCTGGTTACAGCTAGTCGCTGCTCTACCGTGGCCACACAATGACTGCAATGGCTTCACCTTGGGCTTCGACGTCATCTCTCCCGCACGCTCGATCTCGCCCACTTCCATCAGCGCCGAGCTCTTCCTCCATCACCTTGGCCCTTTCAGATGAGGTTGGGCAAGATGCTCCGCAGGACTTGCTGCCGCCACAAGACCTCCAGCCACACGTTCCCCCGACAGATGCTGACAATTTCATCATTGCACCTTGGCTTGCCCCCGACTCTGGTGTTGAATCTGAACCGGTGCGCTCCTTGCGTATATCCTTCTCCTTGTAGCTCACTCACTCGCAGCCCACACCGCCCCCCAAACCTCAACGGTTTGGGTTCTCAACCAAGCCTTCTTTCAGTTCTTTCTCCATTCCCCGCCAGCCTAGTACGTCCAGTATCACCCTCATACCGAATCGTCATACCGACACGCTAAGCACACACTCCACGGAGACCGTTCAATCCACGGATTCTCGCAGGTCCAAATCGTCGCTGAGTATTCTCACAAGCATAATGAAGAAGCGCTCCCGTAGCAGGCTTCGCTCCGATGTTCGCCTTCCTGCCGAACCTGTTCCACCGCTTCCGCCCTCCCCTCCGCCGTCATATAGAAAGGGTGGGCATCGCCCGAAGAAGAAGTCATCAAATATGATACTTCCAATTACTCCGATCTCCGAGCCTCATTTCGAACTTGACACAAACCTTGAACACATGGACGGCATCATCGATTTCTCAGTCCTTCCATCGGCGCAGGACAGTGGCTCGCCGGAGACGGCGAGCGGATTTGAGTCATCTCATCAGTCGAGTTCGTCTGTCTCCTCAGTCTACAACTCGCGGGCATCTCCTTCGTACATGTTCAGCAATCCTTTTCTACCATCGACCCACCGAAAACTTGCGCCGAGCACGCTCGCTTTCGATAGCCGCAAGATATCTCCCAAGACATCAGCGTCTACTTACGAAGTCGATGACACCTCGTCGCCCTCATGGACAGCGCCTGAAAGCTGGGCCGTGGAGAAAGACGGCGAGGATCCACTTGTGCCAGAATACTCTAGCTCTGAGGACAGCGTACCCTGCTCTAGCCCACATTCAAAGCGGAAACGACGGAAGACTGTTAGTAGCAGACCAGACGGAGTCTCCACTGCCACGTCCGCACCGAAAAAGTATATCATCCGGATATACCGTGCTAATGGGTCTTATCATGTTGTATCAATCGACTTCGACGTGACGGCTGCTGAGCTCACACCTCAGCTGAAGAAGAAACTGCTCATGGATGCGGATCGGGAATCACACAGGCTGTATCTGAAGGAACGAGGTAGAGGTAAGTGCACTGAGCTCAAATAGGCTAGTCACGCTCATTTTTCATCTAGAGCGTGTCTTGGCACCGACCGAGCGACCAGCTGGTATCGTACGGCGAAGGTTAGAGCAAGCAGGCTATGATCCCGCAGATGGTCTCGACTTACTGGGTGCGGAAGACACCAAGTATTTGATGAAGTTCGTCTACAAGAGCAATGCTCTTGGTCCAGCGGTAAGTGCAGCCTGCGAGTTCATCGCCTTATACTTAACTTTCCTTACAGGATGAAGAGCTCAACTTCGATAATTTCGACTTGGTCGATCTGACTGGCCGGAGCCTCAGGACGGTTCCAGTCCTGTTGTACCCGCACGCGGAAGCCATAGTATTGCTCAATCTGTCCCGTAACCCTATGCTTGAGATCCCACTCGACTTCATCCAGTCATGTACGACTCTGCGAGAGCTGCGGCTGCAACATATGGCGATGAAGAAGGTCCCGCAAAGCGTCCGGCATTGTCGCACGCTTCATCGGCTTGACCTCTCATGCAATCGCATTGTCGATCTCGACGATGCCGGTCTCGACGCAATTCCGGAACTTCGTTCTTTGAAGGTGCAGAACAACAGATTGGATAAGCTTCCGTCCTACTTTCCTGCGCTGAAAGCGCTGAAGGACCTCAATATCTCGAACAACCATTTCCGTCACCTCCCTTCGGTCGTCAGTGAACTCACTGGCCTCGTTGATCTAGACATCTCCTTCAACATGATTAGCGAGCTACCGGAGGGAATTGGTAGACTGCAGGACTTAGAGCGGTTTATCATCGTCGGAAATCAGGTGTCTAAGTTCCCCATAGACGTCTTCAATCTCGTCAGCCTGCGGATGCTAGATTGTCGGAGGAACCATATCGCAGAGCTTTCAGTCGTATCCATGCTTCCCAAAGTCGAGCAGATCTTCGCAGATCACAACGCCGTGCATGCTCTTGATCTCTCATTTGGACGTTCGCTTGAGCAGCTTGATGCTTCCCACAATGACATCACCCAGCTCAACCTTATACTGGGGCCCATGGGACAACCATTTGCCCTGACCTCACTCGACATCTCCCATGCAAAGCTGTCGGCTCTGGATGAAGTAGCTCTGGCCCAACTCACCTCCCTCAGGACGTTGCGAGTTGACCACAATTCTCTTCGATCTATCCCAGATACGCTCGGTGTACTCACTATGCTCACCCATCTGTCCTGCTCGAACAACCAGCTTCTTGCGCTCCCGTCAACCATCGGGCGATTGCAGAAGCTCGAGACGTTGGAAGCGCACAACAATTCCCTCGCTGAGTTGCCGGCAACTATGTGGAGCTGTGCTTCACTTCAACTCATCAACGTTACCTCCAATTTCATTGGCTCGTGGAGCCTCCCACACGTCCATGCATATCATGCCACTAACGTTTCGTTATCTCCTGATCTTGCCACATCGAGTCTTCCTGGAAGTGACTATAATGAGAGGAAAGCATCAACGTCTGGCTCGCGGCCATTGCCACCGCTCGTGCTCTCTCTGGAGAAGTTGTATCTTGGCGAGAATCGGCTCACGGACGACACGCTTCATCCCCTTGCGCTGTTAAAAGAGCTTCGCGTATTGAATCTATCGTTCAATGAGATCCAGGATATGCCATCGACGTTCTTCAGAAATCTGACAGACCTGAAGGAGTTGTATCTCAGTGGAAATAGCCTGTCGGCCATTCCTACGGAGGATCTCCATCGCATGTCGAAGCTCGAGGTGCTCTTCTTGAATGGCAACAAATTGCAGACACTGCCGAAGGAGCTGGGGAAGATTCCGAGCCTCATGGCTCTGGATGTGGGCAGCAATATATTGAAGTATAACGTCTTTAACTGGCAGTTCGATTGGAACTGGTAGGTGTCTAATCTATTTCGTAGACCTATTATGAAGTCGATTTGCCATAACAGGAACTTCAACCAAAATCTGCGGTATCTCAATTTGTCTGGCAACAAAAGATTAGAGATACGGCCGGATATGAACAAGCAGCCCATGCAGGACACGCAAGGACGTAAAATTCTGGCCGATTTCTCTAGCCTGACGCAGTTGCGGATACTCGGGCTAATGGACGTTACTGCGACCTTTGGAACAAGTATCCCAGACGAGAACGAGGACCGTCGGGTACGCACCTCTGTGTCGGAAGTCAATGGGATGGGATATGGAATCGCGGATACCCTCGGCAGGACAGACCACCTCAATATGCTCGATCTGGTGAAACCCCAATTTCGTGAGCGGGAGCACGAAGCAGTCTTCGCCATGTTTGGTCGAGCTACACACGTAGCGAATAATCCTGCGCTCAATAAGCAACTTCACGACGAACTACTAAAGGTGTTCTCAGAAGAGTTGGAACGTATTGCTCAACAGAGGAGCGAAACCATTCCCGATGCGTTGCGGCGCACATTCCTGAAGCTGAACAAAAAGGCGCACGATGAGTTGTATAAAAGGGCATACGAGGAGCTTTACACCAACTTTCCGACCCGCAAGATGTCCAACGTCAGCGCTACTTCCACACTCAATCCAATCATGCATGAAATGCTCAGTGTACGGGGTGGGGCATCGGGTGTTATGCTGTACTTCGTCGACCAGACCCTCTACGTCGCCAACGCTGGTGACGCCCTGGCGGTCATTTCCCGCCAAGGCGTTGCAGAGTTGCTGTCACTCAAGCACGATCCGTTCAACCGTGCAGAAATTGCTCGCATACGACAAGCGGAGGGCTGGGTCTCACCCAAAGGATGTGTCAATGATGAGGTGGAGGTCGCGCGCTCCTTCGGCTTCTACAACATGTTGCCAGTCGTCAATGCACGGCCTCACATACGCACCTGGCAGTTGAACGACACCGATGAATTTGTGATCGTGGGTAATTCTGGGCTGTGGGATGTTGTCTCATACCAAACCGCAGTTGACATCGCTCGTTCGGAGAGGGCAGATCCCATGATCGCCGCACAGAAGCTGCGAGACTTTGCCATCAGCTACGGTGCTGAAGGGACGACCATGATTATGGTTATTTCGGTTGCCGACCTGTTCACCAAGGGTCTGCGCTCGCGCCAGCCGACGATGGAGTCAGTGATTGACGCAGAGACATTCATGTCACTCAAACGCCGCAAGAGAGACGAGATCAAGAACAAAGCCATTTCCCGCTTGGACAACGAGGTGGAGCCACCCACGGGACACGTCGCTTTGGTTTTCACTGACATTCGAAATTCTACGCATCTATGGGATGTCAATGCTGGAATGGCGACCGCAATGGTGCTACACAACAACCTCCTCCGGCGTCAGCTGAGGTTCTGCGGTGGGTACGAAGTGAAGACGGAAGGTGACGCTTTTATGTGCTCGTTCCCCACGGCTCTCAATGCGCTGTGGTGGGCCTTGAGTGTGCAGGTACAACTATTGCATGCCGACTGGCCGTTAGAGATTCTCGAATGCGAGGATGGGAAAGAAGTATACGATTCCACCGGGAGGCTGATCGCTCGTGGGCTGTCCGTTCGGATGGGCATTCACTGCGGTCAGCCAGTATGTGAGCCAGACCCCATAACCCACCGTATGGATTATTTTGGTCCTATGGTCAATCGCTCAGCTCGCATCAGCGGTAGCGCAGCGGGTGGTCAGATTATGTGCAGCGCAGATGTCGTGCGGGAGATCAATGCACGGATATTCGAGACAGGCATGGAGACCGACCAGTCTCATCTCCAGTCCCCATATGCAATTGACGCCATTCGGCGTCTAGGTTCTGTCGTCGTTCCTGTGGGTGAAGTGAAACTGAAGGGTTTGGAACTACCGGAGATGCTATCATTGGTATATCCCGACCAACTCGCAGGGCGACAGGGCCTTCGCAACACCCAGTCAGCTTCGAATTCGTCCGGTTCTCGAGTCCAATTCAGTGTTGACCAGATGCGTGAACTAGCGCTGCTCTGTATACGCCTCGAGACACTGTCGTCCGGACGAGTCTTTAGGCTACCTCCCGAGCGCAAGGATAGCTCTGCCGGACCGCAAGGGCGACCCATCAGCCATTCGGACCCTCCGACAGTCCTTTATGGCGATCCAAAGGTATTGCTCCCGGCGATGGATAACGCCTCAGACATGGAGTTGATGTTACTGCTGGATTCGCTGACGACGAGGATCGAGAATGCGCTCAACATGATTGCGCTGAACCGTATGGTGAAGATTCAAGGATTGTCTGAGTCAGCGCAGCCAGGAACGTTGCAGTCACTCCTGTCGATGTTACCCTCTTCGGTTCTCCCTAATTCTATCCCCCCTGCCCTGTGATACCAACATATCGTTTTGTGTTCTGACATTGTCCTTCGCTAGTCTGCCACTTTTGCACTATTCCCCACATCACTGCATTGGCTTATTGTGGTATATCATTATTTCCTGCATATGTACATAGGCTTTGCGGATTCTATTGTGACCATGCAACATGAACGCCTGCGGTTCGACCATAGCCCGATCACAGCCCAATGACGGCAACGTGGGCCGCTTCACATAACTCATGGTGAGAACAATGGTGCCACGACTAATATCCAATAGATCCTGTAGTGTATAGAACATGTGATGCAGACGATCAAAACCGTAGTTCAACACCAATAGATAGAATGAGATAGAGAATGCTCAATGGTCTTCCGGCGACCCATGACTAGATGGTACCCACACGACATCGCTGTACTTGTCGTTGTCACCCTCCCCGTTCGGCGCATCACTATCCTCTCCCTCGCTACTGAGCGCCGCCCAGTCACCCTCGACCCGCTCCGCCAACGCTGCAATCTTGGCACCGCGCTTGCGCAGGAACGAGATCACCTCAAGCGCAGGCCGCCAGCCGGTGGGCTCGACGGGGACCTCGAGGCCCTCTGGCGTCTCGGTGCCTGCAGCACGGCTCTCGTCGACCTCCCCGCCGAACGCGCGTGCGAGGTGCGCGGAGGCACAGACGCGCTTGCCGGCGGCCTGCGGCCCCACGAGCTGGGCGAAGAGCGAGGCCAGCGCTTTAGCGGCTTCTCCCCGTGCGCGGAGGACGTGCCTGACGAGGCGGCGTGTGGGTGGACGGCGAGCCTTCTTGGATGCAGGCTTGGAGGTCGATGGGCTGCTCGGTTGCTCGGGGGGAAGGGTCGCAGGACTGGACTTGGTCCTGATCTTCGAGCGGTCAATCCAGGGGTTCTCAGGCGGAATCCGGGGGGTTGCGTATTGGGCCAGTACGGAGAGGGAGACATCCCACTTCTTGGGTGCCCAGACTCCGACGAGGACGCGCCATGCGGCGACGAGGCGTTTTGCGCTGATGGGCTGTCAGTCTTCCGCAGCGAGACGGGGGCAAATGAATACTCACCGTTGGTAAGTATCTGTCATGTGAGAGAGAGATCGTGCTCGCGTTATCGTCACTTACACGCCATGATGAGAGACTTACCGTTGATTAATCTATTGTGATACATAGCAAATAGATATACCACCGTAACAGCAATGACTGCGCCAATCGGCGTGAACCGCAAGATTGCCCAGAGGAAGAAGAAAGCAGCGGGGTACATCATCAGTAGGAACAGTAAGCCGAAGACGACTTTATTCTGCGCCTGCGTCTCTTCCTCATCCTCTGCAAGGCGCGCACCGAAACGGGCGATGGCGTACGCGGGCGCGTGCACAATGAGTGGGACGAGGAAAAGCGGAAGACGTACAAGCAATGCGACCGAGTCGCGGATGAGGAGCGTCAGAGTGAACAATCGGCTCGGGAGCGGAGTAGGGTTGTTTGGGTCCAGCGATTTGGGGAGAGGCAATGACGTGAGCACAGAATTAGTGAGATGTGTTGTCTGGAGCAGGGAGTAGTACGCGAGCAGATATCGCTTGATTGCATTAATGTTCGGGACAAGATCGGGTGTGGCAAACAGGTCTACCAGCCTAGGACACGTTAAGTACCAGCCAAAAAAACATAGCGGGTGCATACGTCTGTGATATTGTCACGAACTCGTCCAGGTTGATTGACTTCTCATCGTCCCATAGGAGATCTCTCGCCATGCGCGCGACATACAGTGTGTCCCTGTAGGATGTTAACTATGCATCCACGAGAGGAACGAACGACCGACCAGTCAGATGCGTTAACCGTCGCTTCGACCAACTGGTTCTCAATGGCGGCACTTAGTCGCTTAACAGCTGCCCGAGGAGCACCCTTCTCAGCGGACACAAACTGCTCTAGGTACGGTTCCATCGTGATAGGAGGACCAAATCTGTGCCGATTCCAGTTAAACAGCAACAGATTGTATGTCAACAGATACGTACTCCATAATAACCTATTGAGACAGACATACGTGAGTCACACGATACACTGAGTAAGTAAGACGCCCACCTGGCTACGATACTTGGTCTTGTTCGTGTACACAATCGCAGCAGTGTTGATCACAACGCGCTCCGCACCCGGTTGTACCTTATCAGGGTGCTCTTGGGCCCACTTAGTGTACTCTAATGCTGCCCATGCAGCGCCGTCTTTAACCTGCATGATCCTGGGTTCGGTGTAAGATGTTCCTTCTGGGAACAAGGCCACAGCAGAGCCACACGCAAGCGCGTCGAAAGTACCGTGGAAGAGCTTGCGGCGGTCATGCGCCTTACGGTCGACTGGAATGTTGCCGGCAGATGTCAGGGCATACTTTACTGCAGGGTTCTTGAACAAAGTCGCTGGTGCCACCAATCTGTTAGTCAAAGGCCCAGAAATACACTATATAATGCTCACATTTCGCCCAATAATGAAGGATACGCTTAAACGGAAACACTGATGCTGTGGCCCAAGTGCGATGAGTGTCGGGTGCGTCGGGGTTAAAGCGTATGTGCTCACACAACACAGCAGGGTCCAACATCATATTATGATGGGTAGCCGTCCTGATCAAATCCAAATACGTGAGCGTTGCAATCTGTGCGAGCAATGCAAGATGCACGTACACAATGATGGGTCCGTCCAGAGGAACATGTTCGCCACCAATGACATGGATCTCGGAGAAGAAAGAGACGACAGCCCAGCTGGCGATCTGCCTGAAAAATCGGTGTAGAACATATGCGTCCTGCATTTCGCTGGATAGAGATGATGGTAAGGGACAGGGGGAGCGTCCCTCACTGCAGCCTGAAGTGGCGGCCTTGGACGTTTGCGACCGCTTAATAGCCGCCCGAGAGGTCCTTGGTGTGCACGTGCCAGGCACGTGCTCCCTTTGGGCGCCAATACGCTTAGAGAGCTCTATCAACGCTTGAAACAACTCGGTCGGGTCTTTTGGCGGTGTACTCACCATGCATACCATATACGCGCGCATCAACAACCTCTCTGCGCTGCTGTCGTCGTGCCTTATGGTTCTGCTTGGTGCAGTAGCTGTATCGTCCTTGCTTTTCACAGTAAACCCCACAGCAGAAGTCGTCGTCGCATCGGTACAAGTGTCAGTACTCAGTTGCTATGCGATCTAGATTCTCACTTCCTTTGTACCAGTGTCCCTGGTAACGCTCGACGGTATGCGAAAAAGCATCAAGAGTTCGCCTTTGTTAACTTCAATGTTACTGCGGGTGCGTAGTCCGGTCTTTTCGGCGGTATGCAGTCGCATACTCACAGCAACCAGATTTGACGCCTTTGTTTAACTGGAATACGAAGCAATTGTTCATGTATGTCAGCGCTGAGTATACCAACAAGCAGGGGGTGAGTCAATCCGTGCAGCTGTGCTTGTTTGCCCTATGGACGTTTGTCGAAACTGGACAATTGTTCGAGAAAAATCGTTGGGTTCAACAACTTGTTGAGAAAAGCGTCCTTGATCTTTTCCGAAATTCTTTGCGGCAGTGTCGTCTTGCGAACAGAGTGTTCTTTCGATGAATGATGCTGAACGAGATGGGCGTCGTCGCGTCTAGTTCCGTACTCCCCTGACAATTTCGCCGCACTGATCAGTCGCAGTTCGAAGAGACATCGATGGGTTCTCTTGCAGGCAAACTGCACTGCTCCAGTTCACGGAATGGAACCTCCTTATGGTGCCGAAATGTTCTTGATCCTTAGGATAGCCGAATGGTTCTCCCTGCATCACGCAAAGCACGAGTTGGGCATGATAGTGGCTATCTTCCGCGCGCGACGAGTGCCTTTAACATTTTATACGTTAGCTTGCGCAACACCCCCTCCTCATGTTCAGATGCTCAAGCCCTCTGCTAACTCTCCATGTCTATCATGCTGACAATTCACCGCCTGCAGGTGGCAAACGAAGTTGTCATCTGGGATCGCATAGTGCGTCGCAAGGAGGACGCGCACATCGCGATTGCAGGCCGCAACAAGTACATTTTTCGGGAGATGAGCACGTCGTTCAGGTGTGTGTTCGTTAAGATCTGTCTTCTCTTGCATGTTTTTTTTCCGGTATGGTACCGCTTGGATATGGAGTTGGTGGCTTGGGGGTGCCACATTGATTGTCGTGAGCAAGTGCTGCGTGCTTCCTAACCTGACATGTCCAGAACGTGTCACGGCTTCTCGTCATCTGTGTGTGTATTCTACCGTATAGATCGCGCAGCCATGCACCCAATGAATGCCTTTGTATTTTTCTATCTTGGCATCTAGCTGCTCCGGCCTTTTCCCTCTGTACACCCATTTATGGTGAACGCTGTAGCCGCTGATGCACTGATTGCAACTTTCGTTGGATAAAATTTCTACCATACGCATAACCGCTCACTGACCGTCCTGCTTCCGCAATTTAGGAATGTCCCGCCAGCAAATTACACGCTGAAGTACAACATTATGCCGTACGTCGGTCTGTTGACCTACGGTGAGGCAGGACGGACACTGGAGCCCGTCGCCTTTCCTGAGCAGCACCAGCTATCCTGACGGCTGGAGGGTACGGTTATACCCTGGCCTCTGTCATCGATTACACGCGTTTACCAATACCAGTAATAGGGATCGTCGGAGGTGCGATTTGCTTGTGGTCTCCTGCATTTCCTGATAAGTTATTGCGCGAAAATCGAGATGAGATAGACTTATCGTCTGCACCTTGTCTGCCGTATGTTGCAGTGCGGTCGCCCGAACATCTTCAAGCTTCAACGGCCAAGTTTGATCTGGGGTCGATCTACCCCCCACACTGCAGTCGCTTGCAGATTTTCTACCGACGGAGATTCCAAAATTAGGCGACGAGTAAGAATACACGGGGCACAACACGCCGGGGTCCAGTTGAACCTGGTCTGAATTCGATAGAGCCCGCGCAGATCTTCATGCGCTGTGCCCGAGGTTGGCATGCGGTGGCGTCGCGTGATGTACAGGCGTGATTTTGGGTTCTGGGCTATGCGGTATAGTTATGTGCGCTTCTTTACCATCCCGGGCCTCACATGCTGACTGTGGTCAGTAGCTCTGGAGTTTCATATGTGGCGCAGACTTCGCTCGCACGCGTCATCTGAATGCAGCACCCGGACAACTGGCTGCTGGTTGGTGCTTCCTGCCTTTTCTGGAATATAGAAGTATGGCTATCTCCTGGAGCAAATCAGACAAGCTCAGTTGAAATTCTACCAATCGGACGAGCCAGCGTGAGTCCATCGCTATCATCGCGGCGATAACGCCCCCCCGGGCCATCCATAGCATCGCCAGTCGCTTGTTTTATATGGCTAAAAATGTTTACACGCCGATGTGGATAGCAAAAGACAGAAGTATGGTGGATTCGGGCCACAGAACGCGAGTGCGCTAGATTCCATGGTTCTGCCAGCTGTCTCCCAGGGCCGCGCTGTTGGCGTTCATGTTCGCCGCGGTGATTATCTTTCCCCCGCCACACTCAGCACTCAGCGAGCTCGGAAGGTTGTCACGATGGTGGAGCATGGCTGCATGAGCCCGAGCGACGATCATGGTTCTGCAGTCTCAGCTCGCGAGGCAGTGAGTTGGAGATGAGATACACGAGTCCCGAAAATCGGGCAGGGTACCTGACGGACACCTGCGTACTGGCTCGGCCAACGTACTCACCACACGGTTGTCACACCCACAGCGCACAGCTAATGTAGCCGCACTTCTTGCGCAAGCCCACATTAACCTCCAGTCAAAGACGCTTGTCGCTACTGTCCGACATTCATACTTGGAGGGAACCATGGGGGTTGCATCGAGGGTGCATTCTGTATTAACTGCCAGCGCCGACCTTGTAATTTTTCAGGTCCCCCTCTTGGCGGTTGAATCCTGTGGCGGGCTTCTCCACGCAAGACTCCTACCCGATTGTCCGAAATTTCCAGATTGAATATATCCCTTACGTTGGGACACTGCAGTGTTCTTCGTTCAAGGTTTGCAGGTTTATTCATCTTCGGATCGTGTGCACACTTCGCTGAGCCCCAATCCGGCCTACGACGGCTTGGACCTGACCAAATCCGTATCTGTTTTGACAGCGATTGCAAATCTAAGCGTCCGACGCGAACAGAAGTGGACCACCTCCTTGATTTTGCCGGACCTCTTCGTCATTTGTGTCTCTGTAAGTTTGACCCCATCGCTTCTTGTGGTCTCATGGGAACGTGCTTTCCTAGCATTCTCGGAAGATAGCGAAGCGGATTGACGGGTTGGCAGTTCGCACCTTGCGCGGGGATAATTCTCTTGAGAAACCCCCGGAACCAGAGTTTCTCAACTGGGTCTGACAGTCTGGCCGGGCCGAGTGACGCCTACATCCTGATCGCCGGATACTGGTATGGCTTTCCCGAGGACTAGGATATGTATGGGCGTACAAGTGGCGATTGCGTCTGACAACCCTTGAAAGGCGTTCACGGAGTCTCAAGTCTTTGTTCGGAAGCTCCTTTGCAATGCCGAAGGTCATCTGCGCTCATACGGTTTGAAGAGACACAGTCACAAACGGTCGACTTATTACCTTGACGAGCTTCAACGACATAGTAGCACGCGCTGCGGCGCCTGAGAGTCCCCTGCAGACGACGGCAAGGCCAGTAACATTCACCTCGTCGCTCTTCATCAGTACGGTCAGTAAGACACCGACCTCGCCGACACCCTGCCCGACATCTGTCAACCGGCCGGAAGAGCAGAAGCCCACCAAGATTTCGTGAGTGGTTTCCCGCCAAACCCCGGGTTTCTCTCTCCTTTCGAGTTTCTCGATAGAATCATCCCCTTGCACGGTGACTCGAATAGAAGAAGCCTTATTGGAATGCCGCCATAGAGATGGAGAATTCGGGCTTCTTCAACCCTGCTCGACGATGGCTATCCTGACGCAACGATGCAGCCTTTACAGCAGCTATTCAGAAGTTAATGCGGTCGCAAGGAGGTTCCCGGTGTGCAGTCCACTCTGATTTGGTCAACGGTGTGTCTTCTAGCTCTGTGCGCTGAATGTGAGCGTGATACCTTCGACACACCATGTCAGACTGTGTGCAGAACAGAGCGGCTGAGAGCCTCACTCCGGCGGAATCCTTCTGTTCCATAACTACCCCAACAGAAGCCGTCAGTCCGACGGTGATCAACGCCCGACAGGACTTGGTAGGCTCAGGCATTCAAGCCAACCCCAAATCGCGTGTGCGCCGCTCACCGATGCTCATCATCCAGCCTTCGACATTGACTGCTCAGCGCTCAGCGGGAGCCGACGCGCATCCATGCATCCTGAGCAGGTCACTACACGTGTGGATCTATCTATCAAACAAGGTATTTGCACACAGCCATATGTGCAGAGTTGGGACTTTACGCAGCTAAGGCTCGCCATGTTCTTTTCCCAGCTAAATGAAATGCATTCGAGGCAACGTGCGAGCCTGATTTCGACAGCATTCCATTTGGAGAAATGTTCTCCATCCTCTCAGCCTAGTAGATAAAACTAAAGGTAAGCGTCGACGACTCGACGATACGCGACGATATGGTTGTTTGAAATAACCAAGTACGGTAACCGTTGACGCTTTCAGGCATACCATCATTGTTCCTGGGATTTTTACCTGTCACCATACGAACTAACGCCAGCAGCACGAGTCGTAAGTCAAAGCCAGTACCGTTTTGGCTTGCTATGCTGATCGAACAGACTCCCGTTATGTGGACCGAAAGTCCCTTCTCAAGGTCGGCGGGATACTTTCTGCGTAGTTCGCATCCGGCCGCATCGAGGCTACGCCAGCAACAGGGCAAACAACCTCTCGCTCGGTCGATCGTGATGGGCGAGGCTGACTGGAATGTAGAATTTGTCTTAACCTCGCAGGGGTGACTCGCCGATATGCACGCGCCGGGTCGAACACACTTGGAAGTCGAACCGACATTGCGGTGCCATCGTATCTGTGGTGCGGCTCGCGGCACGGATGGAGCAAGGTGCAAAAGCTAGCACTCCTTCATGCGATGCGATAGTCGCGATACCATAGCTGCATGGTCATCAGAGTTTAATCAAATACAATCGCCAGGAGATGAACGAAAGCCATGTGCGTGCAACGCGCCTGGCCATTATTGGAAGAAGAACAAGGAGTGCACATCGCCATTTGCGCGTCAGACATTTTCCGGACTGAAACTACGTGTTGTGTTTGTATTCGGAACCCAGAAGCTGTCCAGAAACGTGTCAAGGTGTTTTTTCAGCGGCAAGACCACGCTCTGCCGGTGAGATTGGGCTCTGGGATTGGCTGGCCTCGAGGCAATGGGAAGTCCATAAGGGTATTGCCGAGCGCATGGTACTGCGCCCAGAATAATCGCTATGACAAAAGGTTTCCAACACAGAGAACAAGTGCGTCCCTCACAATAGACAATACGGCTGATACTGTCGACCAGATATCGTCAGATTATCGTAGATGACGGTGATGGAATGCGTGCTATGCCAGGATTGACACGAGATACGGGGGAGGTTAGGCTTCTGATTAACGTGAGTCTTGAATTTAGGTTGGTGTCGCGGGCGTTGTCCTAGAATACGGACTTCCCGTGGGCGATATCAAGATATAGTAGCCATCAGATGACTGCCGGTGCTTGGCCGGCACGCCAGCATTTAGACAAGTTCGCGACCCTTTGTCGCTTCGGAGTTGTTGACGACGTCTCCCATTTATTAAGCTTTGTCTCTTCATGGAAACCTATAAATTCAAGGGATGCGTCCGACCAGTGCCCACTGTTCCTTTAACCTCCAACTCCTCACTGTGGTCCACTCCATCCACGTAACCTACTAACCTGCCTTTTTAGCATCATGTCCCAACACTCACTTCCGCTCTCCGCTACAGACGTAGAGTCTGACCCGGAGTTCCTTCCTACTCCAGTGGACGTGCCGTACGACGACAGAACCTACCCATACCAGATTGCAGGACACCAGTTCTGCCACAGTTCCGACCAGGCGGCCTCTGGCGGGTCTCCCGCCAGTTGCAGCCCTTCCCATAACGTCGCACATTCCGACTTCTATCAGGAAGGCAGCTTACCTTTCTTCGATCAGGTTCGTGATTACTGGTTCATCCATTCGCCTCCCGCGTTCGCTCAGTCTGCTGTTCTATAGCAGGCATGCTGCGGCCGCGTCGATCCAAATGGTGCCGATTCATTAAAGTGGACGAAGCACGGCTATGAAAATTTCTTGCCTGGGCACAACGGCATCTGGCCACACCGGCAGGAATACCAGGAGGGCAGCCTGTCGCCGCAGCAACTATCTCCCGACGAGCACTACCATGAACTGCAGCCTTCGTACATATCTGCTAGCGAGACTCCTCAGGGCCAGCAAACGGTGGGCGGGCATTCTCCTGCTACCGTTTCTGGTTCCACGCGAGCGTTTCGAGACCGCGTGCTCAATTCGAACTACAGCGAATCTTCTCGCACCTCGTTCTATCCATCAACATCCGCAGTCTCCGACTCGGAGATCTTCCCTGATTCTTTGAGTTCTCCCGTTGAAACAAGCACCTTCTTCAGCGTTCCCGTAAACGCACAGCTTCCTGGAGAAGCATACACGCAGTACTACCCGGTAAGTAACCGTGAATACTTTTTATTCTTATCGACGTCGTTCTGACCTCATCATCCAGGGTTCTGGTCTCTCACACTCGTCACAACATGCCAGCTCGTCTGCTTGTCCTGACGTACGCGGCGACATCTCTTCTGGCTACCCGAACCCGAACCCGCAAGATCGGAGTCATGTCCCTGCTTTTTCGCAACCCGAGCTTCTCATGGGACACACGCAGTATGACGACAACCTAGGTGTGTAGTAAGGATGAACGACTGCCTGAAAATCCGGCCTCACACTTTTACGTCAGATCACAGCGCGAACAAGGATTCTGCTGACCGCTGGGCGGCCAGTGAGTATGACCACCACTACCCATACCCCCAATCGGACGCGAACTATCTCGCTCTCGCATCTGTTCAGTCCCAATCTCAGCCAATCTCTCAGCCACCCCAGCAGCGGCGACATTATGCCGTCGCACTGCACAACTCTCCGCCCTGTCCCTACTCTTATCCTCGCTTCACTGAGACAGAATATCCATTCACTTCGCACATCCACGCGCCTCAGCCGCATCCGTGGCCCACGCTCCGACCTCCAGCGGTGGGGGGGAATCATTCGCTCGCTATTCATGGTTCCATGCACTCCGGCGTCTCCTCTGCCCCGACAGTGACGCACTCGCCACCCCTCGTAGAGGATAACCCGAAGAGGCCGCTCACCTTGGCGTGTCTTTTCTGTCGCAAGCGCAAGATCGCTTGTGGAAGTCCACCCCCGGGGAAGAAGGATCGGACATGCAAGTGCGTTCTCCTTGCGATGCTGGTTATACCTGCTTGCTTCGATCGCTGACCTCTTGCTATTTTACTTTAGTCAGTGTGCTCGGCGCAACCTCAAGTGTGTCTATCCCGACGTGTCGCGTAGGGGCATGCGGCCGAAACTGCTCTACGACAAGGACTCTATCCCGGTAGTACCACCGCTCCTGCCCGTAGTCTGATTCAGTCTGCTTCGCATGTCAAACAACGTACCCATCCCGTCGATGATACCCCACATATTTCATCTCCCGTTAACATATTTATCTATCTGCAGTCATCATGTCGCGGCGTCTTTGCGGTTAGCTGTTAGCTGTTATCTGTAATCTGTAGCGTTTGTCGTAGGATGTGACGATGCAATAGAGCTTGTTATTATAATTATGAGATATCTATGGACGTGAATCTGATCTAGAGTAGAATCGGGTTCACAGCTCTTCTGCCGACAAATTCAGTCCGTCGGAGCTCTCGAGGGCGGCTACTACAACTCAATCGAATCGATGCACTGTGGTACATAACTCTGCAGTTCCAGTAATTCACACCGTCTACCTGTCATACCACGTACTTCGAACACTGGGAACCTGGGGTTCGTACGTAACCCTATGTATCTCATTCCCTCATAGAGGTTGACCGCGTTTCTTGGCACTTCTTCTTCTCTTACTCTCCGTTACTTTGTAGGTCATTCATCCCAGTTGTCTCGTCATAGTATTACGACTGACAGTCGTCAATGATGGTGCCTATGTTTCTTCAAGTTCTGTAATGAGGCCTCTCTCCGCCAATGGCCTATATGCGGCTCTATATAGACGACAGGATGAGAGATATCATTGGGCTCTGATTCTTGCGGATAGCCCTACCTCTGGCTCTAAGATACATGTCACCAACATACCGGATCCCACGAAGTGGCATTACGAGAACGAACTGTTCGATGTGCACACTGAATGGAAGCCGTTGACCATCATGGCGAGGATAGGTGAGCCGCCGGGCCATGCCTCTTCTGCATTATTGAGCCGGTTCGACCCCTTTGAAGGGACTGTTCCCACCACGATCTCTCGAGACGCACTGGACGGTCTTTTACGCACCATCATCATGGAAACGCCTCAATGTGATTCCCCTCACCCTTTCACATGCAGAATTTGGTTCCGCGAAGCCATCAGACTACTAGCGATGAACGACGGGCACGAAGGAGTTGTGCATTGTCGCTCAGTGAATGCTCTGGAGAAAGAATTGATAGAACTGGCAGACGAGCACTCTACCTTGGTTGCCCTAGGAAGGCCATGGAAGCTTTATGAGAACGTTGAAAGTTCATACTAGATACATTACACATATGAGGGATTTGTCTTCCAACGATGATTCTGCTGTGCACGCTCGCGGGAGCATGCCAAAATTATCGTGTCAAGACCAACTCATATCGTGTACGAAGTCGAAAACACACCCTAAGCGGGGCTCTGTACATCTGTCCGGGAAGAGGTCCACATCTACTAGTGGATCCTCAGGCTATAAAATACACAAGTCCAAACATAAAACATTACCCGCTCAGATACTCAGCACAGGCGGGACGAACGAAAAACAGCGAAGACGATGTACGCCGAAGAATAGCGAAGGGCCTACACCGACATACAAACCTGGAGAAATGGACTCGAGCGCCCAGCACTCGACGAATAACATCAATGCCGCGCGGAAGAGACGAGGCGGATGCCACCATGACGAGTGCCCGCCGCCTCCTCCTCATCCTCTGACTCGGACCACAGACTCCGGCTTTGCTCGCGGTCGTCGTCGACCTGCCCGGGTGGATATCGACGCCCGTGCTGCGAGCGCCCCCACAGGTGTAGCGGGCGGGTCTGGTGCACGGGCTCAGGGTCCGCGCCGTCGTCGACGGGTGATCGCGCGAAAGATGCTACGCTAGCTGTAGACGGCGAGTTCTCGAAGGGGTCGAAGGGAGGTGGAGGCTGGTAGGCGCCGGCGTAGCTGCCGAGCGCAGGTGGCGCGGTGCGCGGTTCCAGCTCGGACTCCTCGCTGAAATCGTCGGTGGTGTGCGACTGCAAGTTTGGCAGGGTCAGCACTTGGACGTCTGGCGAGGACTTCGCATCAGTCTACGAAGTACAAAGTGAATTGATTAATGGGTCATGGATGATGGGTAAGCAGTACAAGCCACGCACATCATACGAGGGCGTGCCGGTGTTGTGCGAGGCACGGCGGATCTCGTGCGTCGCAGTGTTATCGCCAAGGCCTGGTGTGTGGTATTGATGCACGACATCCTGACTATCGAACTTGACCACGTTCTGTTTCCGTGAACTCGGGAGGGGCGATGTCGTGCCCGCTACAGACAAGAAGTCCGAGTCCGCGTCAGACACCGCAACCTCCGGTAGGGCCGAGGGCATCGGCGGGTCCCACAACTGGTGGCGCTTCAAGCCCGCAAGCGAGTCTTGCCCGTAGCTCATGTGCGAGGGCAGCGCGGGTAGCGGCGGCATCGCGCTGTACCGCGAATGGATTGAGCTCACCGTGCCACTCGACATACTCATCCGGCGTGCACTGCGGGCGCGGATGATGCTGCCCACCATGCCAAACCCGCCGCGCAGCGCGTCGATACCTGGGTCCTCGATAGCAGAGAGATCCTTCTCGTCGATGCCCGCAGTGTTGTTCTTGGCCGCTTGGAGGAGCATCGTGGAGCGCCGGTCGAGCTGCTTGATCTGCGTCGGATCAATTTTCGAGAGCTGGAGGATCGTAATCCCGAAGCAGATTACTAAGAAGCCAAGGACGAGCGTGATGATCTGGGATACGGGGGCTTTCAGGCCCTGGAAGAGCACGATCGTCGTGAGCATGGAGAAGAAGGTGACTGCGGGCGGAATCAGCTCGGAGCAGCTACGGAAGCCGAACTACTTACATATCACATAATATGTCGGGGTGACTGCATGGAGGAATCAGTCAGACAAAGCCAATTACATCAAGACGGGTGGCAACATACCCATCGCTGTGAATTCCAATGATGGTAAGTTTGAGCAACGTGCTGCGCAGTATCAGACATACCTGTGTTAAAGAGCGCCAGCGCCACGTTCAGGTAATATACTTCGGTGACTAACGAAATGGTCAACAGGACCTCCAATATACACCACAGCTAAAACTTACTTAATGTTACAGCAACAAAGACCATCAGGAAATAGATGAACCAATGTTTGAACTATGGCGTCATCAGCTTTTGGTAAACGGTCATTGTTACACCGACGCACCTGGTTGTCGCCCATCACACTAGTCACGATAGCCGAACCAAGTCCGGTAGTGACGCTGACGCTGATACCGCCGATCATACTGCACACCATGATGTACCATATCATGCTCTTCTTGCCGTAGCTGCGGCCGATGGATGTGATAAGCAGAGCGAACAACGTCATCGGAGAATATTGATTGGAACGGACCGTGGGGCAAAGAAGAATACAATGACAATCGCGGAGACAATGAGGACGGAGCCGTAGGCTAGGAAGCCAGGCGCGAGAAATAGTTTCTGAAATTGTGTGATTTGGCCAACAGACGGTTCTTGAGGACCTGCACGTCGGGTTAATATACCCGTCTCGCAGAAAGACGCATCTGAATTACCATTGAGAGCGATGATAATTGAGCCCAGCTAATCATTGAACTGTGAGCCAGCAGACAGTGTGAAGAGATGGAACACGTACAATACATAGAGCGCAGCCTAGCCAGCCGAAGAAGCTCAGCTTTTCCTTCAGGAATATTGAGGAGAGTATTGCGCTGATAACGACCGAGAGCGCCCCCATAGGCGTCTGTACTCGCAGTCAGGAGGATCTACAGGTACTAAGGGCATAGTACGCACTACAACAATCGCCTCTACAAAGGCGTATGCTGCGGAAGGTCAGGTAGTTAGATTGGCAGAAACGAGATAGGGTGCACCGCCCATACCGACAAAATTGCAAATTTCGCCAAAGATCATCACTATGAACGTTCGTTAGCACTTGCTCGACCAGACACACGTCGCCACATACTTGTCATGCCTACCCACCACAGTGGCTAACCGGAGGTTAGTATAGGACTTGGTAGGAACAAACGAGCAGACGCACCGACTTCAAATATGCCACCCCCTCACCAGCTACCCTGCCCTTCTGTGATTGGAGAAGCCCCTTCTTCTTGAAGACGAAACTTGAACCGATGAGAGTACCGCTGAATATTGCGAGAATAATGCCAACGATCTAGTCATCATGTTCTGTGAGCACAAGCAAGTTGACGTGGCTAACAACACACCTTGAGGCTTCCGGGCACAGTGAAAGAGGCGGCGGAGGACGTAGCGGACGCCGCAGAGGAGGTTGCCGACGTTGCGGCGGAGGTTGTGGAGGCCATTGTCGTGAAGCTAGTCGTTACGGGAGATATTACCCAGACCTGCGGGGGCTTCTATTGCAATGTGTACAAGACAACCTGTCTGGAACCGAGGGTCAGTTGGCGTAATTATTCCGCTCAGCTCGTTACGCACCTGAAATTCGCTCTCCTTTCCCAGAAAATGAGAGAAGCTGGAAGGAAAATATGGACCAACTCCTGAGTCCACGCAAAGGATTGTTTAGGTCCTGAGAGTAAGAAGGAGAGAAGTGGGAAGCATTTAGCGATGCAGAGACGCAAAAAGAGGGAGACTCAGTATGGGGACGGTACACTGCCATAGGGACGCTTTGCCGGCCGTTGCCGTTACTGACACACCTCCCACCTGTCATGATCATCTCAATCCTATCCACTCACAATTTTTGTTCTCCAGAGGTATCATCGTACTTAAATGATATAGTCTCAAGTCCATCCTCCAGACACGGACAGATCGTTGTAACCTATTGGAGACGTGATCTGTGGTGACAGCGACATGAAACCCGACCGACTAATCTTACCGTGACTCGTATCTCGTTTTCCCCATGTGAAGATCGGAGCTCTGCTTAAAGCTATGTGTCTGCGTCTTGGAGCACCGTTGACAACAAAAACTACCAGCCCTACCCTATCTTACAGTGCCCTCTTTTGCTTTGTCTTTACTCCAGCGGGCTAGATTTGTGAGCTCGAAGGCACCTTGTCCAGCGCCAGGTCGAAGGTGTATGTCTTCACGCCATTCTCCACCGTTCTTTTTCTTGTTTCATCCACTCGTATTTCTCACCTACGGAGCCAAATGCAACGCTGATTCCCGGGTCCACTCTTGCCAGCAATTGACTCGAAGCTCGCGATGTGGGTAGTCGCCATCATTCGTTTGAACTTGAATGGGCGTCTTGCCGTCGTATCTTTAAGAGAAAACCTCTGTAGAGAATGGCATCCTAGAGCTGCTTTCTACGTCTCACGCAGAGAGAAAAACTCTTGCCTCGTGAATCAAGAAGGTTTGACCCCCATCGCACTATCCGCCATGCGAATATTTTGACTCGAGTAGAGTCACTTCGGAACCTACAGGCTGAAGGACAAGTTCTGCTATTCGACCCGGAAACAGTACTCCAACTTGCATGGATAAGTATGATGCCCTCCGGATGTTTGAACCTGGTTCATCCATGTACGTCAGCTCTCCCTGATAATTCTGAGCTACGTCCACGACATGACAGAAACACAGCAGATGCTGGACGCGGGTATCTGTGACTGAAGGTGCATGTTCCTCAACTTTTATCAATCCATGAATTGCTGAGTTGTCTACATCTGGAGCTAGCTCCGGCGATGCCTCTTGGTGCTATGGTTTGGTCAGCACCTGTGAATCGAATTTCTCTCTCGTATATTGTCCTCCTCGTTCTACTTCCAATTGAACCGGACGTCGGACGGCGCTTCTGTCCCCTCGTGAGGCCGGTGCACATCACCGAGGTCGATATATTAAATTGAGGCAAAATATCGCACATTTGGGCTGTGCTGGGCGAGGTGAATTTCTTTAACCAATGGAACGATTGGTCAGCGTTTCATCTCATCCTCACGTTTTCTGACAAGTGCTGTATTTTTGGCGACAGGCATTGTAGGAGGCATTGATTGGCTGTGCGCGATCTACACATCAATCATAGCATTCCCCGACACATTTTCGAATAGCATCTGTGAATCTTGCATGAACAGGGTTCACACCAGCGCAGCGACATACACCATCAACCTCTTGCTCGCGTTCTTGAACGCCTCTGTCTCAGCAATGGGAGACACTCCGCAGTCGAATGCATAGTGTAGAGCAAATAGCGCACACACCTCCAAGGAGTTCCATCCGACTAAGACATACGCCTTACCATCGTGCGAGTCTACGAATACCCACATGCCATCTGTAGAGCCCGGATCCGCGTGTACCATCGCTAACATCTTGTCTACAGCTGCTCCAAACTGCGCTCTATCTGCGTCGGCTTTCAGGACCATTCCGCCCTGGGATGACCATCATTTCCTGCCAACGGAAATGTAAACAGAATGCACCATCTCAGTCACAGGCGCGTGGGTTATCGCTTGCGAGAACTTCTTTAAGGGCATCAAGTATGATGTGGGCGGAGCAGTAGTGATCTGCCCAATCTTCTGCGGGAAGTCACCGTATGCCTCTGGCCAGACAAAATCCTTGGGTAGGAATCCTTGACCGAAGTCTACATGCCTAGTAAGTAAGAACGCACATATCGGCAAAGAGTGCTACATGAACGCACGCAGAACCCAAAAGAGCTGCATCTAGTCTTCGACGCAGAGGCCGTACGACTGGTGGACGAGCCCTGCTCGTACGCCGTTGCGCAGCTCGCGATGCAGCTCTGACCTCGCAATGTAGGCGTCAGTCACCTGCATGCGCATGAGCTCGACGACGGTTTGCTCGGACATCTTCGCTGCTTTCGCTGTACTGCGAGTTATCTGTGTGGAGGCGGTGTGTGATGGTAATGCTGTGGAGGGCATTCAGTTATTCTCGCTATGCACCCCGAGTACTCTTATTCATATATTACCGAGTTTCGAGAACATGAATTGGTCATGCTGCCAAGTGCTGGCTGCTTTCTTTGGGTGGTCACTATCATATGCATGTGTTGAGATATCCTCCCTGTGTGAACCCATGTGTGAAGAGAGCATTGTCATGTAGTTTCATGCCGTGCACTGCGGAGAACCTGAGTAATTAAGCCCCCGAGATAACGATCCTACGGCGATCGAATCTGATTAGATAACTCCTACGCACGTTTCAGCATCAACCTCTCAACCTCACACTATGATCATCTTAGATGAAGCCAGGCGCAAGGCTAACGGCCTTGGCGTGGCGGTAATTATCACAGAACTGTTCTTACAGACTGCGTTGAAACCCTCACATGGCCTCTAATTTCCTCAGATTGAGGTCCGTCGCGAGTACGCTGAAGGGTGGTTTCAGATAGGCTGCAGCGCACAGGCATTTCTCCTCGGACCATGAAAACTACCACAATGCGCCGTTTAGAGCGGCGTACATCATCGTCGAGCCCAACGTGACGGGATGCTTTCAGTATGACCAGGTATTCGGGAAGGTGAATAAGAGAGCGAAAGCTTTGCTGCCTGGTCTGCCGACGAAAACGGACGAATCGAACACACCCGGCTTGCAGTGATGTGCCACCTCACCAAAATTAATCTTCTGGTAGAGCAGTGAAGTATTGTCTCGTGAAGGTCTCGCGAGCCACTGCAGCTCTTCGACAAGTTTCTGGAATCTGCCATAATAATTAATCACTGACAAGTTAGGAGGTGCCATTGGACGCTCAAAGCCGTTGTTATTTCACCTTGATCCAACTGGTGAGTTTCTGGCTTTGCCGAATGCCGACCCTAGCCAGAACAGCAACTGCGCAACCTCTGCGCATGCGCCCATTAGCGCCTGAAGGCAGGCCAGCCATCCAATCATATCGCTCAAGTTACAGAAGATGCTATGTGGCATTTGCCTAGACCACATATTGCCACCGGTTCCTTGCCCCGCAAGGGCTTGCGTTCTCACATACGTAGCGCTGATCGATCCGAGGCATCACTGCGGAAGGAGTGTGCAGAGGGCGGCATGGCATGCTCACGCAGCACGCTGGTCCAGTCGCTGGCCGGTTTGCGGTCTCGCTGTCGTCTTGGCATTTAACAAAAGGACATATAAAAGGAAAGTCCGGTATTTGTACCTCTCTTCTCCGCTGCTAGATAGTGCAGGTACGATGCGCGCATTTCTTGTTCTGTTGTCAGGGCTTTTCTGCACTGGTGCGACTTGGGCGCAGACCCTGGGCAGCAGGGTAAGTCTGCATATCGACTGGACTCTGATATCACCATGCCCACAAATATCTGGCTGGTCAGGCTGCCAACCCAGATTTCACGGGGGATATAGCTTGCACAGATGTTATGTGCATCTCAGCTCTTGTCAATGGGTCGACCGTTCAATGTCAGTGAAGACAATGAAATTATTCCGATCTCGTGTGGCATTGATGTACCTCTTCGTCAGACGTTTTGCAGACAACGAACGCGGCGCCGTTGGGTTATATGGCCATGTCCGTTCTTTTTGCTTATTTCCTGATCAGCACTCACATATTGGCAACCATTTTCAGTGGTCTCGGAACCGTCATGGCCAAGAGCCCAATGGTCGTAATGTGGTCGAACTCGGATGGAACCATCACGCTCTCCCAGCGCGAATCCTCATCTCATGCCATGCCGACGGTAGTCGCCAATCCACCCTTTACTGCGACATCAGACCCGAACCTGAGCTCTCTGAGTGGCTCAAACGAGAAGTTCGCGTACACGATGCCTGTATGTCTTCACCCGGCAAACACTCCTTGCCCATTGACTATACACTCTCTAGCTGAACAGTTCCGCCACGACCCAAAAGATCATCTACGCCTTCGGCACTGAGAACCCAGGCTCCTCCTCCGCTTCTGCATCCATCGCCCAGCACATTTTCGCGAGCACCCTCCAGCTGAACCTAGCCCAGCCCGTCAGCGCCGCGTCCCTTGCGAACTTCACGGACCCTGTCACCAACTCCCCCAGTGGTGGCACGGTCACACTCGGGTTACTACCATTCGAGAAGCTGATCGTTGCGCACGGGATCATTTGCGTGATTGGGTTCCTCGTACTCCTCCCCGCGGGTGCACTGCTCGCGCGGTATTTTAGGACGTTCACCACCAAGTGGTTCAAGGCTCATTGGATCGTGCAGTTTGCCTTCGGTAAGCCTCCTCCATCTCGCTCCATTATCGCGAAGCAATGTCCTTCATCACGAATTGTACTTGCAGGCGGAGTGATTATCCTGGTCGGTTGGGGCCTTGGCATCGCCGCAGTCCAGCAGTCTTTCTCGGGGCACTTCAGCGACGACCACAAGAAATGGGGCCTTGCGCTCTTCGTCCTCTATATTCTGCAGATCGTCCTGGGCGCAGTTATACATTACTGGAAGCCTGGCTTCTTTCTCCTCGGCGGGCGCAGGCCGATCCAGAATTATTTCCATGCGGTGTTTGGGCTTGTAATTATTGGGCTTTCATTTTACCAGGTTCGTCCCTCCCTTGAGATGCGGGATTCTTGCAGAATATGACTGTGTATCTCGTACTTTCAGGTGCGCACGGGATATCGCGACGAGTGGGAAATTTCCACTGGCCGAGGGATATCTAATGCTGCAAACATCGTGTGGTACATCTGGATCGTGGTGCGTTCTGACGAAAACAAGGATGTACTACGCGCTCATACAATCTCTTATAAGCTGCTCCCCGTACTCTACCTCGCAGGCCTCGCGCTCCTTCCTCGGCAGTTTAAGCAGGAGCGCGTGACAAAACCCGATCCTTCTGCCTCCTATATGGACCTGGGCGCAGTGCCGATGACCAAGAGGAACGAGGATTATAGAATAGTGGAGCAACCGCGGCTGGGGGGTGAGGGATATGGGGACGACGAGCCAGTCGGTCAGTGGTCGAGGTGAGCCACGGACACCTTCAGCAATTGGGACTATATTCGCCGTATTGTATTATATATCATACCAGATGGACGTAGTCTACTTACTACGCACAAGTGCCTATCCCGAAAAACCTTACTTAGTACGACCCATTTTCATGCGTCTAACTTATGACTCTTAGTAGAGCGCGAATTACTTCATCGCAAGGAACCGAGCCCTTCAACAACTTACTATATCATAGGGGTTTGCATCGAACCTGCCGAGACCAAGATGCTTGCACCAGGACAAAAAGAGTACATAAGGCTAGGACCCCCGCGAATCAACTAAGAGCTCCGATCCCGGCGATGACATTTCTCGGGGGTGGCCAACCACCCATTTTCGGGGGTATGTGGGGCATGCGGAACAAAATTTTTGCTTCCTGCACAAAGCTTTTGTGACCCAAATTACGAAAGCTTTCCGCCCAAACCACCACATACGGCTAAATTTTAGGCCCATCCTCCGGAACCTGAGAGATCCGCCAGCCAACCTCAGTTTTCGGGGGTTCTGGACCTAACCTCAGGTTGGAGGGTCACATTTTGGGGGTGTTTCGCACCCAACTTTCGACGACTTTTTGGCCATTTTCGGGGGCCGAAGATCCAACATTTTGCCTCCGGTGGCCCATTTTTCGGGGATGGGTGCATCGGGGGTCCTATAAGGCTATGCCCTACCGACATGAGTCACATCCAAGTCGACAGTAACGCGTAACGCGTCACGTATACATAGGTTGGCCATTTACAGTCACGCGCAAGATCGTAACGATCTCTGGCCATTTCGCACGTTGGTGTGACATAATGGTGACAAAACATTCAACGTTTAGATCGACCCGGGACATCACGTGACGCGTGACATTCCGCGCCGTGATAAACCAATGTTTTTGAAGATGAACCGACAAAAATATCGTCATAATTTTCTCAGTTCTCCATTAGGACTGCTAAATATCGGCATCACTGGCATGCTCGTTCATGGGTAGAAGCTGAACAGTATACAACTACTGTGAGTAGTCGGAAACGAAGATCTTGTAATCATATCCTAGACCGATCAAAACTTCCTGCTCGCGCGCAATTCCTTTGAGCTCAGCCTCCAACCGGCTCACAGCAGGGCACCTGATAATGCCGTTGTTGCTTAACACACGGACCGCTTCTTTGAACCAGATGCGGCAGCTGAAAGACTGAGGAAGGTCAGCAACTGGTGTCTGCATAGGAATATCCTTCAGGAGGGTATGGATATCTCCGACAAGACGGTTTGATGAGAGTGTTCCTGCATTCCGAGATAGAGAAACTATGAGAACATTCCCCTCAAAGGCTGGGCAAGCAAACTTACCAATCTTGACAACAGCGCAAGCCGAGACGGACCTCACTATGGTGTGAAGGGAGTACTCAAAGCGCCATCCTCGGCTGTCTTCCGTGGCATGGAACTTGTTGACAACATGACCTGCGTCTTGGGAAATAATAATCGTCCAATGGAAGGTGCCATCTCCTCTCCTGAAGAGACCAGCATATATACCTCCGGGGGGAACTGTGGGGCCCGGCATAGGGTACTGTGTGATATTAAGCCTGTTTACTGGAACCATGGCAATAAAAATTGGCCAACCGTACGATATGTGCGGACGATGGTACAAAGTAAGTGTCTTTGAACGTTCCTATAGAGTTTATTGAGCAAGATAACTTGGAGGACGGCTAAGGCACAAACCTCACTAGAAATCTGTCAGGTGAAAGGTTAAGGAGGTTGGTGCATATTCAAACCGCTCGTTCCGTCTTAACTGTCTTGCGGCACTGCAGTCGCATGATCAAGCATCAGATAACAAGAGCTACAACTGCGTGAGGTATACTCGGAGTCTGTAAACTTGGACCCCCAAATCAACACGAGTTGATATCTATGGGCCACATTATGTGATTTTGTGCTTCTGATGTTAGAATGAGAGATGACTCGGGTGAGAACTCACCAAAAAACAACATAATATCACACGGCTGCGTGAGTCAATATATCGGTCCCGCACTGCCCTCGAGTCCAGCTAGTGGCAGGCATCATCCTAAGGATTAGAGAAACGGATAAGATAGGTAACAAAGAAAGCACAAAACGTGCATACTCAAGGACGAGGCGAAATAGAAGTATGAAGCTGCATCTAAAATCATTGTCACTGCCTGAGAGGACATGATGTAAAGGGACCGGAACGCCGATTGTGACTCGTGGGCGCAACGGAGGGCGCTATTAACACCCTTGGCTGAGAATCAGAGTTATTATGGGGCACGATGGTCAAGCGCTAGTTCGTCTCCCTGCCGTATTTGGAGGTATTGATGATTGGTGTTCACTGTGGGTCCCTACCAATTGCGTCCAAGCACCGCCGCGTTTCCACAAACTTCCTATCTCACACAATCATCTGCAACTTGTAGCAGTTCTGTTTCTTTTCAACCAATTGTTGTGTCAAGGAAAGTGCGTTCGGTTTTGCATGTGCTAGAACATCTGCTTATGAGTTGTCTTTCAGCTATGCCAAACTTGAGCTTGACGGCAAGCGATACATCCGGCGGTCGCGGCCTGCTGTATCCGTATTCTCCACTTATGTGAGCTAACGACTGTACGAATAGGCTCGTAGGACTAACGTTGGCAGTCGTAGGACAAAGCCTCTGGTTCCTTACAAACATGATCGCGTTTCATTCGTGCTGTCCATATGGCTACGCGTTCCTCCCAGTTTTCGGATGCTAGGCTACAAGTGTCTAATGTTTTTGGGCCAAAAGTTTTACGGCAAGGCATCCGCATTCGTGCAGCGCCTCCCATTCAATATGTATGCGAAGTATGGGTACAATGTTCGATACGCTGAAGCCGTGACGATGAAATACGTCAAAGAAAACACTTCGATTCCGGTTCCCGCCGTCTTAGACGTTTTGCGAGATGATGGTGGTGCCTTCATTCTTATGACACGTCTTCCTGGTATTTCGTTTGGAGGAAACTACAGATTGGGAGAATTGTCTGCCACAGATTCATCTTCCTTCGAGGAGACACTGCGAGATTGGTTCGCACAGCTTCGCTCATTGCCTGCACCATCCAACGCCATATCTTCCATTGACGGTTCCCCTTGCCGCTCCTATCGAATCAATCACCAGTCAGATATTGGGCCGTTTACTTCCGAGGAGGATTTTCTCGCATCCTTCTTCGAGAAAATGCCAAGGCGGTTTCATGATGACCTTCATGCAAAGATGAAGGATCTATACAGCCCTCACCAGATCTGCCTTACTCATGGTGATCTCAATCCCTCCAATTTACTTTTTTACAATGGACATCTGTCCGGATGGATAGACTGGGAGTGTGCTGGGTGGTTCCCCGAGTACTGGGACTACACCTACGCCTTGTACAATCGGGAGATGTACACGGAGTGGTGCGAGCTTTTCACCCGAATATTTCCACATTATGAGAAGGAGTTGGAACTTGAGAAGGCCTTTTGGGCGGTCTGCAATCCCTGGTAATCGTCATCTACTGGTGAGTAACCGTCTAGAATTCAGTGAATGCAGACTGAGTGGCACGTAACAGTTGTTTGGCCATATACTAATGGCCCTGGAGCCATGCATTCAGACCTTGTCTTCCTCGTTTTCAGTCACTTCGAGTCCAGTGCGTCTGGATTTGTGCTTATCTCTCATTTTCGTCACGTCTATTCAATCACCCAAAGATAGGTAGAAGTTCCCTGCTTCAATCCTACTTGGTTTCTTGGGATATGCGTGGTCTAAGTATCCCGAACGGTCAGTTCCATGTTGCCTTCGTGATATTGTCTCAGTTTTGTCAGTTACAAAGTTGCGATACAAACCAGAGTACACAGGTACTTTGTCATTTCGCTAGACCGACAACTGGACATGTATTCTGTAATTCCGCACTTTGCCAGTCCTCAAATTCACCCCTACTCTTAGTGTAGATGATAACCATTTTGTCCCGGACCAACGTACGTCAGAATCTAATATGCCAGGAAAGCTACACCACCAACCCACTCATCACGCAACACCATAAACAATGTAGAGTATAAATACACCAAAACATTCCCTAGCAAGACAAACAATCCGCCGCGTGATCAAACACAGACGGAAGAGAGAAGGTCACGACCGGATCAATGCCTTCCTTGCCTCTTCACTTGCTCTTTGCGCCTTGACGATGGAGGAGCGCGGATGCGTACTTGAGACGGACTTGATGCCGGTTTTGTTCAAGCTGACCCTACGACCACTCCCAGCCGTGCTCGCAGAATTGGCAGCATTCGCTGCGTTGACCACCGCCACCGTGCGAAGCGTCGGCCCACTTCTTCGCGGAGCGTTGCGCGGGAATGGTACGTTCGGAGCAGCTCGCGCTGGTGCAGACACCGTCCGCGAGATACGGTCGCGGTCCACCTTTTTGATGAAGGGGCTTGGTAGGTTCTCCTCGTCGGACAAGTTGTATTCGGGCGCGGGCTGGGGAACAACGGCAGCACGCGCAGTCGATGTCGAATGGACCTTGGACGCGGGCTCGGACATCTGTGAGGATGAGGCACGAGTGCTCGATCGCCTGCTACGCTTGGGCTCTGATGCAGCCGCAGCAGCAGCTTCCACGGTCGGGCGGCTCGTCGACGCGCGGATCATGGATGGGCGCCGCAGACGCGTCGGTCTGACAGCAGGCGAGGGCTGCGGGGTGGTATCATCCGCATGCTCTTCGTGCGCTGGTGATGGCACACAAGTGTCACTCTCATCGCCGTTATTGTCTCCGTCATCATCTTCTGCCTCAGAATCGTAGTCGAATACCTGGGCAAAATTCAGACGGATCCTGGGGGTCCCGATGAACAGTTTCGTCAGTTCCGCGGGGCTAGGTGTGGCAATGGGCTGTCCCGTAGCAGTCAAGATGACGCCTTTCATCGCAGACGGAGGTGCGAGTAGCTTCGGGACCGGCGTCTCCACAGACAGGAGAGGCACCTTCTGGGTAGGGGTCTCTAGCACAGAGTATCTGGATAGAGCACGAGACGATATAGGCTCTGGCGATTCCGAGAGACGAGCAGTAGCCATGATGTTCTTCACCTCTTGAAGCGCCGTCTTGGTCTTCGACATGCCTGCTGAGCAACATTTAGTGCTTGAAACCACCAGACTATCGAGAATGTCTCGATTTTACCTCGCTGTGTGCTCTCGGACTCCAGCACAGCTATCTTCTTCTGCAGCTCCTCATCCAAGGCTTGCAAACGCACCCTTTCATGTTCCAGCTCCTCCGCCCGTTGCTGGACCCACTCCATACGTTCCTCCACGGCGCGGCTCATCGCTTCCCGTGCCTTGGTCTCCCACTCTATCCACATCTGCGTGATCTCCTCCTCGCGCCTGCGCACCGCCTCCATTATTTCTTCCTCGCGACGCGCCATCCGAGCAGCGACCTCCGCCTCCTGCTTCAACACCATCGCCCGGAGCTCCTCGTCGCGCCGTGTCACGGCCTCGCGTATGCGCATGAGCTGTGCAGCTTCTGTGTTTGCGGCTTGTGAGCGGAGGGTTGCGATTTCCTCATCTTTCTGCGAGAGAAGAGCTTTTGCGCGAGTCTCCTTCTCTGTGAGTAGCGCGTTTAGGCGTGTTTCCTTCTCCGCTATCGCAGCTTCTCGCGCAACAATATCACGCTCTCTAGCTTGTAGGTTGGCCTTATGAGCCTTGACTTGATTCAACCTGCAACAAATAGTGTCAATAGCACAGAGCAATGCAGCAAGCTGTAGTTACATTTTCTGGGTCTCAGAGACTTTGAAGGCGAGTTCCAGTCGCTCGTGTCCGAGCAACTGGCCTGCGGACGGCCGCATTGCAGGCTAACAGAACCATCAGGTGAGGCCCACAAACAACAAAGTGCGTACTCACGTTCAGGTTGAGCATTGTCTTGATGACACTCGACAATGATTGACTGTACCCCTTCGGCAGTGGGGGTATCCGTCCGTTCCTACGGGCCTCTCAGCATCTTCTGAAGCAGAATGTATGCGCATCGAACACTACCTGATGAGAATACTGAGTTCCGCGTGTGTCTTGGCTTCGTGGAATGGGGGCCTGAGTGCGCAGAGCTCGTATATGAGGCAACCGAGCGACCACATATCCGACTTGGAGTCATAAGCTCTCTCTTGCATCAACTCGGGGGACATGTAATATGGTGTCTATGGAAAACGTGAAGACACGCATGAATATGCCATGGACGCGAGACGTACGCCGACATAGGTATTTGCGAAGCTGGCCTGAGCGAGGGCTTTCGAGAGACCGAAGTCACCGAGTTTGACAGTGTTGTTCTCATCCAGAAATACTATGCCACTTTGAGAGCATCTTCCCCAGTCAACTTGCAAGGCAACTCACCATTGTCTGGTTTCAGATCCCTGTGCAGGATCTGTGGCCGCCGTTCCTTCCCCTCATAATCACTACCGGTGGTTGAGGGCCGGCCGTGTCCATTGGGATGATGACAGTGATTCAATGCGAGAAGTAGCTGCATGAAGTAGTTCCAGACGGTGTCTTCAGGAATTGGTTGGTTGTGTCGCTGGGCTTGTTTGATGACGGAAGACAGGTCGCCACCTCCACAGTACTCCATGAGGATGTAGAGAATGCCTGCTTCGCGGTCGACATGTCGGTCGTGATAGCGGACAATGTGCTCGTGATTGAGCTCCTTGAGGATGTTACTGTTGGCAGCCGCGTCAACGTTTCAGTGGTCACCAGTCCAGGGGGGCAAACTTACACTTCTGAGACAATTTGCTTGCGGTCTCTGTCTGACATTCGCTCGAAATTGAGCTCCTTCCTTGCTAAAATCTGAAGCGGAAATGAGTCATAATATACGGCAGACAGGGAGAGCGACTGACGACACCGTCTGACTTCCGACGGACTTTCCTAATGATGCCGAAGGAGCCTGTGCCGATGACATCGAGAGGGTCATACAGATCTAACTGTGACGACATGGTGGGGGGTGTCGCGAGGACCACAGCGACGAGGAGAGAACGAGGGGACGGCGACGAGGAGAGGACGAGACCGCGACGAACTTGAAGACGAAGTCACGGTTCAATATTCTTTGGGCTTGGACTGAATTTGTCGTCACACATCACGTTTCGAACCGCGTATCTCTTTCCATCACGTGACCGTGTTTGTTGTCACGTAACATTTTAGAGGTTTTTGTGCATATGGTACGTACAAACCTAACCTCAGACCTTTCTCCTCCGGATGCCGGGCCCGGCTGGACTGTTTGGGTGATCTTCTGACACCATGTGCTCCGAGTCAGAGAAAAACATATCAAGGAAGACATCCACGGCGTGCACGTTGGTAGGAACCGCTCCATACGCGCGTTCTGGCTGATCGATAGGAGCTTATCTGAGTATTCCACACTCAATCTTCAGCATGAGTTCCCAGAGACCTCCACCTGGAACGAGCTCCAATATTTCTTCTGTACGTCTCTTCGTACCGACCCCATTCACCTTCCCAACGACCACCAGGAGCGAGGACGTCTGCGTGCTGCACGGTCAGAAACACTACATCCGTGCTTGAGTAAGACGTTGAGTAATTCCGGAGATGCGTCAGTGTCCAATGCAATGGCGAGCTTCGTTATGCGCACTGACTTCCTTCATTTTTTGGACCCGCTCAGGCCTCATTATTCGCGAGGACCCTACCGCCGTTGGCGAGTATATTGGCAATTACATCTGCAAGCGGTACGTGTGTTCACCTCGAATATGTCCCCTATGTCCCCTTGTTCCAATACGCGCTTGCGATTCACATCTCTACTCTTGAATTCAGTATCAATGACTTTGCGCCGACGCCGGAGAGACCATTCGTTCTCGGACTTCCAACAGGCTCGTCGCCCATTCCTACCTACAAGCATCTCATAAAGCTCGTGAAAGAGGGAAAGCTCTCGTAAGTCACCTCGTTCTGCCTGCTGCGCAACATGTTCCCCAAACCTAGAACCAGTCCGACTGACTGAAACCATGCCGTTTATTTCCACAGATTCAAGAATGTAGTCACCTTCAACATGGACGAATACGTCGGTCTACCCCGGGACCACCCCGAGTCCTACCACACCTTCATGTTCAGAGAGTTATTCTCGCACAGTGCGTACCATGACCCCCACGAATTGCTTCACATGATCATTGACACACCCCGAACAGTCGACATACCCCCCGCCCAAGTGAACATCCTGAACGGCAATGTCAAGAACCTCATTGGTGAGTGCAAAGCGTACGAGGCCAAGATTAAGGCGATGGGCGGCATCGAGCTCTTCCTCGGCGGCATCGGCGAGGACGGGCACATCGCATTCAACGAACCCGGTAAGTCTCCCGCTCCCGCTCCCCCTCGCACTACGTGAATACTCACCTTGCGTTCCCACAAGGCTCCTCGCTCGCATCGCGCACGCGCATCAAGACCCTCGCGTACGATACGATCCTCGCGAACGCGCGTTTCTTCAACAACGATATCGCCGCAGTGCCGCGCATGGCACTCACTGTTGGCGTCGCGACCGTGCTCGACAGCCGTGAGGTAGTCGTTGTCGTCACTGGCCAGCGCAAGGCGCTCGCGCTGAGTCAGGCTATCGGTGAGTCGTGCTTGGTGCTGAGACAAGTTGCAGGTACTGACATAGTGGTGTTGTGGCAGAGCACGGCGTGAACCATCTCGTGAGTAGTCCGCAACTAGGCACGTTCAGGCGGCCTGATTTCGTTCTAGTGGACTCTATCTGCCCTGCAGCTGCATCCATGGGGGCTGATTGTCGTCGATGAAGACGCCACAGCAGGTACGTTCGTTCGCTTGTTTCGCACACCGCGTCCCTGACTTTCGTGTAAAGAGCTGCACGTGAAGACCGTCAAATACTTCAAGTCAATCGAGCGCGTGCAAGACGAGGTCGAAGCGATGCACGCCAAGCTTCAGGCAGAGGGAGTGGAGGACGACCAGGTCGGCAGCATGGATTGAAACGAGAGATCGAAACTAGAAGGACATAGGGATTTGGAGGTGCGGTTGATATCCCTCTCACGCTGCGTCGCGCTCGTCTATAACGATTCGCGCACGAACAACTCTAGTGCAGCACTGTCATCAATGCAATTTGTATTAGTAGTCAACGATTGCTTCCTTTTTCTCAACACAGCAAGAGTTCGCTGACGAAGGGCCAAAGCCTTCGGTACAACAAATAGGAGAGCCAGACATAGACCCATGCTTCGCAAGGCAAAGAGGAGCCTTTTTTCTCGTTCCGCCATGAAGGAGATTGTAACAAGAGTATTGTCATGCTGGGCATACGCTTCATACAATTTTGCGGAAAAAAGGCAATAAATGCGCATATGCTCCAACTAACAGCGTGGTGTAGCCGGAGAATGAATAGCGTGTGGACGACGACCAGCCTAAACCCTTACTCCCAGCCCGAGGGCACAACTGGATCTGCGCCCCAGGTGGACGGCCCTGTGGGCTCTGCTGCCCAATCGGTAGTGGTGCCAGCGGCAGGCTCCGCCGCCCAATCGAGAGTACCTGAAGGCACAGCTCTTCGATTAGCGCGAACCCGGGAGAACTGAAACATAACGTACCACTGTCACCAGCAACAAGACCAGGGTTGATACCACCCGCCGCAGGGGCGGAGGTAACGTCCCACTCTGAGACACCTGCTGGCTCAGGCTCCACACCCGCAGCGGCAGCCTTCGCCTGAGCTTCCTCCTGCTGCTGCTTCTCGACCTCCTCGGGGTCGCGGTAGAAGAACATGTCGACCATGACGTTCCAGCCGTCCGCGGTGCGTGGGATGGTGCCGCGGAGGCGGAGGACTTCCCGCGCGAGCAGCCACCACATCAAGCCAATCGAATGGCGCGACTTGTTGTTGGTGGGGATCGCGACGTCAACGTACTTGAGCGGCGCGTCGGTATCGCAGAACGCGATAACGGGGATGTTGACGTACGACGCCTCGCGGATCGCTTGGTGGTCGACCCGCGGGTCCGTGACGACAATGAGACGGGGCTCCTTGAAGGAGCGGGTGATGTAGTTCGTGAAGGAACCGGGGGTAAAGCGGCCGGCAATGGCCTGTGCGCCAGTATTGGCAGCATATTTGAGGACGGCACGGTGGCCGTATGGCCGGGCGGAAATTACACAGACGTCGTTCGGGTTCTCAATGGCGGCAATGATGCGAGCGGCGAAAACAAGCTTCTCCCAGGTCTTGCCTATATTGATGATGTGAATACCTGCCCCCCATCGTCAAGCCTGCTGGGTTAAAGACGCGAGAACACACAAGCAAGACTGACCGTCTACCCTCCTCTTCCACACGTACGGCAACATCTGCTTGTCGCAGTTCTTGCTGCCGATATGCGCCTGGGCAGCTAAGAGTAACTGAATCTCCTCATCGGTTGCGCTGAGGACCGAGGGAAGTTTTGACGACATGATGGACCTAGAGAGAACATCAACATCCGTACTCCGTCTATGCCATCCATTCCGACGCGGCAGTCGAATTCCTCCGTTCTTTCGCTGGCGAGATGGGCGAGACAAGCCGAACACGTACCGTTAAGGGTTGCTTTCAGGTGAACGGACGTTGGGCTCGGCGACGTTGGCAGACTTTCGGGCAGCTCCCTCTTCTGCGTGGTGCCCGCGCGCCGAAGTCAGAGTTCGCGATTGGCCGTACGTTTTCCCACGCCACTTCACGCACTCAGTCCCAAAATTTATTGAACGTATATATGGGCCGCCGGGGGCATTGGGGGCCCAAACGCTATTGACTGCACTTGGTTAAGGTCAAACAAATCGTGAAGTCTTGCCCTTGTGTTTTGCTGCGATAATTTTGTCTTCTACGGGTGGCAATGTTTTTCGCCGTCTGGAAATCCGAAATGCACAGTCACGGTGATGTCGAGCACCTTGTGGTGGGAATCATCTCAGGCCGCAGTTGATACACCTTTTATGCTTCATCGACTTGCAACGTACAGTCATGATATGGTACGCTCCTTAGGGTGCGTTATTCCGCCTAGTGCTCTCAATTTTCCCTGCACCTCTAACGCGAGTTTGTTATATCTGAGTCTAATTTGTCTCGTCTCTTGACTTTACTTGTCGGACCAACGCTGCGATCTCCTCCGGTCCTGTCTTGCAACATCCCCCTACAATCAACCCTCCCCATATGTTTCGTTCCATCACAGGTCGTACTATATCGCAGAGGTACTTCGCCCATGCTCCTCCTTGTGTCTGCGTGTCGCTCGGGTGCCACGTGTGGTTGACTGCATCAAACACATCACCTCTATTTGGATACACCACCAACAACGGTCTGTAGTCCTCGTCATTGCACACTGTCTGGATGGTATCCGTTGCCTCTTGCAGCAAGGTGGGAAGGAATTCTATGCTTGTACAATTGACGCCGAACCCGATAGGCCTTGGAAGCAACGCAGCGTCTGCGTTCTTTCGAAATGCGCTCGTTGTTACCCCCTGGACCGTCAGTTTCCCCCCTCCGGGACTCAGCTCTCCTGGAAAATGACCGCCAGGGTATACTGTGGCAATCCACCAGCGCTTCATCTGCAATGCTCCTACTTCCCCCAGTAGTAGTCCGACGGCCCTTCGTATCGCGGTTATTTCTCTGGCCAAAGGCACCGTTTCAAAAGCGACGAAGTCGATGGCGTCCCACGTGTCCTTGTCCTCGGCGAACACTCGCAACCGCTCCAAATGGAACGTTGTTAGAGCTTCAATCGCAGCTTTTTTGCTGCGAGCGCCCGCGTCCAAATCCCCGAAAGCATTGTAATTCTTCTCGTTGGGAGTGTACCCCTTCGGCCCGTAAGGAGGAGGGTACAATCCACTGAATTCCTGGGCATGAGGTAACGCTGCACCGTATGGACCCAGTGCTAGGGCAATCCTGATATGTTTTTGCGGAGTGTCCTTGTTCCCATCGTTGCGCTCATCGAGTAAGTAACGCCTACGAGCCTCCACCGCTAGGGCGACCGATTTGCGCATGATGCGCACAGCGTCGGTGCGCGAGTATCCCGATCGCTCGAACGTCTCCCAGGCACATTGATACCTGTTCAGATCAGTGAGGTGCTTCGCTACGATTACTATGTCAAAGTGGCCGCACGTTGATGTGAGGATCACGTCCGCCCCTGCGCGCAGGAACGCCAGATGGGCTTCGATGATGGTTTCGGGATCGTCGTCAATGGGCTTCGCAGACCATAAAGGGGTAGAGATATTTTTGTGAAACACATCTTCAAGGGTTGTACCCTTGAGGCATATGTAGAGAATCCACGTCTCCTTTCAGCCTTCAAAAGCCAAAAAGCTTGTCAGCTCACCAAACCCCCGTCAAGAATGAGTATTTCTGTGCCATTCTCGGATATCATCTCCGAGTTCCTCGCTACTGTTAAATCTTGCAAAATGAATTGGAAGGCTAGAATATCGAAGGAGACAATCCGTGACGCGTATCAAAGCAGGCGTTTGATAAGGCCTATACGTAGGGCTTTTACTACTATGGGTTACCACTCACTCGGCGAATCCTGTAAGTCGGCAGTCCCCAAACTCCCCCATATAAGGGAATAATCCAGGGTAGGTGCGCATCTTCTCAGGTCAAATTCCCGCCGCTTAGAACATTTGACCCGAATCCTCCCTATGGGAAAACTGCCGACTTACAGGGTCCGCCGAGTGAGTGGTAACCCATAGTATGAGTCAAACCGGATTGTCAGCATAGACTCGCTCATCTGTATGATATAGCGGTGTCTTCAGTTACAGAGTCGGATTGTTTCATCGGAAATGAGATCAGAGTGAGCAGCTGAAGGAGCGTTATGATGATAACAAAACACAGCACGGCCAATCGGTGCATGTTGTCTCCGGAGCTTGGTGCATTACAGTAGATGAGGTGTTGTAAATAATACATATCTACATTGATATAACGTAGAGAGAGACCGCTCGTAACAGTAAGCTTTACTTCACATCTAACGAATAGACAGGCGGCGTCAGACAGTGCGTAGAGACAGACGATCGGAATTGAACGCACGATTGCAGCCCATATCCGCTCTACCCAGTTACGAGGAGGAGGCTCGTCATATCTAAGAGAGCGCGTGACTTTAGCGCTGCTGCAATAGACGTAAGTTGTGACACTTACGACGCCGCCAACACCTCGTCAAGGCCTGACTTGAAATCCATATCCTGCGGCTTGATGAGCCACTCTCGTTTCCAGATGCCAGATCCGATGACCATGACGGGGTAAAGCATGAAGGGAAGATAGTTGGTAACGAAGGTGGCTGCACTCCAGTTGCCCTTAAGGAACACGGACCAGCCACTGAACTACATGTGTATAACGATTAGATTTCTTACAAAGCTCCCGGTAAATAACGAGTATGGTACTCACGAAGCACACGACGAACGCCAAGATGGCAGCATACCACGCAGCAAATGGCTGAAGGGGCGATCTGTATGGCAGGGTATTGCGGTCAATACCCTGAGCCTTCAGACCCTTGTGGAACCGAATATAGGTCACTGCAATAGCGAACCAACTCATCAATCCGGCAACAGAAGTCCTGTTCGAAGTGAGATCAGAACATCGCACTACTTTCGTAGAGCTGAATGAAGCTCACATATTGGCAAACCTGACAGCAACAAGTTAGCGACAACTTGAGCACGACGAGATGAGCGCCACATACCATCCGAATACACGGCCGCTACCACTGGAGACATCCATGTACGACAAGCAGGCGATCAAGGCAGAGACGATGACGCAATAATAGGGAAGACCAAAGCGGTTAACCTTGGTGAAGATCTTCGGCGCATTACCGGCTAGAGCAAGTCCATCTTCGAAAGTGACGCCTTAATCAGAACCAGCAAACAGACCATAACACAAATTTCCTCACAAAGCGCGCGGGAGCTGCAGTACATGTCACTGTTCGCAGCAGACCATGCTGACGTCAGAATACAAGCGTTGATGACCTGAAACAATTCAGTGTGCAGGGAGGTACTGCGGACGTAAGAACTTACAGAAGGAAGACCCTTGATTCCGGCAGTCTGGATGGCGATGACAAAGGGCGATGCAGCCGCTGTACCGCTAGCCAAGTTCAGATGAGGGTTGTTGTACGGCACGAGTAGGCCAATTATAGTGACACCTCCGATGTAGAATAACAGGATGCGGACGTAGACACGCTTGATGGCCTTCGGAATGTTTCGACGAGGGTTCTTCGATTCAGCTCCCGCAATCTAGCCGAAGTCATATTGCTCAGCATAGGACAAGGTACCGTCGAACGTGGGAGACATACCGCGACGACCTCCGTGCCGATGTATGAGAACGCGGCCTGCGTCAATACTGCCCAGAAAGCCAAGAAGCGACCCTTGGCACCTTCGATACCAGCATATTGATTGAACGGACCAGGGTGCTTCCAGTAGCGGAAGCCGAGACGGTCATGGTTCGGACCACCACCCAAATCGAGGACGATTCCAAGGATAATAAGTCCGGTGATCGTAAGGACCTTGATGGAGGCGAAGATGAACTCCGCCTCGCCGTACACAGCTAGGGAAGGGGATGAGTCACTGCGAAGTCAGAAAATGCTGCGAAGAACGCACCAGGACCGAACATATTAATCAAAATCACGACGACGATACACATCGTTATCCACACCGCATTATTGACAGACTTGTTCCTAAAGGCGAGGACTCAGAGCGCCGCCCAACAACCTGTCAGTGCGATCTCAACATACCAGTAATTAATGAGGACGGCTGCCGCACTCAATTCTGCAGGTAAAATGATGACCCAGTTATACCCTGAATGAAGGAACAGTAAGCGAACGAACATAATATTGACGTAATTATTGTTTTACTCACAGTACTGCCATCCAAGTGCAAAAGACCACGAGGAGCTAACGAAGCGGGCTGCGTAGGTGATGTGACCACCCGGAATGGGTAGAAGAGCAGCCATTTCTCCAAGAGAAACCTGTCGAAGAGATGAATCCGACGGTTGCGAAGAAGTAACAACAGATGTAGACTAACCATGGTGCAGTAACATAGGGAACCGATTATGAGGTATCCGAGGAGCAACCCAACTGGGCCGCCATTACTGAGACTGCCGGCCGTGCCCAAGAACAGACCAGTACCAATGACACCTAAGCCAGATCGTCACTACGTAACTCAACAATACTGCTGAAGTACAAGACATACCACCAATACTATGAAGCACAATCACGATCAGTGCGGGAGGCGAGCGATAGTAGTGCCCAAACGCACCTGATCATGGCAATGTGTCTGTTTTTCATGGCGCGGTGCAGACCCGGCTCCTGCGGAACAGCGTATGCATGGGCCTCGGAGTCGGTGTCGACACCCTTGTAGGTGGTGTCGGGGGAGTGTTTCTCGTCGTAGTCGGCCATGGTGGGTATCGTCTGACTATCGGACCACTGGAGGACGCAGCACTGGACACCATGATTATATAGGCAGGCATCAACTGCGATAAGGAAGGAAGATTTGGAAGATCTAGCACAGATCTCGGTAAGAAGACTGCTATGGACACATTTAGCTTAGACCACGTTAACGTTCCTGAGGGATATGCTGGTTGTGTACGTACGCCGCGGCTGAAACTTGTGACAGTGGTTCATTCACAAGGGTACTCGTCGCAGCTGAGATGTGGGCGAACAGCACGCATACGCGAGCACTCGAGCAAAATGCTACCTCCTGCTCTCCTATGGCTGAACAATCGCTCTGGATTTGTCGTAATCTTGCCTTCGTGTAGGTCCGCGTGAAGAGATAATACACACACGGAGTGGGGTAGCGCTCGTGCACCCAATGATTGGCAATTACGGAAAAGGTGCCTTGCCGGAATACACCACCTCCTTATCCCATGGCAACCTCTCCAATTCCGCCTCAACCGCTGCGCAAAGCACAAGATTATACTTTCCTGCACAGGGAAACGAGAAATCTGTCCCAAATTTCCTCTCCATGGAATGAAACCAATAGAATCAGCGAAGGCACTGGCCTTCCGTCATATCGTGGAAGAGCTCTCGGCCCCAGTACTGGGCGACGTAGATAAACCATAGGGGTAGCGTGCCACCTTGCATTTTTTCACGAAAGGATCGATCGATGTAGCTGACGCCAAGACACAACATAGACATCAAATTGCAGTCTGCCTGACGTCGCGGCCAGCAGTTGATATCGTACAGATGCTCCGAGTCCGAGGCTCCGAGCGACGCGCAATTATTTCAGGCCAGACAGGCCTGGATAGATAACAATTTTTCACCCGCCAGCAGCAGCAGCAGCATTTGCTGCAACTGAGCGGCTCGGAAAAGGACAATACCAGCGGAGCGCTTGCATCTCGAGTAACTTGAAGACAGTAGACGCCAGGGGGGACTTCGGGTGCTCGTTTCCGTTGTCAGGAATGCCCATCCCTTCGGTTCCGATACATGTACCTGCGCAGTGCCTCGCCCACCCGATCTCCAGGGACTCACCGTCGAGCAAGTGAAAACCGAAGATCCACATGAGATGCTCAAGTAATCTATGTCAAAGCCACAATCAGGTCATATCCACAACAGAAAGCCTGATTCTGTATCATACCAGCGCCTTCTATGCGCACCTGTCAGCAGCGAGGCCAACGGGCGAAAGCAACAACGAATAATAAAACAAACAGTAGTAAACAATAGGCCAGCGTGTGTACGTGCCTACAGTCAATTTCTCCTACATCGGCGCGGTGGAGATATGCGCACGTCGACCCGACCAGTCTCGAGCTGTGCTGATTCGGGGGAAGATGGATGACGCTGTGGTCCACTGGTCACCAACGCCATACTCCGCCGGTAATACACCACCACCACCACCACCGGAGCCATTAGTGGCAACGGAACCGGCAAGCGCCTAATCGCCGACAGGCAGCTGACGTTCGCTCGACCACCGATAAGGGAACCACAAACCATATTGAAGCTGAATCCCGTAGCGTTACGAGAAGCGAGCTGTGTGATATGTTCCAGGCCTGAGGTGCCTGCGGAATAGCGCCTGTTCCATAATCAGGACCTGCGCTGCAGATTGTTCTGGAGTTGTTGGCGAGCCTCTGAGGAGCGAAGGAAGAAAACAGACTGCCACATCAAGGGAGTACCGCCGAGGTCCAGTGAGTACGCAGAGGTACTGAGAGAGTCAAGGCCGTAAGGAGGTCTGCGACTCTTCATCGATCAAAGGGCTGTTCTCCAGAGACAACGTGCTGTGCGAAAACCCGACTTACCAAATATCTCATGGCTTCGGACGCAGCATCGCGATGCGGACGTCACGGTGACAAGCCTGAGTGTTGCGCACCACGAGACAGTCAATCAGCAGACCAGTGGAGAGCGTCAGTGCGTGACCACGAAAAAACATGCTACACGCGCAGACGGCCACATCTATTCTAACGTGCCTCGTAAAATTAGCGCCTCGGTGGACATTCCTGACTCTTCAAGCCCAAGCTTCAGCACTCACATGCGTGCAGTATTTGACCATAGACATATTCTTGTGGCCTCAAGAAGCGTAGCAGAAAATTTCCGAGTCAATATCCTAGGGATAACCCATCTCGTCGCTGTTGCATCGCTTTCCTGATTGTCCGTGCCCAAGTCCAGGCCCTATCATTATGGCACGAACCACGAAGAGACAGAATCCAAGGCAAGCAGCTGCAGATATTGCACTGGTACGTTGGAGCAGATCATGGTATGAATGAGACAAAGATCGTCGTATGTCATGCTCGAAGTTCGAGTCAACGACTTGCCCGCTTTCCCACGCCCTGCATCTTGCGGTATCCTCCAACTTCCTTCAAATTATTTATAACACCCCGGTGAAGAGCCCTGGCGCTGGCTTTGCTCTCCTCGTCGCGGAGTGGTTGGCGTCATCTACTACCTTGCTAATTATGAGACTTTTGCAGGGCCGGCGCAGACGCGCAATACCTCATTGATCGTGCATCATGACTATTTTTAATGGAGACCGGGTACGCATCTTGCCTCAGGTCGGGTACTTGAATGCAGGGAAGTAACGATCTACACGTCATGGTGATACCGGGTTTCAATGGGGATAGTGCTCTCACCAGGGAATCATGACCGCGGTTTATCGGCGTCCTATCCATTATTCATGCCGCACTCAGGCGTCGATGGCCGTCAGTATGATAGCTATGTGTCGCCGCGTACACCTGGGACTTGGTGCGCTTGTATAGTCATCTTTCTGGTTACTTTTAGCGGGCCGGGGTACGTCGTCCGACAACTGGACGAATATACGATTATCCGAGAGGACCACATTTCATCCTTCGCGGTGAGTCTTCAACATGTCCAGATATGTCAGACTACGATCTCTCTCACTTCGGCGAGCGAAGCTATTAGGTGGTTTTGAGCACGTTCAGTTCCAGAGGATTGCATCTTGTACCGCCGACGATTACCCTGCGTCGAAGACGTTCACTATCAATTACACGCATAATCCATTGCGCTGCACCTCGGGATTTATTGGGGCAAGGTGATTCAGACGCGCAGAATGCTGCGCGGTAGCCATACCAGAGCATCGGCTTGAGCGAAGCGTTACATGGAGCGTTCATCCGTGTGGGATGAAATTTCTCTACGCTCCAGTCGTAAGTACCTTTCACTTCTTGATTTTTCACTCCTTGCCCCATGATTTGGACTTGGAATCGCAAAGTAGTCGTTTCCCGGTCGGGTTTACCTCGGTTTCACGCCTGCAGCCAGCGGCACACCTTCATGCTTGGTACCAGTTGTATTAATATATTGCAATTAATCTGGATCTTACCTCTCATTTATACATTCGAGAGCGCTGCTTCTCGTTGCTTCGTGTCATCACACACATTGTTCGACAATGCTCGAAGGGTGCCCTGAGGTAGCTGTACGAGAAACGACATGGGGGGGGAGAAATTGAAAGCAAGCCAGTCAGTTCTGTAAGTATAACCCCCACAGGTTCGTCCCTACAGTAGAGATTCTAACACAGAAAGAGCAGCGGCAGGAGACGCATATGCATACCCTACCCCTACTAACAGGTACGAGTAGGACATGCCTCGAGCTTGCCACGAATGTCCTCTCATCGGGCATCGCCCCAGAGACGGCCTCGATCTATGGAATTTGCTACGGGGCAGAGCCTCAGTGCGGGGGAGCTAAGCACGAGGGTATAAGCTTACCTGTGCGTCGAACAAGCTTCACGAAGTACGCCCACATTGTCCACAGGCCTCGTGAAGTGAGGCAAGATGTAGGGTGGGGTCGACCGTGAGTGGGGTAACGTCGGCAGAGAGGTCGAGAATGCTTGTTGCTTGTGGAGGCCACGACTGGTGGAGACGTAAGGAGATGATTTGCAGGTATCGTTGTGCGTGGAGGCGGGCCGCCGTACATGTGAGCGCACGCTCCGTGCGTGGATATTGCGATCTGCCGCATCGCCATACATTGACTATGCAAACGCACGGGATGGGGAACGGAAGTACCGCTCCCGTTGCAGCATCCTACTGCGGACGCACAGTTCGGAAAACAATTCCCGATGCAGAGGTAAATCGATGATGAATTTGAAATCCAAGTACTTGGAAATTCCAAGAAAGTGAGGTTGCAGCTTTGAAAGTTCTGTGTGGAGCACGATAACAACAGCATGCGGCCGGCGCAATCGAAGGGGACGGAGCAACATTGATTATAGCTAGATATCGACCGTATCTTTAGTGGTTGATGTACACAATGGATTTACTGCTCCTCAGCTTGCTGTTCCTGGTACGGACGAAAGGCGGGACCGAAGCATGTACAGACTCTTGATCCAGATTCGGCAAGCACGGGTGCATTGTGAGGAGGAAGGCACGGAAGTGGGTGTTCTTCCCTCGGGACCATCGTCCACCGAGAGGCCTGGCCGAGCAGCTCTCGTGGTGTCGTATGTTCTGCGTGCCTGCAAATGTGGCTGAAGAAGAGGCACCGTGTATGTCATCTCCGCCTATCGAGCGCGAGCAAAGGCGCCGGGCCCTGTGTTCTTTTCTACTCCTGGAGGAACGTGAGACAGCCATGGTGAATCAAGAACTTGAATGGAAGAGGGCATTGGCCGATAAAAGTTGTGTATTGCTGAGCATATGTGATTGGGGCTGGGACCCGCGAATTCCACACAGCTGATTATGATGACGAGCTGAGACGGACACAGCGAACCTACGGTACCTAGAATGATCGGCGCTTCCTCCGGGAGCCTGGGAGACAGGGCTACTGGACGCGTGTATCAGACAGCGCGAGTCTTGGGCAGGATCAGGCCATGCTGATATGTCATCAAGAGCTAGTGCAGACAGTCGCGAAGAGTGGACTTGAAGGGTGTTCGACAGCTCGGAGGATCCTTCCCCGAAGGAACTGCGGAGGTAGTACTTTCCGAGGAGTTGGCGGGGCAATTCCAGCGAGGTACGCCGTCACGGGCCCACTAGTGCGTGTTGGTTGAGCAAGTTTGGACATAGGCCCGACCTTCATGCAGGTTGAGAGCACCGAGTGTTGGGCGCCTGGGCACTCGAAGCGGAGATCACGTTGCTGGCATGTATCTCCGACTCCGCCTCGGACAGTCTGCATGCCAGTGCGGCTTGGCACCGTCATGCAGTTGCTTCGCTGCAAGCTTTTGCATAGGCTCATAGATACAGCCTAGCTGGAAGACAGTCGTTCCTTTGTAACAGATCATACCTTCAGTACACCATGTCAGCTATACTACCAACCTGGTACTCAATGTCCCCAACTCGAGATTATCTAATCCCTCCGTTGAGTTGTTGTGATCGTCCTATCACATCTTGTGTCATCAGTCTTTCCAGCGTTAGATCTGCCGCTGGGGATTCACGCTAGCGGGGCTCAAAAGCCCAACACCAGATTTGGTAGGTTTCGATCAACAGATGCGTGGTTTTCGTACATTTTCTTCGCCAATTCTCCCTTCTGTGGCCTTTATACACCCGCCTTCTCAGCCCAGCGTGCGATCACCTCGGACGGCGTGGTCATCGACATGAGCGGAAATACAATGTCGAGGATGCGCGCGTCCGACGAGCGCGAGTAGCTCCGGGCTACCTTCGCTCACGAGCAAGGCTACGTCGTCGTTGCATCTTCGTCTTCTATTTCGACGATACTCCACAGATTCTAGCTTAGAACTCAGGACTAAGGATGGTGCCGAATTCCTCGTGGTGCTTATGACCGCACAATTTCCGTTGTGTGTATCAAGGGTGAGCTATGTTGAAAATTATTCCAACGCTCAGGTTCATTCGTATGTCAGGGATATGCTCATTAGACTTAGACAGCCCGTACCTTGACAAAGGGCGGGTTTGTACCTACGGTGTGGCCTAGGCGGCGAGGTGTCAACATATCGGACCCGTCATGAAGCCGCTGTACTTACCTCTGAGCAGACATAATGGCAAGGGCCCGGTTTCCGGATGCGGAATTTAGTTCTGATAAGGCCCGTTAATCACAGCCCAGATGCGGCGGTTAGATTTCATCCCCAGGGTTCGAAGTCCTGACAGACCGCCGGATCCTCCATTGACAAGTTAAAAGTCTTCCATCTCGGCATGCTTGTCTCTGTGTCCTCCCTCTCCTCTTCCCCTTCCACTCTCCAGCACGACACATCCCTCGGGCCAAGTCCACCATCCACCCACCTCTCCCTTACCGTGACCGCCATGGATTACGGTGAGCACGCATCGCTTCGTATTACGTACGCGAAGAGCGCACTGACAGCGTGCCATCACCTCCTGCCTAGACGCGTATGACGCTCTTCTCCACCACATCTTCCGACAGGCGAGTCGGCATTCATTTTCTCTACTGGTCTCGTTCTAAACTCCTTCATCAAACAGACCCAGGAAGGCGCTTGGTTCAAACCCTCGCTGGAGAATGTGCATGCAGGTGTTTGTCTCCGGGTCGACAGCACCCACTTCCGCGTCTTTCCATACGACAATCACTACCTCGCGCCGTTCGAGGAGGCCGTGAAGATCATCAATCCCGTCGTCGCTGTCAAGGTGCGCAATGCTGCTATTCATGCTGCTCTCGGTACAGTGTGCGTCGCTCTTCTATCTGTCTCAGACTCGACCATGACGTGTCTTCGTCCCTGATGGTTAGGAAGGAGGATGAGGACTCCATCTTCATCAACGAGGACACGCGTATTCAGATCTTGAATACCATGCTGGATCTCCCTCGTGCAGACAGGGAACAGTGCGCTGCCTTCATTGTGCGTTCTTCCATCTCTGATGTCATATATGAGACCGATTTGTTCTCCGAAAGCGCGATGAACGCGTCCTCGTCGTGTGGTCATACAATTTGGAGAACATTGTCCCTACATGTGCCGACTTCGAAGAGAAGCTCATCGCGCTGGTGTGGAAGAGGCGGACAGCGTTCTCCTCCATCGCCGGCTCTACCTCGCCCTCCAACGAGGCTTCCGACGCCAGCTTGACTGAGAAAGTCGAGGCGGTCGTCTCTGAGCAGGAGATGAAGGAGAAGGTTGAGCAGAAGGAGAACGCGAAGAAATCTGCTCCCGGTCTAAAGCTCGGATTCTTGACGAACTACTTCGTAACGGAAAAACACGACGTCGAGAAGACTGCCGAAGGCCCTTCGCCACGTCCTATCCGCCTCTTTGCTCCTGTATATGGCGGTTTGGCTTCAGCTCTCTCCATCTGTAAGTTTGATCTATGTCAGTTCTCTATTATACTCACTTACTGTGCGTTAGTTTTCATTGCCAGCGGTATCTCTATCCTTCTACAAGAATCCGTCCTCGATGGTTCATACACTCGTTTCGCGCTTATTGTTACGGTACCTTTTCTCTTCTGCGTGTCGATCGTGAGTCTGTTTGGCGTCTGTGGAGATATATGAAATTCACTGAAATTCGCCCGTAGTTCTTCTCGTCGCAGATCATCACAAACATCTCCTACCTGTACGCGTTCTTTTCAGACCTTCTCAGGTGCATTGCTCATCATCGCCCTCTGCAGCATTGGCCCCGTCGCGCAATACCACGAGAACTCGAAGTACTACTCCGCAGTCCGACCTGCCCCGAATAAGTTCGTCGACAGCAACCTCCCGCATATAACCGTCGAAATGCCCGTCTACAAGGAGAGTTTAAAAGATACTATGTAAGTGGCGTCGTTTGATGCGCTCGATCGCGTTGTGGCGGTTGAGTTAGGGTTCAACGAGATGCGCCACCTCGACCTTCGCCGTGATCGTTGCGCCTCATCATTGATTCCCTGTCGTCCGTTGCCACTCGGCCCAAAAGACTTCACTACCTTCGTTCAGTCTTTCCCCTTCGCCTGTCTTGTCTGATGTTACATCAATGAGATCTGACCGGAAATTGCCTCACCAGCTCGCCCTCGGTATACTCGCTAAAGAAGGCCATGCAGACCTACGCGCGCCAGGGCGGCACGTCGTCTATCTTCGTGCACGACGACGGGCTCCAGCTCATCTCGGAGGCGGACCGTGCGGAGCGCGTCGCGTTCTATGCCGACCACAACATTGGCTGGGTCGCGCGCCCGCCGCACAGCAGCGAGCCGGACGGGTTCAAGCGCGCAGGGCGCTTCAAGAAGGCGTCGAATATGAACTATGGCCTCGCGCTCTCACTCAAGCTCGAGAAGCACCTGCTCGCACTCGAGGCGGACGCCGCTGCGCGCGGCGAGACCCCGGACCCGCGCGCGGGCGGAGAGTCGCTCGAGGACCGCGCGATGAACATGGCAGTCGAGGAGATCTTTGAGGAAAGCGGGCGCCGCTGGAAGCCTTGGGCGAGCAACGGCAAGTCGATCCGCGTAGGCGAGATCATCCTCATGGTGGACTCGGACACGATCGTGCCGGAGGACTGCCTCCGGGACGCGGCGCGCGAGCTGGCGGAGTCCCCGGAGGTCGCGATCCTCCAGCACGAGTCGGACGTGATGCAGGTCGCGTACCACTACTTCGAAAACGGGATCGCCCACTTCACGCGCCGCATCAATAAGTGTATTTCCATGTCGTGCGCGAATGGTGAGGTCGCGCCGTTCGTCGGGCATAATGCGTTCCTTCGCTGGTCTGCGGTCCAGGATGCGTCGTTTGTCGACCCGGATGACGGTGTAAAGAAGATCTGGTCAGAGTCGAACGTGTCTGAGGATTTTGATATGGCCTTGCGGTTGCAGCTCAAGGGGTACATCATCCGTTGGTCGACGTACTCTCTAGGAGGGTTCAAAGAGGGTGTTTCGCTCACGTGCGACGACGAGCTCAACCGGTGGCAAAAGTATTCATACGGCGAGCAACGTGCTTTTGATGAGCTCTCAGAGTGTAATAACCAGTGGGCACAGGTTGCAATGAGCTCATCTTCAATCCTTTCATCCATTGGTGGCACCTGGGCCCTATCAACAAGCAGTTGCGCACTTTCATATGGTCTGCTGCCCCGGTGCACTACAAGATTAGTATGCTCGCCTGTACGTGGTCTCTGTCTTATCTTTTGTGGCGAGTCCTGACAATGGTGTACAGACATGTTTTCATATTGTATGTGGTCTACCGCATTCTTGTGGAGCGCAACCTGATCGTTGATTATTTCAAGATGGTATTGCCGCTGCCGCTGCTCTCTCCGTCATGAACTACCTCTTGCTTGGTTGGAACATCACTGTCAGTCTTCTGTGATCTTGCACTATGTTACCTCACTCATGATCACTACGCGTGACTGTGCAGACCGACGGCTTCTATGAGCACAGTTTCGAAATCTGGCTTGCCTGCATGGTTGTCTTCCCCTGCGCTGGTAACGTTGGATTTACCTTGCTCGAGTACCGCCTTGGTCTGCGCAGCATCTTCTCCTCCGCCATCGAGAACTTCACCTGGGTACCATTCTTGTTCGTCATATCCCTTTTTCTCCTCAACACCATCCACTGACTATTCTCTACAGCTTCTTCTTCTTCGGCGGTCTCAGCATCCACCTCTCGCAAGCCCTGCTCGCGCATCTGTTCTCGTACAACATCCAGTGGGGTGCGACGAAGAAGGAAGTGGAGCGCTCCAACTTCTGGAAGGAGGTCCCGAAGATCCTCAAGCGTTTCTGGCTTGCATTCGTCCTGTCGATTGTGATGTGCGTAGGCATGATCATCCTCACCACGCCAGTCATCCCAGTGGGATGGCAAGTGTCCAGCATCGATTGGGCTGTGATCCTCCCCATGGCGTAAGTCCTTGCAGTCGTTGCTACTCTTCGACGGGATAGCTAACTCGTTCGTTTGTGCAGCATCAACGCCGGCTGTCACATTCTCTTCCCAGTACGCTGCATTCGCCCACGACTTTCTTACTGATTCCTAACTGTCTCCGTTCACAGATCGTGCTGAACCCGTGGCTGATGATTTTCTCGTACTAAAGGATCGTCATCTCAACACTAGACTGCAAGCTCAGCTCAGCGGTCATTCCGTTATTTTGGTTAACACTCTAGAATCTCACTCGGATTCCCGAATTTCGACTATCGATCTAAAGTCACTATCTGTTGTACTCCCTTGACAAGATCTGACCTAAAACACTATACACACGTGCTTCCTGGAACCATCTCTCGCTCTCGTATACGTTACACTCGCAGGACTCTGGCATACCTTACAAAACTGTTGATACCTCTGTTGCCGCGGACACACTCTTTACCACGCGTTTTGGCTCAGACCAGCGGATATATTATACATGAAAGCGGATAATCTCACGCGAAAAGTTCACAGGCCACGCTCGAGGTTGACCTCGCGTTTGGGCGTGGTGCCAACTTTACAGGGAGAATCCGACCAGAAAACAGCCTCGAACACTGAATCAGCTTCTGGGCGCCAGTGACTGCAAATTGTCCGTGGTTCGCGCGGTGCCTGCAGGAGACAGGCACTGACCCTCACTGACCGTGTCACGCCAAAATGTCGGTGAGAGGGTGTCAGTCATCCACCATGCATTGATGGACTGCGGGCTGCGGATTTTGGGCGACAATGAAAGATGGACGTGCGTCCTTCTGTTATCACATATCACTGATCGCTGGCAGGTACTGGGAAGAGTGCCTCGAGTCTCCGAGGGATATCTGGATATCCCGAACATGTGTGATGTGCACCCTGGCGTCCAACTGACGAAGAAGATATTTGTGCGATACGGCGGAAGGTCCTGTCAGACCACTTGCATCATGACTCAGATGCATAGCGGGTTGACCATCGGTGTTTCTGCACGGCTCCTCCATAGAAGACATCGAGGGCGCGTGTTTTTGTAGACGTGGGAGGCGCCATCCTCGGCAGCATTACGAGCTTCCGGGCCTGGAGGGGTACAAGCTGAATAGACTTCTGTAGAACTTGAGTGATGTGTGGGAGTTTGCATTGTCCTACACACTGAAATCTCCTGGAATCTCCGGCAGGTACGCGAAGTGTCTGAGCCGCATTGGACTCGCAGTGGGCCGCTCCACTGGATTCTGCAGATCGTGCTGTGAAGTGGCAGAACACCCTAGGCCAGGTACTGTATATGTGCGAAATGCTTCCTGCGCCTTGACCGCGCAGAAGACTTTTTCGGGAGGCTCCGAGGAGTGCATGTATAGCTCTGAAATGGGCAGAATGAAATAGAGAGGTGCCCTAGGGGAATTATATGGTGAGCAGTGGGTAACCTCGACTGGAACGGTAGAATAGGTCGAACTGAAAGATTACCATACACCCGCGACGCAGTGATCCGCTGGGAGAATCTGTCTTGTGTACCATGGGGTGACAGGAGCTCTGGGAGGTCAGAGACCTTGCAGAGATGCCCTTTGCCAATGTGCGCAGAAACGAACCACCGATTCAGTGTTGGTCTTCATTTTTCGCATTCCGCCCCACGCGGGGACAACTAGCTGATACTTTCTTTCTGCGATTTGCACAGTGCGAGCTCAGGATCTACAGGATTTGTGGTATCACAGCTTCTACACGAAATGAGACTGCGGTGGCTGCAAGAGTCGGTAATATTCGGGACAATTACCATAGAGCCATGGGGACACCGCAGTCAACAACATGAGAAGCTGATTTGTCTTTTGAGTAGTTGTACGTACCAGATATCATGAAATGGTGAACCGTCAACATTGAATAAAATGTAAGACTCTGTATAAGTTTGGATGGAAAGCCTCCGAACTCGAAGCGAGTGCTTAGCAGGTCCAGGATTGATCCAGTTTCACGAATTAAAGGCAGACTGTTTTCTGCTTTGTCCCGTACTCAATAACTCCCGTCTGACATAAGTTCGGCCGCCGAAATTGTTGGACAATTCGGCAAAATTAAAGAAGTTAGCACAACCGGTATCTTCCCCTGCCCATCCTCGAACCTACCAGCTTATCATCGCTATAAAGTGAGCTGGCAGTGACTACGCAAACTCGTGAGTATTCTACACTTGGGTTGTCGACTCACCCTTCTGAATCAATGTGTCTTGCCTGTTCCCCACAGGCATGGCTTGGGCATGGCAATGCCTTGCAATTAACTGTTAAACAACCTTTCAGGCTAACTCAAGGTTACATAGCATTCAGAACAGGGCTTTTACACTGTTCTGGAGAGGAAAGGTACGACATAAAGGTACCCGCCGGATCGCCTGGCACGTGCAAGGGTGTTGCTACTGCCAAGGCTGTCCCCCATCGACTCATCTACTAACAAACACTCTTACTTACTGTCTCCGTCAACGCCTTCAACAGGCAGTCCTTGGGCAGTCCTGCAATTTTCCTTCTTGGTATTCCTGCAGAACGCGAGAGAAATGGTCAAGTATTCCGTTGCGGTACCCCGCAACCCTCGCTACATCGCCGTACTCGTCCTCTGCGGCCTCGCCACGGTCTACTTCCTTTCGCGACAATCGCCATCACAATATTTTCGCGGGACAAGCTCAGGAAAGTCGCTAAAATGGATGCTCATTGATGAGGAGCAGCATTATGACAAGGTCTTGCGGGATCGGGAAGCAATGGTGCGGAAATGGGGTCCCACGTCGGGCTTGGTCGAGGCGTACGTATTTTCACCACTCCCCGAGTGTAGCACGCATCAATGGCTGACGACAATGTTAATAATTCTAGGTTCCCTCCCAAGCGTGACTTCTACACGCTCTGTGGGTGTCATATAAATATATTCAACCACTGTAATTCATCTTGGCGCAGGGGACTTTTTCATTCCCGCATTCAATTGTCCCCACCGTGTCGAGCGCATAGGCACCATGGGTGACGGCGGGAAATGGGTCTGCGGCATGGACCGCATAGCTAAACAGAAAGAATGTGTAGTGTACTCCTTCGGTAGGTGCATTTCCTCGTTCGAGATCATTCCGCTGACTGCCTTCTACAGGCGTTAATGGCGAATCCTCTTTTGAAGCTGAGATTCTCGAACGCGCTCCCGGGTGCCAGATCTGGGGCTACGACTTCAGCGTTCCATCCTTCGGCCCCGAGATCGAGCTGGTGCCGGAGTTGAAAGAGCGTGCGCATTTCTACCCGTATGCGCTCGGAGACGTGAACAATCACGGGCCCGGAGCGGACCCGCCAGTGTACACTCTTGCGTCGCTCATGGAGGTCAACGGACACAACTTCATTGACATCCTCAAGGTGCGTCTCCAGGCTTCCCGCTTTCACCTTGAGGCTCATCGTGATTCGCCTGCAGATCGACATTGAAGGCAACGAGTTCACGTCGCTAGAGAAGTTCCTCGAGTTCTACACATCCGGGGCTGGCGCGAATCGTCGGTATGGGCGCCCGCCGATCAACGCCCCCCCTGCAGCGTGGAAGGAGCCCGACGTGGTATTGCCCATCGGTCAGATCCAGATTGAGATCCACGCGCGCACGGACACAGACTACGGCACTTTCTCTGCGTTCAAGGGGTGGTGGGAGAAGCTCGAGGCGGCGGGCCTGCGTCCATTCTGGACTGAGCCCAACATGGTGTACGTTAACTTAATTAGAGGAGCGCGGCCTGACTTGGTCGAGGTAAGTACATATGCATCGTTGACTTCTTGAGAACTGAACAACTCTTATCAGTACTCGTTCATGAACCTTCGCGGTAACCACGCTCTCGTCTCTGACCGCTTCGACGAGAGTCGGAGGCGACGGGAGTGAAAACGTCGTTCGTTCAATGCGCAAACCATCCACCGTAACTTTTACTGATTTATTCACGGACTGTTAGAGCAGACTAACTACCTCTGTGGCGCTTTATACCATTAGTCAGTAATTCTTGGAAACGACCCGAGCACAAAACGCTTGTCGAAACCCTCTTTTGCCACTCATCCCGGACTGTTTACTATACCTGCTACTTACATGTATGCTGCTTATATATGTCCGCCATTATAATTGCGACGGATTTCTACTGCATCCTGCCGTTTGGACACGAGTGTGCAAGGTAAAGGTCGTCCGTGACACGGTGTTGCTGTCTCGACTTTTATGATAAACGTGTGCTTCCAACAACCATCAGAGGGACCCTTTAGACGGTCTCTAAGCTGCGCAGTCAACAAGTTCTATGAACGCCGATGGATGCACTACTCGAGTCTTGCCGTGTAAAAAACAGATCCCGCAAACTCTGGCGTCAAAGTTCACTTGTGGGCGCATGTAGGTGATCATGCCACTGGCTGCTAAGTTACTAGTCACGGTATGTCGCGAGGTTGTCTCAACGACTTGTTGTGACTGCGTCAATTAACTTGCGTCCGTCTGCCAGCCCTATGTCATATTATCGGGACGAACCTGCTTGATGTGGTAGAAAGGCATTGCGGCTTATCGTGCTTTTTGTTCTCTCCAGTTATTTTCGTCGCTATGGATTTCCAGTGAGCTTCTTCTGTTGGTGCTTCCCGTGTTCCAGCTACTGTCACGATGTCATGGAAATAGAATCACGATGCCTTTACTAAGTCTCTTGCAACTTGTCTGCGATGCGTTTCCCAAAGATGGGCCCTATTCAGCACCTCACCACGTAGAGCATTGCCCGGCAAGGCATGCCTTTCCCCCACTGACAGTATTAAAGCCCCTTACCTGCGTGGTCTCACTACTATCAACCGCGTGTTCTCGAAACCTCAAATTCGGCTGGCACTCTTCGCTTCATAAAGTGAATATCACCCAACATTTCAATCAATTCACCTCCATCCGAGTCGGATACTATCGATGTCTATAATTCCTGAAGTACCACTAGATAAGTCATTCTCGTCACGGCGACCATTCATTGAATCATTCCATTATACACTCTGTCGACCATGAACCTGACTACCACTCAAGATGGGACCATTCTTGCAAAGTGGTGAGGTGGCATGACTGTCACCTCTCCTCGGAGGCATCACGTAGATTCAGACGGGAAAGTCGTGGCGCCGAGGAGTAGGTGAGCTGAGCTGACTCATGGATCAATCTTAAGATAGACCTCACTCATATCCAACCACTCGTGTCGGGCGTCTAATGTCACGCTTACACCAAAATGGCGGGTGAAAGTGCTTGCTCGTCTAATTCCTCTTTCCACAAAGCCTTTATCAGAAATGTGTTCCCTGGGGATTGTTAATGAATACCTTCTTGAATATTCCCAGGGAGCACATTTTTTTATTTCGCCCTTGTAGGAGAGAAATTAAGCTGGCAACAACCCAAAGTGAACGGCGACCAAACAGAGCCAACATCCAGCAGGTAAATATTTGGCTGATAAGTGGCCCTTACCACACCATCCATTACCATATCGGGTATCAGACTTTGACTTATTGCTCCCAAATCAATAGCATCACTCTTGCGGGTCACAACCATGTCACGGCGCTTAGAGTGGTTGGGCATGAGGCCTATCTTACAGCGCTTTGCAAGTATATGCGGAATCGTCGTCGATGGATTTTGCGCCGAGCTCAGGACCCGAAACCGCTCAGCCACTGCAGCCACCGGTAAATTGCCCAATTGATCAGGTCCGAGAGTCCGAGCCTAGCCAAAACCAGAGAGACCGTGCCCAGAGTGTCTCATCAACCAATCGCCCCACGTGGGTTTTCTACGGCATCCTAATGCAGGAGCTTAGACAAGCTTCGGGCATGCCTCGGACAACTGCTTTTGGGAAATTCGCGTCACCGATGGCCCTCCCGGTATCCTCCGCTAGACTTCCGGTAGTAACGTGCCACTACAACAGTTTGGGGTCCTGGGCTCGGGGCAAGCTCGGGGCGCCTGAGGCCAAAAATCCATCGACGACGATTCCGCATATACTTGCAAAGCGCTGTAACACAGTGACGTTGCCGACTTGTCATTTTTCGTCTCGACGTCGAGTCGACGAGCGTCGCACGCCCAGTCGGCGCTGATTAAAGTTACAGCCGTATTATGCCGCGCTGGCCAACGAGCGTGCGACTCATGTCGAGCGGATCCGGATAACTGGCTTTAAAATAGGACTTAAACTGATGACTCCCCGCCCCTCTAAGCAGAGTATCTACAACTGTCTTTGGGAGACTACGCCTTACGCGTTGTACTTTGTTCACTTGCCTTGTTCTACGATAGATAGTTTTTTGATGCACGACTACTTACGCGTATCCTACCCTCCACGTCAGAGTACACTGCAAGAGTGCTTGTTCCGAACTTGACTCATCCATATTGTTCCCCCTTTGGTGAGATCGTTAGACGCCGCTTTTGAAGTTGCCACGAATGATGTCGACGAAGTGCTGGTGCCTTCCGACTCAGCCTTAACTGCTCGCTTCTGGATAAATTTCATCTAGTCCTGCGACGGATGGTCTGCATCCAAAAAATTCATGAAAGATATTACACGGATCAAACGCTCAATGATAATTCAGCCGCAACATGCGAGCTGTCTACTATTTGAGCTCAATCGCATATAACTACGCTGGTTGCAAAGAATCTGACAGCTTGTACTTTTAGAAGACTGGCTATTCATGGTTACCATACTACGTAACGATTCTGCCGTTGTTTTCCAACCCCTACTCTGTTGATTAAATTTCTCCTGGTTAATTGTGGCGCACCGCAACAGTAGTCATCAACATTCTTCCTTGTTTGACTCTGGACCTACTGCAATCAATGTTATCTAAATTCCCCGGGTTCCTGGAGTTAAACTGTCTTGTATATGCGTTCCCTTGATTACGCTGTCTTTCACCACAATAGCAGCTCAGCACGCCCGTTCTGTCCTCCAGGCTTCCATCGACTCATGATTTGACACCGCAGTGTGCCTATCTGTTGTTCTATGTCGGATATATTGCATAGCCACATCCATGTATATAAGACTGTCTCGCACACCGTTCCACAACTCAACACAACCAACGATAATCTCGTACCACAGTGAGATCTTTCCCACTAAGAAACTCTCTCCACCGATTACTCCTACGTTTGCTCAGCATCCCCATATACATAGCCAAGCGCTTTAGAATGCCGTCTTTCTGCATGCGCTCGGTTTCGTCGCCACAATCACGCCACAGGGTTGTTGAAGAGCCTCCGAGTCTTCCACCCGCGGTCCAATCCCAAATCCACTACTGGTACCCACCAGGGTTATACTATTTGCCGTCATGGACGCCTGCCCCGCAAAGTTCCTGCCAGTGCTCACAGCTGGTCTACAGTGCTGGCTCCAGTTCCCCGATGCAGGCACCCTGTGAGTATCTTAGTTTTTGCGTAGTTTCGTGGTTGACTCGGTATACACAGTTGTTGTGGTGCCCCCTGCCAGGAGCCCTGTTATGATATATGCTACGCCCGTAGTGCCAGTGATGCCTCAGTGACTAGTATGGAGAACGAAACGGCACAGAGCAGATTACAATGGCTATTTCCCTCTCCAATTTACACCTACCAATGATGCTCCACTTCACGATGCCTACCTAGTCATTCCTCATTAGCGTCTCACGAGACAACTTGTATTTCTATTGTGTCGATACAGTTCCCGTCCATCTCGTTGTAATCCCCGTCATCAATATTCATGTATACATAACTACGAGTTTCACAATGGTTTCACCACTGTAGAACAGTGTACGCGAAGTTCATATGTGTTCGGCATTGTCATTTCGCTCTCTTGGGGCGGAGAGATCGAGCCGATGAAAACACGTTGCTACTGAACGCCTCAGCGCCTAATTTTGCGGCATCTCTAATAATCACTGGCAGGACTCACCCTCAATCATTGCAGGCGGTAATTCTCCTACAAACGAGCTGTCAGGACACAGGTGTTATGCTACTATGAATGACACGCCATTTGTTTCACGCACAGCTTCGCCGGCCCTATATAAGGCCTCTCCCCAATTCACTCCCCATCTCATGTACCCATCCAGCAGATTCCAGGTGTACTTCGACAGGGCAGTCCGTACACTTTTCGCTCTACTCTGATGAAATATGGACCTGTCGATGACAGTGAATCGGAATAAGCTGAGCGGCAAAGCAGGTCGTTAAACGGATTATGGACCCATGGACCTGAAGTTCCTCTCTCCGTGGGTTCTTGCAGGCCACAGATCACAAAAATTTGTTCATCGAGAAGTGCATTCATTCAGCGACTCTCTTCTCCTCGACTACCTTCAGCTCTGCTTACGCCGTCGCGATGAATTGCAGACTGTTTCTCAAGTATGAGAAGAAATGAGCTCGCCTTTGTGGGTGTGTCGGGGAGCACTCCAATGTCGTGTGTTATCATACAACGGTCAGCATTGTCCACTACATTTCGGATTCGTACAAGTACTCGGAAGTTCAGCATGGCCGAAATCCGGAGAGCTAGCTACGCACGGTCACGGATTATTCATGTACCTCCCAGCTCACAAGTGCGTGTTATTCCAGACAGATCTCACAACGAAGTCCGCAGGATCTGGATTTGTGGTCAGCGAAAGCGCGGGATTAAGCAAGAATTGCACTGAAAGAGATACAATTGTTAACAGCCATATATGATGTAAGTAGGGAGAGAAGACTAACCTGTTCGATCAATTCCGGGAACGAGGTAGAAGCCATTCAACGGAACATCTGTGGCAGGGTCCACGAAGTAACCGACAGTGCTAGAGGGATGGTCGATCCAAGCGTACGCGGCAACACCGCCCTTGGCCGACAGCGTGAACGTCAGCCCAGGCCCTGTAGTAACAGCAATCTCGGGATCAACCAGGTTCGCATAGGCAAGGGAAACGGGTGTATACTACACGCCCCAACGTCAGTTCACGTCTTCTGGAAGAAGGAATAAAGTCACTCACGTATTGCTCGTTGGTGACAGTGCGACCATCAACCTCAGCGGTCAGGTTGAGCAACATCCACGCATCTTCCGCATTCGCTCCAGTGGGAAGGATGGTGTCGAACCCCTCCTGCGACATCAATACTGTGTTGTTTAGCGTAGGTGTGGAGAACTCGTGTGTCATCGTCAACAACTCTGTCCCTGACCAATCGTACCAGGTTAGCTGAGCAGATCCGTTTACAGTGTACCATCGGTCATTGATGACCATGATGTCCAACGTCTGGTTGTCCGGTGTCCAGAACGGATACACAACCACCGGTGAATAGATGCTAGTCATGCCATAGTTGAGGACCTTCCAGCGTCCGGAGTACTCGATGGAAGCCCAGCTGACACCCTGCCAGATATCGTTCAACTGCCAGACGAGTGCACCGAGGTTGTTCTCGCCCAAGCCCGCACCACGGCGGTACCACGCAATCTCTGAGATCATGTTCATGGACTGGAAGATCTGGGTACTCCAGCACCACTGCGCGAACGTCTGGTTGGTATCGGTAGTGTAAGGTGTAGGCAGCCAGAGCTCGACTCCCATCGTCATCTGTCCCTGGCCTTGTGGTGCATTCGGGTTCGGCCACGTAAGACCGTTGGCAGGAGGATGGTGGTCTCTGGAGACGACAACTGTCGAATTGAAGGCGTAATCTTCGGCATTTAGGAGGGCTTCTTCCCAGCTGTAGAAGGATGGCATAGAGTGGAAACTGGAGGCGCAAGAGAATCAAGTCAGTGGTGGATGGACAGGTCTCATCTTCAGACTTACCCGAACTCGTTTACAAATCTAAGATATCGGAGTCAGACACAAGCACGACGACAGGTTGCACCTCGGTCGTACCTTGCTACTGGATATGTACTATAATTGAATGCCTGGCTTGCGTCATAGTTATAGCGTTCTGTCATTCGAACAGACTCAGATCTACGCAAGCACAGGCGAAGAGTAGACATACCTGTGTTTCCGTAGATGTAACCGGGAGTCTTATTCTCGAATCTGAGCACATACGGATCCAGACTGAGCACACCGTTTGTTGTGGAGCAATCTGTGTATGGCACCTGTATGAGTCAAGGTGATCAGTCAAGGTGCAATACACTAGACAGGATCGACTGTACCGAAGACTCTTCCTCGTATGTGATATTATATAAAAGGTCTTGGAACAAATATATGTACTGCGATGGGCATATGAAAATGAGCAGGTCGCTACTGGCACCACCGACAAGTAAAACGCACCTCATCCAGGTAATGGGAACCGTTCGCCAACGTCTCATTGATGCCAATGACAATGTTCTCAATCTCGTTGCCACCGGCCCATTGTACGTTGCTAGGATGCTTGTTTACCCTACGCACGTTCTGACGCACCTCGGGGTCTACTGAGTCCAGGAGGAAGGAGTTGAGCGGGTAAGTAGCGTCAGAGAAGATCATTTCCGACCACGCGAGGATGCCCAGTTCATCGCAGAGAGAGTAGAAATCGTACACCCCAGTGATTTCGTCCGACGGCTGATAAATACCTCCACCCCATACACGTAACTTAAGTTCATCCGACAATTCAGTGATCAGCTTGTATGATGTCTCATGATTAGACTCACCATGTTCTGCCCACTCCTCACAGCGCCCTCGAGCACCCAACGAACCTTCTCGGTCGTGATACGCGCGTAGAATGGATCGAACGGGATAATGTTCGTCCCCTTGGTGAAGAACTCGTGTCCATTGACCTCGAAGTGCCACATATCTCCGGGTGTGATTCCGCGGGTCTCGATATCCTCCTCCGAGTATGCGAGTTGCATAAGCTGGATGGTGCGGAAGCCGCTGCGCGCATTAAAACTCGCATGGGGTGCGTCCGAAGCTTCACCGAGGGCGAGAGAGATCGTGAAGTCGTACAGTTTCGGCGTGCCGAGATCGTGTGGGTACCACCGCTCCGGAACCTCGTCAAGGATGGTGAAGGTGGCGCTCACCAGCGTGTAATCAGCCGTGGACGCGGGAATTGGGCTCACACTGACTGGCTCAGCGAATACGCCGAGTTCTGGGATCGCGAGACTGATTGCGGGAGACTCCCCAGCTACGACTGAGCGCACAGCGAGGGTAACGTTCACAAGCCAGTCTGCGGTTTCATTAGGCGCGATGAGTGCTGTCTGTCCGACCTTAGAAATCTCGAGCGAGTACTGGTCAAAGAAGATGCTTCCGCTCATCGATGCGAGGAGAGGATATTCAGCGGGCATGAATTGGTAGGAGGGTGTGTCGGAAAGGGTGACCAAATATGCAGGCTTGAATATCCCAGCTGGGACGAACGCTGGGCCCTGGACTCAACTTAGCAGTGGCCGTCAGACCAGTTTGCACCTCAGACGCACCCAATCCCAACCGAAGTCCGACTGAATCTTGCGAATCCATTGCCGAATGCCTACGTATTCGAACTAATGACTCTAATGTGAGTATAACACCAAGACGGTAATGGTAGTCAGAACGTACGTCGCCTGTCGGTGAATACTCCGTATCTGGGAGTGAAGTCACATTCATCCCGTAGAAGTAAGCCGACTCGAAAGCAACCGTAACGTTGGTATCACCAGCTGAAGGCGAAGCAATCAACTCCGAAACGTCGTACACGTATTGCCGGAACTGGTTATCAACCCAAGCAACGGGATGCCCAGCTACAGTCTATGAGCGCAAGTCACAAGTCGCTCTGCACACTGTATCGAGATGATACGTACAATATTTGCGATGGTGTCTAATCCGTAGAACACCAGGAGAGTACTTTTATTAACATTCGGTGAGAGCGCCCGTGTGAATGGTGTTAAATCCGCAGTGTAGGTCCAGCTGTCATTTGCAATCCATCGCTGAGTGTAGTCTACAGCAAGCGCTTATAGCCCGTCTCAGCCGAAGTGACGAAGAGCCAAACTCACCATTGATACCAAGTAAAGGTTCTGTTATGATGCCGGCGTCCAGAAGGTCCAGGTGCGCCTGAGACGGAACTTTGGCAGGGATCACTATCGAGCCATTTCCATTTCTCAACGTCCACTGAAGGTCCGAGAGGCTGAAAACCTCTGCCAGAGCAAGGGTAGGTAAGCACACAGCCACGAGGGCTCTCAGGAGGGACAGCATCTTGTGCGAGATCCAGAGACGTCGACAGGAGCGAGTGAATAATCCCGCATTTTATAGCGGTATTTGGGGAACAGAGCATACGCGCTTCCCGCAGCCGTCTGGAAGGCCTTCCAGCTTCAGATGATTTCCTGGAGGGCTCCAGCCGGTGACGCCGAGGCTCTGGAAACCACCTCCCAATTCGCACTCAGCCAGCTCCGGGAAATGTCCACAGCTGCATCTGGAAGTCCAGATGTCTGTTGGAAGCCATCCAGAAGTCAAATGCCCAATGTCATTATCATGCGAGGATCCATGACTGACATAGAAAGGCACGATTCGACCTCGAGATCAGACTTCGGATCAGATAACCCTGGATATATTTGGGCTGACAAATGGTGCTTCGCGTAGAGCCCCCGAATCTGAGCAAACTTTGTGGTCCAACGATCATGCATTGAAAAGTCTACTGACCTTGTATATATACCCTGATTTGACATGGGCGTAATGAGAGCTGCGACAGATCCCGTGGACATCACCTGATCAATCCTGCCGTGAAAGCGCACAACGTGTTGCAGAAAGAATTCGAGGAGACGGACCGCTCGCCATCGCTAACCAGACTGGTGATGTGGAGCAGGAATGAAGGGCCGTCTGAGCAACAGTTTGTGACATCATGACCCGACCTTTCTCCGACTGCAGATCAATGATCCTCATCCGCGGGGCAGTTTTTCATACAACACTTCATTGCAGCGCAATCCAAGCGAGACAGACAGACTCGCCCGGTTGGGCTAAGGGAAAGCGGGGCAGATGCGTAGATCAGCGTAGCCTGACACCGCCTGTGGGAGTGAAGAATTCGGAGAAAACGCCACTAGATGTCGAGCAACCCATTGTATGTCCTTTTATTTCTAAACAGTGTCTCGCCTGTTGATCTTCCGGATATCGGGTGTCTTCAATGATTGCCGTATGTCAGTTGACCCGTACCGCTTCCTGGGATACATGACAGTATATAGTCAGAGAACCGGGGGAGTCAATAGGCGCACTTCGTTGACGAAAACAGACCCACCACAAATCTCCGCAGGAAATTCATACCCACGGTATGCACGTACACATGCATGATAGTAATGCATGAGCTGCAGCACCTCGGTATCCCGCGAAGTTGCCAGCTGTCAGAGTGTCCTGCATTGTGAAGCGGAACGGCTGGGAAGACAAGGAAACTCATATTGACTGCATGGCAGGCTAAAACGTTCGCAGCTCTGCCAATCAACACGCGCCAGGCAGTAGGAGATTACTGCACGTTGAAAGGCTCGATCGGGGTCGTGGGTGCATTCTCGACAACATGAGATGAAAAATACTAGCAGAAATATACATCACTAGTGCAGAGAAAACAACGTAAGTGATGGCAGTGTTACAAAATGGAGGTAAGACGCTTTACCACGATTGCTGCTAAGTTAGGATACAAATAGGTATTATATGGTCTCCAGTGCGGCCCTCTCATAATTACAAAGCTTACTTAGCTTTTTTTGCAGGAAGACTGGTTCGTCACGTCGATTAGTTGAGGAAAGCAGGCCACAAGTTGCTCGACGATAGATAAAATCTACCAAGATATCTTGAGAGCGCCTTTGCCGAGTTCTGCAGAGACGCGAGCATTACAGCGAAGACTCGTATGTAGACCCCCAATGTTCGACGCTTGCAAGTTATCAGCGAGTTTCGGCCTGATACTTTTCAGCCTAAGGCGCAGTTGCTGCTCAGACAGAATGATTCAAATAGAAGGCACAGAGATTCATCGCGAGAGTAGGCAGTGACTGTCGGAAAGGAACGGAAATGCCCGGTAATCTGGATTACGACGACGCGAACGCGACGCGTGCAGTGCCAGTGGCGTTCACTTTCACTGTAAATCGCTGACCACTCGAATGCTGTTATTCTCAACAGGGCAGGTACTTAGCTATCTATGCAACCAATAGACTGACTTGAAAACTTGACAAATCGATACCACCGTCCGCCAGTCATAGCCTACGGCAAGTGAACTGTTTGTGACACAGGGTAAGCCACTACTCCGTACCCCCGCCACAAGCCCGCCTGCCAGATGTCTACAGCGGCTGCCAGGAGCCTGGATGCCACGTAGCTTCGCGTGGTAACGGATTGCTGCGCCGGTGTGCTAGTCCCATAGCTTCGTCCCACGCATGTGCTTGATGAACGGGCAGCTCACTTCTGGACATTGTAGATCACAGTGATGTGGACCCCGTCTGGTTGGAACACAGCGCCGCTTCACGGGTCGATCGTAATTGGCTGCGTTTGCTTACCAATGCCCCTGGAAGGCGAAGGAAATTAGACAAGTCCGTTCGGGTGCTTCGGTCACTGGCTCTGCTGCAATGGAGTCAAATGTTTTGATATCTCTCCTTGATACATCGTCCGAGATTTCAAAAGAGACAAGGTGGTCATTCGTCACAGATTGAATTCCTGCGACTGGAGAACCGCCGTGATGCTGTTTGGAGCGTACTCTATGGTATGTACCATTGTCTATACGCAGAAAGGAGGCTGTGAGCATGAGCCGGGCTTTCAAGAGTGCAGACTGAACATCACTATCACATATTCCCACAACACTTCAACAGATTTCAAAACCATGTGTTGTCAATGTGCTCCAAGTGATGTGTACTGTGAAATGGATGAGTTAGGTATACGATGACAACACATTATGAGCTTTTGGCTTCTGGATTCCGGAAACCACAATTCCAAATGTGCATGATACTTATCCAGTTCAGTATCTGTGATTTCGTTCCGGAGCAGCGTCATGATACGCTGAGAGGCCCTCAGGCTTCTGAGGCTGCGTGTTCGTTTGCGTTTCTTGTCCATAGCGGGCATAATCTTTCGTAGTGCGGAGTTGGCCAAAAATACTAGTCCATATTTTGAGGATGCTTGGACGAGCGCGATAATGCGGTAAACCCCAGGGACAATGCAAGAAAAGCTACGGCTGCACATTGTAAGCGCGAAGTGCACAATTGCTGGCAGGCATCGTAACGACAAGGAGACAAAGTGTTAAGTAGTCCTGGAAAGTTTTATGCACCAGTTGAAGGTTAATGCTCACAGGGACATCCCGCATAACCAGAGATCCGTGCCAAAACCCGGAAGATGACAAAAGAACTGCTGCCATAGACATCACCTTAGTTTAGAGACACCGTCCACGACCCACAGTAGAGGTCCTGATGGTGAACAGGCCTGAGTAGCTCACCTCGAATATCCAGTGCATCAAATAGTTATCGCAGAACATTCGCAACGAGATTTGTCAGAACTCCAGGCTCAAGCCTTCAGTGACCCCATGGGTGGTGCATCGGAGACAGCTTAACCAAGACAGCATGGCCATGGAGACAGCACCGATCCTCAGGATCGTGGCATCCTATTCAAAGTAGAATAATATCTATCTCAGGCAATACACAGTAATGGCGAGGGCCACCAATACATACCGCCAAACCATACTGCCACCTGCAGAACTGGTGCAGAATTCTGTCGGCTTGCAGGTTGCACGTAGATGTCATAGGCACGAATGAAGCAGAGTGGCTACAACTGCCTTTGGGAGACTAGTTGCATGGCGGACATCCATGGTCGATCTCAGACTTGCTCCGTCAATCCTAGTACAAGTTACGCCGAACGATCCAACGGGATGAAGTATTTGTTGAATTTGTCTTTTGTTGGTGGGCTATGATTTGGGACAGTGTACAATATAAATGCTCAACGGTATTGTTCGTTGACAGTCTGGACACGAAAGAGACTGAGAAGGGATGACGATCTGTCGTGATGTGCAGTGTGCTTCCCTGTAGCCCTGCTTCCTTGTACATAGTGACGAACAGCCTTCTCAGCGTACTGCATATGCAAGAAATGCAAGAATGTACCTAATTCTTGGCTATCTCGGAGGGACGGTTACTTGCTATAGCAACCAGGCTGAGCAAACAGTGTGGCGCCGGAACTTGGTAGCGGCTGTCCATACGGTTCAAAGTGAAGCATTTTGCTGCCAACTTGTACATCCAGAATTCACAAATGCGGTACATTGATCCAGAGCGAGAGACTAAGATAGAGAACGGGTAGCAACAACTAGTGAATCAACAAGAGGTACTGCCTATCTCCGGGCATGCTTGTCAGTTTACTGCAAGTCAGAAGAGCTGGCCATTGATCACATTGGTAGGAAGCTGCCGCTAGCATGGATATACCCAGGTTCGCGACAATCCAGCGCTTTAGCTAGTGTCTAAACGTAACAAGGACCTATTAGAGCTCATACCAGACATCGAAAGACTGCACATACTGTCGCGTAGTCCCACAATTGTCGAGCACACTCCAAAAATTGTGTGCCATTGCGGCCGAACTCTAAGTCGCATGCACTGACAAGAACTAAGTGTTCGATGATTGGCTATATAGACGGTCCGAATTCTATAACGCACCGTCTGAGACGATCATACTCTCGTTTTTCGTGCTCGTAAGCAAGGGTCCATCTGTTCCGTAGAATCCGTTCAGCGTCATCTTGGTAACACATTGCACGTGAGTGTATCTCATTCGGAGTGGCGAGGGCCTTGAAAGCCAGATATTTCAACCTAGAAATTGGCCCAGACTTGCCAGTACAGTTAATTTGGTCGGTGGCATGTGTCTCGGGATCACCGTTAGATGTTGAATTCATGGGCATGCCTTGGCTAGTGGTGGAGTAGCGGATGTACGGTCTGCTGAAATGGTGAGGGCTCGATATATTGTATCGCCTTTTTATAAGTTTCGAGAGACGCCACAGCAGTACTCACTCAAGCAACGAGTTCATACATAGCCGGAGCACCGAGGTGGATTCTAGAAAAGCAGAGGAAGTGACAACACAGGTCCGACTACTGCGGAGCAGATAACCTTCGCCAATAGAATACAGAGGAGGATGACAGAAAGCCTGTCATTAAAGCGCCACACCACAAAAAGTTTCCATAACGGCACCCGAGGCTTGTAAAGCAATTGGGAGAAGATATAGCCGGCAGTCACAACGCGGACAGTGCTTCAACGGAACCGCACATCTGTAGGCAAGTGACAAAAGAAAAGAGACCTCCGCTTTCGCAAGTACAGATATTGCTGGCTCAGTAGAATAATATGTATCCATCCAAAGATCTCGGTGTAGTAACAGGGTGTGAAGAGGAATTCGTAATAGCTTACTATGGAAAACCCCCGTTAGATTATCACGATGCCCATTAGGAGCAAATACGACAAAAATCACTCACCAGCCACGACATCACTAGGCTTGTAAAGCCGCTGCGAGTTGCCACCGTAAGGCGAGAACTCTGGAGTGCCTTCGGACTTCGAAAGATACCTGATCCTCTGCCAAGACACTGATCCAAATATGTGGAGCCATTGTATCCGGATCACTAAGGCTGAATCAAACTTGAATCGTTCAAGTGCGAGTTGTGATGCATCAAAGCGCGTCCCAGAGAGCAGCACATGTGATTCCTAGGATGTTCAGCAAAGCGTTCATGTTAGTTGCAATTGGTTTTGCAAATCATCGGTTGCAGAGTAGAAAGGCAGTAGTGAAGGTGACTCAACTCCGCCAACGTGGCTGACTCGGACGCCACCACGCCGCTCGCGCGCGTACTCGGAGTCGTGCAGACCCAGTAGTTGGAAAACGAACGTTGCGATTAATCGCCTTCATCGATCCAATAATGACTCACGTTATTGATGTTTGTTACTGGTCAAAGTCGAGAAACAGGCCCTTTCTGAGCTTCCCTCTGCGCGATGACCTTCGACGTCAAGTAGGACCCCCGACAATTGGGGAGGATCCCTGAGCCGATTTCGGACAAATTTTGGACATTTGGGAGCGCCATCCCTGATTTTTCACGGACAAATCAAGGGGTCAACCCATGGATAGCCTGAGGTTTTTCACGGACAAATGTACCGGACATCATGGATGCCTGATCCCCCTCCGGACAAGTTCAACTCCGGCCGGAGGCCGGCATCGGGACGGAAGGGGGCTTGGACAGGCTCAGGCTTACCATCTTCAAAGGGCCATGTCTAGATGCTGTCTAGTCGGCCTCGGAAACAGACATGCTGCTTCCAAGTTCATAGTTGACAACCTTGCATAAGTGTCTTCCTGATGACAACTCACTAAGGACAGTAGAAAGTGATTTGCAATGTCACTCTCATAGTAGTCTTGAATTCTATCTCAAGTAATAGACACTTCAAGCATGGCTGTAAAAGTTAGTTATACTATCACTTGATACCAGATTTCTCCTGATCCGTCCTCAACAACATGCAACCTGCCAACAGGAATGACATGCCTGATAAGAGTCAGAATGAATCAGCCCATCCTTCATCCTTGCAGTTTGGAAGGCTGTTCTGAAAATTGGAGCCTCCCGAGGCCTGGTTCGTGAATACGGACAAAATTAGAGCCTCCTGAGGCCTGATCCGGGAGCCCGGACATTTCTGCAATGAACGGATGCCTGGTCCAAAACCCGGACAAATTTGACCTCCGAGGGCCGGAGGCCTGGTTTTTTGCGGACATTTCAGGCCAAAAACCGGCTTCTACCAACGGACATTTTTGGCCCCTCAGGATCAGGCATTTCCGCCAATTGTCGGGGGTCCTCGTCAAGTTCAGTTAGCTGAACCCTTTTAGTTACGGTCCTCAGCGTCTGTATCTGCTGAACATCAGGACTTCGGAGACACACGGTGCGTTTACGCCCGTTCAGGCCATACATCATCCATTATTCTTCAGAAGGGTTTGAAGGGAAGTCCAACTGCAAATTGCATACAACTTAAACGTCGTCAATTAATATAATGTAGAACGTGACGTGAGGAGTAGTACGTCGGTCAAGATGACATGAGCAGTCGAATATAAAACAAAACGAATTACGAATAAGGGAGCACAACATAACCTTAGCTGCGTCCGAAAGTGTTCGCGTAGTCCAAGTTAAATCTCATCCTCCGGATCCCACCGCGATATTTTGCCCAGAGGGCGCCAATAGTACTGTTTGGATTTCTTCGTCTCGCTACGCTTCGCAGGACGGGGCATGATGCTACGGATGAACGTGGCGCGCTCCTGGTCCTGGTCCTTTTCAGGTACGTAGAACCACTGCGCCTCGAGTAAATGGTCCGTTGCGTCCTATGTGCAAACAAGCACACCAGAGATCAATGTGCAATTCAAGCGTAACTCCGAAGAACGCCCGGCGCACCTTCACGCTGTTCTCGACTTTCCCGAACACTCCGTACGAATGGCGTCCATCCTCCAGAGCGTCCTCGATGACGCATATCCACTCGCCCTTGCCCATCTTACCCTCGCCTTTCAGGCTTGACGAGTCCTTCAAGGTCGGACGGCTCGCCATGATGGCGCTGTACAGCGACGATGCGGGCAAGGATGAGGCACGAGAGGTGGCAAGGGTCTCGATGAGCAACCCCTGCATTTCAGCATGCGGAAGCGGGGAGCCATTCGTACTCGTGGATGACGGATGATCTCGAGGCTCGTGTTCAGTCTGTTCATCCTTCGTCGACGATACCTTCTTCGACATGGAGCGCACATCCACATCCACCCTCATACTCTGTTCCCCCTCCTTCGCTCTCTTGTTCCTGGCTTTCGTATGCTGATCGCGATCAGCTCGCGCAACCACCTTACGCTCGACAGACTTCTCGCTGGTCTCGCGCACCTTGCCGTTGTCGTTGCCGTACACGGGTACCACATCGGCCTTGGCCCCGGATTCCAAAGGGACCACCCGGGCCTTCTTCTTCGCAGGCCCGCCTAAACTTTCCTTCCGCCTCTTCCGTATACGCTCCTCCCCCTCGCTCACTCTCCTGAGCTTGTTTACCTCGCTCCGTTCCTCGCGTCCTTTCGACGGCCCAGCATGACAGTCTACATCCATGGAGTCCTCCGTTCGTCGGGCCTTCTTCCATCTCGTGTCCTTAGGAACAGATGACACCCTGCGTGAGCACATCGATGACTCTCGACGGCCGTTCTGGCATGCATCTTCAACCGTCTCGTTGCCGCTTGTCTTCTCTTTGATCACTCTGGATTTCACCCGTGACTTCATTGGGGATAACTGTCGCGATAATCGGTGTGTCATATCCGAAAATAAGGGTGAATCCGACGTATCGAGCTCCAGCACTGGCTTGGTACCTGGGCGCAAGAGTGGACAAGCCCGTCCAGGCGCCGTCTGCGACCCTTTGACCTGCGCGACGTCATGATCTTCTGGATCGCTTGCTTCGAGCTTGTTGAACAGAGCGATGTCGGCACTATCGTCTAGATGGCGCGGCGACGACGGAGGTGACGAGAGTGGGGATGATGTCTGGATGTCGGGTGCTAGGGACGGCGAGCGTAGAAGCGGCGTCAAGGGTAGCAGCGACAGCGAGGGCGATAACGGCGAAGGTGAGGTGACGTCATACGGAGACGACTGAGCACCAGGTCAATACAAGAGCACAGCGGTGTAAGCGTGCACGCACCTTCGAATGGATATTCATGACAGGTAGGTCCGAAAGGTGAGTGTCACTGAGTGGGTCTGACTCAGGGACGTGATGAACCTGCTTCACCGTAGGAGCACCGACAGGCATGGATATGCAGCCGATGAGAGCTGGCGACGGAGTGGTGGTATCCTCCACAGTCGCGGAAGGTGTAATAACATCGACGTTCAGCACTTCGACAGGTGCAGGGAGGGTGATATGGTTCAATGGAGGCGAAGGTAGAGGGTTCAGCAGATTGAACAGTGAGGGGCGAGCAGCAGTCGGCCGACAGGATGAAGACGAAGGAGAAATCGATAAAGACTGGACAATAAGTGGAGTAGTCTCAACCACGGCAGTTTCCAGATCTGGCTCAGATTGAAGATATGGTGGCGAGATGTTGATAAGCATTGACGTTGTGCTAGACGGATCAGGGGGCGGTAAACACGAAATTGACGCAGCCGGTGATGAGAGGGGAAGAGGCTGGAGAGATGCGACGGGCGATGTTGAGAGGCGAGGGTGCTCGTGGAGGTCAAGAAGCGTAGACGCGAGGGCATCAGTCTCCTGACCTTTCATCTCCTCGCCTTGTGGTTCAGGAAGCTCTCCTGCGCTCGCGTGGCCGAGGCTCCCGGAGTGTGATTTCGGAGCGCCAAGGCAGGCGCCTGAGTCAACGAGGCGTTCTGATACAAAGAAATCAGGAGAAAGTGGGCGAGACGATGTTGGACGCGTAAACGGCTCGTCGCGCTCGGCAGATGTAGAAAAGGATATGCGCCGTCCATGAGGGTAATCGAGATTCATATTTTCGTCATCTGAATGCATGTCAAGATCAGAAGTAGTCAGTAAGCAGTTTCATTTCGTCCTGTCACAACTAATTATCACCGCCTGCAAATCAGAAAAGGTCGTGCACCCGTAGCGTAGAGACCTCTACCGAGGGGAGAAGAGTAAAACCCCTTGGGTAGAGGCAAATGCATTGCAAGAGGGAAACAACGAAAATGTCTCGTGGTACATCCTACAGCATAGTGGTGGCCCATACCAGCACCACGATTAGCTCTTCATTTCGTGACAAGAAGGCCTACAAGCCGACGCCACACGCTGTGTAGCAAATCCGCAGGTGAACAGCGTCACAAACAGCATTTTTACATGCAGATTCTCCATGATCGAACGGAAAGGAAGTCGCAAGGAAGAAGTGAACAGCTTGACGTAGACAATCCCAGTTTGCTCACTTTCAGACCTGCTATAGCCAGCAAAACATAAATTCCCCTCCTCCTAGAGCATTGCTCAGAATCTGCATGCTTGAAAACGACCCGCCTTAGCACGAAAGCACTTTGTAAAGACCCGAGGCGCCCAAACCTCGGCCACCACAGAATAACCAAGGGATTCATACAATTCGGCATCGAACCGTTCGGTATGAAGCGTAATTCGTACATCACCATGCAAGTATATCACGCTGCGCGCGCCAAACATATGTCCGGTAACTGCAAAGGTACAGGAGAACAAGAATTCCTTCTCACCTTTGTCCATACCAGCGTCATCCGAGTATTCAGACGCATCCACGTTGAGGTGCGATGTGTATGGGGGTTCCTCGGAATCATCGCTTAGGGACGAATAACCAAAGGGAGTACGCGGGGGTAACGATGGTGAAGCGGTCTGAGAGTTGCCTGCATAGTAGTATCCGCGGGTCGAGAATTTCGTATGTGAGGGCCAGTAACTGTCCAGTTCATGCGCGTCGTCGAGTAATACACGCGAAGTAATCTCGAATCCGTGCAGTGGGCTGGACTGGTCGCGAATCTGTGCATAGTCGGCGTAGGCATAGGGGCTGTTCTCAAAGTCCACAGACGGCGCAATAGGTGAGGATGATGGAGAGAAGTCGTACAGATAGGTGGACGCGGTGGACGGCGATTCGTTAGTGTCCGACGCCGACAAGCTCTTCCTCCGCAACTTGAGCGGCAATGCCGTCAGGGGCGGCGACGAGGAGAACATGAGCGGTAGCAACGAGAGGCGGACTGGAATAGCTGCAACGATGATGGAGGACAAGAGCAAGTGATAACAGAGCTCACGTGGTCCGAGTCAACAGGAGAGCGCGTCTGTGTGCGCATGTTTGGCGAGGTCACGCTCCCGCGTCATCTCACCGGAGATTGAATTGTAAAAGTGCACTGATTACACGGATCCGTGACCAGATTGGATGAGTGCTTATGTTTTGCGAGCACATATAACGGGCTTCAGGCAAGCTCGGGTAGTCCGCACCGTCCTCCCCTCTTTCTTTCACCCTGTCCAGAGGTTATATTCGACCAGGATGCCTCGCTCAGCAGAGACCGCGAGTTTCAGGGTAACACTCAGCCACTTTATGCTGTAGGTTCGGTCTGATTCGCCGTTTGTATGTAGTTCAATCATACCATGCTACGTGTGAAAGACGCTCAGGTCTCGCTCAAGTTCTACACCGAGGTATGTGCTTCTAGACTGTCGTGGAGATGCAGGATACGCTAACGGTGATGGGCGACCAGGTTCTCGGCATGGAGCTCGCAGACAGTATGTCTAGATTGCCCATGTGCGCGGAACGTCAATCTCGAACGTTGACGTGCTTCACCTCCAGAGGCCGAGTTTGAGACCTTCACTCTCTACTTCCTCGTCTACAATGAGGGGGACCAGGTCACCAACCATGAGACTCGTTTCGCTCGCGAGGGTGTGCTCGAGCTGACGCACAACCATGGCACCGAGTCCGACCCCAATTTCAAGGGCTATGCCAACGGTAATTCCGATCCTGGTCGTGGCTTCGGTCACATTGCCATCACGGTCGACGACATTCAGACGGCTTGTGACCGCTTTGAAAAGCTTGGTGTAAAGTTTCAGAAACGCCTTCAGGATGGCAGGATGAGGCACATTGCCTTCATCCTGGATCCCGATGGGTACGTGTGGTTCGCTTTTCCTGGCTGACTTTTCGACCGATGACGTCCTCTCATAGCTACTGGATTGAGATTGTCCCTAACCATCTCCCGAAGATCTAAAGCTTGAGGTGCAAATATGGCCAATGAGAAGTTGTATGATAGGGAACACGAGTATGTATTCAGTCAATGGAACAATGATTTCGTATGTTGTCTGGATGGCGCCTTGCAAACTTCACGCACCATGAACATCCATAGTATCCCACCGATAACCTTGCAGATGGTCTACATGACGGAGTGGACGGGCGTCCGGAGGGAGAGTTCCAACGTCTGAAGGAATAGTTATTTCCGCCCACGCTGTCATGTGAAGTGAGTGAACACACTTCCCAAGGATCAGGACGTCTTCTCGGATCTGATAAGAGCGCGTCTCTGTCCCCACTAGTAATGGATCCGTGGTTCAGCCGTCAAGCTTGTTCGGTCCGTATGAGGCATCTGTAGGCCCTCCTGCGAACCGTGGTGACCTCTTCACCAAGGGACAGCTGTATAATACGGTGTCCGGTCGAATTGTCCTTGTGCAACCCATGATGTTTATACAGCCTTTTCACACCAGTTGATCGATTTCTATCGTGCTAGTTAACGTCGGTCGTATCGTGCATTAGCCCACGCGGGTAAGTCGTCCAGTATGCCAGTGGGCGGAGACGGTAATGTGTCGGATTGATCCTTCATTAGACATCCTGTAGATATATCCCATGACTGACAGAAATCTCGAGTGTGCTGTCTTAGTCATGATCCATACCTCGTCGCCTCGCACTTCTTTCTTGGATGCTAGGAGATCTGGCATATGCCGCCAGAGAGCTATTCCAGTCAGTAGTCACGCGTCACGTACATGTAGGGGGTTGATTCCTACTCCGGGGGGAGAGTACCGATTGTCTGTCGAGCCTTCCCTCTGCACTCTGAATGTTGCAGCCGTTGCGGACCAATCGCGGACAGTGGAAGTAGACTCGATCGACGAAAGCCAGCGATCTCTCCGATCAGATAAAATCACGCCAAATTTCTGCGCGACGTCCGTGACTTCCGTGTTCGCAACCGTCCTCCGCTCGTCCTGATTTGAAAGTGCCATATATATTATGCCCCGCAGCTCTAAAACAGAAGGTTGTGTATGTGAAGTTGGCAACTTCTCGACCAAGCGCAGAAGTAATATAGTTGGAACCTTGCAATGATGTAGTTCGATTCACACGATGATCCGCGTCAAGGATCCTACAGTTGTCCATCAAATTCTACACGGAGGTGTGTCTGAGAACTGTGCATACTGATCGTGATCATGAAGTCTGACATTTGCTGTCAAAACCACCGTGTTGCGATCGACTAATTACAACCGACGGTGCAAATCTTGGGTATGGATTTGCTTTCTCGTACGTTTCGCACATGTCGATATTCTTACTCTTCCATCTCGCTTGCATCCGAGAGCGCAAAAATTGTTGCTGTCACATCCTAAGCATCCTAAGAAGTGACAGTGCTTTCTTGGCGAGCAGACTACAAATTCGAATCTCTTACGCTCTACTTCAAGTAGAGCGTCCTGGCATTTGACCACTCCGGAGGAAAAGATAAGGACTCACGCTTCGACCGTGAAGGTCAGCTTTCCCCTTGTTTAATTTCCTTCTACCACAGCCATGACTCAGTATGTTTTCAGGTGTCCTTGAGCTGACTCACAACCACGGGACGGAGTCGGATGCCTCGTTCTCAGGTTATGCGTCGGGAAACTCGGACCTGGAAAGGGATTTGGCCACATCACGATCACGGTCCCGGACGTTGAAAACGCGTGTGGCTGCTTCGAGAAGCTTGGAGTGCCGTTCAAGAAAAAGCTAACGGACGGGAAGATGCGCGATCTCGCGTTCATACTGGATCCGGCGGATGGGTATGGATACATCGTCTTTCAGGTGAATATTTGTGTTGACTGCGTATTGTGTGCAGGTATTGGATTGAGATCGTTCCTCCTCGGCTCATTCTTGGTTCAGGTGACCAGTGACGCCACACAAGTTACCTGAGACAGTAAATATTGCAGTCAGAACTTTGGGCAACACGCAATGTAGGCGGAGTCATCCCGAAACAAATCCTTTCAGTTCCACCAACTCAAATAGTAGTGACCTCATGTGATCATTCAAATAGTCACTCTGTGTGATGGAAGGGCTATTCGAAACATTCCCATTCAGTGTGAGTCATAATAACCCCTGGTCCACAATGGTACAACATACTACGGACATCCATGGTATCCGCAACGTTGCTACTTCTGAATTAGGCACTTATTGCATGTCGAATGCACGACTCTTCCAACCCTTTCTCCTTCTTTCTACTCCTTCCCTGATAGCTCCCCGCTCTCGCGCCTCTTCAACTTCTTCCCGCACCTTAGCCGTCTGTTCCATGATGCTCTCCACTGTTCCGTTCGTGCACTCCACAGCTCCCTGCAATTCGCCCATCGCCTCTCTTGTGATATCAACGGCACCATACTCGCTTGCCCTCGGGCCATCAACAGGACCACCCTTCCCAGGAAGGATCTGCGGACCGATCCCTACTGCCAACGCACTCTCATCTGGGGTGGGTGGGTTCGACAATGAAGGGAAGGGCTGCGTGACCGTGGTGCGAATCATGCCCTGGAGGGTCGCCCTTGTGTGACTCTCAACGAGAGCAGCAGTCTGGGACTCGTCTTCCGTGCTCGAATCCGAGTCGTCGGAGGCGGTATCATCTTCGCCCGATACACCCGCTCTGGCATGCAGCAGAAATGCCTCCCAATAGTCCTCGTATGAGACTTCACCGCTTGGCTCCAACTCATCGTTCAATCCCTCTGCAGTCCGCTGCACACCTGCGAGGAAACGCCCTAGTGCTTCGAGCAGCGTCCTGATCTGCTGTGCAAGAATATGCCCGGCGATGGCCCGTACGAGGGGTCCGGATAGCGGTTGGACAATGAACTTATTCAACAACCAATGCTTGCTCCGATATATCGCGAATTGCAAACCCGGCACGTCCACGCTGACGTCTGTTACGCGGAACAGACTCTCCGCACAGTTGCCTTCACTGGCACTTCCATCGGCATCCTCGCCTGTCTGCAGGTCGAGTTCCACATCAACCGTCAAGCCTTCGCCTTGTTCGTTCTGTCGGCCAACATCTACGCTGAGCAATCCTTGGTCTTCATACCCGAGCATCCCGTGCCACCTCTCGTAGTGCACATAATAGCCGATATTGCGGGCGGACACACGCAAACCGTTAACGTGCACTCTCGTTCTCGTGTACGTCTGCACGCCGCCCGCTGAATATCCAACTTGCGAATTACCGGCATCCACCAAGGCAGCCCGCTTGGTGACATCCACCTGAAGTTCGCTATAATTTTCGACGCGGATGCGGTCTGGAATCAGTGATGCCGAAACACCCGTCCCGGGGGTGAGTAGCGAAGTGTCGATGACTACGTCCAAATTCCCGCTCTTATACTCCACGCGTGGCATTGGTATGGCTTTGATTGCGCGGAGAATCTGAGGGATTAGCCAAACAAGGACGTCGCGTTGGGTCCGGCGCCACCACCTTCGATTTATCCTCTGAGCCTGTGCAGGTGCCTCGTTAGTGGTGGCAGAGCTGAATAGTGCAATATCGCCAGTAAGCGTGTCCAGAGATCGCAAGAGACGGCGGGATGTCCGGTCAGACGCCATCGCGGAGGTAAATGCGTCCATCTCGTGGACCAAATCTCGGACATGTCTCACCCACTCCGCATTCTGTTCGGAGGCCTTGTCCATAAGTGCTCTGCCACGGTCATATAGCGTCTCAATATCCCGTCGCCCCTCGGGAGAAGCGGCAAATCGTGCCCTGGCTAGCGCATGGTCAAGCCACTCTCCCACACTCGTAAGATAGGCTTGAAGCTCCCGTCGACTGTCTGTATCTGTGGATGCTGCTGCTTCTAGTGGGATGTTGATGACATCGGACGTGACCGTCTGTAGGGCGTTCAGGAGAGCATCAAGTGAATGACCCGAAGCCAGTCGTTCAAGGATGGTCACAAGATTTGAGAGGGCATCAGACAGCGGGGGTTCGGCCCACACAACGGGCACAACAGTGGGTAATCGGGCTCCTGAGAGGTCAGAGACACTTGTGCTCAATTTACTGGAATATTTACGCAGGAGGAGTAGCACCGTTCGGAGAGCCTGCCGGTAAGCTGATACTCTACTGGCGCGAAGCATGGACTAGAACATCACGCAATGTGAGATCGATACCGAAGGTCGTGAGACTACGCGCACCTCTTGGAGTCTAGAGACGATAGCTTCCTTCGCTAGCTCCGAAGTTCCATTGTCTTGCGTTTCGTCATCGTGTTTCGTCATCATCACACCAAATCCAGCTACGAAGTCTTCGCTGGATTCTGTCGCCTTTCTCCTTAGATCTCCAACAGCATTACTTCCAGGACGTATAACGCCCTCCATCTCCGCTGAAACGTCTTCCACGCGGGACGCGGGACGCCCAACGTGGGCTACAGTGTCTGTAACCATCTCACGCAAAGCAGCCAGTGCATCTGATAAAAGAGTGTTGAATGTCGAGGAAGTTATGAGCACCCGAGCCAGCACGACGAGCGATCGAAGCAGTTCGACGGTATTCGTCGTCAACTCAGCCTGTGAGGGTAGCTGCTTGGCTATCTGGAGATTTGAGATCTAGAACTTAGAATGTAAGGATTCTTACGCACCCGTGGTGTCCATATCCATTGCACTACCGTTAGCGTCAACAGCAACGCCGGCCTGCATTTGACTAGAGTCGACCTTCCTACTGTGGTACAACAGATGTTGGACAACATCATCGCCTGTCCAAATATCAGCATATATAGAACAACAGGAGAATATTTGCTTACTGTTCTTCTCCATCCCTATTTGCAGAGCCGCATCGAGAACCTCTCTGACATCTGTCACAACCTTCCTTCCGCTCTCACTAAGGGCACCATATCCAGTATCAACATGGTTAACGTTGAGTATGTCCGCATTGAGCAAGGCTTGCAGAGTGTCGCTCAGCTGGGTTTGAGTAGGCAGCTTGCCCGCTTTCAAGGCACCAAGGATGTCAGCAACGCGGTCGAACTGGGATAGCGGTGGAGGGCCAGGATCGACATCAACCTCTCGAGAGTAGTGTTTGGGTAGCAGAGGTTCGCGTTCTGGGGAACGCCTCCTGCGACAGCACGACAGGCAGATACCCATAACCTGATGAGTTGTAGCCACCTGTGACCTATCTGAGGAACGAGGATATACCTCCTGTGAAATGACTGAGGTCTATAGCTTGCTCCGAATCATTCACACTGGTTCTTTAACTGTATAGCCGGCCTGAGAAGGAGAAGGAATGCCGACTCTACTCATACGGCCAGACTCGTAATCCTGCTGAAACCTGTCTCGACATTCAAAGTCACTGCAGTGGGTCTGATGCTCCTTACCTGAGACAAACACAGCTCAGAAAGTGAGATGGCGCGGGCTCACTGTTCGTTTAATCTCGAGAACGTAGTACAAGGAAAAGAACATTATTGTAGGGAACAGGCTTATGGGCGCTTACAGTGCGTCATAGACGCGTCCGGATCACGTGCGAATGTACTTGACGCAAGTCGAGGATGAACTCCTTGGCATGCTACAGTGCTGAGGATGATACGAAGGACATAGAGCTTTGAATAATACATACATATTTCTAGTGAAGAGGTAAGTAGACTGTGGTATAGGGATAATATTTTCGACGAAATATAACATATGGAGTCGTACCTCGTCGCATGCCGACGAGCACTAAACATCGAACTTGAAGTCCTGTTCCGAATCCAGCCCACCGATAGCGAATTCCAAGACCATACTATCCTTCGGCACCTCAGCCGCCGCCGCCACTATGGTCCTGCTCGTAAACGGACCAAGTGCGCGCAGACGAGTAGAGTTGGGAAGGGGTTTCGACGTACTAGTAGCCGTCGTAGTAGCGTACACAGACGATTTCCCTTTTGCAGCAGCTGCAGACGGTTTCCGCGCCGTGCTTGCAGCCCGCAGAGTGACTCCTGTTGTGGGATTCGTAGTGGTACCAGTGGTAGTCGCATAAACCGAACCTTTCCGTCTGGGAGCGGCCGTGGAGACTAACGATGGTACTCTGGTTCGAGCAACCTTGCTGGGGAGTGTGTTCGCGGATGTACTTGCGGTACGTGTTGCGGAACTTGTCGCTGAACCCGTCGCGGCCGACACCGTGAGTCTCGAAGATGCGCAGGTGGACATCGTCGTTGTCGGGCGTGTGGATGGTACAGGGCGAGGTGCAGGGACAACGCGGGATGCTGCAGCAACACGAGAGGCCGATGGACGCATTGTGGACTTGCTCATCACCGTGACCTGGAAGTCGTTGGAAGTCTTGATGCCGAAGATACTGTCATCCTCTGGGCACATCGTAAATTGTGACTCAAGAGGTGTATCAAATACGCACCGAGCTCAGGCAGCTGAAGGTAGTTCCATATAGAGGGAGACGATGAAAACCCACTGCTGACCAACAGTTCTTGAGTGTCGATCATAGTATCGATATCAGCCGCGTAGAAGTGGTCCGCGGAGTCGTCGACTGGACATGAATGCGCAAGTTCAAAAAGTTGTCGGCCAGCGACTTTGTAGTCGGGCATATCAAAAGGAGGCTCGTACGGAACATCTGTGACCGCACTGTCAGACAGTGCACCGACCCGTGTGGGCCGCTGAACTCACCTATCGCACTTGGTGGCATGTACTCGATCTCATCATAGTCATCTTCATGCACTGTCTCCTTCTCCTCAGCCCCCACTTGCACATCCATACTGACATCTCCATCACTGACATCCCAATGGTTCCCTTGCGTCACCGGAGTCTCGAAACTATGTTTCGCGCTCCCACTCCGAGGTGTGCGCAGGCTCTTGCGAGTCGATGACGGACGCAAGACGCCACGTGGTGTACAAGCAGGTGCGGGGTCGAGCAAAGAGAGCTTTGCGAGTTTTGCGGTCTGCGGGGCCGGGGTTTTGAACGGCACGGCATTCGCCAAACGGTTCGGGAGCGGTGTCTTATCGAAGAGTGGCCGGGGAACGGTAACAATAGGTTTTCCATCCTTGACGGCCTTTAGTCCTTCTGTGAAAGTGCAGTATGAGCAAGAGATACGTTACTCGTCTGAGATGAATACAGACGAACGGCTGGCCGGTGAGGCGTCTGAACCAACTTTCCCTTTCCGTTCACCGTCGTAGCACCGTGGTGACCAAGGTTTTCCTGCAATGTATTCCGGCCTTTCAATGCCCTTCCCGGAGTTTTTGTGTGCGGCGGATAGCGCGGAACCTCATCGTGAAGTGCAAGCGGGCGTGCGCCAAGCATTTTCTTGACAGAACGAGGGGAATCTGAATTGACGGAAATAGCAATACACAGATCAAATGTTCAGACAATGCTCAGGAATAGTAAGAGTAAAGCTGGACAGCTCTAGCCTGAAGGAACAGTGCTATGAAGGAGTTGAACTAGCGTGACGCGTGACAAGGATCGGGTACTCAATCACGTGATCGTTACTTCCTAGTTTACGCGCGTCGGTGGCGCGCGAACTTTTCCCCCTCGATAGGACTAGAGTCATCTGTTAAAGTTCTTCCTTTCTCCATATGCATACAGAATTCTCTGAAATACGGCTCACCTTGCAACAAGTATGTTTTTGAATGAATGGTGACCGAACACTGCGTCTTTCTAGCTCACCCCATGATTTACTAAGCATAACGAACTTCGCGTTTCACCTGAACAGATGGACTGGGTTGGCAGGGACTTGCTCGTCCAACAAGCTCGTCCTGGTGACCCGACCCTGCAGAGGACCTCGTAAAAATTCCACCGCATGTGCTCATCTAAGCCCGAGGACGAATAGCTCGGCCGCCATAAGCAAGTCAGAAGGCCGCGATAACGCGATGGTGGCGAGGTTTAGCACTCAGACTAAGCACTTTTCACTTTGCACTTTTCTTGCCAAGAAGATTGGCAGTTCCGCATGCCGTTTCGTGTACTTGGATGCTCCAGTCATCGATGTTGGACTGACAAGCTACAGAGGACAAAGTACCGACCGCGAGTCGATGCTGAAGGTGAGTAGAAGAAGCACAAAATGTAGTAATCGGAATCGATCCACTTTCATATTGGCGCGGCAGTGCAGCGTCACGAAACTTTAGAGGTGAGATCCAAATATTTGCTTACACGTAAACTGTAACCCGATGGGCGGACGGCACACGCCGGCGGGGCCCATCCTTCGGCTGTCATGATGAACATGCTGCGATGCAAAAATGAATACGCACGATGGGATCTACTGATGGAAAATTGTGTGAACACACGCAAACCTAAACATATTCTCGAGGTGGCAGCCAGCCCACTTCGTGGCCATGTCTCTCTTCCAGATGGTAAAACCCGCTTACCCCCCGCCCAGCCTGACAGGATATGTTCATGTGCACTTACAATGAGGGATGATAGAGAACCTACTTCAGATTCGAAGGCAACCTCGCGCGTAAGAGTGCGATTTGGACGCGGGAAACGAAGATCAGAAGCAGGGGGACCGGCTCGAACCTAGCCAGATATGTACTCCAAATATGACTAGTCTGTCGATGAGCTCACGACAGCCCTGCATGACTCCAAAGGCCAATATGAATACGAGCCAGGGTTCTTGTCGCTCTTTCTCGTTGCGTTTTCATCTTCACGATACATACAACACCTGCCGCATTCGTCGAGACAGAACAATATGTCCGCTCAACCAGACTTCTCGGCTCTGTGGGAGTTCGGAGTTCATGAATTGAACTACTTGCTGGACCAGTACCACGAGCCTGCCGGCGAATGCAATGAGCCTGGTATTTACAACTACTACGAGGCAAGTACAATAATCTGCGGAATCTGCGGCTCACGTTGCGCAGAGGGTATCAAAGAAGCGGATCATGACAGGCTCTAACTGCCGCGTTTAACTTTTGCAGAATCACGCAGACTCCACATTACTGCAATCCTATCTCGCCGCCCCTGCGTACATCAATCAGTACGATTCCTACAGCGGCGTGTACGGCCCTTTCCATGAGTCCCTCAGTCTTCCCTGCCAGCCCCTGCGACCTGACTACCCACGACATACTCCCGAGTTGTACCAGGAGGCTCTGGGTGGCGACGATGCTACTTCGTACACGCCAGAACCTCCGACTCCCGGCACGATCGACGCCACAGCCTCCTCGCTCCCTGCACAGCTTGTGAATCTCCCACTTTACGAGCCCGAGGAAGTCCTTAATGTCAGAAGATCTTCCTACTATGAGCCGTTCAACAAGTCCGAAGTAGTGATCTACAACGACGCCGTGCCCGCTGTCGAGACATTCAACTACCATGCCTGTGCAAAACAAAGAAGAAGCAGGCATGAGCTTGCAGCAGCGACCCGCCAACTGGAGGAGCCTCAGACGTACAAGGTCAGTACCCGCCTCCCTCTGCTTTGCAGAGAGCATAGCTGATAAAATGTGTACAGCACGAAGCTACGGATAGTTATCTGGCACAACCATGTACTCAACTCATTTTTCCAGACGGAGCGCAGTCGATCTCCGCGGAACCAGCCGCGCTTGAGCTCGAGATTCCTCCGTTTATCATCCCGTCGCAACCTCGGAGAGTAGAAGTAACCCCAACGAAGCAAGAACAATATGACACTCTGCTGCCAACAAACGCACCCAAGCCTCTTCGCGCACCGAAATCGCGCGCGGCACCTGTCACCGTGGAGTTACCATACCCTACGCAAGCCAGTACGTTCAACCCGAGGCATTTTTTTCCTAAAAACTCACTCGCATCGATCTAGGTATCGTCACACCGTCGCAGAGCGCGCAGCCGGATACAATAAATCCATCTCTCCTGCTGACCGAGGCCGCGTGCGGGCTAGGGAAGGTGATGTACTCACCTTTTTCAATGCAGCCCATGTCGGCGTCGCTGTACGGACCGGTACCGTCGGGTGTTCCCCGCGTGAAGAAGCGGTTCAAGCGCGGTACCGCGGTCGCGTGTCTGTTCTGTCGCAAGAGAAAGATCGCGTGTGGAGGATCGGTGCAGGGTAGCAGCGACAAGACATGTATGTGAGTACGCATCCTTCGTGCTACGTGGGGCCTCGCATCGCCGGAATGAGATTAGGAAGGGGGTTGTGCATGGAACTTGGTCTATCATCGGGTCCCATTGCTCGCTTTTATGTGCAACTGCGCGGATCTCCGCTTGCGCATTCCACGGCCACGGTGGATGGCGACATGGATGATAAACGATGATCAATCTTAATCAATTGTCGTCGATGTTGACAGCCTTTCTTCCTCCTATATCTGGCATGATCACTGATCATGCTCTTGTTCGCCCAGCCAATGCTCGCGCCGCAACCAGAAGTGTGAATACCCACCGTCTGCGGACTGCAGCTACATGTTCAGGGAGGTTCCAGACGACTCTGGCCGCATGATCCATATCATGCCTGAAGATGGGGCCTGAGCTTAGCAAGTGCCCCAAGCTAGCGCTGACTTCCACACAACTTTTGTGTGTTCCGTGCTTCACAGCACATGTGGTATAGAGTTAAGGTTCTGTGTCCGTCCTTCGCCGTCTTGTTGTCTGGCTCGTGCATGCCTATCGCGCTTTCATATGCATCCCATGCTCTTCATTTGTCGGACCCAAAGCACTCCCGTGCTCACATAATTGCATGATGTCGTTGAGTAAACATTATTCACTCCTGTTCCCGCTTTCGTCACGTTTTCGTTGTTATCTTTGATACACACAATGTCATGAGTAATTATACTTGGCGGCCTTGTCAACGCACGCAGACAATGAGTAGAAACTTGGAAGAAGTCATATTCAAAACACAAGGCTCTACCGATGACATGCATAGAGTAACATATAGCTGTGGGAATGCTTGAGCCATGCACGGCTCATGCATGTTCAAGCAATTGGTAAGACGAAAGACGTAAGCGAGCTATCAAGAAATGAATGAGAGGTTAGATCACCTACACGGAGATTCCAGACGAAAACATCATAATGAGAAATCAAGCAGATATACCATCAAAGATCACCTATATTCGCTTCGGCCTCACCCCCTCCGCACACCCTTCTGCGGAGTAGCGGTGAGACGAGTCGACCTTCTCGGAGCTTCATCATCCAGCGCACGCACTCCATTTCTCTTCGACGGGGTGGCCGGTACTCGTCCTCCAGCCCCTTTGCCGCGCCGTGGACGCACGGTGGGACCGCCGCGTTCAGTCCCGCGCACCTTCTTCCTCCCAGTGACAGGCGGCGGGACTTCCTCTTCTTCCTCCTCCTCTTCCTCCCGCATCGGCGTGAGTGACGCGTTGAAGTCGAGGCTTCCAGCTTTGCGTTTGCGCACAGGCGTGTTGTCCTCCTCGCCGTCCGAGTGCACAAACACTCTCTGCTGGTCTTCCTCGGCAGCGAGGACCTGCGAACGCCGCTGCAGCGGCGCACCGCGCAAGCCTTCGCGGCCGGTCTGGCTGGAGGGGTACGCCCCAGGCATGTTTCCGATATTAGAGGCCTGCGAGCCCAGAACAGGTGGGTCCGCAGCATCCTCCATGGATGCGTCCAGGATCATGCTCTCGGAGTGCTGAGAACTCATCGAGGCCTCAGGTAGGAGGTTGCTCGGTCCGGGTTGCACTCCTGCCTGCGCCTGCGCAGTGAGCCCCCGTGCGCGAGCCTGGCCGGCGAGCCAGGGGTGCATGCGGGCAGCGGTGAGTGACATGCGCTGCTCCGGACGCACTTCGAGGAGTTTCCGGATGAAGTCCTCAGCTAGTCGTAGGGCATCGGCATAAGTACTGTGACGAGTAAGAGATCAGAAGAGGCCGTACCTTCGGCGCTTACACCCTTGCCGTGGAGCATCTGCCAGTCGATCACCCGGGTCCTGATGCGATGCCTAATATCGACTCCAGCATCTTCCCCGAGGAACGCGTTGGCAGCTGTAAGCCTGGGACGAAGTATGAACATCAATGATCGGTGAAACAAAGCAATCACTTACATTGAGAAAACGATCACGCCGACACTCCAGCTGTCGACAAGGGCGGAATAACCCTCGTTGTCTTCTTGCTGCACGACTTCGGGGGCTAGATAGCATGGGGTACCACACATTGTCTATTCCAAAAAAGTCAATGACTATCGTTCAACCTGAGAGCGTCGAGATGGAAAGAAAACACATACACGAAGCATCGTGCAACTGTCAATCGCCTTCGCAAGACCGAAGTCCGCCACTTTGACGACAGGAGGTGTATCGCTCGTGAGAAGCACATTTTCCGGCTTGAGATCGCGATGAGCAATGCCTCTGTTGTGAATATACTACCAAAGAGAACAGTCAGATCTCGAAGAGGCGAACAAGAAGAACGACATACAGCCAGCGCGTCGCAAATCTGGTACGTGATATGCTGTGCCTCAGGTTCGCCTGGACGAAGGTTCAGTGGAGACTGTATGAGATGTAGAACTGTACTCTTACTCAAACCGTCTCTGGCCAAGATGTAATCCAACAAATCCCCGCCGCTGACGAATTCCAGGACGATATCTGCAACCCAGCCGAACGTCATGAGAGATTACTACACGAACAGATATGAAGACATATAGCACGCACTGATGTTGGATTCCTCAAAGAAAACCTCCTTCAGCTGGCAGATGTTTTCATGGCTCAGCGACTCCAGAATACTGATCTCGCGCACGAGCTTGGCATGCTCCGAGTTGTGGGGATCGGCCTGATCTTTCGACAACAGCTTGTTCGATTGAATTATCTTCACAGCGTACCACTTCCCGTTGTCGCGGTTCATCGCCTTCATGACGGTGGCGAAGGAGCCCTTGCCCAATTCTGCGTGAAGCTGATAATGGGCGTACAGACCTTCCAATGGTGGACCGCCTGCTAGGTGCCGATAAACGAACCCTATACGACCAGACGCGTCAGTTCATGAAAAAGCATCAGATGGACCAAACCAATGCAAGAATCTGCTCTCGCAAAGGCCACCATCACGTCACGCAGATTGAACACGTAATACAAAAACACGTCTACAGCACCGAGCATCACCCATGCTAAAAGTACCACTTACGATAATCCTCGAGACCGCCGTTGGCTGGTTGCGGCGAAGATGTGCCGAAAGCGACTTCGTTGCCTTCCTTCAGAATCCAGTGTTTGCCCTTCCCAATTCTCTCACCGTTGATCTGAAACGTAAGCATTAGGGAATGGATTGCGTTTAGACGCAAAAAATTAGCTCACGAAGGTGCCATTGCTGGACAGGTCATGAACCGTAACAGCTGCGTCCCTTGAATCTTTGCCGTCCCATGAGATCTTGCAATGATAATTGCCTGGATGAAAGACGCGTCAGGACTGGATAGACGCGTTCAAACGTCGAGACACGCGCGCATCAAACTTACTGATCTTCATGCCCGGGAGGACAACGTCGTTCAGGTGGGCCTCACGGTTTCTGCCAATGGTGTAGGTCAACTTCATCTTGTGGAAGTCGACGCGGTACAAGTTGGGATTGCACGGGAGGAGATATCCCCAGAGGTGCGCGTCCATAGCGTCATCGTCGTGCTGAGAAGGGTCCACCTGTTGCGTCGACTGGGTGGGCTGTTCGGTGGCCTGGCTCTCGTCCTCTCCGTCAGTGACCATCGCATCAGGTCGGGGATCGGTTGGTGGCTGCATCATCTTGGGTTTGGGATCGGTGTCGAGGGTGAACAAGGGTCGACTGAACGAATCTAGGTTATTGAGCTGGCTTTTATAGAGAGGCTGAGCTGGGTATCTGTGCCACCAAGAGTGATCCTCTCGTGTCAAGACAATGGTTCCGTAGGCAAAGCGTGAGTGAAATATCAACTATCGTGCCAAGAATGAAAAGCGTAAGCAGTGGCGGTCTTCGAAGCAACCCTTAAACCGGTAACTAGACTGGATTCTTGATCTGACCTGCCTTGCAGAGGATTCCGTCGGCCGTTGTGGCCGTTGGCTTGTCTGTGGCGGGAGTTGCAGTCGAACTTCGAGGCAACACCTCGTTATCGGAGTTTGAACTTCACCCAATCCCCTCCTGGAACAATCGTTGTAACCTTTTGCTTGAACGAACGTTGAGTCTTGACGACGGTCATTTCAACAAAGCTCCTGTGTCACTTCCTGCGTGCATATCCTTGGCACAGAAAGCACGAACAACTTTGTGTTACCGCTTCGAAGCTAACGGAATTTCATAATTAATATTGATGACCTTGTGCGTTTCTCGGCGACGATCCATGCAATTCGATTCTTCGCCGTGGGTCCTAATTTCTCAAGGATGAATTCGTATCTCCGTGGATGTGGCTTATAATATTCAATGGTCGTGATGCAATTCCACTTGTGCCTTGTGGTGCCCATCCGCGATGCTCGTTCAATGTGGCGCGAAATTGTAAAGCCACCGGTTCTTCCGCATGGTCGTCGAAGAGGTGATTTCTCCTTACCGATAGGGAAAGATAAGGTCTCGTCGCTCTCGAATACATTTGTGTTCATCTACCGAAACAACAGAAATGCAATAAAGGACGTGGTCATGGTCTCCCTGAAGTGCAATCTCTGCAATATTTTTGCTGCTGGTCTTCAGCGTCAGTTCAATGCGCACAACTGTCGAACTTGGCGTACGTTTTCCAAGTAACAGCGTCACAAAATGGCAAGAGGTTTCGCGGATCTTCTATTGCTGGCACCCGCGGGTCCCATGCGATTGGGATTTGGAGGCGTGCCCTGTAGGATAGTTTTCAAAGGTGGCCCTGTTGTTCGCCTTCTAGTGAAGAGCGACTTACTGCGGAAAGAACCTGATCTATGTCGAACATCAAGTGGTCCAGGTAAGTGACCAATGGATGACATTGGGGTAATCCCCGGGCAATCCAGATGATTACTTCGTCACGAAAAGCAGACTAGTGAGTTACTTGGTACCGGAGCGGCAGTGACCGATACGACGGTGCATAGGACGGCGACGAGGGCGCGGGCGAGTTGAACCATTAGAGACGGTCGTGTTCTGTCCCTCATCGATATGTATAGGTGTGTTTTATACCGCCAGCCCGTTCCGACGTGGTTGCAGGATCATTCAACACCGTTGATGTGGCTGTGGCCTGAAATGAATTTGTGACAAGGTCAGTTGCAACGTCTTGACGTGAAGACGTGAGGCCTGAGTGCTTGGATGCACTGGCATGGGTCACTCTTGTATCGCACCGCAATCCGAGTTAGTAGCCGTCCTTCACGGAGGTGGAATGTACAGAACCAGTCGCACTTTATCAATAAGATAACGTCACATCTTATACTGTACTTACATTATATTTTAAGGAGCCCTGGTGCCATTGCAAACGTTTACAGTTCACCCTGTCTCTTCGTGCCTTCTCTCTCCTTCGCGCATGTTCGGGAGCGCTGTTCAAGAACAGCGACGTTTGCCTCGACGAGCTTACCATAGTTGCCACAACGGTAGCACAAGCATCCATGACACGGCCGTAAGTTTACGCATATCACCGCAATCGACCAAATCTAACATATATATTATAGATCACATACTGCAGAGGAGAGCATAGGATAGAAAGGGCGGATAACATATACTGATGCTTGCGTGAAGTAGAGAAGATCGTTGATCAGAGAAGGATTCAATGACGGTGGCGGCGTACTCACTACTCGGGCCAGCATTCTAACCTCACAAATCCATCGCGTCCGACGATCCGCTGCTGGACGGGCCTGAGAAACTGACGAACGGGCTATCCAAGTCCATCAAAGCGTACGAAAACATGTTTCGCATTTCTTGGACTTCATTGACCACTCCTTGAACTTCGCCTTTGATCTCCGCGTGGGACCGCTCGACTCCGTCGCGCACTCCCCGCAGCTCCAAGTAACACTGACCGACCCCGTTTACGAGGTTGTTGGACGTGTTATTGATCTGGTGCATACCGGTGTTCGTATTCCGGATACCGTTCCGGACGTCCTGAAAACCTGCTGAAGTTGTTTGAGCCAAGCCTTGCAATGCCTGGAAGGTGTTCTGTGACGTGTGCAGAATGTCTTTCAGCGTCTGCTCGTGGGGGTCGACAGCAGGTCGACTTCCACTAGCCATTGCTGGACGAATGATGTCCAGCATCTGCGTGATGACGTCGTGTTCGCGCACGCCAATCGCCTGCGTCGCCATTTGCCCTACGACATCCACCATGCGAGACGCGAGGGGCATTCGGGGGTCTTCATTTTCGCAGCGAGGCGTCTGCGGGTTATAGAACAGCCGACACCCGCCACCCGAGGGGTGTGACGTCGAGCTACCTTGTCCCAGGGAGAAGGCGATCTTGTTCGCATCAGCAGCCGTAAGTGCCGCTACTGTCAAGTCACCCATGTCAGGTATCACAGACGGCGCAGTGGCCAGGGAGCTACCAGTTTCAGTGGAGAGAAAGCCCTCCACGTTGGAATGCGACGTAGGCAAGGGAAGACCACACGATTCAAAGAACATAGCTAGGTCGTACGCAGAATGTGGGTAGTCATTCTGGTACGGGGGCTGACGAGGATCACTCCGGCTATAAGCCGGTGGTTGAAGGAGAATCTCGCCGCCCAGATCCGAGAAGTGGCCCGAAGGAGCAGGAGGAGGATCGTGACGGTGCTCGCCAAGGGCAGGACGAAGATCTGGTAAGACAAAGTCCGGGATATCCTCAACGTTAACATACGAGGATGCCTGCTCCTGCAGCTGCAAGATTGCGTCCACGGACGGTGGAAGCGCTTGCGGTTCGCTCTCGTGTGTCGTGAGAGGCGAGGCGGCCACAGTGTGCGGAGTACGAACCGAGTCCGTAGGTACATCGTCTGCGGGTCCCGCAGAGAGCTCGAGACCAGTAGGCGGTGCTTGAGATGCAGCTGAAGAAGCTGCATCAGTACTGACCGCCGAATCCTCAGCTACCTCTTCGAGCTGCGTTTCGGACAAGGATCTCGAGAGGAGAGCAGCTCGACCTCGTATGGGAGCCAAGCCAACCGCAGGAACAGTCGTGGCCCTTGCAAGACGGGAATTGTGCATACTGGACCGGGTGCTGAAGGTGAATGCTTCGAAGGGAGGTGGTGGGTAGCGATGTTGGTGTACTGCAGTCGTCCCACAGGGTGGCTTATATATGCAGAAGATTCCACACTCCGCCTGGCCAACTAGCGACAATCAAGTTGCGAAGCGTGCCAAGAAAGAAAACGAAGAAGCCAAAGCACGAACAATACAACGCGACCGATCGATAAGAGCACAGCCACTGCCGCATACAGAGCACCACACACACGGCGTCGGCCTCTCGAACCTGTACTTAGAACAAAAAAATTAGTGCGTAATGCTCGCGGACAAGTAAATTTACGCCCACGACAAGTATGCGAAAATGCGAAGCGCCGACAAAATCTAACAGCCTTCCCGGTAAAAAGAGGAGGGATGCATCCGCAGTGAAAACGATACCATCCGAGAATTGTCCAAATTCGACAGGACTTCCTGTAAAACTGATACGACTCATGTTGAAGCCCTTTCCCTTGCCATGGGCGGTCGTGTCTACCAATTATCGCAGCCCGGATATTCGCACGAACGGAAGCTCCTGCAGCTGCAGTGCCATGTAGTCAAGCAACGGCGCAAGGTACAAAGACAAGTACACACACTTGGGAAAGAAGCACGACGTGGCCAAGACCGAAGCGCCGATGCCATCTCAAGCAACTGCCTTTTCTGGCGCACTTTGCCGACAGTCCCCTTGACGTCATAACCTGCTCTCGCCAGCGCGACAAGGCTGAAACAATTCTCATCAGTGCGACAGGCTCAGGAGATTAAGTCCTGGATTTCTTTCTTATGAGCTGCAGAGCGGATCATCACTGCCACCTGTTCGCAGCCCAGTTCTTCCCGCTGACGATCCCGTGCACGCGGTGCGTGGGCTTGATCTGCTGACGGAGCACGGATATGTTGGTGTACGCGACGAACGCTGCGTCGAGCGCGTTCTGCGCCTCCCATGGTGCCCATGCCGCGTGTGCGCTTGACGCGACCAGTTCAACTCGTGAATCACAAGCGGTAGGAAGAAGTGGGCGCACGTATGTCCGAAGAACTCACCTCGATGGTCTGGCAGGCGAGGCAAGGGCCGACGGAGACACTGTGCAGGGGACCGGGGCTGGGGTGGCACCTATTGGGAGTGGACCTGAGTGGACGTGAGCGGGGAGTATGTGACCGCTCGAGCGAGAGTCCGTGCATGTACATGCGTCCATCTCGTCTTAGGCGCCGCGGTCCAGCAGTTTGACCTTGCCTCCTCCGCTCTCCTCCGCTGGACGTATGAACCGGACCTGAGCAGTGTCCTCTGTGATCTGATACTGAGACGGGCGAACTTGGATATTTCCGCTTTACACGAAAGACCGCCAAGGCGATCGGGTGTCGTACGAAGGCGACCCCTTCACTATGATTGAACCGCAGCTTGAACTTGAAGCTTTGAAGGCGAACACCTTTTCAAGAAGCAACTTGTTCCCCCAGCTCGTTGCCGAAGATTATCCTTTGACCGATCCGCTGTATGTTCTGTCTGACATGTGATACTTCAAATTACTGTTGGTGTCTCTGGCGGTACAACAGTAGCTATCAAATGTCTACATCGATGTTCTTACGGCTATGGTTCAAATGATGGATGTGTGTTATTCTTCATGAAATGATCATCTCCGCAGTATGGAGTCATACGAGCATGCAACTCGAACTACGTCAACAATATCGCGGAGTCTAGGTGTGTTGAATCACCTCATACCGTATTGAATGACTGAGGCATATTGAATCCCCGTGCATTCCTCGTCCTTCTGAACAAAATAGGATCCGAACTATATGAGGATCACAGACAGACCACTGCCAGGGCGACAGGGCGACAGCATGATCTTCTACAATGTCGAGTTAGGGCGGGCTATGCGCTAGCGCTGTAATTAAGGAAGCTTAAATCTGGGAGCGTTGGTCCAAGTAAATCCACGCAGAGGAAGACTTGCTCAGACTCAAGCGAATACATTGATGATGTTGCTGACAAAGCACGTGGTCCGTGCGCAGAATTGTAGGGCATATATTCCGACATCGCATGCGTTCATACCTTATTCTTGTGCTCGGGCACGTACTGTCGCCAGTGAGGTTATACCGAGGCACAGTCTTTTGCTGATTGCAAATTACACATCCGAACACGTCTGTAAGCTTCGGCTTTCAGCAATTTTTGTAACATATTCGCGTTCTCGCGTTTTGCCTTTTGGTTGGTCCGGTCCGGGTGTATATACGTACGTAGCGTAGAGTGTGTCCTATACGCAAATGAATATTTTATGTGTCTGCTCGATCATCTAGTGCATAGGGTATCTGGTGAAGCTTTGAAGGTCTCAGATGTGTTGATATGCCTTCGATGGGCTTGAGGCCTACTTTTTGCAGCCACATCTGATGATGACTTGAATCCATATTTGTGACCTTCAAAAAGAATTGCTAACAAATTGTAGAGTCGAACTGGAGCAACGCGTGACGCTTTGGCGCCCAATATTCTGCCAGACCGACCCTCGACTACTACATACTAATGCCACCATCCTCCGTGGACATGAGTACTCCCTGTTGAAATAGTATGCTGATCACCAGCCCACTTCCCTCTCACAAATAACGATGACGTCAAATCTGGTTCCTATTTAGATCTACTACTTGTTCTGTTATCAGCGATTATCACAAGACTTTTCGTGAGTATGTTGAGACGAATGACATATGAGGTCTTGCATGATTTGACCCAGATACCATGAAAACTGCTAGCGTTTGCTGACCAAGGGGACTACTCTTGAGCTAGACGGTCGGCGGCATAATGGTGGCACAAACGGAGAAGCGTCTCTTATGGCATCCGGGACGCGAAAACAAGTTTGTAGTTGGCGGTGGAACCCAGCTTACTTTGTACGAGTGGGTTCCAGAGTCTTCGGAAATCAAGCAGGTCACTTCGCAGCTCGACTTGACACTCATGAAGGTGACTGCATCAGGATTTGTTTGGCTTTCAGATCAACTCTAACCACAGGGGTTTTCAGTGCTTCGCATGGTCTCCAGATAAAACATTCGATGACCTTGTCGCAGTCGGACTGAGTAACGGACGTGTAGATCTCATGCGACTGGAGGCGACCAAGTATGCGCGAGATCACGTCTTGTCGAGCGGTCCTTGTGTATCTCTTCCAGCACGCAATTCTCGCTCGTGCAATGCCCTCGCATTCTCCCCTGTTGATGCAAATTATCTTGCGGTTGGGCTAGACAAAGTGCGCAATGACTCCAGTCTCGTCATCTGGGACATTCATACCGCCACACCGTCACTGTCCCTCGGACCTACTGTTCCCTCTGCTACAACGCTGAATGCCCCGCTTCCTACCGTCCGATCACATTCGCATATCCCTCGTGGAGACGTCGGCCCTCGTGCTGACTCACGAATTTTGCAACAGCACGCTCCCGCAGACACCGTCTCCTCCGTCGCCTTTCTTCCACATTCACCCACGTTATTACTGGCAGGAATCTCACACAGATGGCTACGTCTATTTGATTTGCGCGACCCACTTGCAGCTCCGACGACGGTCGCAAGTAAGGTGCATGGGATAGCGACCGATCCGCTCGAGCCTCACCGTATCGGCTGCTTCGGCGAGGGCGTCGCGACCATCTGGGACACACGCCACCTCACACAGCCACTGTTAACATTCACAGAAAAGGACGCATCTGCTGACGGTGCGAGAGCGCGCCCGAGCTCTGTCTTTGTTACTATGGAATTTTCGAGCACCCGTAGGGGCGTCCTCGCGACGCTGGAACGTGACGCACACCACGTTCGTTTCTGGGATCTTCAGCAGGCAGCAACTGTGGAGTTGCACACGTCACCGAGCGAACGCTCCCGAGATTCGTCACAATCAGGTAAGGTAACGCGCTCGTGGACGAATCCGTCAAGCATGCTTCCGTGGACCGGGTCCAGTTTGAGCTCTAGCCATACCTCGCAAGCTCGTCCGACCAGCGAACATCAAGCCGAGCCATATTATCTTATGCTGTCAGACACACGACGGAGTACGTTTAACCAGTGTATAGCTTACCATGGTATTAAGCTCAAACGATTGACCAGCTAAGGCGTTTTCTAAGCCACTCTCGTCTTTCGCTCTTGTTCCCAGCACAGAGACCCATCCGCTAACGTCGAACATACTGGTCGTGAACAAGGAGGGTGATCTAGAGCTATACGCGGTGCACGATACTCCGAAACACACCCCATGGAGTGTGCGGGGCGACCTCGCCATCGGCATCGGATGTTCATATCGAATTCTTCCTGGCTTCCACGAGCTTGGACCTCCTCCGGAGCCGTGGGACATCCTGATGCAGCCTTCCATTCCCGGCTCCAAAGCCCAATCGGTAGACAGGAATGTTCGCGATGAATCCTCTGTACGCGGACGTGGGGGCCATGGTACACCTGCCCCCACATTTGGGAGAGGCGACGAGGATGGATTCCCGGCTCTCCCTGCGAGAACCCCAACAAATCTGGCGGCAACGCGCCCTGGGAGGAGCCGGACGTATAGTCCTGCCGCGCTTCGAAACTTGCACTTTGAGCATTCGGCGGTGCCAAAGACCGACGTGCATCCACCCGCTCTACTGTCTGTGCCCAAAGGCGAATACGCTCTTCCTCTGAATGGTGGGAGTCATAAAGAGAGGCGTACTTCGTCGCGGCATACAAAAGACTTGTCTCCTGGGAAGTCCTCCACAGGGATAACGATACAGCACGTTGTCGAAGAGGATGTTTCTATGACCATGCGTCGTAGAGTAATCCAAGGATATGGATTAGTCAATGTGAGACATCATCAGACCCCTCGTATCTTCTCATATCCATTCATTCTGATTCTGTGCAGCCTTTGCACAACTCTATTGTTGCCAGAGATACCTCAGACGAGCCCATACTTGCAGAACTCTGGCTTTGGATACATCGTGGGTTCAAGTTCCATCGCATTTTCGCCGCATCGCTGAGTAATTATTCCCCAGATGCACAACGGCTGCTATCCGACCCAACGCCGCGCCTTGAAGGGTACAACTTCGCGTACCAAGGACTGTCGGGCATCTGGGAGGGCCTCCGCTCTTCTCAAAGCTCGTCTTCTGCACACCCGACCCCCCGCATGCCCCAGAGAAGCATGCCTCTGGATTCGCCTACGCTGGCGATGTCGACACTCGCATCTGAATCGCACGTCACGCGAACGACTTCGCGACGTGCCACGCGTCGGCGCAGCCACCCACCCGCACCCGCTATCCCGGAAGATTTCCTTGCTGCTATAAAGACGCTCAATGAGAGATGCGCGACAGACCGGTCGTCCTGGCAGCCTTCGGCGACCACGAGCAAATTGAGCCAGAGGCAATTCGCATTGCAGCTATGTGGGTGGAGTCTCTGCCAGGATGATCTGGCTCATGCAATCAGAAGGTGAGAAGCAGTGTCTTGTTGGCATCCATTCGATGAATTATCCATCATTTGTCCAGGTGGGAAAAGGAGAACAGGCATTCGCAAGCGGCGTGTTGGCTGGTATTTACTGATCAGCACAAGAGCGCGGTCGATCTTCTAATGCGGAGCAAGGGTATTCATTTACGGCTTTCTGTACTAAAATTGTCTAATTTCTTCATACAGACGAGTCCCACCACATGATGTCAGGGATGCTCGCTGCGCTGGCGCCATCCGCCTCAAATTTCCCATCCAGAAATCACGAACTGATCGCACACTGCGAGAAGCTCATCGTCCGTCTCCAGGACCCGTACCTGCGCGCGATGCTAACATACCTGACACTGCGAGACTGGAGCGAAGTGCTACTGGAAGAAGCACTGCCGCTGCGCGAGCGGCTCGCCATCGCCTTCCAGTTCCTGGACGACCGGGAGCTCTCGGCGTACCTCCGCCGCGTCGCGGACCGCTGCTGCCACGACGGCGACATCGAGGGCCTCGTAGTCACCGGCCTGACCGCAGTGGGGATGGACATCCTCCAGACCTACCTCGACATCACCGGCGACATCCAGACCGTCGCGGTCCTGTCTGCCCTCTCCCCTGCCCGTGCCCAAGACGCGCGCGCACGGCGGTGGCTCGACGCCTACCGCGACCTGCTGGACGGCTGGCGGCTCTTTCACCACCGGTGCCAGCTCGACATCGACCGCGGACGCATCCTGCAGGAGGCGATCGCGCACGCAGACATCGCGCCGTTCGAGTGGGCCCCGCGCCAGATCGTGCTCCGCTGCAACTACTGCGGCGCGCCGATGGACCCGCCGTTCGACGCGACGCACCACCCGCGGGTCCGTGCTTTTCCCTCTCTGTTCAAGCGAAGTGTGTGTACTCATGGTCGTTGACCGCCCCCAGGCGACGGCGTGCCCGCATTGCAGCCGGCCCCTGCCGCGCTGCTCGATTTGCCTCATGACGCTCAGCATCGTGCAGGACACCGCGCGGAACGCCGCACTGGCGCGCTCGGAGGCGCGAGGTGAGTGTCGTGTCTCGCCGCGTTTGGCCGCTGACCTGATCCGCCTCTAGATACGATCGACGACGCGCTCGTGTTCTGTCAGACGTGCCGCCACGGCGGGCACGCGTCGCACATCCTGCAGTGGTTCTATGGCGAGGACCGCGCGCGCACGCACGGGACGTGTCCCGTCGCCGGCTGCGACTGTCGGTGTGCGGAGGAGTTCTAGGTTTGTTATCTCCGTTGTGTGCGGTGCAACACACAACTCTCTTGCGCCGAACTGACGGGACCAAAATTCGGAGAGCCAGGACGTCTCTTATGGACATCGATACATTAAGATAAGTAAGTACGTCTGCGGCAACACAGAGCATGGGAATGGTATCGAGGTATCTTCCACATCTACATACACTCGAATCCTGAAGCCACGCCACGTCCAAGTCCGAGTCCGAGTCCGCCCCGAGGCAACGAGCGGCGAGCGGCGCATTACGCGTGCGTATTCTAAGTGAGTGAGTAAAGCCGGCGCGGCCGGCGTTGGTGGCGTCAGTTTTTTGCGCCTCCTCTGCTCCGTCTACACACGCGTGCGCGGAGCAGAGGTCTAGGCGGATGAAGGGCGGCGGCGTGGGCGGGGAGGACGTTATCGGACGCGCCCTGGCAGCTCGCGCGTGACGTAGTGCCAGATATAGTGCGACCAGCCCTCGAGGACGCCCGTGCCGGCGATGAGGTGCAGGCAGTCGCCCGCCGCGTGCTGCACATACATAACCCAGTCAGCAATCCCGCAACAATCACCACCACGAACACAGCGCGGGACTCACCCCGTCGGGTCGGAGAAGCGCCGGGCGGTCGATCGCGAGGTAGTGGATATCGGGGTATCGCGGGCGCGAGAGCAGGTCATCAAAAATCGCGTTGAAGTCCCCGATCCACGGCCAGTTGTACCAGTTCCACTTGTACGGGTGCCACTCCGTCCACGGCTCGCGCCAGTCATGGCAGTCCTCGTGCCCGGGCAGATACGCGCGTACGACCACCTGATGCGGCGCGCCCCCGCCCCCGCCCGCGCTGTTCATCCCGTCGAGCGCAGTCTGCACCGCGTCCGCCCAGCGCCGCATCGCGACCGTGTAGAAGTCGAGCACGTTCTGGATCCCGCCCCCGGGCGCGTCCGCATCCGCGAGCCCGCTGAAGAGCGTCGTCGTCCAGTGCCCGCCCGTGCTCGCGACGAGCGTGCGGTAGCGTGCACCGACGTCATCCGCGCCGAACAGCGCGAGGTACTCCGCGGGCGGGAGCGACCACGCCTTCTCGTCGGAGAAGAGCGACCACCCCGGTTCGGCGGCCTTGTCCGGGTGCAGCTCTGCGTACAGCGAGACCAGCTCGGGCTGTGAGAAGAGCAGGTCCACGCGCCGAAACGTCACCAGCGGCGTTCCCGAGATGTTGAAATGGGGAGGTAAGGAAAGGTGCGGGAGTAGCGGCGACGTCGGGGAGAGGTACAGATGCTGCGGCCAGGCGCGGTCAAAGTACGGGTTCTCCGTGTAGTTCGGGGTCGCGCGCACGTGCGGGTATAGGATGCATGACAGCGAGAAGAACTGGTTCTCCGTGACCGAGTCTGCGTGCAACGAGTTAGCACAATGTTACGAGAGTTCTTCCACGTAAATGGAGAGAACGACACAAAGTATGAGGGAAGAACTGGAACGTAAACGAACGTCTAAACCAGCACAGCCTCCTCATGACGTAAGGAACACCATGAGGTCAGTCTGCCGTTCAAAACGAGTCGATCAGACGCATCGACAGGTCGACAGGTCATTGACAGCCACAAGGGGCATCGGAAGCAGATGCATTTTCGACGTGCCAGCACATCGACGGCGTGCATTAGTCACTCAAGCTGCATACAGCCCTACAGCAGGTGGAGCTGGAAGGCTTCACAGATCGTAGCCATGATCGTACAACCTGGTTAGACGACACGGTTAACAGGTTACCAGCTATGTCATCAAACCACAATTTGTGACAGCAACTAGCTCATAGCGGCGGCCCACCCGATACTCCATGAACGGGTTCGAAGAATATTAGCGCAGCGTAGCGAGTGCTTGCGTCGCCTGCTTCACTGGAGCAGATCCAACACGACTACTCCAGAATTCTGCAAGCCCAGGAGGACATCATGCTGCTTCGAGCTGTCCTCATGCACCTTTTACCCTAGTCATGTGTCAGAGCACCTGCGATTATTCAAGGGACAAGATTGCATCTAGATAGAGCCCATTCCATGCGAGACTCAGGCCGCGTTATGTCCAATGCGTTCTGCGGCCTTCCGGCGGCCGGAATGCTCGCAATCGATGCACTCAGCAGAAAGAGCAGCCCTACTGCTAACCGCCCATCCTAACGCCAGGTCCGGACATTTCAGACACAAAAAATGTCTTTCTGTCACACCTGCGCCCCATTGGACTGCACTGACTGCCCAAGTAATGCCGTACGAAACGACAATGGGAGCGACAGCACCATCACGAATTTGGAGCACCTGGCTGTCATGGGCTCGTGATGACTGCGCAGAAGACGAAGAAGGTGGAGCTTCGGGACGCCCCCGAAATGATCTGCAGAAGGGCCCCGCCACATTCAGGCGCTCTGACAGCGTAATGCCCCAGCACGAATTCCTCGGGAATCCGCTCTAGTCTCGAAGCTCGCGCAATATTCCCGCGTTCCCTCTCATCAGAATAACAACGTTAAGGCTGCTCACCTCCGATGAGAAGCCATCCGCCCTGCTCGACCATGTCCTTGATCATCGCGGCAGGACTAAGGGGGCGAACGACACAGTCGTCGCCAGGTGTCCATTCCCAAGAGGTGACGGCGGGAAAGCGGTCCCATTGCTCCTCATGGTCGGCACCGAGGTGCCAGTAATACTCGCGGCTGCTGGCGCAGCCCTGGAAGCCGGCGAAGATGAGGGCGTCGTCGGGCTTGGTCATGACGGGGAGGTCGGGCACAATGGCCTTGGGAGTCCAGGAGCCATTGGCGTAGGCACGGGGGGTGCATGTGCTGCGGGGGCGGGTGGTAACGAAGGCGATGAGACGTGCGGAGATGGAGGCAGGGAAGAAGAGGTAGAGGAGAACGAGGGCGGAAGCAAAGACGGCCAAGGCGATGAGCTTGTTTGGGCGTGGTCTGCCCATCGTGTTTGGAGGGGCAGAAGGAGAGGAGCTGAGTGGGAGCACCAGCCTGGCCCAACGTTCGCCTATACTTGGGCGCGCCGGCGCCGGCTTCTGCATTCACAAGTCTTGGCACTTCGGCTAAATCCTACTCCTAACCCTAATTACTGTAACCCTAACCCAAGTCGTCCACGCCGTCGCTCAGGCTGAATGAGTCATCAACCCTGTATCCGTCACATTTGGCGTCCTGTACTCTACGTGGACTCGTGAGTTTCCTTTCCCTTGCCTTTGTAAGACCGCTGGGCAGAGAGCGAGGCTTGATGGATGCGCTACGACCAGCAGAAACGACTTCGTAATACGAAGAAATCAATCGAGAGGAGATCTGCCGTTCTGCCGCTTTGGCGTAGGTAGCTTCGAGTCTGAGCAAACAGTGCGCAGTGCAGAGGCATCTGGACAAATCTGTCTCCGATTCTGCTATGGAACACAGGCAGCACCAATCCGTGGAGTCCAGGATCTTCCTCAATGTCAACGGTATTGATCTTACTGCGAATTCGCAGCGCGTGCATTCTTTGACATGGATTACATGCAACATGACGTTTCCGTGGTTGCAGCAGGTATCGTACCCGAATTTGGACAATGTACTTTATCCATGTCAAATCGGAGGATGCACAACCTTGCGACAACGACCGAGTCTTACGCGGTCAACAGTAGCATCGACAGGGAGCGGATTGATCACGATAACACTGGCACTTGGCACAAGAGAGCGTCAGGCAGCTGACGAACGTGCAGACACGGATTACGCTCGATGGTGAATTCCTTCTTCCAAGATCTGGAATATCAGGAACTGGCATCGCGACTCTCCAAGGCTATCAGCAAATTTATAATTCAAGTCCTCGTGTCAATCTCTGGCGCAAGCAGTAGACGCAAAGTGAGCGAATTTATTTATCATTTACTGCAACCGATACTAAATTTCAACCAAAGTCATCACACCGCCAAAATGGCCGAAACTATGAACGACCGACAAACCTTACTACGATCTCCCTCGAAGTCAGCCCGGTACCGTGGAGCTGCAGGATGTACACGAGCCCGATCTTCTATGGATTTCGGGCTGAACAGCGCATACACTTCAGTGACGCATCGCGAATTGGCAGCGCCCGGTCTATGAACTTGTACAACGTATGGGACCGTCTCAAAGAGACCCTCATGTCCGCGGCGCATTGCGCATCAGAGGCAGGATAGTGCTCGCGCCCGCTTACGGTCGCCTGAGATCCCAACGTCTCTACGCTGCTGCTCCGCGAGTTGGTAGAGGCGCGCTGGAGTACATTCCTAGACGACACCCGCAGCCTGGACGACCGCCCGCATCCGATCGGATTGACTTACCGTCACTACACCTCGGCGGATGTCCCAGCGAAATGAATTTGTGACTTCACGCGGGCGATGGGGGAGTCGACTCGCTCTCAGGAAGACGTTGTGGGATTCCTTATTGTCGACCCATAAGAAGGGCTTCGTCGATCATCGAATCTGTTTACCTCCGCTTCGATTGGAACTCGCTGGCAGTCCCGGTGGTTTACCTGCCTGTTGTAAGTGAGTACAGCACGGATAGTTATGTCGGAATATACTATCAGAAAATACTTCAAAGGATGCCGCCGTCAGCATGATGGATTACTGTACACTAGATGAAGCAGTCACAATTAAAATCTTAACCGCTGGAATTAGACGCGTCAAAACGCGTATGGATCACGTGCCGACGCGTATTTGACTACGAAGTGACACGGTGACGTGTAGATATCCTGAGGCACGAAGTTGAAGCAGAGTGTCACCTACTATCTGCCTTCGGGAGACTAGACAGGTGGCCTCTCGACTGCTGAGTCTCCCGTTGATCAATTAGGTAGCTAGCCCAGTTCCTAATCAACCCGCAGCTCTAAATTTATTGGTGTCTCCGCATCTAGTCGCCAAGCTTAGGAACACTAACCTAAGGACACAGCTGGCAGAGCTCATAATGTACGTCGAGGTCGTTCATTCTTGATGCAACATGGTCTCATTCAGGTGGACTAGCCCGTTGGTTCACCACGATTCCATCGTGAACATGACAAAAGTATCGGCGCGTCATGAAGAAGCAGGAACGCACGAAGATACAGTCGATGCTGCCATGAATCACGGGTCGGACGAGTTGTCACGGCCTCGAGAACTTTGTACCAGACTGGTGTCCAACTGCGATATTTCGGCCAGCAAAGTCGCACCTATCCATTGTCTCTCAGAGGACGTCCTGAGATTGATCTTTCAAACTGGATGGAAGTGGGATTCTGACATTCTGGACGAGGATCTCTCCCGCGAGCGAATGCAATTCTCCATCTGTATTGCTTCCGTATGCCGAGCATGGAGAACAATCGCGCACGCCACTTCAAGACTCTGGTCTGTAATCTACTTCTTCCCGGACCGCCAACGGTCTCTAGTAGCGCTAGAGTCGTTCCTCTGTCTTTCGCGTCGCCAGAAGCTATCCATTTCAATTAGCTACCGTTACGGACGTGAGGACGCAGCCATTCCGCAGGACATGTCAATGGAACATGTGTGGGTTGCCGCCGTGATGCGCTTGTTGGTAAAGCATGTAGACCGATGGGAGCTACTGGTCATGGAGCTGGAGGACATCCGAACGACAGAGACGATTTTCTCGATCTGGACTACTCCTGCGGTGGCGCTGAAACAGCTGGTTCTATATGCTGAACCCGGCGTCGAGCACCCAGAATCAATGAGCTTTCCATCTGCTCCCGAATTGCGTTCCCTTGAGCTGCTTATTCCTCTTCTTTCGCAGACGCACAATATCGCGTCCAGCTTCCCAGCACTGGAGAACCTTGTACTGGGCACTTCCTTTCCTGACGCAGACTTTAGATTTTTGAGAACTTTGCAGCCCATACAGCACCTATGCCACCTTGCACTTACTGGTGTGCTTTGTGACATGCTGCTGCAAGACCCGAATCTCAAATTTCATTTTTCAGCACTTGAGAGCCTCCACTTGGAGGCGACGCCCATCGACCACGTATACGAGTGTCTCTCAGTGCTCGAAGCACCCCTCCTCACAACCCTCCGCCTCGATTTAGAGAACGAACACTTCATCACGACCCACACGGGCCCGTTCATTCGCCAGCCAGAACGCTTCCCTCTCCTACACTCCATAGTATTTGCCGGACTTGAACCCAATCTTGGTCTCAGCAATGTCTCGCAATTCCTCGGCAGCCTCAAGTCCGCACAGGTGCTCTTCATCGGACACCGCATTGAAGAATTCATGAAGGCCGCTTCTCTATGTCGGCCCCGCGAGGGATGGTGCTTCGTCCGGTTGGCGTCCCTGACGATCAGCTATGATTCCGGCGTGCCGCCCCAGGCACTCCGCGACCTGGTAGAAGCGCGCCGCACAGCCTCCTGCGCAGAGCATCTCCCGGAGCAGCTTCGGCCGCTGAAAATCGAGGAGATCCAGGTGAATACGTCGGTGGAGCTTCCGACGGGGGATCGTCGGTGGTTCGAAGCGAATCTGCGGAAATTCACGTGGTCGAAGGACCAGCAGCAGCCTTGTCTGAACGGTTGGATGGAGTTTACAGTCCTCTCTCCATGAAAGCAGGTATGTCCTGCGGCGTCGCTGCCCACAGAGCCGTGCTTTACTGATACCTGTCACTCGACCGACAGTTGCTGTTCGAGGTTATCGCTGTCCTTATATCCCGGTGTCCAATGATTTATATCTCTCCACCTTCAGCTCGGTTTCCGGCAGCGCATAAGTCCTTCGGCTTCGAAGCCGTCGGGCTCTACCGCCCTCAGAGTACTATTTTCACTCAGTCCGCAACATGGATGACTACGACGTCGCCCGCGTTTTACAGAAATATGCGACTGAGGTTGGTTTACTGGCGCTATCGAGGAGTTCGTTTAGGATCCTGTTGTGACGAGACTAACTGTGAGCATGTTCTCCAAGCGGATCAGTATCTGTGTGCATGATATCAGTAAGCGCGACCGTGAACATGCAACGGCATTCCTGGCGAGCATGTCGAGTAGAGGAATGCCTAGCTAACGCTCATGCGAAGGGCTTTCTCATTGTGTCCGCAGATGCAAGACATTCTCTTGTCGGATATACCGAGCGTGCAGAGCTACAGTGCTTATGTGCTAGGTAAGACATCCGCAGCCTTGGCAATTGGCTGCCCATCCTTGTTTAGAATATGTCTCCAGACAAGGCGCGCAAGGTGCACAACATCTTCCCCGAGACTCAATGTTGGTTTGTGTCAAACGAGGAGGAACAGCGTCGAGTCGAGTACCCGGGCATCGCGGCAGGACCCACTGTGGGCATCGACGAGTATATTTCGATGGAGTCATCGAGACCTCGGCTACGCAGGATATCCTCGAGTTTTGGCCGTGGGTCAGCTGAGTACCCCTCTCACGTTCTCTTCCCAACTCCCGTTGGACAAGTGTGATGCAGCTATCTAAAAGAATGGTGTGAGCAACATGTGTTTGCCACCTAGTCTTTGTACCGATGCTCTTTCATCCCGACAGACCTCGTGTTATTCTGGTCGAAGATCATGGTGCGCTTGCAGGCCTCGTCACATTGAAAGATGTTCTGCGGTTTACCCTCACAGAGTAAGGCGAACCGGTGTGTCCATGGAACCAATGCCAGTTTGATGGCGTCGTGGAGGAAGTGAACATGGACCAGCTATCAGTTTGATAGAGCGATCTCGTGTTGTCGATGAGTTGTTAGGCGATAACTTATTCTGTTTTCAAGACCCACTCTCACTGAGCTAGCTGTAGAAGCTTTCTTGCGCCTATACTCCGCGGTAGAGGGATGGGCCTTCCTAGTAATGAACCGAACGTGCCGCCAGTGATAGACAAGCACTATCAAAGATTTGATTAAGACATTATATCGTGAACATTATTTAGTCGTGAGAGATCGTGAATCGTGAAAAGGGATGTTCCAAACTTATTTCTACCCTTGCTCGAGGGCGGCGTGCTTTTGCTCGGGCGTTCTGTTCTCAACGGTTTGCTGTTCTGGCTCCAATTTATGGGTGCTACCTTAGTCCACGTTGGCTTTTTTGGAAGGGTTCGGAAGTTGACCAAGGGTGGTGGTCTTGCCCATATAGTCTTCGCTCCAAACTCTGTAAGAATCCTTGCGCTTTTGCGCTTCCAATCTATTCGCTGAGATTGTACACTTGAGGGAGTTTCCGCTCTCGCTCGGACGGTTTTTTCTTGTGCGATGCGGGAATCAGCTTGGAATCAACAGAGGAGAAGCAGAAGATGACGGCCTGACTTTGTCTCCGTTTCGTTCACCACCAGATCCCAATCGCAAGATGCAAGTGCTATTGCGCGTTGCTCATCCGGAAGTATATGGCCAAGAGCTACATGAAGTGGTAGATACTGTGAGTTGTAGTTCTAGTGGCACAAAACGCCTGACTCACAGCTGTCAGAGTCGTCGATAGGTAGTGATGTCGGGGCCCGACCCACTGAACCGATGGAACGAAAGTATGTCATCTTCTGTTGGTGATCAATGGCGCTTCGGTAGCCTTGTGTAGATGATTAGTGAGAAGTTTGTCCTGTGGGTCGATAGTGGTGAGAGTACCCACGACTGCCAGAGGCGCTGTTGGTAGCGAGGTGACATGAATGCTCCTCGAATGCCGTTCCTGTCAGTGATACTGCCATGAGATCGGCATCACACAAGTAACGTTTATCTAGCATACCAGAAGTCAGATGGCTCCGTAGGGACGAAGGTAGCCGGATGTCCATGGAGGGTTGTGTGCTGTAGAGTACCTCTAGTGGAGAGATGGACGCGTCTCTTCGTATCATGTCATCAATTGCTAAGATACAGGTAGACCGTCAGCACGACTCATATGATGAACGTCTCACGTATACTCACCTGGCTGAGCCCTGCTGTGTTGTGACGAGCTGTATTGACCGCACTGTGCGTTGATCTGCGGTATAGTGCCATCGCCAGACGGACGGGAGTTTGTGGTTGTGGTCCTGTCACGAATAGGTTCATCACAGTTCGGACCGCCGCTATTGACTACGAAGGACTCAATTAGTAATGCGGTTGTATGTTTGACAGTCACTGAGCTTACTGGTGCCTTGTCTTCGAGCTGAGAGAGCCGTATCAGTGTCATCTCGAACGTTTTTGTTATGCGAGTTCGTTAAGCGGGAACCATTATTATATGCTTCGTCAAGCTCTTCGGATGAGGTGTCCAAATCTCGCGAGTACTCAGAATCCGACAGGAGCGTAGACGTGGACCCGTTAGATATATGTCGTGAGTGCCCTTGTGACCGAGGTACATCTATGTAACTGAGAGGATCTGTGAAGAACTCAGTTTCAGCTGACATGGTAATCACTGATGGAAAGGGAAGTGTATGTCAGCCACGTCCTGGCCAAGTCCTAACAGTTGAGCCAAGAATATGCCTACCAATACCAGTTATTACTGGGGTTGCCGAAAGATATTCTGAGGAGCTGCTAACTAGTCTTTCTCTAAACGTAGCCGCAATCAAAGGACCATATCTCTCCTTTGGGCATAGCATTCAGAATCAATCACAATAATCAGGCATATACTTAACACGTACATGCACTGTATTATAGAGCTCCTTGGCGCGAGATCTGTATCTGTCTGACTTGGCCAGAAAAGCGAGCTGAGATCGTAGTGAATGCTTGCACTCTGAGAAGTCGACGAGCTGGCGTCGCTCCTCGTCCATCCTTTTCACCGAACATCACGAATCTTCTCTATGAATAGAACCACAAAATCAGCTTACATGTCAAGTGAAATCTGCCAGCGTGCCATTTCTGTTGGGCTCGTTTGATCCCGGTATCGCTTGACGCAATCCAAGGACCATTGACAATACTTATCTCCCTCGTGAATCCGACTTTGATAGACAATCTGTCTGAAGTGGCGTGGTCTGAACCTGGACATCTGCCTCTTGACGAAGGAAGTTAACCCGTTGAAGACGTTGCCAATGGCCATGTCGAATCGACCTAGTCACAATTTCGTCGAGGTGCAAGGGGCACAGTTTCTAGCGATTCCAGTACAGTCCGTTTAAATTTATAGATCCTCCACTGAGGAGTTAGTACTCGAGAAGGCACCCATTGTCTATCGGTGAATAACGCAGGGAGACTGCAAGATCAGACCAGTCGCCATGGTTAACTACCCGTCCAGCAGAGGATTGTGGCGACTGAGATGCGCTATAAGAGACTTGCTGGCGGGATTACAATTACGGACGAGTCGGCACCAGGGACAATAGTATTTGAAGGAAAAGGGCCTTGTTCTCGTTGGCACTTGACTCGGCACTGGCTGAGGAACAAGAGCGACAGCCACCGGAACAAGCCGTCCGCTGCAACTAAATATGGCAAGTGCTGTAGTCTCCATAAAAGCTGTTCAAGTCGCGGCGAGACACTGGGGGTGCGTAGCGCAGTAATGCTCTCTCTGCCGGTATGGCGATTCATCAGGAACATTGCCGCTAAGGTGGCCAAGCTTGGGGAGCGCCTAGTGAGCCTTCCGTCGGACAAATTGGAACAAATTGGGACCCACCTCGACACGCGGACTATCCGACATATCAAGTCCTTCTTTGATTAGTTATGTTCGTTGTGTTTCTGTACCGCTACCATATTTGCCCGCTAATTTTCAATGATGCCCGTCGATAGGTTACGTATGTCATCAACCTGGTACTTCGATGGTGGAATATCACTGGACGTAGTATAAATCACAGTGAATAACAAAGCAGCATGCAAATTGTGATATTCGTCAACCACAAATGGGAATTTCTCAAACAACAGCGACTAAGTTGACATGTCTTTGTCCGATGTGATGCTGAAATCAAAATCTCATCGAGGCAGACCAACCTGTCCGTCAGCCGTTTGTCCGAGCACAGCCTGTGGTGGATTATTGTCAAGAGGAAGTGACACTGTCGAGAGACGCCTCAGGAACGATAGACTGCTGAATGTGTGTCCTGGGGAGGAAAATCAGGATGAGAGTCACAATATATGGATTGAACCCACTGGATGCCGAGGAAGGTGTGCTTTGACGACCCCTTCGGCGATTGAGCCGCAGTCGCAATGCGTTACCTGCAGAGCTGGAAGCGTCTGATATCGTCGTGTTCGCTGCAGAATATAGTAACTCAGCTTCTGCGCGATTCTTCCGGGAACGAACTTACATCGTGGTGTTATGGTCTCCGCTGCCGGTGCCTTCGAAAACATATCAGGTGCTGAGTCTGGATGAATCTCAGCTGTCATGTCTGCGTTACTTCTCTGTCCAGGAAGTAAGTTGGACATGACCTGAAAAAACAATGTCAGGATTCCGACAATTGAATATGCGTGAAAACGCACACGGGCCTTGGCGTAGAGTACTTTAGCATTGATACGGTACTTGTCGGCTTTTGACACAGCCGCTAGTTCGGAGGCGAGTGACGTGTATTTAGCAAACAAGACAAGAGATTCGCGCTCCGTATCTAACCTGGAAGTCTTGGTAATGAGTATCGGTACTGGGCTAAGGAAGCAACACTGAAATCTGGACATACCCTTCAAGCATCTTGAGCCATTCCTTGTCTTCGTCATCAGGCAGCCTGGCGTTGCACCTCTCCATGACTCCCTTGGCTTCCGCTCTGTACATGTCTCCTTCGTAAAGCCTGCTCTGATAGATGACTTTCTCTACGTTGTGGATCGTGCATTTCACGAAGAGCTTAGACACAAATGTACCCAGAGATACTACACAGTCGATAGCAGACACAGTATTCATGCTCACAGGAGGTTAATGACCAAGGAGTGAGGATGAAAGTGACTGTGGGAGGAACCGCGGCGACGATAGGGTGAGATGACTGGCAGAGATCGCAGAGCGAGTGTCCGGTCAGATACTGTGCTCTTGACCTTCCGCATCTACGCGTGCAGGAGAAGCCAATCGCTGGAGTCCTTATTGTCTACAAGGGCTGATGTTATCTCTAAGAAAACAAGGGTTAGCCGATATAGAAGCGTCAAAGGGACTCAGCCAGCTTCGTAGACTAAAGAGCTGTACATACTCGGCGTCCCATAGGATCAATCCTAGTGTAGTTAGCTCGCCCTGGATCCAGCATAAAGTGCAAAGTGAGATTTTGGACGAGACGACGGTGTGTTGTTACAGGAAGAGTTGCCAAAAGGGGCACGTCGAGCAAGCTCCCATTACATAACACACTCATTCAAAGTTTAAAGTCGAGCGCAGTCCGAATTCTGAGTCACGGAGCTTATGTAAACAAAATTTTGGCATCCCCTAGCGGCTGTTGCATCCGGCACCGTGGACACTTACGCCTACAGACACCCACGTCGCGGAGAAACGATGGATCCGATATCCTTCCGGTGAGCAGCTCCGAGTGAGATCGATCGCGAACAATCAGCATCCGGGGCGTGACGGATTTTTCTGCTACATGCCATCGCTCTCATCCATGTGTATAAGGACGCTCTTTGTGAGCGCTCACTGTAGGTACGTCCGTGAATCAGATGCAACTGTTCTTCCAGAAGTGTTTATTCGACCGCTTCCGTCCATTCTGATAGGATGCACTTTCTCCGAATAATTGTTAATATCAACCCCTATGATCCCGACACCCAGTGCTATCAAAGGACGGCAGCCCCCTTCCAATGTGTTGTACGTGGAGTAGGCAACTTGAATGATGTATGTTTCAGATGCGACGCACTACAGTTTTTGCCTTGTTGTAAACAGCCTCGAGATGGGAAAGAACGGTATCCAGAGCAATTCTCATATAGCAAGATACAACCATGACGATAGTGATGGACATGGACAGCTGCGATAGCACAAGACGTGAGTAGGACGGCGCACAGAATGAGGGAACACTACGAGGGCGGGGTGGGAGTCGGTGGGAGTCGCATAACAACATATCCTGCTGTTCGGTATACGTGTCGGACGGCACTCAGAAAACGTATGAACATCCCATAATGCCTCCGGACGATCTCCGAACGCAACTTCCACCACGATAATTTTGACTGGATTTCCGCAAAGCGCTCAGCGACCTGTTCAATTGTTGGACGCTTTTCCGGCACTTCCTGCACCATGTCGGCAACGAGAGCATCCATGAATTCCAGTCCACGGTATCTCTGCACCCATGGTAGTGAGATAATGAGCACATTTACGATGCGAGCAGTCAGTTTCGCTCACCTGCAAGAAGCCCTGCCGAAATAAATTTCCGAGGTAGTAGATGTCGGTAGGAAAGGGATTACTCAATTTGTTGTAACCAATTCCTTTGAATTCTGGAACAGTCTTGTCGCCACCTAATATCGGGGGTTCTAGAGGAGGACCCCCCTTCGGATCGTACTTCCTAGACAATCCGAAATCCACATAGTAGTACTTAGTCGGTCGTCGTATGCGCGTGTAGCACTTCGCATCTCCGCTGAGGTCAGGTTTTTCGGTGGTCAACACTGGATGATATAATTCCGGATACATCGTGGGTTCCATCATGGTATTTAGTTGGCTGCAGTCGCTACAAGACAACATGTGAGATGAATTTGAGCCATAGGACATGCCACCCACCGATGAGCAACATGATGTTGATGCATGAAGGCCATTCCCTGGTTGAGTTGTTTTAAGCGACCTGGCTTAAACCAAAAGCTGACCATACCTCAATCATTTGATGGAAGAACTCCACGGCCTCTCCGACTGTTTCAAACCGCGGCTCATCGTAAAGTCGAAGTAACGGCATCACCAACAACACTATATCCTCGTCTATGGGGTCTTGAAGGGCTTCGCAGATAGGGACGCAGTGATTACGAGGGTCAGATATGAGTGGTGAGGAGGATAGAAATCGCGCAATTTCCGCCTCATAAGGATGTGTTGATTTCTTCGTCTTTTTCAAAACAACTACGGCCCCGTCGCTTTGGCGGACGGCGTCTAGTACAGCAGGATGCTGCAGATGTGTCAGCGAAGACCTGGATGTAGTGGGAAGCATGCACAGTACTCTAGCGACCCTGCCGTCTTCGCATGTATTATATTGTTTGTCCGTGCCCTCCCATGAAGGTTTCCAATCTACTCTGTATCGTGGGCGAAGCTGATACCCCCGTTCCAATAACCACTGCTGACGGTCACGCCAGTATATTTCTGTCTCTATAATCTCGCCTTGATGACGCTTCCAAGGAGGGCTGTCGTCGCTGGTGGCCATGTTGTGGACGGTGGAAGCGGCTTGATCAGAAACGTGGTGGGTTTGAACGAAGGAAACGCACGGAGTCCCTGCCAGTGTAGCCAGCCGTCTCGGTTCACATTTGAACCTGGGAATCTCGATCGCGTTGGGACAAAAGACGACTTACGTAAGGCTTTTAATACTGTCACTACCGTGACCGCGTTTGCTCGACGGAGTGCAAAACAACCCCTGCTCATACAATGATACAATCCCCGCGTCCATGTTACTGTCTCTCGCGTGGCAGTGCCATGCAGTAGGTCACCATAGAAATTCAGAGGACCACAATCGGTTTCAAACCGCGGTCAGCGGGTTGATGATCCCAGGCTGCCTAACCAAAGTACAAATCATCCCTCGCATAGCGTTTTCAATTGTCCCGTCCGATTCCATGGCCCACGCATTACGTCTTTATCTCTCATTTCTTTGTATTAGTGTTGTTAGCTATTGCTTATATAGCACGCTGCCGAATGCCGACTTCCAGCTACCTCTCTGAATCTCAGTCGCAATGTTCACCCCAGTCTCCGATGATGCGCTCAATGCCATTCACACTGCTTGTGAGCGTGCCACTGAACTGCAGGGCAAGAAACCCTGGTCTCCGCTGAAGTTTACTCCGCGCGGACTGTTGGAAAGGGGAGATAAATATCGGGATTCATCGTTGCGCATGCTCACCACAACTCGTAAACTCGTGGACTCTGACATTCATGGACAATACCACGTCGAATATGATACGTAAGGGTGCCCCTTCCTTTGCATGTAAGGATGATCATTCATACTTGCGTCAGGTTGTCCAAGGATAGGGAAAAGTTAACCAGCCACAACACCTTTCGGGCTCTGCAAAATCGAGTGCAATTCAAGAAATACAAGGATGGGGAGAAAATCCTTAATCGTGGTCTTGTGGTGCGCAGTAAACCATAACCTCCAACTAGATCGTGATTAATCTGGGTTGATTTTCTCCTGTAAGACATCATCACAAAAGTCTTGCGGCGAGTACATCTGGCAGGAGAAAAATCAGCAGCTCCGGGCGAATTCTCCAGTCAGCGAAGAGCACGGTAGGTATTACGCTCTTGTCGCTTGCGCACTTCCCTCACGTGTCCAGCAGAATTGTCTAACCCCTCTTCATCCAATACAGAGGATCCAGAACAACGCTCGCCGGTTGATGGGGCAGCTAGTGACCAAGGTCCTACAGGGGCCGAAGGTACTCAGGGTATGTTTACGACTGTATCATGCATACTCGACCCATGTAGACAAACCATGGCTATACACAGCGACTCCACATGTGAAACACAACCTCGCGCAAACGATACGGGATCTCGCTCATATGTTGAATCCGTTCGGAGACGATCATGCAGTCGGTAAGCTTGTCAACGTTCCGTTCTCCAACAAATAGTGACCAACAAGTAGACGAGTCTCATCACCGCGACGGGGCCAACAGTGCTATACACGAGACAAGCCCGGACAACGATGGCGAGGGCGAGACAAGCAGAGATGATCGTGGCCAAGACGAAATCAGCAGAGGCGGTGGCGACAAGGGCGAGACAATCAGAGACAACAATGGCGTCGGAGAGACAAGTAGGCAAGCCGATATCGAGGGCGAGACAAGCAGCGACAACAACGCCGAGTACGACGCAAGTGAGTTTCTAAGTTTCTCACGATCTTTCAAGATTCAAGCAGTGTACTCTGCCAGCAGTATCGCTATGTTCATTTACTTCGGACAATTCAGCAGGCAGGTGCTCAAGCTTCCTATATTTCTCTGTAAATGATGACTCCAATTTGCAGGACCATCTGGAACAACCCAAGCAATTTTGAGCCTCGATGACTACTCTCGGACGAGCTGCGATGGTCAGGGCTTTCAGGGCTTTCAGGGCTTTCAGGGAAGACAGAAAGATTTTTTCCTCGATTCTCGGGGATGAGTATGCTAAGAAACGCCGATAAACAGTGAGATGCACTGCTGGCGTCGGATCTACCGGTGGCAGATGTGAATATTATGGCCTTGTTGCACGATAGAACACTGGTCGAAACTGCTGTATTGTCTGCTTACTGTTTGCAATTTCTCGTTACCAATACTCAGTTCCTTGTTCGACGATGTACGTCATACAGTGCGAGCGATCTGATGGTTATAAAAGGGAGGACAATTTGGGACAATGCAGGTTCCTCGTTGCACCACTGTACACGTACATGGACCCACAGAGACCCACGTTCGCGCGCGCTTATGTGGTTCCTTCGGTGGTGATTTCCAGCCTATCCGCAGCGCATCACCGATATTCCTCTCTTGATGTATCATCGTTGCTTCTGATTCCCCATGTTCATTCATGACCGGCCTGACAACCAGGATGCCTCGAAGAGTGTTTATAGCAATTCGTTCCTGGGATGATGATGTCTGAGCGTGCTGTTCTGTGGTGGGAGCCGAGTCAACGTCGGGAGCGCTGTCATCACACATCTGTTGGGCCTAGCTACCGAACCCGCAATTTTACACAAGAAAATTACAGCAACGTGCCAATCCGCCGCAAGAGGGCCGGTTTGTCCTGCCCAGTGATGTCACGGAAGTTGGACGGTCGTTGATCACAGCCCGAGAGCGCTCCCTGAGACATGGCAACAATCGTTCGCAGCTTCAAATAATTGGAAGATAGTTCATGCAGATTACTCACCACGGCAGCCTTCAAGATCAGTGAGATGACGTCTCAGAAATGGAAGGCGGACGCTGTTACCGAGGCTAGAACGGCATTGAAATATGACCAGTCTGCACCTTCGCTCTCCAGAACCGAGGTGAAGGGTCATATGGAGCGACATGCACCGGAAGGTGCACACAGCACTAACGGTAGCCTGTGCTCAGGAAGCTCGGCCTTCAGGAATTCCGTAACAATATCAGAAATCCGTCGTTGTTGGAAGGACGGTAGTGAGGATACGTGACCGGTATGTCCAATAGATCATGTGTTGCGACAACTCACACAGGTACCTAGACCATTGATATCGTCGATATAATCACGCTGAAGACAAGGAGATTGATGGATAAGGATCAGAACAAAGAGCTTGACCGCGTCTGACCACGGATAACACTTACGTCCTCGACAAAAATTGAATATCCACGGGGCGGAAAACAACGCACGCCTATTGGTCCAATGTGGGTCCACGTGTTACTGGAGTCTCGGTATCCGCCCAGGCCTTTGATCGCGAATTGTGCAGTTATTATTGTGTCAAGACTGCGTGAGAGCTCTCGGTAGCTTCCCTTGGGTGATGTGTTGGCACTTTGCACCGTAGACAAAACAGATACTAGGCAGGGATCACAAGTTTATCACAAGATCAGGTAGAAATCGTAGAAATGTTATTATTCCAGTGTCATAAAGCGAGGCGAGGAGTAATGGAAGGGTATCGAGTGACGTAGAAGCACGATAGCAAGGCAAAGGCTAATAGCGATAGCGGTGTTGGCAAACGGTAGAGCGAAAGCATAGACCCAAACACCAGTCAAGCAGTGGGTATGGGGGAGCGCAACGTAAAGGTGTAACCAACTGTACGAAAGAAGTGTCTGAGACGTCGATATCTGCGAATGCCGACCGTTTCGTCCTGTTCTGCAAGCCTAGAACGAAGCTTCCAGTATCCGAGTTTCCGGCGGATGTCCTCAAATCGCGTAACCACTTCATCAATAGTGGGTCGCTTTCCTGGGTCGTCCTGCACCATATCGTCAACAAGAGGTTTCATGAATTCGACACCACGCAATGTCTATGTCAGATTATCAATATCAGTCGATAGTAGAGATCACGTATCACACACTTGGAGAAAATCCTCCCTGATCATATTTCCCAGGTAGTAAATATCGGTGGGGAAAGGGTCGCAAGGATCATCGGATTTTTGGAACTCAGGAACTGTCTTGTCCCCACCCCATATGGGATGTTCCCGCGGAGGTCCGTCATCAGGATTGTATTTCCGAGACAGACCGAAGTCAATAAGATAGTATCGCGTGGGGTGAGCTGTGCGCGTATAATGCTTCGCGATTGCTTTGAGATCAGGAGTCTGTAGCTCGGCTTGTGGGTGGTACATCTTCGGATACAGGGGCCTCGGATCCATCATGATGTTTAAATTCATACAATCGCTGAGAAGTTATGAACGCCCTGCTTCGAGGGCAGATTAACAAGACTCACCGATGAGCAACATTATTTCTATGCATAAATTGCAGTCCCTACGGCACAAAAGTTCTGTCATTGATACGCTCTCGAAGAAAAGGGACTGTGTGACTATCAGCGCACCTCGAACACTTGCCTGAAGTACTCCACAGCCTCTCCTACTGTTTGAAATCGAGGGTCGTTGTACTCCCGCAACAAAGGCATTACTAGGAGCACAGTATGTTCTTGATCTGGAACATGCAGTACTTCGTGGATGGGAACACAATGATTGCTGGGATCCGAAGAGAAGGGTTCGGAAGAAAAAAGTTGGCAAATCTCGACTTCATAAGGATGAAGAGACGTGGAAAGTCTTTTTAAGGCGACTAGTGCACCATCCGAGACGCGTGTCGCGTCCAAAATCTGAGGAAACTAACAGAGTCGACGTTACTTTAATGGCTAAAAAACCAGAGGCGGGAGCATACTGAGACTTGAATCCCGTCTTCACATGTCCAATAATATCGGTGAGTGCTCCTCCATGATGGGATCCAACCAGGTCTATAACGAGGGCGAAGCATATAGCCGCGCTCTGCCAGCCATGGTTGAAGATCACGCCAAAAAAGTTCGCCCGACCGCAGACCTCCTCGATCTGAGGGAGAGGCGGGAGAGGCGTTGGCTTGCAAATCGGGTGTCATTCAGTCAGGCGATCCTGGTGACGAGGTATGAGACGAAGTGACAACAACGGACACCAACTTGAAAGCTATTGTTGCCGCTGTCACGCTTGTCACACAAAATGATCGTGTGGGCGCGGGAACTTTCAACTTCGCCCAGGCCCCACTGAAGTAACCGCTCACCTCTACACGGTGTATCCGGACAACAGCCACGCTCGTTATGGTTCAGGAACGGTGCCAGAAATACTTACAATGTCTCCAGGTCTTCTTCCACAAAATGCTGCGATGCTTGCAGCTCTGATTTGGCAAGGTGCACCCGATGCTGAGACTTTTTTGTCTGATGAACCACGCTATTGTTTCTGCGGTGAACAGAGGTATGGCCTTCGTCCCCATTGTGCTAGGTTCGCGCATGCCAATTCCGGCAGAAGGAGCTTGCAGCGCAAATATAAATGAGTCACATTTTCTTTGCCAGGTCAATAGCGTCTACTACCTCATCGCTGTCGCAACCATGGCTGAATTGCTCGGAGAGATATCCACTGATGCTGCCAACTTGACAATTATGACAACGGGCACTTCGAAAGTGTGCAACTGGCTTTCCAGACATACCACAGAGAGTTCTATCGTGCAGACAAGGAAGAACTTGCACGAAGGAATGGAGATCCTTTACGAAGCAGCTCCTCATATACCCCGCCAAACTATGAAGGACTTGATAGAGGAGCATGACATGTGAGTATCGTCTCGTATCCTTTCTATGACATATCCGACTTGTGTAATGACTTTCCCAGATTGTTGGCCCAAGTAGATCAAATCGAGCTGGATTCCCAAGCTCCCCTGAACGTTCGAAAGCGTTGGACAAATATCTTGAGGCCGTTGCACAATAATAGCGGGGCACACACTGCGGCCAAGATGAGTACGAGGTTAGTTTATAAGATTCGTGTAAGTTTTGCACCAGTACTTTGCATCGGGGTGATATTTGACGGGTCAATCTGGGTCCAAGCGATCTTCAGATATTGCTAAGAGCATGCGGCTTTCAGAAGGGGGAGCCCGTAGTCAAATAGAGACCTTCTGTGCGTATCCATCCCTTGGAATACTGGTAGCTACAGCCTGACTCAATCTCTACAAAGCATCTAACTGGTCAATCATTGACAGCCAATCCACAATGACATTTGCTAACTCCGAACATGGATTGAATTCTGCATCTCGTAAGTACTTTCCTGATTTTGTTTTGTGTATGTCTGTAACCTGTCTCGTTAAGACTCCTGCAAAGAAGCCAGTAGTGATGGAATGGCCCCCATCGACGAGGACACAGACATACTGTATGACAATCCGTGGAATGAAGACGATGTTTGTGTTCTTGTGGCTGGATATCATTCAAATCACTTGCTCATTCTGATAAACAGGTTGATGCCCAACAGGGCTAACTCTAACACGTTATATCGCGCTACGTTGCCTCGAGACAATGTGGATCACACCGTTGTACAGACCACGACTCGCGACTTCTTCTCGCTGTCCCTCTACCAGCTTTCTTTCTGCAATATGTTTGTCTGAACTTGGACATCGCTGTCGCTGCTTTGGTCTACACTCAGAATGGATGCTTTTGCTGTTGTCTTGTCGTACGTTTGTTACTAAATTCCGATCGCGACGTTCCGAGAACATGTTCAGACTGTCGGACTACACCTACTGGGGTCGCAAAGATGTTCCTTGAAGGAAGCTCGGTTATACGATGACAGGAAGCAGAAAGGGGTGAACTACAGCCGCTCGCTTGGCATAAAGCGAGATGAATAGCGATCGAAGGGCATCCCGTAGAGTTAAGTAATGTCATGACAGCAGGAGAGAGCCAGATAACGGTAAAGACGCTAGCAATTAGCAAGACGATAGCGAGGAGTGTGTCGAGGGGTGGGAACAGGGGAGCGCCACGTTGCAACGTAAGTAATTGTACGGAAGAAGGGTCGGATGTGTCGATGTACGCGTATGACAGTGTCTTCATCTTGCCCCGCGAGCCTGAAACGAAGCTTCCAGTATTCGACTTTCTTGCGAATCTCCTGGAATCATACGACGACTTCATTGATTGTAAGCTGTTCAGCCGAATCGTCTTGCATCATGTCATTGGCAAGCGGCGCCATGGATTCGACACCTAACAAGGGCTGATTTTCACAATGTTATGATGAGAGACCAGGAAATGGAGGAAATCTGCCCAGGTAGTAGATATCAGTTGGGAACGGATCGCATGGATCATCCCATGTCTGGAACTCGGGAACTGTTTTATCGCCTCCCCAGATAGGGTCCTCTCGAGGAGGACCGTCATCAGGGTTATACTTTCCAGACAGCCCGAAGTCAATGAAATATTATCTTGTTGATCGGGCTGTGCGAGTACAATGGTTCATTAATTTCCCTATTTTGAGTGACTGTAAATTGGATCGTGGACGGTACAGCTTGGGATAGAGGGGCTTTAGATCCATCATGATATTCAGGTCCATGTAATCTCCGAGCAAGTACGCTCGGTGTTAACCATGAGACCGAGAAGCAGACCTATGAGCAACATGGTGCACATGCATGTAGTACAGGCCCTAGAGCAGACAACAATTCAATTTGCCTTACTTTCGTGCGGCTTCGCCCTATACCAATATGAAGCGCACCTCGAACAACTGCTGAAAGCACTCCACGGCATCCCGAATGGTTTAAAGTCCGTACTTCTTATAGTCCACAGTAGAGGCATCGCCAGAAATACAATATCATCTGGTCTGAAACATGCAGTACTTGATAAATCGGAACGCAATCGTTCCTAAGATCCAGGGACATGCATTCTGACAGAACAAATTGTGATCTCATCAGGACACAGAGAAGACTAGACTTTCTTCAAGGCCAGGATCTCATCGTTCGAGATTCACATGGCATTTAGGACCTGAGGGTAATAAACACAGAATTCGACGAGATGTTCGGCGCCAGAGATCAGAGAGGACATACCGTGATTGTAATTCCATATTTCCGAGTAAAGATCTATGCCCTCCCAAGACGGAAACCAGCCAGGTCTGTAACGAGGGCAGCACATATAGCCATGCCGTGGAAAACAGGCCAGTTGAAGTACTTAGTCGGCTGCAGATCGCAAGGATCTACAGTAGGTGGAGGCAATATTGATTTGTGGATTGTGTGGGAGTAGAGTACTTGAAATTTTGTGGAAGACAATTCCCGACTGGCACCTAACAAGAACCCTCGGCCGAATAGCAACCTCGAGCTCGCGGGGTCCGCAAAATCCGCGATACGCATTGAATCTCGATTCACAGGCGCCCAAGCCACACAAATTATGTAATCAGCTATTTTTCTGTGCTGTCCCTTCGTCTCAATTGTCAATATTCGGCAGGATACTCGCGCATGACTCTCAAGCTGCATCTGGTCACTTGTTGATTGAGACAGCAGTGATAAGTTGGAGCGTTAGATCTGGAAAAACTGACCGTAAACCGATTTCGAAGGACCGTGGTAAGTGTTGTGAGCATTGCTCCGATATTGACCCTGCTGCCCTCGCTGGTGAAAAGCGTTCCCGTTCTCTCCTCTGTTACCTGTTGGACAGATCGACCGCTCCCAGCTACAGTACGTGCTGGGTAAGATGTTCCCGGCCTAGCTGACTGGTTATTGTTATAAACTCTATTGTGCCAGGGAAGGAAATTCAGCACCGAGTCAAATTCAAGCGTCGTCGCAGGGCCAGTGTTGAAATTTGATGAAGATAGAGATTGTTGAGGCGGCGGAGACACTAGACGTCCTCGAGGTTTGATCAACTGAGTACAACACGCAGCCAAGAGGATATCGAACCTGACACTCTAGCGAGGCTTCTCTCTGTCTCTTGATGAAGCTCGTTGGAGACCATACTGCAAAATGCTGGTCTCTGTGTTTGGCATCTGTATCCATGGTGTATAAGGGCAGACCATTCGGAATGACATCCATGAGCGAGAGTTTGTGATCCGTTGGTAGTGCTGACTCCACTGCTTTACTCTGTCTGTTCTTGGGAACTTTCACTGCAATGTCTCCGAACAATAAGTCGCATTCACATTTGGATTTTGGTGCCCGCTGCTTTTCGATTATCGCTGCAGTGAGTGTTATTACACGGTGCATGCTTGAGCATACCACAGGCCAATACAACGAGCGACGATCATCACGCGGTTATTGACAGCTCAGCAGTTCGGATGTGAGTAAGAAAGCGTATTGAGAGTAACTTCGACATTGCATGCAAGATATGAAGACGATGGCAATGGACATCGACAGCTGGGATAGTACAAAACGCGCGATGGACAGCACACAGAATACTACTACGAGAGAACGGGTACTGGTGGAAGACGCATAATAACATATCCAGCTGTACGGTATACATGCCTCATGCTTTTCAGAAAGCGTACAAACATCCCATTATGCCTTCGGACGATTTGCGGGCGAAGCTTCCACCATGATAACTTCGACTGAATTTCGGCAAGGCGATCAGCGACTTGATCAATTGTCGGACGCTTCCCTGGCTCTTCTTGCACCATGTCGGCAATGAGAGAGTCCAGGAACTCCAATCTGCGATACCTCTGCAGTCATCGTGGTGGTGAACACATACATAAAAAGCGAGTGAAAGTTTCGCTGACCTCAAAGAAGCCCTGTCGCATCAAATTTCCCAGATAGTAGATGTCGGTAACGAAGGGATCACTCGCTTTGTTATAACCTTCTCCCTGAAATTCCGGAACACTCTTATCCCCGCCTAGGATTGGGAGCTCCAAAGAAGGACTGTCTTTCGGATCGTACTTCCTAGACAATCCAAAATCCACGTAGTAGTACTTTGTAGGTCGTCGTATCCGCGTATAGCACTTGGCAGATCCGCTGAGATCCGGCTTCTCGGTGTCTAACAGCGGATGATACAAGTCTGGATACATCGTGGGCTCCATCATGGTATTTAGTTGGCTGCAGTCGCTACAAGACAAAGTGTGTGAGACACATTGAAAGCATGCAATATGACACCCACCGATGAGCGACACGATATCTATGCATAAAAGCCATTCCCTGGTTTCATTTTTTGAAAATAATTAGAGCGGCTCGACCAGAAGTAAAAGTTCACCATACCTCAATCATTTGACGGAAAAATTCGACAGCCTCTCCAACTGTTTCAAACCTGGGATCATCGTAAAGTCGGAGCAATGGCATCACTAATAAGACAATGTCGTCATCGAGGGGATCTTGCAGGACCTCGAAGATAGGATCGGAGTGGTTTCGCCTGTCCGAACGGATGGGTGCTGACGAAAAAAAATTGGCCGATCTCCGCTTCATATGGATGAACAGACTTCTTAACTTTCTTGAGTATAACCACTGTCCCATCCTTCTCGCGGACTGCGTCCAAGATGTACGCATGCTAGATGTAGCTACTGAGAGAATGCAGATGTAGTAGGTAGAGAACGCTCACGCTCGCGGGATGCCTATCCTCGCAATCAAAATATTCTTTGTCTGTTCCAAGCCATGAAGGTTTCCAGTCCGTCCTGTACCGCGGCCGAAGCATATAACCGTGATCGAGAAGCCACCTCTGACGATCGCGCCAATAGGCTTCTGGAGATGCAAGTTCACCAGGTGTAGCTCTAGTGGTTGAAGACATGGTATAGAAGGAATCAACGAACGGCACAAGCACTAGGTTGTGCGCCAAAGAAGGGACCTGTGTAGGATGTCGGCGCCCAGGGATCAGGTGTGTATAAGTTGTGGCGGGTATGTAATAGTTGCGAGAGCAAAACAATGGCAGCCTTTCACAGCTGAAATATTAATTGTTCACCGAGCTCATCGTGTGATCGTGTCACGCTACAGATCGATCACTTGGGTTGGTGTCTCATCGAGCAGTTTTCTCAGACTCCAATCACTTCGAATTCCGAGTCCAGTAACGGACGGTACTATTCCTAATTTAAAGTTGAAAAAACACCAGAGCTTGAACTTCTACTGACAAAGTCCCAAGATCTGGGCGACCGACACTCATTCAGCTATCTCAACGCCGTTTCGACATCTCCTTTGCATGCGATGTTGTCATAGAAATCCTTCACGTGGCCCCTGGACAGTGGGTACGTGCACGACTCGTCCTGATTACATACACCATATTGGACTGACGTTGTCGAACAATTGCAGTACAAGCGGTCGTTCACGTAATATCACACAAGTACCCAGCAAGTAACCCATGGACCCTCTGCGTATCTTTGCCGACTATTGTGCTAAAAGCGTCAATGCTCGTCCTTCCAAATGCGATGGTTGAGCATGCAGACAGCTATATATGCAATGAACTTCAAGTTGTGATCGGCATCTCTAGCTTTCCCTCGTCATTCCTTCTTCCTAACCCATGTCAGCATTTGTCCCTCTCTCAGACGATGAGCCCGAGGCTATCGAGCTGCCTGCAAGTCAGCTAGTGCAGTACAGATTAGCAAGCCTCACTGGACCGGGAAGTTCGCGCCGAATGGGTTGCTGGAGAGGGCCAATCAATACGACAATACCTCGATGGAAGTTCTGGCAGCTAATCGCAGAGTCATGGATTCGGGGACACTCGCGCGACATCAGGTCGAATTTGACCTGTGAGCAGAGCTCTCTGAAATATGGTAGTTCGGCTGACATATTGCAGGTTGACGGGCAAACAGAAGAAGCTGGTAGCATGCAGTACTCTCGAAGCGGCCAAGTCTCTATTCGAGATTAGAAAGCACAAGAATAAATCGAAACGACTAACTCACAAAATCACGGTAATTAACATCCATGCCGTTCTGTTCAACTCCGTGCCTAATCAACTCCCCATCATCCTGAAGATATCTTCGCAAGAAGCACGCAGTGCTTATCTGTGGTTGGAGAGAGCATCTCCGCTGAACGAGACGCAGTCTGATTCTGAAGAACAGAGTGAAGGTAAGTAGCGTTCTTGCAATCGATCTCCACGTTAAATGACTGAACAGAAGCATGCTCAGGTTCGCACTATGAGTACCACGAGGGATTGGACTCATCGGAGGACGCGCAGAGTGACATACCAGCAATACACGATGTGTCGAACGAAACAACTGGTATGGAGCATGAAGAGGCGCTGAGTATGTTTCAGAAGAAAGAGGATACACCGCTATCGTCATGCTCAATGATAAGACAGTCACTGGAGCCCGAAATGAGAGCCAGGAACTACACGCGGACACAGCACTCAGGCTAAACCCCTTCCGAGACGATGATACTCTAGGTATGCTCTGCGGCCACCGCTCTGTCACGATATAGTGACTGACACCTGACCTCAGGATCGATTCCATCAATGGTTGGCCAGTGCTGCACGCGGTCACGAAGGAAATTTTGTTCCCGGTACAAGTGAGTTCATCGTATTGTTGGGTAGGTATTCAGAACCTGAATATTCGCTGGATCAGCTCCGTCTTTGTATTCTTTTAGTTACGGTGAACCATCTGGTATGTGCGAGGCTCATCCTTGTCTGATACTCGCTGACGACATTCATTTGCAGGTGTCGGATTGTCTGTAGTACGAGAGTCTCAAGGTCATGGCCTTTCATCTCGGGACGGTCACGATGTTGAAGGTTTCCAATGATACACCCAGAGATCGGTGTTCACACGTTTGAGATTTCATCAACTTCTATATCTCTCTACACTTCTGTCTTGCCAGTCAGTTGCCAATGGCGGGTAGATAGCATTACGCTCGCGGAACATATCCTTGCTCTCATACCGACCCCGCGAGCTCTCCTGCAGCTACGGCATTTCTCCCAACGAGCTCTGTTCTCCTTTTTTTGCGCACCTGCTAGTTGTCTATGGCACATACGGCTCGCAATCACCTCAATCTTTGCTCGATGCAGCAAGGATGATTTCTTGTGTTTGCTACAGTAATGAATGCACCTTTATTCCTATTGTCAGGAGGTCAGGACGTCGAAGGCGACGACCACGAGTACCACTTTGCCGAGGTGCTGGGCCGTATGTGCTCTTGCTGGGTACAAAAATCAATCACTCTGATGACTTACATAGCAAGGAAGGTATTCCTTTCGTCTTGTCAGGTCTTCAGCTGAAATAGTGGCAGGTTCGGGTACAAACGGCCTTCGTGCCAAACTATGAAAGAATACTTCGGTGAACGTCTGTCCTCCCAAATGAGGAAGATTAGCACCGAATCAAACTTCCGGGAATCGTGGCAGGGTTAGTTGTGGGAATCGATGAAGATGTTCAATGCAGGCCGTCGAGACGACGGCGACGCTTGATGCCGAAGCCTGACACTGGGCCGTCGAAACGTTTCTCGCAGTTTCTCCCCAAAGCTCAAGGCTCATTGGAGACCGTCGCGTGCGCAAACCATTATTAGAATGGTGTGAACTACGGAGACTTATTTGTTTCTGTGACCAATGTGATTAGTGTTTCCATTCGTGACATACAAGGCAGACCATTTGGAGTGATATCCGTGAGCCCGAGTTTGTTGTATGCCAGTTGTGCTACTTCATCCCATTCTTCGGAAGTTCTGCACGAACGCATATTCGCTCCGAATCATAGGTCGCTTTGGCACCAAACACCCTGCTTCCCGCTGCACGTTCAGCAACGGATCGTGGCGAACCATTGATGTACGAGCCGCGTGTCAGACAAATACATCTCGTGCTGTTATCGTCATGCGATCATGGAGGGCTACGAACGAAGTAAAAATGTGTTTCCCGATTTAATTTGACGTAGCAGCAACGATATCTATGGATACAACAGGTACTATAGCAGGAGACGTCGGTAGGAAGCAAGGAACACTAGAGAGTGGAGTGATGACTGCCCCTGAAATGCAACAGGTTTCATTGCTCCAATGTGGTATAGATGGTGCCCGCTAATGCCCTGGTTGTCTGCATATACCTTAACGAATTCAGTCGTTGGATTCCTGTCGTTCATAGAGGTTACTTTCGAGATGATTCGGGATCAGAGGGGTTATCTCTGTAATTATGGCCTAGGCCGGATAAACTCCGGAAGGTGTGTGTGGATTATCAAATATCTGCTACACGCACGATCACTGCACACGGTCATGAATGTGGGCAGTTAGGGCTTTAAAATATTTGCTCACCCCTCGAAATCCATAACCACCATTGTAGGGTTCATGGAAGTCTTCAGTCTGCAATGCATCATACACTTCCACTTGCGCAGGATCAGCTACATATCTAACCCATCGTGGACCTCGTACTTACAAGGTGCATGCTGATCACTAGGAGGACATGAAGAATCTGAAGGGTCATCTTCCGTGTGCTCTTGTATGTTGACGAGATCTACGAAAGACGAATTGTTAGACAGAATGTGCGAGTTACGTGTTGTATAACTTACGACTACATACCGGCCCTTCAGGACGAGCACCTTTTCTGCACTCAGATGTACTTGTATTGCTCTCAATCGGAGTTTCATTACTCACTAATTGGATTCTCATTCAGCAATGACGATAATTATCAAGCCTGTGAAACAACAGACCCACCGATTCGTCCATGCGCGTCCTCGTTGGTATGTGGAGTACCATGCGAATCAGGAGACACAGCTCCGCTTTCTTTCTGTTTCCACATCGCATTGCTTCTTGCGTCTTGGGAGGACTGCTTAAAGGAAAGATGGGTCTCAATGCTCGGGGAAATGGCTTGTGTACTTACAACTGTATCCGTGTTGAGACCCTTGGCATCCTTCTTGTACGCTACAACTTTCGACCGGTCGAATAATGAAGTCATGAGGCCATATTTGCCCATAGATGCGCGTGTTAAACGCAGACTGTACAAGATGGATGAGACACGTCTACACCGGAATTGACACACCGAGAAACAAACCCATCGTATTTCTGATGAAGTTTTGAATGCACGCTGTCTTCCATAATGCCAATGTTCTCCTCTAGGATCCTCAGGGTGTCCTCTTGATGTTGATCGCCCTTCCTCACAAGAGCCGCAGGGTTGAGGGCAGAGAAAGAAAGACGAATCTTGCCATTAGATGCAGAACCAGCATCGTCTTTTACAGATTCCCTGTCGTCCAGTGGTGCGAATTCGTTGGTAGCCATGCTCAAGGTGATAGAGGTTGCGTTGGAACTTGGAGCGATGTTCTGCGTGGAGTCGGTCTATATATGTGAGTCGCAACACGGTAAGGTCGGATTTACAAATAGAGAACAATAGCAAGGAAGCCGAGAACAGATAATATGTGCATGCTCGAGGTCATTCCGCAGGAGCCGGATGACCCACATTGAATCGGTATGATACAACTGCCACATACATTTCTGTAGACAAAGCGGCTTCGGCCTCGAAACCATCACGATCGAACAGGAAACCACAGCATGCCTTGTTGTCCTTAGCAAGTCGTTGAGTTTACGTACATCGTTGATTCGAAGGAGGTTGACAAATTCTTGGCTGTTGGTGTCATATACCAAGTAAACCTTTCGTCGACTCTGTTATCCGAGCCCCTTGAGACTGTAGCTGCTCATCCACAATGAGTGCATGCGGCCAACAGTTCCTGTTCGATAATGTCAAAAGCCTAATACGAGAGACTGGCAACAACCAGTGGCTTGGGTTGAGTGTGAGCCTGAGACCGCGGAGTTACAGCGCTGATCGAGATCGCCAGGAAAGGCAGGTTGAACAACAACCGGAACCAAAAACTGCAGAGAGACAGTCCCTCTTTTTTTGCGACAGCGATCACGCTAGTAGTACTCACGCACACCGACTCCTCCCTCCACTCGAAGAGTTCGGATGGCCCATCCGAATTCTGCTCTCAGTGACAGTGAAACGTACTGGCGAGATAGCCAGGCATGGCTCAAGGAACGCGGATATCTGCTTCGACCACGGTATAGGGCAGACTGGAAACCTTCATGGGAGACAACCTCCAAGGACCCCTACCATTGCGAAGATAGCCTCACTCTAAGGGTTCGTTCTTCAGCTTGCCTTTCGCAGGATGTCTGCTAAATGGTGCCAATAGCGGTCAACAATTATAGATGCTACTCGCACCTCGGATGGAACCGTAGTCGCCCTAAAGAAAGTCTCCAAGTCCACGCATCCCCATGAAGCAGAGATCGGCCAGTTCTTCTCAAATGAACCGCTCCGCTCCGACCCGCAGAATCGTTGCATCGCCATCCACGCGGTTCTGCAAGATCCTATGGATCAGGATCTTATTGTACTTGTGATGCCCTTCCTACGCATCTATAATGACCCCCGCTTTGACACTGTAGGAGAGGCAGTCGAGTTCTTTCGACAGATATTTCTGGTGAGCTCTCGAATACGCTATGTCGTCGAATGAACGTTTGACCCATTTTCTCAGGCTTTACAATTTATGCACCATAATCATGTTGCGCACCGGTGCGTGACCCGAATGCATGTGGTTGGCGCCCCTGCTGATACTTTCGTCGCGTAGCGACTGCATGACTCTCAATATCATGATGGATCCCCTTCCTATGTATCCCCACCTGTACCATCCAGTACGCGTGGAGAGAAACCGACAGTTCACCGGAAATGCGAAACGTTATACGCGCACCCAACGTCCAACGAAGTATTATCTCGTAGATTTCGGTCTCTCCAGAAAGTACAATCCTGATGACGGTCCGCCTGAGGAGCTTCCCATACTCGGCGGGGACAAGAGTGTCCCAGAGTTCCAGGGAGAGGGTTACAATGTAGCCTCCGATCCATTCCCAACCGATATATACTACCTGGGAAATATGATACGCAAGGATTTCCTGCGGGTCAGTGATTATCTCCGTTGCCTCATTTAATGCCCATTCACGCCTTTACTTGATCCAGAAGTATCACGGGTTCGAGTTCATGAGCGAACTGGTATCGGACATGGTGCATAAGGAGCCCGTGAAGCGTCCAACTCTTGACCAGGTAATTTCGCGCTTCGACGACATTAGGCTCCCGTTGTCTACGCGAAAGTTGCGCTCTGAACTTGTGCGGAAGCAGGACGACCTTCTACTCCGATTTTTCAAAAGAATCAGACACATTTATCGCACGGTCGGATATGTCGCCAGACGATTACCACCATTGCCGACTCCATGATTTTCATATCGTACATCATTTACAACGCTCTATCCAAGTACCGCCTCCCATCCATACCCGTTATGTTGCTTAGCTATGCTCACCGCTCCGATGTAATTCACACTGACGTCTTGATATACCTGTACTCCATATGGTACTCTCGAGGTCGGTCACAGTGCGACACCATCTGCCTTCCAGGGCCCGCGGCAAAACTTACATGCCCTCTCTACGATGGCAGGGGGGCCTTCCACCACCCTCCGTGACGCTCCCGAGGGTCGCGAACGGTGCTTCCGCGCTGCGGTGGCACGTTTGGCGCATGCGCTGGAATAATAACATTTCTACCATTTCTACCTGATCTTGTGATAAACTTGTGATCCCTGCCTAGTATCTGCTTTGTCTACGGTGCAAAGTGACAGCACATCACCCATGGGACGCTACCGAGAGCTCTCACGCAGTCTTGACACAATAATAACTGCACAATTCGCGATCAAAGGCCTGGGCGGATACCGAGACTCCAGTAACACGTGGACCCACATTGGACCAATAGGCGTGCGTTGTTTTCCGCCCCGTGGATATTCAATTTTTGTCGAGGACGTAAGTGTTATCCGTGGTCAGACGCGGTCAAGCTCTTTGTTCTGATCCTTATCCATCAATCTCCTTGTCTTCAGCGTGATTATATCGACGATATCAATGGTCTAGGTACCTGTGTGAGTTGTCGCAACACATGATCTATTGGACATACCGGTCACGTATCCTCACTACCGTCCTTCCAACAACGACGGATTTCTGATATTGTTACGGAATTCCTGAAGGCCGAGCTTCCTGAGCACAGGCTACCGTTAGTGCTGTGTGCACCTTCCGGTGCATGTCGCTCCATATGACCCTTCACCTCGGTTCTGGAGAGCGAAGGTGCAGACTGGTCATATTTCAATGCCGTTCTAGCCTCGGTAACAGCGTCCGCCTTCCATTTCTGAGACGTCATCTCACTGATCTTGAAGGCTGCCGTGGTGAGTAATCTGCATGAACTATCTTCCAATTATTTGAAGCTGCGAACGATTGTTGCCATGTCTCAGGGAGCGCTCTCGGGCTGTGATCAACGACCGTCCAACTTCCGTGACATCACTGGGCAGGACAAACCGGCCCTCTTGCGGCGGATTGGCACGTTGCTGTAATTTTCTTGTGTAAAATTGCGGGTTCGGTAGCTAGGCCCAACAGATGTGTGATGACAGCGCTCCCGACGTTGACTCGGCTCCCACCACAGAACAGCACGCTCAGACATCATCATCCCAGGAACGAATTGCTATAAACACTCTTCGAGGCATCCTGGTTGTCAGGCCGGTCATGAATGAACATGGGGAATCAGAAGCAACGATGATACATCAAGAGAGGAATATCGGTGATGCGCTGCGGATAGGCTGGAAATCACCACCGAAGGAACCACATAAGCGCGCGCGAACGTGGGTCTCTGTGGGTCCATGTACGTGTACAGTGGTGCAACGAGGAACCTGCATTGTCCCAAATTGTCCTCCCTTTTATAACCATCAGATCGCTCGCACTGTATGACGTACATCGTCGAACAAGGAACTGAGTATTGGTAACGAGAAATTGCAAACAGTAAGCAGACAATACAGCAGTTTCGACCAGTGTTCTATCGTGCAACAAGGCCATAATATTCACATCTGCCACCGGTAGATCCGACGCCAGCAGTGCATCTCACTGTTTATCGGCGTTTCTTAGCATACTCATCCCCGAGAATCGAGGAAAAAATCTTTCTGTCTTCCCTGAAAGCCCTGAAAGCCCTGAAAGCCCTGACCATCGCAGCTCGTCCGAGAGTAGTCATCGAGGCTCAAAATTGCTTGGGTTGTTCCAGATGGTCCTGCAAATTGGAGTCATCATTTACAGAGAAATATAGGAAGCTTGAGCACCTGCCTGCTGAATTGTCCGAAGTAAATGAACATAGCGATACTGCTGGCAGAGTACACTGCTTGAATCTTGAAAGATCGTGAGAAACTTAGAAACTCACTTGCGTCGTACTCGGCGTTGTTGTCGCTGCTTGTCTCGCCCTCGATATCGGCTTGCCTACTTGTCTCTCCGACGCCATTGTTGTCTCTGATTGTCTCGCCCTTGTCGCCACCGCCTCTGCTGATTTCGTCTTGGCCACGATCATCTCTGCTTGTCTCGCCCTCGCCATCGTTGTCCGGGCTTGTCTCGTGTATAGCACTGTTGGCCCCGTTGCGGTGATGGAACTCATCTAATCGTTGGTCACTATTTGTTGAAGAACGGAATGCTATCAAGCTTACCGACTGTATGGTGGTCTCCGAAAGGATTCAATATATGAGCAAGATCCTTTATCGTTTGCAGGAGGTTGCGTTTCACATGTGGAGTTGCTGTATATAGTCATGGTTCGTCTACGTGGGTTGAGTATGCATGATGCAGTCATAAACATACCATGAGTACCCTCGGCACCTGCAAGGCCTTGGTCACTAGATGTCCCATCAACCGGCGAGCGTGGTTCTGGATCCTCCGTATTGGACGAAGAGGGGTTGGATGATTCTGCGGCACACGTGAGCGAAGTGCGCAAGCGACGAGAGCGTAACACCTACCCTGCTCTTCGCTGACTGCAGAATTCGTCCAGAGCTGCCGATTTTTCTCCCGCCATATGTACTTGCTGCACGATCGTTGCGACGACCGCTTTCACAGTTACGGAGAAAGGTGAGCTTATTCATTGCCCGTCCTGAAATTACAATTCGCTGCGCACCACGAGGACACGATTGAGTTCCTTCTCGTCATTCTTGTAATCCTTGAATTTGGATCGATTCTGGAGGGCCTCAAGGGTGGTGTAGCTGATTAACTCGTCCCTTTTTGACAATAATCTGGCAAAGATGAATGATCTTAGCATACGCAAGAGCGTGAAAGCTTACTGATCATATTCTTTGTGGGATACTCCGTGAGTAACAGGGTCAACGATTTTACGGTTTGTCGTGAGCATGCGCATCGAAGAATCCCGATATTTATCTCCTCTCTTCAATAGTTCGCCCGGTGTAAACTTCAGAGGTGATCGGGGTTTCTTGCCTTGCACCTTAGCAGCATATTCGCAGGCTGTATTAACAGCATTTAGCGCATCGTCTGAGACTGGGGGGAACATTGCGACTTCGCGAGGGATAACCGGAAGTCAGTACGCGGCCTGTTATATAGCTGTATAGCAACGAGAAACAACATTCGATGTAATGGACGATAAAGACGTAATGGACGGTGGAATCAGAGCATAATTGAAGACCCTATACGAAGGACGAGTTTGTACTTTGGTCTGTACAGGCCATCAACTCACTACCGGCTGTTTTGACAGCACAACCCGATTGCATACTCTGGAATTCTATGGCGGCATACTGTAAGGATAGACGGTTCCCACAATTTGAAGGTTCTGAGCCACTCCATGCGGAACAATGTCTGAGTAAGGTGTAGAGATGATCATATGCGCCGCGCGGAAGTTTTTGTCAAGGCTCGTACATACCCTTACGTAAGTACCCCATTGTGTGGTTGCCTGCAATCGAGATTCGCAGGCACACAATTGAACATCTAAGGACCTGGATACACGGCGTTTATGCCACAGGCATTCAGTGCGTTTTCTTTCTTTAACCCTACCACTTCACTGATCAAGCCGCTTGTGTCGTTCGCACCATGGCCCCCAGCGATGGCAATCCTCCTTGGAAGCGTCATCAAGGTGAGATAACAGAGCCAGAGACCTACTGGCGTGATCGTCAACAGTGGCTGTTGGAACGTGGTTATCTGCTTCGTCCACGATATCGAGTGGATTGGAAACCTTCCTGGGAGGGCACGAACAAACGATATCATACCTGCGAAGACGGCATGGTTGCTCATGTACTGTGCATTCTTCCTACTGCATTCAGATCTCCGTTGACACGCACGCAGCACCCTTATATCCTCGATGCCGTTCGCCAAAGTGATGGAGCCGCAGTTGTTTTGAAAAAAACGAAGAAATCAACTCATCCTCACGAGGCGGAAATTGCCCAATTCCTCTCTTCCCCTCCACTCACTTCCGACCCTCGAAACCACTGTGTCTCCATCTACGAAACTCTCCAGGATCCCACAGAAGAGGACGTGGTGTTACTGGTGATGCCATTGCTCCGGCTTTATGATGAGCCCAGGTTTGAAACAGTCGGAGAGGCCGTCGAATTTTTTTGGCAAATGATCGAGGTGCGCGGTGTTAAATTGATCGCCCTTCTTTGCGCTAACATGACGCAACTCCCAGGGGATGCTCTTTATGCACGAACAACATGTTGCTCATCGGTTTGTTTATCGCCGTAGTACGGCCTGCGTTAGCCTGACGAGCTTATTCTCAGCGACTGCATGCAACTCAATACAATGATGGAGCCCACGATGTATCCAGATCTGTTTCACCCAGTTAAGTCCACAAAAAAGCAAGACCTCAGCGGCCCCGCCAAATACTATTCGCGAATAGAACGTCCACCCAGGTACTACTACGTGGATTTCGGATTGTCTAGGAAGTACGACCCAAAGGACGGTCCTCCTCTGGAGCCTCCGATCTTAGGCGGTGACAGGAGTGTTCCTGAATTTCAGGGGATTGGTTATCACAAAACCAGTGACCCCTTCCCTACCGACATCTACTATCTGGGAAATTTGATACGACAAGGCTTCTTGCACGTTAGCGAAACTTTTTATTCACTTTGTATCTTTTCAATGTCCTCACCACCATTATGACTACAGAGATATCGCGGACTGGAATTCATGGATGCTCTCGTTGCCGACATGGTGCAGGAAGAACCGGAAAAGCGTCCAACGATCGAGCAGGTCGCTGAGCGCTTTGCCGAAATCCGGTCAAAATTGTCGTGGTGGAAGTTGCGTTCGCAGATTGTCCGGAGGCATTATGGAATGTTCATACGTTTCCTGAGTGCCGTCAGACACGTATACCGCACAGCAGGATTTGTTGTTAGGCGACTCCCACCGGTTCCCACTCCTCCCTCGTAGTGTTTCCTTATTCTGTGCATCGTCCTACTCACGTCCTGTGCTGTCACAGTTGCCGATGTCCATCACTATCATTCATCGTTGTATCTTGCTATATCGGAATTGCTCTGGATACCGTTCTTTCCCATCTTGAGGCTGTTCGTAACTGCTGAATTGTATATTCATCTAAAACATGCGCCATTGCCTGCACCACGTTCTACAACACATTGAAAAAGGGCGGCCATCAACTGATATTTGACAGCATTGGGAGTCGGAACAATTGTTCGGGAAAAGTGCGCATTCAATCGGATTCAGAAGAATGGACAAAAGCGGTTCAGTAAGCACTGGCGGAAGAAGAGGAAGCTCATACCGTGACCGCTCGCGCGACGTCCACCGGAGCGGACAGCTCTCACCAAATCGGAGGTCCGAGGAACCTTGATGTGGTGCTTTTTTTGTTCTTTGATCATCCACGTCCATGTTGTCAAGTCGCCATCGTCGTGCATGCGCAATCCTGCCCTTCACTTCAGGTCCGTTCATGTCTTCAGCTGTGCTATCTTGAATCTTTAGGTCTAGCAATATCCACACAGCTGTTTCGTCTCTTTCCGTTGTTCAACTCCCCTCAAAATGGCTAGCACAGCTGGCAGGTCAGAGGCCTGTCAATATGATGGAGTTGCGACAACTGCATGCAGCTGCATCCCCTTCTTTGCTCACGAACGGTGAGTTAATCTCAACGTCTATCCTGTCATCATGAGGGACCAGCATACCATGTCACAGAGCATATACCGCTGTCTGAAAGCCCGATGGACCAGCCACCGGAAAAACGTATAGCCTTCATGTACTCGTTGCAATTTTGGAACAAGTGCAAGAGGATAGGATTGCTACTTTCCACTGGGTATGCCTCAGCGGAATCCAGGACGTAGTAAGTGGCTCTTCATTGTGTAACAGTAACATCTCTACACCTATTCGCCGACGTAGGTATGAACATACCGAGAACTGGACGCACTTTCACAGTACTCTGCAGAAGAAACTGGAGAATATTAGCATGGTAGTGAGTTGTGCTCATTCTTGCTTCTATCTCAGGCTCTTGAGTTGTTCATGACACCTTGCCATCCAGTCTGGGCTTCTGCTGAGGTTGGTACGTTCACTCTCAGCAAGCTCAGGGACATCGACCGGGCCCATGCCAGCTCCAATACTACAATGCTGTCCAGTGGCGAACTGCGGCGCATGACCTACACCGCTGCAATGGCGTCCGCAGGAGGCAGCCTGCTTTCGCTCATCTTTGGCCTCATTTGTCTGTGGTCGCTGCACAGATGCCCTTCGGCACGCCTGAAGGTTTCAGTGGCTTCTCCTTCATCTATTCCGCTTTGGCTGATCACCAAGCAAGGCACTCATCAAGTGCCATCCCGGCTTATTCTACTATCTATTTTCTACGCCATGCTTGTTCGGCGGAGCGTCAGCACTGTCATTCTTCGTCACCATTGGCGCGTACACATGGCTTGATTTAAGCTGTTCCAAATATGGCTGGGGCGGAAGGACGGCTAGCATACTCTGCAGCGCAGCACTTGTTGGCAATGCGGGACTTTGTTTTTCCTGGAGGTTCCACACGATGGAGACATCCAAAATCTGCCTAAAAATTCAGTGTACCTACGATCGTTGCACTTCTAACTTGCTGTGAGTGGGCAGGATCAAGTACTGAGATCGGTGGATTCTCGCTATTGTTCTGAGTTCGTGATTTGCCCCAGTCGCTTCACGAAGACAAAGAGACTTTCCAGTCAGCATGTTGAATCAAGCGAGACAAGATAGCAAATAGGACGGGTATTACTACACAGCGCACAAAGCAAACGACAGCATGTCCATGTAACAGCTAAATCAGCACAACAGTGCAACTGGGAGGGGGAGGAATTACATTACACTAGCACAAAACTTCAAACAGCCGTCAGGATTTTGGACGCTCTGCTCTTCCCTTCGACGCCAATCCAACCAATAGCCATCGTTATCGAGAAGTAGACAATGGCTTGGAAAGCACGGTGGGCCAACGTTGGCCTGATACATGGGATCACCATGATGAGGATACCACACCTCACATAGACTCCGAAAATCGAATTGGCGTCAACAGTTGTCGACGCAATGACACTACTTAGCGGTTAAGACTGCAATGCAACGAGCAGGATGAGTGAGACACGCACTAACACATGGCAGCAAATATCGCTGCACATCTTTTTCCCAACACCACTGCAATTGTCTTCTGTCCTGCAGCTCGATCAGCCTCGGTGTCCATAACGGCACCTAGGGCATGCACTCCTGCGGTGCAGAGACTCATCATATAGCCTTTCGCGGGGGCCTCCGCGATACTGCGACCCGAAAAACTGAAACCTATAAACCAGGCTAAGAAGACTATCAAGCCGTTCGAAATTGAATCCACCACTGGAATTTCCTTCAGGCGGAAAGGCGGGGAGGAATACTGCCAGCCTAAAGTGACCAAGACAGCGTTCGCAAGGACGTTCTGCGGCTCTCCGCAGACCATAGCTGCCGTCATGACGATCGCAGAGGACCAGTATGCTGCTGTCAAGACGTCTTTATGAAAAACTGGGTTGAGAATGCCACCCTCCATACCCTCCGCTTTCTTGCGCGGATTACGTAGGTCCGACTCGTAGTCATATACATCGTTAACTCCGAATACGACTGCAATTTGTCGTCCATTAGCGCATGAACCTGTTCATCCACGAGAGGAACTCACTCGCGCACAAAGGGAAAGAAAGCGCGGACATCTGCAACGCTGCTTTCGCCAGAGCCGGCATAGATTTGGGAAGAACTTCTGAGTGAATCAGACCTATACCGAAGAGTATCGGTCCAAAGGTCCAGCCTGGGATGCGGCTGACTTTAACGATTGCCCATGCCCTCCTCGACAATGATGGTGTAGAATTTGTAGCATTTATAGAGGTTTTCTGAGTGGGCATCAAATTGCGTGACACGAAAACTGACGAGTGAAAGGAGGAGATAGCTGTGTGCTGTGAAACAGAGGCTAAAGGATACGCCAACCTAACTACACACTCTTTTGGCCAACAGGCAACGGCGTTACCGAAGGACGTCCGATAGGTTGGCTCTGAGTACGAGTCGCGGAGAGCAGCTTACGTAATCTGTCAATGTTGGCGCTTATAGTACGATACTCTTGCTGCTAACTTGCGCTTGGATCGTCACAATCATCATGCATCGATGCATCATCCAACGGTACTCCCAGAATCGATCACCGAAGACGGCATAACTTGAGCCTTATCCTGGTCTCCCCACAACCCCCTGCCTCGAATTCATAAATAATGAAGATCCTGGCTGTGAAACTGCAGTACGTGGGACAACCTGCCGGAAGATGGAAGTGGTCGCACACCCGCAAATAGGATGATTCTATTGGAAAGACGCCGCAAACGGAGAAGCCCTGTGTTGCAACGGGTAATTCAAGAAACCCCCTCGAACTCGGGACTTCGAGTCAGTCCTGGACGTCGGCAGGCCATCCTGGTGCTGTGGGCCACCGTGACGTGCCTCCGTGTGGTTTCAAGTTGCAGGCGACTCAGTCTATTGTCGCTGATCAGGAGTGCCAAAGCTCGTTCCGACTCATCGGCAGACCCTTCCCTGGATGCCGCATCCCTACCGGATGTCGCCCTCATTCCGAGCAGCTCTTCGTCTTCGCCATTTGTAAGTGGCAGGTCGCCTTTCAGTAGCAATTTGGAGTTTATGTGTGAAGTGGGAGGTTGTCGCTAACCGTTGCGATCAATGGCTGCGCGGTACGACGCATGACCATCCAGTCGGTACTCAGACGGCCGGCGTTCTTTAGCCGTCAATTTCCTATTCACCAACCCGGGTTTCCAAAACACGGTAAGAAAACGGCGAGGGGTTGCTGAGGTTTCTCGGCGCTGGAAGGTTTCTTCATAGAACAATCCCCGCAAACGCCTGGAGAAAGCCTGCAAAGATAGGTACTTACAGTCGCATTCAAAGTTGAGACCGTGCTAGCAATCAGTGTGGGTATCTGGCTTCCCTTCTGATAAGTATACCTCAAGCTCATTGTTTCAGCCCACGGATGTGTTCCGGCTCACGGATCGCTTCCTGCCTTTCCTACCGATACTCTCCATCGAATCTCCTATGCGTGCCACACTCATTGGATCATCGATTTGTTCCCTACAAGGGGCCTTCACACCACACTTCGCACCTTCTGCTCCGCCTACCCTTTCATAGCAAAGGCCTACTGTAACTCGTTAAAGTTGGTTCGTCCATGCACTTCTACACGTTGCATGGGCGAAAAGACATCCATCACATAGTCCAACGACGGGGCGTTGCATGCGATCTGGTTCTAGGATGCTGCAGGCACATTTCATGTCGTTATCACGCCCGCAGGCGTGATTCTAATGTGTTGATATCTATTGGCAATGTGCCAACGTTTCACGCCTTCTAGCACCACCTCATACTTGGCTGCGGGTGATGGCTTGCATGCTTGGGTGTCATTAGTAGGCGCGGTTTTCTTTCCCCTCCCTCTTTCCGGCTCCCAGCACGATATTCCTTGTCATCGCGGTTCAAACTATGTTTGTGTCGACTTCTTTCCGCTATGTGCCGGCAGCGCCAGTTCCGGTTTACTTTTTAGCACGGAAGGCCTGAGCCAGTGGCAAACGACATTAATATCAAACCGCTGCACGTGGCAAAAGTGAACGATAGGAACAACTTCGGATGTGATTGAGCAAACTCCTTGCGGCTTAATGACTTCAGGCAGTCTCGCCCATGTCAAGTCTGACATTGACAGTGGTGTTATCGTCTTTGTGGTTACGATGGCAACCCCGTTCATCAATCCATTTTTATCCGTTTGGAAGCAATGTACGAGGTCAATAGGATGAAGCCTGCCCGGAGACTGTTTCCTCGAAGTCTTGCTTTCATTTGTTGTCCTCTGAACGGTGGATACTCTAACCTGGGGGGAATGTCCTCTGAGCGTTCGGTGGACCTAAATTCGTGCCTCTGTCCCGATATTCTCTTGATTGTACTGAGCTTGTGCATTGAATGCCTCTTGATCTCGCCATGCATCCGCAACGGTCAATTTCATATACTCTTTGTTCGGACTTGAACATGCCAATTTGATATCGCGCTAGCCACTAGGGCTGGCGACATTGCGCCGATAGATTTACCTTTATCCTGCCCCTCCTTACAACTTGAAGTTGCAAGGAGGGGCAGGATAAGTTCGTGACTGCGCAGTCCAGTTGAAGTTGTAAGGAGGGGCAGGATAAGTTCGTGACTGCGCAGTCCAGTTCGCCCAGTGAGTACCTACACTCCGTCTCTTTCCTTTCGTCTCTACCAATACTCAGTCCATTGACACCAAATGAATCGTCGTGTAACAGTTTGTCTCATCCGGTGAAGAATTGCAGTCCTTCCAGGCTCCGACGCGCCCTCGGGTCGCACCGCTGCCCTGCGAACGCGATGCCCCGGTAGTGAGCAAACTAGCAAAGTGAAAGGGGTGCCGTGATTCCGTAGAACGTGGATAGTCGATACAAGGAAGATGTCGCAGATAGCAAGCAAAGAATGTCCCGACCGCAGCATCCATTGAAACACAGATCGTGCAGCATCAGCCGAACTCGTGAGGAAGAGATGGTTAAGTCTTACCTGGGCTACGACTTGAGTAGAGTAGTGGGTATACTCTCGATACTGTTGTTTGGGAAATTCGTATTTGACGTACTCGTCGAACTACCAGTAGCGCCCACTGAACTGGAGGGGTTGGGTTCGGGAAGTGAGTCTTCTTCCAAATCCCTTCCGAAAAGGTACATGAATCCGGCGAGGTGCACGACGAGTAAGAAAATGACGAGGGTAATGCCCATCTACCAGGACAGTAAATACAGTGAGGCAGGCGATCTATCGATGGGTTACGCACGATGAGTACAGGGCCCTTGTTCTTGGCTTCGAAGCCAATGATACAAGTATTCACGAAAAACGCGCTGAAGCTGACCCCTCCCCATACCTGTAGCATAGTCAGTGACGTTGGGCGATCTGACAACTCCCACGCGCCTGAGGTATGGAGAGAGCAGCGAGATATAACTTCGGATACCTGTGACCGATCATCTGCCATCCGGTCAGTAACATTTCAGTAGGGCCTCGTGGTGCTCACCCTCAAGGTGGACCCATGCACATCTCCCAGTACATAGATTAGACCGACACCAAATCCGATGCATATTAAACTGCTCAGAAGAGAGGTGATGCCGAATGCAAACGCAGAGGGGCCGAACGGATAATTGCTGAACAGGAGTGTTGATACGGCTCTGTATAGGTACGTTACCACAGATCAGTAAGAAGTAGCGAAGCATACCCTATGATCAAACCACACTGTTTACGTATAAGCAAATCGGCCAATGGTCGAGGAAATTCAGAAACACTACACACCACAATGTTTAAATTGTTCCATCTGCGAACTAGCCCATCACGCCATGACTCCCAGTCTGCGGGTCCCTTATCCTCGGATCTGAGAAGGAGGTAGAGTCCCGGCCGAGGTGTGGTATAATTTAGGGCAATGATGAATATTTTCGCACTCGAGTCCCCGACGAGCCGAGTGAGTGGCTTGATACTGGTAGTCGCTGAAGCAATGGCTTCCGGAACAGTGGAGAACGAGCCTGCTATATAAGCCTTCATACGCGCAGCGAATTGAACGGTTGCAATCAACCAACGGTCCATGACAGAACAAATGAAAGGATTGCTGACGGCGATAGTGCGACAGCTAGGAGGAGCAACGATGAAGGATGATAACACAACCAACCTACGTTCGCGTAGGACAAAGGATGTAGAAGTCGATAGGACAACGGAGGATGAATGTACAGTGGGAACGAGAAGCACGGTACCGCAGAGCAGGATATATAGAACCACGGACGGACGAGCGCTCCTCTCCTTGAGGCCGACACTGCAAAAACCTGTATAAAATGCTCATGTAAGATACTTATCGCAGCCGGAGGGCCCGTGTCATATTGATTGCTGTGGCGACGTCGGATAAGGCGACACATCATGCCAGGTCCTGAATAAGTAGAATGTCTTAAGACAAGAAGACGCGGCTCAAATGACCTATCAGATGTATGATATGAGCAGCCCATCACGACAGACAGCGTGAAGAAAGATGTGTGACTGAGCAACGCGCAGTAGATCGGACCCCGAAACCGTTGTAGGAAAAATCTACAGGCCTTCCAAATTCTACAACTTGGACCCACAGTTATCGATGGAAAGACGCCGCGGAGGCATCGCATCTTGATTCGATCTGTGTCACGTGCAAGCAAAGGCTCTTGAGCCACTGGGACCCCCGACAATGGGAAAGGTCCGCCTATTTCATGGACATAATCAGGGAGTTGACCGCCCGATAGCCTGAGCATTTCGCGGACATCGGGAGGCAGTGCCCAGGAGGCCTCATTCGGGGCCGTACAGTCGCTTATGGAAGCCTGGCGGGGGGAGGCCGTCCCAGAAGCGCCCAAAATTATCTTTTTAGGGTTAAAACCCCACGCTAAGGGCGAGACGCCGACCGCGGAGGCAAAAATGTGGTGAAGCCTCATTTTTCATGGACATTTTGAGCCCAAAACGGCCTTTTCCCAACATCAGGCTTATTCACCAGTTGTCGGGGGTCCTCTGCCACCGGACAGGATAAGGATGTCCGCGTTGCGGCCCGCTTGGTGGCCCGTGCGTCTACCAGTAACTATGAGCACCGAGATTCCCAGGTGCGTTGTCCTCCGTCGAGGTACTTACCGCTGTCCCACCGTAGAATGAATATTACACCGCCAAGCGCAAAAAGCGTCTGAGCGCATGCATTCCACGAAGCTTCCTTCTCTTCGTCCTTGCCCGGTAGCTCTTCTCGACAACTCAACGGCTTTTCACCTGCTGACACTTCTATCTCATTTGATATCATGCCTGTGTCTCGGGGGACTGCACTGTGCAGTGGTAACTTACTGTCTACTACCATATTGGACGGTATGTCCACAACATTCGGCTCAGAGATACTTGAACACTGACAGCTGCTGTTGTCAGAGAAAGTTTTAGTCGGCAGTCAGAACGTTGATGATGCCCGTCACAATCCATCCCTTCGATTACCACTCAAGGTCTGGGAGAGACTGAAAAGAATCGCTCTACTCCTGGCAACAGGATATGCCTCACGGGAATCCCGCACGCGGTAAGTTACCTATAAAGCCGAATACCGTTCACCTGCATGTCTCTCGTCGTGATCGCCTAGGTATGAGATTACAGGGGATTGGTATCGTTTTCGCTCCACCACGACTAAAAAATTGGAGAACATCGGTATAGTTGTGAGTCTATCCGGAGTACGCTGATGTCTGGTCTAATTCTCTTCCAAGTCTGGCCTTTTGCTTAGGTCTGCAATGTCACAGTCCTTCATCTGTTACAGCTCCCCGACCTTGATCCTGCTTAGTTCCAGCACAAGCTTGCTGTCTTCTGGCGATCTGCGGCGTATGACATATATTGCTACTATAGGCTCTATGGCCTGCAGCCTTCTTTCAATTATTTTTGGTTTACTTTGCCTCTGGTCTCTCGTCGGAGTAGATCCAACACGCTTGAAGGTGCGGTTTTCTTCACCGGTCATTTCACAAACATTGATACCATGTCTGTAGTCGTTGAGCCGAAATAGCGCCTTATTCTACTACTTATATGCCACACCCTCGTTGTTCGGTGGCACAGCTGCCCTGTCGTTCTTTGTTGCAGTTGGATCTTGGACATGGCTAGATCTCGGTCATTCCCACTACGGATCGGGTGGCAAAGTGCTCAGCATCTGCTGCAGTGCGGCACTTGTTTTCAATGCCGCCCTTTGCTTTATCCTCGGGGGCTCGACGTGGAGATCTCAGCCATCGTCCAAGACTGCATGCTGATTGATACTTGTCTCTTCAATTTTCAATTCCTGGTGGTAGCTGAGGGAGGCTAGAGACGGACACAGAGCCCCCGCGCTGATTGACTGTATAGTATGGACTCCTTGTATTATTTCTACCACGACTCTCGTATTGTGCAGTATGGCTCAGTGAAGATTCATTCTGCTTTTTGTGAACTGGTATCATTCGCCCTGCAATTCAGTACAGTCACTACGACGGCACCGAGCGCATGCACACCTGCGGTGCATAGACTCATCCTTTTGAAGGCGCATCCATAATATTACGACCTGTGAAACTGAATCCTGCGAACCAGCCAAGAAAGACAATCAATGCATTCGAGAATGAGTCCACATCATGGACTTCCTTCAGGCGGAAAGGCGGAGATGAATACTGCCAGCTGTGAGCAATCAAGATCGCGTTCGCGAGAACGCTCTGCGGCTCCCCGCTAGCCATAGCTGCTCCCATTACTATGGCGGAACGAGGGGTCCGCCTTCTAACCCTTCAACCCTCTTGCGGGGATTGCGGAGGTCGTATTCGTATTCATACACGCCGTTGAATCCGAAAACAACTATACACCTCAAATTCAGCTCATGAACTCATTTTACAACCAACGACAGACTCACCCGTGACATCAGGCTGCTTTCGCAAGACTTGGCGTGGATTTAGATAAAGACTCAGAGATCAGACCAATGCTAAACAGTGTGGGCCCAAAAATCCATCCTGGTAAACGACTGACACGGAGGATCGTCCAAGCTCTCCGCCACAGCGACGGTATGAAGTCGTAGGAATCAAAGGCGTAAATTCAGACAGCATCACATCAGATGGGTTCCAAATGGTATGGGAGGTGGTACGTTGGAGCCATAGAGTATTTCATTGAAGAACGGCATAGCAAGGGAACCTAAACAAAAACAAGCTTGATTTATGTCTTGTCTTCACGTTGGTCTTCAAGTTGAACTTAGGTCGTAGAGACGAGTGCTTGTGTTTTACGTAATCAAGATAGAAGGATTCCGGGCCGAGGAACCGTCGAAATTCGACCGAGACGGCGGCCAACGGTTCACTCTCGACTCCAGTTTGCGATGGCTTCGTGCAAGATCATCTACGGTACTGCATGGTATACCAATTACTACTGTGATATTCGACGTCGGATAAATGTCATGGCCACAGGAAAAGGGAGCGAACCACAGCCCTCGTAGTCAGCGCGGTGCTTAATGGATTTCGTGCCATAGACACAGGTACGCTTCAGTTGCAGTGATGACAACTCGTGGTTGCATTTGAGCCGCATCAATACCTTTAGCTGCTCAGTTGAAGCACTATCGGTGCGCTCTATTCGTGCGGGTAGGTCGTATGGCACATATTGACGTTCTACGTCGTCGTTTCAAGTGAAGATCTTGTGGGGGAGGCACTACGGATACTGCAGATGGAGCACAACATCAAACGCGAAGATTTGTTTGTTCAGACGAAGTGCGTTAGTGGTTTACACCTCTGGTGCATGAATGTGCACGGTGCTTGATATCCAGGTACACGTCCATTGGAGGTCAAGACCACAGCCAGCCTCTTCCATACAATCCCTCAGATTCCGTTGCGAAGCAAGTGGAATCTTCGGTGATGCAGTCCCTCGCGAACCTTGGAACCTCATATGTCGACAGCGTTCTGTTGCATTCTCCGTTGGATACCATGCCACACACCTTGGCCGCTTGGCGAGCACTGATGGCCCTTCAGGATTCGGGGAAAGTCAAGGAGATAGGAATTTGCAATACGTATGACGTCCGAATTCTTAAAATGTTGGAGGAGGGTAGTGGCAGGAGAGTGCAGATCGTGCAGAATAGGTGGTTCGAGGGCAATTACTGGGATCAAGATGTTTGCCGATATTGTCGAGAGAACGACATCCAGTATCAGTGCGTGAATGGCAGTACCTCTGTGCAAATTGGCTAATGTCCTTATACAGATCATTCTGGACTCTCTCGGGCTCCCCGAACCTTCTTGCGGACGCCAGTATCCAAACAATCGCGCGGGCGAAAGGCTACACTCCAGCTCAAGTCCTCTTCAGGCTTGCGCAGTTGCACGGCATCACTCCACTGTCGGGCACCACCAACGAACGACATATGAAGGAGGACGCTGACGTAGAAAACGTCGATATTCGCCTTGAGGACGAAAATGACGGACAGGTTAAAGCAGCAGTGGATGACATCCGGAAGCTGGTCTGGAGGTTATAGCTTGAACCGTGAGTGGAGAACTGTTTCTATTTTTTGGGTTGCCCTGCGTTTTACTTTACTGACGCATCCATGCCTAGGGTCCTTTCTGCGTGCATGGTATTCAGTCTTCACACGGACGAATCCGCTCAATCTCTTGTTGGTACGTCGTTCATTCCTTACACTCGGCCATTCTATGGAATTTGGATTTGAGAAGACAGTACAGCGATTTACTACTGCCCTCGAAGACGCCCATGACAATTTACACCGTTATGCATCAAATGGGGAGCTCGCTTTGACATCCAAAACTCTGTCGACGACATTCTGCCTGGACAGGAACCGTTCGGATGAATGTTCTGAAATTAAAAAGCGTCGATTGTCTGCGGGATTTGAGCGTTCACACTGTAATAGTGGGGATAGGGCAGCTCAGGGCAGCTCCTGCCATTTTCCATAGGGCGCAGCATTCGTCGTGATGCTAGCAATAAATCCTCCGTATCATCAGATTAGAATGCAGTGAGATATCTGTATACAAGATTCACTTCTAGTGTGCCCATAGATCACTCAAGAAACGACGTCTACGTAGCCTTGGGAAGCCCGTCCGGCCCGAGCAAAGCTTCCTCTGCACCCAACACCCTAGGACCGTCGCCAACCCGTGTATGGATCAGTCCCTTAATAGCCCCAATACCGAATGGTTTCGCGACTGCGGTGTTGAATCCTGTAACGACCTTGCCGTGTACACCCGCAGTGCCGAACAATCCAAAGGGATCCTTAAACGGTTGATCCTGGGGGAAGTAACCGATGATGAGCTCGACGATCTCCTTGAGGTTCTCCTTCGGCGAGTAGATGACAGCGTTGGGACCGGCATCGTACGTGTACGCTGCCTTGATCTTGCCACCGTTCGCGACCGAGACCCGGTTGTACTCGACAATGAGCGCGATGATGGCGCGGGAGACGTCGTTCATGTAGAAGATGGGCGGGTCCGTGTCGAGCGCGACGGCGTGGAACTGGTTCGAGTCCTGCATCGTGGTGCGCGCGAACGCGTCGAAGTCGCGTGCACGGATCGCTTCGGAGATGGCCTGCATGCGTGCGGGGACGACGTGCTTAATACGGTGCTGGAGCAGCGTGGACGTCTCGACGGTGCGCTGCATGCCTGAGGTGGAGGACGTGCCCTTCTTGTCATCTGAGACGACGCAGATGAGGGCATGGATATCGGGCCAGTGTTCGCGGGGTGCGACCTCGATCGCTAGCGAGTCGGAACCGTCTGGCCGCGAGCCCATTTGCCAGGCGACGAACCCGCCGAAGAGAGAGCGGCAGGCAGAGCCTGAGCCCTGCCGCGCGATAATAGAAAGCTCCGACGGGGTACTTGGAAGAGCGTAAAGCGCAGCGAGGGAGGATACCAGGGCGGCGAAGCCTGAGGCGGAGGACGCGAGACCTGCAGCGGTGGGAAAGTTGTTCCGAGAGGATATGTGCACATGGTATGAGGATATCTACGAACACAATACATATGATGAGACAATACGCAGTGAGGAGTGACACACCTTCGGCTGGCTAGGATCTTTCTCTTCCACCTCTCGACGCAAACGCTTCATCTCCTTTATACATGTTGCAAGTCGGCCGCTCTCTTTGATCTCCTCCTCTGCACCATTCAGCCAGAGTCTGTCGTTGTCGAATGATGGATCGGCGCGCGATGTAGTCGTAGAGCGGAGATGATCCTGGTCGAGGGTGACGGAAAGGGACGAGTTGGTTGGCAGGATAAGCTTGGTGTCGCGCTTTCCCCAATACCTGCGGATCCTCAGTATCGACTGCAGTTCCGTCGAAACAACCTTACTTTATGCATGCGATATTTACAGGCGCAGACGCAGTGGCTTGGTAGACAGTCATGGTGGGTGGTGGGCAGGGGGAGAGGATGTAGCCGCCATGAGTTTTTGTCAGAGCTCTAGCGGTATTGCACCATGTCTGAAAATCTCAGATCGTACGGCTTCACCGTCACCATCTTTCGATTATTCCGCCGCAGAACATATAATATCTTCTCAGATCTCCCTCGAACCTCTCGAGCAGCAAATCACGGAGAACCAGGTGCACCCTGCTTTGCGGCAGGGTGAGAAATGGGAACTCCACCGGATGCAAAGATCACTAAAGAGGACGTTGGTTCACTTCACCGTCACACCCTAACATCTCTCGCTCACGATGCCGTCATGCAGATCCAAGTCCCTGAACTCCACGATAGTCCAAGTCCAAAATCTGATCAGATTTTGGACTTGGACTTCACAGTTGGCTCCTATTATCGACCAAATAATGTGATGTTTGACTCGCTGGCGCTCATGCAGGAGGGCGCTATCACATATTTGAGATTAATGCTCCAGGTTATGCTGGCAAAGAAACATAGCATCGGAATTGAAGGGTGAAGTTCTTGAATGAAACCCTGAATCTACCGAACGGAACTTTGTCGATCCCTCCGCCACGTATCCGTTACGTGCTGGTTGTACTGCGTGGTGAGGAGGCGGTATGTACGTTCCCAAAAGAATGGGATGAGAAGTGGAGCAAAATCTTGGACGTGTATGTACAGATCGAGCTCTGAAATGGCTTGTTCGTACGCTCTCGTTGTATGGTATGCCCTTGTACTTGTATCCTGAGTTGATATCCATGCCATTCTCGTGAAGACGTTCAATTGCGAGGTCGTGTGAGGTTACACTCATATCACAGAAGAAAAGCTCAGATGCTACCGAGTCATTGTTGTCCATAACCATCTCACCACAATTCCCTATGTTATCTTGATGATGTCCCTTGGGATATTTGTTGGAATCATTGACTCATGTGTTAGAGTGCACAGTACAACCGTGGGTTACTCCGATAACGACAGTACAAATGATATAATCCTCCAAGGACATTCAGCTCAACTCTCCTCACCCATTTCACTCGCACTCACGTTCACGCTTGCTGTTATATTGCTATTGGCCTTGGGCGACGCTGCCCTCCCAGATGTGCCAGTGCGGTCCGTCGAACTCAGCAAGCTCAGCAAGAAGTTTTGCAGTACCTCATGCTGCGTCCAGTGCCCGCCTGTGGGACTTGGTGAGCCCACAGAAAACGGCGTCGGCAACGGTGCACTCGAGCGCCCTGCGCCACCGGCGGACGGGACAGTGAGCGTCGAGGGCGGGCGCCCCGTTGCTCGGCGCCCAAGCTTCCGCGCGGCGTCCCCGCTCACGCTCATGCCGAGCGCGGCGGTACCGCCGCCAGCACCGCCGACACCGCCCTCCATCTCGGTCAGTGAGTGCTCAACGTTTGGCAGGCTGAAGCTCCTGCTGCCCATGGGCCCGACGATGCCCGCTGCGACGCTCTCGTTCGGATTCCGCAACCTGAACTCGTGCCTATGATAGTAGCCCGCTACGATAGAGCAGTCGAGGGCAGCAATGCAGCAATGGGTGAGACCTACAATCCGCGTCCACAGCTCGTAATTGTCCATCAACGGGAATCCGCAGCGTACTGAGCACATTCAGCATGCCGGAGTGAGTGAGGCCTCTCACGCAGCCTTGAGGCCGTAACTGCGCCACCGAACGCTTGTGTTCAGCTGCCTGAGGGAGCGCAAGCTGGAGCAATGGCGGAAGTCAAGGTCATCGCCCAGACTAAGAAAGGAACGATTGTCTTCCGCTAACTAGAGGCTGTATTTATGAGCCTACGCCCAGACATGGAGACTTGCCTTCTGGTTCTTCAACGTTCAACCCTCGCCAACGTCAGATCTAAGTGAATTATTGTCTTCGCGACTCCTGGAAAACTGGGAAGTAATCTGTAGTACGAGTAACATTCAGGTGGGCTTTCCATTGTTTTCCATCAAGAAGTGTATCTGGTCTGGCATCATTTCCCTCACCGCACCACGCCAAGAAATTTGAGAAAGAAGTCGGGGAGAGGTATACAAAGGCGTCTCGGAGGCTGTGACTCGGAGCAGTTGAGCTTCCATATCGGGGAAGAAATGATTAGTCATCGAGGTGCTTACATTACGCATTCTCTGCTCGTCGACTCTCACAACGACAAAGATCCTACGCTCACTGTGCTTCACGACGACCACGACTTTTTGGCCTACAATCCCTCCTGCTCATCACCTTTACATCTGACTTTGCACTTTGTGGTCAGCTTCCCCACCAGTCTTCAACCGTGGCGACCCTCCACTCCAATGCGATGTACTATCCTCAACAGTCCCCGGGCATCGCCCACAAACTCCCATCTCACCAACATCCGGTACAGATTCATGACCAGTCTCCATGGGCTCGGTCAACACCGCATCCTGGATATGGTCCTCCCAACCATGTACAACCACCTACCTCACCCGCTTACCCCCTGTTCACCAATGGAGCAATGACTGCGATGCAGCACCACCACATGCCGGGTCCCCTAACCCATCACCACCATCACCAGAACTCCCTCTCACATACACACTATCCTTCCCCTCCGAACGCAAATGGTCTACAGGGACATGCTGCGATGGGGCAGAATGGCTCCCCCGGGAGCGTTCAGACGCCGATCATGACACCGCATTGGCAACAACAACTCCTCAAATGTGACGTGAGTACGCACGATGGTTTTTTGTTGTTTTCCACTCATTCATACCGTTAGATGATCCGAGTTTCACGATCGCCCCACCATCGTGCACGGGCGAGTGCGATGGCATCGCGAACAGTTCAGAAGGCGGCCATTCCTATCACAAATCCTAACGCAGTTAAGCCTCCAGACACGAATGGGACGTCAAAGAAGGAGCAGGATGGCGCAGGTTCGTCTCCGTCAAGTGCCTCTAGACCAGCGTCGGAATCATCCCCCACGCCTGCGTCGGGAACCGCCAATCACCCATCTTCTCTTGTCGCTCCCATTTCAGAGGCTTCCCGCCCCACAGCTTCCAAGCCGCCAGAGAACACGTGGAACTCACTGGACATGGGCGGTGTCAACATCAAGAACATTCCGCCCACGTCTGGCTTGTTCTCCTTCACGTTCCTCATTAACCTCTACCTCAATCACAACGCTCTCACGAGAATTCCCCCTGAGATTGCGAAGCTTCGTCACCTTGAGCTTCTCGATCTCTCCGGTAACAACCTCATGACCGTTCCGCCCGAGCTTGGAATGCTAACCTCCTTGAAGGAGCTCTATCTGTTCGACAACCATCTAGCGAATGTTCCCGCGGAGTTGGGCACCCTGCATCAGCTGCAGACTATCGGGATTGAGGGGAATCCGTCGTTCGATGCGAATCTGAAACATATGGTGCAAAGGGACGGCACGCCTGCGCTCATCTCGTACCTGCGCGACACGTGTCCGAGTCCGCCGCCGCCATCTGATCGCGTGTGGAAGAACCTCGTCAGTCAGGCGGAGCGGGACGCAATGCAGGCAGACCCGAACGTCGAGACGTTCAGCGTCTTGTGCTACAATGTTCTCTGTGAGAAGGCTGCGACCGAGCGGATGTACGGCTACACGCCGTCGTGGGCGCTGGTCTGGGACTATCGCAAGGACCGTATCTTGTCAGAGGTCACGGGTCAAAACGCGGACTTCGTGTGCTTGCAGGAGGTGGACAACGCACAGTACGAGGAGTATTTCCTCCGCAATCTGTCGGAACGTGGTTACGAGGGCGTGTACTGGCCGAAGTCCCGATATAAGACCATGAACGATGCAGATCGGCGACTGGTCGATGGGTGTGCAACGTTCTACAAGTCGTCGAAGTGAGTAGTACGCCTCGTGAACCTTCTCATTTTAATGACCTTGTAATGCAGATACACTCTTGTGGAGAAGCATCTCATCGAATTCAGCGCCGTCGCGATGCAGCGATCGGACTTCAAGAAGACCGACGACATGTTCAACCGTGTGCTCGGCAAGGACCATATCGCTGTTGTGTGCCTAATGGAGAACAAGATGTCTGGCACACGGCTCATCGTTGCGAATGCACACATCCACTGGGATCCGCAATATCGTGACGTCAAGCTCGTCCAGGTCGCGCTGCTCCTTGAAGAGGTGGAGAAGATGGCAAACAGCTTCGCCAAATACCCACCACGGTTACCTACTCCTGCATCTGTGACATCACCGGTGAACGGCGAGAATAACGCGTCGTCGCGTCCACCGCCAGTATACAGTGACGGGTCGAAGATACCGCTCATTGTCTGCGGTGACTTCAATTCGGTGCCGTCGAGCGGTGTTTACGATCTCCTTTCCACAGGAAGCGTGCCCCCGACTCACCCCGACTTCATGTCGCACCTGTACGGTAGGTACACGTCCGAGGGGATCAAGCACCGCCTTGGTCTCAAGAGCGCATACGCAACCGCGGGCGAGCTGCCAATGACGAACTTCACCCCGAGCTTTCACGGCGTGATCGACTACATTTGGTACTCGACCGCGAACCTCTCCGTCAATGGTGTCCTAGGAGAAATTGACAGGAAGTATCTTGAGAAGGTCGTTGGGTTTCCGAATGTTCATTTCCCATCAGAGTGCGTGTCCTATGCTTCATTCCAGAGTTTCATTTGTTGATTGTATGCATTTTTTGCAGTCACTTGTGCATCGTGTCAGAGTTCCGAGTGCGGCCACTGCGAGACAATCCACCACCCCGTCCACCACCTGTCTTCCCCGAGTCATCTCGCGTACACACATAGGATATTATGGACTTCTCACATATCCTGCACATCTTCCTCGCATATATTTAATCCTTGTTAATAAGCCGCTGCGTTTGCAGGGCCTTTTGCGCACCATCCTTTCAGTCTCTTGGTCTTCCCTTCCTTCTCCTCCCCTCCCCTCCCCTCCCCTCCCCTCCGGTTGTGATCGTGCAGTTTCTATTTGTTTCCGTGCCTGGGTCGTCTCTCCGTTCTGGCCTGCTTTCTGCATATGTCTGTGTCGTGTCAACCCACCTTGCAAAATCTGTAGCATGTGCGTGTACGGTCTTGTCCAATGAGAAAATATTCTTCAAATCTCTATCTCGTTTTGTCGACTTGTGTGTTTCTGGTGTGGAGTACCGTATACGGCAGTTTACCTTCCCGATATGGATACCGTAGATGATGCATGCCAAGAAGCGGCAAGGGCGGAAGCTCATCCTACGTCACGCGGGTAGCTACCGCATGCAGCGGATCGCGGAAAGGTTTCTCGGGTCCGACAACTTATATAATCCCGGCCGATTTTCAGATAGTTTAACGTCCGCCATGTATCGCTCAAGTTCACTCGCAACCACCACCGTCTCCACCCGCCGCCGTTCGATTTCGTCCGTCTTCCTCTGCTCCCCTGCACAATCATTCTCGACGATGTCTGCTCCCAAGGCAAATACTGAGCCGCCAAAGGGCGTCACCATCATCCGCGACCTCTACAGGATCGCTTCCGGCAGCGACAAGTTCAGGAAGGTGTTGTGGACGGGAAAGCACAGCCAGGTTTTACTCGAGATTAAGCACCGTGGTCACGTCCGCTGACAATCCACCGCAGTTGGTCATCATGACTATTCCTGTCGGCGGTGAGATCGGAGAGGTATTTCGTCTCGCCTTTGGTGGTCGAGGTTAGTAGTCTGACGGGCGATTTCAAGGAAACGCATACAGTCGACCAGCACTTGTACTTTATCTCCGGCACTGCGCAAGCGATTACCGATGGCAATAGGGTTAGTCAAGCCGTTCTCTGTCACAATCCTCCGGGTGTAATGAGAACGTCTATAGAAAGACCACGTTAAGTCGGGAGACACCGTTATTGTGCCTGCAGGAACACTGCACAACGTTTGTTTTTCTTCCCGGCTCTACGTTGCTCGCACTCACCTTCCGTCACAGTTCAAGAATACAGGACCCACCCCTTTGATTGTGTCGACCGTAAGTTCCTCACAAATTTGAAGAGCGACGACTGAAATTGCCCCAGGTATATGCGCCTGCAGAACACAAGGCGGACACTGTGCATGACACGTTGGATCAAGGCGAGAAATTGGAGGATGAGGGAAAGGATGAACCGCCGACATGGGCCACATAGAAGTAAACACGTTAGATCAAGCTTAAGGACTGCTAAATTGACCTGGACTCTTCTGTACGAGTAAAATTGATGTTTTAGTTTATTAGAATCCTTTAGGAAATAGGATCGTCAGAACGCAGTCCACTTCTTGTGGGTCCATGTAGGTCCATTTCGGAAGATCTGATAAGCACGTGCTCGCCCTTAAATAAGCAATGAAGTTCCTCAGAATGAGACTCAGTCCACGTCCGACATTGTGATTTGAAGAACACCCTCCAAGTCACCCTCCGACAAGCATGAAGACCGCAGAGGGCCACACCGATGTCAGGAAATTCCTGATCCGCTGTAAAATTGATCGGTAAGAAAAGACAGCGGCCCAGTAAGAATGGAGCTCAGTGCCAGTGGTGCAGAGAGTTCAAAGGATCCGATAGAATGAGATTTAACGCACGTATGATGAGACTATTCTCGGCATGTCTTGATCTCCCGTATGGATGAAATCTGGTGTGGCACTCTGCATAGCTTCGCCAGTCCGGTGGCAAGCATAAAAGCATCATGCTAGTGAATGGAAACAAAATAAATACCTCAGCTAGTCCACTAGTTCGTCATAAGTGCTGTAAAGGTATAATCAGGCACCCTTGACATATTCGACCAGGGTGCCACGCCCGCAGAAGGAACAGACTGTAGAATCACACCGTTGGTAGTCAACTGAACCTCCGTGCATAGATATTGACTTGCGGTTTGCTTACAAGGGCTACCGTGGCTGTTCGAGTGGCGGTGAATGGGAAAAAGAAAAAAATCTTGATTGTTGACACGGACCAAGATACGCAGATTTGCCAACAATATAAGAATGTGCAGTCCTGTCAGATTATGAGCATGGAGACAACAACGGTTTCTGAGCTTCCTGCGGGATGTGATGCCAATTCACAGGAGTATAAGAGCGACAGCAACAACGACTGACTTGTCTGAGGACTCCGAGATGAAGATCAAGACCCAGCCTGGTCATGGGAGTACCGCATGTTTGAAGCCCAACATACCGCGACAAACTGGATCCATTGAATTTCTAGCAATATCTGTCCACGAAGAATCATAGTTGCACGGCAGCTGGCAAAGAATAATCTTCAAGTTGGGTTTGCAATCAAGTTGACCCACCGTGCCCGGAAAATGCCGACGAATATTTCTGCGCGATCGGAAGGTTCGAACGCGGTTCGAAGTCGTCTGTCTCACTGGAGTTCTCCATAACTCGAACAACTTACTCCTACGTCCAGCTCTGGGCGTACCTAGAAACCCTCAGACGTATCCGAGACTGAAAATTGCTCATGGAGCACGGCATACGTACACCTGGGAACTAGCGACGTCGAAGTAATTCACGGAAGGGTTCCAAGCTGCACGATGTCCATTGGAGGCATGTCATTTGACAAGAGAAGTTCCGAGTTGAAAACAATAGTTACCACTCGATCGCTGAACGTTGAACGCTGAACGTTCTGAACGTTGAACCTTAGTCTTCTTGCATTCTTGGACAAATTGGGCTGCGGCGCGCGACGTAAGTGCCAGTGATTGATGAAGTGACGCCTCTCACGCGCCCACAGTTGAAGTCAGGTATTGTTATAAATTGACGCCATCGCTATCACCATGTGGCCGGTTCACTGAAGCCGTGCCGTGGAACCTTGGGTACTTGAGCACAGTCGGCGGAGGTGGTGCATCTGTGCCTCACTCGGTCATCACTTGTCGGGCTCGTATTTTCTGATGGTTGTGTCTTCTGCAAAGCACGCCTCACGCCGGACTATTGCAGATCATCTTCTCTCTAGGACGATTATGATGCTCCGTGCCTCTTGACAGAAAGGTCCATGAATATGGCAACACCGCGGTTCCTTTTGCTCCTCGAGTTCCCAGGGAGGTATTCGCCCGCCAGTACGTGAATCAGGTGGTACTGCAGTACGTTGTTCTCGCTATCATCTTCTCCTCGATTGTGCCTGCGTTTTTGTGAATTCCCGTAGACACCCGATAACATGATTCTGACCCCAGTAACCGAGCCGACTCTGTACGTGGGCGCGGATGTTGCTATAACGCTGAACCTTCTGGGTCATTGACCGTGGGTTTATAGGTCCGGTGAAATCGACACAAAGTCAATCCGTAACAATAATTGTTGTGTCTTCCGGACCAGACACCATCCGGAAACCTGTATGACCTAGAAACGTGGCAGCGACAAATCTCAGATAGGCTTGGGTGGGCCTATGGACGTTGTCACCTCGGATCCCCGATAGAAACAACGTCGGTCAAATTTGGTCACTAGAAGTGTATCCACGGGATTCAGAAAGCCGTACTCACACCGATAAGCCGGCTGACACCAACGATGTGGGATTATCGGCAGCTCTCGATGTCTAGCGACTAACGTTCCATATGTCCTATGTGCCGTAAGGAGAAGAGCGCCCTCGCGCAGTGAGATGTCCACCTGATGCTATGGTACCAGGCCCACTACGGGGACGGGCGCACACCACCGTAGAACAACGGGAGACCGCAGTGTTGCTCGCGCCTACCTCTTATCACGCTTCATTGACTAACTTCTAAATCACAGGGCAGCTGACCTCCCAACCTCGGGGCTACGGTCTCCCCGGGGCCCCGCAGCATACTGAGAGCGCCATAGCCCGGCAAAGAATGTCAAATTCAACTATAGCATTTACTCAACAATATTGTATAACATCGACATTTGCAAGTACTGTATCACTAATTGTGCAGTCCTTAATGTGGTCGACTCGGAACAAGTTACCGTTTCATAACCATCCAATGAATATTAATCTTGGCATGGATCCTTGTAGTGTTGGCTGGCAGTGCACACACGACGATATGGATTTAACCGATCACTAGTACATTACTGACTATCCAGAAGCTATTTATGCCGCAATTCAAGAAGGTTAAGTGATCTACAGGGCACAGCTCGTCAACGTGCATCGATCATCATGTCTTTGCTGTAGTGCGCAAAGGGATTCTGTAATAGGTATAATGGCTGGGTCGCATTCGACATGAGGTATCAACGGCAGTATGTTGTTCCTCTGAATAAGAGCAGCGAACAGTGAACACAATGTCATGGTGTAATGTAAATATCTGGATCACCATACTGGATTCGAGTGGTGCGAAATGATGCAGAGTTCAACGGTTTCGGTGGAATTCGGTATGTCTACCGCACTTTCCTCGCCATGAGCTGTGTATGGTTGCAAAGCATAAGAGAAATCAGTCGTGACGGAGAGCTGTCCACGTACACGGTTTTTCGGCGTCTCGGAAAGGATCTACTGCACACTCGGCCGGACTACAGGGTAGAGTATTCCCTGTCTCTTCGTGATGAGTTTGAAGGGCAGCAGGTCCTAATTTATGGGAGTTGTAAGAGAAATTCGGAGAGGAAGGGAGATCGGCACCTTACCGCGCGGTGATGTCGATGCATCCGTAGTGCTCGTCGTAGTGCTCGTTACACTTGCTGCTGCGAGATTGTCAGAGCCACCGTACGACTCGTCACGGCAAGTACCATACCCGTCTCCTTGTTCTGAGAATTCTGAGAATTTCCTAGTCGTCGTACCAGCAAAATATTGCTCCTAGCTTGTTGAGAAGATTTCTGCTGAAAGCCCTCAGAGGCGGAAACAGCAGAACTATGAACATCACGACTTACCTTCGTATCATAGTATTAAGTTCTCACATCGCTCTTCCATTGAGCGATCTCCTTCCGGTGTTGAAAGGATCCGAGAAACATCGGTGCACCAAGGGTCTCGCGCGCTTTCTCTGCGCTGACGCAAGAGTCAAGCGCAATCTTAAAAAGTTCAGCTGTGACTCACGTGATGTACCTGTCGTGGAGAGTTGCATATTCCGTAGGTAATATTTTGTCCTGGCTGGCCTCTAGGTAATCGAGTGTACCGTCTTGGTAGATTTCACCTTTCATCAGCCTCTCATGCGGCAACTTGTTCCTGAGTTTGTCGTATGCCGAAGGGAGAATCCTTCCTACAGTGACGATATCTGCACCAGCATCGAGGATATTCAGCGGACTCATGACTGCAAAGCAAATCGAGGGGAGAAAGTGTAGACTGATGTCTGAACCTTCTCAGTGCCTAGTTTTAAATCTGCATGTCAAATCGCGGTTACATGTTTGGAACAATAGCACCAAAACCAGGCTCCCTTTCGTCTGTCATACGCCGTATCTGGGAACCTGTAGACACGATTCAGATGGACATGAGAACGACTTCGCGACTCGGATGCATACTAGGCTTTGTATTGTTGGGATGATCACGCTTGGCAGTCCAGACGTCAAACAGCGCTGGACTTCGCCCGTTCAACCGGCTAGCAACATGTCAAAATTTCCCGTCCTAACCTCTGTCAACTCGATAAGGCAAAAACGTTACAAAGCTGTATAATGCACAGTCTCTGGGCACACGGGGCTTGAAGCTTGAAGGAAGACAAAGAGAAGTGTGACCGTGATGTACTTCGTGATATTGTGACACCCTGTCACGTTGTGGTGTCGACCTGGAGTACAATAAGTTTCGCTTTCGGACTTTGTTCGTAGTCTTGACTGTATACTCGTAGGACTTTGGTACGCCCTCTGAAAATCTCTCTTCCTTAAATTCATTATTTTTAGTAGCATGTCGCATCCAGACGACAATCGAAGCGGCGAAGCGAGGCCAGATACATCCAACACGTCCGTGACGGTCGCTGGCGGACTGATGAAAGCAGAGTACTTTTGGAGGAATCGTCAAGAGTGGCTTCAAGAACACGGTTACATGCTCCGCCCTAGATACATGCCAAACTGGAAGCCCTCTTGGCAGGGTAGCAAAAGGTCATTCTTTAGATTTGAAGACGCTGTGGGAATGGGTGTATGTCGTGCTCTATCATTTTCTTCTTGGCTGCTCATGAATTGTGCGCAGAATAGTCACATTATGGATGCTACTCGCTTGTCGGACGGCAGGGTCGTTACGCTCAAATCCATCTCAAAATCTATCCATCCATATGAAACCACGATTGCTCAGAATTTCTCGTCTCAACCGCACTCTGGCGACCCACGGAACCACTGTGTTCCTGTTCTTGAAGTATTACAGGATCCTCAAGACGCAGACATCGACTTAATTGTGATGCCGATGTTGAGACCTTACAATAATCCCCGTTTCAAGACGGTGGGCGAGGTTATCGACTTCTTCGGACAGATATTCGATGTAGGTCATGTCTGTTTTAAGCTGCTGTCATACTGACTTTCTTAATTGTTCAGGGCCTCCAGTTCATGCATATTAACCGTGTCGCTCATCGGTAAGCTATCTCCCTCGTTATTCCGTCTGAGGCTCAGATTCCCGCAGAGATTGCATGGACCTCAACATCATGCTCGATCCTATAACCATGTATCCGAACATGTACCACCCTCGCCGCATCAATCAAAAACGTGACCTAAGCGGTACGGCCAAGCACTACTCGCGTACAGAGCGCCCTCCTCAGTATTATTTAATCGATTTTGGGCTTTCTCGCAAGTACGACTCGGACGATCCTCCAGAAGAACTTCCTATTCTTGGAGGGGATAGATCAGTCCCTGAATTCCAAGACGAAGGATATAATCAACCATCTAATCCCTTCCCTACAGACATCTACTACGTTGGAAACCTGATTCGGGAGGACTTCTTGCAGGTAAGTTGCTTTGCTTTGAAGTCTGCGCCATGATTATGACCACACCGTTATATGTCAGGTATATAGTGGATTTGATTTTATGGAGGCACTCGTAGCCGATATGGTCCAGACGGATCCGTATAAGCGGCCCTCTGCAGACCAAGTTGTCACGCGATTCGATTCGATTCGGGGAGCTCTTTCCTGGTGGAAGTTACGCGCCCCGGTCCTGAAGAAGGATGATCCCGCCCTTGTGAGATTTGTCATTAGCATCGCGCGGGGATTTACAACAATTGGCTATATCGTGCGAAGACTACCGCCAATTCCCACATCTGAGCCCATTTCCACTTTTCCTACTCGTACATGATCACCGTCTTCTTCTATGTTCTGTAGCCACCGTAGTAGGTTGATACCCTGTTGATATTGTGACCGTCCATCTATCCTAAGGATTCCTACCCATCTCGGCATATTTTCCCTATACTCTGAGTACTTATCTTAAGCTTCAATGGTAAGAGAATGATGCAACTCCATTACGGAACAGGCCTTTGTTGGTCTGACATCCTTTTTTTCCGGGTCATTCTGTCTGTCTATATCACGGCCACTGGTACCAATGCCATTGTGATTACGTACGGTCAAGGAGAAAAGTGTCTACCACTGGCCACCCAAGACATTTCACGGGAATATTCGGGTTTTATGCATCGATGGGATACTGTCCGTCGTATGATCATCAGAGCTGACAATGGAGAAGAAGAGGAAGAACAATAACAACAACTTGGACAAGAAAACCGAACGGCTCGAGTGACTCGTGCTACCATTTCGAAGTCATAACTAGCTTCTGTGGAATGTGCACATTGAATTCACGTCCCTGCAGTGTCGGCGTATTCCTGTAGGCAATACAGCTCTGACCTCGAAACCATCATGGCCCAACAGGTGACCACAACGTACCTTGTTGTATTCATGACTGTGACAGCTTACGTGTGTTGTTGAGGAGGTTGACAGATTCTTGGCCGTTGCGCAGGTAGTCCGCCGGGTGACTCTTTTTTCCTTTTGCTGCTGTCGCTGCTTATATTCAAAGAGCGCGTGTAACTAATAGTTGCTGTTCGCATCTTGAAAGTGGGTAAGTACGATGAAGAGAACTGTCCCAAGCGGACGTCCACATAAACGCGGAGTTGCCGCGCAGATCACCGGAAAAGGCGGCATAGTCGAAGAGTACCTAGCGATTATCCACATACCGTCTCACCGAGAGCAGTAATTCTTTCGTTCCCGCTACGTGCCAGTGCTCAAACACTCACTTGCACCGATCCTTCCCGACACACCAGAAGTTCAAACGTTCAGACTTTATTGTTGCCCAAAGCATCGTGTTAGGGCTGGTGGTTTCCCAATCAGGAAACATATATTAGTCAGCACATAGGTATGTCGGAGAACATACTGGAATCTCCTAGAATTACTGTGTAGTATAAATATATGGCCCCAACCGCATGAGCCCCTCATGCGCTTGTGACCCATGGCCTAACAGCCGAGTGAGTAGTAGTGATCAACCTCACAATACAAGCGCATACCTACTATTCACGCCGCGGGGGATAGTTTGTATACGGCCCGATCTGGTAACAGAGTGTACCGCGAAAGGTCGCCGAGGCCGTAGGCGCGTAGGAGACTGTACCGTGATACGGGTAGGACCCCGCGAGCAGGTCAAGTCGAAAGTCTTCGCAACTAGGCAGGGTCGCCACTGCCGGAGTTGGTGAAGCATGGCGGCAGGGTATACTGGCATTTAGCATATGTGCAGAGAACCCTTGGAGCCAGGTGCAACTGAAGACAGTGTGCAAATGGCGAGCCGAACGTTACGCGTGTGTCGCGGACGAGGGGCAGAGTTCCCGAATTGGAAGGATCCGTGGGAATACTGGAGCATCAGCTCTGTTGTCGTGGTCGAAGGATCTGGTGAGATGGTAGCATTGGCTCTCTTGTCACGAGCATAGGGCTCCCACAACATTTGGGGTATTCAGGGTCAAAAGGAAAAATATATTGGATGGCATAGGAGATGCCAGGATTGAGGGGGGAGCACAGTAAGGTGTTTCCAGATTGAGGGGGAGTGTTAGGGCTGGTGGTTTCCCAATCAGGAAACATATATTAGTCAGCACATAGGTATGTCGGAGAACATACTGGAATCTCCTAGAATTACTGTGTAGTATAAATATATGGCCCCAACCGCATGAGCCCCTCATGCGCTTGTGACCCATGGCCTAACAGCCGAGTGAGTAGTAGTGATCAACCTCACAATACATCGAACCAGACTCTAGGACGGCGCTACTGACCTTCTCGATTTCGATCAGTTTCGGCTATGCGTATCTCCATTCCGAGCAAGCAGTTACAGCAGCAAGGACAAACGAACTAACTGAACTCTCAGTAGAAAATGGCCAAGAAACTGATAATCTCTGAGGTCAGCGACATAAAAAACTGTTGCATTCATCAGGACAACGAGCTATGTTATGACAGTTCCCAGTCGAACTCGCCTTGTCCGCAAAATCAGCACAATCCATGGCGTTCGATGAATTTCGATGAATGGTACAACCCTATTTGAGGGGGCCCGTCCAACCGCACTGAGCCATCAAGTATGCAGACTTGGAAGTGTATGCGATCCCTAGCACGGGTTGCCACAGTTTGTTGATAGCAAATTTCGAGTCGTCCAACATGAGCATGCCAGCAAGATCGAGGTTTGGGAACGAGTCGCGGACGAATTTCGCCGACTTCATGCAGTCTTTGACAATAATGGCTCTATTCCGGAGATTCAACCGGAGCAACTTGTCCGACAGGACAGGATAGCTCGGCTGGTTCGGGAGGGTGCGAAAATCGACATCCGGGAGGTCAAGCAGGACTAAATTCGGACAGAGCCTGAATAGTTCTGGTAGGCCCTCTGCGGTGAAACCCGAGTCTCTGTATCCACTGCGACCCGGTGCGCAGAGCCATAGCCGTTGCAATTTCGGCCACGCCGATCCGATAAGGCGAAAATCACCGTTCGACATCACCGCGGGAAGACTCGTGGATGCGATGAGGAGGGAGACATCTTCTAGATCGTGCAGCACGAACAGAGGCTCCACGAGCTTTGTCAGGAGGACAGTCGGTTCCGGCTGAAAGCAGATGAAGTCAAAAAAGTCGATAGTACGAAGCAATGGGAATTTGTTGGCAATCATGGTGAACAACGCCTGAGAGACATCTGGGAGCACGAGGGAAAACCACGACTGGAAGCGAAAGGTACGCAGGTGCGGAATGGATACAGTGGTAAGGAACCGCGTGGAAGGCTCCGGAGAACCGAACACAGTGAGGCGTACCAAGTGTGGGAATTCGACGGCCTGTATGACACTTGCGTCTGGGAGTTTCACATTTATAGACAAATCAATAAGCTGTTCCATCGTGGATAGCGCTCGCAAGCCATCAAAATCAATGAAGTTATTTCCAGAATGCGGCCGATTGACGAGCTGCAGCTTGCGTAAACGTTTCCACTGGGTGATGGCCGGCCATTGGACAGCACGAACGAGACCAAACATACTGAGTATTTGAAGTTGAGGTGCTGAGGAGCATATAGATTGTAATACAGACTCCAGCGCAGTGTCTCGGCCTGCAGACCAATTCGCAGTGTACGCAGGTGTGAGGTAAAGTATGAGGCTACGCAGCGATGGTGAAGTGATAGCGAGCATGCTCCAGTCTGTTACACACCATAAGTCCCATTGGAGCTCCTCCAATAGTGGTAGAAGAGGCTGACGACGGTTACGGATGAACAACTTCGAGAACTGCGCAGGATTTACTGGAGCCTCGACGACACGCAGAGCGCGTATATGCATGGCATGATACTGAAAGCGCGTCCATTGCTTATCCGAAATCTTGCCACGGATTGCCTGGTACGGGGAACGTCTGATAAGATGTTAACATGTTGCGGAAACACGGAAATAGACCTACAAGAACCCTTCCACTGTGTTTGTCTGCATTCTTCGGGTAATCTGTATCTTCGCCAGCATGCTCCTCGTCTTCGTCATCCGGATCCGAATCTCCACCTTCTACAACCTCTACGTCATTCTCTCCATGCTCGGAGCCATCTCCTCTGTCCTCCTTACCATCCTCTTCATTTCCACTTCTGTCCCCCTGTTGTCTGTCTCCGTCGTCGTCCTCACTGTCCTCCAACGGCTCATCCCTCGAATCTTGGTTCGAGGTCTCCTGGGGCCCCTCTTTGCAAGTAGAAAACAGCGACAGCAAAGGTGTCACGGTCTCCAATTTCCTCCACAGACCTCTCAGTGCTGGCTCAGAGAATGACTTGCAGACGCGAGCACAGGCGACGAGCGCCTCTTTTGAGCCTTGCAGTTCGGGAGACACAGCAGCCAACGTTTCCAAGTAATCCTCCGTAGGAAATCCTTTCTTGTTCATCTTCATTTTGAGATGGTATTCTGCAGAAAGGTTGCCGACGATTTCTCGAACGATATCGTCATTATAGAGCGCTCTGTGGGGCATGCCTTATGTGATGTCGCGTAGCCGGAGGATTATGCGGAGTTGAGATGATTCCTACGCTATGTATGAACAGCAAGCCTTCGACTATGATGTGATCAAATTGCTGCAAAAAAGTCGTCACATACTGGAGTGATAACAGAGAAACTAATTAAGCTCACGATGTTGCACCGCGACAGTGGCGTCATGCGTCTCCTACTCAACTCGGACCGCCTCAGCCTTAGGTAAACATCAAAAGGCAGAGAGCAGATGCAAGATTATGTATGTAGTACAGTGTGCGAGATCATGTTACGGTTGGCGTTCAGACCTATTATGCAGCAGCCTGAGAATGGAAGACACCGGTGATTCGGCGCTCCGAATTTCTCGGCGTTGCTATACCAGTCTTCGTACCTTGGCGTGCTATTGTACAGGCTTCAGGTTTTAAAAGGCTTCTACATGTACAACTGCCATGCGCTGCAGCTTACCGTATTCCATTCAATCACCCAGCCAGGGTGGGGCGACAATTTACTACACCGATCGCCTTAAAATTAAAGGCGAGTGTACTACTAGCTTCAGCTGACAGCATCGTCTACTCTAGCACAAAGTTCTATGGTCTCCTCGCAAACAAGCGTGGCGCAAGATCTTTCACCGTTGGTTCCAGGTGGACTCCATCCAGGAGAATACTTCGTGAGAGACCACCAGAGATGGCTGGAACAGCGTGGTTATATGCTCCGTCCACGATACAAGCCAGACTGGGTGCCTTCCTGGGAAGGGACTGATACGCCGTATTGGAGTTGTGAGGATGGAAATATGCTTATTGTATGTTTGCATGATCGTATGGATTGAACAAATGTTGAAACGGTTACGATCAAACTCTAGACGCAACGCGGATATCTGACGGTGTCATGGTTCTACTGAAGAGAATTTCAACGTCGATTCATCCTTATGAGATAGAAATTGGACAGTTTTTCTCATCTGAGCCATTGGCCTCCGATGCGCGAAATCACTGTGTCCCCATCTACGACGTTTTGCGTCTTCCTGACGATGAAGACATCGCCTTGCTAGTAATGCCGTTATTGCGCGGATACAACGACCCTCGCATACAGACTATTGGTGAGGCGGTTGACTTCTTCAGGCAAATATTCGAGGTGTGTTCGCATTAGCCACGGGAAGTACATTCTTGAAATCTTTGTCTTTCTTTCACAGGGCTTGCAGTTCATGCATGAAAATCATGTCGCACATCGGTATGTCCCTCCGCTCCCTTTCGAACACAAGATCTGAAGTTACTTCCAGAGACTGTATGAACCTCAACATTATGATGGATCCAAAACCATTGTATCCGAATATGTTCCATCCTCTTATCCACTTCGCCACCCGCGACTACATAGGAACAGCGAAACATTACACTCGCACCGGATGTCCGACGAAGTATTACTTGATCGATTTTGGTCTATCTCGTCGATTCCATCCCGATGGTGGCCCTCCTCGGGAATATCCAATCTTCGGAGGCGACAAAACTGTCCCCGAATTTCACAAGTCAGATGAGCCGTGTGACCCATTTCCTACGGATATCTATTACCTTGGCAATCTGGTCAGGGAAGACTTTCTCCAAGTGCGTTCACTCGAATCCTATTTTCTAATATTTCAGCGTTTGAACTTACATTCTCCAGCCGTTCCACGGTGTGGATTTTATGCTCTCGCTTGCCAGTGACATGGTCCAAGACGAACCAGAAAGTCGTCCCACAATTCACCAAGTTGTGTCGTGTTTCGAAGACATTCACAATAGCTTGGGCTATTTGCAGCTTCGGTCGAGGCTAGTGGGAGTGAATGAGCCTCTCATAGTGCGCATCTTTTTTGGCATCAGACACTTCTTTAGAACGGTCGGTTATGTCCTGACCTGTCGCTCTGCGATCCCCTCCCGGTGATTGTTGCATTGCCCATGCTGTCATCTCGCTCTGCCGAGTCCTCACCGTATCCAGTAGTTTACTCCGCATACGTCAAGTTTCAACTACCCTACCCCAATCAGTCGCAGTCTGGCCACGGAACCTGGTGTTCCCGCATAACGATGCCTTGTTGATACGAATTACCTTGCACTTGATACTAAACTGCACAGTAATTTGTACTTGTGGAAGATCTCTTTTGAGTTTTTTATATGGAAGACCAGTAGATAGATAGAATTTTGCGGCCCGTTGAGAGATACCAGACAGTTGAGGGTGCCTACTCATCAAACAAATATTGGCTGATCTGAGTTCGATTTCTGCAGTATTCCCACCAGCGTGAAGTGAGAGTGTCAGGCTTGTCGTTACCGTAGAGCAAGATACCCAGGTCAGAGACTGGGGAAAATGACCTGTGAACCTATTCGCGTTTGCAACACTGACAGGTACAGGTGCCACGGTTATCGAGCAATGACACACTCGGGTGAATATCAGTCGGAAAATATTGCGTTCTCAACTACAACAAGAACAGTGGTATATCGGTTTAGGGCGAGTGAGTGTCTGTAAGATGTACTAAAACGTGCGGTAGTCAGGTATTGAGGGGACAGGATATGCAGTTGCGAGAAACTAGGATAAAGAATGATCACCATATAAGTCTCTGGGCACATACAACACTCCACTCAGGCATTCCTGACAACGTCCGACCCAGGGGAGTGAGCGTTTGAGAAGATTCAACAGAATCAGACTCACAGGCATCCTGTTCTTCCCATGGATTGTTGTATAATACATCTATTTGACTGGTAGTCATCCTGACATCTCTGCCTACCAAAGTAGCCTCATCGTCAGAGTCTGGATAGTGATACTGTGAACAGGCGAATGGATCGTATGTGCGACACTTACCAGCCGAACCCTGCGAATCATCGCCTGGGGCACCCTGCAGCGAGCGCACAGCAGGCGCTGTGACAAACTTAGCATCCCTCTGGTCTACATATGGAAACGCACATACCGGTACTTCGAGCACGATTTACGACCTTCCCAAGTCGGTTGCTCCTGGCGATATCGGAAGAACGCTTTCAGAAGTGAACTGCAAGTTAGTAATTATTGTTGAGAATATCTTCGGTGTCACACTTACTTGGATGTTGTATTTCAGACTTGCACTATCTCTTGCAGCGTAGTGAGCATCTCTCTGATTCAGCAGCGGCTTGAACATATTTGTTGGGTGTTTTCTAAGTTTTAGAGGACTCTTATAAACCGATTCAACCCGATCCACTTCGCACAGCAACCTGAAATTTCAGATGTCAGTCTATCATGTCACACTGCGGAACCTACAACAGCGGCTCACGAATTATGATCGGAAAGCAGGGTCCTCAATATTTCACTAGACATGTCAGGCGCGGCCTCGTCAAGTATGTTCATGCCTTCATGTAAGTTCCCCCTAGCCTTATGGATAGAATTCTGTGTGGAGAACTTGGAAAGACACTTGAGGACGCTGGCGCCCCCTGTAGCGGTAATTGTGATGTTAGCTGCGTCGGTGGTGATTTCCTGAAGAATATCAGCCATTGTAGGATGACAACAAGTGGCAGAAGGCGGCTTACTCGTAATCTCACCGTGAATCCGAGCAACTTAAAGCGACCCCATTGTCACTTCTGGTACCTGCATACCTGGAACAGAACAATGTCATCTTCATATGCTACAGTCACAAAAGTTGCGACGGACACACTGATATCATGTTGTGGATCCATGTCACTGCATTTGCAGGCTCTGGCCGCCAGGTAAAAATCATTGTCCCTCATTCAGCAACAATATTAGAACAACAGGTGGGAAGGGTCACTACGGAGGTGAGTGCTACGATCAGTCGTACTCACGTCAAGATCTGGCGCTTCGTGACATAACGCTCTTGCGTGACACAAGTAACGTACGCTCGATCGAACGTGTCTATTGTCTGCAAGTTCAACTTCTGTACTCGCACACATCGCCACGACCACTTGAACAATGACCTCAATCACAGAGGTTGCAAAAGTCGATCTTGCGTCCATACCTATTGTAGGTCCTGGCGAATTGCGACCAACTGAGTACTTTTGGCGCGATCTCCAGCCATGGCTCGCAGAACATGGCTATATGCTCCGCCCTCGTTACAGACCTGGCTGGATTCCGTCTTGGGAGGCTACTGGTCTTTACTATCGGAAATGTGAAGACGGAATTACAATCACGGTATGTCCTCTATGATCTCTGGCACCGAACATCTTGTCGAATTCCGTGTTTAGTATCCTCAGGTCCTAGATGCCACACGAATCTCGGATGGTGAGATCGTTGCCTTAAAAAAAGTGTCGATATCTCTTCATCCTTATGAGGTCGAAATTGGTCACATTTTTTCGTCCGAACCTTCGTCCCTGGATCATAGGAACCACTGTGTTCCGATTTATGAAGTACTGCAGGTCCCAGACCAAGATGATATCGTACTTCTGGTGATGCCTCTGCTGCGGGATTATAAGGAGCCCAGGTTCCAAACCGTTGGAGAGGCAGTGGAATACTTTCGGCAAGTGTTCGAAGTACGCTTCGTATTTTTAGGCCGAAACTGCATGAAATCAAAGGCAAATTGAAATTTTGTCGGCTCTAGGGTCTGCAGTACATGCATGAACATCATGTCGCTCACAGGTGTGTTTCTCACAGTCTCGTCTCTATCACGACTGAGTGTATTTCCTCAGAGACTGCATGGATCTGAATATCATGATGGATCCAAAGCCTCTCTATCCGAGGTTGTATCATCCACAATCCGATTTACAGTCGCTCAAAATGGGGAAATTGGCGAAGCATTATACGCGCACAGCCCGACCAACGAGATACTACTTCATCGACTTCGGCCTCTCTCGAAAGTATAACCCTGATGACGGTCCTCCTCGAGAGGACCCTATCTGGGGAGGCGATAAAACGGTTCCTGAGTTCCAGACATCGGATGATCCATGCGATCCGTTCCCAACTGATATCTACTACCTGGGCAACATGATACGGGAAGATTTCCTCCAAGTGCGTAACTCTATGTTCTCCTTGTCTCTCGTTCTAACGATGTGAAGATCAGCCTTTATTTGGTGTCGAATTTATGAAGCCACTTGTCGATGACATGGTGCAGGATGATCCGGCCAGACGGCCTACCATCAATGAAGTCGTCACGCGGTTTGAAGAAATCCGTAGGAAACTTGGATACTGGAAGCTTCGTTCGAGGCTTGCCGAGAAGGACGAAGACAGTGTCATACGCACATACCGACGTGTCCGGCACTTCTTCCGCACAATTGGTTACATTGTAACCTGGCGCTCCCCCATGCCCACTCCTTGACGTACTTTTTCGTCCATGCTGCTGTCTCGCTGTTTGCTGGCGTTTTTATCGCTATCGGGTTATCGTACTGTGTTACTCACTCCATTACATACCGTCCAAATATTGCTGTGGTGCTGTCCTTGACTCCATACATACCCGTCCTTGCTATTTGTATCCCTTTATACCAAGGCAGTAATTCCCCTTTTCTTGACACTACTGCCGCGAGAGTACAGAGGACCCCCGACAATTGGGGAGGATCCCTGAGCCGATTTCGGACAAATTTTGGACTTTTGAGAGCGCCATCCCTGATTTTTCACGGACAAATCAGGGGGTCAACCCGTGGATGGCCTGAGGTTTTTCACGGACAGACGTACCGGACATCATGAATGCCTGATCCCCCTCCGGACAAAGTTCGACCCCGGCCGAACCTATCTACGTATGAGGCCGGCACCGGGGCGGAAGGGGGCTCGGACTTACTACTGCCTTCAAAGGCTCTCTAGGTGCTGTCTGGTCGCACAGACACGCCGCTTCGAAGTTTGTAGTTGACATCTCAGCAGCCTCACATAAGTGCCTTCCTGAAGATGGAAACTCGCTAAGAACAGTAGAAGGTGCTTACCTTATGGTGTCACTATCGTAGTAGCCTTGAATTCTGTCTCAAGTAATAGACAGAATGTGTTACACAAAGGAGCATGCTCATTCCTTCATTCTCGCAAAGCGGTTCTGAAATTTGGAGCCTCCCGACTCGGGCCTGATTCGTGAATACGGACAAAATTGGAGCCTCCTGAGGCCTGATCTGGGAGCCCGGACATTTCTGTGATGAAGGGATGCCTAGTCCAAAACCCGGACAAATTTGACCTCCGAGGGCCGGAGGCCTGGTTTTTCGCGGACATTTCAGGCCAGAAATCGGCTTCTGCGAACGGACATTTTGGGCTCCTCAGGATCAGGCATTTCCACCAATTGTCGGGGGTCCTGAGTACAGGTGGCCGTCACGCACGTTACTATGCAGTCACGCACAAGTTCCGATCGAGGCGCGGGGATATCGCGGACCCACACGGGGACCAACGAGCGCCGTCCTGTTGGCGCTCGTTCCGATACACACAACTTGAACGTGAATGCTGTTTGTGCAAATTCCTGGTTGTCGTGGACATCCGCACGTTGTTCCATTTGCACAACCTTCTTTCCAGGTGGGACCTCTTTCAATGGCAGTCTCCTAATCGATGGTCAGCTCACCTTTCTATTAGTCTCATCTATTCACGGCCCGTCATGCACCACTGGCAACGCGGCAACCCTATCACGACGGGAAGAACATGCCCCAAATCCCATTGCGGAATTCCGGGCGACGCTTCTGGAGTATGGCAAACTGTTGTACGGCATCGTGGCAATTTTCACAGCCTTGGCATTGTCTTTGGTGGCAGTGCAAATTTCTTGAATGACGCCGTGATCTTGACGCGGACGGCCTTATATTCTGTGCCATCTCTTAAAATACTGACCGTGCTTGTCTCCAGCCTCAATGAAATTGATATATACCCCAAACGCCGAAGCTAAGATCCGTATTTGGACTCTAACCCGAACGCAACAAGAAGAGCCGTCCACGATCCGTGAGTCAACAACAGTGGATGATAACTCTCTCGACCGGGTGCGTGGGATATATTCATTTATCATTCCGTTACTCTCGACCCGTCGAATTCGAGCCCTCTACCCTGTGCGCCTCTCACCAGAAGTGCTTCTATTTGCCATTGCACAGTGATTACTCGACAATGCCTCATGTACAGGTTCTCTGTTTCTATGAATGTCTTCAATGCCTTCTGGACACATCGGACTCATTGTCCACCTCGTGTATTCGAGGGCGTCGACATTCTCGTGTCTACAATTAAGCTGACCTCTCTGCTCAACGTGTATGCATGGTATGATCGTTTGGCTAGCGAGTCCACTGCAGTCTGCCTCAGACTTTGATAGCGTGATTTGTCTAGGGGATAATGAGCTTCATAGCCTGAATTGTCTCTCGGTCGCATCTTACATCCTGCTTTCATTCGTGTTCAAACTCGACTACAATCCACTTTCTGTTTCCTCCCGGGAACTCTTATATCCATTAATCAGTCACGATGAGTACTCCCTTGGTGTCACTACTCTACTCACCGCTTCATCAGCCGCTCCTTCCAGGCTGCCGCGCCCCATTGCCCCCGCAACCTGTATCTTAGCCATCGCCTGTGCCGTTACTTACTCTGATCTGGCTTTGCAATGTAGAGCGGCTGCGAGGCGGTCAACTGTGAGAAAATCAGCAGCGTAGCTGGCATCATCCCAAGACTTTCCTTCCCATCCTCTGTGAACAGGACCCGCCATGGCCCGTTCCTTCGAGGCCGATCCGGCCGCGTGCTCGGCGCCCGCTGACTTCGTAAGGACGCTGACAGTATCTCAGGCGTTATTTCACTTCCTGCACGAGAAAGGTGCCTCATGGGTGTGCATACGCAGGCAGCTTGGCGATCAATCTCTGGCCAATCCGCCCTCATGCAGGACGACCCGATCATGGCACATTTGAAGATGAGCCCGTGATAATTGACGCAAGGAGCTTCGATTTCCAGCGCTCACATCTTCCTTCCCCAGAATCAGAACTACTTATGTTCTATCGATCACTTTACAAGGGAACCAGCTGATACAAGCGGCGAGGAGACCGTCAACTGGAAGGTAGTCCGCAGTATTACCGGCACTGTCAGCAAGACACTGCTCCAACTTTTGCGCGAAACGACCATGTCATGGCTGGCGCCTTTGAAGACAAGTTGTTGGCTCTTAGCGACAGCAGCGAGGCCATCAGCTGGTTCAATGTTCGGTACAACGCCAAGGAATTCGGGGATGGGTCAGCTCCACGCCGTGAGAGAAGAGATTCTGGTGGTGCAGGGGACGAGTGGAGCGGGATGATCAACTGGCGCAACGCTGGCCACGTCAAGAAAGCGGTCTCACGTTGAATGAGCTGGATTGAGCCTGTCGGCTCGTCACTTTCCGCGATGTGGATAGTTTTGTTGTACTACTAGTAGCTGAGTTGCACAATATGAAATACTATGTGTTTGGCTCAAGGACTTGAGGAAGCCGCAGCCCAGCTGAGGGCCAATCCATTTAGCATTTACTAACCTTACACTAAACGTCAACAATTTCCATGTACTGCGAGATGTTGTACGAGTATGTTTTATATTCGTCGAGCTGTGTACATCCGGACGTCTCAGTATGAAGTGCGTTGAACGAGAGTGGATTCTGCAAGCTATCCCAAGTTACAGAGTTTGGAAGAGGTATTACTATTCCCCAGGGATCTAGGAGACCGGCTCCCCGCTACCACAGCATGCATATTCTCATGTCTTAGATTGCGATGCTACCTCTGAGGATCCGGACTCGCCGTCTAGAAGTGTACATGACAGAATTATTATTTTCCGTTACAATGGATGCTGAGTATGACAACAGAACGTACCTTGTTGCCAAGGATTAAATTCCAGTATCTCGATCAAGGACGCTACCGGTCTCGATTCGTTGGTAACTCCATCGTTCGAGCCTATGAGAACCTCATGTTTGAGTTTAACAGCGCCTGAATCACAACACAACTCACTATCAACGAGAGTTATGCTACTTTCTCCGTTATTGTTCTCAGACGATGTCTCAGATGGCCCGGCCACTTTAGCAGGGGGACTTAAAACCATGGACCAGGTGGTTAACGTATCTATCATAGGTCAGTCCACGAAATGGAGATATGGATATGGCGTCGAGTACCTGACTTGCTAAACTTCCTACCTCGTAGTGTGCCCTTAATCACTTTGAATCTAGCAATACTTGATGATCGCTGTGACTTGGCATGAGCCATATTGTGAACGCCACTGATATCTCCGAGTAAAGAATACCTGGGTTGCACAGAGCAGCTTACGACTTTGGGCGTTGAACGCTCGTGCCTCTTGGTTAAGCACGATCGGTTGCACAAATATTTCATGTAGATTGAACCGGAACTTTGCCGCGACAGATTTCTCAAGCTGGTCGCCACGTAGCAATAATCTGAACATGAAAGCATCAGCTGAGAACCCGCCAGAGGAAGTTATATACGACTTGCATCTCGTGCTTGCTTGTCAAAATATAGGTGTCTTCTTCCGGGATGGGTAATCCCTCGCTGAGGGCCCGGTGAAGGATATCCAGAGCATCGCGTAGTGCGTCCTGACCACCCTTGATCTGCGCTGCTGTGCTAGGGTTATGCGCTTCATATAACTTGTAGATGGTGTTAGCATTGATTCCGGTGACGATGGTCCAGTTGGCCACGTCAGTGATTACCCGCTCAGCGAGTTCGACGCCAACCATCCTAGTAGCAAGAGTTCTAGCAGTAAACGTGGAGTGAAGGACTCATCTCGCACCGCCCGTACTTAAGGTGTTCGTGTCAGCATTCCGTGTGAAAGTTTCCCGCCTGGTGTATCGATGTTTTCCAGTTCACAAGTGTTGCCTTGTGGGTACATGCCACAATCACCGTCCGACCATTGCACCGCCCAAGTCGATGATGATCGGGAACGTGCATCATGGTCGGACCTGACATATTCGAATAGATTGCGATGGTCATGTGCATCGCATCAAGAGCACAAGGACAAACCCTGACAACAACATCGAATACACGTACTAGTGGCAACGCCGTATTGTGTGCTTTTGTTCTTCGCTTGGTGTCCGTCAGTACTTGGGAAAATTCGAACCATCAAGCGCCGCGACGCACATACCTCTCCTTCGTTCAAGACGGACTCAACCAAGCGTTTTCTGCAGCCCTTCAGCTTGTAGGTGAGTGTGCCACCAAGTGACTCACTGCAGCGTGACATAGCACTATCCTAGTTTATGTCATGACATCCCCGGGAGAAAGCGCTGCGCGAGATTTTTCGCACTTGGTTCCCGGTGCACTCACTAAACAAGAGTACTTCTGGAGAGACCACCAAAGATGGCTGGAAAAGTGCGGTTATATGCTTCGTCCACGATACAAGCCGGACTGGGTGCCATCTTGGGAGGGGACCGATACGCCATATTGGAGTTGTGAGGATGGGCATGAGAATATGGTACGTTTGCATGATAAATGTTCCCAACCGTCGTTGATAAACAACCACTAGTACGACCAAACTCTAGATGCAACTAGAATTTCTGACGGAGCCATGGTCCTGCTGAAGAGAGTTTCAACGTCAATCCACCCGTATGAGATAGAGATCGGACAGTTTTTTTCGTCGGAGCCGTTGGCCTCCAATGCACAAAATCACTGCGTCCCAATATATGACGTTTTACGTGTGCCTGACAACGAAGACATCGCTCTGCTAGTGATGCCCTTATTGCGTGGATACGATGACCCTCCCATGCAGACGATGGGCGAAGCAGTTGAATTTTTCAGGCAAATATTCGAGGTGCGTTCGCATTAGCCGCAGTAAGTACATTCCTGAAAGCTGACCCTTTGTCTTTGTTTCACAGGGCTTGCAGTTCATGCATGAAAATCATGTCGCCCATCGGTGCGTACCTCCGCTGCCTTGCGCGCACGGCCTCTGAAGTTACGTTCAGAGACTGTATGAACCTCAACGTCATGATGGACCCGAAGCCGTTGTATCCGAAGATGTTCCATCCTCTCATTCAATTCGTCGCGCAGAACTACAAAGGGACAGCGAAGCACTACACTCGCACTGGATGTCCCACCAAGTATTACTTTATCGATTTTGGTCTATCTCGTCGATTCCATCCGGATGGGGGCCCTCCTCGGGAATATCCAATCTTCGGAGGCGACAAAACCGTCCCCGAATTTCGCAATTCAGATGAGCCCTGCGATCCATTTCCTACTGATATCTATTACCTTGGGAATCTGATCAGGGAAGATTTTCTCCAAGTACGTCTACTAGCATCCTACGCCTTATCGCGTCCAAAATTTCATTTCTCAGCGATTCCATGGGGTGGAGTTTATGCTCCCGCTTGTCAATGACATGGTCCAAGACGAACCAGAGAGTCGACCCACAATCCACCAAATTGTGTCCCGTTTCGCAGAAATTCAGAATAGCTTGGGCTATTGGCAACTCCGGTCAAGGCTAGTGGGACTGAATGAGCCTCTCGTAGTACGCATATTTCTTGGCATCAGACAGTTTTTTCGAACGGTTGGTTACATTCTTACCTGGCGCTCTCCTATCCCGTCACCGTGATTGCTATCTCGTTCTTGCTTTCTTCTTGCTCTGTTGGACGCTCGTCTCTTCTACATACCTTGTGTTTTGCGTACCTTCCTGATATCCTCTGTGCTTCTGTCTCAGTATAAACTCCGTCGCAGAACCTGGTGTTCTCATGCATACCTATTTCCTGTATATCTCGCTCTTGGTATCAATTTTGTAAGCAACATGACTTCGATCCCGCAGCGAGCTGGACATCAGTATTTCCGAAAGAGCGAATGTATATGGACTCTTGAATGCTTGTGCCTTGCTATTGAGGGCAACCGACAAGAATCTTAGCTCTTATCCTACGTAGATATTAGCGTGACTCCCTGAAGGCCTGACGGCTTCGGCTGTCGGGTAAACAACACGCTGCCATTGATCATCTGCTCTTGTAATTGACTCCTCCAAGTGCCATGCATGGACTATTCCGACGCCCCCGGGCGCCCTCAGTAGTACCCCTACTGGGTGAGTATAGGGCGATCTCCATGCGATTGCGCTGGGCAATGTAGGATGATGAGGAAATCCACAAAACATGAGACGCTACGTACACAGGCTAGAAAGAAAGACCCATACATTATTCCCATGGATTCACAGGCAGCAGATTGCTCTGGACTAGAGTGCGTTGTGCTCAATACCAATCACACCCAAAAATCACCTGTCAATGAGACTGAAAACTCCAGAATCCCACGGTGGGGAAGCGAGCTCCGAAAACCCCAAAATGATAAAGCCGGTCACACCATTGAGCGACATACCGAGGGATGGACACTAGCCTGCAGAGTCTCTGGGAGCACTATTAAAGTTCCACAGCATGGCAATACAAAAGAGACTTGTGCCTGGAACGGAGCTGCCCGAGTCATTCGTGGCAGGAGGTCCTGCTGACATTACAGCTCGCTGATCAAGGGTGTTGTCGGCTACCGACCTCAAGTCAGTCATGCTTGAGCCTTCAGGACAAGATAAATGAATCCTAATATCGGACTGGACTCCGATCAGCAGTCAGTGACGCAGTCGTCATGTGGGTCCAAGTTCTCACCTATTGTCTGGTGGAACAAGGAGGTTAAAACAAAGGTGACAGGGCCGATACCCTTATCTTGTACAGATTTAGCGTCATTGTCATTTGAGCGGCGGTGATCCAGGCTGATCCCATTGGAGCTCGTACTGAGAGCGCCAGAATAAAAAACCGTTGCAGGGGAAAGCTCTGCATTTATGTGAGACGGGACACGGCCTCGTCAATAGCGGGAAGCCGCTCTGGTTTCGTCTTGAACCATGTCCTTGATTTTGGAGGGGTAGTATAAATTCCACGCCATGATACCGGTGTAAAGTAAGCGCTTTAGTCGCACAGTGGACTTGTTTGAAGTCTTCGTTTTCTCCAGACAATTGATACCAATAGGGAACGGGTGACAAGGTTCGTCAGACTTCGCATACTCAAGAACTGTTTTTCAACCTCCAAATATCGGGTGGCCCTTGTCAAGATAAACTGACGAGATATATCGAATCGATCGAGCAGGACCAGCGAGTGCGAGCGTAACGTATGAGTCTCGGGTAACAAAATGAAAACTGAGCAGGGAAATTTTACAGCGATTTCTGCATCTATCGTGATATTAAGATTCATACCATCTATGAAACATATATTCAGTAGCGCTCTGATGATCTACCTGGAAAACATACAGATGAGCGAGATTCTCTTGGTGCTGTGCTTAGACAAAACTGCTCCGGTCATACCAAATATAAATGTACCTGAAGTACTTGTGGAAGAAAAGTCGACCGCCTTCACGCAAGATCTCTTTTTTTGCATTTTCGCTGTATTTTTTGCAGTAGTGGCATTACTAGTATAACAGCGTCGTCGTCATCTGGAACAGAAGAAGATCATAATAGATCCTCAGAGTCAACCTGGCGGCTCTATCACATATTCGGGTCGCATCTAGAATTGGATCGCACTGGCAGCACTTACAGCTCTGCCATTACATGAAGTCCAGTACCGTGTATCACCCAGTCGTTCCTGTACCGCGAAAGGAATATATAGCTGTATTTCTCCAGCCATAGTAACTGTTTGTATCTGCAGAAGTACGTACTCTGTTGAGCTCTCCCGATCCAGATTCCACATGTTAGTCAAGTTCAACGCGGGAGAGATCTGGGAAAAGAGCTATGTACTCTGTGAGCGGGTGCTTCTGTCCTGGCATATTCACCTTCGAATGATGGCAGCAGCAAATTCCGAGTAAAGATATCCGCAAAGTCACGGTAGGCCTGTGGTACACGGCCAGAATAGGCAGACCCCAGAAAATCATTACACGAAAAGGGTCGTAGCGGCCCGAATATCGGCCCAAATCCAGCCCCCGCCTGTTACCGTTTCGGGGATTTTCAAGCGCAGAGGAATTTGACCCGGTTTGAGTTGTCCGAACGGCCCCGGACTTGCAGGGCTGTCTTGGACCATGCCGTGAACGGGTCGATTCCTGGGCTGTAAGAGGGTGGCTGCGGTGTTTTCCCCCAACCAGGCATTGGTGCTTCGACAGCGGCACCAGCTAGGCACTGGGTTGTGGGATACTGACCCAGTGCCTATTCGACCCCCGTCTGATCCTGGTACTATGACTCTGCAGACATATGTATAGGCCAGGCTGGTTGGCAGTAGTACTCTCGAAATTATATTAGAGTAAACTCTACTTTCTGGACAAACAAGATGAATGATATTTATTATTACTGCCAGCAAATAAATTGCATTGAGAGCCCGAGGCAGCGACATGGATGTGCAAGTCGCGATACACCAGAAAGTCTCTAAGTCAATTCAAACTCCGCAGGTCGTCTGCGGGCTCTGCTTCGTGCATTCATGTCTCGTTCCCTCCTCCATTGGCTCACGCTCGTCACTACCCAGATCCTTCGTCTCCAATGTCCACCCAATTCCAGCCACCAACATTCTCATCCTTGTCGTCGTGTCACCACCACCCGCGTCTCCCGCATTCATTTAGATTTCCTTCCTAGTTGTCGGCGCCAGTGCATCACGGCACATTACGTGCCGCCTACATTCGCGTTGAGAGGTGCTGATCATGCGTCGCACGATAGGTTAACATTTTTGTCTTTTGTGCCAATTCTGATATGCAGATTTTTTAGGATTTGGTTCACAGCTCGGGGCATTCACAAGTGCAGCACAGCGCGGGAGGGTTAGCGGGAGGAGCAATATTTGCTTCCCGCCACTGCTGTCCTCCCTTCCAAAGCCCTCTGCCCGTCATGCCTGTCAAGTGGGCCTTGAACAAGCTACGCCGCCACGCCGCGTCATCACGACGCAGCGTGCGGGCGTCGTGCTCTCGCGCTCCCGCTACCGCCATCCTCTCTTTCTAAGCCCCTCTGCCCGCCGTGCCCGATCAACAGTGTGCCAAACGACACACGCCGCGTCATCACAACGCGGCATGCGGGTGTTGTACTCTTGTGTCGGTGTGGGCATCCTGCTCTTGCCTTTCTGCCACTACCGTCCTCCCATCCCAAGACCCTCCATCCGCCGTGCCCAACCTAAAGCATGCTGCATCATCGCGAAGCGGCATGTGGGTGTTGTACTCTCCCATAGCGTACATGTAGCATACAAAAATGCAATAAATTTGTGCTATACCATTTTGTTTTGTACGAAAATGGGATTTTGGTTGGATTGATCATTTGTGACCCTGACTGAAGCATCGGACTGACCCTTCCCTCAGCCAGTTTCTGGGCTGCCACGGCCCCATAATTGCATGTGAATTGAGGGCTGTTTTGGTGTCTGACCGCCAGCCCTGGAATGGGGCCGCACTCGGGCTGTCATGGGCCTATCTATGCAGCTGAATTGACAACATGTCCAAGCACTGTATAAGGCTATTTTTTAAATACCGTAAAATCATTACACGAAAAGGGTAGTAATCGTGCCGGGCACGGGCTGTTGCGGCGACTCCGCTCTCAGGCCCCATTCTGGTGCCGCAGATGTCTGGCCGTGTAGGCCTAGCCGATTCCGAGTCTCCGATACTTTCGGAGTTGTTTACAGTGCACGTGATCGACGGCGTTATGACACACTGAATCAAGATCTATCATCTGAAAGACGCTTGTAACTTGAAGTTGTCATGGACGTTTCTGACCATCCACCGACCATTACGCTTCCGTTTTCAATTGCTGGCTGCTCTGAACATAGTGGAAGATATGTGGCCGAGAACATTCTCGTGGACAAGCCTTCGGACCAGGCAAGTAGATGGAGCGGTGCTCATCAATCGCCCAATGTGAAGCAATGGATTCTCCTCCGCCTGGATGGCTTGAGCATTCTCAGTTGAGTAGCTCTACGACTGAACGTGAATGCGTTTGACTGATGTTGCATCAGAGAGTATTACATTCGGAAAGGTGCGCCCTTGCCCACAACGAAAGAGCGTGTGAAGTATATAATCTTCGATTCCTTGTCAGTTCCACAAACGTAAGTGATTTAAATACGTTCTGGGTGCACATTGAGTTCGATGTGGAAAATGCAGCACATCCTTGTAATATGAAGGAATTCAAGGTATATGTCGGGTTGACTGAGGACAGCATGACCGAGGTTAGCGCTTTCCCAGCCGTTCAGTCGACGTAGCCGTCATACTCATGACACAAATAGGTTCTGCATTCCGGTCTCAAGAATGATATCTGCCCAGAGACGTTTGCCGTCCGGCATACGAATCGTGCTGGAATATGTTTTCCGACGCGCTTCGTCAAGATCATTCCGCTTTCGTGAGTAAATCCATCCTCCGTGTAGTCAACAGGCAACATTTTATGCTACTTGGTTAGAGCTCATGGACAAAGCTTTCATACATCCATTTGGTTCGTCTCATTATCGGGTGTCGAAGACGGGTCCTTCGTCGAGCAAGCGAGAATTAAGCACGACGATGTAAGCTCAACTGCCCCTTGTCTAGTCTATCTTCAGAAGCCATAACATTTTACACAGTACCGAGAAGCTGTAGTGCTGTGCCATGTCTTGAAACATCTCCGCCAGCGGCGTTTCCTGTCGCCTTTCAACACGATTCTCTCCCGCTCAGGCCTGCAGCTAGAGCATCCACTTGTAACTGCACTTTACGATTCGATCGTTCTCAATGGCGACTGGCTACGCGCAGAACACGTTCTGAAGTCTGCCTCTGACGCGGGCCTCTTCACTTCGTACCGTCATGCGTGCCAGCCCCAAGCACAGTGGACGCGTCTGCATGGCCTCGATGCCGACGGTGACGCACCTTGCAGACGCGGCGGACACGCAATGTGCATGGATCAGCAGAATGGGCTCATATACCTCTTTGGTGGGTGGGACGGCCAGCGCAGTTTGGATGACTTCTGGGTGTACGATGTCACGCTGGATACTTGGCGGCTTCTGAGCCTCGCGACCTCGCGTGAACAGAATGGTCCAGGTCCTCGTGCTTGCCACAAGATGGTGTTTGATGACAAGACGGGCTCAATATACCTCCTGGGACGTTTGGGTGACGGTGATGCACACGAGCCTGCAGACGCTCCAAACGCTCCTGCCCATCGGGATGATAGTGGCGGTGAAAGAACTACCTCCCCCACTCCTGTGGCTATAACTGGTGCGAGGCACTTGAACGATCTGGCACGTCCGGGTTCGAGCGATGGAGCACCCCCTGCCATTCCGTGGTCAGCTTACTGCTCCGAGTTCTATCGATATCACACTCGCGGTCTGGATGCTGGCAAATGGGACTTGCTCTACATTGACACCGCGGTAATTTCGGGTTTGAATTTTCTCCCACTCGATCGGGCTGACTTAGATTTGTTTAGTCTTCGGGTGGTCCTCCACTCGTCTTTGACCATCAGATGGTCATGGATAGCCAGGCCCAAATGATTTACATTTCTGGTGGTCGCATTGTAGATGGCGATTGGGAATCATGTAAGTATGCGTCGCTGTATAGCTACAACGTGCGTACAGGCGTGTGGGAGACACTACAGTAAGTATCAATTTTCTCCTTGAATACTCGCTCTCATGCATGGATTCGATTATCTGCAGAGCGTCTGACTCGCTATGTTCTCATCCCTGTATTCCCTCGCGATTCGGTAAGTTTTTGAAAGATATATACATTGAAGATCATAATTCCCACTGCGCCCAGGTCATTCAATGGTCCTTGAACCGAAGTCTCATACCCTCTTCATTTTCGCCGGTCAGCGCGATGACAAATACCTTTCCGACATGTACGCGTACCACATACCCTCTGGTACCGTCCATGAACTGTTCTCGAACTTCTCCGTTGCTGGCGGGCCAGATCCATGTTTTACTCAGAGAGCAGTCATTGATCCAGAGTTACATGAAATCTACGTGTGAGCGATATCCTTCTATGTCATTGGCCCTTGCAAGACCAATTAATCCACCTTTTTCTTTAAGGTTCTCTGGTCTGAGCCGTCGCCAAGGGTCACTTACAGTGCTCGACTCTGAGTGTCCGAACTGGATATATCGCTACGAGCGCCCCGATCGTCCAGGTAAATGGTCTAAAATTCTACCTGCTGGTCGACCTGAGGGCTCGGACGCTCACTTCGGTGAGGTGGAGAACGAGCATCCGCTGCCCCGGTACGCACATCAAGTGGTGTATGACTTCGGTACCAAGACGGTCTACATGCACGGTGGAAATGCAGGGCTGGATGAGGTGACCGGGGCTACGTCTATGGGAGGATCTATGGAAGATTCCCGCAACCGAGAGGGAGGTGGTAGCACGCATAATACCGAAGGAACGCGAGAGAATCGTCTGGATGATTTCTGGAATATGCAGCTGAAGCGGTGAGTTCTGCGAGGCACATAATATCCTTCCTGAAGGCTCATGACGTTTCTTTCCCAAAAGGCCTGCTCCCGAAAGCATCGTTCGAAAGGCCACTTATGCTGTCCGACAGCAGCAGTAAGCAGATATTACGTGTTTTCCCCTGCGGTCTGTGGATGACGAACGTGATGTAGGTTCCGCGAAATGTGCGAGGACGCTCCACCTGTCAAGGCGCTCACGTTCCTGCAGACAGAGGTATCCTCAGTCGTCAATCATGCTGATGTGGAGGAAGCACATCAGTTCCAATCCTTACTTTCACACCTGTTGACGGCGCCACCGCGTCGTGTGGACACTACCGTTACCTCAGGGCCTGTTGAGAGTCGGCGCGATAGTGAGCCTGTCAGGAAGCGGTCACGATCAGATACCTTAGCCGACTCCGCCGTCATACCGTCAATTACACTGGCAGAAGGAGACCAGCCGATGGGAGATGCGACGGTGGAGTCTACCTCTACTTCGGGGGAAGCGGGTGTCACGATCTCCCAACCTGTTGTGAGACTGGAGGTGGATCCCGGGGAAAGGGCTGGATCAGGCCGATCTCCACCCTCGCCAGCACGCTTCAAACAGCGGACCGATGTCTTCGAGACATTACTGCTCTATGTTAACGAGGACGCCAAGCAGCCAGAGAAAGGCCTGCTGGAGCTGATCAATACAGACGGTCTAGATTTGGTGTCAAGTGAAGTATGATGGAATGGACAAGCCCTGGACTCATATCATGGAATCGCTGTAGCTCGATACAATGGACTTGGAATACATCATGTATAGTAGCAAGTATATATCTGGCTTCGTGTTGTGCAGTCCGCAATTATTCGTCGAGATTGATGGCCCGGCCGAATTTCGCGTAGAGGATCACTTTCAGCTCCTTCATTGACTTCTCGCATTCCGATGCTCGCTCGGTAAGCTTTGACAGCTCGCTATCAACTGCCTCCTGGTCCCGTTCAAGACGCTTCACAGCTCGACCGTGTGGTAGGTGGATGAAAGCCTCTCCTACTTTATACCTGGAGGTCACGGCATGCTCAGTACCCGTACATCGCGTCAGATACATCAAAATCGGCTCACATTACCAGTTCATCTTCGTCAGCGAGCTCGAACTCCATAGACAGATCGTCAAAGGCTTCTTTTTCTTGCTGTGCAACGGCATACGTTCAATGGTTCGCCACATACCTGCATCTAGGAAACAAATTGACCTTCAGTGCTTCCACCTTCTCTTGAATGCCCCGCAGCCGGTTATTCAATTTAGAGAAGCTGTTAATGCGCTGCTGGTCCTCTGAGTAGCACAATCATAAACTACCGCTGCATGTTGAGAGTGAAGTTTACTCACCCCATGTCACCTCAGCAGCATCGTCATGTTCGTCGTCCTGTGATAGCTAGAGCACCTGCGATCTGAGCGCTATTGTCAGACTTAAATATGACACGAACATACCATACGCATGATGAGCAACACAGGCGGTCCAACGCAATTAACGATATGGATCTCCGAGTGTAGGACCGAGGAGTTCAGGCACCAGGACTCAGCGCGGCATTGCGGAACAGAAATATAAGCACGTGACTCAGACGCGTCGAGTTGTTGAGCCGCGCGGCTCTCATCTACTCGCAAGACAACATACTATGGAACATCTCGGCAGCGCCTTCCCAGAATTTCAATCGACTACTTTCTCGACCGCATCCTTCCCCCGTCACAGACAGGGGTTTCTGTGAAGGCATTCAAGGAGAATTTGGAGCAGGAGGGGGCCATCGTCGACGGACGCTTCGCTCCTTTTGAAACAGATTCTGTCGCGTCCTCCACTGCCAAGATCACCACTTCGAGCTTCCAAGGTCTCAAAAGCATTATCAACGACGTGATTCGAGCTGCCTCTGCCCACATTTTTCCTACAATTTTGTATCTCGATAACCAGTGTCCTTCCCCTTACTCGTCGCGGACCAATGTTACACATCAAATCAGATGGATACCTCGAGCTATCTGATGAAGTCAACTTGGGATAACATTACTCTGTCAGCTGAGTTCAAGAAGGCTAACAGAGACAACGATGTAGATGCTGTATGTATTTTTGTTCACTCGTCGATTTCCATCTGACTGTGCATTAGAACGTCGGCGGGGTGTCGTGGAGTATGCGCCATGTTATGCGCAGCGATCCGTGTCGTAGATTCGCATTTGGCACCATGGTTGAGGATACAGACACTGGAGCCTCGTTCTGCAGTCGACAACTTGTCCTCGCCTGAGCCCTTCAACTTCGTCACTGAGAGTGTTTCAATCATGATTTCCGGTACCACTGTCTCACATCAGCATAGCATACGGATAGACTCATCCACCTTATTCTGTCAATTGTATACTCTAGTCGGGATGCACTTTGGGCTGGGATCCCACAGTGACGTGTTTAGTACATGGTGACAAGACAAGTTACGATATCACTGACCGTGCCAAGAATGGCGAGGTTGTGGTCTTTCGGACATCCGACATACTGTCTGACTCTGGGGCACTTAGATTGCATGGTCGGGGTACTCGTGTGTACAGAGCCCGCCGGCTGGACGAGGACGGGAGCGAAGTAGGAAATGATATTGTGGTGAAGGACATCTTGGCGGATAATGACCACCAGGATTAACATGAAGATCGAAAGACCGCTGTGCGATGGCAGGTCTTGCTCGGAGACGCCTGATCAACATGGTTGAAATTACTCTCCTGTTGGCCTATATCATAATATGTCAGTCGTACGAGTGCATCAAAATATACACCCATTTCTTCTTGCAAGGGCAAAAGCAACCGCATTCTGTCGGCCTCTAGCAATAAGTGTTACGACGATATGTAGCCTGTAGGATAAGTGTCATAACTGGGATCAAGATGTGGATCTTTAGATGGCTCCTATCATCCTGACGTCCGCTGGTACCTATGACAAGGAGACGGGCACCAGTGGAAGGTATGTGGTGTACCCATCAGTCGTGCGATCATGGCTAACCCCCTTGCGGCAACAAGGCTATCACGCGTTTCATGCAGGAGTTTCTTCACGGCAGTAACGTCGGTCTGAGTGTCGTCCGCGACACCGTGGAGTGGAGGGCGTCAAGAAGGAATTTCCATGGATCTCGTACAGTCACTTGTGGACACTTGGCAGTGTAGCCGCTGTCCAGGAGATGGGTGGTTCTAGGATTTCTCGGACAATGAAGACCTGGCCGCAAAAGATGGTCTTGCGGCAGATGGACAGTGTGAGTTCTAACGGTCGCCTTCACCTGGGCTCTGAGCACCTCTGAAATGTGAGTGCATGGACCATCGAGGAGTAAGAACGTACCACTGATATGTTGCCATCTATCGCGTAATTTCTACGCTGCATCCCCAGGAAAGCTGGTGATCAGCATTCCGGAGAGCTGATCGCATCCGGCGCAGGACGTTCTCCGCACGCAGCGGCTTGTCGGATATTTAGGAGCAAAGAATGCACTCCGGGAACAGCCCGTTCGCAATAGAGAACACAAATTGAGCAAACCCACAGTCAGTGTGAGGCTCCCAGCCGTCAGCCTTTTGTGTATGCACCGATGCGCAACCAGTGATACTTCACAACCTGAGAGACAAGAAATACAACGACAGCGCCGCGTCGCGAAACCGAGACGCTTCGTACAACTTTGACGCGTCCACATTAAATATTGTGCCATAGCGCCATGTCACGTCAGGTCACCGGTCACCTGTACTGTGAACGCGTACTCGGAGTCCGAGCATGTGTTCCGAGTACAGACCTCTCAGCTGCGTGCTGTCGATGGGACGTTCTCGTGTCCGCACATCACTGAGACGTCATAACCATCCATGTTTCCGAGAGCCATGTACACGACGTGCCAAAATGAGGATAGTTGTCTGAAGGCTTGTGGAAATGTAGTAAGAATATTCACCATGCGAGATACAGTGATACAACTCACTGGCCAAGATCGCGAAGAAAGCAGCGAAGAAGAGCCGATCTATGGCCTGGCATGTGCTACAGAACGGCTGCCTACATGTAACTGGGCGAAGAGTCGACTTCGGGCAGGTCGGCCGCCCACTTTCTCCATTTATCGGAACCGTCAGCGCTGCAGCTCCCACAATGTTGCTGGGGACCACAAACATGAAACGATGATCAGGGGTTGTACGTGGAACATTTATGGGCACAGTACTTGAAGTGTTCATTCTACACCCCCAACCTATTCAATCATTGAGGCTGTTCGGCTTTATTTAGACCGGACGTCCGCGCCCAAGACCGACGGGCACCAGTCGGCCATGACAAGCTCTTGCGACGGTAGAAAGTGTCTCGCAACCGAACACCAAGTCAAGCAGTGTAGCGGGATATGGTAGAGTACGTGCCAAGAGCCTAGCAGTGCGACAGCGCGGGAGTCTGATTGCGCAGTCGCCACGTAACGCTCTTCCGCCTCAATAAATTACAGAAGAGTCTTCGTCCTCGGGCAGTTGTGCGCCCTCGATACCCTCTCGGACTACGATGGATCCTCATACTGCGGACACCGTGCGTCAGGCCGTCAACATCGCGCGCAGCAAAGCGCAGGTGTTGTATACCACCGCGAACGACCCGAGCCTGAATCACCTGAAAAACGCGGTCATCGCATATCTACTTTTGCGATATGCGCTGAAGCTGGAACGTCACCTCTTTGCTCGAGGGCCTATCCAAACCGTGAAAGATGTGCTCTCGTGGGTCTCTTTGGTGAGCTGGAATCATATAGAATATGGTACATTGATCAACGGGACCGTTACCCTCGCAGCAAGTGATTCTGCTGGTACTGAGATTACCTCCCGGACGCAACAAGGTAGAGAGAGAACTCGGGCAGGTGAAAGAGACCATTGAGAAGAGCTTGGTCCCTCAAGGTCCTGGCGTTGTAAGACATCTTGCTCTCCCGGCGACAGGCCAGTCACCAGAATGGATCATCGCTGAGATGACCAAGATGGACGAGGAGGCACACCATGCTGACTGGGCGGCAGGGAAGGTATCTGGGGCTGTCTACCGTGCGTTTGATACCTTCATTTCTTATCTTTTCGCGGCCTAACACATTTTTTTTTGCAGACGGTGGTCAGGACATCAACCGCGTCATTCTCTCCGCCATTGAGCATTACTCGTTCTCGAACCCACTCCATCCCGATGTCTTTCCTGCGGTGCGCAAAATGGAGGCGGAGATCGTGTCTATGTGTCTGAACATGTACAACAATCCGAATGGTGCCGGCGCAACGACCTCTGGCGGAACGGAGTCTATCATTATGGCGGTGAAGACGTATCGTGACTGGGCTCGGGCAACCAAAGGTATTACGGAACCAGAGATGTATGTTTGCATCTCATCTCGCGCTATGCGCCTTCCTCACAATATCTGCAGCGTTGTCCCCATCAGCGCACACGCGGCGTTTGACAAGGGCGCAAATTACATGGGCATCAAGGTGCATACGATTCCTGTTCACCCGGTGACCCGTAAAGTCCAGATCCACCGCGTCGCTTGGGCAATGTGAGTCTGCACTTCCCGTTTAGCACGTTTATCTTTTACTCACGTTGCTGTCAGCAATCCTAATACCATCATGGCCAGTAAATTTATTTTGCTCCACGTTCTCTAGTATTGATTTTTATTTTGGTTCATAGATCGCTGGCTCTGCAATCAACTTCCCCGACGGCTGCCAGGACGACATTGTCGCTCTAGCCAAGCTAGCGAAGAAGCACAAGATCGGTCTGCACGTCGACTGCTGCCTTGGTGGATTCATAATGCCCTTCTTGGAGGAAGCTGGGTTCCCTGTCGAACCGTTCGACTTCCGCGTCGATGGTGTGACGAGCATCAGCTGCGATACCCACAAGGTAGCGTGCAGCCTCCCCTCGTCAGACGCCATGTGCTGAGTTCTGTTTCCGTTGATGATAGTATGGGTTCGCTCCTAAGGTAGGCCGCGGGTCGACACGCGACAGAAATAACATTTTGATCATTCGTCGTAATAGGGCAATTCCGTGATCATGTACCGCAACGCTGAGCTGCGTCGCCACCAGTACTATGTCAACCCAGACTGGGTCGGTGGTGTGTATGCAAGCCCGAGTATAGCTGGATCACGGTAGGCGCCTCCTTGTCTCGCCTTCTCTGGTTTCTAATTATTTTCATTACCAGCCCGGGTTCACTCATTGCTGGAACATGGGCCGCGCTGCACTACGTGGGCCATTCGTAAGAATTAGTGCATCCAGTTCCATTCACCTGCTGACGCATACACGCGGCACAGCGGTTACGTCCAGTCCTGCCGTGACATCGTGTCCACCGCCAAGGATATTGCATACCGTATCACGACGGAAATCCCAGAGCTGTACGTGCTTGGCAGTCCGCCTGCATCCGTCGTCGCGTTCTCGTCGACGATTCCGACGCTCAACATCCTCGAGGTTGGCGACAAGATGTCGAAGAAGGGCTGGCACCTGAATGCACTGAGCAACCCCGCTGCTCTGCATATTGCTTGCACGGTACGTTCACTCTTTATTGCGTCGTTCATCGTCTCTGAGGGCCGCGTGCAGCGTCCGACTGTGGGGCATGTGGACAATCTAATCGACGATCTCAAAGACGCGATCCGTCAAGCTAAAGGATCGCCTTCAGGCAAGGGTACTATGGTGACACTCTACGGTGAGCACCTGCAATTTCCGTCAGACAAGCACACATTCTGACTCGCATGTGTGTGTGCCAGGTTTGGGCACGTCAAGCGCTGTTGGCCCGGCGATGGTGGGACGGGTCGCGACGCTCTTCATCGACACTCTTTACAAAGCATGATTCCTTTCGTGCGTTCCGGGTGGGTGCATTGCGCGCGACTGCTCCATCACACGTCCAAGGTTGTGCTTGGGTCTTGAAGTATGTGCATCCGTGTTTGCTCTCAATATAGTATCTTACTCCGAGAGTATCTTCATGTGAAATCGTAATTTGTTTCTACTCTTGTGCGGAAACGCGACGGGAGTGCGTTTGATGATCATGCACGGAGTCGATCATGCTCGGCTTCCCTGAGTTACACCACTTCCTCCGCCCGACTTCAAACCCTACGGCATCTGAAACTACAGGGCGGTGTACGCAAGAAACACGCGCGCTTTCCTCCGCCCATCCCGAGACAAACACATGGCGGAATTCCCCTCTGGAATTGCAGTTGCTTGCACTCTGAATCACTGCGCGTCCTCCTTCCGACTGTGACTCGCCCCTCCGAAGCGCTCCCTCCGCTGGTTTTTCCCCGATATGTGCGGTCGATCGCGACGATCCCCTGTTTCCGGCCGAGTGGCGCGACGGTCCTCGGAACCGGACCGACGACCGCCAAACGTCGTTCCAAGGCCGCAAACGATATCATCTCGGAGCATCGCCTGGGCAATGCGCATGCTTGACGCTTATCGCGCATGCGCTGCGCAGAAGTCGTGCAAGAAAACGGGGGCACACACCGGTGTCTAGGCGCTGCGTGTGCACGACAATTACTTGAGCGGCGGGGTGATACACGCGTGTGTCGTTCGAAAAGGGCGCGTTCTGCATTCCGTCGCGAGGGTCCAGGCTGGCGCTGCGGCCGCAACGGCCCACGAACCACAGCGCAAATGCAAATTGGGATGTCCGTGAGTAGATGAGTCGGGCAAACCGATTGTTCGATAAGTCCGAGTCGAGAAAGCATGAACAGCCTGCACTCCGGAGATCCAGGAGATTCTCGGTAAAACACTGATGACGAGGAATCGAAATTATCTAGCGTCAGGGCGCCGCGAAATAGTATTTTGGGGAGGTGTGTGACGCATAGAGATGTGAGACGATAGCTACACGACGCGGAGATGTTTTCCGAGTATCGCTAGCTTCGTAGAGGGTTGTAGAAAGAACCCCAATGATACTGGATCGTATAGGCGCACAGACAGCAGCAACAGAGCATGGAAGACGTGCCCCGAGCAATCGAGTCAACCAAATATGCATCAGAACCCTGTAAAAATCTTTCATTGTACGGAAACAGCGGGATTTGTCCGACCTCCGTTGCAGTTTGTGCCTTTTCGACATCTTCAGGAATCGTAGCCATCCATCACAGGTATTCGGCTGCGCAGGACCGACAAAAGTCCCGACACAGATCTCTTCCTTCGCCGTTGAGCTATTTCAGCGAGGCAAGAAACGCGGTAACCAGAAGAAAGTGAGAAGGTAATCGGGCTGGAACTTCACACCGCCAGCGGGCACCTATGCGTTCGCGAAGTCCTGACCTCTCCGCGCCTCTGGCAGAAGCACGGCGATCTGCAGGAGACCAACACGGCAAAAGGGAGTACGGCAGCTGGAGGACCAGAATAATGCCGCCTCGGCTGAGCTGCAGCCACCCTCTCGGTTTTTGGTCGAAGCTATGCTTTAGTACGTTGCGCACGGAGTGCGACACAAAGAAAGGCTAGCAGCAGGTCGACGTTGGAACGTCTCGCACAGGCAACTAGCCTCAGCACAGGCTGGGTTAGGACCCAGATAGGTAGTCAGTGACTCGACCTGTACGTTAGAGCCTGGCAGAGTGACTCAGAGATAAAGTACGTACCCACCACTCGCCTTCCTGGAAAATTCCGGACCCAAAACATTCAAACGCGAACCACGTAGGCGACGCTCAAGTCTGGTATTGTGCCCGGGTTCGCGATGTAGAAGCTGCGAACCCTCTGCGATTCAAGCTCCCCGCTATGAGCCCAAATAGCCACGGACTGGCGCTGTGCTGCGCTGATAAGAATGCAGAGCCAAATTTCTCTGCGAAGAGGGAGGAAATAAACACCTTCAGCTCGCATTGTTCTGGAGACCCTAGAAAACGGGGAATGGAGATCGGTGGATGGTGTCATGCCTGGTAATCAACCTCATTGATGAACACATGGAGCACAGCTGAGCTCAGCAGCCCGAAGCGGGGAACTCTGCGGATGTAATCGAGAAGGTTGGCTAGGACAGATACCTTCAGGTTACGTAGAAGCACTTCTTTCTCGGCAGAGCAAGAACGATATCTGCCGATATCTAGGGAAGGATAGAGAGATCTCCCGCAAAGGGGTAAGCCTAACAGAGATCAAACGTTCAACGTTGAGGGCCCGATGTTATTGCGCTGCACCAAACCTCTGGACAGAAAGCTTAAATAACCTGGAAGGAGCGCGCAGATCGTAGGACAAATGCGCTGCGAGACAGAGACACGTTTGAGCGGCCATGCGTAATCTGCATATTTCGGAGAAATCTGTCGTGTCCGGAAAAACATGTACAACGGTGTCAGCTCAGACATGGTCGAGTCGGACGATGTGTGGTCCGTGCGTTCACGGAGGAGGCGTAGGGCACTCTATACCTCTACCCCGAGCGCCGGCGCCAGCGGACGGCCACGCCTGACAGTGAGCTCTACGAGCAGCGCGGGGCAGTCCCAATCTCTGGTCCCAGTTACCCTCGAGGGTGATGCAGCGTCTGAATCACGCAGGGAATCTGCACTCAAGTGACATTTATTTCGAGGAAACGTTTGCCGCCTCTGGGCACGGGCACTCGATGCCGGGACAGACGTCGAATAAGCAGCCGCATGCGCGACACAGTATACATTGAAATTCAAACAAGAACAAACTGGCCGTAAAGTCTCGACGCAGAGGGCGACAAGTATGGATTCCCTTCCACCGCCGCCACCTACGGCACGTCACCCTCAGCATGAATGGGAAGAAGGCGAGGGCACTGCTGAAATGCCAGGCCACTGCCCAACGCCGCAAAGGCCCTACTTGAACGTGAGCGTCTCGACTAATTAATTACTTCTCTGAGAAAGCTCTCGACCGGAGCACTGACCACGATTGTTATTGCAGTCACCAAAAGCCTGCGATCGGCCGATGAGGGGTCGACTCTACTTCATTACATGGGTATCTTTATCCCTCCAGTCAATTGAGCTTGATGGACCGTTGACTGCTGAGGGGATTGCGGTTCTAGAGCGGTGGCGAAGGATGCACGCGCTTGCCATGAAGACACTCCCAGATGGCAGAGTTCCGACTCCGTTTTGTAGGTGTGACCTGACATGCGTGGCCAGCTTTCGTCCGTCCGTGTAATATGTTCCTGTGGTCAATACACTGCGTATGGCAACACATCAAGCAGTGAGGATTGCACAAGGAAAGCTATAGGACGTGCTGCAGTCAGAAAGGTAGCCGAAGGGAACAAAATACAACAGGTGATGCAGCCAGGTGAGTGACCAGCGACGTTCTGAGAGCTGGATGGGCGTAACGTGTGACCACAGCACGAGGTGCAAGATTGACGTGAGCAGGGCACAAGACTCTGCGGGAATGCGAAGAGCTCGAGTAGGTGAGAGTTTGTATATAGGCGAGTGTTCTGTGGGTGGACGTGTGGCGAACGCATTGAAGAGGAAGAGTACGTAGTTGTGACGTCCAAGAGAGAGCAAAAACCGGCCGAAGAACCGCCGAAGCTGCAAAGGAACGCTGGCTTGGTGTCAGAAGGGATTATTGGTTCGTGATTTAGAAAGCAGTTGAGCCCAAACGAGCCTCCCTTCTCCCAAAATAAACGAAGGCGAAACTACAATCGGAGAGTGCCAGAGAGACATCGATACGCGCAGGCACGCGAAGCACGATAAAAAGATGGCAACAAACAGAAGGCGGTGGCTAACTTGTAACAGTCGGCCGCGGTCGCAGACGCTGCTGCAGTCAGCAGAGGGGAGCGGACTCCGGGCCGGAGTCGCAAATGTAGACTGGACGAAAACGTAGAGTGGACGGACGCAGCCGGCCACGGAAGGGATCGCTGAGCCTCCCATATCGGGGCTGTCGGAAGGCTTCGGTCAACAGATACGGAAATTGCCGCGCAGATGAATCACGGACACAGGCAAGACACAGGTTCCGGGGGTTCCGATCAGACTCAGTGTCATCCCGAGGAATATTACCGATCTGCGTCATACTCTGGCCTTGGAGCTCGGGATTGGGAACGTCGCACCGTGGTAAAGTCCTGACATACATACGCGCCGACGTCTGCTGAGATTATCTTTGCACTTTGCATAGTGCTTGGGATGAGACCCCCGCCAGTCCGAGCGTGGACGGAGGAGGATCCTTCCTCACGGCGTTCGCAGCGGGTCGGCATTAGGAGTGCAGCCTCCGCTCTTCCGGGGTGCAACAGATTTGAGTATTGTCGGAAGGTATTTTCCGGAACATATAATCAGCAGGTCTAGGGTCTCGCCCGTTGCGTATTCTCCTCATCTCGCGGTGCAGAACTTGAGCGCGAACTTCCCGCTTCCTGGCCAGCGCCCTGCCAGGGCTGTCCAGCACACCTGTTCCCCGTCTTCTGATCGTATCCCTTCCTGCGCTTCTAGGTCGTCCGTTTCTCTACATCATGTCTTTCATGCTCACTAGACCGCCCTCTCCACCCCTCATGCCCCACCGCACGGAAGACGAGTCTCCTTCTACTGCATTCCATGCTGCCTTCCAGTCCATGGCTCCCAGCGGCGGTAATCACCATCCCACACACGACATGGACCCAAAGGGCGACAAGTTCAGCCCTCTGCTCGATATCCTCGTCAATGCCGACACACTCTGCCTCCGCGGCACCGGAATAGACGTTAACCCAGCACTGCTCAGCGGGAATGTCGTCCTCCACCTCTCCGAACCCACCTCGATTAAGGAGATCGTGCTTCAGTTCAGGGGGAAAGCTCGTCTACCAGTTTCTTCTTCCGAACCGTGCGTACCATAGCTTTCTTTCCGCTGGCGTGCTGACACGGATCTGTTGCAGGCTGTCGCTGAGCTCTTCGCAGCTTACTTACCTCGTCTGCAACCACGAATGGTCGTTCCTCGAGGGCAACCGTTCGCACTCGCACACGCTCAAGGCCGGGCGGCACTTGTTCCCATTCCAGCTACAGATCGGTGGGTCGCTGCCATCGTCTCTCTCGACGACCGCGTTGGGTGGTGCGTCGGTGCAGTACAAACTGCGCGTGACGGCAACTCGTCCCGGGTTTGTGGGAATCACCCACCGCGACCTACAGGCAACATGCCCGATTAACATCATCCGCGGGTTCTCGTCCGAGGCGCTCGAGTACCAGCAGACACTCGAGATCGAGAACACCTGGCCTGAGAAACTCATGTACTCCATTATGATACCGCATAAGGCGTGGGCGGCGGGGGAGAAGGTGACCGCGGTGGTAAAGTTTTCCCCGCTGGTCAAAGGCGCACGAGTGCTGAATGTCACGACGACAATTAACGAGACGATCAAGCTGTATGCGCGGATGGGCTCTCAGGAGAGCACGCGCGTCGTGTCTACCACGCGTCACGACATCGTCGATGGCAAGGCGGTTTGCGTTGACGAGCAGCAGCACCGCTACCGCCTTCCCCTCCTGCACCACACGCATACACACTCACATACGACCATGACCACGCTCACAAACGTGACCACTCCAAACCGTCATTCTGCATCCACTCCCGGCAGTCCCGGCACCCATAGTCCCAGCAGCTACTTTTCTCCGCAGCAGCATTCGGTTACCGGCTCGCCACAGCAACTGCCTGCAGAACTTTCACCACTTGTACCGACGACAACGAACTCATCCTCATCAAGTGCGCCATCTTCCGGGCACGCGTCGCGCACGCACGAGAGCCCGGGCGATAGCGTGGTACCTCCGTCATTACCACTATCACCGCCGCCAGCAGCAGAATCGTCTGATACGCTGGAGGAGTCCTCATCGGACGTGGTTACCACAATGTGCATCACGATTCCGATGCATGCTACTCCTAGTCACGGTCTAGAGGTGAGAGTCTTTGCACTGACTCGCGTATGTACAGTTTTCTGACGTGTGGTGTAGCCAATACAGGTCACACATCGCGTACGATGGTCCATCCTCATTGGTAACAGGGACGGGCACACTTCTGAGCTCCGCTGCTCGCTACCACTCCATGTACTTGATTATCGTCTATTTGATGAGGCTCGGGCGGCGACCCTCGCCACCCGTCGGCTGCTTCTCGGCGCGCAAGATGTGGAGGGGGGCCAAGCGGTCGACGCGCATAGGGAGGAGAATACCGATGAAGCAACGGACCTCCCAAGCTACTCTGCCCATGTCCGCGACCGTGTCGCGAACGCGTACCTCCCCGAATCCGCCGTCATGCGCGTCATAAACCCATGGGTTCTCCAGGGCATCTCACCTACCTTTGTTCCACCCTTCTCCGAGAGCTCTTCAGGTATGCAGTCTCCCGCAGCATTGGAGACATGGCAAGTACCGTCGGGCGCCCCGCAGCCCCCCGAGGTTGGCCACCATCACCTTCCACTCCAGCCCGATCCCGAAGCGCAGCCCCTTGAATGGGTCAATACCGAGCTCCTCCTGAGCCTTTCCAGAGAGGCACCAGAGGCACCCGTGCCTCCACCACCACGCCACACGCCACCGGAGTCACATCCCGGCAGCAGACATGGCTCTCGTTTTCCGAGCCGACGCGGCTCCCGCGCGAACTCACCCGAGCGCAGTGCGAGCTTTCCTTCAGTGGCCTCTGTTCCCGGGAGTATCATACATGGTCCTGCAGGCCATTCTAGTGAGACATTCGTGCACAGCGGGAGCTCTGCCAGCAGGAACATGCACGGTCTCTTCCACACTGCGATGAAGCCTTTCACGAGCCTGTCGTCGACGTTCTCACTGGGCTCGCGAAGCAACAGCCACGCGAACCTCGCCGGACATGGCGCGCACTCGCCGTCGCTCAGCGCTTCAGCGTCTGTATCCAACCTTAATCTGCTAGGACTGCTCGGCAGTGGTACCATCTCCCCCGCCGCACAGCCCGACGTGCCTGCACCAATGACGTCGCCCGAGCTGCTGCACCGTGCATTCACGGAGGTACCGGATTACGACATGGCCAGCAGGGGATTCTTGGGCGGCGGCATCACCCCGCTCTCGAGCATGCGCGGGCTGCCGAGCTACGAGGCCGTCGCGGCTCAGCGCAGGGGCGCAATCGCGCAGGGAGAGAGGAGCTTCAGCGACACGAACCTAGCAGGGATGTTCGCTGCTGCCGATGCGGCGAATCGGAGGGCCATCCCGCCGAGGACCATAGCTGTGGTGCGAGGTGCCTCGTAGCCGAGGTACTTCGCGCACATGCCCCACCCTTTCGCTCTGTGACCGTTGGCGACTCCTGCTCCACTCCTTGTGTCTTGCTCAATCGTTGCATCTCACCAATCAAGTAAGCATTCCCGCCGGCTGTACATCACCCATAGAACGGCGCATAAGCTGCACAGACACATTAGGACACTCGTAGCACTAATATTCACATAGAGAACCCTCCCTTCATTGTCCTCACCACTGGATATCGACCAGATACTTCTTATTTTCACGACCCTCCATGATCCCATCGGGGAGCATGTTTGCTGTGCAATGGTGTACTGCAATATTAATCCTAGTTCTCGGGCCTTATTTAGTGTAATGATATGGGTGGAAGTTTCCCAGTACTCGTTCGAGGGTACTATGTAATATGTACAATATGGTGAATGGATGGTTCTCGTGCTCGGTTGTACCTTGCGTGCTCATCAGTGAAACAGACGAGGTTAAGTCGTATGCGGAAACATCGCCGCGAGCTCGAGGTAGGTAGATAGGTACAGGACCGCAGTTAGGAACGCCGGGATCTTGACAACCTGAAGAGGTGAAGTCGGTTGAGGGGAACGCGACAGGCCTATCTGTCTTAAAAGAAGTGAAGCGACCATCGACGGTGATTCCCTTCTGCTCCAAATTCTCCTTGACTGTCTCGTACCAGCCCCTGTCGGCGACGGGGGGAGGATATAGTCGAATTAGTTGATTCGGAATTCTGGGACGGTGCAGCTGAGGTATTCCATGATAGCAGTCATATTAGTCTGTTACTGGGCGGAGGAGGTATGCGAGATACAAAGGAAAACTGCCCTGCATTGCAATGGAGTTCAAATTTGGCGACGTATGGTTATTAGCGCTCAAGCGCGCAAGAAGTCACGGTACCGCGTCTTTGCTAGATTATCGCGGCCAACGTCCTCGCTTTGCATATGCCCTGGCTCTGTTTCTTGTTGGGCGGGTTTAGGTCTGCAGCTGAGGCCTGAGGCTCTGTATAGATGATGCCAGTGGTGCTGTGGATCAACTGTGCATACATGTGCAGAATGCATTTTCATTCCTGGACTGTACTGTAATATTCCATGGCCAAGCGAGGGACAGGCATACTCAGAAAGACATTTCTGAAGGCAAGAACCTCAAGGGTGGCTTCCTATATCAATAGACAAAGTATGTTGGACATGTATGCGATAGAGCGTCGCTGACTTTCCGTTTCGCGGGGGCGCTGTTGTTTTATGTCTTACATTTCTCATCTCTGAGACTGGAGCTTCCATCACCTGTCCCGCACCGCTACATGCACAAAATGTCGTGAGTTCGCTCAATTTGTCCTCTGTATTATGAACGGGCTAAGCTTGCTGTTTTTTTATGGCTGATAACCCGTGATTCTCCATGCATGCGGAGAACGCGATTCTGCGTCCTCTCGCAGACGCGGTCAGGAATGCTGATCGACGGCCTTCCTGGGAGGCCCACCGGCAGCGGTTGAACTTGCTTGAAAATTCCACACTCCGAGCCGTCACCTGGGGAGCGTTCACATTCCCTCATGTGTTCCAGTTGGTGTGCACGGCGAGTAACCTCGGGATGACATGCACATCCAGCTAGAGGTTCCCCTCCGTCGGTCCGTCCTTACCTCCTATCCCTCTCAGTTACTGGTCAACCAGTCACGCTCGCAGAGCACCTGCTGTGCTCGGCCGTCCAGCAAACTTCAAAGCAGTGAGAACGCGCCACCAATATAGGCCCCACGGGGTCAGTCACACCCGTCCTGAGAGTCGCGTGAGGATGACCGTCATTGGGCAGTGCAATCTGCGGCACACAGCCCAGTCATGGGACAGGATTCGCTGGCCATCACTCCACTAGAACAGCGCGACAATTGGCCCACGCTGCACGGGAAGAGAAGTTGAGAACGAACGTAGCTGTTAAATCCAAAGCAGCCTACTACATAGATACCCCGAGCGTCCCACTGCCGTGCTGCTGCCCTTCCACCCCTCACTCCCGCTAGACCAGTAGCACAACCCGCTCTATATTCTACCTCTAGTGCTCTAGATCAAACCCTGATGCCGAGCTGCTCACTCGTTCGACGTCTGCAAGATCCATGGGTCCGAGGAAACGAACTGAGGGGTGGGGACACCGAGCTCGAACAGGCGTGAGACAACGGAGGCAAAGCTACCGGTGGCGACGACAGTCAACACCCAGTGATCTATGTACACCATTTACAGGGACGTACTCTTTAAACCACAGATCCTGGTCCTTCGCGTAGGCCTGCACCCACTTCTTGAAGCTCTTGTCCTGGACCAGCGCGTAATCGGTCCTATAATCCATCGGCGTCCGGTCAGCACGCGGAAGCGGTAGTCAGGGAAAGACGGCGTACGGCAACATCATCAGCGAGTGGGTGGTCTTGTCCTCGAGCTGCTTGGGGCCGTCCCACTTTCTCCAGATCCATTTCTCCTCAAGAAGCAGTCTGAAGTACTCGTTACTGAGGGTTATAGGCGAGAAAGTCCAAGGGCCATCAAATCCAGAGCGGTCTCTGTGGCAGCGGCCGACGGCGTGCGCACCCGACAGCGCAACGATCTCCTGGTCGTTGAACCTAAAGGGACTATCAGAAGACACACAGGTTGTGCATCGATATTACAACATACCCCATGCGGTAGAAAATCTAGGATATATGCCCACATATTAGTGGTACGTTCCCATTCGTCGATGGACGTGTACTCACATTCCGGAGGTGGTCGGAGCCCAGGGCACCATCAGGGAGACGACCGTCAGGAGTCACATCTACCTCAAAACCATCGATACGGCCAGGTCTCCAAGGAATCTTAGGACCGCCCATCTCCTGGACAGCGGCTACACCGCCAAGGGTCCACAAGTCACCGTACGAGATCCAGGAAAATTCCTTCTTGATGCCCTCCATGATGTCACGGGCAACGCCCAGACCGGCGTTACCACCGTGAAGAGCCTCCGGCGTGAAACGCATGGTAGCCTTGTTGCTGCAAAGGGGTTGGCGCTGATCGCACGACTGATGAGCATATGACATACCTTCCACCAGTGCCCGTCTCCTTGTCATAGGTACCAGAGCAATGCCAAGCCAGACGAAGGAGTACAGGACCATAGGAACCGTCTAAGATCAAGAAACTTAGAACCCAGCACGACACTTATCCTACCGGCTTCATACCATCGTAGCCCTTATCGCTCGCGTCCTCGAGGATCTCAGCGATGCGGTTGTACACCTACGAAGTGCCACGATGGTTAGACGCATCGTCGGGCTGGACCGGAGCCCTCGATGGCGCTTACCTTTTGATAGTCCTCCTTGGTGGGGACGAAGTTAGCTGCAACCTTGACCGCCTGCGCACCCGACTTCAATGCTGTGCCAGCCTGCTTTGCAGTATCCGAGGACGACGAGTATATGTAAAATGCAAGACCTCCGGCGGCGGCGGCAAGACCAAGCCCAGCAAAGAGGGCGGTGTTGGACGACTTGGTCTTGGGTGCCTCTGTCGAGTATCTACGGAAGGCAGAGTTGCGGAAAGTTCTAGGAACTCTGGCAACGGGTGCGGCGAAGGCACCCCTGCGTGCGGAGACTCTAATGGCTGCAAGAGACATCGTCGGAACGGTGGTGGACCTAGAATGAAGAAAAACAGTGAGGATATGAGTGAGAGCGCCTCTTTGCAATTGGCGCCCCTCTACCGCACGCCCCCTCTACCGCACGCTTGCATAATTCTCCCATAATCCAATATCTTTGTTTTCACGTGACCGTATCTCAGCCAATCACAGAGCGCGGATTTTCGGAATCGGTCGGAAACATATGCCCCGCACGTGAGCCTTTTACTAACTTGTCGTGTCCGAGTCACTGTGGCTGTCGTGCTCACGTTCCATCACGGCCAAAGCGACCCCTCGCGATGATGATGCCAGTATGTAACAATTCCCCACCATCACCTCCCTGCGAAATTTCTGAAATTGACCGCATGGAACACTGTTGGTATACGCGAATTTGGTATAGTATTCAATGCGGCCATGCAGGAAACAGGTTCGGTGCAACTACGATAGTTGATAACGGCGTCTTCACAGACAACATGCCAATTGTACCGGTCTTCAATCTTTCCAGCAAGTGGAACGAGAACAGCAGTATATTTTGTTTTATTTCCTGCTACTGCCTCGTTTGGACCCAGATCGATCATTGCGGCCGACGTGCATTTGGTGGAGTCCAATTATGTGTTCTGAGAAACCCTAGCACCCGTAGAAGACTGTGTCTACTGCTTACTCTGATCTAATAAATTATCCTTTCGAGCTACTTAGTCTGCTGTGAGGCGTACATAAGCTTAAACGCGTGACCGCGACGCGTAAGTCACGTGCTGAAAATTTCGCGAAAACGATCGCTGATTGGCTTCTCGGCCGACCTGCGTCCCAATATTTCCCTCGTCTATCCTCTCTGCTCTTATTGAAGTAGCCCGTCGGGATGGTTTCGTTCCAGTGAGTTACAAGAAAATGTCGATATATGGTCATATTCCTGACTTTCTCCTCATCCACAGATGTGACGGTGAGAAATCTATGGAATATCCAAGTGCATCGCTCAGTAGTCTCTGACCCGCAGGGTGCGCGGAGGTGGTCAAAAAGCCAAAGCTGGACAAGCACCACGCGTCGTGCGGCGCCTCTTTCACCTGCATAGACTGCAGCACGACCTTCGCCGGGCCCGCGCAATACAAGTCGCACACGCAATGTATCAGCGAGGCCGAGAAGTACCAAAAGGGCCTGTACAAGGGTCCCAAGGGCGTGCGTGCTCCACCTCCTTCCCCCTCAAATATGTCCCTTCTCACATATTCACACGTACAACGTTGCACAGCAAAACGGCAGACAAAATAGCCACAATGGCGGGCACGCGAACGGGAACACAAGACAAAATGCTAGCACTACAGGTACGTATCAGCCCTGGGCACCCAACGGCGGCGCCATGCCGGGCTGGGGCAGGTCCACCAATCGCACGAAGGCAACTGGCGCTAACGGCACTCCTTTGGGCACCCCGGTGCGCATGTCGCCCTTTTCGTTCGCAGTGCCCGAGACCGCGTCCCAACCCGAGGCAAACGATGCCGGAAAGAATGGCACTGCCAACGCTACCTCGAACACGCCTGTGGTAACTGCGCCTGCACCTCCCGAGGCGGCGAAGACGAAGAAGCGGAAGAGCAAGAGTGAGAAGGAAGCTGCTCTTATGGATGAGGCGCAGGTACTTACAGTTTGCGAGTTGACTGTTGCCCGCGGGGACTAACATGCTTGTAGGTTGCGGCCGCGGCGGTGAACCAGGCCGAGAGCGACCAACCGCGGAGAAAGAAGGCTAAGAGAGACAAGCACCGCGAGGACGCGGCTAATACTTCCGCTCCTGCAGAATTTCGCACTGTAGGCGATGCCCAGCTGCTGGAGGAGGAGGAGAGGAAAGGGGCAAGGAAAGACAAGAAACAGAAGAAGTCGAAGGAGTACCGCTCGAAGGAGACGTCTGAGGCGGTGGAGCCTGCATCCGTTGCCCCACGACCATTATCTCCAGCGAAGGCGCCTGAAACTGTTGATGGAGGGGAGCGTTCAGAAGAGAATGACAAGAAGAAGGGAAAAAAAGATAAGAAAGAGCGGAAGAAGGCGAAGGGGATCCTGGAGTCCCAAGCAGCCCAAGCAGCGGCGGAGCTGTATGCAGGCGACCACTCTGTTGAGACTGTGGAGTCGAAGTCGAAGTCGAAGAGCAAGAAGGGAAAAGAACCTCAAGGTGCAGCGGAGGAACCTGACGACGCTGTAAAGGCCGTGGAGGAACCACAAGGTAAGACGAAAAAGCGGAAAAGAGATGACGAGCTTTCTACAGTCAATGCTACTGTGGCCGAGCAACCTGACGGGAAGAACGGCAAGGACAAGTCGAAGAAGCGGAGGAAAAGTGAGATCGACGGTGTAGGAAAGACGGACGTTGGTGCACCTCTGGGTGTGCTGGCGAAAGAGGAAAAGGAAGAGAAGGAGAGAAGGAAGGAGAAGGCAGTAACGGCGTGATGCTCGCATCAGTATGGGTTCAGGCATATGTATACATCCCTCTGAGGTTTTTACGTTGCAAGTTCTCGGGTTCTATGCTTCGTTGTACTAAATGTTGTGATGACGCTTTCGATTTGCACCTACCAACGACATGCCCTCATCGTATGGATCAAAAAATTACATATTGGATGCCGTGAATAATTACAAGTACAAAGATTCTGCGAATGAGAACATACGTGATTCCCAGGTATCATGCATCTATACTTCCGAACGTCGGAGATCGTCCCAATTTCGTGTACCAAACTAAAGCAGAATCAGAAGGCCGTCGTGGAGTCGACCTCGATCGTCGGTACGATGGACGCAATGAACTTCAGGAAGACGACCAAGTAGAAGTCCACCCGCATGCCCTCCACTTCGTCATCGCCGCTCGGAGATGTAGGAGTATCTTTTCCCGTGCTGCTGGGCTTGCGGAACAGCCACTTCTTCTGCTTGTCCTTCGGTATGGCAGACCCCGAGCCCTTGCGCATGGCCTGCTGCTCCTCGATCACACCAGCATTCATGCGCTCGATGACCTTCTTCATGACGCTTGCGTGCTTGCAGGGGTGCACAGACGCCGCCTGCAGACTCGTAGAATGCGGGAATGCCTCGATCGTAACAGTCTTGAATGCATGATCAGCGGAGATATCTTGGAAGATCTGGGGTGGTGTCAAGGGCGTCCCGTTCTGTTGCAAATGGCATGCTTAGAGCTCGGTCCAGCACGTCGTGTGACCTACACTCACCTCGTCATAGCCGATGAGCCAGATGCGTGGCGTTTGGTAGTACTTGTCGTATGTGATCATAACGTCGTACGTCCGTACTTGCAGCAGGTTCCCCTTGGCAACTTCAACTTCGCTAGAAGAGCGCAGCTCATGAGCGAGCCTACATAAGAGTATGGGCGCTTCGATCCTCACCTCGAGTCGATGATGTTGGATGCCGGCGCAGAGGCCTTAGGCGCTGCGGTCGCTTCATCATCGCCTGCCTCCAGATCTTGCTCCTCCATATCAGGGATCTCATCCATGTCCGGGATCTCTCCATTCGCACCCGACAGTGACAAGTTCCCCATCCCGTTCGACACGCCATCCATGCCCGCAGCGTCGTCCACATCCGGGATCTCGTCGATGTCACCAGGATTCGCTGCGGAGTCGTGCGTCGACGCGCGCCCTGCGTGTGTCTCGACCCATTCGTCCGACTCGTTCCCTGTAGAGGACAGGTCACCGAAGGAGAGAAGCCGTTCCGCGTCCTCGTCCGCGTCAGTGTAGGCGAGTGCTGTAGCCCGGCGCAGGCAAGGCACTCCGTGCGTTACGAGGTATTGCTTATCGGCCGGGAGATAGTCTCGCGCCTTCGACGTATCGCCCTTCTCCCTGAACATGCCACAATGAGAGTGCACGGATATTTAGAGAAATGGAATGAAGCTCACCAGGACCACACGGGGAACTTGTACGCCAAGAAGTCTCCTGCAGCTACAAACTCCTCTGTAAGTTCCAACTATTAGTGCACTACAATTTTAGCAGCAGTTTTGGCACAACCTGGTGTTATCCGGCCATGCTCCTTGAACTTGCTTTCCTTCAAGACCTTCAGAATGATATATCAATACGATGCAAGCGCCGCATTATGCCGTGAATGGCATACAGGACTCAAGTAGTCTCGGACTGCCCAATATTGTTGCTATTCATATCAGACTGGTAATAAGCAAAGCAACTAGCAAGAAATGCATTCACGACGTACTTGGATCGCATGCATGTTCTACGGTGTAAAAGTGTAAACTGGATGCGCGAAGTGAACGCGACGTGTGAGCAATCGATCTTAGTGCATAGCCGAAACACAGAAATCCAAATGAGGCAGTCGCGGTTCACCTCGCCGCGGTAGGCCCTTCAAGTACTTCTGTGCAGCAGAAGTGAACCAGCGCTCCAGACTGAAGGTCTTTGCACAGAAATGTTGACACAGAAATTTATATCTAGTGACTCGAAGCGCTGTCCTAGTCTAGCCAGCTCGGTGGTATATCGCCCAACCCAGGATTTTGAAGGTCTGTGACGTATAAATTCCGACATGATGGAACAGTACGAATATTACAAATACGTGGAAATGAGTGATTAGAGATACAGCTGGACGCTCGTCGCCGAATAATGACGAATAATGGACTATACAAATGCACAAGGAAGGTCCGCCTGAAGGAGGTGAAGAATTACTCATCCAACTGCCACGCATTGTCTTTTACTATCTTCTCTCGCTCCAGCAGATATTTCCCTATCAGCTACATCGGTGAAAGGCACGGGTGTGATTGACACCAGCTCACCTTCCTTGTATTTCTGAGAATTATCTGAAGCTTTGTGGTAGTACCACCCAATACGTTCGTTGCACCCCATACAATAGATGTCTGCCACGGTGTGTACTCCAGTCCTAAATGAACGTTCCGATGTCAGATCTTGAACAATCCTCTGGGAGAAGTCAGGCTCACAAGAGGGGCCGATCCTCTTTCTTCCCCAGCTTGACGTTCACCGCGGAGTGCATCAGGCTGAAAACAACACAGCACACGTCGTAATAGTTTTGGGTTCGAGGATCAGGAGGAACTTACTATCCACGGCCTTCCCGCCCAGAGAACGACTTACTGATCAGTTCGTCTTGAAGAGCCTAAGGAAAGACTCCCTGAGCACATTGTCTGAAACAGAGATGGTATCTGGACACAGACGATCACAGCGGCGCACTGGGAGCACAGGAAAGTAGACCGGCCGTGGTATACGACAACAACCTCAGCCTTCGTATCAGAATTAGGCGAAGCCATTCTCTGATGCTGTTGTCAGAATCCACGAGACATGCCGATACTAGTGTATAGAGCCTGCTATGGGGATATCAGGAGATTGAGCAGAAGGTATGTCAAGAGAAACGAGCAGTTCCAGCTCAGGGGGCGGCCGGTGCCAGAACACGGAAAGTTGCCACTTTTGGGAGTCGCACCTCCGGTAGCATTTCTTGGGCATCATCCTGCTGAGTTCTCCGCCCGTGCTCGAGAACTCTGAGGCAGCATGGTCACGGTGTGTGCCACTTGATCGACCTTTATTCGGACAATGTAGCATTTCCACTGTCTCTCAGGGGCGGAATTCTTCTCTTCCTCACAATCTCAGAATAGTATTGTATGGTGTCAATACGCTCGAGGTACTAATGAACGGCTGTCCAACTTCGTGACTTTACCAGTGTTGCCGCTAAACTCACATCCTCTGACCAGCCAGGTCATTCATAGCTTTCTGGACTTCCAACTTTTCCATCACCGCTCTGTGTAAGCTGGACTTGTTAGTCCGACCTTGTTTACCTCGACCCTTTGGCGCGTTTGAATCGGATGTCGTAGATCCTACCGCGCCTGCATCATGTTCAGTAGAGTGCGGCGAATGCGGCTGAGAAGCGTTTGTAGCTGTGGATGTCAGATGGGATGGGACGATGATGGGTGTTGGACGGGGAGGTGGAGGCCACTGGTCGGTTCCACAGTCAGTCAGTGGTTAGTCCGATCAAAATAGAAGACATACGCCACGATTGGGTTGGTTGAAATGTAGAGCCGCCCATGGCGGATATTCTTTTTCTAGTTGAATGATGTGGTCCTCCAAAAATTTCAGGCGATCGAATAGCGATCGTGGAGGGGAAGGCACTGTGTGAAATGGCCTTCAGAAAATTCAGTAGTTATAGCGCGAAGCCGTTCGTACCATAGCGAACCGCAAGATGGGTCTCGACGTTCCCCAGCCGCTCATCCAACGCGGGGTATAGCTCAGCACCCACATCGTCAAAGCTTTGCTCTGCGTGACCACGAGGTGCTGTGGCATCTCTGCAACTTCGTCCTTGTGCAGTGCTGGCGTCTGGCGCCGAACCAACGCGTAAAGTTTTCCTCAGCGGACCGTCTTCGTTTTTTGCGATATCGTACTTCATCTGCACATCTCTATTTTGCGTCTTCGCATCGGTGCGAGAACAAGATGAGATAACGCCGGAAGATTCTTCGCCAAGCTCGCTCAGGCGACGGCGTTTCTCAGTTAATGACTGCAAAAATTCGGTACGGTTCGACTCGTCGTTTCGAGCGCGATTCTGGGCCAGAAAGAGGGATATGGACTTCGTGATCTAAATCAGAAAGCTGAGAATCTAAGCAACATTTTAATGCAGATGTGAACTTACTGACGTCTGAGAGCGAGGTACAGCGCCATTGGCGAAGTGCACGTAATCAAGTTTCCTCTCTTCTAAAGAACGCTCTTCAGGCTGTTCTTGCTTTGCAATCGCATTTTCTTCTTCTGCTCTCTTACTTTCTCCAAGTCGCTGAAAAGATTAGGTCATCAGAGGAAGGCGGACAGCTGCCATGTCACACATACCAGAAGTTCTCTCATCAGTTCACCTAGAGCTGTTGGGACGGTTTTACGCTCCCATTCTGTGTTCATGATAACCATGTCTGCTTCAAAGCCTCTCAATGCTTGTGTCAATCCTACAGAAGAGAGGAACGTCTTCATAACAGCATCCCATTGTTTATGAAACGGAGGGGGAGGTGAGGGAGAAGGTGAAGGGGTTTTAGGCTTGGACTGAGTCTGTGGTACAGCTGAAGGATAGGACGGTGTCTGTGACGGAATCAACGGTGAAGTTTGTGGATATGAGTACTGGTACGTCCCCGTGCCCCCATAAGGATATGCAGCCGCAGGCCATGCGTTGCCCCAAGCGGTTGGCGAGTAATTATAATAGCCATACGATGTGACTTGGTTAGGGCCTTGATTCGTTCTCAGCTGTTGAGAAATATTATTCGTACTAGGGTAGGACGGGTAGGACTGAGACGGAAGGGTGCTTTGCGCGGTAGAGAATCTCGCTGCGGCACATCAACACGGTCAGTCTGCAGAAATCGAGGCTGAAAACCTATAACTTACCCGAAGATTGACCATAGCTTTGGTAATGACTTCCGTGATTACCGGAAGATGCTACGGTTAACGCTCGTTGTTGGGGAGCATCTTGCGGAGTACCACTGTATGTCTGATCTTCACTACTGGAAGATACAACAGTACTGCCAGAATTGTGATTGTCTGGCGCGTGATGGGATGAGCCCGCAGCCGAAGGAGGAGGCCCGAGAGTCATGGAAGTCTTTAAGGCTCAAAATGGAAATACCCGCCGTTATTTGCCCAGTAAACAAACGCGGGGGGTCACTTCCCCATTGGATCACGTGTATATTAACACTGTACTGACGGAACTCCTGCTAACAGTGCGTGCATTACATCCAACTGCATAGCGTTGAACTTGGTTTGAACACGCCACATTTCAACTGGAGTGGAACGAACTGGGACTAAAGAGAGAATTATGGCTGTCGAGATGAATCACTTTGCTCCACCGACTTACCGACCGCGGGAAGACGAGCTCCCGCCCGAGCTGATTGTCTCAATAGAACGCGTCCTTGACCTACACCATGGCCAGGAAACCGACAGTCTAGACAGACTGACGAATGAATTTGATTCAGTGAGCGTCTTGAACGGCTATTTCCCCGACGGTATGTGTCACTTGACATCGTTTGTACTTCAGACTAGGGTGACGGTGCTAAAAGGCTATGCATAGAGGCATCGCTTGGTCAGTTGGAAGCCGTACAAGCACGGCTTTCTAACAACGAGAAGGAGCTCCAGCGCGAGATCGACTCCCTCAAGGAGGAGCTGAGACATGACCAGGATCCGGGCAGAATGCAACTGATCCAAGAGATGATTTCTGTATGTCTCGCATCACTAGTTGCAGAGTTGTGCACATTAAATTCAAAAAAGTTATTACTCTTCCCTTTGGTTATAGGATCTTTTGGGGCAAATGTCTCGCATTCGTGAGAAGGCGACTGAGTCTGAGGCCGTTGTGAGAAACATAACAAAAGAAATCCAGGTCCTGGATCTGGCAAAGAAGAATCTGATATTGAGCATGACGACTCTGAAGAGGCTCCAGATGTTAGGTGCGTCAGTGCGACAGGGAAAATAGACGCACTTCGTTGACTCTTCGGTATGCTGTATAGTGAATGCCCTCAGCCAGTTAGAAGATCAAGTGAGAGACAAGAAGTACCACGAGATTATACAAACGCTCGCCGTGAGTCGTAAATTCTTATCCCTTTTCCCTCCATTCAACTATCTCTGTTCTTTAACAGGCTGTAAAACAAATAGGCGCTTCCTTTAAGCCGTACACATCTGTCCAACGCATATCCCAAATTTTGCGACGCATTCACGACATACAGAATGAACTCCGACTGAAGATTGACATGGACTGGGAGAACTTGTAGGTATACGTCCACATTCTGTGTACCTGCGACCATAATTTGTCGTTCAGCTATATGCAAGACCCCTCCAAAACCGTCAAGCCGTCAATCATTACAGACGCCTGTCTGGTAGTGGATGTAATCGGCGCCGACTTCCGCACTCAGTTCGTGGAGCGCTACGTTGCGCTAGAGCTCAAGGAATACAGGCGCATCTTCCGGCCGACAGACGAGGCGGGACAGCTTGACAATCTGTCTCGTCGCTTTGCGTGGTTCCGCCGCCTCATACAGACGCACGAGACAGAGCAGGGTAGGGTCTTCCCAGCGGAATGGCGCGTCGGATGGTTCCTGTGCTCCAAGTTCATTGAGATTACCAGGTGCGCGACGCTGGAATCCTCTCAACTGGAACATTTGTCTTGACTGAGTCTTAAAATTTAGAGATGACATATCGGTGTTGCTATCAAAGGCGGGATCAAAGCTTACGGTGAAGCAGTTACTGGATACCCTTCAGGAAACGATGGATTTCGAAGCGTCGATGACAAGGAAATATGCCACACCGGTAGGTTTACCAGCGGCATGTGCTTTCGTTTCGTGAGTTGACGAGGACCCTTTGGCACAGATCCTGGACATTTTGAAGGCAACACAACCTGCAGGGGCATCACGTCCTTTGCGGTCTATCACCTCGGCTTTCGAACCTCACATGGGCGTATTCATCGATGCACAAGACAAGTTAGTGCCTTTCTCTTCCTCTTGTTCCGCTGTCGCTGAGACCATTCATTTGACTTTTTACAGAGTGCTATCTGGCATGCTATCTCAATACAGAGGCTCTAAGTCGCGATCATCCCTTGAGGCAGCTTCAGCGCCTGCGGGATCAGGCGACGACGGTTCGCCTCCTGTTTTGGTCCTCCCGTCTTCGACAGAATTGTTCTATTTCTACGCTCAGACGCTGGAGAATTGCGCCAAGCTGTTCACTGGACAGCCATTGTTTGATCTCTGCGCACTGCACAAGAAGTGGCTCAGAATCTACGCGGGTAAGTGCACCGTTTTGCTACGAGTGACGTTCAGGTTACGGATGTTGCGTTTCAGAGGACGTCTTGATGGCCAGTATGAAGCGGTGCGCTACTTTCGGCCCCACCTCGTGATACCTTCTGATATATACATCACTTAGGCCTGCAATTCAGTCAAGGAAGTCGATGGACAACCGCTTCGATCTTAACGAGCTGAAAAAAGCATGCACGCTCATAAATACCGCCGATTACTGCCATTCTACTGCGCTGGAGGTAAGATGATCACATCCTGCGAATGTCATCACCTGATTGTCCTGTCTTCGTAGCTAGAAGAAAATATAAGAGAGAAGTGCGACGAAGCATTCAAGCCTAAGATCACCTTGCAGGATGAACGGGATCTGTTTGTCAGGTATGTGTCTACTGTATTTCTCGGTCTTTTCGATTTGACCTTTCCTGTGCAGTGCTATCTCGGCAGCAATCCAAGTTATGTTGCATGAGCTTGAGGCTGCATGTGACCCATCGTTCTCTGCCATGGCTCGCACCGCATGGTCCCTTCTGAAGACAGTCACCGGCCAGTCTGTTTATGTAGAGGAACTCGTAAATGCGATTGAGCAGGTGGTTGAAGTGGTCAAGCCTTTAGTAGAGCAGAAGAAGTACCTCCGGAACTTCATGGACAAGGCGTCGAGGTTTGTCTCGACAATTCTCTGTGCTCTAGGTATTTACGGAGATGTGTTTTGCAGTGTTGTTCTTTCAAAGTTCACCACTGCTCTAGTGAAGAGTCGACCTCTTAGAGAGATTGGAGCGGAGCAAGTCAGTTGTACCATCCTCCCACGAGTCGACACGTCCACTAATCCATTACAGCTCCTCATCGATCTGCAGGCACTTAAGGCTGCACTCCTTCGGATACCCGGCGAAGTATTAACTACGACAAAGTGAGTAACAATTTGAATTGTGGAGGATCGATATTTACGTGTCTTGTATAGCTACACACGAAGTGTGACAAAACAGACAACACGGCTGGAAGCATTGTTAAAAGTCATTGTCACACCTGTGGTAAGGTATCTAACTGCATCATTGTCACCTCGGGTTTGACGGCGGCGACTTTAGGATCCAGCTGAAGGATTCATCTTGAACTATACCCTCGTGATTGGAGATGCTTCGTTTTCTAACTTCCAAAAGGCCAGTGGAATGGTGACGAGCCAATGATCTCGGCATTGACATTGTTACTTAGGTTCTAGACCTGAAAGGCACGACGAAAGCAGAGCAAAACGATCTCCTAGATACCTTCCTGACGGTTACTAGCACCAAGACAGACCTAGAGAGCACCTCATTCTTGTCATCGCTCGACATGGATCCTGGGCACAACACCAACATGACCAGCCCAGGCAATAGCCGCGTGTCTCTCCTCCCCGGAGCAGTTACGGGAGACGGCATTCTTGCAGCTCTCGGTTCACCGCCGCTAAGTGGTCCGCCGACAGGCTCGGATACGCCGCCAAGGACGGATCAGATGACCAAAAGGGAAGTCTTCTCCGACTTCAAGAGGTTTGTCAGTTTCGCAGTGAGAAGGGAGTCAATGCCACCTTCGTGATTCGTTCTCTTTCGATGTCTACGTAGTCTAGGACTGGTTTTATATTGTTGTCGAGACTGCACGATACACCATTGGATAGGATATTCGCGTCTGGATGGGATACACTACTTTGTCAATAGGAGATACAACGGACAGAACTGTTTGTCAGGACAACATAGATGCAAGCTACATAGGTGGTCATTCCTCCATCGCATCGACGGAGGATCCCGATACTGGTAGTGATTGCTCCTTCCACAAGTCGCTCCACTTCGGGAAGACACGCTTGTACAGAGACATGCAGACAGTATCCATCTGGTTGATTGGACCGTCGAAATGCGCCTTCAAATACCCGTGCGTTCCAAGCGACTCGCGGATATGGCCCGTGCGACCGTATTTCGTGTGCAGTTGGATCGGCTTGAAGTAGTTGATATCGTCTTCCAGGAAATGCGTCAGCATATGCCAAGTTCATGGAAATGTAGAGAGGACGTCAGCGCACCAGGGTTGAAGAACATGTAGCGGACGGTGGCCGTCTTTTTGTGGACCTTGAACGGGTGTCCGGTCAGGACGATGCGTTTTGCGATGACGCGTGTCGGGTCGGGGTTGATGAAGCTTCCCATTGCCACAAGTTCTGGTGCTGCGTACATAGTGAGAATCACTGGTGGAGAGCCGGTAGAAGAAGGCTTACATTGCGGGTCATCTGTCTCTCTCAGAAGTAGGCATGGCTGCTTGCCAAACACGGCGGGCCCGTATGTCGTCGCGACGTTAGTGATACCGTGCCGCAGGTACCGCTCAAACTTGTGAACATTGTTGTAACCCTTGCCTCCGCCGCGAGTATGTTGGCTGTATATGGGATTCACGCGCAGCCGTCGAGGACCGACACACAGAATCAAGGGGTCCTGCCAGTGGGATTTTGATGAGTAACTCACCGTTAATGAGAGGATGAATTGATACCTTGGAACGAACTGAACCATCGTACTCAGTGTTGCGCTGCACGGTGAAGTTGAGGACGGTTTTCTTGTGCTCGTGCTCTAGCAGATTGAAGAGCACGAAAGGAGACCTAGAATCCTGCTGCGCAGCTTCTTGTGGTACATCCTTAAGATACACCGTGACACGAACTCCGGGCTGGACAATTCAAACCCATGAGTGAACGAATCTGACATGGCATCGAGACGGCTTCACCTCAATGGCTGCACTGTCTTCTTCTGCACGTCTTCGTATTGCGTGTTCTGTTCGCTTGTAATCTTCGAATTGGAAGATGCGAGCATAGTCTCTTGGCAAGTTCTCGTACGGATCCCACGGGCTTGTTCTGAAAGAGCGCAGTCCACGGTAACGCTGGAAGCGCGTCTGCGCAGGGACGTCCAACGGTGTGTCGATCTCGTCGGGGAACGCAAGGTCGTCTTCCTCCTCACGTTTGCGATTCCGCCAATTCTTCAGCCTGGCCGAAATGATTCGTGAGAAACCAGCTTGGTTCAACCACCAAAAATAATAACGCTTACTGCCGATCCTCCTCCTCCACATCAAGATCCTGGAACGCGACGCTCCGCCGGCCCTCAGTCTCCATCTCGGTGTCGTCGCGCAGCTCGACCATCTCCTCCTCCTCAACGTCTTCCATCTCGACCTCACCCGTGCTCCCTTCCGCCTGACCTTCGCCCTCCTCTGCGTCGTCGCCCTCCTCGTCGCTCTCGTCGATGATCCACGCCGCTTGGTACTCACTCATGCCCTTCGGGATCCGACGCACCGTCTTCGGAGTCGTGCTGCTCTTCGCGTCGGGCAGCGAATCCGCCGGCGCAGACTCCGCGGGGGCCCCGCGCATCTCTTCCTCGGTCGGCCAAGTCTGCTCGTTTGCCAGATCGTCCGGGTCGTTGGTAGACACGAGCGAGTCCGCAGAGGACACGTCCGGCTCAGCAAGAAGCACAGGCTCGACCTCCATCGCCCCCGCAGCAGACCTCGACGTGCGCGGGAGCGGCGCGGACACGATCTACACCACTCATAAGCATCCCCGCAAAGTGAAAATGAAATAAAATAAAATAAAATGTGCATAACACCCACCTTCGCGATCCGGAAGTCCCCGAAATTCGGGAGGTGCACCAGGCGGTCGGCCGAGAGGAGCGCGCCGCGCACGACGCCTGTGACGCCCAGTAGCCCGTCTTGCCACTCGACGTGCTCGCCGAGCACCCACGCGCGGCCCTCGCGCCACTTCGCCTCCGCGGGGCGGCCTTCGCACAGCGCCCGCAGCGCGCCCAGCGCATCCGCCGGCGCGCGCATGTCGAATATCCGCTCCGCGCCGGGCACGAAGTACCGCACGAACGAGAGGAGCGACTTCATGATCCCGCCCTTCTCCTTGGCGTCCATCGGCGCTGCGGCTGCGGCGACGACAGGCACAACAGTGGGGAGGCCCTGCGCCTGCAGCGCGCGGAGGAGAGTGTCGCCCCAGCAGCCGACCTCGACGCGGGACGAGAGCGCCAGGACGACGTAGTCCGCAGCTTTGCAGGCGTCGAGCGCGGCGTAGAGCCGCTTGTGCTGCAGTGGGAGGAGCTGCAGCGAAGTCTTGAACCGCTCCGCTCTGCGCAACGCGTAGTATATGTCGTTTTAAAGTGGAAACATTTTTTAATTAGGTAGGAAGGGCGTAGATCGATAGGAGAGCCGCACCTGAGCCTGTACGACCCGCCCCCACACGCCTCGAGGAGGACCCCGTCCAGCGGTCCCGCGAGTGCTTCGACCACGCTGGCGGCGGTGACGTCCTCGGTGAGAGGGACGATCGCCACGATGCGCGGCGCACCGTCTGGGCCGCTAAAGAGGCGCGTTGCTGAGACGAGCGAATGCCGCTTCCTAAGCTGGGTCTGTCTTGCGTTATTCCGGCGGTTGAGCCGCGCTTGGGCCGCGGCGCTCGCTGCGGGCGAAACTTTTGGGGATTGGCGGGCGAGACGGCCTGTTGGGAGAGTTGGCGGTTAGCGTGGGTATAGAGCCAAGGAGCAGAATATGCGTGAGGGTCAAAGAACAGGGTCGGGTTGAGCTCCCGTAGCGCACAATATCGTACGCCGTCCGGCGCCCACAAGTCTACATTCGAGAATAAAATCACGGAGAACGCACCTTTCGCAGCATCCTTCCGCGCGCCCTTGGTCGCGTGCTTGGACTTGTACGCCTTGTTTTGCTGTGCGGACGATCAGCTCTCGCTCTCACCCAATCGCACTGGCAAGGGAATATACCTGCTTGAGCGTCGGCCGGTGGTGGTGCACCGATCCGGTCATGGTGGGGTGAACTTGAAGGTTGCGGAAGCGCGTCAGAGGACTCTATCGATTGCGCTGTCGATTTTGGATTAGACCCTTGAATACAGAGCGTGGACAGCCTGATCCTGATTATTTTCGTGCCCGAGTGTTGCGCAGGTACGACCACGGTGGAACAGCGAGTGCAAGACCGGAAAATATCCTTAGCAACAACTTGCAGATCAGGGTTTTCCCCCTCACACCGTCCACACGAAAACGCGTTTATCACGCTCTTGCATTTTAGCGGGGACCACGTGAGTTGTCACGCGTGACAGGCAGGTCAGAACTGGGTCTATCTTAAGCGCCTGGAACGACGCGCAAGTAGACGCGTCACGCTCAGCCCTCGTTCTACTCCCAGTCTTCCCTCCATTCCATCCACTCTTTTCCGCTCTCAACATGGTATGTCTTAGCACATTTTCTGTTTGCTATTGACATGAAAATATTGGAGCATAGGCCAGACGTTATGATAGTGCGTTTGTACTTCTTACTTGCCCGAGCACCCACTAATGCGAAACCTTACCTAGGCCGCACGACAATCTTCTCGCCAGAAGGCGAGCACCAATTTGGCTGTCTGTATATTCTGATTGCTAATGCTTGCATGTGCTTAGGTCGTCTTTACCAGAGTGAGCCCTCATTGTTAATTATTTCTCTCTTGCGCCTGTTTCTCAGCATATAACCACCGAAACAGTCGAATATGCTATGGAGGCGATCTCACACGCCGGCACAGTACTCGCAGTACTAGCGAAGGACGGTGTCGTGCTTGCCGCGGAGAAGAAGGTGACAGGAAAGCTGCTTGATCTCTCCCTCGCAAAGGATGGCGGTTATGGCGGGAGCGGCGAGAAGATCTTCTTACTCAATGCGTGCGCCCTTCAGATACATATACCATATACTCTTCTCATGGCAGCTTTCACCTGATATACAGAAATGTTGTCGCCGGCGTGGCGGGTATCACTGCGGACGCGAACTCACTAGTAAACTTTGCGCGGCAAGCGGCACAAAAGCATCTGTTCTTGTATAATGAAGATATTCCTGTCGAACTCCTCGCGCAAAGGCTCTGCGATCTAAAGCAGGGCTACACACAATATGGCGGTGCGTGTCTCGTCTGGCGCTTTTGTCACTGTTCCTTTTTCTTTCGTGCTGTATTGACGCCGGGAGATCAGGTCTGCGTCCATTTGGTGTATCACTACTGTATGCGGGATATGACCCACACTATCAGTTCCAGTTGTACCACTCTGATCCATCTGGGAACTATTCTGGTTGGAAAGCGACATGCATCGGCGCAAACAACGGGACAGCGCAAAGCTTGCTCAAGCAGGAGTACAAGGACGACATGTCAGTGGAGGATGCAGTTGGCCTTGTTCTGCGGACGATGAGCAAGACGATGGACAGCACGACTCTGGGCAGCGAGAAGCGTGAGTGCGCTGTTCTTTCATATCGTTGTTGGCGGATTTTCGTCTGCTCGAGGGACCATCAATGTGGGAACTGACCTTGTTTCCCGCAGTGGAGTTTGCGACTTTGACCCTGGACGCGTCCAAGCAGCCGAAGGCAAAGATCTACAAACCCGCAGAAATTGATGCGCTTCTGCAGAAGCACGACCTGGCCAAGAAGGATGAGGATACAGAGATGGCATGATTAACTACTGTCGGTGCGCTGTATATGAGTGGACTCATTCCGTGTATAAGATCTTATTTTCCCTGCTTGGTTGTCTTGTCTGCCGTTGCATCACCATCGCTCTTTCTGATTGTTTCTGGTGTTGGCTCGACTCCACTGTTGTCTGATTATACTCACCGATCTGTATTTATGGCCTCACACAGCTGCTGTACGTTCTGTACGAGTATCTCAGGAGGTTTCCTCGGGACGTGATTCAATTTCGTGCGATGGTTTGAAGGCATTCTAGCTCGGTGGTTCCTGGGCTGCGATATATCAACCTTGAGATGCTTGACTAAGTGGGCCCAAAATACGGTAGGAGTCACGAAGTTATCACTGAATAGAGAGGTTTTTCTTTCACATAGTTCGTTAGACACGACGTGTCAGAAGGATAGCTGGCCAGTGCGCTTGCACGCTGTGCAAGCCGTTCGCATCGATGCCCAAATCAATCGTAGTCACCTGCCTAATTTGGACGAGCAGTGGCAGGTTTCGCACCACGTGGTACGACGCGACGCGTCTTTAAACGGGCAGGAGTCCGGTTGAACTCTTGGGTATAAGTTCGGGCGACGCAGCTCTCCAGTCTCGCCTAATATCTCTCCGGGTATCTCTCTCAATATACTACTTCATTGTGCTTTTATATGCGTGGCATTCCGCCATGCTTATTCTCTCGCTCATTTTCACTGGCGCAATCGCCTTGGTCGGGCTGTTCGGCGGTGTTCCTACTGGGGTGTCTGACTTGTGGTTCAATGTTCATGTTCTTGATGAACTGCTGTACCCGGTTGTCTACCTCGTCGATGCATTTTTTGACAAGTTGGAGTACGTTGTGGCAACTAGACCGTCGACTGATACTTACGAACGTCAAATCAGAACCATGGACTCCGGCACATTTCTACCGTTCAACATGCTACGTTTGCCTCCCTCGTTACCCGCCGTTCCCGATACTCTGCTTGAGATCCATATCATGGCTTCGACACCGACCGAGTCGTACCCCTCGATCTCCGCAAATTTGATTACTACATATACCGCCGCAGGTGCGCTATACGACACTCCGTCTATCTACCACAGACTAGTTTCGCCAATCTCTATGTCCGCAGCCAATCAGCACTTCTTTGTCACTATATGCATCGCTGGTCTCTCCCTGTCCGTCGCCACGACCCTCGTTTCCATGCTTGTCACCATAATCCGAGACAGGCTTCAACATGGTCAGGAAGGGCTCAAACACGACTCGAAGAAGGTGGCGCACACCGAGCACAACTCTGCATCTATCGTAAGTTATTGTCAATGGTGCGTATTTACCCACAAGCCTAAAGTAATCGCACTAGCTATCGCAGTCCATCATTCCACTCATGCCTTCTGAGGAGCCGGCGCCTCGACGTATTAGTAGCAGTAACAGCCTTGAACTCTTTGGGTTCCCCAGCTCTTCATTCGATTTGCCGCTCCCCGCTGCCGCAGCTTGCGCCAATACCGTCTTAATTAGTGTAGAATCGGTCCTTGCAGGCCTCGGCTCCGATAAATCTGAAATCACTGCGATGGCTTTCAGCGCAGACTCTAGTGCGACCAGAGGCAATGCCTCCGACGCGGTCGGCACATCGTCCCCCACTACTGCAGATATACCGCTTGCGGCCGCCGTCGAGGAACAGCCTGTCCCGAGCTTTGCCGCACTGCTCCCTCCCATCGTTGACGAACTTTTGGTCCCCGTCGTGGACGAACAGTCTGTCTCCACCGCACAGGCTATGCCCCCTGCTAGCGCAGAGCTTACTCACGCCGTCGAGGCTTCCGTTGGCGAGACCGACTCATCTAGCGTCGGTTTAAGTCCATCGTCGCTGCCAGATCTCGTCTCATCCCCAAGGCCGTCAAACCAGTCAGAGACACCCATGACGCCCTCGGGCGTCCGTCGCAGCCGTCGGGCTGGTGCGCGGGTGCACGTCCGACAGAGCCGCGCTATCGAGAAATGTTTTTCGGAGTTGCAAGAACTGCCCTTTCAGATGGAGGCTGAGGTAGGGTCATATACTCATGAATTTCCAGCTTACGGGAACGGTCTTTGACAGCCTTCCGCTTTACCTTCGCCAGTCGTGATACCGCCTTCGCCGGTGTCCATCGCGCTTTCACCCCTGCAGGCGCTGATCGCGCTCATTCCCTTGGCAGTCCGGTCGATTCCATCGCCGAGTGTAAGGGCGGTTATTGAGCCCGTAGGAGTTTCTGGTCCTTTTTCGCCTCCACGCTTGCCAGAGCCATCCAGTAGAAGTGTGAGCTCCGTGCATGTACTGAGCTACAATATGCTAAGTTGCATGTCTGGAAACAGCCGCTCCTTTCGATGTCCAGATTGTCGGGCCTTCGGGCATCGCTCTGGGCACCATCTCCGGAGGATGGTCCTACACCCTCCCCTGCTCCCAACGCAACCGTAATCGGTCCCGACTTCTCCCCGGGGGATCATCGTCACCCGCTTGCAAGCTCCAAGGCTGACAGGAGTTCATGGTGGACAACTTCGGCGTCACCTGCTCCAAGAGTGTCGAGGTGGGAGGGCTCAAGTGATTCTAGTTCTTCCTCGCGCACCCGTTATCCTGGGCTAGCAGGTCTAAAGGTTGGCGGGTACATGGGCAGACTTGCTGAACTGTGGAGTACACGTGCAGAGGATACATGCACTTCTGCGAGTTCACAGACGGCAGCGGTGAGCGGAGAATCTTCGCATTTCCGCTTGATCGCTACTCACAGCGTACACTCATAGGGATCATGAGCTGGCCAGTGGTGCTCGTGTTTCAGTGGTTCCTCACGAGTCGCTGCTAAACCTGTACACTATCAGTCGTTGCTGCCCCTCGTCGGTAAGACGTGACTTTTCCGCATCCTCAACGCCCTTCTTACATATGCTCATCTCCAATTGGACATACTATTATCCCTGTTGAACTTTAGTATTTGTCTTTAATCATCTAACTAGGTATCTATTCACAGCACATCCTAACCAGTGACTTCCGACTGTATCACTATTGTTCTGTATCCAGATATCGTATGTATTGGTGCATCTATATCTCCTAGCTTCTGACTGTATAGGCAACGCATTGGAATCGTATATTTCATCCGCCACACGTGCCTCTCTGGGTACGGAAGACTGCAGTAGCGGTGTGACATTGGTGAGCGATCTCATGCGTAGACATGGTACATATAACATGCATAGAAGGATGGTGGTATTGAATAACGGGTTCATGTCGCACAGGAAATCATGTCCTCCTTCTGAGTAATGCCAAGGCGTGCTGTCCGCCACAAGAACCGGCGACTGCAGCCCACGACCCGCCTTCCCTCCGCACGACGACGGTAGGAGTCTTTACGTCTTCGTCGTGCCCAAGCCCGAGCTCGCCGACGACTTGTCGACCCCACGAATACAACGCTCCGTTTCGAGTCACAGCGAGGTTGTTGTTCGTCCCGCACGAGATCTGGACCACAGGGTCGTCATCATCGGGAAAAGTCACCAGCGCAGGCTCTGCCAAGAAACCCGGGAATGGAGGATTCCGGAATGCAGGGTCGTCGTCCGCGAGCCCCAGGCGACCTTCCCCGGAGAGGCCGCATGCATACACCTTACCATCCGACGTGAGGAATAGTGTGTGGAGATCCCCGCCGGCGATCTGGACGACCGTCGCGCCGTTGAGGTCCGCCTTGGTGAGACCGACAACCTTCTTGGGTGTGTGCACCTCGAGGTCAATATGCGGGGAGCGCATGCCGGTGCCGGTTTGGCCCTTGCTGTTCACGCCCCACCCCCAGGTAGTGCCTTCGGTGTCGACCGCGAAAGAGTGGTTGTTGCCTGCACCGATGACGACGGCTTTACGGGTTCGGTTTCCCAAAATAATCTTCTCGGGGACGGTTCCGTGGAGCTTGCGCCGTTCGATCACGCGGCGACCGAGCTGGCCCTCCTCGCCAGTGCCTAGCGTGTAGATGTTGCCACGCGTGGTGAGCAGCATGAGGTGATTATTTCCGACAGCGGCATCTACGACCTTTTCAGAGGGCAGGTCCAGCACCGGGATGGGACGGAACTGTAACTGAGAGCCGCTCGAGAAGCCTACGAGTCCTTGGTTACCCTGAGAGATACAATTAATGTTAGAATTCAAGGCACTGGCACTACGAACTTCATTTTCTGGTACTTACACGGAACGTTCCCCAGACGCGTAATTCGCCCGTGTCACTGATCGCAGCGGACACGCTGTCCCCCGCGACGACTTTCACGGCACGGAAAGATTCGTCGACGAGACTTTGGATGGGGACAGGTACGGTAGTCGGCTGGCCGGTCCTTTTATCGACTTCGAGAAGTTCCTTATCATTCTTCGGGTCGGGAACATTCACAGTCACCCGACCCAATGCAGCATTGTCATTTGCGCCGCACGACCAGACCTGCGACAATATTGGCATGAGCGCGGGCTGAGTAATTGTACAGCAGATACGTACGGTGCCCTTCTCATCCACAAACAGGGTATGCAGCCCGCCTGCTGCAATAGCCTCCAGGCCCGCTCCTGGTTCGCCAAATACACCCGCTGCAATGGATTGTTCGACGTATCGGTTACGCCACGGCTTGTCGAGCTGGCCCGTGAAGTCCTCAGAGATCCCAAGCTGGCCGGAATTTCCTTCCCCCCACCCAAATAATAATAAGGGTGGGCGTAGATGCGCAGGCGGTGCAGGAAGAGCATTCATGGTACAACTAGGATGAGGGCGAATGACATGCGCAAATGGAAGGAGGGTGGAATGTCCTCCTTACGCGCCCGTTCTGTGCTGGACACGTCTTCCGGACGATGGCAGTATTTCTAACCACCTTTTGCAGAATAACGACTGATGTTCGCGGAGCTGCAGGACGACCATACCATCGTACGCCACAGTCACATAGCCTACAGCAAAGCTTGCAGAGAGCAAGTCACGGGTTTGTGTGATCGCAGCAGTATAGTACTTCGCGGATGCAACCGACTTCCCTGCTTCACACACCCACCAGTCGACTCACCCACACGCACAGCAGTCGATAACGAACCCCGTTCAACATGTTTCACGACGGCCACAACATGGTTACGGGCCCGATGTGCAAAATGAATATGTTGTGGAACTACCAGATCGTGGACACCTGCGTCGTGTTCCGCGAATGGCACGTCTCCTCCAACACCACGTTCGCCCTGTCCTTCCTCGCCGTTGTCGCTCTCGGTGCGCTCTACGAGTGGCTGCGCAGTGCGCAGAGGGCCCTGGACTGCCGCATCGCCGCAGCTCTGGTTGCACAGGGCAAAGGCAAGGCGCCCGTAGAAAATGGACGGGACGTCGAAGCTGACTCGGAGGATGCAGGACTGTTGACGGGCGTTCCTGTGGTGAAGACAAGGGTAGGGTGAGTGTGAATGATACATTCGAACCGTGAAAGCGTATCAATATCCGAATCATGCGTTAGTACACCTGTGCCTCTGTCAGCCCGGATCTCCAGAGCTGCTCTCTACGCCGCGACGGTGTTCTTGTCGTTCTTCCTCATGCTGGTTTTCATGACCTACAACGTACGTATTATTTTGTATTTTGTAGGTGTGTAAGTGCTTGCCGTTGACTTTGCACTTTCTCATAGGCATATCTGATCCTGGCTGTTGTGATCGGTGCAGGCGTGGGCCATTTCGTATTTGGATCGCACATGGACGTTCAGGCCGTGCTGTCTGGTACTGCAGACGTCAAGGGCATGGCGTGTCATTAAGGCGCTTAATGATTTTTGCAGGAAGGCAGGAATGCTCGAGTACGATTGTAGAGTCTCGTTCTATTCATTTTTTTACCCTCCACTCTCACATATGCGGCTAAAACCTGGATTGGATCTCTGGTGTGTTGTAAACATTTCAAGCTGTCGAATTTGTTATCGTCGTGTTTTGCTGCTTAGCTTCCACATTGCGCCGAGTCATGTACAATATACCAGATACACATTGTGATGCTACAATACCGCCCGTGAAGACGTCGTGAATCCCAGTAAGTTAGGATCGTATCAGCGCACGAGCTGTGCTATGGACGAACGCCCAGACCACGGAAATAACACAGCAACAGCAGAGAAAGTACTAACAAACGTATGTACCAGATTTTGAGGCAGATACGGTCGACAACCATACTGCCTCATAGAGCACAACTCTCGTCGCTCATCGTCTGATACCCCGCGCAGCAGGAACACCGCGACCACGACGGGCTGCAAAGAAAATACGATGAGAAAACACAGCTGTCAGGAACAGAAGTCGTTCGCATACCATTCGCTGTAGAAATGGAAAGAAAATGTGAGACACAAAATTGGCAGAGTCGAATAGAGACGTACCCCGCATGATAGTCGCACGTCCACGAGCCGTACCGATACCCCTCCCCCTCATCGCGTTGGGCCCCACGCGCTTGAACCTGCAGATACGAGTCAACCCCACCCCAACCACAGGAGACTCAGTGTGCTCACATCGGTGCGTTCTGCAACATGTCCGGGACGATGAAAAAGCGGACCATACTTCCCCTGATGTACACCTGGTCTAGCTGTGTCACACGGCCATCCCGCCCGGTAACGGTTATATCCTTCAGGGAGATGTTCAGATTGTCTTCCGCTGCAAAACGCACGTAGTAAATCGGCAGCGGAAAATAGATGGGAATGTCGGCTGAGACGCACCCTCAGCGAGCTTGCCGCGGTACAGCTGCCCGGTCTTGAGCTCTACGGTAATGATGTGACCAAGCGACTCGTGGAGCAGCTTCACCGGAACACCTAGTCCTGCTGTGGTCATTTTTTGCGTTGATACGAGAAGGTGGTAGTTCAGAGACTGAGGTGCAGGACGCCACCCGGCTGCCTCGTGGTTTGTTTGTGCGCTTTTCCAAAGTTGGTCGTACAAGGATCGTCTTCGATCTCTCACCAACTTTCGGGATCACTGTATACCTCGCACGCCCGACATGAGCTAGCTAGCAATGTACGGCTCGGTTTCCCAGGTGCTGGCTCATTGCTGAGGTTGCTTTCTCGCTGCTGTTGTCAAATATCCAGTCGCGAGCCCCCTATTTCATATTTTCTATAAGGTTTAGAGAGATGCTCTGCAGCTTTCGTAGAATGACTGAGAGGTTCTATGACATTGATATTGTGAATGATATTGTGAATGTCTTAGGGTGACTAACAAATGTAATTCTTTGATGTGTCTGGAAAGAAAACAGAACAATGTTTTTTTTCTCTTTGGAGGAACCGCAACCGCAGCTTGAACAGCCCACGATAAACAATGTTCGTGTCTACTACCTCCGGTGTGGTTCCTTAAGTTTAAGCATACCAAACTATGAATACTGCACAAGTGCTCAAGAATGAATGTTCTTTTTCAGCATTACAAGTAAGAATAACAACTGCATTTCACAGGAAAGACACACTGTAACAGGCACACAAATGCACTAGGAAGCCAGTTGATGCCACTCAAGAAACCCACATAACAACCCGACGAGCGTAGCTAGTCCTCATGCATGTCCTCGTCTCGGACCTCAAAAGACTCCTCGGCTTCATCTTCATCAGCAACTTCAGGCTTCAGACCGGCCTTCTTGAGAGCCTCTGCAGAAGCGTAGTCCACGCGTACGCCACGGGTGCGGCGGGGGCGGATTGCAGTGGGATCAATTCCCTCAAGCTCGTCTTCCTGCAACGGCCACGAACGCGTCAGCAAGAATGCGACTGCAGAGACAGGAAAAATCGCACCTCAACCATGTCATCGTCCTCGTCCCCTTCATCTTCCTCCTCGTCATCCTCGTCATCGTCCTCGTCTTCGTCCATAGTGTCAGCGGGCACAGATTTGCCTTTGCCCTTGCCCTTGTCCGGAGACGCGCTTTGAGTAGGCGCAACTTGCGCGGACGTGTTGGTGCTGCGAAAAACGCGACTGAGAATTCGAATGGTGATGAGTGAACGAGAACTCACGCGTTCGAGTGGGCAGTCGCGTCGGTGGACATCGTGGTTTATTGAACACGGGTGTGGCTGATGGTGATGGTTGCCGAAAGAAAAGCGGTCGGACCGCTGGACGAAAATGGAGCGATGGCCGAGACAAGCGCTGGTAGGACGCTTGGCCATACGCTCGTTCTCTTCTCCTCTCACACCCGCTTTTCCTGGCTGATCATTTCGTCTGAGAACGGCTAGTTAATTGCAACGGTGGGCGCCGTCGCTGCAGCGCCGGAGTCAAGGACAGATTCAAGGACAGCAGGCAACTATGGCAGGTACAATCACCCCGTTCCCTCTCGACGACTCTCCCTCAGCCAGGCCCTCTTCTCCACGGCGCTCTCTCTCTCTCCAACCCGTACTCCGTCTGTTTGACCGTGAGGATTCTCTCGGGATGCAGCCGCGCACCGCGCGCCCAGCCAGCGTCTCTGCCCGCCCATCTACTTCGCCCTCAGAGCCCAAGCCGTTCCTCACGCTCAAGCTGAGCAGCCCATCGTTCCTAGACACCGTGATCAAGGATGATGGGACGAAGGAGCCACTCTACATTGTTCAGACCGCAGGCGAGCTCACTTCCGTACACCGTCTCGATAAGGTGCGCCGAGTAGCCACCAGAGCGGCCGCTGTCCAGTGGCCACCGAACATCATAGATGTGGCGAAGACGAAGGGAAAGGGTAGGTCGGGAAAGAGCATCCAGCTCGCGGGCTCCTGGCGCGATGCTGAGGATTTCCTCAGGTTAGGGCCATTAGGCAACCTGACGTGAGTCTGCTTTCTCGATTTCCAGGATCTCTGTACTCGACATGGCGTCGGAAATGTCAAGTTGTAACCGCGGTGCTCATGGTGGTATTTCCAGGAGCCGCAAATTTACGATTCCTCAATGTCCACACTCACTCAAGTGGAAGTTCTTCCCAGGAAACTCCTACTTTGTGCGTATTTTGCTGCTCTCGTGGGCTGCACGATTATGACTCGTCTGCAGTGCACGACCTCGGGCGTGAAGGGCCCCGTCGCGGTGCTGGACCCGTCCGTCAAAGGATCGGCGCCACGGCTGCACATCTACCAGACGCTCCTGCCAGCGTCGGCGCCCACGGGAGCGGGCGGAGTGCCGCTGGTGGTGGTGGACCACCTGGTGCTGACGGCGCTGCTGCTGTCGACGTCGACGCAGGAATGGCTGGACCGGCAGCCGGGTGCGCCGCTGCCTGGGGAGTCGCACCCGATCGTGCAGCGCTGGCTGGAGATAATCCGCTCACCGCCCGGTCCCGCATCGCCGTCGAGTTCTGCGCTCTCGTCTGGTTCAGGCTCCGGTTCGACGCGCTCGAGCTCGGGAATGTCCCCTGGTGTGGGGTCCACGCCGACGCTGGGTACCCTCGCCGAGGCAGAGCGGGAGGAGCAGACGAGTCCGGTGGTGCCGTTCCCGTTGTCGCCGTCTGAGATGGGCTCGAGCTCGGGGTCGGGGTCTAACTCGAATTCGAATTCCAACCACTCGAACACGCACGCGCATTCGAAGTCGCGGTCGAGCTTCGAGCGAGTGCTGCCAGAGACGCCGCTGCCGCAGTACGACTTTAGCCTGGCGCCGTACGATCTGCCGCCACCACTGCCGCCGCCGCCGCCGCCGTCGCCGCCCTCAGGGGCAACGTCGCGGTTCGTGATCGCGAACCCGAGCCGGCCGTGTTCTCCTCTGTCGGACGGGCGTTCTCCGTCTCCGCCCACGCCGTACTACTCGTTCGCGGATCCGTACTACGCGTCGTCGTCGTCCAAGCACCCGTACTCTTCCTGGTCCCCGCAGTCGTACTCGTCCGCGCCATCGTCGGTATCCTCGCCCACGAGCCCTGGGCCGCGACGGCTCCCCACACCACCCGTGCCGGCAGTCGCGAGTGCGTACCCGTTCCCGCCCAGTGTAAGCGGGTTGGTGCCTCGCGCGGGCGCCACTTCTCCCACCCCCACGCTCTCCCGCGTCCTGCTTCACAGCCAGCTGCCTCCGCCCGCACCGCCGCCCCCACAGGACCTGCCTCTCCCGCCAAAACTCCCACCACCCCCCTCCTCGCTACCAGGCTCTTCTATGCACCCACACCCGCTCCCTCGCATACCGATCGACACGCCCTTACCGTACGCTGCTCACCCCCGCACGTTCTCGCTGCCCCCGATGCCGTCGTACCCGCCGCCAGCGCGGCCCGACGGGTCTGCTTCGCCATCCCCTGAGAAGCGCGGTGCACGGTCTCGCTCGCGGCCGCTCCCCGACCCCAACGATCTCGCTCTGCGCGCAATGGCTATATCGGACGGTGCGTCGGTGCCCGGCCACTTGCAGGCCATCACGAACGGCCCGCATGTCGACGCAGGACGCGTGCGTGTACCCTATGGAGTGCCCGCGGCGTATAGCCCTGAGAGCGCCGAGGTGCGCGACGGAGAAGCGGCGGAGGACCACCTGCCCCCGCCGGCGTATGATGCGATTGATTTTGGACGCAGAACGGGCATGCGGCGGCGATAGACGTCGGCGTTTTGTCGTCCATGTCGATTGGACTTCAACTGCGGACTTCGACTGCGCGAACTGCGGTGCTCGGAGGAGGATCCCGGTAGTGCAATGCGGAGGTGTACACCGCGGAGATGGATAGGCAGCGATGGTCTATGCGCGGAGCCAGTCTGCCACACGGGATGTCTACCCTCGATGCACTCCAGTCGTCTGGGCTCCAGCATGCGCTGCACGACGCGCTCCAGGTACGCAGAGCAAGTATACGGCGAGATGAACTCGATCGACACTCCTTCAAGTCTGTATTTGGTGTAACTTATACACAGCTTCTTTCCACGTCTCATCTCGCACCCTCGCGAGCTGCAGAACCATACTTCTTTTTCGTAGCTGGTTGCTCTCATTCGCTCGCTTTGTCCATAGTGTTTAGTTTTACAGTGCTTATAATTTTTGGATTGGATATAATGTACCGTGCTTCCATGGGTCCCAGTCAATCTTTTGCTGCTCTTGAGACGAGTCTCCCTGCCGGTGGGGGACGGGCCGGTACCGCCGCCGCTCGAACTCACGTCTTCCAGCCAGTTTCGCCGACTGCCGACTCATCATCACTCAAAAAGCAGAGCAGCCACCATTGTCGCCATCATTGTCGAGCAGCCGGTCGATTTATTGCAGTTCGCGAATCTGCTGAGTTGACGATCTATCGTCGCAACTGTTCGGTGCGCATCTCCGTCTTTCGCGGAGCGCTCGGTTGATCAAATCTCTAACTTCACCACCACCATGCGGAATGTATAGAACTCATACAGAATATACCCACCTTTATAAACTCGCAGGCAGTCATTTGGACGATGTCGGAACCGTCGCCATCATCCAGTTCACGCGAGGACCCGAAGCCGAAGCCGGTCCTCCTCATCGTAATGGTGCGCTCTTCATCCGACTTTCCTCGCAACCTGGGCCTCTCACGCTGCCCCGCAGGGCGTAGCGGGCACGGGCAAAACGACGCTCGCACACGCACTCAGCGAGCTCCTGCGCCTCCCGTACGTCGAGGGCGACGCCCTGCACCCGCCCGCGAACATCGCCAAGATGTCCGCCGGGCACCCGCTCGACGACGCGGACCGCGAGCCGTGGCTCGCCCGCCTCCGCACCACCGCCGAGCGCATCGTCGCGCAGCAGCAGCAGCAGCAGCAGCAGGCCGGGCTCGCCCCTGCCGTGCCCTCCTCCGACCACTGCACCTCCATCGCCCCGCCACCCGCGCCCTCCTCCTCGCCGCCGCCGCCGCTGCGCCCCGGCGTGCTGGTCACCTGCTCCGCGCTCAAGGCGTCCTACCGCTCCATCCTGCGCGGGACACCGCGCCCGCCGCACGGGGCCCTGCCGGACGCGCCCGCGCCCGCGCTCGCGACGTACTTTGTGTACATCCGCGGCGACCGCGCTCTGCTGCTCGAGCGCGTCGCCCGGCGCAGGGGGCACTACATGAAGGCGAACATGGTCGACAGCCAGCTTGGCGCGCTGGAGAGCCCCGAGGGGGAGGAGGGCGTCGTCGTCGTGGACATGACGGACGCGACGGAGGTCCAGGTCGCGAAGGTGCTCGAGGCGTTCGAGGGGGTTATCTCCCCCGCCGCGTAGCCCGAGTTTGTCTCCGCCCGACGGTGTATATGTCACGGATGTAAGATCGAGTGTTGTACAGGGCCTTGGATGGACAAATTCATGACGCGTAGCACACAAAGCGAGCATGGAACATGCGAATTGGTAACGAATTAGATGTATTACATGGCGATGCGGAGGGTATATAGATACATGTGAATAGGCCGCACCGACCGCTCCCGCTCCATGAAGCCTAGCTTACCCATAACGATATGTGAAGCAAAACGGGGGTAACGACGATTGACTGGACATCACCGAGAGGTTCGTGAACGGACTGAAAATGCCGATCCAGGATCTTGGGACGCACGACCCGACACGGCGCGTCACTTCGACGCCGCCTTCTCTTCGAGCTCGCCGAGGAACGCCAGCCACGCCTTCTTGTCGATCACGCCTTCGTCTGCACACACAACAACAACAACAACAACAGTCCAGTGAGCACACACACGCGTCTTCAGACAATCCAACACTCACAATATCCGTCCGTATCCATCACGACGACGTACCGCGCCCCGAGCTTCGTGAAAAACTGCTGCACGAGCTCCAGCGGAGAGTTGGACTGCACCGTCAGCGGCGCCTACCGAACCCGCCTCAACGACCCCGCCAACCGCATCAAGGCGGGAAGCACGCACCTGGTCCATGTAGCAGCTAAAGTCGAACGGGTCCGCGCCGACGACGTGCGCGCCCGCCTCCAGGGACGAGTACGACGAGCCGAGCGCGCTGCCATGCGCATACGGCGCCGCAGGGTGGAACGACACGCTCTTCTCCGGCTCGTCCGCGATGATGCCTGTGCCACCCCAAACCCGTCAGCATACGCGCGCGCACGGCAAGGGGGGGGGTGGGGGCGTACAAAGACCGTGCTCGAGCTCGCTCGCGCCGATGTACCCGACCATGCGGTGCCCGTCCTCGTGCGCGCGCAGGATCGGAAAGCCGCCGTCGGCCTTGCCCGCGGTGAGCAGGCGCTGCAGGCGGTCGCGCAGGCTCTTCACCGTGTTCGGCACGTCGACGCGGATCACGTCCACGTCGCGGTCGGTCTGTGTGCGCGCGCGTCAGTGCGCTGTCGACGGGAACAGATAGAAGGGGGAGGGGGAGGGGGGGGGGGCAACGCACCACGTCGATGATCTGCACGCTCCCCCAGCCATAGTCGTGCTTCGCGTCGAGGTACGGGAGCTGTGCCAGTCTGCCGGAACGACGATCCGTCAGCATCACGCGGGCGATACCGAATGAGGGAGGAGGGGGAGGGGAGGAACCCATACTCGATGCACAAGTCGTAGATCCCCTTGGGCGCGATCGCGTCCGCGACCGTCTTCGCGACGAGCACCGCGAGCATCACCGGGACCGCATACGTCAGCGTGTCCGTCAGCTCGAACATGATCACCGCGAGCGACACCGTCGTGCGCTGCACCACCGCAGTTTCGTCACCGTCTGTCACCCGCATAAGCTAAAACGAGCGGACGCACCGTGACGCCAGAGAGGGACGCCGCGGCGCCGACCATGGCGTACAGCCCCGGGATGACGCAGTCCAGGTCGCCCTTGCAGGCCGCGAACACCGGGCTGTCTGGATACGTGAATTGCAGCCACTGCACCAGGATCCCGACTATCCGTCCTGCACACGCGCCCACTGCATAGAGCCGCCATCAGCAAGCAGGGCAACGGAAATAGCGCAGTGCGAGAAACAGAAGGGGAGGGACCGGAGCTCCGGAGGGGGGGAGGACGACAGCATGAAACAAGAACACGCGCACCCGCAAGAGACGGGATGAAGATCCCCGCGGGGAGCTTGATTCCGAACGTGACGACCGTGAGCGCGCCCTTGATGAGCATCGCGACGAGGATCGCGCGGATGACGGGGAGCGCGTGCTGCGGCGGGTCGAGCACGCACAGCCCGTGCGTGTCCGCCGCGCCGGGCGCGCACTCGCAGAAGAGCTTGTACACGAGCTCCGTGTTCCCCCAGCGCGTGTATGGGTTCACGAAGCAGAGCACCGACGTCGCGAGCGTCACCTGCGCGCGCGCGTGAGTCCCCTATTGCCGCGTGAGAGGGCGGGATGCGTACCAGGACGACCTCGAGCACGGGGTGCCGCCGGAGCCACGTCCCGTTGCGGACGTGGCGCGTCCAGAGGAAGTTCATCTTGGAGAAGTACGCGCCCCACACGCCCTGTCATACATGCGTGTCCGACTGTCATCTACTACGTCGACGTGAGAGCGAGCGGACGGCTACGTACGCCAAAGACGCCCAGCAGGAGGAAGAAGATCAGCTCGTACGCGTGCCAATCCTGTCACGGTCCTCGCGTGAGCACATGTGTGCGCCGTCGCCCTTGTCGGACAAGAGCTCGGCGGGGTACGAACCTTGTCGTATGTCACCTGAAGGAGCACGAGTTTGCCGCTCCCGAAGGGGTCGAGGAACCTGAGCGTCATCGCCGCGACCATCGCGCAGAAGAAACTGGCCAAACGGGTCAGCATCCATGACTCGAATCACACCACCACAGACGCGAGGCTGCGCGACTTACCTGCGCCACATGACCTTGGGGGGAAAGAAGTACGAGACCTCTTCGAGGCTGAAGAGCACGCCGCCGATCGGGGCGCCAAACGCGACTGCGACGCCCGCGGCGCTGGCCGCGCTGAGGATCTCGCGACGTTTCGCTGTGTGACGGGCTCAGAGTGGTGTCGGAACGCAGCGGCGGAGACGTACCTTCGTTCGTCTCGTACTTGCTGAAGAACCGGCTGACGATGTTGCCCACGCACGAGGCGATGTGCACAAAGGGACCTTCCTTGCCTGTCACGGCGGCAGAAACCGAGTCAGATGTAGGCTACGTGCGCGCATATACCCGGTGAGACTCGCCTAGGGTCAGACCTGACCCGACGGACAAGGCGAGACCAATAGATTTGGTGAATAATGTGCGTGCACCGAGGTACCCGTGGATGACGAAACCTAGCAGAGACGAATTCGCGATAAAAGTGCGCATATAGCGAGAGATGGCTTGCCTGAGAGGATGGTCTTGATTTCCGGGATACCGCTTCCAGCGGCCTGTACAGGATTTCAGGTGAGCATACTGGGCGGCGAGAAGGATGATGCGCACGTAGTACATGACTTTGCGCTTCTGCTCGGCGCCGTTTGGATTGTCGAGGACCTTCTGGTCGCCCTCTCCGTGTGCGTACTCTGGGGGAACGACGGCCGAATCCTTGCGAGTGACAAACGATGTGGATGCTGTGAGGTGGATGGTCAACAGGCAGGAGATGACGGCCAAGGACAGCTGAGGGTGGGACGTGAATGAGCGGGCGCGGACTCGCGGGCAGGACACGCACCGCGACGACAGTATAGGCGAGATAATCCATCATCTCGACTTGGAGCCAACTGCCGTTCTCTACTGCCATGGGTTCAAAGACCTGGGGCCAAGTGCGCCAGGCAGGGCAGGACTCGTCCTCGGCGAGGGTGAGAAAGGCGGGACGGGTGGCGAAGACATCCTCTGGGGCGGGACAGCAGAAGCGCCTGGCCTTCCACCAGGCGTCGCGACAATAGCCGTCCTTGAGGTCAAAGAGCCACTGCTCGGTGCGGATGATGAGGAAGGCGGCGACGGCGGTGAAGAAGCCGACGATGGTGACGATGAGCCAGCCGACGGTGCGGTCGAGCTGGCGGCGCAGGCGGGCTGAGCGGGAGCGGGGGCGGCGAAGACGGGCCCGGCGGGCGGAGTCCTTGATGGCGTCGTGGAGCCAGTCGATGCTGGTGAAGGACGCGTACCAGACGCGGACGCCGTTGATCGTGACGTCGGGCTCTGGCTCCTCGAGCACGGGGCTCTGGACGACGGGGGCGTCGTAGGCGGAGATGGGCCGCTGCGAGGCGAGGTAGCTCTCCCGGATGGATGGGGGGTGTGATACCGGGGAAGAGGGCACGGACGACTTGACAAGGCCGAGGATGGAGAGGACGCTCCGGGTGCGGCGCGGTCGGCCGGAGTCGACGGAGCTGCGTCTCTGCGGGGGCGCTGTGCCGTACGAGGGCCGGACGGTGGCTGCGGTGGGGGAGCACAGTGGGGCCCTGTCACCGTCCGTAGTGGAGGTTTCGCTGCCAATCCGGAGGAGACGCTGGCGGCGCCAAGTGGTTCGGGATGGGCCGCTATATGGGCCGCTGGGAAGCCCATCATCGGCCATTTTGACGTAGTGTCGTGTGGGGAAGCGAATAGGACCCGACGGACCGCTGGGGAGAGGGACAGGGACTGTGTTGAAACGCAGTACTCACTGGGCGCGCGGTGGCTGGTGTTTTGAGGGACGAGGAAATGGAGCGCCGCCGTCAAAGCAAGGTTACAGTATCGCTATCGATAGGCACGCTGAAGTTCGAGCGGCACAAGCGAGTGAATGGGTGGTCAGCGAATTCATTCTCTGCCGGTGGACGAGCTCAAGCGCCCATCTGCGCTCCCCAAAACAGGAAATTATGCCAAACAGCCGACAACAGCAACGGGCGACGTGGCAGGACGTGTCCGCAGCCTTCCTCACGACTTCCACGTCCGTCCTGCGAGCCTACCGCAGTCCCCGACTCATACAAGACCAGCCCTTCCTTTCTCCTCCTCAAGACACGTATCCCGTCTTCCAAGCCACGCATCCCATCTCCCAAGCCGCGCAATGAAGCGAACCGCTGACTCTGACATCGAGCTCGCCCTCCCCTCTCCCGCCGCATCCACCTCCTCCCCGACCCCCTCTGTATCCGAGCTTCCTGGAAACACCAACCTCAGTACCACTACCGAACTTGGGGCGCCTCCACGTAAGCGCGCCCGCGGTGAAACATCCGTAGAGGAACGGAAAGAGGCCCGAGCCCACCGCAACCGCATAGCAGCCCAGAATTCCCGAGACAGGCGCAAGGCCCAATTCGCTTACCTCGAGCGCCGGGTCGCCGAGCTCGAGGAGGAGAACAGGCAGCTACGCGCAGGCATGGGTCTCGTCGGCCTTCGTCGCCCGCAGGAGAACTCAGATCGTACCCGGGATCAGGAGAGGGAACGGGACGCAGCCAGGGACAGGGAGAACGCGGAGCTCAAGGAGCGTATCAAGACTCTCGAGACCGGCTGGGACGCCGTCGTCAAGGCTCTCGCAGCCTCTGGCCTTCCGCTCAACGTACCATCTATCGCTCCCTCTGCGTCTGACCCTGCAGAGCCTCCGTCTCCCTCCTCACAGCCTCCCACAACCACCTTCTCCGTCTTCGTCCCCCCCTCACCCATCTTCCCCATCTCCCCGCCTCCTTCTCACGACTCCTCGCTCAGCTCGAGCCCCTTCCTCGACCTCCCCTTTGACGACGCCGAGCCCACTCGCCACCTAGCACGGGTGGCGAACACCGATGCCCCTCCTTTATCATCGGTGCCCCAGCAGCGGGTGGGCCCGCCCCGTCGTCCGACGCCAACATCCTCCAGCTCGAGCTTGACGCCCTTTCCCCCCTTCCAGGCGCCGAAGCACCACCTCCGGCAGATTTGGACGAGGGCGCCATGGCGGACCTCTTCCGCGAAATCCTCGCGCCCTCGCCCGTGCTCGCGCAAGCGCCCCTGCCTGATCCTGCGCCTGTCGCCACCGCCACACCACAGACGCAGGCCGCGCCGTCGCTGACGGCGGACTGGACGGGTGGGGAGATGCAGAGACTGCTGGACATGTGCGCGATGCAGGGTGTCAGGCCGGATGGCGACGAGGGTGCAAAGGACGAGCCGATGGTGGACTTTCCCTCCGCGCTCGACCTCGAGCTGGGAGGATGGGACCCCTCGTGGGCGTTCGCGCCGCCCGAGGTCGGCGTGTTTTGAGCGACTCCCTTGGCGGATTTCTGTTCCCCATAGACTTGTGATTCGACCCCTCTCTGTCTCCGTTGTTTGGCATAAAATGCGTCGTGTCCGCGATTCCGTTTTTTCTGCACGTCTCGCTAATTATCGGACCCCCAGTTCCAGCTCGTATTTTCTCTCATGGTTTACCTGCATATTTTTCTACGTTACGTACCGTCCGGTCGTCCCTCCGTTCCTTGTCTCCCCCGTTCCGTACTTTGGTAGCGGTACTCGTTCGCCGGTGGTTTCTCCCTTCTGTTGCTGTCTCCCCCCCGCACGCTGTTCTCCCTTCGGGTCGACGAGTGGCGTGTGGGGGGTGAGCGCGCGGCTGGGCGTTGCTTTTCGTGTGTTTGTTTGTACTTATACCGGGGTTGGCGGGTGTCGGTGGAATGTATGTGGAGGTCGACTTGGCTGTGGATTCTATATGTTAAGTTGGAGAGATTACCGAGCGCAGAGAGGTTTCTCCACCTCCGAAAGTGCGCAGCAGTATGCAAGACCCTCCCTACTTCTGAGAGTAATGATTGGTTACTTATTGTTTGAGTGTGTTGACTTTGATGTTGTCATCGATGGCATGTGCTTCACGATGTTATAGGGGTTGAACGTTGAACGTCGAATTTTAACATGACCATCATGTCTTCCCCGGAACTTCGTCAGTATATTCACTCTGTCATTGCGCATATTGTCGATACCTGCGATATGTGCTACTTTGTGACTACGCGAGATGTTATTGGTCGCACACACTATATTCCACATGGTTCGTGTCTTATAGTTCTGAACATGCTGAAGAGAAAAACATAATATAGTCCTCCCGGTCTTTTTTATCTCTTTCTCCCCTTTAACATCCGAAAAATAGTCTACTCCGTTTCGTCTTCCTTTCGCCTTTACTCATCTTGTACTATCGTAAATTAAGACACAAAAAAACCAAAAAAAAAAAAATTGACGAACACAAGTTCGTCACGCAAAACTACTGACTGCTACCTAAACCAGAAAGAGGCTATCGCGAGGTAAGTGCGAGCTGTAAAGTATGAGATGAGAGAGTGAATAGGCTATTTGTACATGTTTGTTCACATGCCAAAAGTGGTCTATCTTACCTCTATCCATATGCGGATGTTATATTCACCTCCTTCGACCGACTTGACTCGAACCATATTGTAACGTCGCGATGGGCAAAAAAAATAAAGATCAACCGCCAAACGTCAGCCTTGGAAGCGTAACAAGCAGAGACATCATTCAGCGAATCAACTTCCTCTACCAGGCCAGCGCATATCTCACCTCCATTTCGTCCGTCGACAACATCGCCGTCTCTGCCGCCCCCAATCTGAGCGCTACAGAACACAGAAGATTGCAGAGAAAAAGTAAGAACGGGAAGCTACTGCTACATCGAGGAAGCAAGACAGATGAACGGCAGAAGGGGGCGAAAGCCAGGCACCCCGCTTCTACGGCAGAGCTGTCGAGGAGCTACATCCGGTCGATGCGTGTCATCGGGCAGAAAACTACCGTGAAATTGTAAGTCCTTCCGTGATTGTCGCCTTTCTCATGTACCGAACTCTGTCATCGTCAGGGATCCCAATATCAAGCGCACCCTCTGCAGGGGTTGTAATGTCGTTTTGATACCTGGCTCGACAGTTGCAACCCGAGTAAAGAGTGAGTCACCAGCTTGCTAGAGATATTTCCCGAATAATGCCCTGCATTCACAGAATCGTCGTCCCATGGTCATACGGTGGTATATACATGCACCGCTTGCAACACGACTCGTCGCATTCCTGCACCTCCCGTTCTCGAGGCGGACAATCCCGCCGATGACGCGATGGGGATGGACACGGATTCTCATAATGAACAGTCAACCACCCCATTGGGCAAGGATGATGTACCCAAAATCAAGACGAAGGCCAAAAAACGGCCTGTCGGTCGACTACCGCCGTTGTTCCAACGGAGGGGACATGTGGTTTTCAGAGGTAATGAAAGACTAGAGGAGATCCAATAGCACAGTAAGGAGCACAGCCTACAAGTTCTTCGGTCGTTGATGAACGGTGGATGGCGCTTTTCTGTTGCATGGTTCGTTTGTGCTTGTATGTACGTACGGTCTGTTGTCACTGTCGATGAGAGTTGCGTTAATGAAAGAAGTCTAGATGAAAAACACACCGATCCATAATCCTGCAGAAGCAGACTATAGTCGAGCGAGCTCGATGAAGATTTTCTCCGAGCGGCGAATGGGAATGCCCTTTATTTTGACCCCTAGTAGCTTCAGTCTTGTCAGATCAATCCACTAACAATGCACACTGAAAGCACTCACCCTAATTTATCGACTGTACTCATGGGATGATGCCTATACTTCGGCCAGGATACCCACCAAAATCTCTTTCACCGTCTTCCTCTCCCATCGTACATCTTCATTCTCAGGATGTAGGCTCGAACCAGCACTGGCACTGGCACCTCTAACACCCGCAGGCGCGATACCCGCAGCAGGCCACATCACACTCCCAAGGATCTCGTGGTCAGGGCCCTCGCGCACCCTTAAACGGTGGGACACCACCCTTGGGAATACCCGCGCGACGTCTACTTCCGAGATATCCCAGACCTCCGCATCACTGCGCAGGTGTGTGGACTTGCGCAAATGGTCATCGACTTGCTCGCGAAAGTCCGGTGGCTGCGGGAGGTCTTGCTCGGTGCTTTGCCTTCCCTTTCTAATGTCTTCCTCGAGGTTGAGACGCACCACGTGCTCCATGCTACCGCTCGTGTCAGTATCGTTGGAGATCCTGCCCTTCCCGGTGTCCGACCCCCCTCCGACCATCCAGTCCAAGTCCATGCCTGGCTTGTCCCATTCCAGCGTTCCTTCCCCACTGTCCGCACTAAACTCATCTCCGTCTTCGCTAATAGCACAATTGGAGCCGGCGACGCGCACAAGCTCTGCGCCAATAGAGTCTCCGACAAGGACCCGATAGGCCCTGACGAGTGCCTCGGCGTCCTTGTGTGCACGCCGCGTGAGTAACGTGCCGTCTAGCGCAGGATGGTGGCGCGTGGCTGAGAAAAGGTCGCAAAGATAGGCACGAAGAGAGGGATGAATGGACGTGTAGGCGTGCGCCTGTGCGTCTGGGCTTGCGCACGCGAGAGAGCGGAGGTGTGCCACTTCGGACGGCGGTATAACAGGCGGTATAACAGGGGTCGAAATGCGGCTGGGCGCAGAGCGGATGGGCGAGTTCGTCGGAGTGCCTGTGGATGTCGGGAAGAGCTCCGAGGGCAGTGCGCGCGGAGAAGGGAAAGGTGAGGTATGCGGAGTTGTCACTAAAGTAGAGCGGTACGTAGTAAAGGCTTGTCGTGTGGAGGGTTCGATCACAACATCTACGCTCATCGCAAATTTGTCTAGCTACACTCGTAACAATGCAACGAGCCTAGTGTCAGATCAATCTGAATAATTGGGTTACTGAAAGACATACTAGTCCTCGTAGAACCGCGGGTCGTTCGTGCGGATCCCATCTGCAGACATACACCATCAGGAAGTCATTAGGAAGATTCCATGTCCCGTTGAAATCCTTGATTGCACCCTCTTCTTCATCGTTTTCCTGCAACACCAGTTTTCCTTCGGATAACACATGCGTCAGAGCTCTTTGGGCTGGAGCGCCTGCTTGCTCCAACCCTGATACGACAACCGCTTGCGGGAAGGAAGGACACGGGGAGAGATCATCTCCTTCAGGTGGAACGAACACGGACAGCAATGGTGGTGGGTCTATGCGTGTCCGGTCCGCTGGCGGACGCTGCATGCGCAATGTCGAAGCTGGTGTCACCGAGGACTGAAATGGACGACGAGATGAAGCGAGTGAATTGGTGTCAAGAAGTTGCTCGTGTTGCTCATGCCCAGCCGAGGTTATCTGCTGGTCCGCCTGGTCAAGCTCAGAGGTTGCCGTGACGTAAGGCGAGGAAGGAGGTATGGGATATGTCGAGGAGCGTTGCGGTGCATATGCACGTGAGAGGTGGCTCCCGGTAGTTCCAAGCAAAGTTGGATCCGCGTTCTGGCGGACACGCCGTGGACGCTTCCGAGGTGGGCGGAAAAAGAGCCCACGGAGAAATGAGTCTGGGTGCAACATTGGGTTGGCCCCAACAGACTGAGCGCTACATACGTGTCCTTGCTGTGTATGGCCCACTTTGTGCCTGTGAGCAGAAAACCCAAAGACAGTCGTTAAAATCTATCGATGCCTGATCAGTATCTATCGAGGTGAAAGAGACAAATTGCGTCTCGGTAGCGCAGACCGAAAACCGTTGGTGAAATGAGTGTGGGATGGGTAGCGGCAAACGCGAATCAAGACTGTAACACTCACTAAAGTGACTATATGAGAGAGTAGTCTAATGTCCTCCTCCTTGGTGCGTAGGACGAGATTCATGCTCAAGCCTGCACTGTTAATTCTTTCGTCCGAAGCATCTTGGCCGTCAGTACACACAGAAGCCGATGCAGGTCCCGGAGTTCGCGCAATAAGACAAAGGAGCACAGACTGCAAGACCACGGGATCAACGGGCAGAACAGGGTGTGCGGCGCGTATACGTGTGAATAGCGCTGGAAGGTAGGCTGGACTTCCGGGAGGAGGGGAGAGTCCTTGGTCGGCTGGATACATGGGCAAGCCGGTTAGTTCAAGTTGATTCCCAGGTCTGATAGCACCAAGTGGGACGATTTATGCTGATGCGAGTTGCTGGGCACTTCACTTCGGATCAGGACATGTCAAGCCTTGGTTTGCCTGTCTCTACCACGAGTGAATTTCGATAATCCAAATTGAAGCCTTACTTAGTCGAAATTTCCAAGGACGTGCGACTTACTCACTTTGAGCTTGCTCCCTCAACCACCCTGAACAAAAACAAACCTAGAAACAGGTAAGCATGCGTAGAGAGAGGCGCTTGCGAAGATCCCCTGAAATGGAGCGTCGGCCTGCGGCCCGGCGTCGTGTTTAACGGGCGTCAAGCTGAAGATCTGAAGTACTTGCGGAGTTAACTGGTAGGTACTAATATACTTATATTGAAAAAGGTAACATTGTGTACTGAGGATACTCGTAAATGAGTCTTAAGTCACAGATTACACTGGCAAATTGCTATTTAGGAGCAAGTGGCCCATAGCTATGTGGCCAGCAATCGTACAACCAAAACACGAGGACAAAAACAACAGAACAGAGTGTGCAAGATAGCTAGAACAGCACTGGCATGTGCGAGAGTAAATAAGAGCACATAGGCAAGAATGTCAGGCAGAGGAGCGCCATTCAATCGGCGATCTGTTGTCGAACCAAAGCCACCGCTTTCGCCGATCTCGGCGTAATGGCACACTCAAATGGCTCAGGCGCACTGTAGGATTCCAAAGAATTGGAGGCCTTACAGAAGCTCCGGATGTGACTGGTACGCACCTGGTGAGGTGAGGCGTAAACGCTGCCTTTGGGATTATCTTCTTGCCGTCTTCTCCAACCGCATAGGTGACGTCAAACGTTGCCAGGAAAGTCGCAAACATAATCCACATGGTATTCAGTGCAAAATCAACTCCTGGACAGCGTCTACACATCCGGTGAGCGGAATCACAACGGCAGAATAAATATTTCGGAGTCGCGTACCGTCGACCAAACCCAAATGCAGCAACATGATGAATCTCGCCATAGCCAATGGGTTCCGGAAGGAATCGATCAGGATAGAACTTATCGGCGTCCCTGTAGAACTCTCGATGCATGGCTCTGTGTATTTAAGTTAGTGAGTTGGGTGATGTACGCATTGGTATTGATACTGACGTCAAATTTGTGATAACGTACGTTCCCTTAGGTATCAACATTTCATTGTAGACATCATCCTCGGCGCTTCGATGCGGTGCTCCTATCACCACTCGTTAGCAGGCATCCGCCCACCAATGAGAGACACAAACCCAAAGGAACGGCAGCATGCCATCTTAAACAATGGTGTCAGCTACCAGCACGAAAACCTTAAGAGGTCGCTTACCTCAATGTCTCCTGCAACACACAATCAAGGTACGGAGTACTCGCACGATCGCTGAAGTCTGGAAACCGATCCGTACCCACAACCCGATCAATTTCTTTCTGGGCCTTTCGCTGCACCTCCGGAGACAACAGCATGGCGAGTACAAAGGTACGAAGAGTGGAGGACATCTGTCGTCACTATATGAATAAACGCGTCGATAGCACATACGGCAATGCCAACCGTCTCCACTCCACCTAGGAGAGCCATTAGCTTCTCGTGAACACAGGCCAAGGAAAACCTATGGACTTGCCGATATAGAGGCTTGCTGCTGCAGCCTTTATATCCGAAAGTTCTTTCTCGTTGTTTGGCCCTTCTCGCTCTATCTTGTCCAAGTAGGTGGACGTAAATGAGGGTAGAGCTGTACCAGTAATCTGCATCGTTCTGAATATGCAATCAATCTTCCAATCGACCATAAACCTCTCACCATCTCATTCTCGACGACTTGGAAGGGGAAGTCGTGAAGCCGCCTCACGGCAGGCTGATATTTACGAATAGGACCCGTCAAATGAGAGCATCCGGGCACCCAGGGAGGGACAAATCGCACTTTGTGCTTGGTCAATACATTGGAGAGAGGGGATGAAAAAAATCTGTCAAACGCACAGAATGGAAAGAAATCAACCGGTGAAGCGCCGATGTTCCCAGCTTCCAGGCTATCCAACGCAGCTTTCCCTATCTTGACGTATTCGTCGTCGTCGGTTAGAACGCGATGTCCATATGTGATCTCGATGATGTTCGCAGTTGCAAATCTGGGGAGAAAGGTTTGGGAACGTCCGAAATTGGTTCTGGAGAGAGGCGTACCTCTGAATGGCCCAATCAAAGCCTTTGGGTTGCGATAACAGGTTTTTCATGAGGACATGCACTTCTCGTATGTGAAGCTGGTAATAGTCGCGGCACTTCTTTGCATTAAAATATGCCTGTACCATTTGTCGATGCTTTCGCCATCGCGGTCCATATTCCATCAGTGCAAGGGATGAATCAAATCCAAGTCTAAGTATATGGAGTAAGATTGGGACAGCTGCTAGAACGGTCTCAACTTACAGGCCGAGTGACACACTTTTAGGCCGATCACTGTAGTTAGCACTCCGTTTCTCCAACAGATCCGTGGCAATCTGAAATGTGTTCACGACCAGCATCGACTGCCCTAGGACATTGAGATAAAACATATCTCCTGGGTTATATAGCATCAGTCCCCAGCCTGGCGTACAGCAGGAGCACCGCGAACCGTATTCTGCCGCCCATTTCTGAAATATTCCATGGTGGTGAACAGGGGGAAGTTTTCGAAGATGTCCAATAATTGGATCGGCGGGAGGTCCAGGAGGGAGGGGTAAAACTTGTTTGCGTCGACGCAAAAGGACAAAAATGAAAACAAGAACAGCGGCATAGGGAAGGTAAGTTGCGGAATGGTACATCATAATGCTGAGCACGCCCATCGGCAGAATGGTGGAGGGCTCGTTGAATATTCCAGTCCCACATGCTCCCTTTAAATTGCTGGTCCCAGGATGGCACTAACATGTGCAATGCGAAAATGACAAGTCCGACCCTTATCCATTAAACCATATTATCGTGCCATAGGAAGACTAGTGCGTGATGCAAGAACATGAGGAGGTTCATTCTCGACAGACCTGGAATGAATGGAAATAACGTACTTGCTACGTCTCCTCATGGATAACATCCGAAAGCGGCGGTCCTATATATGCGGTTCTTGGAGCTCGCGCGGCTTCACTGCCAAAGAATTGAAACTGCCACAAAATAAAAGGCCCTGAGAGGTTGTGAATTGTACGACTTGGGCAGAATCTGGCGTGTATATTTGTTGCTTACACATTGGTAAACCGCACGGAACGGGCAATTACCTGCGCAGGTTTCCCGCCTTAGCGAATAGTTCAATGGCAAACCTGAAAGGGGAAAATGGATCCAAGATGACCGGTGCATAATAGAGCATGATTACACGCGCCCACGGCCGAATGACCGAAGTGCACTTATTCATGGCCTACAAAATGCACTAAGCGCCACAAGCGTCAAGTGGACGCACTAGAAGATGTTGCCACATCAGACCAGCAGACTGCCCATCTGGGTACCATCGGCACTACTTAGGTCTCCCCATGGCTTGTATCAGTGCCTGTCATGCACGGGGATGCCAGACTGCATCAGTAACTGTGCTACATCAACCACCGTCGCAATCGCGACAGTACTGACGTTGGCTGCTAAATCCGACCTGGGAGGCTCGAGGAAGGTGGATAAATTGGTACGTACCGTTGTAAAGTTGTTCAACGCCATGAAGTCTTCTGGTAGAATAAGTACACTGCCGTCACAGTACCAAGCAACCTGATATGTCGACAGGTGGCCAGTCTAGAGTTGACGCGAGTCAGACACGAGGCCAAATGTTCGGATGGGAAGGAAGGACTAGCTCAAGAATATTAATATTGGGAGAAGGTAATCGGACCGGGCTGAGCTGGACCGTCGAAACCGTACTATCAACGTCACTAGAGCACCCTCTTCATAGCTGGGACACGTGAGCATCATAGACACGGATTGTGATTATGAAAGCTAACATATATAATGAGGGACGAATACAACCGAACTTCGAACTGGAGTTGCTTTGTCGTGCAAGTCACGTGATACGTGTTCATTGCGCATGAATCGACGTTGACAAACGACGGTCGTCACGATGATATGATAATTATTACAACTCTTGTCGGACTGGTTCCCTGGTACCGAAACTTTGGAAAAATCATAGAGGCTCACAAGATTATGCAGATGGGATTGATCCACCGTGACTGCTGCCAGTGGTGAATTGATCAATGCTCCACAGTAACATGAGGTTCGTGGCAAATATTAGACAGCATGATGTTCAAAGACTATGCGGAGGTTGGGGTCTTCCTTTCTGCATCCCAATTTCGGATAGTCTGATTCACTGAACTTCCAGCTGTATGAGGGGCGTATTTCAAGCTATCCAGTAGGACCGATCGTCATGTAGTGGATCAGATCACATCGGGCTCACCGTCCAACTCTACAAGGACCTACAAACCTCGGGAGGTATTTCAACGCGGGAGAGTTACGCGGCCCACGAGTCTGGCGACGGCGAGTCCAGTGGCACCGAGCGCCTACCAGATCCCCTGACGCTCAGGGTCGCTATGGTCTCGCACCTCGCCTTTTTCCTTCAAATTATCCTTTACCACTGGCCAGAGCGGTTGATGACTTGAGGTCATGAATAGAGCATCATTTTACCCTTCCTTTGCAGATCTGCTTAAATTCTGGCCTACTTTGCCCGCCGTATTAGATTCGGCCTTATCTCCACATCACCTCCCACCACTGTCTTCGAACGAAGACGCGAGCGGTATAGCGACTTCAAGAGCTTGCGTTGTCGTGACTGACCCTGAGCGTGATACTGTGTGACCCGCAGTGCTCAACCACGGAATGTCGACTGCCAGTGCAAGTCCATCCCCTTGATAGATCTCACGTATCTTGCTTCGGTGTCTCTTTCAACACTCTACTCATCGACATCTCTCAAATTCCGTCTCAGGACCAAGTAGCATGTCTGAGCCGGTTTATAACAGTGGCATAAGCAAATCCAACTCGGCCGACAGACGGGTCTGGGAAAATACCCGGTGGATTGATGGAAACAGAGGACTTGTGGCGGGATAGTCAGAAATGGTTTCAAGAACGTGGTGCCATGCTTCGCCCGCTCTTCGTGCTAGATTGGAGGCCTTCTTGGTAAGGAGCCAACTTACAAGCTCGAGGATGATGTGGAGATAGGTGTACCTAGTGTTTCCAAACTTGAACCCCTCTCCTGCCTGATACTGAACTCCCTTCAGAACGGTCACATCACGGGTACTACACGCTTGTTGGACGGCGGGCGAATCGTCACGCTGAATCCATGTCAAAATATATTAACCGACATGATGATGATTGCTGAATGTTAGTGATCCACCCAACCACTGTATGCTTATTCTTGAAGTATTTCAGGACCCGGTGGATGCGGACATCGACTTGGTGGAGATGCAGGTCATACACTGAATGAACCCCCGTTTTAAGACGTTGGGCGAGGTCATCGCCTTTTTCGGATAGATATGCGATGTAGGTCATGTCTGGTTACGTTGGACTCATAATGATTGCCCTTCTCGATTCTTCAGTGCCTCAGGTAGGTTTTAGTTGATATAAGTGCTCATGGCCGATATGGTCCTGCTGCAGGCCGATCCGCGCAAGCGACCTACCGCAGACCAAGTAATGGCTCGGTTCCAAATCTCTCCTTGTGGAAGTTACGTGTCCCACTTCCCGAAAAATTCTATAAGCACCGCGCGGGGATTTACAGCAATCGGCTATATTGTGAGGAGACTAGGTATTAGTAACTGTACTACCACTGGCAATCCCCATTGCTACTTGCTCTTTTGTATGATTTGGGCAGGTGCATCTGAAATTTGGATAGTGACAGTAGTATCTCTTCACATGTATTTTCTCGTAGTGGACCGTCTTGCAGAAAATGCAGTAAACCGTCGACTCGCATGCCAAGTTGCAATCTGAGCTGTTAAAGTCACGTGAATGTGAGATCTCACCCTATGTCACCTCGATTTCACGGGTAATTCTGTGTCTGAGCTCTGTGTATGAGATCTCCTCTCTATAAACTTCAAGGAATATTTCGTGTGCGCATATTTTTGGTTCGGAGCGGTTTGAGTTTTCAGACAAGTGGCGGTATACAAGACTAGTACAGGCGCTTAGATAATTCGAAATGACTCCCTCGAAGACTGCGATCTTCGATCGCATGCGCTCGGCATAACTTTTTACACCCCTGCCTCCGGCCTTTTGTGTATCTGTAGCTACCAACTAGGGCTCTAAGTATGTCAGCGTCGGCGACTCTTGAATATGCTTCTCATGCGCCAGAACCACTCCCGTATCCGCGACTATCAGGATACCATCTATTACCCTCGCAAACTCCAGACTATCTGAGACTCATCCTGACCTCCAAAGTCTACGAAATCCTAAAGGAGACACCTCTTGTTTTCTGCACCAATCTCAGTGCACGATTTGGGAATCAGATATATGTGAAGCGGGAGGACCTTCAAGAGGTCTTCAGCTTCAAAATTCGCGGCGCGTACAATTTCATGGCAAGCCTGACGGAGGAAGAACGCTGGAAGGGCGTCATCACTTGTAGCGCGGGTTAGTGTGCGTATTCTCATGAAAGAGTCCAGTTGGATATCTTGCGTAATGGATGACTGTGTACTGACGATCTCTCAAGGCAATCATGCCCAGGGCGTTGCTCTATCCGGTTCTCGACTAGGCGTTCCGTGCACCATCGTGATGCCGAAGGGTACACCTTCTATCAAAGTCCGAAATGTCTCCCGGCTCGGTGCAAAAGTTGTCCTCTACGGGCAAGACTTTGACGAGGCGAAGGCTGAATGCGCACGCCTGGCGGAGACGCATGGCCTCACGTTTGTCCCACCGTACGACGATCCGCTCGTCATCGCCGGCCAAGGGACGATAGGCATGGAGATCCTCAAGCAGTTTCCTGATGCAGATAGTCTCGATGCCATTTTTGCCGCCGTTGGCGGGGGCGGTTTAGTTGCTGGAGTCGCTGAATATGTCAAGAGGATCGGGTCGCCGAAGACCAAAGTTATTGGTGCGGAGACTCTGGATGGCGATGCCATGGATCGGAGTCTCAAGAAAGGACAGCGAGTCACGTTGGATGAAGTTGGACCATTCAGCGATGGTACAGCGGTGAAAATTGTCGGCGCAGAACCATTCAGAATCTGTCAACAGTTACTGGATGGTGTAGTGAAGGTCGATACCGATGAACTATGTGCAGCTATCAAAGACATCTTTGAAGGTGAGCAACTTGAACAAGATGTCCGTCTCCGGATCCATCTCATTGCTCCCAGAAACCCGATCAATCACTGAGCCTGCAGGTGCCCTCGCTTTGGCAGGACTGAAGCGGTACATTGTAGACAATGATCTCACTGGTGCCCAGAAAAAGTTCGTCGCAGTTATTAGCGGCGCCAATATGAACTTCGACCGCCTTCGGTTCGTCGCAGAACGTGCTGAACTGGGTGAGGGCCGGGAGGCGCTTCTTAGTGTTGAGATACCCGAAAAACCTGGAAGGTAAGGTGCCGATACTGCTGTCATCGTGACAGAGACACTGATGCAGCCATTGACAGTTTCGTGCAACTTCACAATGTCATTCACCCTCGTGCAACCACCGAATTTATCTATCGGTATAATAATCCTGAGCGGGCTCAGATCTACCTATCTTTCAAGCTAGAAAGCACGTCTAGGGCAAAGGAAGTATCGGACCTTCTCGCGGCTCTGGAGCGGCAGGGTATGAAGGGTTTTGACATTAGTGACGACGAGATGTCGAAGACGCATGCCCGTTATATGATCGGCGGTAGACAAAACGTTTCTAATGAGCGAGTATTTAGGTTTGGTAGGTATTTTCCGCTCAGTCCCTTTGCTACTTGTTGCGCTGACCAGCCTCTTCTCCCAGAATTCCCCGAAAGACCCGGAGCGCTCCGCAAGTTCCTGCTCGGTCTGCAGTCCGATTGGAACATCTCGCTCTTCCATTACCGCAACCACGGTGCAGGTAACTTTCGCTTGTAACTTTCGTATCCAGCGCAGAGCTGATTCCGACCATGACGAAGATTTGGGCAAAGTGCTTGCTGGTATCCAAGTCTCCAAGAGCGACTCCCAGGCCTTCGATACCTTCCTCAACAACTTGGGGTATCCTTATGTCGAAGAGACAAATAACGAGGTTTATAAGCGTTATCTCAAAGGCTGATGTACTCCGCTGTGCGACTGCAGTCTTGATAGGGGATAATACTCTTTGAAAATGGGCTGCGTTACGCCTGCAGAGTAATGTTGTGACAGCTCTGTTTTTAGACTCGTACGTACTAACGAGAAATGTTTGGAATCGTGCAAGCAGAAAGACTAAACAGGCACGCGGGACGAATGAACGCAGTATAATAGTCATGCAACGTCGAAAAAGCGCCTGGCATGTTTAACTGACAATATATGGGCGAGACAGCAGATCTGACGGTAGTACGAGTAAACCTACTCGAGGTAGGCAGCTCGTGATGCAAACGCAACAGCGGGGATGCGAAGAGATTCTGATAAGACATGTTGATCCTGGGAATCGCAGCTCAGAAGGCACCGTTGATACGCCAGACTAACTTCTATAAAATTGCCAACGAATGTCACAAGGCATCGCAGCTACTTCGACGCCACCAACCGGGTTGTTATATCTCCAGACTGCATGAACACAGGTACCGTACTGCGCATACGATGATATCAGCAACCGACGTTCGATGCCTTCCAGGTGCGAACGGCATTGAACGCTCGGCACGACACACTTGACGCTGCTGCAGATAATGAATCAAGCCTCGCGGCTACTCTTTGTCCACTTACTCACCATGAGAGCGCATCCGTAGCTGCTGCTACCAGCATCAGTGTGATCCTCCGGTCTGAAGGAAGAGGTTGTCCACGATCACGTAAGTAGTGAACGCCACGACTGCGACACCAAATCCAGGGAACATCTTGCTGAACATGGCACGGTTAGAGAAAATGGGGTGCTTCCGCCAGGCCTCCCTCTTCGCCCAAGGATCGCGGAAGAGCTGAGGAGTGGGGATCTTGGCCATCTGTCCGACGGCCGTCAGCACGATGGAACGAGCAAGAAGACTGAGATAGACGGACGGTAGCACAATAGCAGGATATGCAGAAAGTGGTTGAGGCCGAGCAGTGTCACGGCAGCTGAAGTTTAGGGCCGGTCGGAATGGTACTTAAACTCATCGAGCCCAACAGGATCAAATACACTGTTTGTTTCATCCCACCTGGATCCCACACCCTGTTTCTCAGCCTCTCCGACGTCCGTTGACACTGTCTGTACTCTTTGCAATATTTTTATAACTATGTCTCGCGATGTCCCAATGTATTCTGACGACGACCAGCCACTTACGGCGAGACCGGGTCATAGCGGGCAGAATGGCCACGTCGCGCAGAACGGCAATTCATGGGTGGGTGGCGAGTCGTCATTGAGCCAAGACGAGGAGATCCCTCTCGTGCGTTTTCACGCTATATCATAAATGGACAACTCAGTGTGCTCGTCCGCGTTTTTAGTCCCAGGTTTCGTGTACGAACTCGGAACCCGTGACACCCGATGTGCGCGCCTTGAAGCGGAAGAAAGCCGTTGCTGATGACTCCTCTAGTGATGAGGGTATTCCGCTTGCATCGTCGCCTGCCAAGTCTATCGCGTCGGCCGCCACCCACATGAACGGCGCCTGCGCAGCCACACCCACCCCCACTCCAGTGGCGAATGGTAAAAAGAAAATCGTCAATGGTGTCAAGGCGGAACCTGCCAGCGACGCTGCTGGAGGAGGAGACGACGACGATGATGACGACGCTCCCATCACGAAGAAGAAACGTGTTAATGGCCACGCGAAGAGCAAGCCGCCGAGGAAGAAGGTGAAGACAGAGGATAATGATCAGCGCCTCTGTGACGACTCTGAGGACGACAAGCCCATCGTCAAGAAGGCGCCAGCCAAGGGCAAACGCAAGCTGAAGGAGGAGAGTGATGCTGACGAGGAGAGCTTCGCAGATGATGATAAGCCATTGAAGAAGCCACGAGCGAAGAAGGCCGCGCCGAACAAGAGGGCGAAGAAGGAGGAGTCATCCGTTACTGTCTCCAAGGCCAAGAGGAAGGCAGTAAAAGCGGAGGCGGAAGATGGCGAGGCCACACCTAAGAAGGGGAAGAAGAAGAAGGAAGAAGAAGACGAGGTCTTCCGTTGGTGGGAGCAGGAGGATCCCAACGGCGATGGCACACAGAAGTGGCAAACCTTGGAGCACAACGGTGTATACTTCCCTCCTCCTTATGAATCTCTACCGTCTCATGTCAAGATGAAGTACGCTGGTGTGTGACGTTCATTGCCTCACTGCGTTTTCATCCCTGAAGTCCTGAGTGCGTTAGGTAAACCAGTTGACCTTCCGCCTGACTCTGAGGAGGTGGCTGGATTCTATGCGGCTCTCCTTGAAACTGACCACGCGAAGGACAATACTTTCAACAAGAATTTCTTCGATGACTGGTTGAAAGTGCTAAGGAAATATCCTCCTGTTCGCCCTTCCCTTTCTAGTGTAATTCGCGCGGACTAACATTCGATGTCAGAGAACCAACACTAAGATCACAGACTTCTCCCTTTGCAATTTCCGTCCTATGTGGGAGTACTTCGAGGAGGAGAAGGCAAAGAAGAAGGCCTTATCCTCTGCGGAGAGGAAGGAACTGAAGGCGGCTAAGGATGCGGTAGAGGCCCCGTACACTCATTGCGTCCTTGACGGTCGTAAGGAGAAAGTGGGCAATTTCCGAGTTGAGCCTCCCGGTCTGTTCAGAGGGCGAGGCGATCATCCCAAGAAGGGTGCCCTCAAGGTGTGACCGCTCTCACTTATGAGCAGGTGTAGATGCTAAATTTCGTTCTGACCTAGTATCGTGTCCGTCCTGAGGATATCACGATCAATATCGGTGAAGGTGTTCCCACTCCTAAACCAAATATGCCTGGTAAATGGAAGGACGTCATCCACGACAACACTGTTACATGGCTTGCTAACTGGACGGAGAACGTCAATGGAAACTACAAGTATGTCTTCCTCGCTGCGGGAAGCTCCATCAAAGGCCAGAGCGATATGTCGAAGTTCGAGAAAGCGAGAGAGCTCAAGGTTTGTTGCTATATCTGATCATTTATTCCGTCATCTCACTCAGTCCCGCAGAAACATGTGGACCGCATCCGACAGGACTACACTACAGATTTGAGAAATAGGGCAATGTTGGATCGCCAACGAGCTACGGCTATGTACTTCATCGATCGTCTGGCGCTTCGTGCTGGTAACGAGAAAGGCGACGACGAAGCAGACACCGTCGGTTGTTGTTCGCTCCGCTGCGAACATGTGACGCTGCAGCCGCCCAACCAACTAGTCTTCGATTTCCTGGGTAAAGACTCGATCCGTTACTATAATCAAGTTGGCGTCGACGAACAGGTGTACAAGAATATTCGCATCTTCAAAGAGGGTAAGGAGGACGATGACCAGCTTTTCGATCGCGTTCATGTGAGCTCCATCTTGATTTCTGCACCGTCTGACGTGACTGATGTGATTGTCATAGACCTCATTGCTCAACAAGCATCTCGCGTCTTACATGAAGGGTCTCACTGCGAAGGTTTTCCGTACATATAACGCCTCAATCACTTTCCAGCAACAGCTTGATCAAGGAACCCCTGAGAAGGGAACAGTGCAAGAGAAGTTGAACGCGTACAACCATGCCAACCGTATGGTTGCCATTCTGTGTAACCATCAGAGGGCCGTTCCGAAGACGCACGAGCAGTCTATGGGTAAGATGCGTGAGAAGGTATGTTTCGATGTTACTCCTGGCAGGTGTGTTAACTCAAGCACTCACCACTCGTCACTAGCTGCGTGGTTTCAAGTACGAACGCATGAAGCTACGCCACGCTCTATTCACCATCGACTCTAAATTTAAGAAGAAAAAGGAGTACAGAGATGACGAGTCTGACCTCGACGACGATGCGATTGCAGAGCACGAAGAGCAAATGAAAGCAAAAGAAAGGGAGAAAGCTGAGAAGAAGTTCCAGAAGGACAACGAGAAGCTCGCCGACGACGGAAAGGACCCGCAGGAAGAGTCTGTCCTCAAGGCCAAGTTTGACGAGATTGAGGCCGAGTTTAAGAGGCTGAAGAAAGAACGAGGCACCAACAAGGCTGAGCTCAAAAGAGATCGCCCAGTGGAAAAGATCGAGGAGGCCATCGAAAAGCTCGACGAGAAGATCAAGACTTTCAAACTGCAGATGGAGGATAGAGAGGCAGGAAAGGAGGTAGCCTTGGGCACGAGGTCTGTCCCGAATCGCGACGCATTTGACTTTTGCTAATTGAATACGACGCCTGCAGTAAAATCAACTATTTGGACCCAAGGTACGCGATTCACGTCGTTCAGGTGATGCTGCGATGCCTGAAGTATTTTTTTTTGTAGAATTACCGCCGCATGGTGCAAGAGTCATGACGTTCCGATAGAGAGGATTTTCTCGAAGACCTTGCTTACGAAGTGTACGTGGTTAGCTCGTTTTCCACGATATCACCGGTTAACGATGTGCTCAGTTCCCTGGGCTATGGAAGTCGACTCGGAGTGGAAGTTCTAACTGTTGATTTGCACCATCGTATCTGCCTTAGCATCGCTACTCATCGAGAGGACATTAGGAGCCGTTGTTTCCCCATTGCACCCCCCTCTTACTACACGCATTGTGCCCTATAAACGCATCCTCAGCATTTTTCCTCTTAATGCATAGTTGTCCGGTGTACGTAGCTATAGATGAATACAGTGTCTTGACCATTGACAAGTATAGCCTAGGAGGTGTACGGTGAGAGTAGGCAAGGTGCTAAAGTTCCTGCAAGCGATCGCGATTCGCTCGAGGCGCGCGTCACGCGATGGATGTTTCTTTTCACGTGTACGTGTCCTCCAAGCGCAGACGTCAAGCTCGGAACCACCGTCTTCAGCCTGAGCTACGTGTCCCCCACTCTTGCACCCTCATCATCACCAGGCTACCCCATAGCTCATGAGCTCTACGGCGCGCACAAATTCAAGACCATCATGGGTCTCCAAAACCACGTTTGAAGCATTGGGCGTAGAATCGGGCGAAGAGAGCGAGGAGGAAGTCCGGGAAGAGCCCACGCCGCAAACTTCACCTCCAGAAAGGTAAGAAATTCGCGGCGTGTGAGGTACCATTGAAATCTTCTTCTTCTCATTGCTCTCCTCCAACTTCAGTTCGTCAGAGTCGGCTAAGCCCTCCAAAAGCGCAATCAAGAAGGCAAAGGCTGTAGCACGTGCTGAGCAGCGAAAGGCAGAACGGGCAGCGCGGAGAGAAAAGGCGACGGAGGTGGCAGCAAGAGCCGCATCACCCGTTGAAAGCGTTGGACCTGCGGAGAGTACCTCCCAAGAGGAAGACGTTCCTGCGGCCGATGACGAAGTGTCACGTCCACCTATAGAGAAGCTCGCAAAAGTGGAGGATCAGCCACCTCCTGCCTCCCATGCAGTAAACGGTGTTGCCCATGTTGTCACTAATGATGTGCCACATCCGACACAAGTCGTATACTCGGTGCCACCTCCGCCAGTTCCACCACCATCCGACCAATTACCGTCGAACGGACATCCTGCAACGCACGAGGATGCGAGTGCGGGGGTGCACCTTTCGTCTACCAGCGAGGTCTCCAAAGCATCCAGCCATGATCTGTCAGGCGCGCCTGAAAAGCCAGCAGAAGACGCTGAGCAGGTCAAGAAACGCCAGAATGTGTTGACGCGCACATTGTGGACGTTCATCATGATCGGCGGTTTTCTTAGTGCGCTAACTTTTGTTGTCCTTCTTTCACTTTTTTGATCTCATACCTTTGAACACATCTAGCACTACTGCTGATGGGTCATGTGTATATGATTGTTCTCGTGATGCTATGCCAAACCCTCGTTTATCGCGAGGTGACAGCACTGTTCTCATTGAAGAAGATTGACTCAGGGAAAGCAGGAGAACTGAGGGGACGAGATCCTTGGAGCAAGATCTTGAACTGGTATTTCTTCGCTGTAACCAACTACTTCTTGTATGGCGAAAGTATCATATACTATTTCAAGGTATGTTCTCACATCGATTTCTTTCAGCTGATTTAACAGATATTCCCAGCACGTCGTGTTTGCGGATGCGAACATGACGCTTTTCGCGACGAACCACCGGATGGTCAGTTTCACCCTCTACACCATCGGCTTCATGGGCTTTGTCATGTCCCTGAAGAGGGGATACCTGAAACAGCAATTCGGTTTGTTCTGCTGGGTGCACATGACGCTGCTCCTCATCGTGGTGTCGAGGTCAGTACCCGCCTCCCTCACATCACATCTCGGCTCGTAGGTCTGAGATTTACGTTCAGTCACTTTATCGTGAACAACATTCTTGAAGGCATGATTTGGTTCTGGGTTCCCGCCTCTCTCGTCATTTGCAACGATGTTTTCGCCTACGTTTGGGGGGTCACCTGCGGTAGAACCCCTCTGATCAAGCTTTCGCCCAAGAAGACCGTCGAGGGCTTCGTGGGTGCTTTTTTTAGCACGGTCATTTTCGGAATACTTTGGGGCACGTACTTCATGCGTTTTGACTACATGATTTGCCCCGTGCATGACCTGGGCGTCAGCGCGTTCAGCCAGACAATACATTGCACTCCGAACCCGGTGTTCGTGTACAGGAACTGGAAGATGTGGGCTCCGCTGAGGGTATTTTTGACTACGTTGGTGCGCATACCGTTCCGTTCACGAATTCGAATTTGACTGAAACTCCACGGCGGGTGCCTTCTGCAGCTCGGACGCTCGGTGACGACCATCCCGTACGCGCCGTATCAGTGCCACCTGCTCTTCATGTCGTGCTTCGCCTCGCTCGTCGCGCCGTTCGGCGGATTCTTCGCGTCCGGCTTCAAACGTGCCTTCAACATCAAGGACTTCGGACATAGCATTCCAGGTCACGGAGGGATGACTGACCGCATGGATTGCCAGTGCGTATCCTCCTCTTCGCTTTCTCGGGTTTCTGCCACCGTGTCGACGCTGATCTCCTGCAGGTTCCTGATGGGGGTGTTCACTTATGTGTACTACAGCAGCCTCATCCGGGAGCACCACGTCACCGTCGGCTCGCTGCTGCAGATGATCGTGAGCGGGCTGACGGTGAGTGAGCAGTTGGAGCTCATGGGCGACCTCAAGAAGTACCTGGAGGGACAAGGGATCGCCTTGAACCTCTGAGGCGGACTCGTGGGGACGCTGGTTAAAATATTACTTCCCGCTAGCGGGACCGCCCTGTGGAGACATTTCGGGATGATTGTACGCTACGACTCGAAAATTCATACGTCCTTACAGTATCACTGCTAATGTTGAAGTGCAATGCTCTCGGTCCGAGTACTCTAGGAATTAGAAAAGCCTGCGAGGATACAGCTAGTGCGCCCAGTACTGGGCCTCGAAGCTCGCGTAGCTCTAGTCATCCCGCACGCTAGTCTACTTTTGTGCTTCCATCGGTGCTTGGGACCTGTTAGTATGAAAACCAGATACAATCAGCTACAATGGAAGAAGGAATGTCCGAATCAACTACGGTCGACATAACGGGCACGGAGTGAAGCGGCACCATCATAATACACATGTCATGGCATAGCGGTTGATCAAAGACATAGTGGGCGCATACTGAAGGGTACAAAAAAGCATGGAGCGCCGCCAATAAGTAAATGACAGTTAAGATTGCAAGGATTTCGATCAGTGCAGTGTCGAGTCCATCTATACAACACTTTAAGACCTGGGCTTCTCCTGCAACGAACGTGAGGACAGTCGATCGTCATGCAAAAATAAGCGCAAAGATACCTTTTTCTCCTTCCAGAGTGCGAGCAGACCGACACCAGACACCTTCACAACCTTGAATCGAACACCCGGAATATCACCCTTGGCCTTGCCAGAGCGACCGAAACCGGAGATGAGGACCTCGTCGTTCTCGTCGACGAAGTTCAGGCAACCGTCGTTCTGTAGCACGGCGTGTCAACGAATCAGGAATCGTCCATATCAGAAAGTCTAGACTCGTCCCAATTCCGAACGCGGACAAGCCAATGAACACTTACCGGCACAAACGCGGTGACCTTCTTGCCATTCTTGATCAGCTGGACACGAACGCACTTGCGAATGGCCGAGTTGGGCTGCTTGGCCTCAACGCCGACTTTCTCGAGTACGATGCCCTTTGCGTGCGACGAACCTCCAGTAGGAGAAGTCTTATATATGTTACCGAGAGCACGTTTCTTGTACGCCTTATCCGCCTGTATCCGACGACAAGTAACCCCAGAGAGAGCAGTTAGTCGCTGATCGTCACTCGCAGATCCTTTTTGGGCTTACCCAGCGATTTTCGCGGCGGTCGTTGCGCAGCTTGCGCGCGGCTTGTAATCCGCGGGGTTTGTTAGCTAAAACGCACCGTCAACATCGCAGCGGCGAGCTCGATGACAAGCAGCACGACGACACGTACAGCCCATGCTTGAGGATGTGGTAGATAGGAGGAAGACAGTCTACGGTCGGAGCTCAAAACATTAGATCAAAAACGATACAGTTCTGTCTTCCCATCACGTGCGCGCCGCCACCAACGCGGCTGGGCCGTCTCCTGCCTCGGCGCGTCGATGCACTAGCGTACTCGCTCTCTCTCTCCAATCACCATCCACCATCATCTCGGTTGACCTCAGCGACGTGCGGACGATGAACACCATCGGTCCTCTTTTCCGTCCTGCATGCTCTGTCTCTCTGGGCGATAAGCATTCGTCTCTAGCGTGGCGGGGTGTGAAAGCCAAGTCAGGTACACATTCTGCTCTCGTCGGCCGGCACCGTATCAGATTGGGTTATACACCCTTCGCCCCCGACTGGTCAGCGGTAACTAATTACCAGTCCTGCTCCACCGCTGACTCTGATAGAACTTCGCGCGAATGGGTCTCGGGGAGGTCTTAGGCAACTTCTAATCCTCGCACGATGGAGGGCTATATTTGTTATCTGGGTTGCGAATTCCGAGCGGTGGAAGTGTTGCGGGGACGTGCACCATTCAGGTGTAACTCCTTCTGTCTCTGCGACCTTGCTCCTGTCCTGGAGATCATCGTCGGCAGTAAGCACGAATGTCTGCAAGCTCTGAGATCAAGTACTATCATCACGGGCGCTTCCGCGTTGCTGGAGGTGTCCTTCCGGACGCTATCACTGCATATCGTACCTATGGCGACCCGGCGAACCCATGTATTGTGTTCCCCACCTGCTACGGTGGTCGGCTTGACAGTGAGTGTCTTCGTATGACCGTAGTCTGTGCCCTCCCGGTTACAGAGGGTTGAACGCAGACGTGGGCTTGCTAGGCCAGGACTACATGATTGGCGAGAACAAGGTGCTGGGTCAGCCCGCTCTGGAGCTCTGTGGGTTGCCTGACGGTGCATTTCGCGTTTAGCCTCTTAACCCGCGGAAGTACTACATTGTTACTCTGGCTCTGTTCTCGAACGGGGAGGTGCTGCATTTCTCTCTAAGTCGTCTCGATCGTTCCTGATGGAGTTCCATATGGCGATCGTAGTCCTCCTCTCCCTCCAATACGGTACTACGTTCTGCGTTTGCTGCTATTTGTCCCGCCTGATGCCCTACGTGTGGCCAGCCTGTGCCGTATAACGGACCATACTTCCCTGCTGTATCTTATGAAGACAACGTGTAAGCGACTTGGCAAGCTAGAACAATATCTCCATGTCCTTATTTTCTTTGTAGTCTCGCTCAGTATGCAGTCCTGACCAAAGAGCTCGGGGTGAAGAAGGCGTTCTGTGTCATCGGGTTCTCTATGGGCGGTCAGCAGGTATGCAGTATCTCGAGGCCCCGAGTGATGTGACACTCACACTCGCGTCCAGGCGTACTATTGGCCAGTGATGTACCCAGACTTCGTCGAGAAGTTGGTGCTCTGTGCCCTAGGCATTGACTGCGCCTGAATCTCTGTAATAGGTTCATTTCAATCTGTGGTTCTGCGCGTACGAGTCCCCATAACATATGGTGCGTCGCGCATGGCATGTTGTTGAATCATAGCCTGTACTCATGCTACTGGCGGAAGCTTCCTTGAGGGCCCCAAGGCGGCCCTCGTGGCTTCTAAGGACTTCCAGAACGGCCACTACACCACGCAGCCGCAAGTTGGCCTCCGTGCGTTCGGTCGGGTGTATAGCGCATGGGCGTACGGGCAGACCGTATGTACCACTGCGTCGATGATTTCAGATCGCTGAAACGCGAGCCCTCCTGTATTCGTAGTGGTTCCGCAACCACGGGTATCTAGAGAACGGAAAGTACGCGTCCCTAGATGACTTCTTACGTGCTGAGTGGGAAGGCGGCTACCTGGAGTGGGACGCGAACGACCTGCTCACGCTACTGGATACATGGCAGACTGGCGACATCACCACCGTTAGCGGCGTAGCAGGTGCAGGGAATTTCACTAACTGTCTTGCGAGCATCAAGCCCAAGGGCCTCATAATGCCGTGCAAGAGTGATCTGTACTTCCCGGTGAGCGGTTTTCTAAATGGCATTGTGGGTGACAAGGTGAATTCGGTATTGTTTGTGTGAACTGCAGCCCGAGGATAGCGAGATTGAGGTAGCGCTCATGAAGAATGGTTCCAGGCTTGTCGTCATTCCTTCCGTCTGGGGACACATGGGTATGCTTTCTGTTCGCCACTTCGAGATCATTTCAACAAGCTTCTGATCTTATCCTAGCTGGCGGTGGGTCAAACGAGGAAGACGACGCGTTCATCAAGGCGTCAGTTGAGAAGTTCTTAGATGAGGATTGAGGAGATGGTCTCTCGCTGAAACCCTGTACATGTACGTTTTGTCAGACAAAGACAACACCCAACAAGTACGAACTTACCCGCGACGCCGGCGCCGTGTCAACATTCCGGGAATACAGACAGGTACATGCGTACAAGTTACAATTTACAAGATGCTATAACTTAAGATAGCAGTACTATCGCTGATTTCCCTGCGAACTCAAAAGTAAGAGCCAGCACCCGCATATGAACTGCTGGAATGTGGACTCGAAGTATCTATGGGCGGCACCGTTTCGCCTTCATTTTCAGTGTTTGCACCAAGCTGCAACTGCTCCGCTTGCCGCTGCACGTATTCCACCGATCCCGGGCCAAACGCAGGGCTCGGCCTTTGGTACTCTCTCACCGCAACCGCTAATCGTCCTGCAGGTATGGATGATTGAAGGTCCGACTGCGGGGGGACGGGCTGGAAGGCGACCTGCAGACAATCACAGTTAGACGAGTCAGCCATGAGCTACAAGATTGATCCCACCGTATCGTTTATCGTCTTGTATCCCTTCAGGAAGACAGTCACACGTTCCAGCTCCTCAGCAACCTTTTCTCGTCTGCGTTCCCGCATCTGCTTCTCCCTCTCTGTCTCCATAACGCCTCCACCGCTCTTCAGCTCCTCGAGCTCCTTCTTCGCCCACACGAGGAATCCAACGGCGTGTCCGCACTGGCTCGTGCCACCATGCTCGCCCGCGTCAACACCCAGCCACTTGTGCGCGAGCGCGGCGTGGAACGCGACCTCGTCCGAGAGGTACCGCCGCAGCTCCGGCGCGACCTCCTCACCCGCATCGTCCGGAGCCTTGCCCCTGTCCCTGCCCAGTTGGAGCTTGAATTTTGACTTGGAAGACGCGGAGCGCGAGTCGCCGGGCGTCTTGGCGAGCGAACGCGCGGTGGAGTAGAGCGAGGCGCACTCCAAGTGCAGCTTCGCTATGAGGACGGGCGAGGGGTGCGACTTGGGCAGGGGAGGGCCCGGGGTGAATGCACTGTCGAAGGAGGCTTTGGATAAGAGCTTGCGGATGGCGAGCGTTTGTGCGTCTGCGAGTGCCATCCTAGATTCACGCGTCGGGTCGGAGTAGAGGAATTCGACTAGGAGGACTCACTTGCTCAGGCCAATTACGACTTCTCTGCTTAGATCAGGGGGATGTGGGCAGGGGAGTCCGGCTGCAAGCACACGGTCTCGTTCCCGCTCCCACTCTCCTAGGCACTCCTTGCCAGCGTACTCGAAAATGCCTGAGGCTTTGCACAGGAGCGTCACGGCGAAACCAAGGCGCTCATCCTTAACTTTGCGCTCTGTATCGGACATTGCGCGATCCTGCTCGTATGCCCCGAGCGAATGCACTACTGTGCGCGACAGGTTGGAGAGCGCGAAGGCGTAGGTCAGCAGGGTGAAGACCAGCTCAGTGGAAAGCGTTGGGATAGTTAATCGAGGAGAACTATGGAAGAGCGTCGATGACAGGGTAGTGCGCCAGCTGAATACTACGGATCAATTCGTTCAGAGGGCTGGCGGGAGGGAAGACGAGACACACACTAGGTTCGGCTTTGAGACCGAACTCTCCTTGCTTCACGCAGTCAAAAATACCGTATAGCTGCGGTATGTAATCATCGAGAACCTGAGATGAATATGCTTCAGTTCACGAGAGGAGCACAGCGGTACTTTCGACTCACCTTCACCAGCTTCAGGTAATCCTTCTCATCGACATCGGCCCGTTTGTTTTCCTTCAGAGCAGCGCGCAGGTTCGCTCGAGCTTCCGTTGCTTGGGCAATCTCGGTGATGTATGTTGCAGTCTGATCACTGAAGAAACTTGCAAAGTATATAGCCCCCGTCGTCGGCAGCTCATAGAAGTAGGAAGACATTGGACGGTCGGTGGCGCGATGAGAGTTATCTACATAATACAATAGACGCCCGGACCATTTGATGTCTCTCCCTACTTCGTCATCTCAATTGCAATCTATTAACAAGTTATTGGGTGTCTGTAGTCCGTTTTCTCATTCTCAACCCTCACCTCACCCACAGGATTACACAAAACAACTTGGATATTTGCAATCGTCGCGGACATGCCGATCCATAACTCGGTGAAGTCTCCGTCCATCCGCGATCTGCCTTACGACATCTTGTTCGAACTCTTCCGATATCTCTGTGGCAGAGATATTGCCTACCTTCTCAGCACATGCAAGACACTGCACGCCTACATTCATGAACTAGCTATATGGCAGTCTCTTTGCGCCCGTTACAGTCTCCGAGATCTAACCTATTTTCGCGGCCAATCATTCTACACCGTGTATACCCAACTTCTGCATCGGTACTGTCCCCTACTCGGCCTCTGGGCAAGTGACCACCCATTCAGAGGGAACATCGTAGAATTTCGCCTCCTTTCGGGGTGCGACAGAGAACAGGGAGGAATTATCGGCGAATTTTGGCGTTTTGCAGATGCGCAATTTGGAGACGCCATGCCACGCCCACCAGAATATATTCGTATGCTCAAGATTGGGTTTGACGCACTGTCCTCCCATGGAGACGAACAAGAAGGAGATCACTCACATATGGTCCGCATCATTTGCAATCCATATGTCCAGGTTGGGGGAGAGCATGTGGCTGCTCCCATTGGCATGCATCCGTCCGTGATTGAAGTGATGCCCCCGTCAAATTATGGATTGTTCCTGCAGGAATACCGCCGCACATTTTCTCACCCCGTCTTCCCTTGCAGAACGGCTCCATGGTACGACGACAACCGCGGCCTGCCCCATCTCAAAATGTCCAACCCGGTCGAGGTCGACCAGCGCGAGCTCGTGCGCATCTACCCTGCAGTCCGCCTCCCTATCATCTTTACTGCCCCAGTGGGCCACGCGAAGCCGTCCGCTATTTCCATCAGCTGCGGGGGGGTTGCATGCATGGAACAGCACCAGCCGTTCGTGCCCTTTGACGACATCATCCCCCTTCCCCCCCGCTACTACCCGATGAAACGCGTTGTACAGAGTGGCATTGACCCCGATACCGAGGGCTGGCGCCTTGAGGGCCTCGTCGGGCTCTGGCTGGGCATGCACGGACAGCAGGGAACGGAGTGCCTCTTCGTTTCATGGCACACTGATGAGGAAGAACTACGTGCGTGGAAAATCACCGGAGACATCAACGTCCCCCGCGGAGTGTGCAGCTGGATACTGAGGACGCATGTCGGCGTCACCTCCAGACACCCTGCTTTACTCGAGACATGGAATCGTTTAAACCTGTCGGTGGCGCGGGTGTACGTGGGCACGGGGATTATCAGCGAGCGTGGTTTTGCGTATGTGCTGGCAGTCTTCGTTCCGCTGCTCAATGTGACTCATCCCTCGAACGTTCAGGAAGCCAACGTCTGTCGACCTCATCATTGGTGTCACTGGAGCGGACGAGATCAAGATCTGGTGGGATCAGGTTAACGACATCAGGACTTACATTCGATATGTAGGACGCGATCTCTGATATCCCAAAGGTACCAACAATATAGAGGCATCGTTAATCGTACACTAGTGCGAGTGGCATGTACTTGGGCGTCGACGGATCACACCATGCAGCAACGGTGGCGCCGCAAAGCTCGGTTCCGAGATATCAGTACAGCCAACATGCCTATGCGTGTCGACTGATAACCTAAGTCAAAACTAGTGACACGAATCCAAGATGCCATGGTATCCTCTGACAGGGAATAGTTCCCGACCACGCTGCTATGGTGCGATGCAAGTTGGTAGGATGTAACGCCGTCGGGCGACCACGATAAGTTAGACGACGGTGTAGGATGGACGTACTGGTGGTGAAGGGAAGGGGCTAGGGTCATAGAATGAAGGTATATACTCGTACAACAGCGGAGATGCGCCTAAATGACGGATGAGTCCTGAACAGTGCAAGTGAGATTGAAGAAGGAAATAGAGCAGTTGTCCACCGAGGTCATCTGGGTCTACCACGCCCAAACCCAAAAGTCGAACTCTGCCCGAAACTCGAACTCGTAGGCATGCTCGACGTGCCCGCACGACCACCGGGATGCGATGTCTGCGGGGTCATCGTACTCGTGGGGTTACCGATCGGGGTCGACGATGCCGACCCGTCAGCAGGCAAGCCCATGAGCCTTTGCACGATGTAGGGCCGAACCTGCGACTGCGTACGCGAGTGTACCGGCGCCGTCGGTGAAGCGGGCACGGAGGGGAGAGGCGGGTGCGGTGGACGGTGTGAGCCGCTGTTTCGAACGCCGCTCGTACGCCTGGACTCGGTCCCGATGGAGGACGACGAGTACGTCGAGTGTCGGAAGTGGATGTCCGACACGGTCAAGGGGATCGAATCGGTTGGCGAGGGCAGCAGCCCGGCCGAATGGGATTCGGGTTGTCTGGGCTCGTGCGGCGAGTCGGGCGGGATGGTGAGCGGTTCTGGTAATGGTACTGTTTGGAGAGATATCTGTGGAGTGAGAGATGGTCGGCTCGTTGTGGGTCCATCACCGATGGTCATGGAGATTCCAAGGGATGTACGAGTGTCAGGAAGAGGAGGTACACTGCGCGCACTTTGCTCGCTGCCAGTGTTTCGCCGGCTCCGCGATGAGCGCGTCGACGCGGACTGTCGGTTGGACCTCGAACGGTTGGAGGACGAGTTTGACGAGGAGAGCGACAGGAACGACGAGAACGCCGACGGCTTCCCGCTTGACATACCCTCTTCTCGATCCGTCTCCAAGCTCCTCAGCACCTCTGCACTCCGGGCTAGTGCTTGTCGCAGTGACTGAGGCAGCGAGATCGCACCCGCGCTGATATACCTATCTCTGCCGGCTCGTTCCGGCCGTTCCTGCCCTTCTGCAAACTCCACTCTCAGCGGGGGCAAGCCTTCTACAGCCTCCGCCTCTGCTTCAGATGCCGGTGAGACTATGTTTGACAGAAGGATGCCGCGACTGCTATCACGCCCGTGCATTTCGCGTGGACCACGTGGACGGGGACTACGTGGGTTGGTAGGTGACGGCGACTTGAATCGGACAGTAGAGAACGATTCGTCCGACGGTAGCGGGTGCGCGGTCGACGGGAGGGAAGACTTCGGGAGATAACTCTCTGGCGAGAGCTCGGGAAGCTCTATAGAAAAGCTTCCGTCCGACTTCTGCGTGGCGTGCATTCCAAAGCGCTGCGGGATACCTTCGGCGTCCCGTTCAACAATCTCATACTTATCGTACTCTTCGTCCGCATTGCGCGCTTGCTGCGAACTGATGTCCAGCACGCCCACGTCAACCATGCGGCCCTTCCCTTTCTCCCGCATGCCAACCTCGTCCGGGCCCGCGCTTGCGCCCCGCATGCGCGACGGCGCGAGAAATCCGAGGCGGTCTGCGAGGCTGCGCCGCACGCGCGGGTGCACGATGAGGTCGCGCTTGCGGCGCGCCGCGCGGCGGCGCCAGTAGAGCGCACCGCCGAGCAACCCGAGCAACGCGACAAACGCGAGCGTGGCACCGACAGCGATGGCTGCGACCGTTCCACGGGGCAGACCCGAGGAGGCGGAGACGGAGGTGGCGCCGACGGGCGTGGCGCTGGCAGAACCGACGATCGACAGAGAGAGTCAGCTGTGAAGTATCGAATGATGACAAGGTAGCGCTTACGCAGAAGGGCTGGCGGGCGCCGACATCGTGACGTTCGCGCCGCCTGCGAGCACGACGAGGAGAGTTCCTGAGTCGGTTTCTGTAATGGGGCCGGCGTTGGCGATGTCAAGGACGTGGGTGGCTGTAGGGTCGAGGTCGGATGCGAAGAAGAGCAGAGTAGGGCTTGACGCGGTGAAGGAGGCGCGCGCGGAGAATGTACTTGTGATGTTGTCGAGAGTGATGTTGTACGAGCCCGAGGAAGGAGTGGTGAGCCCTGATAGCGTTACAGCTGTGCCTGTGGTAAAGGCAGTCAGCTAACAGTGAGTGGTGTGTTGAAGGATTGGGTGCGCCTGCAGTCATGGAACATTGGGATAGATGAGACATGTCCGAGGAGAAGCTTAAGTACGGCAAACACGACCGCGAATCACAAAATGTGGACGAGCACGATGGCGAGACGCTTGACGTGACGTGAGAATACCAGTATCCGTTGACGGCATCCCTCCACAATAAGCGACTCGCCGAACGCAGCGAGCGTGCGAGGTAAAACGTGGAGGGGGTGAAAAAGAAAAATGGCGATACGAAGACAGCGGAAGACAAAAAGAAGCGGCGCAGACCGGCGGTGAGCATACGCTCGAACATAAGCCGACGGCTAAAATCCGAGAAGCCTCCACAGCACACTGGTACTCACCACTGAATATCACGCGTGCACTATCCCCGACATTAGTGCTTGTGTGAAAAGCTATGTCAGGCGAGTCGGGAAGGAGCCCGGGAGCGTAAGACCACTGCCCAAGATACGCGACGACGCTGTCTGGTACAGAAGTCGTGGATGACGGTGGTGCGGTGATAGAAGATGACGGTGGTACGGTGGTAGAAGAGGAAGGCGTGGAGTGAACGCTGGTGAAGTATTAGTTCGCGAAACTAGGTGATGGTGATTATAAGAATGAGAGGAAGGATAATAGACGCGAATGCTGTCACGATAACCAAGAGTGAATAAATAGATATGGAATGTCTCAAGAAACACGCTGATGAGGGTTTCACCTGCACGAGAGGGCCATAGCAACGAATGAATTCTGCACGCGACAGGAGACGCACGAAGATCGAGCCTCAGCTGAGCGGTAGCGCGACACCTGTCCGATGGACGCAAATCTCCAACGACAAATGAACGCATGGTCACAGCCGTCCCAGAGAGTCCACTGAAAAAGTCGAGCACGCAAACACAAAAGAAATCCTCACCTCCCACTGGCATCCATCCACACTACTGCTCTGTCAAATGCCACCATGTTCTGCCCTTGCCCCTGGGCCGATGGGTTATGTACAGTCAACACGACTTCATGGAATGCGTCTTCCAGGCTCGCAAAGCCTGCGAGCACATCCGCAGAGGCAGAGGAGACAGTGGCGGGTGTGGAAAGCGAGGAAACATAGTTAGTCGTGGGCGTACCATCCAGGGCAATGCTGTAGGTCAGCGGCTGGGCTGAAGAGGTGGATGCGTTCAAAATTAGTGTGCCATAGAGTGTGATCGCAGTTCCTACAAAGGAAGCAGGAGTCAGCGAAGGTGTAGATAAATGGGTCAATGAAGTGAGATGGGACCGCAGGTTTAAGATGTCGTGATCTGCAATCACAGATCGCGGACGTGACATGTGTGATATTGAAGAAGACCAGCTGAGAAAGTGTTGGGATCTGAATTGGTTTGACCAAGAGCGTCGGGAGTAGCATGACCTCATGGCCGTACTTCGTCGGCTTGGGGGTGACGTGCATGTACGGCGAGTACGAGAGTGTATAATCCAGCAAGCAGACGGCCTGCTTCGTCCCACATTCACGCACGCTTTAGAAGACACAACGCACCGTTCCAGCTGATAGCGAGCGCGGCCCCGTCGCACGCGGTAAGATGCAGGCTCGTCCCATTGCCCACATCTGTGATGGACGCGTTCGACGACGGACCAGGGTCGGTGGCGAACCCCGAGTTAGTGTAGTACGGATTCCAGCCTGAGAGGAGAGCAGGAACGGTGAACGTGTCGGGGAAGGGCGCATACTGGATCGTCGGGGAGGTGTCGTCGATGGTGACTGAGAAGACGGGATCTGCCATGCATGGATAATCCTTTGCAGAACTCAAATGCGATCGGCCGATTAAGAAGACAGGATGTGAGCTCGCAAATCACTTGGTGAGCCTGCAAACCGTACTCAGACCTGCACCGATTGTGAGAGAGGTGGGGGTCAGTTGGAGAGCAGGGGGACACAGCTGACTGAGGACGAGAAAGGACAGGAAGGACGAGTAGCGCCGTGCACGTGAGAAGGGTGGGAGATGAGGAAAGACGGGGAACCAAGAAGCAGCACGGTGACGCTGAGAGCGCGACGCGACTGGACGCGGATGGTACGAGAGAGAACGGGCGACTCGAAAAAGCAAATATGTTATAGGGCGTCAGGAGAATGGTCGGTTATCACGGCCCATCACACATCGAAAGCCGCCCAGCAGGCTGTGCGAGACGACACTCCTCGATGCTCTCCGCACGACAAATCAGGCGCATTCTATCACCATGTCGACCACGGGGACCTGCCAACGTTTCGACCTTCTTCTCTTCGGCCACTCGTGATCTTGGTCCCAAAATTACTTGAATATTTGCTCTGTGCTGCAGGACGATGCCCATACAGGCTATTGCAGCCATGCATCTCCCAGTATGTGAGCTTGGCACCCGGTACCAAATTTTAGCATTTTGCCCCGATGCGATCTGATTTCGATTGCATACGCAGATCTAATCTTGGCATTTGGCGTCCCACTCCATTAGACTTCATTTCGGAATTCCACTCCTTTCTTTCGCAGCCACGTCTACCGTTCATGTTCACTCTTAGTTGGTGCTCCTGCGATCCCTGAAAACTCTCACTGAGTCTGCCATCAACGCTGTCCTCCTATCGTTATCTATCGTAGTGCCGCTCAGCTAGACGTTGACGTGCCTCGAGGATCGACTGCATCAGTGGCGAGCCCGGGGCAGCGTCTATCATCCCCATCTTGCTCGCGGAACTCCCATTGCAGCCATAAGTAATTCTGCCGAATCCATCTCTCGTCCTCCAGCGACTGGAGTTGCTACTACACTATGCTGGCAGATTCATCAAACTCATCCCGCCCATCGCAAACTCACTCCTAAGTGCCAGAGGTCGTCTAACCGCAAGGGACGGCTTCCCAGCGGGTGCTCACTGCCATCACGCGCCGAATGAGATGATGCGTGGCGCGGGCCGGTGACTCGGGTGAGTGTGCTATTCCACTCTTGCTCTGTCACTGAGACGCGCAGTCCGTTTTCGCAATCCAGTTGCAGATGATCCTGCGCCACGAATCAGAGTTTAAGTGCTTGATTTATTTCTAGGGCGTACCAATTTGCCCTTTGTGAGCATTCAGGCCCGTTGAGAATGGCCTGCGAAAGGACAGCAAGTACAATTTCGTGTCTGCCCGGACTGCCCCGCACTAAAGAATACAAGGAACGACGCGTAGGCAGACGACCAGAAGAGCGCGGTAGGGGCGCTTTTCCTATGTTGTGTCGTTGCGAATGCGTTAACTTCGTATTGTTGCGAGATGGCGTCCATGGTCTTTATGGGCCGCGTATCGGGAACACTGTCGCAGAGGTCCATCGTTCCTCAGAACGAAGACTCGATCTGAAAGCTTTTGCCGGAGACTAGGGTCGGCGTTCGCGTCCCGCAGGGAAGATTGTGGATGACAATCAGTCGCCAAGCTCCGCCAGTGCTCGTCGGGTGTAATTTCTGTGAGAACGGTTTTCCATGAATCCCGCAGTGCACACGGGTCCTTCCGCAGTCTCCTTCTATGGCACGGGCTGGTCACTGTTAAGATCAACTACTTATTCATGCGTCTTTTAGACCCTTTGGAGCTTCAGGACGATCTACAGGAGATCAAGTTGCAGAAGCCAAGCTCTGGTGAGTCAACGCGGTCCAGAAAAATAATTGATGCGACAATGACGACTGAAACTTGCATCCGGAGCTGCTGGATTGGATGCGTATGAAAATTTGAATGCAGCTGCCCCGGGTATGTTGCGTGGATCCCGACAGGGCGCGCGCTGCGAGTCACGCCTGTTATCGTCCGTTTGGAACTTGTCTTGCACGGTAGTATCCGGTAAGCAGAGGGTAAGCTCGATCTATCGTTGAGTTGGGAGGACGGAAGCATTGCAGAGGGTATGGAGGCGCGTTGATGTGGTGACGATGTCGATCCTGAGATCTGAGACGTGGCTCAGATATTAGTGCCCACAGATGTTTCCGATCCAGTGAGACACTAGTCTTGCAGGCACTTGCACCATCAGTGTTGCAGTGAATACACCGAGACACAATGAAAACGTTGCGATGGTTCGGCTTGTTTCCTGTTTGTTAGTATGGTACTATTGCTAAGACGGACTCGAATTACTACAAACACTTCGTATCAACTACACGTAAAGGTATACGATATTCGTATAAACACAGGAGTACAGGTCAGCTCAGAGAGGGGAGAGACAAGAAGACAGCGAGATGATGTAAAAGGGTACGCGCCCAAACCAAAAGGATAGATACAGCACTCAGCGAAGCGAAATGTCACAGGAAAGCTATTGAATCCGAATATTGTCACGAATTCGTCCTTCGTTCACGCTCCTTCGTCTTCGCCCCGGGCCCGAAACGTTCCTGGAAGCTAATGAGCTCTTCCATCAGCTCCTCCATCATCTTCATCGTCACCAGCCCCGCCTCTTGGCCTGGAGCCGTCTCGCCCTCGAATATGTTCGGGTTCTCCTGCAGCGGTGACTCGACAACCGAGGCAGTGGTGACGGCTGTCGTGCCCGCACCATCGCCTGGAGGTTCTCTGAAATCCATCTGCATGTCTTGCGCCTCTCTCAACGCCCTCCCCACTGCATCCCGCCGCCTGGTTCGCTCCAGCGAGTTCGCCTGCTCACGGCCGACCCACTCCACTAGCGCTCTCACGCGCTTATTCATATCTCCAACGCTCATGCGCTTGCTTGGCCATCTGACCTTCACCCCCCGCTCTGTTGTGCGCTCCAGGGACTCCCGCCCTGTAGCGTCGACGCCTGAACCACGCACTTCGAGTGGGCGCGGGACGTTGGTTGGAAGCATCGGCTCTAGATGCGCGAGGTAGTCCGGCAAATTCCATGAAGTGAAGAGCGGCTGCTGCGATACGGCATATGCGTGAGAGTGATGGTATGCGCGCGAGGCAGAGGCAGATGACGCTGCATTCGTGGCGTTCGTCTGAGCCCGGCGACCGCCATGGTCTTGACCTGCGGTCGCTGAAGAGCGAAACTTGTAAGTCATCGCAAGGTAAGAGAGTGGATAAGAAGTGAGGACCTTTTGCGCGACTGGTGGTAGCGCGACGTGCATTAGACGCTGACGCTGTGCTGTTCGCTGTGAGGTGATCACGTGAGTGACGTCACACAGTTATACGCGTCTATCTACTCACCCTCATCACCCTCAACGGTCATCAGCTCTTGCACTTGCGCCTTGCGACCTCCTCCACGGCGATTGCGCGTGGTCTTTGTTGTCGGCGCGGACACAGGAGATGGCTTCGCCGTCGCTCCATTCACCGGTGTCGGATCGCGGAGAACACTAGGCGGAGGTGGGTTGGACGCGGTGGACGATGATCTAGTTCGCTTAGTTGGCAAACTGAGCCCGAGAGTCAACATGCAAACATCAACGCGCAAGCTTGACACGACTTACGCGTCGTCGTCACTGCGCTTCCGCTTCTTTCGAGTGTTGTTTGTTACTTCGGTCTCTTGTTCGATCTCTGCATGCTTGTCTGAGGCACCATTGATCAAAGTCGCTGCGGAGGTATTCGAGATGCTCTCGTTGGCGGCGGCAGCGGCCTCGGCAGCAGTAGCCTCTATGATCGCTTGAACGCTCTCTTCGTATGCGGCATCCCGACTGTTCATCGTGTTACGACGCTTGGTGGTTTTCAAAAGGTGTGTTGGAGAATGCGAACGGGATGAGCGGGATGTGTTACCAGCCGCTGTTGTTGTGTTATGTGAGTTTGTCGATGAATGTCGCGCCTTCTTGGCGTATTTTCTGTTCAGTGTCTTCAGAGAGGAGATAGTGTTCGACATGCACATATACGCACTTGAGAAGATCAACATACATGTCCGGCCGGCACAGCTCGCAATAATAGTGATTGGGGACATTGTCGAGGTCGGGGTGCCCCATACACTGGCCGTGCTGCCAAGTCTTGCACATCTCACACTGAATCATGAACTCGCCAATATCTGCATCATCATCGGCTTTGTCATGCTTGAGTTCACGCGAGAGACAGCGCCACGACGGGACTTACCACCAGTGCCCTCGCATATGCACCGCGTGACACCGGCCTCCTCTTCCTCCTCCTCCTCAGGCTGCGCAGCGGTATCCCCCCCATGCGTCTCAGCTCGAGGAGTATCCACGCCGCCGTCCGTTGTAGAGGTCTTATCTTTATCCTTGCTCCCGCCTTTGCGCTTCGCGCGCGCGTTGCCGTTCCCGTTGATCCCGTTCTTTGGTGCACCTTCCAACGCCTCGTCCTGGTCCTCTTGCTTGCCACGTTTCCCCTTCCCGGAGTTGGCGGATGACGATACGGGTGGCCGATTTGAGCTGTCCTTTGATTTTGGGGCCGTGTCAGAAGCGGGAGAGCCGGCGGGAGACTTGCTCGTCGATGCGGAGGGGACGGTGCGTCTGCCAGATCGCCGGGGCTCCTTGGGAGAGGGCGGTGGGCCCATGGTTGCTACATTGGCCATGGTGTACGCCAGCGCGACGTGGCACAAGTGGTGCGACGCTGAGAGCTCGACCCTGCACAGAGGAGGTAAGGAGATAGGAAATGGGGAATACTTTCGCAAGGTTTTCGCGAATAAGCCACATCAGGTTTGACTTATATATTTCTCTCTCCCAGTGGGTTATGGCTTAAATATTTTATCAGACAGGGATCCCAAAGCGGCAGTCTAACCTTTCTTGGACCCACACCTCCGTCACTCTGGCCTGAACTCACTGCTGGTACGGCTCGCCATCCGTAACATCCTCGTTGATGAATGGGACAACAGTGAACACCAATGACCATTCTCATGTAGCGTCCCGGCCGTCCCTCGATTTCTCTGACACTGAAGGAGAGGAGCTGCAAGAACATGCCGGGGACTATTCCACGCGTTTTGAGGAGCTCATGAGCGACGGCGAAGAGGAATCAAATATCCATGTCAGTGACGAGGAGGAGGACCATGGATTTGTGTACAATGGTGTGGACTCTGAACCCAAAGGTGGATACCGAGAGCAACTCCGAGATCTTCTTGGTCCGGACCACGAAGAAGACGAGCTTGATGCGGCGGAGGTCGAGCATTCACTCGTTGTCAACAACGGCGAGCATGAGAAGCTTGCGACTCTGATGGGAGACGAGGCGGGCGTGGATGTTGTGAGTCGTGTGTTTGTGGCCCGCTCTGTTGCTGCTCACATACAGGCTATCATATAGCCGCATATTGAAGTACTTTCGGACGATTCTCCGTCCACTTCATCCTTGTCTTCTCCACCATATGGATCGGGCCTTAATGGTTCTAACACACCCTCCAAGATATATCATCCGTTCCTGCATCCCACAATATCACGCCTTCGTTCGACTACTCCGCAAGCTTCTCGTATACCCTCATCCAGAAGTATGGGGAGCATAAACTCCTTCGCACGTGACGATCCGTCCGCAGCACCGTCGCACTTCTCCGAGCTATCTCGAATGTCTTCCGGAGATGGCGCGGAGAGCAGAGCAGATCGTGATCGAGAAGTTTTTAGATGGACACAGTTGCGAGTTGTTGGGGAATATTTGTATGCCAAACATCCTCAGAAAGCTTCTGCATTATTGGGTACTGGAAACTTTGGCTCACCTACGGTGCTTGCCGCAAACGGCTTGATCTGCGTCGGTACGGATTCTGGCCAAGTGCTTGTCTTTGACTTCAAGCAGAACTTCCAGTGCATCTGTGGTGCCGAAACTCCCGGTACGTTCTGCAAAGTTTACACGCTCCACCTTTCTTGACTGCTTCCATTTAGACAGATCGGTTGGGTCGGTCACCGCACTCGCACTGTCTTTCGACCATACTTTCATCGCCATGGGCCACGCGTCGGGTCACATTCAGTTGTATGACCTGAACAATCCCAAGATGCCCGCGCGTTTTGTTGCTCCTACCACACTAGCTGAAGTCGTGTCTGGGCGACAGGAAGGACATCTTCTTGGCTCAAGAATTGTGAACGTCGGGTTTATTGCAGGAAAGCATACTGCATTTGTATCCTCTGATGATCACGGGCTTGCGTTTTACCACAGGCTTGGCAAGGTGCTCTTTGTGGATGCCATTGATGTCCTTCGTATTCTGGGCAAGTATCCGGACATCGAGTCCTCTGTTCCACCAGCTCCTGCTTCAGGACCCCATTTCTTTCGCCGGCGGAAGTCAAGGGTAACGAGCACCATACTTGCTATGGGTCCCCTTCCTCTTGGCACGTCCTCACATCCTACAGACCAGTACAACCTCATTGCGTTACTTACACCCATCAAACTTGTTATCGTCGGTCTCAAGCCAACACCGAAGACCTGGTATAGGCGTCATCGAGAGAGTGATGAGGAAGTCATGTCTAAGTCAAAATTCAAAGGTGCACTGGCCTGGTATCCAAGTGTGACCGCCGGTAATGCAGTCACGATAGAACAAGAGTCCAAACGCAGTAAGCCCAACGGAGTGGACCACGGCCCTTCCACCATGCCGATGCTCGTATACTCCTGGGGCGATACGTTAAACCTCATGCGAGTGTCCGAAACGAAGGCTGTGCAGCAGATACGTAACTCTAGGACTGGCAAAGTACAGAACATAGAGGTCGGTCGGGTCGTGTTCGAAGAGTCTTCGCGGTGGACGGCCGGCGGAGATGTCCTCTCCTTGCAGTGGCTGAATGTCAATGTGGGTCCCTTTCCGTGGGTACCTTGTCGATCACGCGCGAATGCTGATAATATCGTTAGCAAGTCGTTGTTCTCACTCCTAGCGCACTGGAAGTGTATGATGTTCGAACCTTGAAACTCGTGGAACACGTGCCTTATAATGCATGGTCTTTAGTCTCCCCGATATTGAGTCATACCACCAATGGTGCTGTATCTTACTCTGATGCCATCACGGAGGTTGCCCATAGCGTACGAGTTTACAAGGGCAAGATATTCATTCTCGTGAGTTGCTCAACGTCCTACCGTATTCTAGTACATTGAATGCCTTTTGTCAGGCCCAGCATGAGGTTCAAGTCGGCACGTTGCTTACCTGGGCAGATCGTATCTTGTCATATGTTGAGTCTGGCGATTTCCTCAGCGCCATCGACCTCACTAGATCCTACTATCTCGGAGACGCACCCGGCAACAGGAATGGTCTTCCCGATACCGCGGTGAAACTCAAAGAGGTGGTCGGAGAGAAGATGCGCGAGCTCATGGTGGCTTCGGCCCACTACGCCTTCTCCGAAGATCGCATGACCGACGGCACTCATGTCACACCAGACGGCCGCGGAGTCGACCGTACATTTCTCTTCGAGGGGTTAGTTGCCACTTGCACTCGCGCGTGCATTGCGCTGGACGACTTCGACTTCCTATTCGAAGATCTTTTCCAGTACTACGACTCCAATGCCATCGCGCGTATATTCCTTGCGCAGTTGGAGCCTTTCATCCTCGAAGGCACTGTCAGGCACGTTCCACCCAGAATTACCCAGCGACTCATCGGTCTGCATGACGATGATCACCGCCCAGACCTTGCGGAAAGGGTAATATGGCACATTGATCCCGATTGTCTGGACATCAATCAGGCGATTACACTCTGCCAGAACTACCGGCTGTATGACGCTCTTATGTACGTGTATACGCGTGCGTTGAAGGACTACGTGTCACCAGTGGTCGAACTCCTCAGCCTCATCCGCCAGGTGCAGCAATATCGGAAGGCACATAGGGAAGGCTCTCCACCGGCTGCGTACGCGGATGAAGAGGCTATCGAACCCATCGTCTTGAATGCGTACAAGATATATCCGTATCTTGCCGACGTGTTGTCAGGCCTCACGTACCCTTCGGAGGAACCACTACCAGAGGAAGAGGCATTCCAAGCCAAGAACGACATCTACACATTCCTCTTCTTCGGCCGTTCTAGTATGTGGCCTCCAGGGGAAGGGGGAAGGCTCATATTGACGTCCGACGAGGAGAACGGCGTGGAGCCAACATACCCTTACACGCGTATTTTATTGCGGTTCGATCCAGAGGCGTTCTTGCATACTCTTGACTTAGCGTTCGAGGATGCTTACTTCAACGATAAAACGCGACGAGTCAGTCGGTTGGTCATCGTAAAGATCCTCTTGGAAATCACGAATTCTTCGGGCCTTTCACCAGCTGAGTTTACATTCGTCAATATCTTCCTGGCCCGAAACATCCCGAAATACGTCCAGTTCATCGAAATCCCACCAAGTGCTTTGCACACCATTTTGATAGGTCTTGCCGAAGATCCCGACCACTCCACTCGTGAGGATCGTCAGCTGGCTGCAGAATACCTGTTGTCGGCATACACACCACACGAAAGTGATCGTATCATGGTCCTCTTTGAGCAGGCTGGGTTCTACCGGATATTGAGGACTTGGTATAGACAGGAACGGCAATGGTCGTCGCTGCTCCTCAGTTACCTTGATGACCCTGATATGTCGCCTACGAATGTCTTCCCTTCCGTCAACGAGGTGTTGGACGTTGCGCTGCGCTCGAACAAGGGTGCCTTACCAAAGGAACTGGGGGCCACTGTCACTGATTCCTTGGGATCATTGCTGCACGCGAGTGTTGTCAGCACAGCAGCTCTTCTTGACAAATATATGCCTGCTCTACATGAGCGTGCGTTGGAAGCTTTAGGCCTTGATGCCGAGCACGAGCACTTCGCATACTTGCGTTATCTTCTCGGGTCGCCGCAGACAGGAGAAGAATACGGGATTGAATCTCGGAAGGGTGGGCCATCGCTTAACCTGCTCCCGAGGCTACGCCAGCTGTACATTTCTCTTCTTTGTCGGTTGGAATCCACCGGAGTAATAGAGGCCCTCACTTACCTTCCGTCTGACTTCCTCGATGCGACGGAGATGATGCAGACGTGCGAGAAGCACGAAGTTTATGATGCAGTGGTGTGGATACTGAACCGAAATGGGGATCCCCAGTCGGCACTGACAAAAGCTGAAGCATTCGACAGAGTTCTGTCAACCAGGGTCGCAGACCAGTTGACGAGTTCTCTTGTTGAGGCAGAGACTGCCATCCACACTTCGCTATCTGCTTTGGAGTCGATAGGCCGAACCACCGTTTCAATCTGTCTCGAGCGTTCAAAACCCACTTCCTCTGTCGAAGTGCCGCTGGAGGACATCTGGTTCCAACTTCTCAGGAGCCAGATCGATTCCGTACAGCGTGTCGCTAGCTGCTGTTCTCCCGAGGCTCTCAATCCTGCTTCGGAGGATCCTACCAGAGAAATGGCTCTCCAGCAGCAGACGTTGACCTCCTTACGTTCACTTGTCCAGCGTACCTTCGGGTCGTTGATGTCCATCAGCTCTACCAAAGCTGTCTCGTTTCCCAGATTATTCAGGCGGCTCGTGGAATCTGCCTCGGCTAGCCACGTGTCGAAACACACCCTCTATGCTGAGTTCCGAACAATCTTGACGGGAATGTTGGACTCGTTTAGGTCGGAGGGCGACTTGCTGATCATCACCAAACGTCTCGTCGACCGTGACCTTTTTGCGACCATCGAGGAGCTTACGCAGGACCGATTGCAGGGTTGGGCACCGTCCCAAGGAACGTGTCGCTCATGTGGAGAAGTGTTCCTCAATGCTAAAAAAACGTCAACGAGTGGAGAGTCGGATTTTGGGAGTGCTGTTCCAATTATTGTATCGCGGACGGGTGCCATATACCATAGTCAATGTTTACCGCCTGATTTTCCCACTAATACCAGCATTGTACATTAGTCGCATGCACATCTTCTTGGGTATTATTGGTAATTACATAGATCACGCATGGGCTTGCCCGCGCTATTGCTATCTCTCAAGGGTCTGTGGAATGAAGAAATTGAGTGTCTACTTCTGGGTAAATTTGCGCGCATGCGTACCGTCTGCCAGGCTTGTGTGGGCCATTGTCTCCAACGTCTTGAATGTCTGGTTCTCGTGCACCGCGACGCCCAGCCACTCTGCATCTTTGCCGAAAGCTTCTACGTCCAGGATCATCTGTGCACGAATCTTTTCCTCATCTGCCCGCCCGTCGTCGTCCTTTGTCGCACCAGAGCCACCCAGGAATGAGAACGTTGATTTTTTACCCTTCTTCAGCCGGCGGAGAGACTCCTCCGTCTTCTTCATGGCCGACAAGAAGTACACATATCTGGGGTATCGTGGTGAGCACCACCCCGTAGCCGCATAAGAGAGCGCTACCTTTGCGCGACAACCTCGAACACCTCTTCCGCGAACGACTGCAGATATTCCCCCTTAAGCGCTGCGCCAGGGCCGTCCGCTGTGCCGACGCCAAAGAACGCGCGGAGGGCACGGAAGATGGACACAACGAAGTAACTCGGCTCCGTCGGTGCGCGCTTGCTCGCGGACATCGCACGGAACTGGGACGGGATAGAGCGCATCGAGAGGAGCGCGTCGCATCCGCGCCGCCCGAGGATGAAGATGATCTGGCTGCAGAGCGGGGGGACGAGCGCAAGGTGCTTCGCCAGTGCCCGCTTGAGCATGTCTATGGGTGCAACGTACAGGGATGTACGCTGAGCGTCAAGAGGGCTGAGAAAGGAGGAGGGGCACACCTTCGGGGCTCACGTCGTCTTCGCCCTCACCGAGACTTTCCGGCAACATCACGGTCAGCTCTTCACGCCAGAGCTTCATCACCTGTGTCTGCATCGCGTGAATGTCTGTAATCGCCGTGGCGAATTGCTGCAGCTGGACGTCTTCCGCTGCAGTGGCTTCCGCAGACGCCGCCTCTGTAGGCGGGATTGGCGTCGTGGCACGCGAAAGCTGCGACGAGGGAGAACCAGGAATCTGGGTGATGACAAGTAAGTCGGGATAACAGGACAGAAGACAATCGGGCTGCATACGTTTCCCAGCTTCTCAGCAGCAACAGCTGCAGCTATCTTTGGTGGGGGCTCAAAGGCCGGTAGGCTCGCATCCAGCCACGTCTTATATCTGCTCAAAAGCTGAAAGTCCTCAGTATCAGGATTGCATCTGGAAAACCACGGACCACGGACCTGTAGTGTGAATTTCCAGAAGCGATAGCTGAGCTCTGGGATGTACACCTCCGCGCTCCAGCAGGTGCTGATGGCGTCCCAGATCGCCGTTGCCTGGAGCGTCATAAATGGCTCTAAACGCTCATACAATTAGCAGTGAGCCCGGTGCGACATCTGTGGGATAGCGTACCCTTGTTATTTACCCGCTCGAGACGCGTCGTGGCAAGGCTCTCTTCGAGCTTGGTGACGATCTCCTTCCACCGCAGCTGGAAGTACACCGGGAGCTGCCACCGGCGCTCGAACGTAGCATACACGGGGTGCCCACGCATCGCCTCGATGGCGTGGACCGAGGGCGCCAGGTACTCCAGTGCACGGATGAACGCTTGGGTCGTCTCGTGGTGCTACATAGAAAGTAACGATAAATCATAGGAAGGGGCCCAACATGTAGCACTGTATACCTTGCGGAACTCATCCGGCTTTCCCGCAGCGAATACAACGCTCCCAAGCTCGTCCACGACCGCACGACCGACCTCCGCCCACACGACGTTTGCCATGATCTCGAACCCGCGGCTCTCCTGCGCCCGTACGGGAGCGGCACCAAGCAGAGGGGAAGTCCGCGCGCCGGAGCGCACGCATACACTCTCCGCGATCTCCATGATGCGCTTCAGATCACGGTCGACGAAGCGCAGCACAGCGTTGTACAGCACCGCGAGTGGGTCATCGTGCTCGTCGAGCGCGTGCGGTGCGACGGTGCCTTGGGGTAGGTTGAAAGAGAACGGGTTTTGTTTTGATGCGAAGGCGGAGAAGGGGGTGTAGGGAGTACGGGCGGGTTGGGAGTAGTGTGGTGGTGCGGCGGAGCGCATTCCAGCGGCGGATGGCGTATGGGGTAGCAAAGGCGAATGGGGTGAGGCAAGAGCACCCGGGTGGACGGTCTGCAACGCAACGAGCCATTGTCAGAGCAACTTTTTGGGGGATGATTTTGTTACCTTTTTGACAAACTCGCGGACGACCTCTTTCCGGAGGACATCCTCGGCGTCGCGCCAGAGGCCGAGGACGTCGTATGTCCGCAGACACTCCGTCACGTCCGAAATCCACTTAGACTTCTCCAGCTCGGTCGCCTTGATCTCCTTCCTGCTCTCCTTCCCCGACGTCAGCGCTATGACCGTGGACGCGAATAAGTGGTCGAGGTCAGACGATAGCGTGGACCGAATACGGTCGACACGCTGAGGGCAGTGCGGTTAATAGCGGTCGAGAACGGACGCGCAGGACAGCTCACAAACCCATTGAGACTCGTCAACGAACGCGCAGCGCTCCGCGCTCGCGCGCGAGACGTGGTAGAGCAGCTGGGTGTATTCGGCCGCAACGCGGGCTAGATGCTTGGCGCGGTTTCCTCGTGTTCTGGATGGGGTTCGCGTTTTGTGATTACTTGTGAGAAACCACGCGGCTCACCTCTCCTCGATGCTATCATCTTCGGCGTGGGAGAGGCCCATGCCATTGAGCTCCGGATTCTGCTTCTCGTCAGCGGGTGAGGTGATAAGCAGGAGGGACTCGAGACGCGTGATAGATTCGGATATCTTGAGTAGCAAATGGAGGAAGGCCTGGTACAATGCATTAACGCAAGTTGCAATGCTCAAAACTCACTTGACAGCAGCGCTCGTAAGGGACCTCTAGCGCAGTGGATACTGCCTCAGAAATGCCGGCACGAGCACTACCAGTCAAAATCTGAGCACACACCTTTTCTTCTCGGAGAGTAGCACGCTGGTTCAGTCTGAGCAGAATTGCATCCTGTATCACTTGCAATATTTGTCGTGCTTCCTACTTCCCATAGCATTGTATTATTCGCCCATATCATAGCATATAAAATCATAACGACGCACAAGTACTTGGGCCTTGATATCACCCAACGGGGACTTCAGTCTTTCCAAACGCGCGCCCTCTCCTCGCAAATCGGTGCTCAGACTGATGAATGCCTCGTAATCATCATTGATGAGCCGGACGAGCTCTTCCTTGAGCGTGGCAAGGTAGTCGCGCAGCTCCGCGCGGAGGTCGGGGAGCGAGGTATATGCGCGCGAGAGCAGAAAGTCCTCAACGTTGAACGTCCCGGCGGTGAGGTACGGGTTGTCGTGCGAGAGGGGGATGTAGATGGGCAAGTCACGCTCGGCGGCGGAGAGCTCTTCGACGCTGCTGCCCGGGTTGCGCGAGCGGTCTTTGCGTGCCTCGCGCGCCTCGAGCTCCTGGGCGAGTCTCTCGAGCTCGAATGGGTCCCGAGAGTTGCTGGGATCTGTACTCGTTGTCGACGGCATCAAGCACGACGAAGACTAGAGAGGACCGTGCTCAAGCTCGCTGTTTACAGTGGCGGAGCGAGACGCGCATGTCACGTCCCATCTTCTCACAGCGTGCAGCAACCTCTCTCTCTCGCTTTGCCCTTTCCTTTCCTTTTCCTTTTGATTTACGATTCCTGCGGACGTAGTCACAGCGGCAGCACAGACTTGCCCAACCGCAGCATAACTCTCTTCGACAGCGACCACCATCAGCACCGAGCCCAGCACTGAGCCCGACGACTTTGAACATCATGAGCTCGCCGTACCGCCGCCGCCGCATCGTCTGGGCGGCGATTCTGCTCACAGGAGCCTTCCTCTTCTATGTAAGCCAGCACCCATCCGCCTCCTTCTGGTCGCTCCCGTCGTCGCTCAAAGACCTCGGCTTCTCCCCTGACGCGTCCGCCTCACGCGCCGGCCAGCTCGCTCTCGCCAAGTCCAAGGACGCCGCAGAGAGCGTGCCCGAGATCCACGCGCTCCTCCACTTCGTGACGGAGCACCCCGACCAGCGCTTGAACGGCAGTGCGCTCGACCCTGCGGAGAAGGTCGACGTGCGCGTGTTCGCGCCGGGCGGGGACATGGATTGGGAGAAGCACCTTCGAGTGCTGCGGGACGAGGCGCCGCTGGTCGTGTTCAGCAAGACGTTCTGCCCGTATGTCCGCCGTCTGTTTCCGAGAGGCGAGTATGAGCTGCTTATATGCGCTGTTGGCGTGCAGATTCTCCCAGCGAGCGAAGGCCCTGTTGGGCTCGTACCTGATCTCGCCACCGCCGACCGTCATCGAGCTTAATCTGAGAGAGGACGGGCCGGTCATCCAAGGACTCTTGCATAGACTGACTGGGCGGCGCACCGTGCCCAATATTCTGCTGATGGTGAGAGAAGTAACTGCAGGAGAAGATATATGACTGACTGAGAGGTTACTGTCACTCAGGGCGAGTCCATAGGTGGTGCAGACGATATCCAACAATTGCACGATGAAAATAAATTGAAGGTGTTGCTCGAAGAACGCGGATTGGTAGTGAATGGCCTTGACTGAAGACTAACATTGTACAGTACCGTGGGGCGGTCGTGTTGTTGTAAGATACCATTTGGTCGGCTGCTTCAAATACATCCTGGCGTGCCAGTGAAATAAAAAACGATGGTATAAGGAGTCTGACGGAGACGTCATCGGTATAACACAAGTGGCGCAGATAGAATCATCGCTACTGCACTTCTGCACAACTTGATCATGAGTCGTATGGCGGCAAGCCCCACTCCTCGGGCACGAAGTCTTCCAGAGAGCGCAGTGTCTGATCAGCCTCGTGAGCACCTGCCGACGACCCAAGGTTCGCCGCATCCACCAATAGTATATTAGGGTCCGGGACCCAAATTACTGCACCAATATACAACAGCATCAGTGTGTACCTCCCACATAACCACGCCCCCCAAAAAAAACAGCGTACCATTCATACCGGCCCGCTTCCCCGCCTGCAGCCCTGGAATCGCATCCTCAAACACAAGCCCACTCGCCCTCTCCCTCCTCTGCTCGTCCGAGACCTCCACCCCAGGCTCGCCCTCCTCCCCCAGCCCGACGGCGCGCCCCAGACACGTCTCCGCCGTGACCAGGAAAATATCCGGGTGCGGCTTCCCGCGGCCGGGGCGCACGAGTCCGTCGTCCGCGCACACGACTCGGCCACCGAACGCGTCGAAGAGCGCATCGCCGAGATGCGCGCTCTTAAGCTCAAAGTTGCGGCGCTGCGAGCCCGTCCCGAGCGCGATCGGCACACGATGCGCGGTGAGGTGCCGCACGAGGCGCACCGCGCCGGGCAGCGGGCGCACGCTGGGCCAGAGCGCGTCCTGCGCGACGCGCCGCTCGGTGAGGTACGCGTCGATCGTGAAGGCGGGAGGGAGGTCGGGGAAGAAGGAGAGCAGGTGCGCGGCGGCGTCGCGCTCGGCTGTGGGCGGTCTGCCTGAGTGGGGCGCGTTAGTGGGGAGTGTGTGGGTGGCGTACGCTTGCCCATGAGCCCGGCTTTGATGTCCCAGGTCATAGTCTTGCCGTACCGCGCGAGGATGTTGTCTGCGAGATCGGCGTGACGGTTGAGTTACATACATGGAGGATCGATTTTGGACGATAGGCTGCTTACTGGTGACATCGGTGTACACCCTCTCCGAGTCGATCAGCAGTCCTATAGGTAGAGTGCGTGTGATCGTCGCGTTAGGCAGGAGCACGGTGTAGCATTCAGTCTGATCTACATACCGTCCATGTCGAAGAGAACATACTCAATTCGCGGTCTCTTCGTCGTCATCGAACGCACTGGTCGGTTGTCTACTCACAAAGTCTATGCAGATGCACTGGGTCAAACGCTGGTATGATTCATCGACAAGGGAGCAACAGTGAGAGAGCAGGTGCGCCAACGCTGCCGCCGGGACCAGATGTATGGGCGTCGCCATCGATCACGAACCCGGCGTCGACCACGATCGTGAGAGGATCTGACCTCGGGCAAGGCACGTCCCGACGTCGGACTCACAGGCAAAGCAGCAGCAACCCACTCAGCGAGATCGATGATGAGAATTATAGCGAGCGACGACAGTAGAGGTTATTACGATAGCAATAAAGAGGTAGAGACATACGGTACGTGGTCCGACGGGGCATCTACACAGCCTCAAAATCAGTATCAGTGCGCAGACCGACAATGATCAAGGAACCCGCACGCTCCTTCGCCTATGCACGCGTATGTAGTGATGATGGAGATCAGATGGATTGGCGAATGTCCCGCGGTGCTACGTGCCAAGCTCTACAGTAATTGCGGCGTAGTAGCGGAATAGGACTCTAGTGATACACCCGACCATACCACTCGGCACTATAATCCGACAAGGAGCGCGGTCTAGTGGCGGCCCCGACAACGAGGAAAGGAAGGGCGAAGGCGCGCGGCAGGAGGCTGCGCTACACTTTCTTGCCCTTCCGCCGCCGGGCACCATAAATCTCGCCGCCGGCCTTGGTGATCATGCGGTGGAGCTCGCCCTTGTCTTTGAGGTACCGGATCTCTTGCATTGACGTGCCGACCGTGCGGCCGCCGACAAGGAGAATGGGTAGCTCGGACGCAGAGGTGAGGCGGAATAGTATTGGTGTGAGGACAAGTTCGTCGGCTGACAGAGCACGGTGCGCGGTCAGCGGTCAGCTAAGAATAACGAGGGGTGGGAGGGCAGACGCACGTCGTTGGTCAACTTCAATAATCGTGGGTTCTGGCCGTAAGTACATGTCTGCGAGGATCTGCTTAATTTCCCGTGAAATGGGAGAATGGAACTAGGGTGGCGCGGGTTCAGCACGGCCACTGGACGACTACAGCGGGTGCCGCGACGCACCTTGGAGTAAAGCACGACGGGATTACGCGCCCACACGTCCTGGACGACTGTCTCGACCTCCTCGGCCGCCTGCGGACTCCGGGTATCGAAATCGAGGATGAGCTGTGGGTCGATCGGCTGTGAGGGATCGACGGAGGAGGGTATGACATTCTGGGGAAGGCTCGCCAGGAAGCTGGACACGGCAGCGAGCTCTTGGGTGGCGTTCAGCTGGATTGGCGGGCGCGCAGTATTGTTGGGGCGGTAGTCGGAGGCGGTGCCCGGTGGTCGTTTGTGTCGCAAAGCCGCAAGGCGGTAGGCCTCTGCTGAGAGGCGGGAGGGTCGTGATGGGGGTAATGGCGTAAGAGATGGCTGCGCGACGAGGAGGATGTAGCCAGAGACGAGGACGAGGACGAAGAGGGCGAGGAAGGTGGTGCGGTACCAATACGCCTTTGATTTGCGGGCGGCGAGGTGTGTACCGAGTGCTGCAAAGCTGAGCGAGGGTGTCAAAGGAGGGGACTCTGGGTCAGAGACAGGACTGCCCATGCCGGGGAAGCGTACGGAGCTGCTGCGACGGTGGGTCATATTACAGGTGAGTGTGTATTGTTATAGTTTTCGCGCGCTAGCGTGCAACAAACGAGGTCTAAACCGCTTTCCTTTTTCGCCGGTTTCCGCAGACTTTCTTCCCGCAAGTGCAGATAACTCCCTTATCAGTCACCTTCTTCCCTTTTCAGGCCACTTCTCTTATCGGGGAAAAATAATCTCCTTCCTTCTAGCGTGCTGCATCGTCCGCCATCAAGCATGTCTTGGAAACAAGTAATGTGGCACGCCCGCGCTGAGCATACGTTATTCGGTTCGAATAACGTTCCCCTGCGGCCTGACCCCACGTTCACTCATCTCCGACTTCATATAATGTTTGCGATGCGCTCTCTCACTTTAAATGCCTTACCTCCCGACTTATGAGGCCTGAGAGTTTCTGTCACGTCGATATGCCTGGGCTCTGATGCAGATGGTCGACGTCTGTTGATCATCCTCATTACTACTCTCGATGTTGACTGTAGCCATTTGTGGTTGAATAGCATTGTCAGACTGGTATTGGGTCACCGGAACTGCCGGATCTGACTCGAGAAGCAGCGTTATGAGGTCAGAGCGGCATTGTCGCGGGGCCGTGATTTCATTATGTCAATGGCACTGACAAGTTTCTTTACAATGTGGCCAGACTACTTGCTTCAGATGAGTCCTGCCTCTTCACAATCTTGTTGTCATCCAGTAATAGCTGATAGTTCGAGCGCTACCATGCCGTGTCTGTGCCTGTTCTGAAGAACGAAAGGATGTGAATGTAATACACGTCTCTTACAGAGAGCTCCAGATACAAGGTGAGCGTGGATAGCACTCCATCTTTGATTGTGATGATGATAGCTAAACCATATTGCATTGCTTTGGAAAGCATATATACAAATGACAACAGTGAGAACACAGGGTCAGCACGGGACCTGTACCCTCTACAAATGATTCGAGGTAATTGTACTGCAGAATGCGAGACATTCAGTCGTACTCTCGATTTTATTCTCAGACCGCGTGGCCGACAACGTTGCGACTTTCTGGTCAAGTTTCTGCATGCCTACATATTGCACTGCCAGTTCTACAAATGCAGGACATCCATATCTCGCCTCAATCCTGCCTACAGTATGATATATATACCGTAGAGACCGAGATCTTTTTTCCTTTCTCCGTGGTACAAGAGTCGGAAAGTCATAGTGCCTCGCGATGATTGGCTGGGGTAGCCGGAAGGTGAGTACGATCACTATCTAGATTTATTGATCACGTGCCACTAAAATACGTTTGTTCGCTTTCCGCCGTTGTTGATTGCACATTCTGCACGGCCAATCTGGGCTTTGTATGTAGCGCGCTGACTGCGGAAGAGTGAGAGAAACAATTTTATTTTGGGACAAATAAAATTGTCCGCAGGAGGGAACACCGAAATGGGTGTGCGCCACGCAGTGTTGCATACGAATTTCGACGGGCGGGGGGAAGGTTCTGCGGGGCTTCGTGAGGGAGCGGAACTCGGAGGCGCAAATTCCCAAAAGGGGAAAGCCGACGAGATCGGCCCACAGAACCTTCGGAGCCTGGCAAGTGATCCCGCGGCCAGACCATGGCGGGTCAGCCGGGGAGACGAGACCATACCTGCACCAGAGCACAGCTCACTATGTCGAGTCCCGCGGGGACCCGACCCACACAAATGAGCAAGTGATGGGAACATAAGATTTTCGAGGGGAGAAATGATAGCATACAAACATAGCGGAGACGGGAGTCATGGTAATTAGAGTAAGATACAAAGGAATACAACGTGCGAGAAGAAGAGGAAGTGTTGATGAGGTAGAGGTGCACGAGGCAAGATGGTGACGGCGAGAAAAAGCATCCATCGAAGGGCCAAGATGAAGGGCACGAGAAGAGTTTGCTGCAGTGGAGATGAAGAGTGGGAGGATTGCTTCGATTCTACGCCAATACTCGAGGAAAGCCTGGGACTTCCAGCGGCCTTGCGTGGCAACAACATCCAGGTTCACCCCTTGCAAGAGTAGTTCCGTGGTACCCCCGATGCGAAATGCATGACCAGGCATGTCGGGGAAGCCGGCCGCAACCCAGATGGTGTTGCAGCGGTGCATGAACCATGGCTTGATCATGGGGGATCAGCCGCCAGCCGCCGTCTCGAACACAAAGAGGGGTGCAGACGCGGAAATCTCGATGTTGCATGCAAGGTGATGATGAAGCACCGCGAGAGAACAAGTGGAGTGACTGCGCGCAGTGATGGAGATATCGGCACCGTCCTGTAAGGTGGTCTTTGTCCATGGTATATGGAAGGTGGCATAGTCCACGCCATTGGTGAGATGACCGAACGTGACTGGAAGGGCGAGGCGTGATACGTGTTTGAGAGCGTCGAACAGGTTGGTGCTCGGAATGACCAGCTCCCCCAGACTGTGTGAGAGGTGTAAGTATCGGGGCGGTAAAGTCCGCGGGTGATGTGGGAGAGAGGAGAGGAAAGGGAGAATGAAGGGAGTGAGAGAGGAGGACATACTGACAGCAGCACCAGAACGCGATGCTCGCTATAGCCCAAACGGCTGCATCAAAAGCATTCGAGAGATTGAGCCCGTCTTTCAGGGCTGTGAGGGCTTCAATGGTGACTGGTGGCCATTTTGCGCGTTTCGAGTCAGGAGGGACAAGCTTCGCAACACCTCGTCGGACATGGCGTAGCATGTCGCGTCCATGCCATGCTGCACCATTGACTGTGTGCCAGTAATGGAGACCGGCGAGCCAGTTGGAGAGAGTTTTATCCGAGATCATGCCCGCGGCAGAGGCTGCGAATGCTGCGAGGAGTGACTCCGATGCCGGCTTGCACTGTGACTTGCCAATGGCGTGCTGGTCACAGTATTGCATGAAACATAGAAGGCCCGCCCCATAGTTGCTACACGTGGATTCATCAAGTGAACAGAGCATGACTTGGAAGAGTCTGAGAATTGCAGCAGAGGGGAGGAGGCGCTCGAGTGCGAGTTGAAAGGAATGAGAGTGAGGGGTGGTCCAGAGTAGGACACGGTCGCTGGCGAGGACGGAGGGACGGTGTGAAGAAGATGTGATGTGATTCTGCGGTAATGGGCGACGAGGGAGACGAACGCGTCCACCAGGTGGTGGGAGTGTGGCAACGTGTCAGATGTTGGAGTTGATCTGGGCAAAGAAAGCTGCTGCTTCCGCATCTATGTCTACATCGCGGAGGAGCTTGGAGATGGGAGAGGATTCATGCATGGGAGAACCAGGGAGAGATGGCGGCTGGGAGAGAGATGGAAAGAGGGAGATGAAAAGAGTCAGCGGGATAGATCCCCCGCGATACGGGGTCCGCGAGGTTATCTTTTGTATTGATGTAGATAAGGGAAATTGATAGTCCAGTCGTGCGAAAGATCTCTTCGGAGCGGCGAATGCAGAGATTAGTCTCCATGTTGTTGGAGCGACCCTTCTGAAAGGTGCCAATGATGCCATCATTGTCACTCCGGATGAGGATGTTGGCATCTCGGATGCCCAGTTGGTATGCGATGAGTATGGCGATCTCAGCTGCAATGCCCTTGAGCCATCCGATGTCTCGACCGGGTACTTTCCAGCCCTCGACGGAGTGCCAAGCATCCCAGTAGCTGTTCCATATGACACCGATGCCTGTGCTCGTCGAGGCATCCACCCAGATGCCATAATCACGAGTAGATCCACGAGGGGATAGTGAGCGAGGTGTGGAGGCAGTCATGAGGGTGGACAGCCACCATTTGAGATCGGAGATGATGGAAGAGCGCATGTAGCGCGGGGCGAAGTCGTTGTTGAATGTGCGAAGCCAGATGAATAAGTTGCTCATGTATGAGCGACCGTGTAGGTATACAAACGTGATGTGAGAGAGTTTCCCGATGAGCCGCTGTGCTTCTTTTTTCGATACCTGCGAGTTTTCGTAGGTCTGGAGGAAGAGAAGGAGGTGAGCGTGGTATTTAAGTCGTTTGCGCTCGGGGAGAGAGATGGTACGTGACACGATATCCCAGTGGAAACCGACATAATCAAATGAGTCCGCAAACTCTTGGCCTTTCGTCAAGTGCCATGGGATGCATAGCGGAGCGATAAGTTCCTTAGCGTGAGTGAGATCATAGCGGTAGTGGAAGCCACTGCTTGTGAAAGATCCGATCTCACACGGAGAGCGGAAGAGAGCAAAGTCGTCAACCCATTTGACAACTGGGAGTACCTCGAGAGATTCCCATATATCGACGGTGGCGTCTGCGACCTCGCCTTGGAGGCCCGAAGCAGAAGCGAGGCCGAAAGGTACATTATGATCAACGTAGAAAAATCCTCGAAAGAGGACGATGAGGAAGCGTTTGTGGTCTGGTTTGACCGGGATCGTGTGGTATGCACCTGCTATGTCCAGCGTGGCAACCTGCGTGTCAAGTGGCGCCGCTGAGATCTGAGAGATATCCATGTGAACCCGTGAGCATGTCTCAGCGGATGGACATATGGGTGAGAGAAAGAATGGTAACGACCCAAGTGATGGGTCGTGGTCCCTTGCGAGAGTGACGTGCACTTCGAGCGAGGATCTGGTGAGTGTCTGGAGGGGTGTGAACCCCCCCGAGAACAACTCATCATCTCCGGCGAAGCGCGTCCATCATTTTGCAAGAGAGTTGAAAAAAAATAGTCCGAGAAAGGCGGAGAAGTGCCTGGGAGGATGTGAGGTGATGGGAGTGTGCGGGGACATGTACGCGTATGAGATGGTGAGAGTGAGATAGTGCGTACGGGAGGATGCGCATGGGATGACGTATGCGAGAGTTGTGCATGTTGAGAGAGTACCCCAATATGAAGTGCATGTGAGGGGATCTGCTCGGGATACACTTGTGTGAGAGAGGGGAGGAAAGGGGAGAGATAAGGGAGAGGAGAAGGAGAAAGAGAAGGAAGGAGAGAGAGGAGAGAGGAGAGAGAGGAGAGAGGAGAGAGAGGAGAGAGGAGAGAGAGGAGAGAGGAGAGAGAGGAGAGAGGAGAGAGAGGAGAGAGGAGAGAGAGGAGAGAGGAGAGAGAGGAGAGAGAGGAGAGAGAGGAGAGAGGAGAGAGAGGAGAGAGGAGAGAGGAGAGAGGAGAGAGAGGAGAGAGGAGAGAGAGGAGAGAGGAGAGAGAGGAGAGAGGAGAGAGGAGAGAGGAGAGAGGAGAGAGGAGAGAGGAGAGAGGAGAGAGAGGAGAGAGGAGAGAGAGGAGAGAGGAGAGAGGATAAGAGAGAGGAGATGTTATCGGAGACGTACAATTTCTGCAACGTCGGTGGCTTTCCCCCATCGCGTGGGATAGTCTTTCACATCAATCTCATCATTGACCGATTGGCCCACTGTGCCCTTGTATGAGAGATGGCGGCAGATGCGAAATTTGTCCGGTTCACCACATGCACCGACTTTCGTCGCGACTTGGAGAGGGGATGAACGGAATGGCCCAATCTTGGCCTCGAGTTGTGCTCGTGTGAATGGGCCCATGAAGCGGCCAAGAGCGAGTTCTTCAGATATGTACTCTGCAATGACTTCGGCGTGGATGTGCAAGCTAGGGAGGTTGTTGGGAGTAAATGATTCGGGAATGGGGGCGAGATTGCCGAGTGGAAAGCCGTGCGTGAGTTTGAAGCATAGTTCAGGATATTGCGTGAGGAGGCCGGCATCTTCAAGATAGCGCTTGAATGCGGGCGCGGAATATGGAGTCAGGATGAGGGAGAAATCGGGGTCATTGTCAAATGCAGAGGGCTCAAATCGCAGATCATTGAAGTACACATGAGGCTTGTTGGGAGCAGAGAGATCAGGAGGGGGATACCACTCCTCAAAGTCATCAAGAAGACGTAGCCGCACGCCAAGAAGGAGGGTCACGTCGCCCTCATTAGGTGCATTTTCTCGCACAGGCTCCGTGCTCGGAGGAGCCGCAGAAAGAACAGACATGTTGTTCAGGATGGTGCTGTTTGCAGATGTGCTTGGCGGAATTGAGTTGGAAGGTGATGCAGAGAGGGGCTGAGTTGGAACGGAGTACGAGCTTGTTGTTGAGATATCTCGAGAGCGTGTCGACTCCTTGCGCCATTGTCGTTTCCGTGCATTGAGAGAACTTGTGGCCGGGCCGGCGACAGCAGAGGCAGAGGGGAGTGGACCCGGAATCGGCTCCCTTGCCCTCTCGAAAGGGAGGTTTGTCGGTGGAGATATTCTGCGGATTACGGCGGGCATCACAATCATACAGCTCGTATGCTCAGCCGCTCCTATTGGTGTTCCTGTCGGGCGCCGAGTATTGCGGGCGCGTTGCTTGTTTGTCGGCTAGAATCTGAGATCGCAGGTCCTCAAGTTTGACCGCTTCGAAGTGCCACTGATACGCGTCCTCATTGTGTGCCTCAGGCGCGATCGAGTAGCGAGTTCGCTGTTTGATGTCGAAGGTAAGAATAGCGTGGAAGTCACGCTTGAAATCATCTTGTTTCGATAGGAACTGGTAATGTTCCTCCCATTGCTGAGCCACAGCTGTATCAGAGTGAGTACGGAGGAAGGGAATGTATCAGTTCCATGCTTCATGCCAGTCCGCGACATCCATTTCGGACTCTGCCTGGAATTGGGTTAGATCGATCAGGTGGCACTTCGTACCGCTGGAATTGTAGACGATGTTCTGCTTGATGGAGGTAGAGTTATTATGTAATTTGTTCGTGGAGGAAGTGGTAAATAGCGATAGGGGAATGTGTACTCAGTTTTGTCCGAGGTTGAGAATAAAAGGATGAATGCCAAAACTCTGTGCGTGGGAAGTAGAAGATGACAGGCGCTCGCGTTCAATGGAGAAGAGTAATTTAGGGACTGAGTCGGGGAGAGTACTATCTGCTGTAGGTAAGGACGTATTGATGAGGGTCTGTAGTTTCTTTTGCGAGCCGGGGGAGAATTGGGAAAAGGCCAAAAGAAGTCCTACTACGTTAGGAGCTGCGGAAATGGGAGTGGAAGATACGGAAGAGGTGGGAGTAGAAGGACGGGAGATAGTATAAAGAAGGGGTTCGTCAGCGGGAATGTTCATCTCCTGCGTGCCTCTGCGCTGCTGCAAGAGGAGGTTGCGAGCGATTCTCGCCAAATTCTCGGTCTTCTTCTCCTCGGTAGTCAGGGGCGTCGACCCTGGGAGATTGGTGCCGCCGGAGCCCGATCCGGGCTGGATTGTGGATGTGTTTTTGTTGGCTGCACCTGTGGGAGCGATGGAGCCGGTCATGATGATCAAGGGGATCGGAGATGAGTAGGTATAGAAAAAAGCGAGGCCGGGATGGGAGCGGGCGATGTGTAGAGAGGAAGGAGGTGAGGGGACCTGTCCGCACTTGCTTCCTACTTAGGGGAAGTGCGCACAGACCTCCAGAGCGAAACACGTGTCGCCCGCCTTCTGTGGTATTGCCCTATTTCTTACGGAGCTCAGACCAGTGAGACTGCGAAACGGGGCGAGAGAATTCTGGTGTATTCGTTGTTCTCAGCCTACTTAAATACTCGTACAGTACAATCGGTCTGAGTCAGTACAGAGATAAGTGTAGTCAGCGAGAGACAAGCCGAGCCGTGGGATCGATGCTACGTAGAGTCAGAATCTCGATGGGAATAAGGACGAGTCATCATACGTAGCGGGTGACTTGTCAGAGGGTCAGGAAGTGATGAAATCGTATGACTAGGAATAGGGGAACTGAGTCGAGAATATGTCGTACAAGATCTCCTCAAAATGAAATGGAGACATACCATTTTTGGAAGGGACACAACAAGACCAAACCGAACACGTCGTCGGGCCCAACACCATCCCCTCGTACAAGAACCTTGCTCCGGCAAGATAAACGATGAATACTGACAACCAAGGAGACAGAAGACAATAAGAGAAGGTAGGTCATGCGTTAAAAGAGCTGACACCATTTTTTTAGGCATCGTGAGAGGTGCCAGCGCGACCGAGACTGGTGTCGAGTTGGCGTTGCATTCGCGCTCGGGCGTCGCGATGCTGAAGGTCGGCAGAGGAGTACCATAACTCGGGATCCAGATTCGACGGGTGATAACGTTTCAAACGGGCAGCATTGTACAAGGTACGAAGGATGTAGCCATTTCGTGTGCGGAGCTGATAAACGTTCCGGTCAGTGACATCGTGAACGATGAAGGGTCGGTCCCAGCGTGGATGGAGTTTTGTCGGGTTCTCCGAATGTCGAAGGACATAATCGCCAATCCCGAGCACGCGTTCGTGATAAGTACCCTCACGGCGGCGCGCCTCGTCCTGCAAGCGGCGCAAGGTGCGCGTGTTCACCTCGGTTCAGAACCTCTCAAGGTTCTGAACATGCTCAAGACGACAGTTTTGCAATGTCATGATCTCCGCATCGGTCGGTGGCGCCCGAAGAAGGTCGTAAGTCGTTTCGTGCGGAAGACGGGGCTGACGACCAAACGCAAGGAAGAAAGGTGACGCGTCATGGCTCCAACTGACGTGCACGCGCTGCGCAAGAAGTGCATCCGGTAAGTATTGATCCCATTTGTCCTGTCGGTTGGGAGCCGTATAACGCGCTAACGTCTGTACCAGCATATCGTTAAACTTCTCGAGGCGGCCATTCGTCTGCGGATGGTATGGCGAGGTGTGTAAGTGCTGAATTCCTAATCACTGAAGATAATTCTGAAAAGGATACGACAGAAATTCCTCTCCATTATCCGTGAGGATGGTGGAAGGCTTCCCATGGGTCGTGATAAGGCGGCGCAGCAACGCGATGACAGCAATATGAGAATGGCGTGGAATTGCAGTCGCGTAGGCAAAATCGGTGCCGTGATCCATGGCGGTAAGAATATACTCATTTCCTTCTTTCAATTTCACCAGGGGACCTATAAAGTCGAAAGCCCAACGATCAAAGACATCCGTACGAGGAAGTGGGTGCAACGGCTGGGCAGGTGGAGCCTCGCGCTGCGTGAACTGGCAAGCATCGCAGCGACGGATAACGAATTCGACTAACTCAGTGACAATTGGCAGCCATACACGCGACTTCAATGCTTCCGCAACCGCACGAACACCGAGATGTCCGAGGTCGGTGTATACCTCCCGAATGACCCGCAAGGCCTCGTCAAGGTTCACCGGAACTGGCAAGAAGACTTCGCCCTGACCAAGGTCAACAGAGTGAAAGAGTGCACCATCGCGGACGAGGAAGCCGCGACGACTCGGCTCAGCACTAACATCTCGAAGTAAGTCTTCTCTCCATTTCTTCAAAGTCTCGAAAAGCGCTGACCTATCATGGTCCACTGCTGGCTCCATCGGGTTCACAAACAATGGGCCAGAGGCCTCGTAGTCTGGAACATCAGCTTGGCCATCACGACGGGACAATGCATCAGCGGCAAGCGGATTACGACCGGGGTGGTACCGGATTAGCACATCAAAGTGTGCGATGTTATCAGCGAAACGGGCAAGATGGCGACCCAAATGTTTCTGCGACAAGAAGTACTTCAAAGATTCATGGTCGGAACGCACAACAACAGGTGAGCCTTCAACGTAGCTTCGCCATTTCTGCAAACAGTGATCAATCACAAGCATTTCGCGCTCCTGTGTGGAGTACCGCTGCTCAGTCGGGGTCATACGACATGATTCAAAAGCAATCGGCCGAAGATCAGACTCCTTGAATGCGAAGTGTGAGCGATCTCCCTCCCCCTTGGGAAAATCATTTTGCGATTGATGGAGGATACCACCAATAGCATGGCCCGAAGCATCAACATCGAGAACGAAGAGACACCAAGGTGATGGGTAACTGAGAAGAGGAGCAGAGGTAAGTCGCGATTTCAAAGCGACAAAAGCCTGTTCGCAAGGGGCTGACCATTTAATTTCAGCACGCTTCTGGGGATTGCCCTTCAATACATCGTACATTGGCCCAGCAATCTTCGCAAACCCTTTCATGAAACGGCGGTAGTAGCCAGTAAGATTGAGGAAACCGCGAAGACGAGTAACGTTATTGGGACGTGGCCATTCAGTGATGGCCTGGACTTTCTCTGGATTCGGATGGACACCGGCAATAAAAACAATGTGCCCGAGATAAGTCAACTCGGTTTGAACCCACTGACATTTGTCCTCGTGTAGGATCAGACCCTGGTGACCAAGACGGGTGAGGACCCAGTCGACATCAGTGAGATGCTGCGGAAGGTTCGGTGAGTAGATGATGATGTCATCAAGGTAGACCATTATGCAGCGATCAAGATGCGAACGAAGGAGGTCGTTCATAAAGTTCTGGAAAGTCGCAGGTGCATTGCAGAGGCCAAGAGGCATAACGCGAAACTGATAGTGGCCGAAACGCGTAGCAAACGCGGTCAGCGGGCGTGATGCAGCACTGAGTGGGATCTGCCAGTAACCGGATCGCAAGTCAAGGGTCGTGAAGAAATGCGCGCCACAAAGATTTTGATAGGAATCATCGATACGAGGAAGAGGGTAAGCATTCCGTACAGTGAAGTTATTAAGCTGACGGAAATCAACACATACCCGCATTTTCCCGTCCTTCTTCCGAATGAGAATCAATGGCGCGGACCACGGAGACTTGCTCGGTTCAATAATTCCATCCCGCAGACCTTCGTCAACAAACTTCCGAACCTCCTCGTGCTCCGGTGGTGATAAAGGACGCCCATGCGCACGAATTGGTCGTGTTCCAGTCACATCGATGACATGTTCACATCGACCTGCCGGTGGTGCACCAAGCTTCGTACGAAATAACCATGGAAACTTTGCCTTCATACGCGCATGCAAGCACGCACCAAACGATTTGATCTTCGCTAGTGGGGATTTGCGGCCAGAGGTTTCCTGCGGAGACTCAGTTACAGGTTCTTCAGCTAACGAGTACAACTCCAACGGGGCAGCTACAAGAGAAGCCCAACGGTTTGATGCAGTGACTCCAGCGATGCGCGGCAGGGGAAGAGGCTGCTGTACAGTCATGGCATGCAGCCGTACAACCTGACAAGTACGCGGATCCATCAAGAACCAAGAGTGCGTAGCCCAATCAGGCTGCGCATTATACTTCTGCAGCCATTCTTGGCCGATAACCATGTCGAAGCGCAGTGTATCGGTGTCCAAAATGAATGCGCAAATCGGCTTCTGCCAACCCCCGATTTTGATGGTGAAATGAGCCCAAGCTGACGTGGTAGTGGCACCCGCACCGCGAACAGAATGAGCTGTCATAGGGTACGTCGTAAGATTAGCCCTTCTGACAACTGACGGCTTGATATAGCAGTAGGCGGCACCAGTATTAATAATGGCCGACGCGAGCTGAAGAGGCTTCGCATTGACACTGGGAGCGAGCTGGACAGCATAGGTGGGCAATAAATGAGGTTCAGGTGCGTCATCGGATAGACCAAGCACTGATAACTCCAACGGTTCCTCGCAGCAATCAGTGAACAGCGGGGGCTCGCTTCCCTCGAAGAGGTTCAACTCCTGCGGAGGACGACGTTTCCGAGGTAAGCGACAATTTTGGCTATAATGGCCAAGGCCATTGCAGTTAAAGCAACGTACACGGCTAACCCGATCCTTCATCTTCAGTGGCGGTGGCTGTTCCATCGCATCAAGGTCCATCGGAACTGGACCAGTAGATGGTGACGAAGACGTAGGAGGAGCCAAAGGTGAGGATGATGCGGCAGACAGAGAAGACGAAGATGATGAAAAAAGACAGTGAGTAAACCCTTTCGTCTTCTTGCGGAAACCGTTCGTGTTGTTCTGATGCTGCGCAGGGACATGATGAAGGTTTGAGAGGCGTTCGATCTCGCGCGCCGAAAAATACATCTCCTTGACATTCTTCGGCTTGTCGCAGCGGATGTCCTTTGCAAACTCGACTGGAAGACGGCTGAGAAAATTCGACAAGCGGTCACCAAACGTTATGTCAACCTCAGGAATCTGAGTCTCGAGGTCGCGGAAAGCGACAGCATATCAAGTAAGGTTCCCTTTCTAAGGAACAGAACGCAGCTCATTGCGCAGAGTCTCAACACGCAACGGTGTATCGAACTTGTCTGTCAGAGCCTTTCGCAACTCAGCCCAGGTAAAGCCGCGCCCGATCTTCTTCTTCTGTGCAACGTACCAATGCTGAGCCTCACCACGGAACAGCATCGGGACTTGTAACGGCCAATCCACCTCGGGAATGTGCTGACCTCGGAGGTAATCCTCGATCAACGTCAGCCAAGCACCAAGATCGTCGCTATCCTTGCTGTGGAAATGTGCGAGGTCGACCTTGAATTGGCCGGGATGCACAGAAACAGGTGGCGGAGGAGGAGCAGGCGGGAGAGTAAAATGTGCCGGAGGGAGATTGAATTGGGTGTTCGCAAAACCGTGTTCGAGGGCAATGCGGATATCGTTGGCAGAAAGGGCTGGGGCCTGAGCGTGAGTAACGCAGTGGTCAAGATCATGAAGGATTGCCTCGAGAGCGTGATAGGTGTCCTCGGGAAGGCCAGCAGGAAGTGCGGCGAGCTGAGCCTGAGGATCCATAGCAGCGCACTTAGTACGAAATAGGAAGGTGTAGTACTACAATAAATGGTGTACCACTGAGTGCGAAGGGGGGGGTGAACGTCAACGGGAGAACGGCAATGTCAAGAACAGTGTCGACAGAAAGATATTAGCTGAGGAGAGTGAAGCTCGATCAACAGCGAGAGTCCTGTCTCGAAGTATGAGGCTGCTGCAGGTAACCCCTCACTTGATCAAGTGTGGTATTGCCCTATTTCTTACGGAGCTCAGACCAGTGAGACTGCGAAACGGGGCGAGAGAATTCTGGTGTATTCGTCGTTCTCAGCCTACTTAAATACTCGTACAGTACAATCGGTCTGAGTCAGTACAGAGATAAGTGTAGTCAGCGAGAGACAAGCCGAGCCGTGGGATCGATGCTACGTAGAGTCAGAATCTCGATGGGAATAAGGACGAGTCGTCATATGTAGCGGGTGACTTGTCAGAGGGTCAGGAAGTGACGAAATCGTATGACTAGGAATAGGGGAACTGAGTCGAGAATATGTCGTACAAGATCTCCTCAAAATGAAATGGAGACATACCATTTTCGGAAGGGACACAACAAGACCAAACCGAACACTCGTCGGGCCCAGTGGAGTTTGGCTTAGCAGCGAGCTCGCGAGCGCTAAGTCAAACTAGTGCTTACTAAGCGAGAGGCTGAAGGCGGAGGAATAGGTGCCGTAAGCGCCAGTCTGTTCCTCCTGCACCTACAGCCTCTCGCTTCTTTTCATTCTGGTGTTTTCCACACGCACGATCTCTGTCGATCTGTAATGATGCCGTCTCAAGGACCTCCCCCGAGCGTTGGCGGTAAGGATTTGTCTTCATTTGTTCCCGATGGGTCTGGATCAGGTGGAAGCACCGCGGGCCTGCCCAACCCGGCCCAGTTGGCCTTGTTTCAGGAAAACTGGGAGCGGCAGGCCCGGAACGCTGCTAGGGCAGTGCGTAGACAGGGCGGAGAAGATAGCGTCAGCGATGACGAGGAGCTGGGAATGCTGGATGGATCAGATGGTGCATCTCCGGGTCAGTTAGACTCCCAGGAACCGTCGGCAATGCCTGCAGGCGCGCCTTCGCGACCCAGGACGCCGGAAGATGATACCGATAACCTGCAGTTACTTCGGGACGTAATGAAGATGACTCCAAACTCTCGGGGCATCGCCCTGAAGTTGTGGAACGCAGGTGTTGATAAGCGCAGCGGAACTGGCCCTCGGGCAGAGGCTACCGCAGGAAGTGGAGGCAAGGGTAGCGAAAACGCGCTGATAACCATAGACTCAGAGATCAAAACTGACCTCTTTGCCGGCCGAGTCATCGAGACGCCTCAGGAACTCCCCGCGCTTCTCAGGAACGGTTTCCATCTTCCGCTCTCCATGTGCACCTCTGAGGTGATGACCAAGATGCACAAGCATCCGGAGCAGGTTCAGTATCGTAAGATGCATGACGGCAAAGGGATCAAGAGGGCGTTGATCGACATTGCCCAATGGCCCGATGAACAGACGCTGAAGCCGGAGGAGTGGCGCGATGCTTGGCGCAACTACTTCGAGATCCTACCGGCCATCTGCGATGATGAGATTGTCAAGCGTTTCTCGGAGCACTACATGTGGCTTTCCGGGCAGAGCGATTTCAACAGGATCTTCCCAGTGATCCTCGCATTCGATATCGATGGGCGCCGTGGATATTTCCTCACGAAGAAGACCTTCGTCGTTGACTCGAAAAGCTACAACGATCACTTTCTCAAAGTCCGCCTGGAGCACATCGAGAATGGTACTCGAGGCACGCTTCCTATCCCTGCGGCTCCCATTGCCGGTTCGTCCCAAACCCCGTATCGTACACCATCACACTCCCCCGATTCACGTCGCCCGCGCCGCGATGGTGCGGCAGACTCCACTGCCAAGCCCTTTCGTGACAGCAGAGCATCTGCGTCCACGAGCATGCTCTGCCTCATCTGCGGCGAGAGTGGACATCGGGCCAGTCAGTGCGGGTGATCGACCATGTCAAATGGCAAGCCCGCATTCACCGTTTGGGAGAACAAGAAGCTCCTCGCCATCTCCACGCGTGCGGAGATCTGCCTCACCTGGAATGTCCAGCACGGTCGCATGCCCTGCCACGGTATGTACTGTCCCGGAAACAGCGGACACATCTGCTCCCTCTGTGGTTCCGACGGTCATGCCGCTGCGGCTAAGCGGTGTCTCGGAGCGTGAGCGTATCATTACCCCTTACGACGCTGATGCCTTCGAGTCGGTTCTTCACGCGCTCGGCCTCTTTCAGTGTTATCCCTTCTTGCCTCGCAAATTACGTTACGGTTTCCCCATTGGTGATTTCGCTCCGCTCCTTCGCACGTTTGCTCCTCCCAATCATTCTTCCAGCGCTGAACACATCGATTTCATTCACCAGTATATCTCTGAGCAAGTTTCTCTTGGCCGCATGACTGGTCCATACTCGCAAGCTCAGGTTGAGCATATCTTGGGCTCTTACTTCGTATCTTCTCCACTTGCTGTTGTTCCAAAGGCTGGTTCGAAAAAATTCCGTCTCGTGCAGAATTGCTCATATCAGGACGAGTTTGGAGTCTCGGTGAATAGCCAGATCAACTCGGACGACTTCCCCACCAAATGGGGCACTGCAGCCAAGGTCGCAGAAATCGTGAGTTCCTTTATAATAATTTCTCGATCCTTTCCCAGTGCGAGGGGACATGCAGTTCAGATCAATGCCCGGCACGCGGGAGATCTCCTTCTGCAATCATTGCCTGGTGCGCAGGAGGTTGCTGTTCATTCTCCGATCATTGTCCGGCGCGCGGGAGATCGCACTGTCAGACCATTGCCCGGTGCGCAGGAGGTTGATGCCATTTGGTACATGCTCGGCGCGCGGGATACCATTTGGTTATTCCCCACTACTTGTGCGGGTGGATTCCAGAGCATGTCTACAGCAGACAATGCTAACTTACTTGTCAGATTGTCAATGCACCTGCTGGTGCGCAGGCGGCTTGTCTTGACATCGACTCCACATTCCGCAATCTTCCCATCAAACCCGCACACAAGCCGTTTCTGGTCATTCAATGTGATCCAGGTGACTTCTATATTGATCACGTTCTTCCATTCGGCATCTCGTCAGGGACTGGGGTGCAGGGTGAGCCGATGGACGCCATCATCGACATCCTGGAGGCGCACAACACGAGACGTCTGATGGATTTGTCGAGGGACCATCTCTCAGAGGATAGCTGCGTTGTAAGCATGCTCCTGCAATTCTGCTATCCGTGGAGAACCCGCAATACACAAGGCTGGAAGACATGGTCTCTGTATATGAAGTCGGCGTGAAGTATGACTTCGTCTCGAGCAGCGCCAAGAAGACGTTATCACTCATAACGGAGAAGGGGCCACTACGTGTCTACGCTATTGCGTGTCGGTATATGTGGAAGGACGTCGCACTGTCAACTGCGCGACACTTAGTGTTGCGTGTAAAACTGTCATGTTTAAAACATGTATGTTTTTAACGTGTTAAAAACACGTTAAAAACATGTTAAAAACATGAGGTCCAAATGGCTATGTCAAAAAGGTCAATAAGTCCCCATAGGCCCGAATAGGCCCACGCCAGTCCCTAGGGTGTACCGGGATTTGCCACGAGCTCTCATCGGTTTACCACCAGACCTGACGCTCTGCTACAACTTGTAAGCCATTTTCGCACTTATGCATCAGGCCATTATCCGTTCAGCATTCCGCTGAACGAGGGCCAAGCTGTTGTGACCTGGTGGAAATTCATTGTGACAATGCCTCAGGCTGACATTCTCGGTGTATGTAGTTCTTAAATCCCTGGTGATGTCCTCACCTCCACATATTAATAGGTCCTCACTGCCAAGCTGTATTCCATTGTGTGGAAATCAATGGGGGATGAGCACACCGCTTCCGTCTTTACTTGAATGAATCCGGCACTCCGAAATTGCATGCAACTTGCGATGATGATCTCATAAGCCGTGGCTCGACAAAACCTCGGGAACCTGCGCTTGAGAAATGCCATGAAAATGTCTTTGTGTTGGAAGAAGACCTGTCACAGCCGGATCTTTGTGATATGCTCATCAGCGATCCTCCGACGTGAACGCAGCGGCCCATGAGAACAGACAGAACATCGAAGGCACTTCGGATAGTCATCTTGAAGAGAATGGTTCTTTGGATGTAAACTGGGAGTTCCACTGGTAGTGTAGGGGGTCTTCGAGTAGTGTACCGGGCTGGGAATAATATCATTCGTGCATTTTCAACCTTCTGCAGTCTCCAGATACTGAGAAATCTGCAGCCTAACAGGGACTCTTGCTATAGTGGTAGGGTACCTAGGACCTAGCGGAGTTGGACCTAGCGGAGTTTGAAATACCTACTATCTTCGGAAGGTGGGTGCTTTATATGGTGCACCTCTGACATAAGCAGACTGGTGCATCTTGGCAAGAATTCTACTCTACTCAATTTATTTCTGCCTCAGTGTACTTGCATCCTGTAAAATATAATTCCGGGTGAGCTTACACTGATGGTATACACCAGAGAAAGCTTTGGAAGTAGACAAAGTGATGCAACAGTTCACCATGCTCTGCACCTCATGACACCCAAAATTCAGCTGCAGCCTGATTGCTTGACTATGGCACTTATCCATCAGCTGTATATCATACACAATGCAATGTAAGAACTGCATGTCTACCAAGGGGATATCCTGAGGATGAGGTGCAGTATGGGTGAGCATACAATGGTGTGAAGTTGTCTCTTTATTGCTGATGATGCAGCACTGGCATGTACAGTACATATTCCAGGCCTCACCCACAGGATGAGAAGAAAATTTTGATTACTGTGTCTATAGTATGTGTCTATGTGTATAGAAATTTTCTACTCAGCAGTATAAGCTGTGCAGAGTCTGATGTCTGATGCAAGTCCCCGAGAACTGCAGTCAACAACATTTGAATAGATCCTGTCTGTCTCCAGTTAGATTGATGCAAAATGTTCTGTGTATTCAAGCTGAGGGCTTGGGCAATCATATCAACTAAGAGGTTAAGCAAAACTCTGAATGCATGATGCTACAGAGATGTCTTCTTCTCCTCTCTCGAATTAATTTAATTAATTTAAATTAATTTCTTCGGACCCTACCACTATAGCTAGAGTCCCGCCTAACAGTGCGCCGAAATGTGTCACGTGATCGCATGTTTTAAACGTTAAAAGCAGTATGTCAAAAACCTCTGGGACCTAGCACGTTATAAACATAACGTTAATAACATGCTCTGAGTTTCTTACGCAACACTAGCGACACTGGCTACGCCTGCCCATGGAGTTCGGCGATCCGACTTACGTACCAGGGCTGAAGACGCTGTCGACGGACTCTTCAAGCTGCTCAGGTACAGTCGCAGATGCACGGAAGTGGTGGCTAAGTTGTTGGCCTATTGCGACTGCACCTGGATTAGCGTGGACTCGCTGAGCAACATTGGGTGCCTCACGTGCAGGTGTTCCGAACCCACCGCGTACAGGCACAGCGCACAGACAAGCAATGTGCAGGTGGTTCGGTGGTTCGGTAAGGATGTGAAAGACGTTGCCGTTGTTCTGCAGAGCTCGCCTTGTGGTAGCGTTGCGACGAGCATCGAGATGATGGTCTTCCCTGCGACTGGCCGGTTATCTCGCCTGGGTGGCAAAGGTCGGCCATACATTGGGTCAGGCTGTCGAGGAGATCATCTCGAAGGTACGTTCTTTTCTCCTATGAATTCTAAGAGCTTTCATTCACACTACCCGCACTTTTTCAAGGTGGATCTGGATCTCGGTTTTTAGTGTCGATGACATTATTACTGGTGTCTTTCGTCGATTTTCCGGCTGATCTTGTAGTCTCGCTCACCGTTTGTACCTTGAATTGCGATGCTCAATATCTTCAATTCCTGAGTCGATCTGCCACTGACGGATTGCTTTAGGATTGCTTCACGAGTCTCGGCTTATCCTGCTGCAGTCTGTAGATCGAATTCGTACCCATCCCTGTTATTTGGGTAGATAGGCTGCACTGGCGACTTTGTTCACGCGAACGGGGTGCAAGACCAGTGTGCACGTACACTGACAGTACTAGTGCGTTATGGATATTATTTAATTTTCAACACAGATGTCGACGTCATCTGCATGGACGCATATGGACCCATTAAAGTTCAGCGCTGAACTTTAATGTTCAACGTTTCAACGCCCGGGATCTCGCGTTGATAGAAGCGCCGTCCGCCTAGTACTTGTTCGCCTCTAGAGTCGTTCTCTCAGTGCCATCGATCGATATCTAATACTGCCCCAAGTCCTACAGTCACATCCCTTCCCGTCCAGTTCACCAAATTATGTCCGACGTTACAGCTGAACCGACCATCCCCAAACATCCCTTTGACGATGCGGACGCCGACATCATCATTCGTTCATCTGATGGCGTCGACTTTCGTGTGTACAAAGTTGTTCTTTCCAAGGCGTCCCCCGTCTTCAAGGACATGTTCACATTACCTGCGGAAAAGCCTGCGCAGATCTCTCAGCTCAGTATCCCAGTAGTTTCTGTCACAGAGGACAGTCGAACACTGGAGAATCTGCTACGGATGTGTTATCCCGTTGCCCAGCCGGTTTTGACGCGGCTGGAGGATGTGCATGCAGTCCTGGACGCAGCCAAGAAGTACATGATGGATCAGCTGGTGCAGGGATTGAAGGATGCACTCATGGCCTTTGCGACGAAGGAGCCCTTCCGGGTGCTCTGCGTTGCGTATTCCTTCAGATTCGAAGATGAGACGCGTCTCGCTGCCAAGGGCACTCTACAACTCTTCATGCGACCCTTGCTACCCAAGCCTACTGAGCTATGCCTCATTCCCTCCACTGTACTGTATAACCTTATGCAGTATCATGACAGATGTACGGAGGCTGCACTCGGTGTCTTCACCGACCTCGGGTGGGTCCTGACCGATAAACGGGGTCGGCGTATACTTAAACGCAACCGCCTGCAACTGGAGCCATCATCAGCGTGGATCTGGTTCTGGTGTAGAGAATGTACACCATATCCGCACGACATTCCCGTAGTGCTACGGGAGATGCGTGAAACGTTCACCTGCAGAAGTTGGTGGATGGATTACGTCCAACGAGTCAAAGATCAAGTCGCAGCCCGACCGATTGGATCACTTGCCTTGGACATGGAATCGATGCAGCCGTCCGTGTGTAGAGCGGGAAGCTGCACCGAATGTGGTCCTAAATCATTTCAGCAACTGCTCGAGTTCAGTAAGCATCTGGCTAAAAGAATAGACTCAGCGACAGCCGCCGTGAGTTCAACGTATTCGAATGAAGATGGATTGACTAATTCCACACACCCTCCACACAGGTTAAGCTCGACATTCAGTGGTGATGAACTAGAAGTGAATGGATGTCTGCACTGTGTCATACGGATGGCCGATCTGGAAGCGGCATACGTCCCATTCGCTGGTCTACGTCTACGCACAAAATCCTGTAACACTTCATAACTTAGCTTGCATCTTGGGGTTTCCCTTCGCACCGATCACCTTCTCCACCTCTCTATACTTGTAATATAGCTGCAGCGATTCAGGGTTTACGACCGTTCCACTCGGCTTGAGGTTGGACCCAGAGACGATCTGTTTCACGGCAATCTCGATCTTCTTGCCGTTGACGGTGTACTGTTGCAGAATTTAAAGGCGTCAGATCATGCTGGCGTTCAATGATGGAGAGACACACCGGAATATCCTCGATCTCGAATATGTATGCGGGTACGTGTCTAGGGCTGAGCGCCTTCCGGATCGCAGCACGGATTCTGTCTACCAGGGACTCCGTAAACGCGTGTCCGGGACGCATCTTGAGGAAGAGCAACACCCGCTCGTGCGGGTCCTCCCGGCGCTGCTGCCCGATGCAGAGCGAGTCATCTACGGTGTTGGTGAACTGCTCCATCACGGAGTAGATCTCGGCCGAGCCGAAGCGGACACCGCTGGGGTTGAGCACACCGTCGCTGTGGAGGGGGAAATGGTCAGGCGCGACGGAGGGAGAGAAATATCTAGGAAGGACGTTACGCACCTGCGTCCAAGGATCATGAGACCCTGTGTCTTTGGGTTCTTGATGATGAAGTCGCCTTGGCGCCAGACCCCTGCTCACACGTGGGTGCTCCGATGTAACTAGAGGCAGGGAAGAACGAACCAGGGTACATCTCGAAATACGCATTCCTCAGTTTCTCTCCGGACTCGTCGCCCCAGAAGCATATGGGCAGCGAGGGGTGCGGCCGGGTGCACACCAGCTCGCCGGCGACACCAGTGTCTTCGATGTTTCTGCCGTGCACGTCGAATATCTCGACCTTCATGCCGAGGGTCTTCGCCTGGATCTCTACATATACACCGTTAATGGCACACCTGCTGGACGTGGGAGAACTGCGTACCTCCAGCGTAGACGGGTAGCGTACGCGAAGAGGAAACAACTACGCGTCCGATGTGGCGTGAGGAGGAGGAGAACGCTTAGTGTCGCATTACTTACACGAAGAGCATATATCCGTCCCGCCGGAGACAGACATGAGATGTATATCCGGGTTGAACGCCTGCTGCGTCCACTCAAACGTCGGGGCAGTCAAGACCGCGCCGGTGGATGCAATGATGCGGATGGAGTCGAAGTTCGCAAGCTTACCTGAAGCAGTGTCAAACGTCAGCTCACGCGTTCGCTAAATCATAGGGGAGGTGCACTAACACGGTAGTATGCCTCGTCCCTGCACCTCGCTCAGGAAGCGGGGACTAGTTCCCAAAAAGGTCACTCTGGGGAGGCATCAGTTCACGTGGGCCCGTGAGGCAGACAACAAAAGCGCTCACCCCTGGACGCTGATGAACTTGAGGAAGTCCCGGACGTCTGGGTAGAACGGGGAGCCGTCGTACAAGATAACGCGACAGCCGCAAGAGAGGCCATTCAGCATGAATGGCCACATCATCCATCCAGTCTGCAAAGCGTGGGATAAGAACAATTGATTAATGCTCATGCCATGCACGTACGGTGGTATACTGGAAATACACGTCATCCCGGTTCATGCCATACGTGATGGCTTGCTCTTTCTTGACTTGAAGCAGTACGCCCTAGATACATGGTCCATCAAGGAATGAGCAAGCAGAAGGCGCGGCACTTACACCAGCCGAATGAACGATGCATTTCGGCGGTCCACTGGTTCCCGAAGAGTACAGAATGTACAGCGGTTGACCGAAAGGCAGCTGTTCAAACACCAATGGACGACCATCTCCCGTCGACAAAAATGCTGACAGTGTAAGACTACAGCAAACAGGCAATTGAACTTCACATGAACAGAGACAGTTCGCGAAGCTCACCTGTTAGGGACGCTCGCGGTCTGCACTGCATCCACCTCTTTCCCACTCTTCACACTAGGAAGTAGAATCACACGTTGCAAGCCGCGCGAAATGAGGTCCCGAGAGACTTCAGTAATGCGGGGCAGGAGATCTATGGTTTTGCCAACGTAGATGACTTCAGTCTCCGAAAAAATGAACTTGGGTTGAATCTGTCTATATCTATCAAGAATACCCTAAGGAAGTGTGATGAGACGTGACGCAGGACCAGGCATGCACAACCGCATACCTGGGTCCCCATATCTGTAGCAGTGCTCGAGAAAATAGCACCTATGCTCGCTGCCGCAAGCGCTAATACAACGGCGTAGATGCTATTGGTGACAATGGCTTGCGCGACCAGATGAGCGACTGGAAGGAAAAATCGCAGAACTTGGCCTACCAGCAACTCTGTCACCAGCAACAAGTCCGTTCACCCTCATGGCCGCGGCCATTTCCTTGACCATCTCCCGCAGCTGTCTGTAGCTGTAGTGAGAGACCTCGCCGGTCTCCTTCGCGGCAGTGCACGCAATGCCGTCATCGTTGAACTGGAGAAGATTTTCTGCATAGTTCAATCTGGCTCCCGGGAACCAAATTGGTATCTCCTTCATGCGACCCTCTTCGAGGATCTAGACAAGTACGGTATCATTTTCAGCCAAGAACTCAGAGTGAGCGGTAAGCTTAGGTAGACCTTTGCCGGCGGAACAGAGTATACGATGCCAACGTATTGCCAGAGGTCAAGCCAGAAGGTGTAGTCTCCTACTGAGTACTTGTACAGGTCGTAGAAGTCTCCTGCATTGGGTGTAAACGTCGGGTTCAGGCGGGAGTGCAGTCGCGACGTACTGAGGTTCAGACCATGCTTGAGGTTAATCGCGCGACGGAACGCCTCCACAGTGGTCCGCGCGGGATTGGCAGGGCGCCATATGATCCTCGATTGAGCAAACTGATCCATTCTAGGCGGGGGGGGACTTCCCACCGTTCAGAATGGCTTGTCGAGAGGTTAAAGAAGGAGGGGTACCATTTCGTGAGCAAACACGACAGTTTAAATGAGATCGAGAAGAGGTTGGTCAGCTGAGGCTGATCATGAGTATCAAAGATAACCGCTCCGCTACTAACTGCCACCCGTGCGCCGAGCACATACAACAAGCGCCGGGCGCGACTCGACTGCCATATTTGGAACAACTACCTTGTTGGCGCTTGTGGGGACACGCAGCTCGAGCAAACCGCGTCGGAAACACACCTTTCACAACACTTTCCTTCCACCACCACTACCATCCTCACGCCTGCTCATGGCACAACCGAGCGTGTTACCCCCAGCGTCCAGCTCTCAGAGCTCATCTTCCAAGAGCAGAACGTCGCTGGTCAACGGCCATTACTCCAACGGCGATGCGACCAGAGAGTCTGCGTCCGTGCGGGTGCAAATCATCGACGACGAGAAGCAATTCACGTTAGCTTTTCTTCTCTTAATTGGTGCCAGGTGTTCAATCTCGTTTCTCGAAGGTCTGAATTGACTCCCCAAATCGCAACGTGGGGACTGCAGAATGCTGGTTTCGACTACGATATTGTTTCAGTATTTGGCTCACAGTCGACAGGGAAAAGTCGGTTTACCCTGTTCTCGGGCAGGATTGATGTCTGAATTCACCCTCTAGGTACCTTACTGAATAGATTGTTTGGAACAAACTTCGACGTCATGGACGAATCCAGACGTCAGCAGACGACCAAAGGTGAGCATCTTGTCAACATTTTGGCAACCCAGTCCTTCATAGTCATTACTAGGGATCTGGATGTGTAAGGCTAAGGGAATGAATGTGATGGTCATGGACGTGGAAGGAACTGACGGCAGGGAACGTGGAGAAGATCAGGTTTGCTCATGGTCTTCACAGATTATTGGAGTGTTGACACCCACGCGTCCGTAGGACTTCGAACGCAAATCTGCACTCTTCTCTCTGGCTTCGTCCGAAGTCCTCATCGTTAACCTGTGGGAACACCAAGTAGGCTTGTACCAGGGAGCGAACATGGGATTGCTCAAGACTGTCTTCGAAGTGAACCTCGGCCTGTTCGGAAAGAAGACTGCAGATGGGTACGTCGTCTTCTGCGTTTTCACATGTTAGCTCCTGACTGTTCTCGCAGTCGCAATCAACGTACTATGCTGCTATTCGTGATTCGTGATCACATTGGGACCACTCCGCTCGCTAACCTGCAGGCAACATTGACGGCGGACATGCAAAAGATTTGGGAAACCCTCTCCAAGCCTCCAGAACTGCAAGACCGCCGGCTTTCCGACTACTTCGACCTCTCCTTTGCTGTTCTCCCACATAAGATGTTGGCAGCAGACAAGTTCGAGGTCGAAGTCCAAGCATTGAGGAAACGCTTCGCTGAAAAGTCCCGTGATGATTATGTCTTCAAGCCTGCATACCATAAGAGAATTCCAGCAGATGGCGTTGCCTTCTATATGGAAGGTATTTGGGTAAGTCGAGCTCGCTGGCTCGAGGAGTCACTTGGTTACAGCTCGGACCATACAGGAACAAGTTCAGACAAATAAGGATCTGGATCTTCCTACACAGCGAGAACTACTGGCACAATTTCGCTGTGACGAGATTTCCACCGCGGCGTTGGTTGAATTCAGCGAGCAGGCCAAGCCGCAACGAAGACCAATCGAGTCAGGGAAGGTAGTCGAAGGCCTGGGAGGGATGATGCGCACCTGGCGTTCGACAGCACTAGGTCAGCCCTCCCCCTCAGATGACATCGCATAATTGCTGACCTTCGAACCTCAGAACGCTATGACCGTGACGCGTCTCGCTACCACCAGGGCGTGTACAAACGTAAGCGTGCAGACCTGATCAGCGTGCTGGACTCGACCCTGTCACCGCTCTTCCTCGGGCAGCTCAAGAACCTGCACAAGGACTGCATGGTCACATTCAAGGCGGAGATGCACGAGGGCATGCGCGGTGAGGGGTACAACTTCGCCGACGTCGTGAAAGCTGCCCGAGGGCGGTGCGAGACACGATTCCTGGAGGCCGCAGGGGAGGCGCTAGTCGACGGCGCTGAGTGGACGTATGACGACGCCTTCGCACTCCTGCAGGAGGACGTCAGAAGCGTTGCGGACCAGTGCAGAAAGGACGAGACGAAGAAGATGGTTAACATTATTGAGGTGAGCCGCCATATAACGCCGCGGTGCCATATCGTGCGGCTGATCGAGTTCGGCGCAGCGCAATTTCAAGAAGCAGATCTCGGAACCCGTTGAGATACACCTCAACAAGCCTGGAATCGACATGTGGGATAAGGTGCTCACAGTCTTCCGTGACATATTGGGGAAAGCCGAGGCATCGTATCTTGCTAAGGCGAAAAGTGAGTCTCACAAAATCATGATATTCGTGTCCATATATAAACGATGGCTGGATTATTGCAGGTTTCGACTGCACGGACGAAGAAAATGCAACGGCTCTTGCAACACTGAGGAAACGTGCATGGCTGGCCCTGTGTGCCAAGATCGGCGAGCAAACCTCGGACTCAACTTTCCTCAGCAAGCTGCGTGTGCACTTCGAGGAGCGCTTCAGGTATGACGAACACGGTGTGCCGCGGGTGTGGAGACCGGGTGACGACATTGACGGCGCGTTCAAGAATGCGAGAGATCAGGTGCGTTTGGCGTGTTCCGCGTATTTCAAGGCGCTCAATACTTTCGTGCACGTAGACTCTCGAGCTCGTTCCCGTCTATTCCAAGATTTCACCTATCGACCCGTCGTTGCAATATACCCTACCGTCAGATACGTCCGACTCGTTCACCGGGGCAGAAGACTTCGATTTCCCGGCCACGCTCATCATTTTCACGGAGACAAAGATCCTCGATCTCATGAACCGGTTCAGGCGCGATGCGGACGCGTTCTATGTCGAGGCGAAGCGCAGCACAGTATCGAGCGTCGCGCAGATTCCGTACTGGATGTACGGCGTGCTCGTTGTGCTCGGGTGGAACGAAGCGATGGCCGTCCTCTTCAACCCGGTATACTTCGCGATACTCCTCTGCCTGATTGCTGCTGCGTATGTTCGGGTTTCTTCCCACCTGCACATACCGCTGATCTGTACCGCATCTCAGGTATATTATCGTCCAGCTGGGCTTGGTCGGGCCTCTCTTTACATTACTGAGGACGGTTAGCACTGAGGTAGGCCGTCATGTCGCTGGACTTCTGCTTGCTCGTTCTCACACTCCACAGATACAACGTCAAGCAACTGACCGCCTCCGGGAACACTTCTCCCAGCATGTCCACGCTCAGCCTGTTCGGTCACGGCCTTTGCCAGTGAAGTATGAGGCTGATGAGGACCACGAACTCAGGCATGTTAAGGCAGAGCCGATGTGATTTGCGATGCGTATGTTTTTTGGATCAGTCTGGATAATATTTAGTGTTGGGATTGTAATTGTCTCTCAAACCACATAAGTATTGTTTTGGGACCTTGATGATGTGGAAAAGGCTACAACTTGCAAACCATGAGCTTGAATAGAAGGGTCCGAGAGGCAAAAGCTACAATTCTGAGTCGGCCCAGGCTCGAACTGAGGATCTTCTGTGGACATTTCAAAACGACCATGTGTAAGACAGATGCGATAACCAACTACGCCACCGACCCGGATTCACATTGCGGAGTGTTGATAATATCTAGTTCGACGTGCGGAAACCATAGTACCCTACGTCATTTAGTAGGCAAGCTCCTTAAAGATTGTATACTACCAGATTACCCGAAGGTTCAGGCCAGCAGTTTCCCAGAATCACACTGGCACCGTCTCTCGGGGCGGAGGAACAGCGTTCGCTTTTGCCTCGACATGTTGGAGAGATACAGCAATCTTGTAGCGCTGAAGAGCAAGTATTTAACTTTCCTGCGACTCTTGCATAGTTATCGTTCGATTCATTCGGATGTTGAAACGTCGGCAGATATAGTCGATGATAGGCTCGATTCCACCTGGAGCACGGCTCTGTGCAATCAGTGGACTCCGACTCTGGAGAGACTACTTTACAACATCTGGCCGCCCTGAACGTTGAACTTTAGCGTCGGCCCACCTCAGGCGTTCACTTCCGCATCTGATTCAACGACTGCAATTGTCATTCAAGTACTGTCTCACCCTGGACAGGACCGCCGCACCGCGAGCTCTGCACCTGCGTTAGACACGCTCTCAATAATTTCCGGTAAGGCACTGCGGTTATTATCGCCCACAGCTTTTACTAACTAAACAAAATTGTCATAAGAAAACAAAATTGCATTCAACGGGGCACTGTCCCGCCTGTTGGAGATGACATGCATATCGATAACAAGTGAAGGCTATGCAGAAGGAGGGCATCGAATCATATCCTCAAGAGCTCTCGCAAGTGGAAATATACTCTTTGTCCGGCTCATGATCGCTGCCTCCTTGAAATGGGCAGGCACTGTCACGGCCCGTCATCCGGCCAAGAAGACGATTTCTTCGCAGTGGAAGTTGCAAATGAACTGCAGGAGGATCGTTGCGATGCTCCTTGCGTCTGCAAAGCCCAATGTCGTGGGTGTACGGGCCGACTAGGAAATGCGTGCGCGGGCGTGGGGTCTTGGTACAAAGGCATACGAACTCAGGGCAGCCACAAAAATCTGGAAGCGATCACAGGCCGCCATGACGTCCATTTTCAAGCTCTCCCCTTCGTCACGCGACCGCTGGACTCAGCGGCGTAATTTCTGCTGTCCATCGTCGCTGCCAGTGGTCAAGCTGTTGGGACCCAGCTTGTCATCCTTTCCAGATCGGACTGCTTCCATGTTGATGTGCGAAGTGTGCTCGGCGTCTGCGGGATCGCGATAGAAGTCCCTGCAGTCGTGCCTCGGAGCTCCAGTCTCTTCTGTCATGCTCGTGTTGATAACACATGTTGGTGATGCTATATTGGTGATGCGATCCTCTTCCTTGGCAAGTCTCGTGAAGAGCGCTTTGGTTGAAATCATTTATGTTAGCTGAAGCAGGCTAAATATATAGTATGTGCGCACCTGTGATTCAACACAAACACCATGTGCATCTCGGAGAGCATAAATATCTAGGTAGGCGGCAGAAGGTTGATGACGGATAAAACTGCAAGGCATTTTATGTCATTAGATTATGCTATGGATATAAGTGAATAGGAAGAACGTGTAACGAGTCCGTACCTACAGAAGAACAAGCAACAAGTGCAGGGAAAATACGGTACAAGCAGGAGTTAAGTGGACATAACAGGGAATAGAGAACAGCTATGTGACGGGTTATGAATTCAACAAAATGATATCATGCAGGCGAAAGGGGATTTCATGGTGGTGAGGGTAAGACATTCCCAGAAGGAAACGTGGAATGGCGAGCAACGCGAGGACGAGTACTGGATAGCCTCGATAGATGATACAGAGCGTGAGTGCCGGTGAGCGTGTATTAGTGCAACGAACTCGTACGCAATGCATTGTACTGCTTGGTGGCAGTGGATCAGGAAATATGCAAGATATAGGTGCAAAATCGATGAAGGTGTCCTAGAGTATGAGGAGCTGTCGATGCCGATGCTTTGCGATGTGGTGGATACTGGATAGAAAAATGAATGTGCCGTCACATTTACAAGCGCTGGGCCGGCGGGTCATAGTCATAATGCGTAACTGTCAAGAGGGTATAATTATGGGCTGTCCTTGGTTCTTTCTTACTCTCTGCAGCTATTACTGCCTCCATCTCTTGGTTCCGATGTAGGCTTCTTCAGAGAGAAGACGGAGAGCACGAGACAACGCCAAGCGAACTTCCTATCAAACACGCGGATTCCAATACGCCGCTGGTAATGCGCGCCTCGGGACGATCACGCGGAGGAATTCGCCATCGAATTCGGCACGCACTTGAGCGAGATCGGCGTCGTACCCAAAAGAGATTCGCCGTTCGAAGTGACCTATTCGCCGACATTGAGACGAAGAAAAGGCAGACCCATCAAGGAAAAAGTTAACCCATCATCTGACGCGATCACGACGTTGCGGTAATTGGCTTACCACCTCCAGGCTCCCACGAGTCTGCGACAACGTGCAGTATACGTCTTTTGCGTGTCGAGAGTGTACTGTATGGGCAAGAATACGTGTCGTGGATCAAGATGAGAACCCGTCATAAATGAATGCAAGGCTCACATGGCATCTCTTCGAAATCCCGGGAGCCGCACGAGTAACTTGTATTCGTGAGGATTTGTCTCGACAGCGATATAACTATCGGTTGGAGGCGGAGAATGTGCCAAGAAAGAGTCATGGGGAGCCCTAGGACACCTTTCCTCGTTCGAGGGCGGAGGAGTTAAAACAGTGGGAGGTGCTGGCGGAGGCATTGATCTCTCAGTCACAACTGCTGCTGATGGTGTAGATACCGAGAAGTGAGAGTCGCTGTTGATTGGAGAAGCAAGAGGTGGAGAGGCATTTCTGTCATACATCCAAGCTAAATCGCCCAAAGGGAACATCGCTGACAACGATGGCCCGGATGACGGATGACGATAGGGCGAAATAGACATTCGACTCAACCCCGCCTGTGGTGAGGTACCCACCGCGCGATCCTCCTGAGTGACATGCTCGGAGGAGGGCGGCAGCGTGTGGAAAGGAGTGTGCATTGGTAAGGGAAGGCTCGCCGTGGAACCGCGATCAGGTACGGATGGCCTTACGGGAGTAGGCGAATGTATTCGGGAGAGAGCTGGTGCCGACGCGTCTGGCGATGAGGAAGGACGAGAAAATAGCTGCACAGGAGAGCTGATGGCCTTACCCGCCGATCTTGGGTACTGCTGCAAGGAGCTTGTTGACGCATACTGCGAAGTGGAGGCTTCGGACATCTCCACGTAGTACGAGCCAGGCCCGACGTCCATGGGCGTATCGGTGCGCTGCATGCTTGATCCCGACGACGACGTTAGCACGCTCGGAAGGCTATCGGAAGACGTGCGGGACTCGTCCGATGACGGACAGTCGTAACCGGAGTACGCAGTGTCTATCCTCTTTTCGGCAGCCCTGGAGGACATGCATGAAAGAGCTTCCGTATCCTGATCGGCAGAGTTGGTACGAGAGTGTGATGGAGTGCTGCTGCCAGCGTACGGTGTATGGTGGGGGGGCGAGGGCATATATGGTAGAGGCACCTCGCGAGGCGTATCAAAGGATGCGTGTTGTTTGGAAAAGGAAGAATTCCTGGGGAGGAGCAAGGGACGGGCTGTAGAGGGAATATGATAGGAAGAGGGAGCTGCAGAACGATGGCATCAGTCCATGTATGTAATGCGCAAGAAAGATTTGGTGCAAGTGTTGCACCCACAGAGTAAAATATCTTAGGCGGAAATCAGGTAGGCTGTCAATGGCTCGTGTGCGACCGGCCTGCCGATGACTGCGAACGTGACGACTGCCAAGTGCACGCAACGGCAATGACAACATACGGCGTAGGAGCCAATTTCTCGGCGCATCGGATACCCGGAGATGGTGATAAGAAAAAGTTCTCAGCTGCTGCGAGCCAAAAGCCAAATCCCTCAGGATTCCGTGCCGACCAGTCTTGTTTTCGCAGGTTTGTCTCTCACTCACAGGGTCCATATCGTCCGCCAGAGCGCAGGGCGGCTGCCCGGCGATACAGGCGTGGTAAGTAGTATGTATCTATGTTACCTGCAACCTCGATCGCACAGACGCGGCAACAGGCTAATCCGTAACGGCGTGAAACGTGCACAAGGGCGAACAACGGGGAAGCAGAAATCTGACGACGGAAGAAATCGCGAGCACGCACCCTCGTCTGCAGACACCCTCGAGCTCTTGTCCAACATTCTCTCTTCGACCAAGTGTTCCAGTGCTTCTAATCTAACCACTGGGCCCAGTGGTGCGTGGCTGGGAGCGTGCGGGTATGGACCACCGTCGTACTTGACTGTTAGTCGATATAGGTCCTGGTCCTGAATTGTGAGGTGATCAAAGGGTATCGACAACGCGGAGTCGGACGATGAAGTGGTGAGCGACGAGCAGGAGGTCGACGACAACGCTGGGCTCTGAGATGGTGTAAGTTGTGGTTGTCTAAAGGCATTGGCAACGGGGAACAGCCGGCGAGGTCTCAGTGTAGGGTGTTGCATAATATTGGATCAGGTATTTATTTCTTCCTGCAGTCATTGCGCGAATATCCTAAAAAGGCAATTTGTGCGACGTCGCTCCACAGTCATGTCACCACTGGCCAATCATGACATTGTGCGGCATCTGCGAGAAATGCATTTTTTGATGCCGAATGGACCAGAGTTCTACTGGCAGAACCGGCAGAACAGCAACTGCAGAACTTGGCGAAACACCTGGCTCATAAATTGCACAGTCTGTGATAGAAGGACAACACACACCTAGACAGAGAACTCAAAAGCTGGTCAATTGAGACTATTAGGCTTTGTGTGAGCAAAACTGAGTTCATTTATGTCCGTTTTTACACTTTCATCTTGTTAAGGGTTAAAATGTTAGGTGACTATTGTTCGGAGCATGGAGATGTCCCTAATTTGCGCATTTTATGCACGAACGGAAGATTCGTGTGTCTGCGTGACGAAGCACCAAGCCTAATTAGGGGTGTGCTCGGGCACATTAAGTCATTGTACATGCATCCTTTGGAATCCCGTCGATATCAGTATGCTATGATACACTTGCAAGGACGTCTGGACATACCTCACTTGTTATGGTCTGGACATAAAAGAGCCGTGTGTAAGGTCCAAGGCCTGAATCTCCGATGGCCACACACCCGTGAGCATGAATCAATGACGAGGTACTGCCGCTGGAAAATGGAATAATATTAAGTCTAAGGCTTAAGGTCTGGTTGAATACCGACGATGGCTTCGTTCCATACCGGACTAACGGCACAGCACAGATAGCTCCTGTGTCAAGTTGGCTTATACGGCGGAAAGACGGTGTGAGTAGAATATTGCTCACGGATATACCGCGCACGCTCAAGCCGAGTTTGAATCAAATCATTCTTGAACCCCCCCAGTCCGTACGGGAATAGCCACGGGAACATTCCCGTGTAAAGTTTGGGATTGTGGTCAAGCGCCTTGAGAAAAATTTCCAGGCAGAGCGGGCTAGTAGTCTAGTAGAGCGGAGCACCATTAATACTGGGCGGAAGCAACTCTGCCATTGGTCGCCCCGGCATGGACGAGTCACACTACTGTGTACCAACAACGCAGAGCTAGGAGAACGATACGGTGACTCGACTATGTTGCGAACGTTGATATCGCTTGAGTAGATATGTCACCGTGTATGCCGATGGGCCTGCGAGGTTGCCAGTGTCGGGTGGATGTTCCGACGACTTCTAGAATAGCTTGCACGCAAGAAAGTACGGCCGCGTCAAGGCAGACGTAAGTATGGGTTTCCGAGTCCTTGATATTTTAGATGGAGGGCGTATCCGGAATGCACCGTCACGGTCTGCGAAAGTCTCCAGCCGGTTCTGACTTGGTTGGACAAGCATTCGCACTATCAGGAAGGCAGATGCCCAGACTACCGTCGCGATAACTCTGGTTTAGGACATCCCTGCAAATCCTCGGGTTTGAAATTTGAACCTCCAGGGTATACTATGAAGAACGTATGACTCCGCCACAAACTATGAAGGGCCTCAGCGGACAAAATTATCCAGTTCTCGCAGTAGCGTTTGGTCGTCTGTTACGTTTTCGCTGCAACATATCTCGTTTTCGGTTAGATCCGAACGTGACAGATGTCACCACGCCTGCCTTTCTTAGGATTTCATCCTCGGTGTTTGTTTCTGTTTCGGCTGTCCACCTCACTGGCCTGCAGACCACTGAACTGTTTTTTTTTTGCAGTGCGGTTTAAAAAGTGTATTGATGGCTAGGGTCTGTATTCTAAGGAATCTACCTACAGCTTGAACTGAGTATAATAAATAAGTGGATCAATGCACTTCTCGCTGCCTGCACAGTACTCGACCCACGCATGGTACGTGTCGCTCTACCACCCACGTACTGCGCTGCTAGGCTCATAGATACAGCCTCTAGTTACCTGCAGGAAGACAGTCGTTCCTTTGTAATAGAGGCTGAGATCATTACCGATGACCCGCTGAGAAGTCCCCCGTGGGAAACCGGACTTTGAACGATGCCGACGGCAATTCGACGCACGAATCTTTAGCGCTCAAGTCGCGTGCAGCCACAGGCGCGTCTTACCTGTGTACAAGCTTCGCGTGCTGTAAAAAGTTCTCATGGCGACGGTGCTTCGTCAACGAAGAACCAGCAGACAAGACTCTTGACAGCTTGCTGCAACAGCAGGCTACGAACGCGTTTTGACCGGAGCATTTGAGGGCTCATGATGGCAAGACGAATGTCCTCTCCGCTGACAAGCTCGGCCAGAAGATCGCGATTGTTGTGGTATGCTTCTCTCATAGTGTCTTCGTTGATAGCCAGTGCACGAATTCCGCGGCTATTGGCCACAGTTTCCTATACTCAAGGTCAGAATGAAACTACTGTCGGTGTGCTTGTCAGCACGACAGTACCTGCTGCAATGCTAGCAATTTAGTAGGCACAATCATGAGAGCTATTCCTATCTTCATCTGGGCTTGTGCAGCCAGTAGCGGAGCATGCATAACCGTCGTCTTCCCCTGGCCCGGCGCGATGACGAGGAACAGATCCTTGCCGCGGATGAGGTCCATGCCATGGCATAGCTGGAAATCGCGAACCGAGGGAACTCCGCACTTCTGAACGATCAACGACTCGAGCCATTCTGAAGAGCCTTCTGCAGGTATGATGGACATAGAGAACGGCGTGGATTACAGCTACGTAGCATACATACAGAGTTGACGCGACTGACATCTCTGCCACCGACGCGTTTTGGGAATTATAGTTTAGTGCCGATGACGCAGCCGTCCCTTCCGCTGTCTGGCACGTAGCTCAAAAACTCCCACGGGGGACTTCTCAGTGGGCTCCCGGATAATGATCCTAGACTACTGCGCTGCGGCTTCGCATGCACTGGCGGGTGTACCGACGTATGCGGCACGCGGCACACTGATCATGCGTACAAGGTGAACATCGCGGAGGCGCATTTGCACCATGCATCGCAACATTGGATGCCTGTCAGGTACCATACTACCAGCTGGAGCACGACATGGTACTGATTGAGACACGCACAGAAATATTTGTATGCCATCTACGAACGTTTGTACGTGGTCTACGAATGTCGGTATGCGGCACTGCATCGCGCTATTGTACCAGTAGACACATATGAAGTCACTGCATCCAACTTGCCACCAGATATCTGAGCAAAAATGTAGATGTCTGATAATCAAATATCCATGACCTAAGGGACACCTTATGAAGTATGAGAAGCCAAGAAGACAACATGTCGCGTATGTTCTGCAGGCCAGCGAGGAGGGGGAAACAGACGAGGATGAGTCTGTCACATTCGGAGCTAACCGAAAACGAGCACCAACCACAATTGAAGTCAGCACAGCGAAAACAGTGTCAGGATGTCCAAACCCTACTGCAAAAACCAAATAAGTTGCTGGAGATCCATATTACTTTTTGTCCGGCCAGGCGCTTCAAAACAAACGCCTTCATTGTAATTCGAAGCTCGAATTCGTCGCTTTCCCAGTGACCTCAAAGTCTAAGAATGCAAACACAAATATTAGGCATAAAAATCCAAGATATCCCGGTTGAACTTGCTTCAGGGGCAAGAAAAATGAGTCGACCCAGGCTCGAACTGAGGACCTTCTGTGATGTGAACACAGGAGTGTTAGACAGATGCGATAACCAACTACGCCATCGACCCCTCCCTCACTGCAAGACTTCACTTAATAAAAGTCCGAAATTTCTTGTAATTGGCATTGAGCACAGCTGGTTTACTTCGTCCAAGTCCGCTCATCATATTCTCGCAAATGGCCATTGATAATGGCAACCCAGTGACTACGCGTCTTCTAACACTTTTGAATGTGTCTGCGACCAAGGCGGGGAAACGCAATAGGACATTCGAGGAGACGCAACCGACGGAGAGGCTTAACAAACGACGCGCAGTCCGAGTGACAACAGAAGAAGAGCACGAGGCAGAAACACCGGAGAACCCCCCTACATCTGAGAATGCAAATGCCTCATCGGTTCCAGAGACAAGAGAAGACGAGGAGCACGCAGAGGAGAATACTCAAGGTAGTTCGCGGTGTCGGGTGGCGTATCAGATGTTGCTTGCTGACTATTCTGAACAGAAAATGTGGTAGACACATGCGAAGAGCATTTTGGCGCGAAGAGTACCATCCTTACAGCGGCTGCTCGAGAAGCAGTGGATGAACGCAGGTGGAGGGCGGCAAGAGAGAAACACCGCAGACTCGGCGCTGTTGTACAGGCCGTACCCGAAGGTTCAAGCAGTGAAACAAGGAGCAGACCGCAGCATGCAGTGCGTAATTATCCATTCCGATGTTACCTTTCTCTCAACTTTATCCAGGTTGCAGAAAAGCTGAGGGAGCCTTTTGCAGCCCGGCAAGCAAAGCTATCTCGCGGTGCGTTCGCTGATACAGAGCGGGGTAAGCTGAACTGACTTTTGAAGCAGAAATATCTGAGCTCCAAGACGACGTACTGTCTGTACTATCTTCATATCGTGATCTCTACCTCACGCGGACGTCTGTGAGCACGCATGCAAACGTACGGGAAGCGATAGCGCTGCATGCCATCGATCACATAACTAAGTCTGTCCGTTGGGGATCTGTTATTGGTTTGTGTTGTTCATATGTCACTGCAGAAAGCGCCGTCGTGTTGTCAAAAACAACGAACGGCTGGCTCATGCCTCAAAATCTGGAGCTCCCCCGCTGGAAGACGTTCAGGATCAAGGTTTCACAAGACCCTCTGTTCTTATACTCCTCCCATTCCGCTCTTTTGCTCTGCAGTGGCTCGCCGCACTCACAGCGCACACACCACCACCTGCCTATCAGATCGAAAACCAGTCGCGCTTCCAGTCGGAGTACGGCTTGCCCGCAGGTGCTGTGGATAAGCTGGCGAATGCGGAGCCGGGCGCATATCCTCAAGACCATGTGGAGATGTTCAAAGGAAATGTGGACGACAGCTTCAGAGTTGGTATCAAGTTCACCCGGAAGAGTGTGAAGTTATTTGCCGAGTTCTATGGGTGCGATTTGATAATCGCGAGCCCGTTGGGACTGAGAATGTCAATAGAGAAGGAGAAGTGTGTAATTTATCGTTTGTTCCCTATCTTCGCTTCTTTTCCGACTCGTGCTTTTTGTCATCCAGGAACGCAGATTTTCTGTCGTCGATTGAACTTTTGGTCGTGGACCAAATGGACGCTTTGGCAATGCAAAACTGGGACCATCTTCAGGTTGGACTTCATCCTCTGAATCATTCATAAACTCAGACCGCTTCTCCAGTTCGTCTTCTCACATCTCAACCAACTCCCGAAGGAATCGCACGACGTGGACTTCTCCCGTATCAAACCATGGTACCTTGATGGACAGTAAGTGCACAAGTACATGTCTCGTAGCCTATCGAATGAATGCTCGTCCCCCAGCGCATCCTACCTGCGCCAGTCTATCTTACTGACTGCTTACGAGACACCTGAGACTCGTGCTTTGTTCAACCACTCTTTGAAGAACGTTGCGGGCAAAGTTAGAACAGAGAGGCGATGGGCGCCTGTGGAAGTTCCTGAAGGAATTGATCAAGTACGCTTGGTGGCCTTTGCTCTCATTTTCCCAATCTCACTTCCCAGCAGAACTTTGTTCAGTTCAGCTGTAGTAGCCTGAAGGATGAGGCCGACAAGCGCTTCCAATACTTCACAACACAGGTCTTATGAAGTTATTTGTCCGCGAGTGATTGGATTTTGAACCATGAAATACCAGGTGTTGCCAGCTGTGCTCAAATCAGCAGTACGGAGCGCGAATACAGTCGTGTTTGTTCCGTCGTCGTTCGATTTTATCCGGGTACATAACCATTTCCGGAAGAACACCAGCGTCTCCTTTACTGTTCTATCAGAGTACGCTGGTGTAACCAAGTCAAGCTGTGGAATATCTATTGATCTCATATTCTCGCAGATATACTTCGAATCAAGACATATCTCGCGCTCGGCAAGCATTCTTCAGTGGGAAGAAGGCATTCCTGCTAGTGAGCGAACGTTTCCACTTCTTTCGAAGGTTCGTTCCTTAGCATTCAACTGCATTTGACCTTCCTGACCATGAAATTCTGTAATGCACGTCCAGGTATAAGATCCGAGGTATTCGGAATTTGCTATTCTACGGACCGCCTGAGCATGCGCATTTCTACACTGAGTTCCTATCATATCCCTTTTTGGATGAAGGTGTCGAGGCATCGGATATCACTTGCCAGATTTTGAACTCAAAGTATGATTGGTTGAGGTTGGAGAGGATTGCTGGAACGGAAGGAGCGTCAGAGCTAGTGAAGCGAGGTTCCGTTTAGACCATTCTTACTTGGTGCCACATTACCGCCCCTCTTCTCGTGGTCATTGTACTGGATTATTACGCAAGTGTATGGCAAGCATGAGACCCGAGGCCTGAGGCATTGAAACCTGAACATGTGTCTTGCTCTCACCGGTGCAGGCTGGTGTGTCTTCGGGAGGACAGCGCAATCCGCTAGTGGCGTTCAAGTTCCCGCTGTATACCACGCGCATGAATCTCGAAAAATTCGGGGCAAGTAAGTTTCTGAGATAGGTTAGGCTTGGCGGTTTGCACGTAGCACGTGATCACTCGACGGCGACGCGACGCGACTTCCGATTGCTGTCTCCTCCCCTCCACCGTTCACACTAGCCTACTCCCACGTGTTCATCTGCCTTAGATCAGTGTGCAATACTTTACCGCAGAAGTGCTAACAACATCTCTGAGCAACACTCCCACCCCCCGAACCTCTGTGGCCGAAATTGGGTGGCACACCACGGACGCAAGACATTCTCCAGACAGCAGTGGATTGCGCTGAAATCTACAAAAACATACACACTGTCTTATAGTCTTGAAAAGATTCCAGGATAGCATCCGTGTTGGCGACAGTGAGGAGTTTCGGTGCTTACGTGCATTGTGTTTCGTGGCTTGTGAGAGCAACACTTGGGGAAGTGCTTGGATAGGTATGCCCTGCAACATTCTCATACCGTGCAGATATTTCAAATTTTCTTTTGTAGATCTCGGATAAAAGATATCGCGCACGAGTTTCCTTTGAGAATCAACCGCCTTTCTGCGATTGAAATCTCCGTCTTAAACTTCCTATCGTGGTCTATATCTCAGCCTCTCATCGTTGACTGCCTGACTGCCTGACTGTCCACACTCAGTAGCCAACCAGTATAATGCCTCCTCGAGTTCTTTGTGTTGCTGAGAAACCATCCATTGCAAAGTCTATCACTCAAATACTGTCCGGAGGACAGTTCAACACGGTTTGCTTACGTACTATTTATGTTTGCCCGCATGCTGAGACTTTGCACGCTAGCGGCAAACTGCCTGCCCATATATCAAGAACTATGATTTCCCCTACCCCCAGACGAATTCCTTCTTCACGGTCACCGCGGTAACCGGGCATCTGCTAGATTACGACTTCAATTACATGCATGCCAAATGGACATCTTGTGATCCGTTTACACTCTTTGATGCACCGGTCGAAACTTCAGTCAAGAAGGACTCCAAACCTATTGCCCAGAATTTGTCCAATGAAGCAAAGAATGCACAAGTCATAATGATATGGACAGATTGCGACAGAGAAGGTGAGAACATCGGGGCGGAGATTGCGGATGTGTGCAGAAAAGTGAGACGCAACATCAATGTCAACCGGGCTCGATTCAGTGCCATTATTCCCCAGTATGTGTATTCAGTGTTTTCACAGCATCGTCATTCTGAGTAGATCCACAGGCAAATACACCATGCAGCCCAACACCCTGTTCCATTGGATATGGCACAAGCAAATGCAGTGGAAGCGCGCATTCTGCTCGATTTGAGGATTGGATCCGCTTTCACGCGTCTGCAGACGTTGAGCTTGCAAAATCGTTTCGAGGATCTCAAGGATGTTATCTCTTATGGTAGGTTCTCTTTACATGTTTTGTATCTTCCAGAAATCATCATGTATCTGCATCAGGGCCCTGTCAGTTTCCAACACTTGGTTTCGTAGTTTCGCGCTACAACCAGGTCAAAGCCTTCGTCCCAGAGTCCTTCTGGTATATATTCTTGTCTGTTAGGCGCGAATCTTCAGATGGCTCAGAAGACGAAACGATCTTCTCTTGGAGACGAGGCCACATCCTTGAATTTGACCTTGCTCTGTCACTATATGAGGATGTACTCGAGGCACCCACAGCTCGTGTGATGAGGGTGACCACCAAGGACACGAAGAAATGGTCAGTGTCTAGACAGAATGGCTGCATCTCCTGTATTAATCGAGCCCGCAGGAAACCCCTTCCGTTGACAACCGTGGACCTACAGAAGGCCGGCTCCAGGCTGCTAAAGATATCTCCCAAGAAAGTTCTAGATGTAAAGTCTCTGTTTGTCAACCATCTTCGTCTACACTGACGTCTACAAAGATTGCAGAGCGCTTATATCAACAAGGCTTCCTGTCATATCCCCGCACCGAAACAGACCAGTTTGACCCACAGTTCGACTTTATGACCCTCATCGGGAAGCAAACAGTAGATCCTGCTTGGGGTCAATTCGCCACCTCGTACGTCATCTAATTTGAGGGTCCCTGGTACTCGCTCAAATACCACTTGACAGTCTTCAAAATGGAGGCTTCGGTCAGCCGCGACGGGGGAAGAAAGACGACAAGGCGCACCCACCTATTCACCCCACTGCGCACGTGGCGAATCTTGCCGGAGACGAGAAGAAAGTCTACGAATACATCACACGGCGATTCTTGGCTTGTTGTTCCAAAGACGCGTTGGGCTGGGAAATCACCGTGGATGTCGGCTACGGCGGCGAAGAGTTCTACGCAAGTGGTCAGTATTCTGTGACATCCTTTGTCCCCAGGGTGACTCTGGCCCTCAGGTCTTACGGTACTGGAACGGAATTACCTGGACGTTTACCCGTACGATAAGTGGGTAGACAAAGAGCTTCCCCAATTCCAACAAGGCGAAATGTTTATGCCAGCCGTCTGTGAGCTGAGGGAGGGACAAACTACGAAGCCTGCCTTGCTCACCGAGGCTGATCTGGTTACCATGATGGACAAAAACGGAATTGGTGACCCTCAAATTTCCTGTGCGGTTTTTTCTCCCGAGCTAATACTGGCATGACAGGCACGGATGCTACAATCGCGCAGCATATACAGACAATCATCGACCGCAACTACGTAGTTGAGCGTATGCAAGGCGCTACGAAGTATCTAGTTCCGTCGAAGTTAGGTATCGGGCTAGTCGAAGGCTATAATGCGATTGGCTTCGACAGAAGTCTCAGCAAGCCTCAATTGCGACGCGAGGTAGGTGTCTTCTTCCACGATAACATTTTCCGTCAATGGCAGATGCATATTATGACTGCTTCCCAAATAGACTGAACGGCGGATGGTGGAGATCTGTGAAGGCAACAGTACCAAGAACGACATGCTGACCGTGAGCATCGAGCAGTACAAGGAAATGTTTATGAAGACCAAGATCGAGTTTGACAAGATTGTCAATGTATGTTGTTCAATTTGATCTCTTTGGTGCGGCCAGTCTCATGTGGCACCCAGTGCGTAGGAAATCGGCTGCAAGGTAACGGTGATGTCCCCGAAGTAGATGACGACGTGGACAGAGGGGATGACGAGGGCGGAGGAGGAGGAGGTCGTGGTGGTAGGGGGGGGCGTGCGCGAGGAGGGCGTGGCGGAAGAGGCGGTAGGGGTGGAAGAGGGGGTCCACAAGGTGGTGCGCGCACAGGTAACGCTGGTAGAAGAGGAGACAGTGATTCCGACGATGACGACGGGAGTGCGAATGGAGGTAGGCCACGGACAAGAGGGACCCGAGCACGGGGACGTGCTCGTGCACCTACAGCGGCACCTCGCGCAGCTCGAAGAGGCAGGGGAGGTGCTGCTCCTGAACCAATTGTCATTGACGATGATGATGATGAGTTATGTGCGCTTGTTCCGTTTCCGCATTTCCTGTCGCTGATCTTTTAGAAGACTGGCAGGAGGATCCGCCTCCCCCACCTCTTCCGCCCCAGCGCCCTGCAGTCCCCAAGAGGGTAATTGCACCTGCTCCCTCGTCTTCCGCAGGACCCAAATGCGACTGTGGAGTCACCGCTGGCGAACGAATCGTGGTCAAGGAAACAGTGAACAAGGGGAGGCGTTTCTGGACGTGTGGGAATAATGCGAGCTGTCAATTCTTCGAATGGGTTGATGGACCGTCCTCAGCTACAGGTGCTGCTTCAGGTTCCAAGTCGATCCCGGCCAAGAGAAGTGTATCTGATCGTGGTGGATCATCACGGCTCTGCCAATGTGATAGAGCCGCGGTTCTGAAGGAGACGACGAAAGGAGTGAATAAAGGTAAGAAATATTGGACTTGCCCCAACGCTTCGGAAGCTACGAAATGCAAATTCTTTGAGTGGGCCGACGAAAACGTTGATCAACCGATGGGTGGAAACGCCCTGGGTCCCGGTCGGAGTGTTTCAGGGTCTGGAGAATGCTTCAAAGTAAGTATCAGCGTAATCGAACTATGGACGTGTACGGCTGAGCCACTGCTATAGTGCGGACAGGAGGGTCACTGGGCAAGTGGTTAGTGTGCCTTCGCTCATGACCTAATGATTCGATGTCTTAATATTCGCACTGACACAGCCTGTCCAAATGATGGTCCTGCGACCAAAAGGTCCAAGAGCTTTGGCAATAATGCAGATGGTGGGAACAGGCCCTCCAACTCGAATGCGTGCTATAATTGCGGGGAAGAGGGCCATTTCGCCAGCGGTATGTATGGCATGCTCTCATCCCAACCGCTTCATGCACTAATGTGAATATACAGCATGTCCCAAAGGTCGGAACAACATTTCGGCCAAGGGAACTGGGAATGCCTGCTATATCTGTGGGCAGGACGGTCACTACAGTAGCGGTTCGCTTGATTTTCATGCAATAGGCGTGTTGCTAACATTTATTCAGCATGTCCCAGTAAATCCCAGACCAACAACCGTGATTTTAATGACGGGATAACATGTTTCCAGTGCAAGCAGGCCGGCCACTACAGTAACGGTGAGCACAAAACTGTAGGCCCATCGCGTCTTTTCTGACGCAAAGCCACGGATAGCGTGTCCAAACGAGCGCGGATCAGTCAGTAGATCGTCGTCATCAACAAGAGGAACTAAGAAAGGACGGGGAGGGAGTCGGCGGAGTTCAACCGTCACCAAGGCGAGCGGACGAGGTAGCAAGAAGAAGTCATACGTTGCTGCGGCAGATGAATTTTGATAGTATATTGCAGCATACGCATAGGCGCATACTATGCCCTACCGTCACATCGGCACTCCCCCACAAGTCGGCACCTCAGCATATCTCCCCCGTCTCAGGTCCATCTGCTTACCTTCTTTGTATATGCTTGTACTGGCATATCTCAAACATTTGCGAACAGCGGCAGACAGTGGACTATTGACTGAGTTCTGTTTTCGGAGGAAAACACTTTGTGTCACACTGACATCCGAAATGGTGTGACTGATGTATGACATAATGCGTTACTGCCCACTTGTGGGGGCTGCCGATGTGACGGTAGGGCATAGTAGTTCATATTCCCCAATCACTTAAGGAATAATATCACAGAAATCCATACTCAAATCTGTCTTGCTTTGAATGGCTATTTTCAGCTGAATGGATCATGATATCATGACATTAATATATTATTGGCTGTGAGAGACCGTGACCTTGCCGTGACCTTTGGAGCGTGATAATGTCACGTTCCAGTCACAGTGAATTCAACGCGCGTCACAGGAGGTTGTTATGCTTTTCCGTGTCGTGCACATCTACCTCGGCTGTGTTGCTCTGACCTGTTCTTTCAAAGCGAGTCATCCAGAAATTGGAACATAGGTTTCTGGTCTGGTTGGTGCTTACCTGGCTATATTCTGCTTGATTTCACCTCATGTTGCACTTGTACAATCTGACCCTTCAGCCACCGACCGCGATTACTCATGCGATCGCCGGGAACTTTTCTGGCTCGAGACAACAAGAAATTATTGTCTCTCGGGGAACTCGTCTAGAGCTCTTACGTCCTGATGTTCAAAGTGGGAAGGTTTCGACCGTAGTTGCCAGCGATGTGTTTGGCTCCATTCGTTCACTGGCGGCGTTCCGATTGACTGGCGGCACGAAGGGTGAGCTCCAATACGTGTCCAATGTTCTCAGTGTTATTCATCTTCTGTTCTTTTTCAGATTACGCCATCGTAGGGTCTGATTCGGGTCGTATAATCATCTTGGAGTACGATCCCAGAAGTAGCAGTTTCGTGAAGGTGCATCAGGAAACCTATGGAAAATCTGGAGCTCGTCGCATTGTACCGGGTCAATATCTAGCTGTGGATCCGAAGGGACGCAGTGTGATGATTTCTGCCATGGAGAAGGCAAAACTAGTGTATATCCTCAACCGCGACGCGGCTGCCAATCTGACGATATCGTCTCCATTGGAAGCTCACAAAAATACATCTATCATCCATGACATTGTTGGCCTTGATGTGGGGTTCGACAACCCCATGTTTGCTGCCCTGGAGGTGGATTACTCCGAGTCCGACCAAGACCCTACAGGGGAAGCCTTTAACAATGCCGAAAAGGTGCGCTTCAGACACTTCAATCCAGATACCGCTAACCGATACACAGATGTTGACATACTATGAGCTTGACCTTGGTCTTAACCACGTTGTGCGGAAGTGGACCGAGCCAACGGATCCTCGGGCGAACCTACTCGTGCAGGTCCCTGGTGGCCAACTGGCCTCCTCAGACCGTTACGATGGGCCTTCTGGTGTGTTGGTTTGCTGCGAAGACCATATAATTTATCGACACATGGATGCTCCCCAGCACCGTGTTCCGATTCCCCGGAGACAACATCCTTTGTCAGACACTGACCGTGGTCTCATCATCATAGCTGCTGTCATGCATAAAATGAAGGTACGGTGGCCTAACGTGTTAAAGTGCCTCGAGGCTTATATGACTCTTTTGCGATTGAAGGGCGCATTTTTCTTCCTTCTGCAAAGTGAAGAAGGCGATCTGTACAAGGTCACGATTGAGCATCACGACCAAGATGTCAGGTCTCTCAAGATCAAGTATTTTGACACCGTCCCGATTGCGTCCAGCCTCTGTATTTTGAAGTCTGGATTCCTCTTTGTAGCGTCGGAATTTGGTAACCAGTTGAGTATTCCGTCAACCCCTGCCTTACTGTAAATCACTCAGCTCAATGTGCCCAGCTACCTGTATCAATTCCAGAAACTGGGTGACGATGACAATGAGCCGGAGTTCTCCTCGACGTCGTATACGTCGTTCGGCATGGCAGACCCGTCTTCGTCGCTACCACATGCATTCTTCCGACCACGAGCTCTGGACAACTTGATTCTCGTCGACGAGATCGATTCACTCTGTCCTATCCTCGACTCAAAAGTCATGAATCTGCTACCCAACTCGGATACACCGCAGATTTTTGCCGCTTGTGGTCGCGGCCCACGAAGTACATTCAGGATGCTCAGACACGGTCTTGAGGTGGAAGAAGTTGTCAGCTCCGACCTCCCTGGTATTCCGAATGCCGTTTGGACGACTAAAGTGAAGGAAGATGGTGTGTCCCTTGGCTTTCAGACGTCGAAGTTAACTGACATCACCATCGATCTCAGATCCGTACGACTCGTACATTATCTTGTCCTTCGTTAATGGTACTCTCGTTCTCTGCATTGGTGAGACAATCGAGGAAGTGCAGGACACCGGCTTCCTTTCCTCTGCACCCACCTTGGCTGTACAGCAAATTGGCGCCGACGCGTTGCTGCAGGTCCATCCGCATGGCATTCGTCATGTCCTTGCTGACAGACGCGTCAACGAGTGGAGAGTGCCACCGGGAAAAACCATTGTGAGCGCGACCACGAACAAGCGACAGGTCGTGGTTGCATTGAGCTCAGCCGAGCTAGTTTACTTTGAGTTGGATCTGGATGGTCAGCTCAACGAATATCAGGATCGGAAGGCAATGGGTAGCACGGTCCTTGCGCTGAGCGTTGCGGAGGTGCCCGAAGGTCGGCAGCGTACCCCGTACTTGGTAAGCATATTTTGTCCTTCTGAAGAGGAGATCACTCGTTAACGTTTCTCACAAGGCTGTTGGTTGTGAAGATCAGACTGTTCGGATAGTCTCGCTTGATCCCGAGAGCACCCTTGAAACGATCAGTTTGCAAGCGTTGACCGCCCCACCATCCGCAATATGCATTGCGGATATGCTTGACGCAGGTATCAACAAGACGCAGCCGACAACATTCGTCAACATCGGCCTGCAAAACGGTGTCCTGCTACGTACTGTGCTTGATCCTGTAAACGGTCAATTAACTGATACGCGTACTCGGTATGTCTTATGGATATTCGTCAATCCTCGATGAGTCTGTTGACGCCAGTCCCGCACCATAGGTTCCTTGGTACCCGTCCCATCCGTCTTGTTCGGGTTGTTATCCACAATAATCCAGGAATTCTGGCACTCTCTTCTCGATCATGGCTCAACTACACCTATCAAAATCTCATGCACTTCACACCGCTCATATTTGACAACCTTGACTATGCTTGGAGCTTCTCCGCCGAACTGTGCCCAGAGGGTCTGATTGGTATCTCTGGCAGTGTGCTTAGGTGAGTCACCAATTGTCGATTTCAACTGCAGCCGAGATGAGTTAAAGGGATCGTAATGTACCTCGACGAGGTACATGCCGAACGACATTATTATTACCAATTGTTCCTGCTGAGCTTCATCCTTCTCGAAGCGCCTATGTGATACGCTCCTCGTACTAACTCCGGCGTGTTGTCAGAATATTTCAGATCCCCAAGCTTGGAACGAAGCTTAAGCAAGACGCGATTCCTCTTTCCTACACGCCGCGGAAATTCATATCTCATCCGACGAACGGTCTGTTCTATCTTATTGAGGGCGACCACCGTGTCATGGGCGAGGCTGCTGCAGCAAAGAAGCTGAACGAACTTGTGAGTCCGTCGGCAATACTATTAAACACAGACCTGACAAACGTCACTTCAGCGACAGCAAGGCAGGATGGTGGACGATGAAGTTGTTGAGCTTCCTCCTGCGCTATTTGGACGACCGAAGGCTCCGGCAGGAACATGGGCGTCGTGTATTCGCATCATCGATCCCGTTAGCGTGAGTTAGCCTGCAACTTCTTCGTTTGCCCGTCTAATATCAGGTTTACAGGCACAAACTGTCAACGTCATCCAGCTAGATAATAATGAATCTGCTTTCTCTATAGCTGTCGTTCCGTTCTCTGTCCGGGGCGGTGAGCTTCATCTGGTAGTTGGCACTGCGCAGGATACATTCCTTGCCCCGCGTTCCTGCACAAGTGGATTCCTTCGAACGTATCGCTTCGTGGAGGGCGGCCGAAATCTGGAGCTTCTGCACAAGGCACGTTACCTCAGGTATCCCGTTCAACATGCACTGACGTCGCCGTATGCAGACCGAGACGAACGATGTGCCACTGGCGGTACTGGGCTTCCAAGGTAGACTTGTAGCTGGTGTCGGGAAATCCCTTAGGCTTTACGATATGGGCAAGAAAAAACTGCTCCGGAAAGTGGAGAATAAGGTACGTTGTGTGTAGTGATCTGGGATTGTATACACTGACACCAGCCACTAGACTTTCGCTTCTGCAATCGTCAGTCTTCACACACAGGGATCCCGTATCCTTGTTGGAGACATGGAAGAATCGGTGTCTTATGCTGTCTACAAACCTCCAGAAAACCGGCTGTTGGTGTTCGCGGATGACACACAAGCTCGCTGGACCACCGCGATGACAATGGTGGATTACAACACCGTGGTGGGGGGCGACCGTTTCGGCAACGTCTTTGTCAACCGTCTGGACCCAAAAATCTCCGATCAAGTAGACGACGACCCTACCGGTGCTGGTATCCTGCACGAGAAGGGTGTGTTGGCGGGTGCTCCGCACAAGACGAAGATGTTGGCCCACTTCCATGTCGGCGATCTTGTGACGTCGATCCACAAGGTCTCTCTTGTTGCGGGAGGTCGTGAAGTGCTCTTGTACACGGGGCTTCATGGCACCATCGGCATCCTTGTGCCGTTCGTGTCCAAGGAAGACGTGGACTTCATCTCTACCCTGGAGCAGCACATGCGCACGGAGCAGGGGAGCCTGGTGGGCCGAGACCACTTGGCGTGGCGAGGATATTACGTCCCTGTCAAGGCGGTGGTGGACGGGGACTTGTGTGAGACGTTTGCACGACTGCCTGCTAATAAGCAGAGCGCAATCGCGGGCGAGTTGGACAGGACGGTAGGGGAGGTGTTGAAGAAGTTGGAGCAGCTCCGCGTGACGGCGAGCGGGTTCTAATTTTATTCTAGTCGTGCTGGCTTTGATGAATGTGTATTATATATCTTGCAGCAAAGTGTATGTCTATAGATATCGCGTATGAAAGCGCATTGCAATGCAAACGACTGAAACGTCAATACCCTGGAAGGAACGAGAGAAGAATTGAATCAAGCCGAGGTCTTAATTAAATCGGCGGCCTTCTCTGCGATGGCCACAACCACAGCGCAAGGATGTCCAGATACTTGCCCAGGGAAAACAGATGCATCTACGACACGCACCCCACTGATGCCATGCACGCGAAGAGAGGGATCTACGACGCTAGTTTCTGCGCCTTGGCCGATCCTCGCGGTGGATACCTGTGGAGTACAGAAGCAGCCGGTTTGCACATGTCGCACAAGCCATGGTGGCCACGAACGTACTGGATGAAATGAGGGAGACGAATTTCTTCTGATCCACTCCTTGAGCTCATCATCGGTAACCTGGAATCGAATCATCAGCCCGACGAGTGGGAGAATGGCATAAATGCGACGCTGGACCTTCTCAGGGTCGGCATCTCCGGGCCAGAAGAAGCTGGATTTATCCTGCGACTCGGGTCTCAAGTCCAAAGCAGACGCGAGGGGCTCCGTGTGCGCCATTCGCAGGAGGAACCTCGTCCCGCGGATAACAACGTTCATGTCGCTTTCTGAATCAAAATAACTGTGTTCTAGAGTCAGCACGGTGGTCCTGAGTATGCTAAGCGAATTGGCATACTTTGCATGGATCAGTGGCTTGTCCCACGCATTATTTGACTTCAGCTTGATACTTCCGGTGCTCTCTGGTCTCAAAGCGATCGCACCCTGCATATGATACCGTCAAGACCAACTCGCATCCCACAAACACCGCAGCTCGGACATACCGCAGTGAACCCGTACGAACCCGCCGGAGGCTCCACAAAGCCGTTATCGATGAAAACTACAGGAGACCAAACCAGCTCGATGTCGGGCGCACCGGGACCAGACGTCAGATCTTTGACGGGACCTGACTCACAACCCGGCGAAGAAAACGGGAACCTAAACAGCCATTGTCAGAATGAGGTCGATGGCGTAAGATGCAGATGCGCACTTTGGGTCGTCTGAGCGGACGAAGGCGCCAGAGGATGGCCCGAGTGCCGAAAGGGGCCCTGTGCCGAACATGAGCCACTTAAACATGGCGATCGCCCCGGCAAGCGGGCGACTGAGGTGGTCCCAGGTGAAGCCTGACTTCGCGCGGAAGGTTAACGGGCCGCATGAAATATGCTGCAGGCGTTGGACGTCAAGGTCGAAGCCGAACAGGTGTTAAAAGTAGTCAGAGAGTAGACGTACGTCGGACAGATGACGCCCCACTGCAGGAAGATCCTTGACCACTGGTACACCAACCTCTTCCAGCTCGGCAGCAGGCCCGACACCGGACAGGAGCAGAATCTGGGGTGTTGCCACTGCCCCTGCGCTCAGGATGACTTCGCGACGGGCTGCGACTCGGTAGCGAGGTGATGTTGGAGCTGTAGAAACCTCGACGCCTACGGCTCGTGGGCTGCTGTTTTCGGCCGTCGAAAACAGCACTTTATCAACGGTCGTATTCACAGCGACGGTGAGATTTGGTCTCGACAGCACGTCCTTTGTGAGATACGCGCTCGCAGTCGAGCTTCCTGAACGGAGAAGGACATAAACTCCGTTTCAACTCAAAGAGATGGCTTGCACTCACGTTGGCCCTTGCGATCGACGATTCCAGAAAAATGAGCGATTCCCAAGGTGCCGCGGGCGGTATTAAGATCGCTGGTGACGATTCAATGAGGGAGCGATATCAACAACTGTAAATGAATGCCCACCCATTGTATGGCACTCCCATAGATTCGCATGCTTCGATGATCAGCGTGTTTATAGGCTGCACTGACATGTGAGTGTCCCGAACGAGGTTTCGAACCCCTTATATGCGCACCGCCGCATCGCTGGTGTGAGTAGTCTGCCATGGTCCTGTGGAACCCCTATCCGTAGACTTGACGTCAGGGAATAGAGGATTTGGCGTGTACTTTTCCGACTTGCGGAAATATCTATCAGGCAGCACGGTCAGGGAAATTGGATGGAAAATGATGGCTTGGGGCTCACGGCCGGAGATCGTCGAAGCTCCAACCCGTTGCTCCGTTTCTAGCCCATTCGTCGAAATCTAAATGTCCTAAGATTAAATCCATAAAAGAGGTGAGAACAGTGCCTACCTTCAGGCGCACAATGATGATATATGAGCGCATTGATGGCACTGCACTGGATTGGAATCTTTAAGGCTCGATTGCTGAATACTGTGGTACAGACCTTGTACCACCCAATATTTTCCCGCGCGGCCAGTACACCTGGCGCTCATTCAACGCCTTCTCTGGGCTATACACGAATGTTAGGAGGGAATGACAGCCAACCAGCCAGCGGATAGTGTTCACACTGTCTCATGGCTCCAATCGGTGGCAGTCTTGAAGATTTTTGTGCATGCGAGAGGTATACGGGTGAGAAGATCCCTCTCGTGGCTGTTTGCAGTTCCTCAGATTCATGCACAGTAAAAGATTGCATAGAAACTCGCCTTTTACCTGCCTCGATGAGTAACACTGTCACATCCGAGTCCTCGGACAAGCGAGAGGCCAGCACACAACCGGCAGTCCCTAGCGAGGGAAGGATATCCGTGACGAGGTGCACAAATGAACTGGGAAAACATGCTAACCCCCTCCCACGATGATGTAGTCATATTCACGCCAAGTTGACCTATCAGACTTGCCATCGCCAGCGGGCGTTGAAAACTGGGCAGGATCAGAGACGATAGACCTCGAATAAGAAGCACCCATGGGCGAGGGGCGTAAGAAAGATAGCAGAAGGGAAATGCTGCGAGCAAGTCACTTAAGAAGATGCAGGCACCGGCATGGTGCTGTAACCTGCTAGTGCTGGGATGGCATGTTTACGGCGGAACATTGCGGACACTTATGGGAATGTGATCATCATCGAGCATATGTAGCCGCTGGCCTGCGGGATGGCAGTGAATACATATTAATCTCGCCGCAGTGGCATTGTGGCATGTACTGTACGGTAAGGGTAACCGATCAACGGGCAGATCAAATCTTCCCACGTGCCGCCACCAAGTCACTACCAAAGCCAATGACGGAGTCCGGAAAGGCTGGTAAGTGGTGTTGGTCGACTTGCAACAGTGTTCCCCAGACCCGTCGTTGTCCATCACTGTGACCTTTCCGGAGACGTCCTTCCTGTCAGCAGGCACCTCTGCCTCATTTCACTGATGACTTCGCGATTGGCATTCGGGCCCAGCATACCACAGAAATGTTTTTACACGATGTGCCAACTGTCAGCGAACAGCGTTTTCGTCTTCGTTCGACCTTCCTCCACCAGAGTCCAATCCAGCGACATGAACAACATACCCACTCGAAAGTAGTACCAATTTAATATGTTGCCGAGCCGGGTTTTATCTCAAGTTCCTGCATTCTCCCGTCTGACATTTGACAGTACTGGTAAAGATTAGGCACTGTGACGTCTGTATTGAATACAAGGAGCCTTTTTGGGGATCCTCTATGCCGCCTGGCGCTTCCTGCTGGCAGTTGTGACTCTGTCGCCATTAATTAATGTTCTCGGGCTCTTTGCTACGTTCATCTCCGCCGCGGTACTCCCCTCTTGATGGAACACGAAGTAGGGTTATCACTCCTGGGAATGCAAGACAGCGCACCGTGAATAGTTGCGCAGCACCCAGTTACGTGCATACACTCTCCGACATCCATAAGGAACTTCCCCTTCGCAATTCTCAGGGTAGCGAATATTCGGGCTACGACGTGCCAGAATATCGCCCCTTGACTCGTAGGATGTCCTTTTGATCCAGGTGTTCCGCTCTTCGGCACTGCTTCTAGCTAACCCAGCGTGCGATAAGTGACATTCGAGAGGGTTATAGACCGAACTACATCTGCACTTCATGGCAAGCTCAGATTCCGCCGACATTATCGCTATCATTGACAATGTCCAGTCTTTGAGTGGCAAGTCGTGCCATGAAGACACCGTATGTTCCTTTGCAACCGATTTGGATGCCTGTGACATTACTCACAATTTTGCAGGCATTGTTGGAGCCTTACACGTACATCCAGTCGCGCCCTGGAAAGGGTATCTGGGAGCGGATGATCCAAGCCTTCGACCACTGGCTCAAGGTACCCAAGCCGCAGCTTGAAATTATCACACGAATAGTGGACCTACTGCACACTGGAAGTCTTATGTATGTTTTTTTCTGGTCGTGGTCGAGGCAAAAACGTCGCGGTGCTTATATGCAAACCACAGGATTGACGACATTGAAGACAACTCTCAGATAAGAAGAGGCGGACCGGGTACGTCTCAGTCTACCTTGTTTCCGTAGTGTCGCGAATTTTCCAGCGGTGTTGCATCATACTGTCCTCCCGTCCTTTCATCGAGGATATTGATCTGTCTTCTTATCTGTCCTCTCAGTTGCGCACAAAGTATTTGGGATCCCTAAAACACTGAACGCCGCGAATCTCGCGTATTTTATGGCTTACCGAGAATTGTCTTCCTTGAAGGAAATTTATTCCACATCTGGTTGTCACGATTACCCTTACCTATACAAGGCCGACAGACGACCACTGTCTGTTATTTTGGATGACATCGTTACCGGTACGCACTAACGTAGTCATTTCCATTGCGCTCACTGAAAGAAGGTTTGACAAGAGGAACTCATTTGTCTTCACCGTGGTCAGGGGTTGGAACTTCTCCGACGGGACTCCCTACAGTGTCCCTCAGAAGCCGAATATGTCAGGGTGGCGTTGAACAGTGAGTCTGGACGTAGGTTTTCTGTTGAAGTATGGCTGCACACCCGTTATCACAGAGACAGGAGGGTTACTGCGTCTGACCGTCAAACTCATGGTAGCGTGTTCCACAGCTAACCACGACTTGTACGTGAGGATTCCTAGAGGCGCCCGTTCTTGAGCGTTGACAGGGATCATCTTGGCTCGTAGGGATTACATGCGACTTGTTAACTTGTTCAGCATCTTTTACCAGATCCGGGACGATTACGCCAACTTGCCGAACGCTAAAGAGGTCAGCTGCACTTGCGCGGAACAATTTCAATGTTATGGAACGTCTGTGGGATGGATGATATTCTCACCTTTTCTCTGACACGTCTTCTTCTTGATAAACCCTCTGACATTCTTGATTTCTCGCCGTGCGCAGTATACAGTCCACAAGGGATACGCCGAAGACTTGACCGAGGGGAAGTTCTCCTTCCCGGTGATACACGGGATCAATGCAGACCCTTCAGATACTCGTATTTTAAGTGAGCGAACTTTGGATTCCCTTTTGTAGTCCACTCATTCATGCCCAATACCGAAGATATCCTCCAAAAGCGCCCATCGTCTCCAACGCTGAAGACACACGCGGTTGCGTATCTCAGCGACCACACCAAGTCTTTGGAATACACCGCGAACACCATTCGAGTTCTGGAAGCACAGATCAGGGGAGAAATTCGCCAGTTGGGAGGGAATCACGTTTGGGAGGCGATTATAGATGGATTGCACATAGACGTGTAGCGTTGAAAGATGATGATGGTCCGTCGTTGTACTAATGAACCGTATTGTGTGGCCCGTGTAACTGTGTCATCGCAGCCCTTTCGTTCGAATGCTCGCTGCGCACTCCTGTGTTCTCGGCTGTACAGTCCTACATCCATGTTCCGTAGATGGTTGCTCGACGGATCGAGTGATGGCACTGCTGCCCGTACGGGTCAATTGAGACTGGGGCTCGGATCGTGCGGGGGTTAATATGGCGCGGCGCGCTCGTCGGGCGTTCATATGGAATGCATGTTCATCATAACTCAAAGTTCGACGGACTGAATTTGTCATTGTCCAGGGCCAATGGAAGCACGCCAGGGCTGAGCGCTGAACGTTGAACACATATACCGTGTCTACGGTTGTGACATGTTTCTTATCTCAAGCTGAAAATGACTGGTGTTGTCGCGGGGTATGTCATCCCGTCCATTGTTGCGCAGTTGTAACATGTTCAACAAATCTTGTTATGATTCAGAGAAGCTGCACGATATCAAGTACCCTCTGTGTCTATGTTCGAACGGATGTCATCAGCTGCCTGACGCGGACGCCCAAGGAGCACCCATTACCCAACCTGCGCGAGTTCCCGCGACTGTCTCCTCTGGCATCTTGGCATCTGACGTTAGTCTGCCATGCTGCTTGCGGTTTAATCAGGCGGTGCCCCCTCCACGATTCTATCAGGCCCTCGCCCTGCTGTGCCGCTGGCCATTTCTATAGGCTGCCAAGAAAGGTTCTTGTTGGATCGGTACGGCTCTTATTTTTTTTTTACCTGATTGGCCCGTTTTTGTATGCCTTCCGCTGAGTCCACGAAGGGCAGGGGGCTGATATCTGACATCTCCGTTGGGCCATGTGTCTCGTTAGAAGGTCACATAACTGCGAACACCGTTCCCACTGCGCATCGTTCTCTCAAGCACTCAATACCATCGCGACCCCACTCCACTTGACCTCCTCTAGTTGACCTCCTCCGTTCTTTGCCGAGTCGGCCATGGTCAATTATCTGGATCCGCTTATCATAGAGGCGGAATATTGTAGGTGTTGTGCTTTTGCGCGCAGTGGCTAATCTGACCTCGTATTAACAGTGTCTCTCGTTAAGCTCATTCACGTCGTTTGTGGTATCTACATGTAGGTTACAGGTCCACATTCGCGAGCCAGCCTGACCACGTCCATAGTTGGGAATGGGCCACGAATCTACCGTTCGAATGGAAGCTCATTACCCACATAAGGGAGATCAAAGCGTCTGGCATTGTAAATCTCATGGATCTTTGCTATGAAGTATTTTTCAAAGCCTGTTATCCTCCAGCTTTACATCTCCTGCCGAGTTGCGACTCTAGCGGCTATCATCTGCAACCTTGTCGACTTTAATGTCACGACTGAGATTGACTGTATGGTAGGCAGCCTTTAATTCCTATGGACCGCATATTCATTCTGACTTGTCGCCCATAGGTAATCTATAGGCTCATTTTGGTACGATGGTCTCTCGTAGATGACCCAAGGACCGCTAACACCGCGTTGCAGTCTTTTGGATATCTGTCTCTGGCATTATCCTCTTCCCTGATTGTCCTACGAGCGTACGTCACACAGTTTTTTTCTTACGCTCAACTCAAGGGAACTTCAGAATCGCAATATGGCATTGGAATGTCTTCGTCGTTATCATCGTGCTTGCTGTGTACCTCCTCAACGTCGGGTTTCTGATTTACGGTGAGCCCACCCGCCGCTCCAAACGGGACGTCAGTCTTACCAGATGAGATACACGCAGGGATTGTCGACGTGCGTTCTCGTCGTCTCGCCGAGCTATTGTGCGAGCTGTACTCACGCAGTGTCTCCAGAGCCCGGTTGCTATGTGGGATGCGCAGAGTGTAGCCTGTTTATTGACCGACTCTGTAAAGAGCAGGGCGAACATCTGTGTCACCCTATCGTCGGATGTCACACTGCTCCTCGTGATGTTGGTCGGAATTTTCAGGAGCAAGGGAGGTGGCGGTCTTTGGAAGGTGATCTACCACCAGGTGAGAGACGAACGAATTGCCTGGGTCAGTCTCAAGTTAACAAATGAATGTCCGGCTCAGGGCGTGGTATGGCTCGTGATTGCTACGCTGTTCTATATACCTCCTGTGGTGCGTTTAATATGTGCTCATAAATTTATTTTGGTATTGAAGAGCGTCTAGGCGTTAATTGGTTTAAATTTGAACGGTAAGCGGTCTCTCCGGCATGCTTTTCCCGTCGCCTAACAAGCGCTTTCCACTGCGACGAAGATCCTATGAACCTGGTACGTTGGGATGGTCCAGGAATCTGTCGGTAATTTACCACTAATTGATCCCTTGACAAGATGCTACAAACGCCCACATGTATGTAGATTTTTGGTCTGCTGTGCGTACCTACTGAAGTCTTCCTCGCAATCACGTCTAGACGTCGTCATGTGAGACTCATTATATTTCCGCTCGAAATATCACCGGCTGACTCTTGACTTTAGGGCGATCTGTGCAACGCGCATGCACAGAGGCTTGTATGAATTTGCGCATTCAGGCCACATGTACGACCATCTTTCTCCCAAGGGTTGTGCTATCACTAAGACACGATGCACAGCATGGCGACTGTTACCCAGCAGTCCAGGTTCGTGCCGGTTAACAATGTCGAGGTGTCCTCGATACCACTGAGCCGATTTGCTGGGTGCGTGTTCTACCCTAAGCGGTGAAACGTACCTCCGTTAACCCTTTTTCCCTGGTAAGAGTGCAGGTGGAAACGAAACAGGATGTCTATGATGATCAAGGAATTGAGGTGTCCAAGGCCAGCCTCACCGTGACTCCTTCGGGGGTCAGTGCAGACATGGCTTAAGCGCATTCTGCATCGAATATTTGGATTTTCCTTGTGAATTTGCCTAGTTCCGGCTCCGAGCCTGGCCTCTTGGACATTGTAATGTTGCTGTACGTTCTCGACTTAGATTAGAGCACAGAGCTAGAGATAACACACAACTGACAACGTCATCCTCGTCCTGACAGTAAGAATGCGTATGTGCAAGTCTCATGGAAACCTGAAATCCAGCCAGTAAATGTATGCTGCATTTTGGATGGAAAGCTGAGACAAGTTTCTAACATGCGACCACATCTGGCACCAGTACAATCTCTTCACTTCAGGCTAGTAAGTTATGCGTTCTAAGGAACGAGTTTGAAGCACACAGCCACGTGATGGCCTACGTGAAGCTTTGAAGCCGAACGTAATGTGCTCTTCGGCAGAAGTCGAAGTGCCACCTCGTACTAAGCCACTTAGACGTCTACCAACGTCTGGATATATAGGAGAGTGCAGACACCTCGGATACATATTCCTTTCCTCCACTCCTCCACCACCTCGCCAGCTAAGACCAACAATGTTGAGCACCACTCTCGGGATTACAGGACGGGCAGCCCCTCGTGTCACCCGAGCTGTCTTTCAGCCTGCACGCACCCTCATGACACTGAAGAACCACAAGGTCCACTGACTCCTGTTCCGACGCTGGGGTTTCGTGCTGACTGGTGGTTGTATATTCAGTACACCGCGCATGCAACCGCGCGAGGCCAAGGGCGCAACGGCGAGGTTGAGTCCGACGACGACGACGGTCTGAAGCTACGGCTTGCCATGCCTCAGTCCCTCGGGGGTAAAGGCGACGGGCAAAACCCCGAGCAACTGTTCGCGATGGGATATTCCGGTGAGTACACCGGATTCGTACTCCTACACGAAAGTGCTGAGCGAGTGCGCGGATCGCAGCTTGCTTCCTGGGAGCTCTGCAGATGGTCGCGAGCAAGATGGGAAAGTCGGATATGGCAAAGAACGCGGCAATCCACACGGAGGTGCACCTTGGACAACCTAACGATATGGGTGGATTTGGGCTGGAAGTGGGCATCAAGGTGGAGGGAGCAGACGAGGAGCTCATCAAAGCTGGTCATGAGGTATGGCGCGTCAGTACTCAGAATAAAAGTGAGCTAACAAGATCTTGACGCGTAGGCCTGCCCGTATAGTCGTGCACTGAAGTACGGAGTTGTTGTGAATGTTTCCAAAACTTAGGAGATGTAGGAGATATAGCAAGAATCAAACAGCGTGGCATGTACTGTATTCTCCCCACCTTTGTTCGTGAGGATGCTATCATGAGGTTTCCGAGCGCGTTGCGTCACGCAAACGTCACGTCTTCGTGTATGCACGTGACGATCGCGCGCCTGTGGCGGGGTACTCCGCCATACCAAGGGGCCGGACCAATTGGTCGACCAATTGGTCCGCTCGACCCCAAGGAACGATTTGGAACCCTAACCCCAATGGCCAGGACCTAAAAGGTCCTCACGTGCATTTGACGGAAGTGGCGCTGACGTCATATTCCACCGACGGACCAAGGACAGAGAGCGCGACATGTATTCAGTACGCTATCGTAGTGTAGTACCGACGAAAACGAAATTCAAGTTACATACAGTAATCACGGACAGAGGAAATGACAGGCGGGATCAAACTGCATGTTTGGAAAGACATGTTAGGCCTGGGCGGTGGGTTCCGAGTCGGAACTGTTGCACCTGTCCCCGCCATCGGCGTCGGCCTTCGACACACTTTCATGAAGGCAATCCAACCGCATGTACTTGATACCCCCGCGCTCAACAATGAGATCGGCACTGCTGGGAGCAACGACCAGGGACTTGAACAGCTCGAAGAGCACCATACGGCCGCCCGGCTCGGATTCCGGGTCGACGTCGACGACGGTGCGCTTCTCGAGAAGCGCGGCGAATGCCACGTACTCCATCGAGTGCTCACCGCCAGTGGAGCGCTTCACCACGAGGTCCTCGTACATGGTGCGGATGGTCGCCAGGAAGACGTGCGGGTTGAAGTGTGTACCGGTGCTGAAAATGCCCGAGGGCTGCGGCCAGGCTGGCACGTCCTCGACAGACTTGACAATCTTGCCGTCAACTAGCATTTCCAACTTCTTCGGCTTCTGTCGGACACCGTCGGAGCAGAACGATCGCTTGTGGTTGATATCTGAGCCTTCCGGGCCTGGATACATGATCACCTTGCATCTGCTGCACGTATTGGCCTTGCGTGTCGTCTATGGGACCAGTCAGCTCCCGCGGACAGAGGAGAAAGTGGTGCCAACTCACCTTCCAGGCGTACATGTCATATTGTTGCATAATATACCTAGGACTGTAAGCCGAGTGTGATGCACACTCACCTGTAGTCATAGTACAGTCTGCACATGCATTAGATTGTGCATTCAGGATGCATATTCATGTATAGCGGATGCATCACAGTATGCATTGGAGGATGCGCGCCCCCTTTCCTCTTTTGAAATGCTATTATTAGTCCCATCTGCTTTAGGTCATCCTCCCGCTGGCTACTTGGCGCTCAACCCGCCCTCCAGCACCGCCACCTGCCTCCTTCCTGCTTCAGCGGTATTCGGTCCCTTATTATTCGATCTTATATCTCTGTGGGATCTTCTTTTACATCTTCCCTGTCCTTCCATGTCTTTGGTTGATCCCTATTCACGTGACTGGATGCGCGAACATCTCGGGGAGCTTTTACTCAATGCACAGTACTCCGTGTCCATGCAGGCACGACAGACAGGAGCTGAGTATTTTTTTCTTACCACTCCTTTTTTGCAGTCTGTTGATGGTCCCATGTCACTGGGTGCACTGCCGCCCTCGGTGATGCCAGGTGCACGCAGCGATGCCAGGTGCGCGCGGCGATACCAGAGTGCACGCTCAACACAAGTGCATGAGCAAGCCAGATGGGCAGGAATTCAGAGACAGGTAGAGACTCGCAGGGCTAGTTTCTCCCATCAGGATTGAAGGACGAGTAACACAGATCTCGACCATTATCTCACCAGGCAAGGGCAGTTTCGATAGAGTCCTTACTTTGTCGACTACAGTATCAATTCATCAAGGTGTTTTATCCTAACATGTGGCAGAATTTAAGGCTGAAAACAAATAATATATTTGTTCACAACCGTGCTACTAAAGTATTTTTCTATCAAGATAGTTCACTACGGAAGCGGAAATGACTGAACACAATGCGCACAAGATATCACGATGATCAAGAATACAAGAAGTACAAGAAATGGTATGCCGTGGCCGCAACGGCACCAAGATCACTACACGAGACTCACCAGAGCATTCATCGCCTCCTTCTCTTCACCCCATCGTTGCCCTCACCCATTTCCACCTTGTTCTCCTTCGCAGACTTTCTTTTCGGCTTCGCAGAATCACTCTCCATCGTTGAAATGCCGAGCCTCCTGGCTTGAGCTGCTGTGGGCTCCCATATTGAGTCTGCAGTCGGAGGAAGCTTACGCGTGCGAGAAGGCCGAGCTAAGGAGGAGCAAGAGTTCGAGGCGGATGGTGCTGTGGATGTAGCCGTACCATCCAGATCGATAGGTGAGGAGGAGCATGAGGTCGACGTGGAAGTACTGCTTGGTACTGCGGATGTAGCAGTACCATCCAGATCGACAGAGGGGGGGGAGAATGTGTTAATAGAGTGCACGGGCGCGACATGGTCAGCTGGCTGAACAATAGTTGGCACGGCAGACACCGGAACAGGCTGAATGATGGGTGCACTATGCACTTCAGAATGTCGGAGAGCATCGCGTTCGGCAGATGCGTCAATGCCGGACTGCACAATGTCAGCGGGCACCGAGACTGCATCACTGGAAGTCCGGGAGCTGGTATTGATGGCGGCGGCGGTGAGGGCATGCATGGGAATCACATATGCAGGGGGTGGTACCGGGAATCTGAACATTGAACTGCTGGCCGTATCGGATGTGGCAGGGAGAACGATAGGCCGATCTTGCACAACGGAGAGCATACCAAGGTTGGCAATGTCAGTTGGACTGGTTGCAATGTGAGGTCCAGGCTCGTGCGCACCAGATACCATATTGCCAGTATCGGAGGCATCGCCCAAACGAGAACCCTGATTTGGCTGCAATGGGACTCCATCAACGTGACCCCACGCTCCTGAAATCGCTGCCGGGGCAGCAGAGTCCACGAGGTCAAGAGGTCCCGCACCAAGCTCGTTGATAACCCAGTTGGTAGTGTCGGGCGTCCACGTTCCGACATCGAAGTCTGGCCATGGTATTTGCTCACCTCCAAGACCCGATGGCAACAGCCATGCGGCGCCCCACCCGTTCAGTGGCACTTGCAGAAGCACGTCATTTTCGACAGATGTGGTAGACGCGTGACCCGCCAGATCAAAATTGGAAGATGCATATCCCGAGGTGTTCATCACATTTGATAGCGAAGGATGAGGTATCTGCGGCATGGGGATTGGGGATTGTGGCAGCCCTGTCAATGAAGCCACAAACTCTGAAGAAGATGGCAAGGACAAAGAGGGCAGCAACGGTGATGGGGATCGTGAGAGTGCGGGCAATGATGGCGGAAATGGCGATGCATGCTCCGACGGGCATGGTGGAACGGCAGGAGTCTCGGAAAAGTTGTCCCCGCTGGCACGTCTTGAATCCTCAGTGCTCATGCCATGCAGTGGGTGGAGTTCCGGTGTAGCTACCCTTCCTGTACCAGCAGACGATGGACCTGCCGCGGATGGAAGACTGTCTGCAGCACTTTCGTCCGATAGATCAAGTGCACGGTGCCGTTGAACATCTGAAGCTATAATACATTCTTGGTATCAGACTGAACAACGTATGTATCCGATTGTGACTTACGATATACGGCCTTCAAATGCTCAATGAAGGTGTCCATCACGTTGGTCATGATGCCTGGGTGGATGTCACCGAAGGTGTGACCAGTTTCTGTCGTTCCGGAATGCGACCTGTGGGATTTTATGCATAAAGTATGCATACATTATGCATTAGCCAACGAGAGCACTGAGATAAAGGGGAGTACATACGCAATGGTGACGATGTCGCCTCCTTCATCTGGACATGGTCCTCCCGCTATGACTGTGATGTCCCAACCTGAGTCCGCTGCCAGCTCGCTGAATACCTGCTTCAGGATAATCGGCATGTCGTTAATTGCCCTGTGAGTACTGTTAAAAACGTAGCCTCCTGCTGAACAAAAAATTAGCACTCACTGTTGGTACTGGCGGGGAGACCTCTCGGTATCACCGCCACAGCTCTTCTCATCTGACTGCTTCTTGCTGGCCTCAATTGCATCCAAAACCTGCTTCCTCACCCAATCCTCCTCCTGCTCGAACCATTCATCTGTGACACGGTTAATGACATTAAGGGATTCGTGACACGTCGGTTTTTCACGCTCGAGTGCCGCCTTAACGTGAGACTCTATTCTATCCTTGTAGAACCTTCTTGAATACTCCTCCTGCTCCTTGAGAACTCGGTGCTTGGGCTTCATGCCTAAGCTCTCCATCGTGATCGGGGTGACGCGAGCGACCTTCCGAGCATTGTTAGGGCGGCGCCAATTGAACCATGTTTTCAATTGCTGCGAAGACTTTAGCATATATCGTCGTCGGACCGAGATATTACAGTATTACTTATGCTCTGCCGCTTTTTGATTGCTTCCCCGAGCGCGGTCCGTTGCTCCTCAGACAACATGCTATCCGAGATGTCGGGGCCAAAGAGCTTAACACGCTCAGGAAATCGCTGGAAAAATTCAGTGTTCAGGGAGGCCCAGAATTTGGTGAGGGTGCGACACTTTTGGTGCTCAAGAAATGACGGTCGCAGGGAGGTGAGGAGCACCGTCTCGGCCTCAGTGGCCCAAGACTTCTGTGGCATGACTGGGAACTTCGAAGAGCACGGGACAGTTGAGAACAAGCTCCCCACCTATTAATGATTATTTGAGTGAGCGCTCGGGAGTCCATCGCCCAATTGAAGCACGTACCTAGTACCATGTTGAGCGGGTGGGTTCTCTTGCAGGTCATGTTAAGAAGCACCCTGTCAGTATGCGTCAGCAGTTCGATGAGTCCCGTGGCATGACGTCTGTTGCCTCATACTCCATATAAGAGGCACTGAAGCTTGCCTGATCCACCCAAGCTCATTCTCGTCTCCTTCCATTGTTCTCATCCATTTAAGCAGTATGACCGCTTGTCAGAACATGCGTGGCGGAGCCCCCCCGCAGGTTCCGCCCCTCATGTTCTCGCTGGAGGATCTGTTCCAGGCACTTACTCTCATCACTGGCCGCGACTTTGGTGAGTCTTCGCATCGCAAATACAGTCCTCAAAACTTACCGGTTCATTTGCAGATGAAGCGTGGTGTATGGTCATCCGGCAGCTCATTGCCAATGAGGCTGCAGAGGATGCGCGAGCCAGTAAGTCCTCAGGCCCCAGAATGTGAGGAGACTGACCGACATTACTATGCAGATAGTAAGTACTATGCCCGACGGACACAGCAACTGATGAACCTTGCTAAAATAGGAGTTCACGCCGACGTAGCTGGCGCAGGCGCGAAAGGCCCTGACGGGCCTCCTCCTGCCATCGCCGGTGGCCTTGGTGCTACTCATGCTGTTGACGGCCCTGCAGCTATTGCTACCGCAGTTGCCGCTGCGACCGCGGCTCCTGTTGCTGCCACAATTGCCGCTGCTGGCCCCCTTGTCATCACCGCTGCTCCTACTGCTGCCATTGTTCCTGCTGTTGCTGCCCCCACTGCCGCCATGGCTGGCCCCACAGCTGGTCCAGCCGGAGCTCCTGTTCCCGGGTTGGGTCAACCCAACGTACCTGGGCCCCTTAACGACCCAGAGGCACTTCAGGTAGCCATTGAGGGCACCCTGGTGATGGCCAACCAGCTGCTGCCGGTGCTCCCGGGTAGATGGTATGTTGTTACTCGCGGACGGGAAGTTGGTGTCTTTCAAGGCTGGTCAGTTGCATGTCATGTTACACAATGCTCTTGAGACTCACCGGAACATTGTGTACCTATAGGGCCAGTGTCTCGCCGCTCGTCTCCGCAGTGCCAAACACGTGCCATGAGCGCATCTCCTCCCGGGAGAACGGCTTCCAGATCTTCCACGCGGCCGTCGCTGTGAGGACCGTCGCGCTGTTACCATGAGATCACCACCATCGGGGTTGGGTGGGCTCTTGGCGCTGTATCTGATGTATCACCGTATTTCTTGGTAGACCACTATGTCTTTGTATGGGCCAGATTTGGCTCGCGGTGTCTTGTCTGCTGGTGTTGCGTGTAATAAATCTCGTGTTCCGCAAATCCCTGTGGTGTTAACGAAGTAAATAAGACAGCGCGCAGCGTGCGCCCATACTTACTGTCTTCTCTTCTCCCCTCTACTTCATCGTGGATGTCATGGGTCGTCGCGCAATATATCTCACAGCAGCTGCCCAAAGCGAAGGACGTCGAGCTGCCAGAGCCAGATATAACACGAAGAAGCTGTAAGATAATCAGTCAGTCGCGTACACACGACATTAACTCATAATGCAGAGGAGAAAGAGTGCGGAGTGAACAGAATCAGCGAGCATATGCACGACGAAATGGAGATCATCCTAGCCCCTTTTTTCCAGCACCTGGGATTTCTCTCCCACCCGACCTCCTCGAACACGCACGCAAGCCTTCCATCGTTGGAGGTAGACAGCAGACTGCCATTGACCTCGGTTTGTGGGCCCCACCTTACACCTTCAATCCCGCTGGCCTTCAGAAGGAGTCGAAGGGTAGTCCCTCGACTGAGCATGAACATCCAAACATCTCAGAGGAGGCTCACCTCAAGTTGGGCCAGGTCAGCGAGCTTGAACGTAGATGCTTGACAAGAGCACTCGGCAGTCGACAGTTTACACTGTTGGTAGAGGCAGGGAGACAGAGGTTGGAAATCTGGGATGAGAAGGAGGACATACAAGATCAGATACTGGCTATGGAGAGAGAATTGACTGCGCGCACGAGAGCGTGGGTAGACCTGCATGGTGTGAGTTGGGAGGACGGCAGAGTCACTACTGGACGTGACATCGCATTGGACTGGGGGGCGAAAATAATTTGTACCCTGGCAAGGGAGCTCGAGATCGTTCAGAAGGGTGAGGTCGAGTATATGAGAAGCCTAGAAGTGGGCAAGTTACCGTGGCAGCGTATGAACACTGTACATTGATGCCGCCTTAGTACGAACCGAGCGTAGTACACTGTACAGTAACTTGAAGTTCACCCATGCTCAACTCAATGCCATGTGCATAACACTTTGACAGCACTCCACCACGACATTCTGGTGCAATATATATGTTGCTGTATGCTCGCCCTACTAGCTTTGTATGTATACTTAGGCTTCCCTTGCGTATTTCAGGCGCTGACGACATGTTTGCACTACCTCCTGGTCACTCAGCAGGACACTTATTCGCAGGCTGATTGGCTCCTCACTCAAACACCAGGAGTCGGGTTGTCCCGGAGCGCCTTGGTCCGATGGCGGAGTCTCAATTATCTCAGGTGTGTATATAAGACTGGCCTGTTTCGTCCTTCTCTCCTCCAGAGTTATCTTTTCGTCATCCCTCTGGTTGCCCCATCGTCATTCTTTACCCTCTTCGTCGTCGTTCTGGCCCAGCTTGCCATCGTCCCTGCTCACCCTCGTCATCACTTTTCCCCTCCACCATCATCACTCTTCCCCTCCGCCGTCGTCGTCCTTACCCTCCGCCGTCGTCCTTACCCTCCGTCGTCGTCCTTACCCTCCGTTGTCGTCCTTACCCTCCGTTGTCGTCCTTACCCTCCGTCGTCGTCCTTACCCTCCATCGTCGTCCTTACCCTCCGTTGTCGTCATTCTTACCCTTCGTTCTTGCCCTCCGTCGTCGTCGTGCTTGCCCTCCATCGTCATTCTTTGCCCTCCATTTCCCTCCGCAATCGTTCTTTGCCCTCCGTCGTTGTTCTCATTTCTCTTATGGTCGGTGTAGCTTCCTGTCCCGTCGTCTACCTCGTCGTCGCCATATCTTCCTATTCCTGATGTCGCTGCACCTTCCTCTTACATAGTCGGCATACTGCTGTGTTCATCGTGGTACATTTCCCCTCTATCCTGCCCATCATTATTGTTTCTTCCATCGTCGTCGCTCCGTCCTTCTTGTTGTCGCTTTCATCGGACTTTGCAATGTATCATTGTGGGTGAGTCTCCACTGTTAAGAAATGTAATGTTTGCTTATCTTATGTCTGTCCAGATGTGTGTGGTGTTATTTGATGGGATTTCGTTGGTGGCTACGTGTTTTAGATGTACATGTATGTTTCTCTGTATTGTAATGTATTTTGTTCATACGCTCTTCCAATGCAATTGTCTCTGTTGTAGATACAATTTCGTGTAGTCCTCTCACTCCTTCATAGTTAGTTTCCTAATCGGGCACGGACGCTCGCGTAGTATACACGCTCGCTACACGTTTCGTTTCCCTCAGTCCTTTTGCTATTGACATCAGATTGAGGGTAAGCTACATTCCTATACTATACATTAGTTACTCATGCTGATCTACCTGTAGGACTGATTCAGTCCGTGTCTAGGTAGATAATTTAGTCCTTTTGCTATTGACATCGGATTGAGGGACTGATTCAGTCCGTGTCTAGTCTTCAACAGGTTACGAGCCCCGAGAGGCAGCTAAAACGCGCACTCGACTCGCCAGCCGAACCTCCCGCACGAGACCGCAATGAGCGGCGAACGACGCAACCCCTGGAGCGGACGCTCGTCGCCATGCAGGCGCTCTCCGACTCCTCCACCTTTGTGCAGAGCCTACTGGGACGAACCCGGCACGCCTACCGGCGGTCACAGGCCGCGCGCGAGACCGCAGCGCAGCGGAGAAAATCTGTACGCGCAGTCTTCACCACGCAGATCCGCGGCACCTTCGAGACGGCCCACGCTGAGCCCGAACGCAGGCGGAAGGAGGTACAGGCCTTTGGGAGAAGGCGGAGCAGAGCACTGGACCCTGCACAAGGATACCGACCACTCTTCGCACATGAACCTTACGAAGCTCCCCCACAAGCTCACGCCGACGAACTACGTATCGTGGATGACGACGATGGAATCAACGCTCGACACTATCGAACTCTTCGAGTACGCTACCGGAGAAGTTCCCGAGCCCGATCCGGATGTCGACGAGGCGCGTGCGCGACGCTGGAAGCACGCGAATGCCTGCGTCCGACTCATACTCGCGTCGAATATGACCGAGGAAGTCGTGTCGCAGATCAGCCACCTCACGGTCGCGGCACAGGTCTGGCAAGAAGTGCGACGACTATTCGCAGGCGAAACCCTTACCGACTGGACGCTTCTTATCACCAGTCTCATCACGACGAAGTATGCCGATGGCGAAGATCTGACCCTTCATATTGCAAAGATGAAAGCGTACCGGTGAGATCTCATCCTCATGTCCCGAAATATCCCTGACGACCTCTATGCTTGTTTCATCCGAATCTCTATGCCACAATCCTGGAACTACGTATTTTCTGGCCTTTCTCAGTACTACACATCTTCTGAGATCGAACGACGTCTGAAGGAAGAATATGCCATACGACAGAACCAGCAATCGACAGCGCGAGCATACAATGCCAAGCAGCAGTCCGGCAAGCGATCGAAGAAGGAATATAAACCAGGCGACCCCTTCTGCAAGAATTGCGAACGGCCCGGTCACTACATCAAGGACTGCTGGTCGAAAGGGGGTGGAGCTGAGGGGAAGGGACCACGTAGTAAGAAGAAGGAGAAGAAGGATTCAGAGAAACAGGATGTGAAGGGGAAGGAGCGAGTGAACGAGGTGAAAGAAGACTCTGACCATCTCTCATGCATGGCGGCACCCGGCTCATCCTCCCGATTCACCTGGATTCTCGACGGCGGATCTACCACTCACATCTGCAGAACGAAATCGGCCTTCGTTACATTCACGCCTTCGAGCGAGACAATCGGCGGCATTTGGAAGACAGGACCTCAACTTGAGGTGCACGGGAGAGGTGATATCCTCATCCTATGCCACGTTCATAGCGGAGACCAGCACATCGTCACGCTACGAAATGTATGCTACTGCCCGGACGCACGTGACAATATTATCTCGGAGAGCCGTATGGATCAGAAGGGACTATCGATCCACAAGCAGAATGGCCTGGTAGCTGTCCAGAACTCAAATGGGAAGGTTATCATGGAAGGTGCGCGACGACGTGACTTATATGAACTCGACTGCGCAATCGCCCCTCCATCCTCCCATCCCTCTGAGATCTCATTCGCCGCCCAACTCTCTCCATCTGATAGCGAGCTTTGGCACCGCCGGCTTGCTCATATCGGACAGGGCAGTCTCCAATACATGGTAAAGCACGCCCTTGTCACAGGACTCGATCTGAAATCCGTAGAGACACTTGGCCCATGCGACGGCTGCGCGAAGGGGAAGCATCACCAAGCACCCTTTCCGAAGCAAGCCACCAATCGTGCTACAAGCATTCTCCATCGCCTCCACATGGATCTTCAAGGACCATTTGACCTATCCATCACCGGCTATCGCTACACACTCGCTGTCGTTGACGACTACAGCCGCAAGGGATGGAAGGCTTTCCTGAAGGCCAAAAACGATGCAACTTCAGAGATCAAGGATTTGGTCACACGCCTCGAGACATTCTCTGACAAGAGAGTCAAGATCGTTCGATCCGATGGTGGTGGCGAATTTATAGGCAACGACCTCCAGACATATTTCAAATCGAAGGGGATCAAACACGAGACTTCCGCTCCACACACTCCACCACAGAATGGCGTAGCCGAGCGCTATAACCAGACGACACATGAGCACGCCCTCTGCATGTTGCAAGAAGCTAACATGAGCTCGGGTTTTTGGCCTGAAGCCCATGCATATGCATCGCTTGTCCGCAATCGAAGTCCTACAAGAGCCCTGGTTGAATCCACGCCCAACGAGAAATTCTATGGCCAGAAACCAGATGTCTCAACCCTTCGCATTTTCGGAGCACGCTGCCATGTTCGCGTTCCACCCGAATCCCAAAAGAAGCTCGATGCACACTCGCTTGATGGCATTTTCTGCGGTTTTGCACCTAATCAGAAGGCATACAAGATCTGGATCCCTTCGAGGCACAAGTTTATGGTATCTCGAGATGTTATTGTCTACGAGAATGTCCCAGCAATGCCCGATGATGATGACCAAAACCCTGCTTTGAGCGAGGGGGTGACCGCAAGTAAGTCCACTCAAAGCAATAGTCCTGACAAGGCTGTTGGCAGAGAAATTTCCGCGACATCACCACCACATCCTCCAACTCCTCAGGCTTCGGCATCACCAGCTTCAGCGCCAATCCCTACACCGCCCGAAAATCAGCCATCCACTGCATCAGCACCCACTCCCGCCAGTACTTCCGCACCAGCACCAATGCCCGCGCCAGCTCCCGCACATCTCCGACGTTCAGAACGTGTCACGCGCCCATCTTGGATCAAGCAAGCTGCCGAGAAACAGCAGGCATAAGAACAGGCGACAAAGACACACAACAAGGCGATCAAGGAAGCACGCACACTGCGGAGACAAATGAAGGTACAGGCGAGGACAGCTCCAGAACCCATACCAGAGGACACCACAGTCCCAACGACACCCGAAGGTGATGTCACGCAAGTCGCCTATATGGCGGCATTTGGCACGGACACACCAATGAATTTCCGTGAGGCGACGAAGTGCTCGGAGGCCGATAACTGGTGGACAGCAATGCACGAAGAGATCGACATGCTGCAGAGGCGTGGTACATGGGTACTCGAGGACTTGCCACCTGGCCGGAAAGCCATCGGCAACCGCTGGACATATGTTATCAAGCGTGGCCCACAAGGCGAGATCCTACGATACAAAGCCCGACTTGTTGCACAGGGATTTTCACAGATTCCCGGCATAGACTTCAATGACACATTTTCCCCCACTGTTCGACTCGAATCTCTTCGGGCGATCTTACATCTCACCGCCGCACATGGATGGCATCGTGGACAGGACGACGTGACTGGCGCATTCTTGCACAGCAAGGTTGACGTTATCATTTATATGCAGCAGCCTGTCGGATTTGACGACGGTACTGGACGTGTTTGTCGCTTACTGCTCAGCTTGTATGGTCTTAGGCAGTCATCCCACCTCTGGAACGAGTACATGGATGGCCAACTGTCAACAATCTCATTCCATCGACTGATCTGCGATAGTGCCATCTATGTTCGTCGTACAGAAACCGGTGCGAATTCCATCCTGGCGATCCATGTTGACAATACCCTCAGCTTCTCAGACTCAGCAGAGGAGTTCGCTTCTGTCCGAAAGCAGCTTCACAGTATCTTTGAGATGAAGGAGGAGGATCCCAACTGGTTGATGGGTTTCGAACTCATTGACAATCCCCAGGAACATACTGTCTCCATCTCGCACCGCCAGTACATCTCCACCATTCTCAGACGCTTCAAAATGGAGGATTGCGTTCCTGTACCAACCCCCATGGAGTCCAGTCTGCACCTCTCAGTTCACGATGCACCGTCGACACCGGAGGAGATCGCAGAGATGAAGAAACGGCCGTATCGCGAACTTGTTGGCGCCCTGACCTGGATCTCGGTCATCTCGCGCCCTGACGTATCGTTTGTCAGCGCACACCTCGCGCAGTTCAACGCCAATCCTGGCAAGAGGCATTGGGAAGCCGTGAAATGAGTGCTTCGATATCTCGCGGGCACTCGCGACCTTCGCCTCGAATTGGGAACTGCAGACGAGGAAGGCAACATGAATGAATTGGTCGGCTATAAGGACACGGACTGGGCGCGCGACGTTGACACTCGACGCTCCGTCTCGGCATACGTTTTCCAGCTCGGCAACTCATCAATAGCCTGGAGCAGCAAACGCCAGATGACCATTGCCTCATTATCAACTGAGAGCGAATATATGGCCTTGTCTTATGGCGCGAAACAGGCACTGTGGTACCGGCGTTTCCTCACGGAAATTGGACTCACTCTCGGAGGAACCCCTACCGCACTCCTAACAGACAATATGGCTGCCAAGGACATTGCGAAGGATACCCATCACCATGGACGTACCAAACACATCGATGTACAGCACCACTTCATCTGCGAGCGCATACAAGACGGAAACTTCAATGTCGTTCACTGTCCCACTGCAGCAAACATTGCAGATGGACTCACCAAGCCCCTGGACAAGGAGCCATTTTCCAAAATGGTTTCTGATTTAGGACTCTCACTCCATTGAGGGGGTGTGTTGTAGATACAATTTCGTGTAGTCCTCTCACTCCTTCATAGTTAGTTTCCTAATCGGGCACGGACGCTCGCTACACGTTTCGTTTCCCTCAGTCCTTTTGCTATTGACATCAGATTGAGGGTAAGCTACATTCCTATACTATACATTAGTTACTCATGCTGATCTACCTGTAGGACTGATTCAGTCCGTGTCTAGGTAGATAATTTAGTCCTTTTGCTATTGACATCGGATTGAGGGACTGATTCAGTCCGTGTCTAGTCTTCAACAGTCTCATGATGTCCACATTTGTGCTTGTCACCGTGGGTTGCTGCTGTGATTCACGGTTGTAAGATGTCAGTATTTTCTGATGGTTATGAAGGGTGCTTATTGAGCAGGGACTGGCCGCACTGCCTTCTTCGTTGACTGACGTTGACAGGAAAAAAAATTATCGAATGTGTGCTCCAAGAGCCCGCTGCGCTCCACTGGTGATTTCGCACGCGGACTTCGTGTGAGAAAGTCCGTCCTTTCCATTGGCTTCGTGTCAGATATGTCCGCCAATTTGTGCATGAATTCCAAACGAAGAATTAGTGGTGCCCAGATGCACCGCCGAAGAAAATCTGTTATTCTATGTGCATTTCCTGCTCCTGCGTGAGAGATTGACGCGCCCACTTCAGTCTGCAATCACGACGAATTAGGAGCGCGTGCAAATTCTACATGAATTCCTGATGGTGTTATTCAGCGGGCACATCATAGTTATCCGTGCAGCCGTCCTGCATTGCCGTTGTTGCTGTTCCACCATTGTGACCGATTGGAGCCCGCGCAATTGAGCCTGCGCAATTCCCTCTCCAGTCATGTTTCGCTCATCCAAGTGTGCCAGGCACGGTGGTGCCCGCATCGAGGTCTACAGGTCATCTCGCCCTGGCCAGGATGAAGATTTGCCTCGTCGCACTGTGCAGCTGTCTGTTCTCCAGTGCCATATCACATACTCATTCCTGGGGAATGGCAAAGTCACTACTCGCACATCCTTCCTAGACACTGTTGATGATCACAGTCGTGCCTCCGCTGTCTCAGGTTCGGTCGAACACGGAGACATGTCAAATGTGGACTCCATCGTGAACAGCAGTACATGGCGAGATCGATACTCGGACCTTGACGTCGAATACATCCACAACATTGAGCTTGATGAAGTTGAAGGCCGAGCTCGGAAGTGCACTGCTGCTGTGAGTATTTCTCACTGCACATCTAGTGTGGATTAAATGATGATGTAGGATAACCCTCTGCTGCAATGGGTACCCGAGATCGATAATTGGCTAGCAGAACTCATCTGTCTTGAAGGAAGATGCGGCTACACGGACGAGCTTTGCCCTGCTTGCCAAACTAATCAAGCCACTATATGTTGTGAAGACTGTCAAGATTTGCGGCTCTACTGTACGACGTGTATCGTGAATAGGCATGCTCGAAGCCCCTTCCACCGACTGAAGGTACACAGTTATGCAGTTGCTCATTCGATAGATACTTTTCACTCATCCGGATATTTTGATAGGCTTGGACTGACACTCATTTTCGCCGCGAGACACTCAAGAATATAGGCTTGCGCCTGCAACTTGGACATGCACCTGGGGATCAATGCCCAAATCCCATTCGAGCTTTCGGCGATGACTTCGTTGTTGTGGACATTTCTGGTATTCATGAAATCGGACTGGACTTCTGTGGATGCGAGATCACGCAGTCCCACCCGACTCAATTACTTCGCAATCATATGCTCCCTGCCACTTCAGTGGATCCGAAGACTGCAGCCACGTTCCGCCTTCTGGAAACATTCCATCTCATCTCTGCACAGTCCAAGATATCAGGTTATGAATTCTATACTGCTCTAGCTCGACGTACAGACAACACCGGTGTAAATCCGCCGAAGGTATGGCTTATTCCTGGGTGTATGTGTTTTGAATTTTGAATTGATGTGCTATCCTATGTAGAATCGTTATCCTGCTTTCATGAGGATGATGCGCGAATGGCGACATCTGAAGATGCTCAAACGTTCAGGATGTGGACATGACCCTGGTGGTGTTGCGGCCACGCTTCCTGGTAGCTGTGCGGTACTGTGCCCTGCATGTCCGCACCCTGGCAAGAATTTGCCCGCGGATTGGGCCGACGTGCCGAAGGATAAGAGGTAAGCCACATTCATACAGTGGTAGAGCACGAATTCACAGTTATGAAGCTGGCTCTACAGATTATTCCTATCTATCGATGCCAACTTCTGGCTTAAACGCAAAAAAGTATCCTCTGATCAGGTCAACCCTGGCCTCAACCACGGATATGCGTATTTCGTTGAGGAGAAGGCATACAAGGAGCATCTTCGTACATACGACAAGGCATTCCCAGACGAAATCAGCACATGCAATAACCACGACGCTCTGAAGCTTGCGAGCATGAAAGGTGCCCATCAAAGTACCGCTGCCAGTGGCGTTGGGACAGTCGATTGCGCGCGACACGATATGAAGAGACCGTGCTCGGTCGGCGATCTACAGAAGGGGGAGCAGTACGTCTTGGTACGCCAAAAGTCAACGCTGAACTGACCCAGGTTTCATAGATATGTCAACATGGATTATATATTTTGGTCTACTGTTTGCCAGCACAGCCCGTTCGAGATGATTGACATTGTCGCATCCTACGACATTGCATGTCAGTGGTCAAAGAATATTTGGACCCGGTTCAAGCACTACGGGATGTCTTCCAACCTCCTCAATCGCAGTTTTACGTTCGTCATTCCTAAGTTCCATCTTCCTGCTCATCAAGAATCGTGCCACGTTGCATACTCTTTTAACCTTCTGCCATGGGTTGCTCGGACGGATGGTGAAGGGGTCGAGCGGGGACATGCCGCACACAACCTGTACGCCTCCAGCATGAAGGAAATGGGACCAGGTTCCCGCCGTGACGTCTTGGATGATGCGTTTGGCGACAGCAACTGGCGCAAAGTAAGCAACCTTGGTGAGTAATCGCATATTTTCTCAAAGCACAACTTGCTTATACCATATCGTTAGCATCTACATTTTTAGCGAAGGTCAAGATGGCGGTTCAAGAGCGCTGTGAACACGTCTGTGCTTTTCATGACTTCAATGCCGTTATGACCACAGAATCCTCGGCAGAAGGATGGAAGGACATGGTGGAAGCTTGGGAGAATGATTTGGCCTCCCCAAATCCATTCATCGTCACTCGGCCTAGTCAGTATCATTGCTTTACATTGTACAGCTACTGAATGTCATTGCATCATCTCCTCCAGCTGTCACTCTGGCCGGTGTTCGCCTTCAGCTTGCCGAGGAAGAAGCTGCAAATTTAAGTGAGGGATGAGACATCGCCGTGCATGAACAGGTGTCGGCGAGTATGATGATCAATAACGGCCTTGATCTTGAAGAACAACAGTAAGTTTTACCTTTCAATGTAATGAATAGTGCAATTCTACTACAAGGAGCTTCAGACGACATCTTCAAGTCGATGCCGCGGCTCTAGGTCAACACGCGACTGAGCTCCAGCGAGCTAAGATCCAGGAGAGACGCAATGTCCTGCAGCAGAAGATTGAGGCTTGATACGGGATACAGAGGTTGTACATGCCAAGTGTCGACATGCTGCGTGCGCGCGCAGCTGCCTCCCGAGAGACTCCTTTTCCTGCGCAAGAAATGCCACTACTTCTGCCAAGTGCCATTCAAGGCACGATGGCTTGTAGTCCTGCTCTGATGGAAGTCGAATGGCGACTTTGCTATGCGCTCGCTAATGACATCCTGAACGACCTTCGGCAACATCTGCGGCTCCGCTCCCACATGTACATTTACAAGGACCGCTTCGTGCGTGGACAGCGACAGAACACCCGTGCAAGGACCACCATTCAAATTGTCGAGGACAAGGTGAACGTGGATGCCACGCGATACCGGACAACCTTCTCGGCCCTTGTAGCTCTTGCTCAGTCTCTCAACAAGGTCAGCTAGCAATCTGAGCTGCGACCACTCAATACTACGGACATACGCGGGATGACTGAACCATTATCTCAGGAGAGCGAAGGTAGACGAACATTGGCTTGGATTTGGATGGCTCCTGGAGCCGGTGAAGGCAGTGTAGGAGACACGCAAGACAGTAAGTGATGCAGATTGTCAATTAATGGATTCTCCTAATACTGCAACTCTCAGGTCTTCGAATAGAGTGGTGTAAGGCAAGAGCGCGAGCCCATAGGTGGACAGAAGAATGCCAGTTGCTGGAAGAGGAGATGCGCCGTGTCCTCGAATTCCAAGAGTGGATAGCATCTTGGTGGCTTGACCAAGCAGAAAGGAATGTCGGAAGGTCACCTGAACATGAAGAGGGCTCCGTCGCATATGCATATCGCCAGGCTGAAATACGCCGAGCCATAAGCAGCATTTGTGAACGAGCATGGAAGGATGTGCCGGAATGGCTGGAGGTAGAAGACGAGGTGGATTAGTATACAGTACAAAGCACTAATGCTATGACGGTTTGAATGGGAATCGCAAATTTCGGGGCACATAATACATGCTCGTGCCTGACTGCGCACGATGCACAAGTATGCATACAGTATACTATGCTCAGCGCACAATGAAGAATGCATATAGGAGAGTGCATAATGCACGCTTGTATGCATAAAAGCTGATGTGATGCATCATGGACCGTCCATAATGCATAGCAGGCATGATGCATACAACGACGGGGATGACCAACAAATATTTGAATAGTAGATTTAATATGCATACAGGAGGGTACGTGCGGGCAATACATGTTACACGATGATGCATAGAGTATACCGTGGTGTAAGGGGGCATGCGGAAGCAGGGCGGACGCGCTACAGCTACAGGGTACTGTATTAAGAAAGGAACCTGCAAACTGATGGCTGGTCAGCCAATAGTATACAAGTTTCCCTCGCCCACCTGCACGTGAAGACCGACTCTGGCATGATGGAGAGTGTACCTGCAATCGAGAAGTGAGCCGAGAAACTGCTAATAATGGTGATGACTGGCGGGGGCAACACACCAATGCGGCAGCGAAGGAAGGCCGGCACAGGGCCAGCAACGAAGAGCTCAGACAGATACTATGCTGATGCGAAGGGGGAAGGAAGGGTAATAGGACCTATTCATGGGATTCACGCACATTGCTATATTTTATGCGGCGCGGCACTGCAAGGACGAGAGTTGGTGTTGCCAGCCATGAAAGAGACAATAGTTCTGAGAGCATCTTTGTCAGTTATGAAAGATAATCTTTTCTATCAATAAGTAGCAAATTTTCATAAGAATTGCTACTTTTAAGTAGACTTATTTGTAGGTGCATAGATTAACTCAGGATAATCGTAATATAATCTTTCAGATAATCTGAGGATAATCTTCTGAATAATCTGAGAATAATCTGAAGATTAGCAATAAAATACAATTTTAACTTTGACACCAGCCAGGATTGAACCCTGGACCTTAGGTTGATTTTATAGAATATAATTTCAAGTAACACTTTAGACCACTTGACCATTAGGCCATACATCACAACTATCTTATATTAAATTAGACGTCTTTTTCTTGAAAAAGACTTAGCCAAATTCTGTCTATTAGAAAAGAGTAAGTAAAAGACACTTGACTTTTATCATAGATAGACAAGCCTTATAGACCAACAGTACTCTGCATCTTATTATAGTCTTGTTCTACAGCTTACAGTTTTTGTAAACTATCATGCAGTACTATAGAGTATCTTAATATAGTCATCTATAATATATAACAAGTTATTGAGAGACAATATTTTATTTGTTCATTTTAGGCTTATACTCTAGAGTCTATTATATTATAGACTGAGCACTTATATATACAAGATCTTTATAGCTATCTTCTAATTGTATAGCAAAGTTCTGTTTTGCTGAAGTAACTGTAGAAACATATATTCTATTAATTACATATTGTACTACATTATATGAAGGCTGCAAGCATTAGAAAAGACTATAAGACTCAGAGTAATGTTTGTTTATAAGTCTTGTCTATCTATGATAAAAGTCAAGTGTCTTTTACTTACTCTTTTCTAATAGACAGAATTTGGCTAAGTCTTTTTCAATAAAAAGATGTCTAATTTAATATAAGATAGTTGTGATGTATGGCCTAATGGTCAAGTGGTCTAAAGTGTCACTTGGAATTATATTCTATAAAATCAACCTAAGGTCCAGGGTTCAATCCTGGCTGGTGTCAAAGTTAAAATTGTATTTTATTGCTAATCTTCAGATTATTCTCAGATTATCCAGAAGATTATCCTCAGATTATCTGGAAGATTATATTAAGATTATCCTAAATTAATCTATGCACCTACAGATAAGTCTACTTAAAAGTAGCAATTTTCATGAAAATTTGCTACTTATTGATAGAAAAGATTATCTTTCATAACTGACATCACTGCTGAGAGACAGGAAGACACCACTCTCCCCCTTAATAGGCCATGCTGCGGCCAACCGAGAATGGTGGGATAAGGGCGGGAGTGGAGCTGTGTATGCACAGAGGCAGTGATCCGGGGGCAATTTGAAATCTGAAGATTGACGTGCCAGGAACGATGAAAAGAAGTGTCGAAGAGGTTGCTCAATGCTTCGACAGCAGGGCCGTGAGATCTACACAGGGGAGGGGGATCTACCCAAGCCTCGGAAAATCGGGGAATAATCTGGAGGGCGCGCAAGAGGCGCGGTCATCCAAAAACAAACCATAGGGCGGGAAAGAGAGGGATGCATAATTGTTCGTCTCTATGCATAACAGGATGCATAACCAAGGTGTCCAAAATGGGATGGACCTATGTGAGGGATATGCATAAACACCGGACTACAGTTACAGGGATGTATGCAACATGACCGGCCTACAGTTATAGGGGTTTATGCATCGTTCTGCCAGCTACTGGTGGTGCTTCTTCCAGAACGCGGTGGTATTCGAGCGCTTTGCTGGTATGCCAAGCCTCACGGTCAAGACCTCTCACAGAAAGAGAACAGCTCAGTTATGCACAAGTGAATTTTCCTGACGACAGGCAGGTGAGTATCTTGGGTTCAATTTCGCCCAACTTCTCCATCAGAGCGCGTGGAGTCTTGCGGATCGTGTTCTTCCCCTTCGCTCCATTGAGTGCCTCAAGCCGGACGTTGTAGTCATTGGCGGCAACGACCCATTTCTGCGGCGTCATGTTGTAGGAAACCCACTGGAACTCACTCCGCAGGTTCATGAATAGGTAGAACTCGTTGTCAGTCAAAATTGTAAGTGATAAGATGTGGATACCGGTCGAGATTGAGAAGACGCGCTGTGATGCCGTCAGACCTGAGATGTTGAGCGCCGGAAGTGCGAGCGTGAGCGCGAGAGCGGACTGAGTCTTCAGCACAGCCTCAGACGCACCAGTGGGAAGACAGCGTTTTCCAGACAGCATGCTGGAGGTCGCCCTTGGAGTGCGGACTGCGAAAAAGTCGCTCATACTGGAGGATATGGCCTTCGGCCGACTCGGACCTGCACCTGCACTGGAACAATGTAATGCTGACTTTGAGGACTACGGAAAATCATCAAAATCGCAACTTGAGATGACCATGGTTGGGTTCTGGAGCTGCAGGACTCACCACATATGAGGAATTCCACCCTTCTGCACTCAGCTTCAACCTCTTGCTGGCTGCCGCACTGTCAGGCAGGACTTCCGCTGTATTGGATTGAGCCACAGCCGCCGTGGGGTGAGACAGCTCGGCATCTGCTTTCCGCTTGAACAGACTGGAGTTTGAGGGGCCGATACGTATCTGATACATCGCAGCGTCAGTCCTACATGCACCCCAAGAGTCGCACTGGCCGAAAATCACTTACGGGTAAACAGTCGACCTCACGCTGCTTTTGCTCCGCTTTCTGGGAGGTCTCGACACTATTGACAGTCGCTGTCTCTGAAGGTGTGCCCTCCAAAAGTATAACCTGTGGGTTGACTGCATCACAGTCAGTCGCCGCCAAGTCACTGGCCCATCGCGACAGAGAAATTTTGACGGCGCGATGCAGTGAAGAAAATTCGATGGCCGTCTGACCGGAGGAAGCAGTCATCACCCATGGGCTCGAAGACTCCAGCAATGTAGTGAATGCCACGTCCGTTCGGACCAGCTGTAGAGAACTTGAACCGGCTGCATCGTCCGTCAGATCGACGGTAGTCGGAAGTTCCCGAGGTGCACCACTCGCCGAGGGGATGCTCAGTGCACTGGTGGGCCGTTTGCCATGTGCTGCAGGTTCCTGGAGGAGGGCGGGGTTGATGTCAAGCTCCCGCAAAATAGACTCAGCAGTCAATTCATCCTGCAAGGACAGATCGATCAGTTCATCGGGTTCCTCTTTGATCTCGAGCAGGTTGTGATAGTCCATAGCGCTCTTTGCATTCACAAGACCAAAAGTCTCGCCGCTGGAGACCACCTCAAGCTCGGGAGCCTTGTGAAGACCTGCGGGAAGGGCCCCAATGTCATCGCCAGTAAGTAGTGCATTCCAAAACTTCGCGACGGTGTCCACCAGTCGAACGTGATGAGAGCTGAATGTTATTTGAAGAAAATCGCCCGTCGTTCGCTGATCGTTCCTGTAGGTGACTCGGATATTCTGCCGCAACACAAAGTCATGGCACAACGTGTGCAGTACGATGATCCTGCTGGCGTGGTTCCGCTGCAGGCTGTTCCACCCTTTGTGGGACCCCTCAATGTGGCTACCATCTGCTCGCACATCCTGACGTGGACGCGTGAGGCATCCTTTGCGCACATGGGTAAGCTGGTCCAAATGAACCTGTTCTATCGCACCACATGGTGGTTAGCAGAACAGGCTATCCACAGAGAAAGGCATCTTACCTTTGCGGCGGCTGCCGTCCACATGCCCTCATGCTTGGCCCACTTCTCGTATACGGCCTCCATCCGTCGTTCTTGCTCGTGCCGATCCCAGTATGTGGCTGGACTGTGTTTGTCTGCTGTCATCTTCAGGATCGCATCAACAATGTCTCTGGCGACTCCCGCCCGCAGAGGATTTTTGGTCCCATCGATGATGCAAATGAGATATCTGGCAATCGCCGCGGCTGAGTTACGCAAGAGATGTGATTGGGTGTGACATTGCCTACCTCATTAGAAAGTGCCACACATCAAGGCCGACGTGAATACTTGGAAATGGCTTGAGAATTGCAGAGCGAGAATGGCAGCAGTTGTCCACTATTGCCATACTGGGATCAGCCACATGGAGGATTTGATGTCATCGCTTCAGACCAGTCAGTGCCTCTTCAATCTCTGCAGTGGACTGACTCTGACAGAAGCGCTGTGTGATTGTGAGATGCAGCCAAGGTGAGAGCGGGCACGATGCGTACCCAAGAAACGATCTCGTTCTTCTCGTTGATCACATTGATGATGCCGCCTTTAAACTCCTTGCTTCGAGTCTTCTTGCTGTCTGTGATGCTTGCCTTTCCCACGGCACGAAAGGTATTGTCCAGGGAAATGGAGATAGCTACCAAAAGGGATGTCGCAGTGAGTGTGCACTGCCACAGAACCCGCGAAGGTGCAAAGTGTGGATCTCACCGGTCAGTGTTCGTGCGTAGTCCTCGGACTCGTGCTGTCGTGTCTGGTCACTAAATTTGGTGTAGATGTCCGTGATCAGGTCATCTGTAATTGAATGGTCACCATAGCCACAAGTCGTGTTCTCGTTTGGCACCAAGAACTGTTGGAGTGCTGGAGGAGGGACTAGGCCACAGCACAACGCCAGAGATTTTGGACGTGGGAAAATGTCAGCGGTTCCCAGATTTTCCACGATTCTCCGTAGGTTATGACGATTGTGAAGCCTCCGAGTAATTCCTACATGCAGAACCTTAGAAAATATAGATTTTCTATCATCATGCTTTCCGAATATCAAGACTTAGACAAAATAAGACTCTTGTCAATTAGCGCCCACTGGCACAGTCACGTTCTGAGTCACGTCGCGCCTTCTCGTGCCGCCACCACCTGACTATATGCACTTCAATCGCCTATATTTCTCTGCGAAAAGGGCTACACAAGTATCTACCAAGTCTTCCCTGGGTGCTCGGGTCTCGGTCTAAAGGACAACACTCTCTGATGTCTACAGCTGTTCGCATACAATGTCACTGTGCTCGCGCTGTATCGTACTTTGGATCGGGCCACTCGGATTCCTTGGGCATGTTGGTACGCTTACGGATGCGCACCTGAAGCTTCTATAACATATGTAAGCCCATGCCTTCGTTACTCAGAACTGCAGACAGACTTACCCCTTTTGCACGACTGGTAGTATGTGTTGACTTCTTCGCTGTAACGGGCATGTCTTTCACAGCGCCATTTTCACCGGCCTCTGCGGAATCATTATCCTCGTACGCCGTCGCATTCATATCCCGCTTAACCGTTACTGAACGACCACGTGCACCGATCAGCTTTTCATCACGAAGAGCTTTTTGCAGTGCACGGAATTTCTTCTTCACGCTCTCCTCAGCATCAGATATGAGAAGATCTCGAATGGGCTTGGCCGCCCCAGGTACGAGTTCTGCGCCTGCAGCTCTGATGCCAAGTCTTGCAGTCCGCCAATGAGCCTGGCCTGTTTATCGAGCCGATCAATTGCGGTCTCGAGGCGCTTTTCGTACGTCTCTGCAACTGTCTTGAAGCTCTCCATCTCCATCCTCAACAGCTCTTTTTCACCCTCCAGAACTTCGATGCGCATCTGGTGATCAGACACCTGCGCCACAAGCATCACCGTCTTCTGTTTCTTTGCATTCTCAGTGCTGTTCGTTTCCGCCATGGCAAGAAAGTGAGGTCCTAGTACCGTGAAGGTTGAAGGCGCATATGAGGCCGAGCAGTGGATGCAGATTCCGATGCTTGGGATGCAGTCTCTCTCTGCGCGCTTCTCGTTCATCGGCTGTACAATGCGAGCGTGCGCGGATATGTGATTATTTCATTAATCTATCCTAATACATCATTTCGGTGCACGCATTACTGCTTTTCATACTGCGGGAGACTGTTATATGGGCGGACAAGGGTAGGGATGGTAAGGAGGAGGCGAGGGAAGGCAGGGTGGCACCCAGCACGGCCGGTGAGAATATGGTAAAATGTGAGCAGAAATGCTCAGTAGAATGATGGAACAATGCTGCAAAAATGTGTAATCGGAGGTAGATTCTCTGCACGGGGTATTTAAGGCACAATGTTGGGGAAATGTTCTAAAATCTGACATTTCTCTAACAATCTGTCGGTGTCAGAATCCGGAGCGTTGTGCTGTGGGCTGTTGTGTCGTTCCAGGCGCCACTTGTAAGCCTGAAGGTAGGCTAGTTTCTGCCTATGATACTCGAGGAGATGGAGTTCTACAAATGCGACAGGTAAGGATCCCTCGAGGCACATCAAACTGACCGGGATGCACACGTACATCTGACATTTTCGGCTAGTCCTGCAGATGTCATTGATGGACGCAGCTCAGTTATCAGATCGAACAGCTCCCGTGTCACAGCACATCGCCTTAGACAGCATGGGATGGCCGCTGTTTCATCGGCAGTAAGTACTTTATCACCCGAATTTGTGACAGGCACATTGTACTCATGCGGAATTTCCCAGTGCTGTCATCTCTCCCAAAACAGGTGGCTCGTTGTGGAAAAACAGTACGTTCCTTGCTCTTCCCCTTCTCACCCGTACTTCTTGGCGCACTCCTGGCATCGTAACTGGAATCCGAGGGCGGTCTCTTCCTAAGAGAGACCATGGACTTCACGATGGCCTGTCATTGTCCAACCTGTCCACTTGACATCGTCCGAGTTGCACTGCGGACATCGCGCAAGCTCAGGAAAATAGAATGGATGGATCACATTCACGGGCTTGAGGTACGCTATTTCTGGAACGATGTTTGGCATGGAATTGCATTTCTTATACTGTTCATATGACGGTGGCAGAAATTGAGGTCCTAAAAGTGGTACCTCTCAGCGCAGTGTTGGTGCGCACTCCTTCGAATTCCCGTGTAGCTTCGTCTCATTGTAGACGAAATTCACATATTCGACGACGTGCGCTTCCCACTCGAGCTGGCCGGTGACTTGTGACTGAGTCTCGTGCTTTCGCTTCCAGGACTTCCAGCGCTTTTCAACCTATCAAACGGGCAACAGTCAGCATGATGGTGTTTGAGCTGTAGTGAGTAAATGCAACTGTTCCTTCCAGCTCTTCTCAAAGCCCTTCTTTTTCTCAGCAGCATTTCTAAGGATCGGAATGATGCTCTCAGGCTCGAAGACAGACATCTGCGGCACTGCGTGGAGGTTTGCTGCAAGAGAGGTTTTAGGGGTACGATGCTCGTTGCTCGAATTTGGGCTCGGTTTCACTTTCCATAGCCGATGTCTCAAGTCCGTGTACCGATTCTGAATGCTTATCTTGGCAAGGGACCTATAATACACTCGAAACACCATACTACTCATACATACAGTAAACATAAACACGGCAGCAACACCGAACATTCCTATTTGAAACTGAAGACATGCTATCCGTAGTGGTGTGCTACACGTGTGTAAGCTACAGCCGTTGTGGTCCAAAGTAATGGCACGCACCATTCCGGCAACAAGCACAGGTTCCGCTCAGTCAAATATCGACCAAATAAATAAGCTCTGCAAGCAAAACACGCCTGCTGTTATATTCACCACAGTGGATCCAGAACAGGACCCGCAGCGGCCGACCATGCAACTCTGCCGTCTCGACCTGCACCAAGTTCCCAGCACAGTCAAACATGGGAATCGCAGGATTAGCAGCCTGAAAACTACGTATGAACTCGCTCAGGTGACAGACCGATGATTACCTACCTGGTTCCAGTGGACTTTCAACTTGACCTTTCCGGTCTCAGGGTCGGCGCGAAGCATTGATGAGACCTCTACAGGACCAGGACCCGGGACTGCAGCCGCCACCGCAGCAACAGCTGTCGGGATCCTGTTCCACTGAATGCACGAAATAAAGTCCGGTCGGGCTTCTATCCAGCACGATGCCGCTAATCGAGATTCCTCAGCATTGGGACCATCATGAATCCCGTCCAAAGTGGCATTGTCTTCATCAGCCGAGATCTGGCCAATCACCTGAAAGATGACTTGGGCATCCTTCAGGGTGAGGTTCGCAGACACCTGTTCCGGTGAGGCGGGAGGCATGCAACAGACAGTACGGTAATAAGTCAGAGGTTCAAAGAAAACCGCGGACAGATCAGGACTGTCCGCTGCTTCCAGCAAGCAGATAGATTGCTGATATGTGTTGAAGAGGTGAGGGGCCATGACCATCGAGCATGCAATGAGGATGAGAGCAAAGAGGAGGAGAGGTGCACCGGCAGCGGCACATTATATAACAAGGGCTGAGCACTTACCAAAAAGAAGTGACAGTACTACTGTCGCATTGCCACTGCAAGGACTCATTCCAGTCGACGACGATGAGCATATATTAAGCCGAGGGCATCACGGCACGCGCGCTCTCTAGTATATCGGACAAGCTTGCCAAAGCTCGAACGAATGTACTTACGCATCAACGATGCACCGGTGCAGGCCCAAATTAGGTAGCTGTGTTGAATCCTCAACCACTCAGCTCTGGGCAAGCAATCCTGAATGCCTGGAGGTATGCCATACATGTATTACAGTGTCAGAAGCAAGAAAGGTAGTTGTACAAAGAGTGTACACATAGATGGTTGAGTAAATTCCGCGCACTGGCGAGGAAAATCCTGGGTGCCTATTTTGACACCGCGGAGGAAAACCCTGGGCGCTTTCCGGCCCGCCTTCAGCAGGGAAAAGCCTTGGAATGACCAATTTTCCCTGTGGCGGACAAACTCCATGGCGCACTAGGTTCTGATGCTTATGCATGAATTACACAAATGCATGCATCACAGTGGTGCTCGAGACATAGTGGTACCGGCCGCTCCCTCATACACTTAGTTGCTGCTCTGCCTCATCACAAAGTCAATCTCACACTGACATCAGTGTTTGTGCCTTAGAAAGAGTGTGATGGAAAACCTCACACTGCAGTGGTCCTCATAGTCCATCATTTCTCTTTGTCTGCATACTTGGACAGCTAAAAAGCTGTCTTCGTCCTCTCCCTAATTTACTATCATCAAGGGATGCATCATTCAGACTCATTCTCAAGCTTTTCTCAGGCCCCTTACCAGACAGGCTGTGGGCAATGGAGTTCACATTGCTCACTATTCTCCTGCAAACTGGGTTCTCATTTGCAGTATGATCATGCTGAAGGACCATGCCGTGAGTGTGCAGGTTGTTGTCATTCAGCCAATGCAAGCTTAACTGTGTGTTCACTCCAGTAATACTTCTCCAAGCATCAGAGAAATGGCAATTTTATCTTATCTGTCTGATTGATCTGGCACCAGACATTTCAGACTCTTTCAGATGCTAAGTCCATCAGATGATGACATCTGAATCCATGAGGTCCCTTTCTCAATTCAGAGATTCAGATGGCTTTCAGGCAGATTCAGATGGATTCCAGACTGATTCAGATGGCTTTCAGGTAGATTGAGATGACTTTCAGGCAGATTCAGGCAAGCCACAAACACATTTGGAGAAAAATGAACATGAATTCAGGGATTAGTACCAGATGCTGTAGCTATGGTATTTGAAGCGATACGAGGTGAGAGAGAATGTACGACGGTGGCCAGAGGGTCTTGATGATTGGGAAGATTGGGTTTCCTGGACCTAAGTTGTTCAATCCTGGAATGATATCTCGCCAACTTTCCGTACACAACAAGACGCGACCACTCCTTCAGTTTAGGTGCTCTGCTGCATAGAGGCAAGTCAGCAGACTGGACTACTGTATACTGGATATGGCACACGTCGTCCACCAGGGTAATTCGACCATCGTTTAATTTCAGAAGACGGGGAGGGAATAGCAACACGAGTAGTAGTAATGAATACAGCTCGCGTCAAAGGAGGGAGAGGGCAGGTTCCTTCAGCTCCTTGGAGGTACATGCGAGACGAGCTAGAGTGCGACGTCTTGAGGGATCAGCGATAATCGTCTCAAGAAAAATTTGCGAGGCATCTGGGCTGCGGAAAAAAAGGAGAAATGACGAAGATTGTGCAGGAAGGGCAGGCGAGAGAGGTGCAGTAGTGAAGAGAATGCTTCATCAATGGAGCGATGAGGGGCAAGGTGTTTCAGGGCGTCGCAGTTTTTCAGCCACAGCGTCACGTGCTTACGTGAGCGCTTTTTCTGAGTCGACGTTCCATCACTTGCTCATCCTCCTGCCATGGCCACCATACATCCCTCACGCCTGGCTCTTGTACCGCACGACCCTAAAGACATTTACCCGTCCAGGCATACTCTTGATCGTGGCCGTCCCCCATCACCCCGATCCAATCGCCGACTTACTCCTTCACCCTTGAGCAGCGAACTCCGAGGATACCGCAGGGACGATTCACGCGAAGATGACAGAGACAGGCGTAGGGACAGGGGAAAAGACAAAGATGCAGACACGCACGGAGAAAGAGATCATGACAGCCGGCGCGACGACGCCAAGCGGGAACGTGCGCGGGCAGACGACTACTTTGACGAGGACGATAGAAGAAGGAAGCGTAGCCGCACTCGCAGTGTCGACAGGGAGCGTGACTACGAGCGTAGTGACAGGCTAGAGGGGAACAGGCCGCGCCGGCCGAGTCCCGTGTACTCGGAGTATCGACGCCCGTCGTCGCCTGGAGAGCGCGAGAGGTCCCCGGTGCCGCAGGCACCGTGGCGACAGCACGAGAATATGTACCCCGGTTACCGAGGCCCACCGCATGGCGGGTACGGTGGAGGTGTAGACTTTTTGGAGAGGTACGTGGTGTGCGCGGCAATGTTGAGGGCTTTGTGTGCTCATATACTTGTCTGCCTAGCCGGAGGAAGCAGCGCGAACAGTCTACGATTTCGATATGGCCAACCTCCCCAAGAGCTCCCACTCGAGTATTGTGAGTGTTAGACTGACAGTCCCTCACTGAACTAGTTTTCATATAACCTTTTCTGTAGATCTAACAGTCCCGACTCAAAACACCGCAAGAAATCTAGTAAGCGACATCGCGACTCTGACGACTCCGACGACTCCGACTCTGATGAGGAGGAGCGGCGACGTCGCGACCGCAAGGAGCGCAAAAAAGCACGGCGAGAGAAGGACATGGACAGGTATAAAGACAAGGACAGGGATAGCCATCGCCACAGACACAAACACAAATCCGAATCTCGAAAATACAGCAACGACTCTGACGAAGAAGATAGGCACAAGCAGAACAGGCATCGAGCTCGAAGCCAAAGCGGGGAAAAGAGCGTGGACAGGCACCGTCAGAGCGAGGCTCGGACAAAGAGCCCTGAGCAGCATCCTCGCACTCCGGATGTGGATGAGGACGAGTGGGTGGAGAAACCAGCGACCGGTTTGCTCGCGGTCTCGCCGCCAGCCAAGACCAACGGCAGCGCCTTGATGCCGCCTCCACCTGTGCCCACGTCCGGATCTGCGTCAATGACTGCGAAACGCACCGGGGAAGACGAGGACTCTGACGACGAAGTTGGGCCCCAGCCTCTTCACAAGGTGACGTCCTCGCGCAAAGTCGACGAGCGGCAGTACGGAGGTGCACTACTACGCGGAGAAGGTAGCGCGATGGCCGCGTTCCTGAAGGACGGCACTGACATGCGTATCCCTCGTCGTGGTGAAATTGGCCTGTCGTCGGACGAGATTGCTTCGTTCGAATCCGTCGGCTACGTCATGAGCGGCAGCAGGCATCGTCGCATGAACGCCGTTCGTATGCGCAAGGAGAACCAGGTTATCAGTGCAGAGGAGAAGCGGGGCATTCTGAAGTTGCAGCAGGAGGAGCGCGAGCGGAGGGAGACGATCTTGCGGGAAGAGTTCCAGGAGCTGGTAACTGAGAAGCTCAAGTCGCAGGGAGCTACCAAGTAATATCACCGATACTGTAGTGACCCTCCGGCAGCCTTTGTGTACCATGTCATCTATTGTAATGCTATAGATTTCGTCGTAATCGTGCAGTTTTAGTATTAGACGTTTTCCGCTGAATTCTGCTGAACGACCAAAATCAGTTGAGCCATCAACTGCACGCAGGAAGGCTGATACCTCGAAGGACATTGTCCGTCTTTGCTCAGAGCTCCTCGCGGGGCCCCTTAGGATCCAATGACACAAGCTCCACGTCAAACACGAGGGCGGAATTTGGGGGAATAACGTTTCCAAATCCACGAGGTCCTGATTATTGCAATTTCAGGGTTGGTGATTTTTCAAAGACACATCTTACTTACCATACGCCATGTTGGGCGGGATGGTAAGCGTACGCTTCTCGTTCGTGCACATGCCCTTCAGACCTTCATCCCAGCCTCGGATTACTTGACCCATGCCAACTGGGTAGACAGGATACATTAGCATGCACAATGTCAGCGAAAGCATGAACAAGATAACACACGAGTCACGGCGAGGGGCTGTTTACGATCGTGACTGACGAGACAAACGCGTTAGTCACCGTAGCAATCGCATTTACTTCGCGTCTATGGCCATTTACCTGGAATCGAACTTGTTGCCGTTCGAGAAGAGGGTTCCGGTCTAATGTACCCTCAGATGAACGCCCTGAAAGATGTAGAGGAACGCGTTTCTATCTCCTATCCTCACTCACGTAGTGCACCTTGAGGGCATCGCCCTTCTGCGCTTGTACAGAGCAGTCCTCTGGCTTGTACGTCGTCTGGATGACCAGATCTTGGGGGGGCTCTGGTGTATCTGCAAGAACGACAAGAGCGAGGAACAACGTAAACAGATAGGCCAGAAACTTCATGGTGTACTGAGATTTCCAAGCCACCACTGGCAGCCACGGTGCGTCACTAGTCACTGGCGTTCAACGGTTAGCAGCCGTGGGAATAATGTCGGTCTATGCCGCTTACTCCACCATCAGGGAAATATTCGCTTAGTCAGAACTGTACAGAGCACAACGTCCGTAACTTTATTTTTCACTTCCTGCCATCGACACCATCGCCGCCCCCGACATTGACGAACGATGGTACGTTGTTGTTCAGACCCAGTATACCTCCAAGAGAGATGTACTGATGATAGTTCTGCGAAATAGCCTTCTCAAAAGACCTTCAGGACGAAGCGCATCCTTGCCAAGGCTGCGCGCCAGAACCGGTATGCTTGCAGTAGTAGTGCACTCTTGCGGTCTTCCTCCTGACTTCTTGCGTGTTAGGCCAATTCCCCAGTGGTTCCGCCTAAAGTCGGATACAAAGATTCAAGTGCGCTAGCCGGAACTCAGCTTGGTATAACCGTGTCTAATGTTACTGTCCTATAGTATAACGCAAAGCGCCGCCACTGGAGACGCACGAAGCTCAACATCTAAGTCTTCCGGACTTTCATCGTCGCCTTTGTTGTACTGGGAGAGAACAGATAGGACTTCACCCGAGACATTCACGCACCGCGCCCACGCACCCATGTATTCCTCCGATATCGGCTTATGGCTTCACCGCTAAAATATTTCCATGTCATGATCCATCTGTGCGTTTAGTGTTTGTGGGACTTCTCATCGACTTGAGCGCATGCGATCAATCTTTGGATGGCTCCTACATGAACTATGTCCTCTCCTTCCTTCTCAGGACTAGTCGTTAATTATGCGCTAGGCGCGGACGTAGTCCCAGATTACCAGGGAGTATTTCTCGATACGTCCCACTTTTTGGCGGAGTGATTTAATTGGCACACTTTTCCTTACTCTGGCCCCCCCTTTCCGTCGGCCCGATTTTCGTTGGCGCTCTTGGTGTTGAATTTGGAAATGCTGCTAAGTTGTAACGTTCTTCACCTATGCGGTGTATTCGCAGGTATGCCAGTAAGTTCGACTGATGCGCTTTGGCTGCGCACATCCAATGCGAACTTGTCTTCCATGACGCGGTGAGAGGGTGTTACCGTTGCAGCTCCAATTCACCTTATGTGAGTAGTAACTTTGGTTCGGTGTGTATTGGGTTGCATTCTGTCATAAGCTGACACGGGTTCAGGAAGGACCTCATATTGACCGCTTGGTCAAAAAAAGATGCACTTTTGCTGCATCGCGGTATGCAGGCCAGGACGGTGAGGTCCGCCAGCTACCACCGCTGGCAGCCCTCAATGCCGCCGTGCATATCACAGGCAGGAGCGCTGGGTGATGTTTGATTGCGACTGGAAAGAGCCAATCGGCATGGTGTTCACTACAGACTTCTCGAAGCTGACCGACCGAGGACCCGGTGCTCACGAGCGACTTTAATAACATGCAATTTTATTTGAAGGCCGACGCATGATTGCTCTGACCAACTTGGGGCCATTTGTCTTCAGAGACGGGGGGGAAATTTTTTGTTTTTGTCACATAGTTTCCGAGGAACAATTCGCCGTGCCTGTAAAGGTCCGCAGTACTGATGCAGCCTCAACGTTGGCGTTCGCGAAGATCAGCTCACATAAAGATTTATTACCGCAGAGACGTTTGATCCAAGCACGCGGGTCAGTTCAATTCCTCCAATCCAAGCAGTGATCACGGACCACATGGCAAGTAGTGAGTGGTTTGGCTTCATTTTCACAAAAACTATAACACAAACTTACCGCAGGCGATAACACCAGCAGATCATTATCTACAATTGGCCAGTACGCACTGCTGCAGCGACGGAGGCTATCAAACGCATGCGCGACATACAGGTCGTGTGCTTCTCCAAATATATGACATTCACTGACTCCTCTTTGATCTGGCCGTTCGCATACACCAGAGCACTGCGCGGTGCCACCGTCACGTCCTCATCTAGTCCGTTATGGACTCCACCCCCGCCGTGAAAACTACAGCCGTTGACATCCATGGGAAACCCGATAACAATGCGATCGTCAACCGGTGGATACATGCTACAGCGACGCAGAAGCTATCAAGCACATGGGCTTTATCCAAATCGTGGGCTCTCTTCGTGCACGTGCACGTAGGATCCATGCTACACTGACTCGGCCCTTTTCATGCTTTGCAGTGCAATGGCGGCCGGGATGTCCATTTCACCTTGCACCATTACAGATTTAATACCCAGGCCCCAGTGCAGGAACACTAACAACTGGGAGAAGCCACTCTCCGAAGATCATAACGGAGCGGAAGCTGTCATGTCCGGATAAAGTTGTATTCTACTTGTGTGTCTTCGAGCATGAGGAGTATAGTATATAAGTTGTCAATGCCCGCCTAGCTCAATCGGATAGAGCGTCAGACTCTTATCGTCTGGCGAGAGACGGTGCCAATCTGAAGGCTGTGGGTTCGACCCCCACGGTGGGCTAGTAGGTTTTTTCGCATCATGTTCTAGATGCGAAGGTGGGCTGGAAGTGCCTGAGAAGTTAGTGTTGGCCTGGAATACGGTTACCTCGGGACCATTGGCAGTGCGCCCGTAGTTGTTCTCTTATTGGCGGTAAAGGACCATCTTTTTGTACGGATAGGTTATTTTTCAACCGAGCGTTGTTTCGCAAGTGCAAAGAGATGTTACATGCTCGATATTTAATTCCATTGACAGGATGACTGGGACGAAGGCGACAGCCTCTGATCCTAACAAGTGCAAACAACGCCTTAACCACGTGCTCGGTATTGCACCGTGTCATGCTATGTGCACCGTGTTATACATCGTATGCAGCCTGGTCTGCGCTGGCACCCTGAGATTTCTAGCCTGAAGAGCTCTCTCCATCTCAACCTCTGTTCCTGTATCAATCAAACATAGCTCGTGATGTCTCTAATAGTGACCATCTTTGTGTTGGTCTTCATAACTGAGCTGATCTCCTGGATCGGCAAATCCGTCTTGTTCGATTTTGTGAGTGTTCGGTGGTATGCCTTACAATACTGACATCTGACACGACGTTTGTTCCCCCTGTGCTGGGCGGGATAGGTGTACGCGCTTTATCTGCGCATATTCTGCTCCGCCGCTGTCGCACGGCAGCGCAAGCTTAAGTCGGAGATATTAGTGGGAAAGAAGGAGCTCCTGCAGACGAGTGCACAGGACCAGTTCGCGAAGTGGGCGAAACTGAGGAGGAGTGTAGACAAGGGGTTGGCTGATCTGGAGAAGCTCAGTAAGTGTCCGCATCCAGCGTCATGTCGCCGACGGAACGTCTGGGTCTCAGGAGAGAGACGCGTGTCATTGCCTCGTCGCCTTTCGCACAATCTTACCTAACATGTCACACTAACGCGATTGCAGACAGCGAGCTCTCCTCGTACCGATCGTCATTTTCGCTGAAGTTCAACGGCGCCATCTGGCTCCTGACGACGGGGCTGCAGTTCTTCGTGAGTTGGTGGTACCGCAAAACAGCAGTATTTTTCCTTCCGCCAGGGTGGTTCGGGCCCGTCACCTGGTGGTTGGCGTTGCCATTCGCCCCCGCAGGCTCTGTGAGCTGCGGGGTTTGGCAGATGGCCTGTAGGCGGGTGATTAAGGTGGGCGAACGTGTGGTGAGAGATCTAGTGATGGGTGAGTGTTTTTCGAAAGTTTCTGAACGTTCCAAGCCACTCTACTGACGCAGTCGCTTGGCAGTAGAATCCGAGTCCGTAACTATTCCGTCGGAACAGCAGAAAGCTACTCCTGCCGGAGAGAAGAGTTCATGACGGGGTGTGCCGTTGGTCCGCGTTTACGGCGGTGTAGTTCTGCGATCGTTATCTCGCACATGGATCTTGAATATTGAATGTTATTCGTTGACTTACCCCTTCAGGACTGTAGTCTAAAAGATAAGATAAGATCTGGATTGTTCCGAAGTCCGTGTCTCCGGACGCAACGCCAGGTTGTCCGCGCGTACATACCACACAATGCAATTCTATTGCAGAGAAATGCACACAAAGACAGTGGAAGGCGATAGCGCAAGCACTAGTGCGCATAGGTGAAATACGACCGGTTATGAAGGAAACCGAGCGAGGGCGTCCGCAATTGCAAGATGGATCGCACGGGACGCCGGAGACGAGACGGAGACGGCGTGCGACGGAATGAGGAAGATCCGGGGTCCTGCAGAGGGCACGTGAATTGAGTGACGTCTACTTTCCATATGTGGAATACGGTATAGCGGAGAGCCGCCACAGTACTTATACTCGTCTAGAACATGTCTCTCTCCTAACTCCATCTTTCCCTTCTCCACCTCTTTCCTCGCACAACCATGCTTGCCGGAGTCCAGATTCACACAAAGGAGGGCCAGCAGGCTCAGTCTGAGATCCTCACCAACGACGCCCTCAAGTTCCTCGCAGCGTTGCACAGGACTTTCGAGTCCACCCGCCAGAGCCTCCTTACCGCTCGCGAGGCTGCTCAGCTTCGTCTCGATGCGGGTGTTTCACTTGACTTCCCGGCAGAGACTGCTCACATTCGTGCGGACCCCTCTTGGCTCTGCGCACCTCCCGCGCCCGGTTTGGAGGATAGGAGAGTCGAGATCACAGGCCCGACGGACAGGAAGATGGTCATCAACGCCCTGAACAGCGGCGCAAAGACCTTCATGGCTGACTTCGAGGGTGAATTTTCATTCAGCCTCGTAGCTGGCGTTAGTTATCCTGACTGACTATCGGTTGTTTTCAGATGCTAATTCGCCTACGTTTGCCAACATGATCAACGGTCAGGTGAACCTGCGCGACGCCATCAGAAGGCAGATTGACTTCGAATCCGGAGGCAAATCGTACAGGCTTGTGGAGAAGCCGGCCGTTCTCATTGTTCGGTACGTTTTCTGTCCGTCCTGTTTCTCCTAGGTTCTCACGTGTTGATTCCCAGTCCTCGTGGATGGCACCTCGACGAGCCCCGTTTAACCATCGACAACGCGCCAATTTCGGGTTCGCTTTTCGACTTTGGTTTGTACTTCTTCCACAATGCCAAGGAGCTTGTCAAGCGCGGCCTCGGCCCATATTTCTACTTGCCCAAAATGGAACACTACCTCGAGGCGCGTCTCTGGAATGACGTTTTCAACTTCTCGCAGTCGTATATTGGCATGCCGCTCGGCACCATCAGGGGCACCGTGCTCATCGAGACTCTCCCCGCCGCGTTCCAGATGGAAGAAATATTGTTCGAGTTGCGGACCCATTCCTCCGGTCTGAACTGTGGTCGGTGAGTGCATATGTGGTTCTTGGACAAATGTGTTATATTGATTTTGGTTTTCGCTTTTAGTTGGGATTACATCTTCAGCTTCATTAAAAGGCGAAGAGCCGATAAGAGCGCTGTCCTCCCGGACCGCAAGGATGTCACCATGGAGTCGCCATTTATGGACGCCTACGTCCGCCTACTCATCCAGACTTGCCATAAGTAGGTTGGCACGCGCTTGCCCTAGACCTTCTCTGACATCCTGTCTGTAGGCGCAAGGTTGCGGCTATGGGCGGCATGTCTGCACAAATCCCGATTAAGAACGACCCGAAGGCGAATGAGATCGCCATGCAAAAGGTCAAGGCGGACAAGCTGCGTGAGGTCACCAACGGCCACGATGGCACGTGGATCGCGCACCCCCTCATTAACCAGATCGCCATGGACATCTTCAACCAGTACATGCTTGGCCCCCACCAGGTATGGTTGTACCCGCTGCATATACGCGATTTGTGCTAACAGGTGGTACAGTACCATGTCCGCCGTGAGGATGTCAAGGTCACCGCGGCCGACCTCCTGAACACCAATGTGTCTGGCCATATCACCGCAGAGGGTATCCGCTCAAATGTCGCCACCTCGCTTGCCTACAGCGCAGCGTGGCTCGGTGGCGGCGGTTGCATTCCCCTCAACTGGCTTATGGAGGACGCCGCGACGGCAGAAATCACCCGTGTGCAGCTCTGGCAGTGGGTCAAGCACAGTTCGCGGATCTCTGACACCGGGGAGACGATCTCCGCCGACCTCATCGACCGCGTCGTGGACGAGGTCGCGCCAACGGTGAAGGGCGCCGGAATCACAGATCAGAACCTCGACATCGTCATCAAGTACCTCAAGAGCCAGATTCGCAAAGAGTGGCCGAGCGACTTCCTGACGAGCGACTTGATGGGCTATCTCGCTGTTGCGGACGGTTGCCCGGCTCAGTGGCAGCGCAGCGTTCTGTGAGCGGTGGCGGTCAGTGTTCCGAATTAGCAGCGTTGTCTCCTTTGTAGCATTATTATCTCCTCGTTGTTACAACGGTATTTCCGGCAGTGTACATTAGTCACGAATCCAAATACTGTCTTCGGCATACGTCGCGAAGTTAGCTTAAATCTTTCAGTTAGAGTGCTTTGAATGACTCAGAGCCTTGTCTCGTTAACCACCCGAAATGCGCCTCTGGAAAGTTGTGTCGGTATCTAGATGCCAGTGCTCTTCATCAGCTAGTACAGGATACTTAGGCTGGAATCAAATCCGGGCTTGCGCTTGGTCAATACTGTCGGTGCCACTCAATTTATTCAGCGGGGCAGCTGAGCGATTTTCCACCTAAGGGAGCCGCACACTGGGACTCGTCGCTCACATCTATGCTCGGACTGTGAGACACAGAGTAAGACAGTTCTATATGGAAGAATTCCTTCGGAGTACATGATACACACATCGTAGATTTGATAGATACATATGCCGCATTGACTTTTAAGATGAGCATGTTGCAACTCCAGAGCCTTGAACAGATCGCACGGCAGAAAAGTCCAGCACGGTCAGTTCGGAAGGTACTCTGCTCCTTCGCGGAAGACCCCTTACTCAAACTCTTCGTCCTTCGCAAGAGTGGTATCCAGGTTAGTTTGGGAGCGTTTCCGTTTCCTCAATACGTGGGCCCCGCGATCATTTGAAGGTTTCGCCTCCTCCTTCCCCTTCCCCTTCCTTTTTGGTTCTGTTTTGGTGATGCGGTTCTCCAAAAATCCCGGATACTTCTCTGCGAGCTCCCGCTGAAGCTCTTCATCGTAGGCGATACATTTCATGCACCACAGTGCTATAATCTGTGCGTGCAGGTAGGTGAGAAACAAGTAGAGTAACGATAGCGATTCAAGCCCACCAGATTTCCGGATTCGAATGCAGCCATGATATCATCAGGATCCTGTATGAATTTATTCTTTCCGGCGAGCGCCTTCTGCAGCTCCTGGGCAGTCGGCTCGCGGCGATACTTTCGAAGGAGGTGAAGACGAGCCCGTACGTCCTTGTCTTGACTGCGCTTCGCGATCAGAGACGCGAAGGCATTCTGCATCTATCGTTAAATTTCAGCCCAAGCCCGCTTGCACCACTCCAGTACTTTACGAACCTTCTTGGGCATATTCCTGAATTCCTCCGGCGAGAGCGGCTTGTCTGACTGGGATAACTTGTAATCGCCCATGTACTGGAATCGGTTTACTCCCCATCGCACAAACACCTTGCTTACAGCAGCCCAGCCTTCATCCCCAACTGCGCGAGTAACTCTACACAGAAGACCCGGGTGACCTGGCTCTCTCGGAAGATGGGGGTTCATGTCGAGTGTCGGGTACAAAAAGTCTTTGAACCCCTTCGGGTGCTTTGGTACGACAGACGGGCGCAGCCCGAGTATTGGTCCGCCAAAGACTTTCGAGGTGAAGGTCCGAGAAAACATGACAGACCGGATAGCGGAGTCAAGAGTAACTGGGAAGGGGTCCAGCCCGATAGGATGGAGACGGTCGGCGATTGCGTCTTCGTTCAGGATATCCTCGCCGATCTCGACCTTCAGCTGTTGTACCAGGAACATGAGTTAGAAGGTCAAAGTAGGGCATATTTGGCGGCGCACCTCTTGCTTGACCTCCCGACGAATATTCTCCTTCCGTTGAGGAGCCTTGCTTGAGGCGAGTGACTTTTTCCTATCTCGTGCTTGTACTGTAGCTTGAGACGAAGCGTTGGGTCTATTGGATCGCGTTGGTGGGAGGACGACTTCTACGATCAGTTTCGGCTTCTTCCTCGGTGGCTTGACATCTTCTGATTTTAAGTCCAACGGATTGTCCAACCACTCTAATGGAAGTGCGATAGGCGATGGAGATATCTTCTTGACAATATTTAAGGTCCCTGGTTGTGCGTGGTCATCCGATCGGTCTGCATCCGAAGTTCTATGAAGATCTCTTGAGGAACCCTGCACAAATTCCTGGCAGTGCTTGTCATTGGAGAATTTGATGTCATCGACAGAAATTACCACTAGCACTCACGGGAACATCCCGATACTGAGTGTGGACAGCTTTCGTCGAGTCTGGAAAACTGAGGGCGTCCTGCGAGATGTCGTAGGCAAAACAACGTGCAATGCCCGATACGACTGACCTCACCAGGAACGAACTCGATATCATGCGATTTGGAATCTAGCTCTTCCAGATTAATCTCCGGTATCGTGCGCCGGTCAGAACTCAGGATAGGTTCGCACTGACATGACGAGGTAGCTTACCTGACTTGGTGAGATAATTGTATGCTCATGTTCCCGCTCAACAACTCGTGGGGTGTCCGAGGCATTGTCTGGTCCGTTAGCCTCATCTATATCTTTATCGGGATTTTCTGTGTCAACGAACTGCTGAACGGTTTGTCTCAACGCAACAAGCTCGTGTCCATGCTGTTGAACAAGGGCAACTAGCTCCTCGAATTCGCCTGTGGCGTGCCAGTGCTGTGCGGGTGCTGCTATCGCAACCGCAGGCCCAGAGTCGGCACTGCGAGTCGTATTTGTCGAAAGTTGCATGGTCTGGCGCAAGGCGGCAAGCTCGACAGCCTGTGCGCGTACAATCTCGTGCAGCTCCTCCACTCGCTCATTCACATCGACCATCGGCCAGAGACATCAGCACAGAAGATGGAAATAGAGTGACTGTGCTGCCCGAACACAGAGTGAAGCGGTATGTAGTGCTCAGTGGCGGCCCCGCGTAGTCTCCCGAGGGCAGATGGTAGACACTCTGCTTCAACCTCGTACCTCGGATATCCGTGTCTGACGTCTGCTTTCTATTACGGGCTCTTACTAGGAGGTCTTGATTGCCGAACCGGCACATCACGTGCTGTCACAACGCGTCTGTAAATCGCGCCGAACGCGTCGCGTTTCGAGCGCAAGAAGCACCCATTGTCCTGTGCTGCATGTGTATACAATACTTTCCAACGGGTATATTAATTGAGATTGATTTGGGAGACTTTGCAGTCTTATCTGCTTTGTACTGGTCCAAGAGGGCATTACATGTTTGAATCTCGTAGGAATCCCTCTATTCTCTGTGCTCCGCGCCCAAGCAAAATTCACCATTCCATCACCCATCCATTGTAGCACCTCATCTCACCTGCGATGTGCCCAAACCAGGGTGGAGAGGATCTTCAGGACTTTCGTGAATTTCGGCGGATTTACAGCGCCACCTGCATCACGTGGTATCACAAAGGTTTAAGATTCCGCATTAGAAAGAACTACCAAACTTTAGGCTCCGCCTAAATTGTCCCACCTCTCGACAAGGAGGCGCGTTAGAAAGCAGACTAGCCCCGCGCGGGCCCGCCTGATCTCCCCTCTGCCGCTGCGTCACGGTTGCGGTCACGGTGTGATCGCGGCGTTGTTGAGCTTTGTGTACGCGCCGATCTTGCTCTCATCCACCATCTCTTGAGCAGCGAGTTGGAGCTCACAAGAAGCTGCTTGCTGTTCATCGCTGGGATATTTGGGGAGTGTGCCATGGCCGCCATTCGTGAACTTTTAATTGTTGGTCTAGGGAATCTTCCGTATCCTGCTACAAGACACAGGTGAATAGATCAGTGCTGTAGCTCGACGCTTGTGCTAAGGATCGTGCTCATGGAGGTATAAGCGTAGGGCATCTCATTCTTGATGCTCTGGCCTCTTCCAACGGCATGTCTCTGCGGCTGGACCGAGTCGTTGGAGGCTTTGTGGCAAGTAAATCGGACGTCCCGTTCGGTAAAATTACGGTCAGCCTTACGCTGTTCAAGCCCAGTGAGTAATTCTACCCGTATGTTGGGCGTCTGTCCGTAAAGGGATGTATTACATGCAGATGCCTTTATGAATATTTCTGGACGATCCGTCGCAAATGCACTGCGCAAAACCGTCGTGTCGCCCTCAAATCTGATTGTAATACATGACGATCTGTTGCGCAAACCATCGACTCTATCCCACAAATTCGGAGGCTCAGCAAATGGTCACAACGGAGTGAAGAGCATCATCGCCGGTCTTGGCGGGGAAACCGGGTTCCATCGTCTAAGGATTGGAATTGGACGTGAGGGGGATGCCGCTGAGTATGTTCTTGACCGGCTTCCGTTAGACGAGCGTCTTTTCTGGAGTAAAGGAGGTGAAGGTTTCGAGCTCGTCTGTGGAGAGATCGCGAAGATTGCCTCGCGGAAAGGAAATGGTCTGCGATAGCGCCAGAAAACTTGAAGGTCCCGGATGGTTGCTCTTAATACCACCCTGGTCGTGTACGCATATACCCCATTCATCACCACTGCATATGGCACGATGCGTGACCATCGACCATCAGTGAGTATGTGATCTCGAAGTCTCTCTAGTCGTTTCGCGTACCAGTACTCAAGTCGTCTTGGCTCCACAGGTCATCGCCCTTCAGGTGGCGGAAACAGAAAACAGTAGATAGCGATAAACCAAGCAATGGCAAATCATAGCGAAATACAACCAACGAACACGAGTAAAGACAATCAGGACAATGATACAGATCAGTAGAAGACGTAGTCAATAAATCATCAAAAGTCGTCAACAACCAAGCTATGATCTGGAAGGCGCCTCCGCGGGCTTCGCTGGAGGAGTGATAATGAGTACACCATCATTGCCAAGGGCAGGCTTCGCCTCTATGTGGTAGCTGGGCACCGTCAGCATTTGGCGCGATGAGCAAGTCTGGGAATGTGACTCACTCTTGCATCGCGCCGATGATTGCACGTCTCAGAACTCCCTTGGGGTTGACCCCCTGTGAGTGAATCCCCTTGCCGGTAATGATGCGCAACTCGGTTGCGCCAGACATCATGGCGTCGTATAATGCTTTCTCGACTTTCTCGATAGCCTCGGGAACATGGAGGCGATGTACATCAACTTCATGAGGCTCGGGATTGAGGTTATGCGCTACGGGAACATTTAGCTTACAAGAGATACTCGAATAACTGGATGTGCATACCCTTGTAATACCGACGAGCGGCCTTCGCGTGCAACTGCTTTGCATTCTCCTCCGCCTCCTTAATCTCGACGTTCAGCTGAAATGCTTTCCAATACTGGTGATTCCTCCGCGCTTCACTGCATTCTCGACGAAGCCTCGCCCGCAATACCTCTTCTTCAGCGGCCTGTTTGCGAAGTTCGTCAGCTTTCGCGACGATGATGCTCTTTGAATGCCCCGATATGACGCTTTCGGCAGCCGTTTTTTCGGATACATTATCTGGACTGTCGTCCGCCTGCGCCTGGGTATACGAAGGCGGAGGACCTCTATCGGCATCGTCCAACGCAGTCGAGGGTTCGGCCGCAGCCATCTCTCCGTCCTCTGGACCGGGAATGATGGGCATCTCAGCCAGCGGCGGCTGGATGGCAGGGCTGGGTTGCGGATCAATAATATCGGGTTGGGGAAACGTGATCGTAGACCCTTCTCCGCTGGTATCGGGTTCTTCTGGCACGGGGCGGAGGCGGATGGGTATAGGAGGGACGTCAGAGAGTTCAGTGGGGTTAGACATGTAGGGTTGTCCCTTGCTGTCGGCATCACCATAAATCGTGACGGGAGGGAGCTGCTCCTGCGATACATGGGGGGGAGAAGACGCTGGAGTGGTTAGCCCAGAGTAATTAGGTCGCGGACTGTGTACGAGGATTTTCGGGGACCCGTGCTCGTTCGGGGTGGTGAGACCAGATGCATCGGATGCAGACGCTCGAGGACGGACTGGAGGGAATTCGTCTCCCGAGGTATCCGGAATGAGAGGAATATATTCCAGCTCTTCTGAAGGTGTCCGCGATTGCAGCTGAGGCGGAAAAGGAGGCTGCTGCTGCGGTAATTGTAAAGGTTGTTGCTGCTGCGGTAATTGTAGAGGTTGTTGCTGGTGCTGTCGCTGTGGTAGTGATTGTTGCTGCTCACGGGGTAGTAGCTGCTCAGGACCCTGAGGTGACTGCAACTGGGGTGGCGGTTGCTGAGGACTTTGAGGCGATGATGGCTGGGGTGGTAGTTGCTGCTGCCTCTGAAGCTGAAGCTGCTGCAGCCGTTCTTGTCGTATACGCTGCTGCTCTTGCCGTAATTGCTGCTGTTGCAGCACGATACGCTGCCTGGAGACATCGCTCACCGCTTCAGAGGAATCGGAGAATGCACCCGGAATGGGATGTGTACTTGGGCGACGGAAAGAGGGAGATGGAGGATCGCGCGAGCGCAATGAAGCCTGTGAATCCTGCGGGGACCGGGGGCTGCGTGCAGTGTTCGACGACACCGTCGAATTAGTTGGAATGTGAAGAAACTGGACGCGAGATACGGAGTTCCCTGTGGGCACTTTGTTGCTGCTACTGGAGATATAGAACGGTGAAGCATGCCGGATGCGACGCCAGAGCCTCCGCACCCGTTTATCGGCCCACATGTCGACGCCGAGATCGGAGAGCAGCATCCCCAGTCCGGTCCACAGAATGACAATCGTCATCCTCGTCAGGCTTTCCGTAACTAGGAGATCGATGAAGAGCCGGAAGCCAAAAGCGACATACGGGTCGAATGATGAAGGAAATTTCGCCAAAAAATGGTGCAGCACGGCTCCCTCCCACAAGCCAACGAGCGACCCATTGACCCTGTGGTTATGGTGCGTGATAGAGTCGATGACTGCGCGGAGAGCGAGACCAACGCCAATGGCGAAGAGGTTGTCCATCTATCAGCATGCCCGAGGCTGGAGAACGTCGGAGAAGGTGAAGAAAGTGCGTCGACACGTGGTCGGCCATACGGGACGCAAATGGCGGAACTTGGTGACCTGCCAAAACGAGACGACCTCTATTGTTCTGCTGGGGGTATCACAGTAAAATTGTAATAGCACAAAATACGGTACGATATATAATGCGGCACACAAGCCCACCCTGATCACCTCCCACCTCGCAGATAGACCGACCACTTGCCGTCATACGAAATCTACCACTTCCACCTTACCCGTCCTGTCTCCGATCGCAAGTCGCCCTACTGTGTCTTCCAGGGCCGTCGACACGATCATGTACTTCTTCCAGATGATCTCGCTCATGTCGCATCTGCGGGAATATAATGTGCCCTGGCACAAGTTCAGGTCGCTCCCAGGCTGGCCGTACTGCAGCTTGATCGCGTCGTCCTTCCCCTCCCCTTCGCTGGACAGATGGAAGCCCATCAGACAGCGCGCAGGGTACTCGGAGTGCCGCGATGTGACGTTCCACGTTTGAATCCAATACCCCTTCCCACTAGACCCGGCATTCAGTTTGCAGCAGGACGGCGGTACGACGAGCACGCGAGTGGACCCTGTCGGGAAGACGCACGGAACGCGGAAGACCTCCTTCGGTTCCGACGGCTCGGTCTGCACAGTCTTTGACTGGGGAGCGGGAAGCAGGTCAAACTGTTGGATGGTATCGAGTCCGTCTTCGGAACAGCGAATGAGAATCGTAACAAGCTCGTTCGGCCATTCCACTTCGTCGTCGCCACTGGCGGCCGCTGAACTTCTCGCGATGATTACGGCATCTTTGGCAGGGAACTGCGTCAAGACACAAGCGGAAATGTCCTTTGCGGGGCCATACACCGTACGTTTACCGTTCCAGATGGGGGAATAGACGAGCTGGTACTCGCGTTCGCGGACAATGAGCATGTAGCGGTTAATGGGCTTGACAACTAGGACTTTATTGCTCTCCTAATTCACGGTTCGTTCAGCACTGGCACAGGTAAGTGATCAATGGGAGGAGCAGCTTACGTCGCCTACAAGTGGGTAGACTTCTCTCTCCGGAATGATTTGGACATCCAACGGAGACGTGCGGAACCAAACCACCAAAGGGTCGCCAAATATAACGTAGTCGCCATCCATAACGTGCAAAGGAAGTACGCTGTTGCGATGTCCCCGGATTCTGTTGCGCACCGTGAAATGTCCATGAAATTTGTCGAGAGACAACGTGGTAAGTTCTACCTCGCCAGGCCTACAAAAAGTGCTGTAGAAAACCTGGTGGATCGATCGTAGAAAATGTGAGTCTTACCCAGTGGAGACTTCGGAGACAAAGGTGAGTACCGCCTCATTCTTGGGATCTTCGTTCACAACTGCCTGTTCAACCCTGCTACTGCTCACCCATTCCGCAACCCTATATGCCCCAGACCCATCCAGAGGAACCTCCCAGCACGTAATCACACGGCCGACCACGGTTACGAGGAATTCGCCGTTGCGACCTGGAAGAAAGAATACATGCTTGACCGTTGTCTTCAGGTCCTGCGGTAATTCGTCTGGCAAGCACCTCTCCGCATGGAACTCAATCGAATGTCTAGGTTTGGGCTGGGGAGAGCACCAGTTGTCGTGGAACTTGGCAGCATGGACAGCACGGGCTTCGAGGTGCTCAGCGGAGAACACCCTCAGATCCACGTCTGCAGCAGGCACAGGAAGACCCTTGGCTATCACATGGCGTTTCATGGCATCGTACCAGACCCAGCGGAGTTTCGTCATGGAGTAGAAGCGCTTGGAAGTCTAGTCCACTCGGTTTAGTGTGTGTAAGCGGCTTCCACCTGGCTATACTGACCTTTCGCAGGGCCAAAATATCTTTCAACTCGACATAGCTAATAATCAGGAGAAGAAGGTCATCCGGTAGTGAATATATGGAGGTCCGCGTGAAGGTGCAGGAGAGGTATGTGTCGAAATCGGCTAGAGAGCTTTGGTAACGGAGAGTCAGAAGAGCTGGACAGGAAACTGTTGCGAGGGTCATCGACATATTGGAGTGCACTAGTGGCGGGATAAGGGATAACTACTCGGGGGGCACCAGCACCTGAGGAGTTAAAGAACGAAGTTGAACTTGAAGTGAAACCCGAGGAGAACAAGGGTACTCCCTAAAGCGGGATGCCAGCCACATGAGATCCACGCGCACGTGATGGCGATGTGTTGCTTTGTTCTTGATCTCACTCTCAGTACTCAGTACTAGTGTTGTCTACTTCTGAGCTAAACGTTATTCTCAATCCTCGCACCAACCCTCGAATTGGCTTTCGATCGAACAAACGGGCTAGATTTATGGAGCAAAAAGAAGTATATATTCTGGTGCACCCGGACGAACACAGACCAGTGCATCCATGTTTTTTTCGAACTCACGTTCGCCACTATCCAGAGATGGGTGGGTTAGCTCTTTCTGAACCCCTTTCTATACTGAAGGTGCGCGACATTGTCATTAATATTGAACCTCCCATTATGGATCTACATCCCCGAGCTACCGGTGTACATTCCGATTTGAAGCACTTTAATCGCGTTTTCTCAGATAACTCGATTGCATCAAAATATCGGACATCATTGTTGGTTCGGGAGATCAGGCGCGTCGCTGACAGTGTCCAGGATTTCCGGCGGTCAAGCGCGGTTTGATCAAGGGTTATGAGACCCGACATCTCCCAGTTTGAACCCTGTCTATACTTCTCATATTTCCAGGTGCCTTGTGGGATCTCATGCAACACTGTCATTTGTAGCAGCTATTGCAACATCAGACCCTCCTGGCCATATGTCAACATCTGTTGCGCTTGCGTGCCGCTGGGATCTAGTGTCTTTAAGCGCCTCTGCCGCATACCTTTCAGTAGCGACAGCGCTACTGAGACGGAGGACGAATGAATGCCATCCTATGCCATCGCGCGTGGCCCCATATTGTCTCCGCTCCTTTTCTCTGTTGGACGTTGAGTAGTTGAAAGCATATGAAGCATTTCGTGTAGACAGGTCTGTAAAGACCAATAGTGTTTATTTCAGTGGTCTTCCGTTTGAGTCGTACCTCAGAAATCAGGCTTCCTTTGGGGATTCGTCAGGAGCACACGACTGTAATACAACGTCGTATTATGTAGTGGTATTTATCACGCAGACAGCTGTCTCGTCGTACAGAGAGCGCATCGTTCAATGGAATAAGCACCAGTAAGTGCTGGCAGTGGCTACAGTTTTCGTTCCAATCATATCATAGGTGGAGTGTTGCGTGGCCTACCCAGCTTGTCAGGTTAAGAAAATCCACAAAGACGATCCACAAAATCCTTTGGAAAACAACATGTAATCTAAAAGTTACAACAAGGGTCAGAATACAACACAACGTAAATGCTCAGAACAGGTAGTTATGGGCGGACAGAAGGGATCACATCAACTTCGCCTCCTTTTTTGCCAGTTGCACTTGTGCGAGCCGGTGGCTTCGCAGGGTCATGTTAGTGGTCTGCGCACCCTTCTTGGTGCTGGGTGCCGCAGGGGCCGCAGGCGCAGGAGCAGTCTGGGAAAGGGATATCCGTGTTTCGTCGGACGCGAAACCAGGAATTCGGATGTTGTGGTTCCGTTCTGTTGAATGTCATGTTAAATCGAGAAGACACAGGAAGGAGGAACCTAGAGGTTTACCCAGATGCAGCTGGAGGTCCTTGACCTCGAGTGTGTCGCCACCGCGATGTTTCGCAAGACGGCAACCAAAGTTTGTCACAGAGTCAATGAATTCGTCGGCAATGTCCAATAAGAGCTGAAGTAGAGAATCACTTAAAGAGAACAGCAAACGAAATACAAATCTATCGTACATCTTCCACCTCAGGCTCAATCTTGACGTTGGGATCAATACTCGATACCAAGTCTTGTATCGATCTCCGCATACTCTGGTCGCCTGGAGTAGTCTTCCTCCGCGTGCGACTGTCGTCCAGCAAGAGCGATGCATCATCAGGTGGCCTCGCGACCTGTGCCGGCGTTCCTGTCCCATATGAGCAACGGCATAGCAGTCAAGGATTGGATCAATGCTCACCGGGCACCCTGCCACCTGGGATGCCACCCGTCAAAGTGGGTCGGCCTTGCTGAGCTGATTGCCAAGCCACAGGACCTGGATTGGTGATGCTGGGCGTCGAACTGATAGGGTAGGTGGACTCGTTTGAAGGAGTAGCGCTCAAGAACGGGCTCGGGTTCATTGTCTTTAACGGAGAAGGGGCAGCGGTAGTGTTGGTGTTTGTGGCCTAAGAGAACACTTTCAACTTAACGACACCTACAAATGCAAACAAACGGGATACTTACCTGCAAAGGGGCCGATGCTGCAGCGGCTGCGCCACTCGTCGTATTGGGACTGATACTGGCTTTATGCTTGTCCGCATATTCTCTCAACTGCAACACGAGGCCAACCAATTCAGCATCACTACTTCGGCCATATGGTGGTAGGAGCACGCGCGTACCTGCCTGACTTGCGCTGCATTGAGCTTGCCTTGCTTTGCGAGCTCGCCGAGCTGACCCATGTTCTGAAGCAGTAGCTGGGCGATGCGGTCGGTTGAAACGGGATCGCCATTCTGCATCTTGAATGCATTCCCAAGAGCGGTGATGATGTTGTTAGTGGAATTCGAGTTGGGAGTTGGGTTAGGTACCGGTGTAGAGGTCATGCTTGCTTGCTCAGTTGTGCCAAGTTCGAGAATGAAGCACAGCGACATCCTTGACGTGCAATGGATTGTTCATGTAATACATCCATTTCCCAAGGCTTATAGAGGGTCGGTGGCGTAGTTGGTTATCGCATCTGTCTAACATCACAGTCAGTTGTGCGGTCTCACAGAAGGTCCTCAGTTCGAACCTGGGCCGACTCATTATTTTTGGCCGTTTGATTATCTCGTTTGGCAGGATTGTTTACTTGTCCTGACTTCTATTCCGCCCCTGTTTTTGGTTACTGTGGGACTTCTGTTCATCCTTGTTGGCCGCTGCAGTTTTGCTAGTGCAGTCGTCAGGAAGTGGCCTGTAGTAAGTACCAATGACGCCCTTCAGTGACTCCTCTCAATTCTTCCTGGCATACCAGATGACTTGTGTTCACGATGTCCGCCACCGATTTAATCCAGTCATATGTTACGGAGTTAGAGAAGTATAGGGAACTTGTGCAAATTCTAGGAAAACGTCTTGACATCCAAGAGGAGGTCATCAGATCTCAAGCCGCACGACTGGAGGCTTTGGAGAGCACTGTTCAGCGGCCGAGGGACCCCCACAGAACGCTCTCTGGATGTGCAGAGGTTCAGCATGCGGTATGTCACTACAAATCATCTCATATCAACTATCTTGACGCTGAGAGAACCTTCCGAGGGAAGGCAACCCCTGTTGAAGCCGGTTCCTCGACAGAAGGTTCTCAACGTGATGTTACTGGACGACTCAGTACCATGTCCTCACTTCCACATACTGTCGTTGCCAGCTCTCAGACAGATGCGAGTAATTCTAACTGGACACGTATTGCCAATATTTCTGGAACAACACCCGACGGCCGGCCAAAAGTCGAAGATACTATGTCTGATGTGTCTCCTGTAAGTAGAGGAATCCTACTGAAAACTGCTGGTATCACTTGAACATCTTATCCTGCAAAGGCGGCCGTCAAATCTGAACAACCCATCAAACCTGTCGGTGAAGAGATCGCAAACGACCTGCTTATTGTTGACGACCAACTGACACACGTTTCCACAAGTCACAGTGCTGAGGTGGAGATGCATCGTATGCATTCCCCATCTCAGGTCATGGCTAGTAAAGCAGATTCGGGAAGTCAAGATAATCCGCTTGTTATTGATGATGACGAGATGAAGTCATCTGTAACGTTGACTGGCGAAGTGGACCAAGATATAGCTCCTTCCATGCAGAATGCCGTGGAGGATGTCGTAGAAGCAAGCCCTACTTCAGTTATTCCAGGAAAGATTGGAGGGGATACCATTGTCATTCATAAGCAGGGTGACACATCTGCAAGCTTCACTGCTGATGCAGGTCATGATGGCGGCACAGAGCCTTCTGCGCAGAGCATCAGTGCGCATCGCCTCACCGGCTTGGTTACTCAGGCTCCCCAAGACCCACGACAAACGCTCAAGAGAAAGGCAAAGCATACAACTGAGGCGGCTGGACCTTCTGGCCTCAAGAAACGACGACATCTGATCCTTGAAGTGTTGGTCCCTCCATCGAAATGGTACTGTCGAGTATGCAGCCTCATTCATCCCCCACCTGTCTGCCGCCAGCCCTCTGCAGCATTATCCTATGTCGACCCGAAAGATTGGCACATGTCGACTACTCTTGTAGGCTCCAGTGGTGCTGAGGTGTGCGAAGGTGGAACATGCACAGAAGCAGCCAGTGAAGTCGATCTAGATGACATATTCAGTGGAGAATTGACCGACTACAGCTACGATGATGAAGAGGAAGATGATCCAAATGATCCTCCTTACGATCCTCACGGAGATGCTGAAGCAGATGCTGATTATGAAGACAAGTATGCACCTCCTGAAGATGCATTTGATCTGCCGAGGGTTAGTATCTTGCCTTTGCGATAGAGACATCCATTTACTGATTGAGTTTCGTAGGCATCTGGCAGTTCTAGTGTGAAGGCTGAAGTCAAGACTGATATCAAACCTAATGTGGGACCACCATTCCTGGCGGAGGATATTGTCCGAGGTCGTATGCCCTCCGACGAGTTCGAGTCCTTCCCCGTGAATCTAGATGCAGAGACTCGCTCTGTCGTGGTCAGTCGCAAACTCATGTCTTCAAAGTACGGCGGATCCGGGCGATCTATGTGCCCCACTATTGGCAAGAAATACAAGCATGGATACAATCTCATGTATCCCACCCTAGCAATGAACCCCCATGCACCTGTAGAGCCGGGACAGCCAGGACTTCTATGCAGGGTTAGGAAGAAGCCGCAGTGGAAACCAGGAAACCAAAAAGTGCTCGTACGCTTGCAGCCTAATGCCTACCGGTACGTCGGCGAGTATGAGATGTCCCCCGCCGCGCCACTATCTACTCAGGAGTTCAACAACCTGCCGCTGAAGGTACGTTGAATAACTTGTTTCGTTCTCCGTTTATGATGATCCATGCTCTTCCCAGGCCAAGACAAGGTGGAGCAAGGTGATATTGACGCGAAAAACCGACAGAGACGTAAGATTTCGCATCATCTATCGACGTGAGTATGGAGGCCGTGAGCCGACGACGCGAGAAGTGGGCAAAGCTCTCAAGGACGTGAATGAGGAATATAAGGAGCTCACGGTCGATGAAATTTTAAATGTCTTCGAGGTCGGACTTGAGGTCTGTCGGTGTTCCTGCGTTGTCGTCGTTGATTTTTTCAATTTCTGCATTCACAGACAGTAATCATATGGCGCATGAAGTGTGTTGGATACGATGAGCGTTTCCAGCGAGAGCTGGCTGCACACGTCGCTTGCGCGGTACTGACGGGGGGTACCGATCCTGCCGCGGAGAAGCTGAAGAAGAAGGGATCATCCAAGTCAATACCTCCACAGCCTCAGTCTTCTAGCCGCAGGAAGAAAGTGGTCCGGGTGGAGGACGATGATGTATATGCATCGGGCCCGGAAGAAATGCAGAACGAATTGCCCGCTTGTTCGGCCCGCCGGAGTGCTCACATGAAGTCGAAGAGTCACTACCTGCTACCAAACCCTCCGCAGGACGTTGATGCAATGTTGCTTGAGACTATCGCATAGTGGCACTTAAACGGCCAATTGTTAGGTGCGGCCGCGGAGCGTGTTGGATTATCTATACCATAATTTCTTGATTTACGTTGTTTTACTCGCTGTACCGCCTTAGATGCCTTCCAGCACACCCCGACTATGTCTCGTAAAGACAGCCCGTAGCGATAAACTAGTCTACCTAGCCCAAAGAACAAAATAGTGGGCAAGTTCACCACAGCCAACACGGCGCAGCATGTCAACGGGTCAGTGCATAGCGCACATAGCGCCGATGCCGCCCTTGAGCTGCGCCATCCCGTGCTTGTGCTGGCTGATCGCGAGCACAATGAAGACATGCCAGATCGCGTGTGAGCCGCCGCCGACCCAGTCGAGCCAGTGCGCCTGCGCCGCGCGCACGAAATAGCGCTCGGGAAAGTGCGACGCGTAGAAGACGAGCCCAATCACGTACGAGATGAACGAGGGTACGACAGGATCTGTATGATGATCGCTTCAGCGAACAGAGTGATGTGACGACAGGGTGGTGTACTGACCGATGAAGGCAAACATCTCGCTAGCGGAATGTTGTTGGGCGAGGCATGCGAGCGGTGCAACACTGGCAAGCGCTAGGGCAACGAAGAAGACGATGCGGTGGCTCTGCAAGGAGAAGCGTAAGACTGAGGGAGCGGGAAATTGCATGGAACTTACCCTGTACTCTATCATGTTGAACCACTCCATGAACGGAAGAATACTCCCCGAGAGACCTATGGCTAAGCAAAGCGCAAGGAACAGGTTGCGCACGGTCGGGCTACACTGGAAACCGTAGTATACGATGGTGCCAACGCTGGCGCTAATCAACCTAAGAGCAAGCATGATTATCCGACACCAAACGAGGTTAGGCGCGATGCGCAACACGTACCAGCCGATGCCGACATAGTCGATGCGCGCACAGATATCCATGCCTTGAAAGTGCGCACAGCCCGCCATCGTGTGCCAGAGTGAACTCGTGAAAAGGCACAGGAGAGCGAATGAGGTGAACGCTAGCACGGGAGTCTCGAGGCGCCCAGTGGAGAACGGGTAGAGGGTGAACAAGAAAGCCAAGAAGGGTATAAAGTGCGTGTGGATATTCACTGCGCGTACACAGAGGTCAGCTAGTACGCAATAACAGTGTCGAATGGCATACAGGTCTCGTTATGCAAAGTGAAAACGGAGAGAATAAGGCGAGGCCAATCATGCAGAGGAATAAATCTAGATTGAAAATCAATCTATGGCGTAACATTAGAAATTATGGATATACACACCGGTAACCGCCCTTAACGAACGGGTTGTTGCGCCATGGTTCAGGAAGGTCGACATAGTCTATCAAACGCGTGCCACCTAGAGACTGCTTCATAGCGCGGGCCATGTCTCTTGCAGCCTTTTCCAACTCTCCCTCGCGCAAATCTGACGAGATTTCAGATATGATCTCACCAATTCTCCTGGTGTAAGGGAACTCCATGGAGGACAGATGTGTCTGGAGGGATTGCAGACGCTCCGGAAGCATTGGAATGTATTTGTGGTAGTCTATATCAGAAATGCGAGAGCGAACGTCCTCGAGTCGCAAGCACATCTCGGAGATGTCGAAGTCCGGCAGCTCTGGCAGGTGCGCACGCATGTCATCCAGGCTTGGAACGTCTGGTATGCGTGACTTGACGAAGCTCTCGACAGTAGGAGTAACAGAGTCGAGATGAAAGTCCGGAAGGTAGGAGCAGATATCCTTCCGTATCATGCGGAGCATCTCCAAACCGTCCCTGGCCCACGCCCTCGCTTCCTCCACAGTCTTTTCTCCCTTTGCTCTGAGGGGTTCGGGTGAGATTGGTGAGTCGAGAAGGGCAAGGCTCGTCTCGAGATCGGCGAGATACGAGAGTAATTGGAGGCGCAGAGAGACGAAAGCGGGCGTCAGGGAAGCATACGAAAGATCTAGGGCCTCCAAAGAAAGCGGAAGCGAGTAGCAATTGGGAGCAGTCTGACATGTAGAGAATCGTCGGTGTTTGTCACGAGGGCGTAGGTGAGATGTCTCGTTCACGGAGGCTGACATGTTCGCAAAACTTGTTAAGAGTGAACCTATACTATGGTGAGAATCAGTAACAAACACGGGCGAGCAGTGAGACTAGAATCGGCTTCAGTTCATGATGTGGCTGGAGTGGAGGCTCGGTGCGGCGTTGTGGTGACTGGTGGTGCCAGTGGCAACCTCGGCGGTTGATTAGGTAAGAGTTAGGTAAGAAACATCAGCTTCAACGATGCCGCGCCCCACCCGCGCCCTATCAACAAAAATTCACTCGTCCATCAGAACGGTTGCATTGCCTCAGGTTTACCAGTTCGTGAATTTGTGCAGCAGCGTCTGGTTCTTAGTAACTTACCGACGACGATCCTTCGTAAGTTACAGGTTCTGTGCAGACCCGCGTAGATAAGATAAGATCAAAAATTCCCGAGATCCGAGAAGCATCTACATAATCCGTGCACGTTCACGTCTTTTCCATTCACTGGTCACCGGTCAAGTCGTGCGTTTGCAGCAAATTGTCACGCAGGTTCCTCAAGAACTTGTTTGAGAGGGTCCTGATGACATGTCGTCTAACACGATGCACATCAAGCGGGTCACGCTGACTTCGAAGAAGAACTGGTGGATGGGTATGTCCACCGTGGCATTTTCACGCGTCGTATGTTTCACTCGTTGTCTCTCCAGTCGAACTGGATGAAGAGGAGAAAGAGAAAAACAGCGCTCCAGCGAATATCTACTCGTCGGAGGAGACCGCAGTAAATCTCGATGCGCACCCGCACCGGACTGTCCACAATCGCCCATCACGCCCATTCGACCAATCTCCACATCCAACCGCCTCAGTGATTCCAGTATATACCCCTTCCCATAATCCAACTGCCATATTCTCCTTCCCCACCCCAACATCGTACTCCGCTCATCCTAATCCCACTCAAAACTTGGCTCCTTGCGCAGCCGGCTCCGCTTCCGAACTGTTCAAGTGCATAGTCAAGAAGCCCAATGTTGTGCAGCTGGAAATTAACGGCGAGATGCAGACAAATGCCAAAGATGTGACCACGCAGTTCCTTGCCGAGCTTCGTGTCTACACCACCCTCACGCGCCACAGGAACATCGCAGCCTTCCTCGGCTGCCTCGAGAATGTCGGGATGGTACTGGAGTACATCGAGGGGCGCACTCTCTTCGACGTAGTTCGAGAGAGCCCCGTACTCACAAGGAACAAGAAGATCGATTTCCACAACCAGCTCCTGGACGGACTGACACACCTGCACTCTTTCGGCCTGAGCCACGGTGATCTTTCGTTGCTTAACGTACAGGTGACCCACTCTTCCGATACTATTAAGTTGTTGGACTTTGGCCGCTCTGTGGCTGCGGACTCCGTCTATGCGTCGCCAAGCGATGACACGGTAGAACCTCCCCCTTTCTCGCCCACACTTGTTCCTCGGGCCAACTCCCGTTTCGTCCCAAAACCGCCATACATCCAGCATCCCCCACTCCCGATAGCTCCGCCGCCACCACCAAGGAAAGTCGAACAGATACACCCTGGTACGCGGCCATTCTCCGCACCCGAGATTCTTCGCGCGGAGTGTCAGGATGCGCGCCTGGCAGACGCGTACAGTTTTGGCATGATTCTCATATGTCTGGACCGGTGCGATCTCGTCGATGTCAAACCATGGGACCAGCGGAAGGATTTGTTGCCGCAAGGCTTCCTCGACGGCCTGGAGGTATTCCGTGAAAGGTGTGAGGATTATTTGAGGCGGTGGGACAAGGGGCGCCGGAGATTGGTGCGGGAGGACATGATGGATGTTGATGCACACATGGAACTCTGACTCATAATGGACGGACAACACGAACGAGGGACGTTCTGAATTTGACCGCTACTCCTTCGCATCATCCCGGTTTTCTTTTGGTCTCTTCGTTTTCCATGTAGTCCTGTGGTTTCGTCGCATTCCCCAGCTCATATATACCCTGTATAACAGCGCTTCAGAGATTATTTCGGATCACCTTCGCAAATTGGATGGGTCCACGATGTACAATATCTGCTTTAATCTCAAATGCATAACACAGACTTAATTGCATTGCTTCTAGTACCAGGTACAACGCCGTCATTTGCTGCACTGTAGAAAATAAGGAACACAGGGCAACTGTAGAATCGACAACGATTCGCCTACACATCCCAACGAGGGTAGAGATCTCGGATCGTCAAACCCTTTTTGATCCACTCCTTCTCCAGCTGGACCAGACTATCCACCGCATCAAGCACCGAGGTCTTCCAGGGCGTCATCTCCAACCCCAGAACCTCCTTCGCGCGAGTGTTATCTATCGCAGTAGGTGGGGCGGGCACCGCCTTGAACGCAGAAGCAGCCAAGCGGGGCTTCAGCTCCGGGCGTTCAGCCGCGATGAACTCCACTGCATCCTTCCAGCTGAACCATTCTCCGCTCATGAGGATGCGCTTGCGGCCGACATTCGTCGGCGCCTTGAGCGCGTTTACGAGCCCGCGCGCGACGTCGCGCACGTCGACGGTCCGCCCGAAGGCGTTCACTTCCCAGTCAGGCTGCAGGAGACGATATATGAGCTCGTTTGAGCTCATGGCCGAGATGGCCCCGTCGGGGGCACGGAAGCCCAGGGCGAACGGGCCAATGAAGTAGGGTGGATTCACTACGGCCCATTTACATTTCATGTCTGTAACAGAAGATAGGGTAAAGACATACATACCGGTAGTGGCGTCTATGTCAGGATGCTTCTCCACAAAGTCCCAGATGGCACGTTCCGAGATCGTCTTCGCGACACCATAGACGAACATCGCATCGCTACTTTCGTCAAGTGCCTGTTTCTTCGTGCCCTGGTTCCAGTCTAATATTCACCATGTCAGAATAGCTGACAACACTTGTCCATCGATGTGATACGTGCTTTGGTCAGTCATAGAACCACTGGGTGAAACGACCGTAATGATGCTGCTCGCAAAGGCGAACCGCTTGACTCCCACCTTCTCGGCCGCGCGCAAGATATTCAGGTTTCCTTCGACGGCCACCTATTAAGGGAGACCTTCAGATTTCATCTGTAGTACGAAGCAGCGAACTTACACGAATGGCTTCTGCGCGATCGGCTCGGCCAGCCAAGGGCGCAGCGACATGTATAACAGCACTAACACCTGCACGAATACAAAGTCTTATGAGCAGACCATCGAAATGACGGGATGAAGGAAAATTCAGTGACATACCTTTCACAATATTGCTGAAGTCTCCACCAACGAGATCGTCAAAAGGAACGACTTCATATTTATCACCATATGCAGCGTATCCTTCTTGCGCCATGGAAACCTTGCTGGAACGTGCAATTCTATCAATGTATGCCTACGTTAGATCTTCCTCGCATCCCATCACCAAGCATTTTTAAATGAGCTCACCCACGCACACGGTAACCAGCCTCTAAAAGCTGGTATACGACATGAGAACCTAGGAATCCAGTGACTCCAGTGACCTGTATAAATGTGATTTTGTAGTGAGCATCCTGATACTATCCAAATAACGCATGGCGGGCACGTACAAGGACAAGAGGGGGGGTAGACATGTTGAGAATCTTCCGCCGTACAGTCTCTGCGATCCGCAAATACTGAAAGGACATTTCTCAAGCAACTCTTCTTTTTACTGTGGACAAAAGCCAACAAAGGTCAAGCTCGGGCTCCCACACGCTGACCTGAGCCCCTCGGGTTGCTTGGTTATTTCTTCATAACGCGCAACCAGCGGGCCGAGCCTCAGAACCTTCCACAGGCTCCATGGGAAGCCTGGATAGTGAAAATCAATGACCAACAAATGGATATAACGGCACAGGATGATTAACTACGACGACAATGTTGTCAGCAGCCCGAGGCTTCGCAAGACACGACGCTGGGAGATCTGAGATCGTTGAAGTGGCGTTGCCACGTGTGATCGTCTCCACGAACTTGAAGTGGGTCCGTAAGTCGTGATCGGACTATCTTGGGTCTGTCTCTGCTTGGTGCTCTATCGACGGTATTACCCAGCACACTCACTTCCACGGCATTCTAGCAACACTCCTGAAGCATACTGCATTACTATGCTGCGTTTAAATATGTTTAACCGCTCGGAAGGCAAGAGCTCAGTATCTCCGTTTGTAGACTCCACTGCATGCTTTTGTAGGTGGGAGGACGTTCTCTCTCAGAGAAAACCCTAAGCCCGTGGCTTCCCGCTGTGATTGCGTGCTTGAGGGCAACCCTATCGGACCGGACACAATCACGCCTGGTTTCCCCAATGCAGATCGCTAGTGATTTTGTTACGTGGGAGGACGGGCACTGAGATACGTCTGTCCACCTGTTGCACTTTCCCCGGTGACCGCTACGAGGGGATAAATTTTCCGCGTTTGAGGGTGGATACAGTACACAGTGCAACTTCTTCAAATATCAACGATGGTCGTCTTACACATTCAGCGAGGGTAGGGGTCTCGAATCGTTAGACCCTTACTGAGCCACTCCTTCTCCAGCTGAAGAAAATTTTCCACAACATCGAGTACCGAAGTCTTCCAGGGAGTCATCTCCAACAGCTCCCTTGCGCGAGTGTTATCGATCGAAGTTAGGGGAGCAGGGATGGCCTTGAGCGCAAAGGCAGCCAAGCGGGGCTTGGATGCTCCCCGCTCCACTGCATTCTTCCGGCCAAACCACTCACCACTCATGAGGATGCGCTTCCGGCCGACGTTCGTCGGCGACTTGAGGGCGTTCACGACTCCTCGCGCGACGTCGCGCGCGTCGACGGTACGCGTGAAGACAAGTGGTATACTAGCTCGTTCGAGCTCCAGGCCGAAAAGGTCGCGTCGGGGTCACGGAAGCCCGGGAAAAAGAATCGATGAAGTAGGGTGGTTCACTTGCTCGTTGAGTTAGATTTTCCAGATGGCGCGCTCCGAAGGTGTCTTCTCCACGTCGTAGACGAACATCGGGTCTGTGCCACTTTCGTTAAATGCCTGTTCCTTCGTAACTGTGTTCCAACCTAACCTACACGATAACAGAAGACTGTGATCATGCTACTTGTGAATGCGAATCGCTTGACGCCTGTGTTCTCAGCTTCCCGCAGAACATTTATGGTTCCTTCAACCGCCAGACGTTCAGACCTCACCTCACAAATGATGCAACCCACTTACATCGATAGTTTCTGCGCGATCTGCATACATGTAATGTTAGGTGAGCACATCCCAGCGGATTGATGCAGCATTTCAGTAACGCGCCTCGCACAATCTCGCTGAAGTCTCCGCTAATGACATCAAGGGGAACGACCTCGTATTTGTCGCCGTACGAGGCATACCCTTGTTGCGCAATGACCACGTTGTTTGAACGCACAGCTATACCAACGCGTACATGGATCAAAGTCCTGTTACTGATCGAAAGCATTAGGTGTGCTCACCCGCGAACACTGTAACTGGCTTCTAGGAGCTGGTGCACGTCGTGGAAGCCCAGGAGTCCTACGACTCCAGCGATCCGTGTATATGTGTACCCGGGGTGAGAACGCTCAACACGACACAGAGCTGCGCGTCTCTGACACGTACAAGGTGAGGAAGACATCCTAGAAATGGTTTGCGATCGGCAGACGTCTTGAGGCCCATCTCTAGCAGCTGGCGCACGAGAACTCAGCCCAGAGCTCCAGTGACATCACTTACCTTACCCGAACAATACACGTCCGTGATCAATGGATCAATATCATGATCCTCCACTTCAATGTGCGCGATATGAGCATGTACAAGGACGAGACGAGGTAGACAAAATGAGAAACAATCTGATGACGGATCTGAGGACGACATTGACATTCTTGGTATGTCGGTATTGTTGCGTGGGTTCGAGTTCAACCACTGGACGAAACCAGACTAATGGTACAGCGAAGCGTCAACTGAACAGAAGAAAAACGTCGCCATTTGAAGTGTGCAAGAATACGTCGAGGAGCACAACCAAGCAGCAGCGCAAACCAGACAGTGGACGTCGCCAAGAAAACAGAAGAGAACCAGGTCCTCATCCAGAAACTTAAAGCATAGCAGCCCACTGATCGATCTAACCCATAGTAGCGTCTTGAATGGTGTTGCCAAGTTGTTTCGCGCCATCTCGAGAGTCCAAAACACTGTTGGCACAAATACACAGAGCCAGTAAGAACAAGATCAGTAGCAACAGCGAGAAGATCAAGACAGGAATATCAGCTACGTCGCCGCAGACAAGAGGCCTTTCTACCGGTCGACAGTCGCGGTCCGAGAGCACAGAGCGGCCGAGGCTAGCGAGATGTTGATGTGGAGAATGTTGTGAAGGACGCGCGAGCATAGTTCACCTGCACATCGGAGGACGTCGTCAAGGAAGGGCTTCGGACAGCGATCACCAAACTTGCCTTCGTTAAGTCATTTACTCCGAGTCAGTCGGGGCCTTGCAAGAAAATAATCACCATCCAGTCAACTGAATGAAATTTGGCTAACATTTGATATCTGTATGGTTTGAAAATGAAAGGACCATCAGCAAACGACAGCACATTGAGCCAAAAAAAATACGCTCCAATTCGGCGCGAGTTGGTTTCGCTTGCGCAGAAGCAACAAGGTACTCGTCTCGAGCGCCGTGTAGAGGCCCACGCCCGGACAACGTCTGCAAGCAGACATCACCCGTCCTCGAGTACAGGAAGGGACAAGCAACATGATTGTCGGAAGAGACCACCAATCCAAATGAGAAAAGACAAATCGTACCAGAAAATGAAGAGAAAACCCGAGGCAAGACGTGTGGACCAAGATTCTGAAGCCAGGTGGAGATGCAGCGACAGTCGAGTTTAAAAGTGCCATAGCATGTCGCCAGATTCAGAAACAGACAGCGGTCGACAGAACACGGAGCAATGACGAGAATTCGACGCAGATACGGTTTCAGTGCACACCCAAAGTATCTTCGCATCTTCACCAATGTTGCATTCCGTCGCAGCCAGACACCCCAGAGCTAGTAGTAATACGAAAGAGCACTGGCCGCAGGGGAACTGCCACAGACTGCAGTCAACATCATCACAGTCATAACCAGGTGAGCAGCCGTCGTGAACCGGTCAGTGTAATCATCGCCATCGAAGAAAATCGAGCGAGTGTTGCCAGAGTCTCAGGCCGAAGGCAGCAGAACAGATGTTCCCCAGACTGAAAAAGGTGGCAGTCGACATCGAGCGAGCGGATGTCAAAAACAACATTGATAGTAGCTGGGGGATGCAAAGGATGGCAGAGCGCGCATCAGTCAGGCACAAAGAGAAGATGGCAGCGCTGTATTAGACTCAACTTTATCACTGTGGTGTGGAAGAGGGCCAACAAGGGGAGCTGTCAATATGCGGCAGCGGCAAGGAGGAAGCATGTGAGAAGGCGAGAAAGAAATAGTACCTGAAGTTCGGCGCGAGTTGGTTTCCCTCGCTGCCTGGAAGCAACGAGGTACTTATCCCGAGGACCACGTAAAGGTCCGCGCCCGGACAGCGCCTGCATCACAAGCGCTGCCCGCCCTCGGGAAAAAAACGACGCACCTTTACTGGATATAGCGGTCTTGCCGTGATTATACTTTTAATCAGTGTGAAAGCGGAAGAGCGCAACACGTCACCCAACTCGAGACAAGAGAACTCTCACCGAGTAAAAAAGCGTAGTCGATTGACAACGGCGTTCAGGCCAAATGTTGTTGCGTCTACGTTCAACTAACATGTCAAAGCAGACGAATGCCACACACTCGCCGAACTAAAGTGAACGGAGCGCTCACCACACAGTAGAAATGGATCATTTAATCTCTGCGATGTCGCATACTATGTCGGACTCGTGAATTCGTTCTGAGAGAAATCAAACGAAACAAATATGATATCATGCCACAACGCTCACCGACATATGACAGCCGCCAGAGAGACAAGCACAAAGTAGCACACGAGCCATACTTTACAGATTATCAACAGAAAAGCAGAGTAGCAATGAACGGTCGCCTAAGAGTCGCCACAGACCAGTTGTCGAGACTCGAGCGTCGGCGCTCAAGAGCCGTGTCGCCACAGTAGATTTGACCCGGCCATCGTTGACTCACCTTTACACGAAGCGTTGTCGTCAAAGTCAATATTAGCCGTCGTCAACTTACCTGCCCATAAACCAGAACCAGTGCGCACAAGGGGCCGCAGTATCGTGTCGCCAGAGAACGCCGAACAGGTGGATGCAGTCGCCAGAGTAAGTGTAGCCCAGACAAGATATACGAGTACTCACCAGGCACCGCCAGCACCCACGCTCACAGCGTCGCAGCTATAGTACCAAAAGTTAGCCAGAATTAAGATAGCTCACCTTGCATGGGGCCACATGGTATCCTCCGGCGAATCCGTCTCCTCTTGACGACAACCGCAAGGCGAGCGCAAACCGTCAACCAACGTCGAGCAACAAGCAGCCTGCCGACCAGACACGGAGAGCTCTACAGTGCGCGGAGGCAACGAGTGCCGTCATCGGACCGCACCGGGTCGTTCCGTCGGTCTCCTTCGAGGAAGGGCGCAGTGTGTATGCTCCTTGCACGACGTTGGCTGGCAGTTTACACTCACCATGCGGCAGGGACGGCGACGGCCATCCTCGGTCTAGGCGGACGACCATTGGTCAGTGAGCGAGATAACACAATCAAGAGCGCACCTTCATTTCGAGCCAGACATCCGAGATCAAAAGTAGATGTCTAGAAGGCCGGAGAATGGTCAGCCAAACAGTGATGCATAGAACTGGAGGCAAACCACGATTCGGCGCGAGTTGGTTTCCCCCACCACCGGGAGGCAACGGGGTACTTATCCCGAGGACCACGTAAAGGTCCGCGCCCGGACAGCGCTGCATCGCAAGTGCTGCCCGCCCTCGGGACGCACCTGATATGATTGAGGGTATTTGAACGCGCTTATATGGCGACCCTGCACAACGTTGTTAGTCAAAGTGCAGACGAAACGAACTTGGTGCAAATCTCACCTTCTCTTGCATTGGGGACAACCGCACCGCAAGGCTAGCACAAACTGCAACCAACACCGAACGAAAACCGACCTGCCGACCAGTCACAGAAAGCCATTGTGGTGCACAGAGGGCAAAAAATGCCCGCATCATTGCACACCGGCTCTCCATCGATCTCGCCCTTCAGAAGGGTTTAAAGCGTCCAACCCCTCACCGATGCCGACCGTCGACAGCTTGCACTAGACTGCAGTCAACAAAACCCACGAGAGCGATCACTGTTGACCAGTCACGGAAACCGTCGTGCAGCGTCATCGCTGCACTCCAGTACATCGTCGGTCTCACCCTCGGGGAGGCTTTGCAGGATACACTCATCGCCGATTCTGAGCAACAGCTTGTGCTCGCCTGCAGTCGACATAGAACGAAAGGTGACCTGCCGACCAGCCACAGGGTGCAGAAGGCAGAAAAATGCCCAAATCATTGCGCACTGGTCTGTGATGATCTCGCTCTTCTGAAGGGTTTACAGGGTCCATACGCCCCTCGCCGATGCCGAGGAACAGTTTGTGCTAGCCTTGCAGACGGGATGGCGATAATCCGAGTGAACCTACAAAGAATTGTTAGTGCGAAAGAATTTGATTAAGCGCACGTCGGGCTATCGACGGCGGTCTTGGAATGGAACGGCCAAATATTAGTCCACGAACTATAGAGGAACAAACCAAAGGACACACCTTGGATTTCAGGTTGGGTTCGAGGTTGGCGCGAGTTGGTTTCGCCCGTCGCACAAGGGCGACGGGGTACTCGTCCCGGGGACCACGAAGAGGTCCGCGCCAGCCCCCGGGGGGGTCGGTCCACGCGATTGTCGCCAAGCGTCATGAAGACAAAAGGAATGAAAAAAGGAATGAAAAAATGAGCGGAGAAATGGGAAGTGGAAAAGTAGAAGGTATGTTGCCAAGTCCCACAGAAGAAAGTCATCGCCAGAGAAGAGTTTGTCGTCAGAGGAAAAGAATGAAGCTAAGACTCGCCCACTGCCCACCCGTCGCCAGAAAAAAAAGAAAAGAAGCCCAGTGTTGGTGTGGCCACATTGGTGGCCACCATCGCCGAGGCTGAAGTGAGTCCATTCAACGCCGAAGAAGTCGCGCCGTTGTGTTGCCCAATCTGGGGATACCGCTCGTCGACCAGGAGGGAGCCCAGTCCAACTTACTAGTGACATGTTGAAAAACACTGGAGTGACCTGCCACGTGGATGGGCGACCGTTGAGTACAGACAGTGGACAACAACGTCGGAGAAGACTTGCCTCTGTTCTTGAACCCTCAGTCGGGGTCATACAAGAGCTTGGACAAGATCGCTTGAGAATGTGGAAGACGTTGAGGTCGACGTTGAGGTTGAGGATAGGTGATGGAAGACAGAGGAAAAGGGCGATGGGAGAAAGAGCGGTAGACACAAGATTATATACCCAGAAACCCAACCGTCCACGTGGAGGAGAGAAGGCAGAGGCGATGGGGGAAAGTGGGGGGAATCACTTGGAGTATTTATACGCTGGAGGGAAAACCGCAGCATGAAATTTTCAAATCAAAGCGAAGATCTATTGCTGCCAGATGCATGAGTCAGAGTCCAATCTGAGCAACAAGCAAAGCAACGTACGCCACGAGGCAAGACACAATAGGATTTCAAGCCAAATGGGGTTTAGTTCCCATCAGATGGCGATGCTTGCGCGGTTTGGGGCACAACGGTACTTCCATATAAGGATGGATCCAACGACTTCCCTTGTTGATGACACTTTATGGCAGGCTGCTACTCGGACTAGTATCCCGCGCTTGACGTGGTTGCACTGGTTCACCTCCATGATATCCCTTAAGGCGAACCATGGATATTTTCTGCAAAAAATCCAGAAGACAAGCGGGAGATACGAGGTGCTGAGTCCCCTGATCGGCAAGGTTGGCGTTGAGTAACTTCTGGTTGAGAACGGAAGTGGTCCGCGGAGCTCCGAGGGTGCCGCTACCGGCGACTACTCGGCGAATTGCTATTCACAGCCACCGTCAGTTCACTGACAGACACTTTCTGAGCGAGCTCGCCGTGGATATGAACGATGTATGTCGCACACGCCTCTCCTTCTCCGTAGCCGTGGTTCACGCCTCGCTCGATGCCCTCGCCACATAAGGATCTCCCGCCCGCCGTGCAGCACATGCTCACGCACGTCCTGAAGGAGCTCGCCGCCCACCGCGCCCGTTTCGCCTCCGCACGCGCCATTCCCCCGCTCCTGGTTGGCGTACAGGGTCCCCAGGGCAGCGGGAAGACATTCCTCACTTCCCGTCTGCGCCATGAGCTCTCCTCCCCACCGCACGCGCTCGCCGTCGCCGTCCTCTCCATCGACGACCTCTACCTGCCCCACGCCGGCCTCGCCGCTCTCGCCTCGGCGCACCCGCAGAACAGGCTGCTGCGCGGGCGCGGACAGCCGGGGACGCACGACGTGCCACTGGGTGCGGAGATCCTCGAGAGCCTGCGGCGCATCAACGATGGCGGCGGCGCGGTGAACATCCCGCGCTTCGACAAGAGCCTCTTCGGGGGCGAGGGCGACCGTGCAGGTTCGACGCTCGTCTCCCCACCTATTGACGTTGTCGTTCTCGAGGGCTGGTGTGTGGGATTTTACCCCATATCGGCAGAGGAGATCGATCGGCGGTGGGCGCTGCCTGTGCAGGGTCTGGGCGAGGACTTCTTCGTGCGCCGCGGGTTCCGCAAGGAGGACGTGGTGGATGTGAATGAGAGGCTCAAGGAGTATGTCGCGTGGTGGGAATGCCTCCATGTATTCATCCAGGTGAGCCGGTCGTGCTGGCCGACGGCGCACCAGCGAGGTTTCTAACGTCACCGCTAGATCAACCCCGCGGACGCGCATCCGTACGAGTTCATCTACAGGTGGCGACTGCAGCAGGAACACCATATGAAGTCGCTCAATGGCGGGAAAGGCATGACGGATCAACAAGTTGAGAGGTGAGCGCTTTCACTGACACTTCCGAGGCAGCGCGATCGTCTGAGCGTCTGGCAGTTTCGTAGATCGCTATATACCTGGCTACGTCTTTTTCGGCGAAGGTGTGCTGAACGGCACCGTCGATGCGAATGGACAGCAGAAGCTCCCTCCCTGGATCGGACACGGTCTGAAAGTACAGATCGGCGAGAACAGGGAAGTCGTCGATGTCACTCAATTCTGATGTGAGCAACATATCCTCGATACATCGTGGCGCAGTGCTGACAATCGTCGTTAGCTTGTACCCTAGACTCATGTAGCACCAGAGGTTCCGGACAAAATGATACCGATCTGCTAATATTTCCGACTTAGAAGGCACCATGACGTCAAGAGTCAGCACAACATATACGAGTGCTAAGCGAGTTGCTGCCCTGCACCCGCACCTCTTTTGCCCCGATTCTCGTTTGTTCATGCAGTAATGAGAGTCGCTCAACGATTTCTCGCAGTCAGGTTTCAGCGTTTACTTCAGATATGATCGCCACGCGATCGAATCATAGAACAGTGAAACCAGGATCTATCGAAACAACATGGGTGGAGTTCCCATCGAACTGCACAAGACAACAATATTAAATGGCCGAATACTATATTCCCAGAGTAAACATGCAAGGACGAGAGTCCTGGGATGATCATGAGTGTCGTAATCGTCGTAAGTCATAACTAGCCGCATAATTGGGCATCAGAGACATCAGCCGAAAGATTCAATGCTCGAATTGGATACTTACAGATCGTTATTCAATTGTCCTGTGAAGGCGGTTTTGCAAAAAGCGCCATGAATAAATATGGGAGGCTTTTAACGCTGAATTTGAGTCGCCCCGACAAATAATTCGCTTGCGACGTCCACTCACTTGAACTCCCTCAGTACCGGTCAACTTCCCGGTCGTCGTCAGACTCGTCCGACTCCTTGTATTGCATGCCAACACCGCAGCACTCGCACACGACGACGCTCAGCAGGATCATCCCAACCCACAGCACTACGAGCGCCGCAAGGACCATCCACACGGCAGGCCCCCAATTGACGTAGTACGAATACTGCGTGAGCGCGGGGATCTTGATGCGCGCGATGAGCACCAGCGCGAGGTCGGCGGCGAAGACCGCGGTGGCAAGGACGATGGTGAAGATGGAGACGACGAGAGACGTGATGCAGAGCGCGTGCGACTCGAGGAAGAGCGAGGTGAACATGACGACGGACGCGAGGCCCGCGCAGACGGGGTGGAGCACGAGGAGGACCGTGAGGCCCTCGATGACGCCCTCCACCAGGCTGGGGTACCCGGTGAGGTTCAGGATCTCGGTGGGCACGGTGTAGCCCAGCTTCGGACCGTAGCAGACCTCGAAGCCCTCGAGGACGCTGCTCGCGCACAGGCCCCACACCCCGAACATCAGATCGGTGGCGACGGAGCTGGCGGGCACGCCCGGGGCGGTGTCTAACTTGAGGGAGAAGAGGTAGATGGTCTTGATGATAGGGAGAGAAAGAGCGACTAGGAAGAAGAGGAGGAAGGAGATGAAAAACAGAACGCAGGTCGCTATGGAAATCCCGAGATGGCGGGCGAGGGGGCGAGGGGCCTGCTGCAGCCGCTGCTTGAGCGCGAGCATCATCGGGGAGGTCGGGGACATGTTCCTCAGAGACGGCGGCGACGTGTGCAGCTGGGGGGACTTGCAGCGAGGGGAAACGGTGAATGGCTCCTCCCCTCAGCTGGCTGGCCTGACACGCCACTTCTGGCGGAGAAGCGTCCGAGCTTCGATCCATTCGTCGGATAATTTTGGGACGCACGAGGTCACTATATAAGGTCTATCCATCAGAGAGATACATATATCAGAGGGTGATTTCGAATCGGAACATGCAACAGATTTGATTGAAGTTACAGCGGAAATATCCTCTTCGTCCCCACTGCGAGGACTTCGCGATACCGGGGCGCTAGCGACTGGCAACGTGCGCACCTGCTAGTCAGTGTGATCGATATCCGACGGCGATATAAACTGCTGAAAATCCTGCCTTGCCTTGCAATCCGTTGCATCTCCAAACGTTTCGCCATTAATGTGCTCTGTGTCGACGAACTAAATAGTCACGGTAAACACTTGTCGAAAGAGGCTTCCGTGCCGCACCGCGCGCTTTGATCAAACCCGGCGCGCAATGACGCTCATGTCATCCCGCCTTACTCCTCCGGTGGCACCCTTCGCCTTTCCAATATTTGCTTGGACACCGCATGGAAGACGCTGCAAACCATGCCTCTGAACTCGCTCACTCGCCAGGCAGGCATCAGAATCGGGCCATTGCTCCTCGAAACCCTCGTCAAGCACTACCTCGAGCGGATCGTGAAGGAACACGGAGACCATATCACCCAGTTGCGGCAGGACGAGCTACTGTATGATGAGGCGTTCAATATCATCAAGGTGCGTGTCGACGTCGCGTCTATCACCTGTCTCCGTTTCTAACTCGGTTGCAGACGTTCATGGAAGCTGCTACCAAGTGCGTGATTCCCTCGCGCCGGGATACTTTACTGAGTGCCCCCCAGGCATACGATAGAAGAACTGCAAGAGTTCTCAAACACCTACGTCCCCTCTTCACCATGGTCACACGTCGTCCGACTGCGAGTGCCCATGTCCTGCTGCGACGACGCGGCTACATTCCTGATCCAGGCGCTGGGCGGGGAAGAGGCAACGAAGCGCATCGTCGGCGGCACCAAGTGGTGGCAGGTCCGCGGTATCAAGGGGTAGGTGCCCCGTCGCGTCCGTCTTCTTCCCCCGCTACGAACTCACGATCACAGTATCGACGCCGAATGGATCACCGCGAAGAAGGACTACCAGGAGGCAAAGCGGCGGGACGAGGCGCACCGGAAGGGAAATTCCGAGCACGCACGCGGCGAAGACTCTGTGGACGGCCAAGATGGACCGGCAGTGTATGGGCCGGAGATGGACGCGATGCGATGTATCCTGTTTGCGCACGGAGGTGAGGGATCAATCCTCGTGTTCTCGTCCAGAGTGTTCACACCTGAGCAGGTGGGTACTACTTTGGCAGCATCGCCCAAGAGAGGTATGAGAAACGCTCGTGGTGCCGAGCAGACGTCCTCTGATCGATTGAATAGATATGGCATCCAGCGGTACGCGCGTAAGATCAATGGACGCGTTTTCAGTATGCGAGCTTCCTTGGTTCTCATGGCGCTGCGACTGATGTTTGAGCAGCGATTAATTATCGGCTGTCGCCACAGTACCCGTTTCCCTGCGCGATCCATGACCTCCTCGCGGCATGTATGTACTTTTCTTGTACTTATCTGCACAGTCGTTCACGGCAGTAGATCTCTTCCTAATTCGACCGCCTGAGGGCGCATCGCACCGTCCGGTGGACCCAGCGCACATCGTGGTCGCGGGAGATTCAGCCGGCGGGGGCCTGTGCATTGCGCTGCTGCAAATACTGCGCGACACGGGGCTTCCCATGCCCGCCGGTGGCGTGCTGATCTCGCCCTGGTGCGACCTGACGCACTCGTTCCCTAGCATCCACATCAACACGGCGACGGTACGTCGGAGTAAGTACGCCATAAATCGCGCGCACGACTCACCGTCGGTTTGCAGGACGTGATCCCGCAATATGGCCTGTCGTTCCACAAGCCGAGCACACTCTGGCCGTCGCCCCCGGAGGAATACTCCGCCGAGATGGAGTCCATGCGCAGTCGCATACTACATGCGCTCCGTAGGGGCTACAGCCGCGATGCCGCGCCACCTGCAGTAGATGAGGGCGGGCACACGCCCTGCCGGAACCACGAGTTCGCCGTGGGACAAACGGGCCAGACGTTGCACCTCGGGTCGACGGCGTCGCTCCCGACACCCGGCGCGGCGCAGCGGGGCCAGACGATCTCGTTGCGCACTACAGACGGGCAGGTTCTCACTGTCCATGACCAGGTGCACATGTACACCACCAACGATCTACTGGTTCACCCACTGGTCAGCCCGGCGCTGTCGTATCTGGGCGGGCTGCCGCCGCTACTTGTGATTGCGAGCGAGAAGGAGGTTTTGAGAGATGAGATTATTTATTCGTGAGGAGCTCTTAAACCTTTACTCTGTTTTCGACTGATCATGTGTGTCCTAGCGCCCACAAGGCCGCTTACCCGAGTAGATATCATGTCAACGAGGAAGCTCGAAAGCTATATCCTCCATTAAAGAACATAGAGCAACGGTTCGGTCCCACGAAGGTTCATTTGCAAGTATATGATGGTGAGCATCTCTGTACGTTAATGTGACTGATCCGAGTTGATGACCCGTCGGAAGATGCTGCACACACACTCCCTGTCCTCTTTTCATTCACAACCCCCGCGAAGTACTGCTTCCGCGCAATCGCAACGTTCTGCAAATTCGTCACCGGATTGCCCCTTGTGCAGCCATTCGCGATGGACCTCCCCTCTCCCATTGCCATCCCAAGCTCACCTGACAGCGTGTCAGAAGCAACACATTCCGGCGAGGACTTGCGCCGTCCGTCACCGCAGGTATTCCGCAGCAACTCGTCGCCGACCATGCGCTCACACAAGTTGCACGAACCACATTCACCGCAGGGGACGGAGGGTCAAGATACTAATCCGCCTTCGAGGGGATCATTGCATACATTTCGCAGAAGAATGAAGCATCCGAGCTTGTTCTTCCGCTCTCACGACGCACATGACAGTCGTAGCTCGCGCTCAGACTCAATGGAACCGACCGATACGGGCGACGTCGCTGGGCCAAGGTTCGGCGTACGATCGCCTTCGCACGAAGATGATGGTCTGCGCAGGGCGGGTGAACCCTCGGTGTATAGTAATGGATTGGTGCGTAGTACAAAAACTCTAGGTCATTCATGTGTGTTGACAATGCGCCCAACATCTAGGATACAATGATACGCGAGCGCGTCTCGACATTGGGGGTCATTCGGCCACTAGAACCGGAGGACGCGCTGACCGCGCTGCAGTACCCCGAAGAGCTTGTAGGCGTGATCTCTGAGCTGACGATGCGGCGGTACTTCGACGCTCGGGCCAAGTTCGACAAGAAGTTCGCGAAGACGACTAGGTCGATCGATAAGAAGCGGCGGCGGAATTTCAACCGGGCGAAGAACGACACGCTGAAGAACATGACGCAGCTGCAGAACTTCTTCGCGCAGGAGGAGCACCGCGCGGCGGATGCGACGGCCAAGGGCGTCGGGGAGGGCCTGGTGTTGACGGGGAGCTTGCCGTGGGCGTGGGCGCTGGACCTGGACGAGAAGCCACCGCCAAGCAGCATCGTTTCGCGACGGGACACCGAGGAGGCACGGAGACTTGCCAAGATCGCGGACCAGGCAGTTCTGTCGGAGAGCTCAATCAGTGGGAACAATCTATGGTCGCTGATCGTGGACTTCCTGACAGTCGTGCCTGACGAAGACGCGCACAAGCACAAGCACAAGGATAAACGCCACGAGGGTCAGGAGGCCGCGACGATGCAGGAGAAGCATCGGTCTAAATTTGCGTGGTTTGACTCGAAGCATAGGAAGGCTGAGGGTGCGCTGAAGGCGACGAGTTCGCGAGAGGGCGGATAGCTACTGTAAGCCCTGTGATCAAACAGAGGTCGTCGTCTGCCGTTGAACGTCTCACAGAGTTGTAGCTAATATTGATCACATTATGTTTTGACGTTGTCCTCTGACCCATAGTTAGTACCCGGCGTCTCGCGATATTTTGGCTCCTGAGTGGATATTCTGGCCATGCATCTGGCCAAGGCACCAGGCCCTGCGATGTCATACTTAAGCTTCATCGACGTCATTCCCCAAACAGTACCCGGGCTATATAAATCCGGTTGTCTGCTTGCTGTCTCCCCTCAGCTTGAAGTGCACTCTCTTTCGCTCACATACGACTCGAGATGGTTGACACTTGCACCTGCCAGAGCGCCTGCGGGTGAGCTCTCTTGAAGCTGCCGTCCAGGATCTATCACGAATGGACCTCTCTGCAGAGCCTGTGGCCCCGAGGGAACCGGTTGTGCATGCCCAAAGAACAAATGCAACTGCGAGAATTGCCCCAATAAGTCGCACACGAATAGCGTACGTCGATGACCAGTTGATTCGTTCCTGGTCTGTGCTGACCGCGTCCATTAGTGCCAGTGTAAGGGGACCGGCGCCGAATGCACCTGCGCCAAAGAGTCGAAGGTCTGCAGCTGCACTTAAATTTGTAGTTGTGTCAGAGGTGTCGCGTCCAATAACGAGGAAGTGTGAAATTGTATGATTACCGGTACTACTCTCTTGTAACAACATCGCTGCGGTCGCCGCCCTCCAGTGTATTGGTTGTCGGTCTGTGCACGTTTCGGCTAAGATTGATCGCGCTGTACGCATGGAATATTGTTCTTACAGAAGGTGTCGCAATGCTTCATGTCCGCCGAAGTTCTCAGGAGCATCTAAGGCCCTAAAATGCCTTTCCGATATGGAATAACGATTGAGCGGTGCTAAATTCTTACACTGGTGATCAGATCTCTTGAGACAGGAGGGCTAGAGCAGAGTATCGACGGACTCAGGAAGACTAAATGCGGCAATCTTTGTGTTAGCTTAAAACTACTGAAGACCTCAGACAAACCATATGCATATCTGGAATCTTCAATATTCCACACCTGTGCAGCTGATGGATCCAATCATTTGTATCCCTGAGGTTACTGCATCGAAAATTGAAGGAATTAGAAAACCTTACGAAAGAGCTGAGTTGCAACTGGTCGACGGATGCATTGGGTTGTTTGTCCTTGTTGAATTCTAAGGGCAATGCAATTAACGCCCGTCAACGCCTATTTAGTTCTCCACAGCTGATTGGTCTAGACAGACTAATATTCAAGTTAGACTACCGACCTTGATTCTCATTTTCCAGTTCCAGCGGGCTGGACTCATAAGAAACTCTGCGGCATAACAGGTCAAGCCTGAGTTCAGTATTAGTACTATTAGAATAGCTTTAGCGATAAAACTAGTCCGAAAGTATTTTTATCGAGTACGACCACACGGAGGGTCACTATACCGGCGGGTGCCAAATTTACCCTTCTCTCTTCTCCGTTGTTCTGCCAAGCCGTCCAAAATAGCTGCGATTAATTGGCGGGAGATCGAGCATAATACTCTAGTAGTAGATTTGGGCCAGCGTGATAGCGAGACCAAGTTGCATCACCGGGTCATGATGCTGCCTGTTCGTGCACCCTGGGCTCGTTGAATGTATGCGTTTGTATTGAAAATTTAATTATTTAACCTCGCACCTACTACTTGTCAGGTTATCGGCAGTTTTCACCAAGTTTTTACTCTTGATAATTGCAGTCGGTACCCGCGGCATCGAATTGCAGGCAGAACGACAGTACAGGTCAAGTACCCCGTTAGAGAGAATATGCTCGCCAAAGAGTTGATCTTTTCCGACACATCTCTATAGCACATAAGGCCTATCCATCGCTCATGAAATCGCCAGAGCTGCCTTAGCAAGCGTCAGAGCATCTTCCGCCGTTCGCACTAACGCCTTCGCCTCGTTGCTTTATGTCCTCGCCTTGATGAGCTTCGCTGCTGCTGCTCCCGGATTTGCTCCTCCCACAGATATTTGCATACGAGGACCCGGAAAGCCCTTTGACGCAGTGCAGTAAAAGAGCGCCGCTGGAATGAGTAGACTCCATAGATCAGAAAACCTACCGTCTGTATGTTATATCATTTGCTCGCTGGTTGACGGCAGACAGTGCCGCGCAGCATCTTGGTACCATATATCAGCAATGAATTATGCAATTGAGTTTCACCCAGGGGGAGCTGAGGATTCGCGTACGACGGAGAATATTCGAGGAATGTTGTGTCCGGGACATTGAGGGGGGAGGGTTGAATTGAATGGTATCGAATTCGATTGCACGCCTTGACCTGACCAAGAATATACGAGCGCTGTGCAGGGAGGAAGAACGCAGCACGTACCTGCCGCAACAAATTTCTAGAGACGGTTTGAAGCTGGAATGAAATTATATATATAAAGGTAGATCTTTCAGCCAAGACGGCAGCTGCACGTCATCTCTGCCTACATACCGAGTGTTCGTCCGTGCACCGTAGAATTAAATTTGCAGCACAGTCAGACGGACTATTATATAGACCCCTGTGCACTTGAATTTGTCAAATCAGCCGACGTATACAGTCGCCAATTTTGTACTAGAACCAACTTTTGGTTTTGCAAGTTCTAGAATCGTAGCCCGATGGACGTCCTCGACCAACCACCACAGGCCGCGTCCAGTGTGAAGTTATTATGCATAGATTCTGGAGGCACCCTTCTGTCTGTGCAGCAGACTTTGTTATTGTCGAGATTGTGCCAAGCTCATGGCTGTGCGCAAGGCGCCTAGCGGGTTTGAAACGTTGAAAACGCTCAGCACAGCCGGCGTGCACGTTGTAGACACGTTCCGCACCTGCAAAACCAGTTGCGGTATTTCGTACACCCGCCTGTAACAACTTGCTCAACTCCCTACCATCGACGTGACCACGCATCCGCTCACTCTCGCTGGACTACTACTCTCGCGCGCACTGTCGCTCCGAGCGCCCATACATGCTACTCAAATAAACGTCAGACCGACTGTGCGCGTTAATTCGGATACCGTGACCACTGCTGGCTCCGCAATGAGCAATGAGATACCCGACGAACTCATGTTCTCCGCAGCATTCCCGCTGCCCTTCCGTGTGTTCTGCCTCGCCGGGCTGGGCATCCTCGGCTGGGCGGCGAACCTGCACTGGCTGCAGAAGTTCGGGCTCGACCCCGCCGCGACGCTGAAGCTGCACAACTATGAGGACCGCTACCGTGGTCCGCCGCTCATCGTAAGCCTGCAGATGGAGCCGGACACGGCGTGGCCGTACGAGGACCTGTACCGGCTCGTCGTAGTGTACACCGTCTGGGTGGGCACCGCGTGGCTGCTCTTCCGGCGATGGACCCATGGTGACCTACTCCTCGTGGACACCTTTAAATACGTGCCCGCAGTCACCGCACTGACACTCCTCATGGTGCTCGTGTGCCCGTACAAGATTCTCAAGAAGCATGAGCGCGACAGGTTTTTATTGTAAGTCGATTTGTCGTGTCTGCTGCCGCTGGTGCCGACGTCTCATTTGTCGTGAGCACCATCCGGAGGTGCCTTTTCCCTGCGAACGAGCGCGTCCTCTTTGCGGATATCGTGTTCGCGGATGTATTCACATCGTATGCGAAAGTACTGGGGGACCTGTGGCTGTCTTGGTGCATGCTCATGCCGGGAGGAAGTTTACTGGTCCAGCCTACACAGGAGGGCTGGTCGCGTTGGATACTGCCAACGTTAATGAGGTGAGCATTTATTTGACGGCTGTGCCCCATTTGAAATGTCCCGCTCATACGCTACAGTTTTCCATATGCGGTCCGTTTCCGACAGTGCTTGCTTGAGTACACTGCGTCTAAGAGTGGCGATCGTCGCCCGCTATTAAATGCGCTCAAATATGCGTCTTCTTTCCCTGTGATATACCTGTCGGCTGCACAGCGCATGGTCGTGTCTGATTTGATGTCGGTGAAAGGCGAAGCGGTGGTGCGAGAAGCGTGGCACGGCGAGCACCATCTGTTCCGACTGTGGTAAGTCGTGCCGTAATTCACAATAACGTTAGATCATAATTAATATTACCATGCACAGGCTGCTCGCTGCGCTGGTAAACTCATTGTATTCATTCTGGTGGGACGTAACGTACGATTGGGGGTTCGATCTGCTGCTGCCAGGGTCGAGAGCGAATAGAGCACCTCCAAAGCAACTAGTCCTGCCTCACCTGCACTCGCGCTCCTCCCTTCTCAACGGCGCGTCGTCGCCGACAGACGGCGCACTGAAAGAGGCACTTCTCGAGGGCGGACAGCTGTCCACCAAGCGCGCTGATTCCTTCGGAGCGCGGTCGTACCCATTCGGCCTGCGCCCGACACTCCTCCTCCCGCTCCCGATATACCCCTTCGCGATCTTCGCGGACCTCATCCTGCGCTTAACGTGGTCGGTGAAGCTCTCGAGCCACCTGCACTCGTACTCGGAAGGCGACCTGGCGATCTTCTGGATCGAGCTGGCGGAGCTTGTGCGCCGCTGGATGTGGGTGTTCATACGGATCGAGTGGGAGATAATCAAGGAGAGGCACGAAACGCGCACGGCGCGCGTGTATGACGAGGGACACAAGCAGTATGCGAACGCGGATGACGACTACGAGATGATCCCGTCGGATCGCAGCGGAAACATATCTGAGACAGGATGAGGAGAGGTGGCAGGTCAGGTCGGCGCGCGTAGGTGAGTGGAATCGTGTCAATGCGGGGAGAAGCTAAGGCACTGAATGCTCAGGGCAGAGTACCTTGATTGAGTGCTGTAACACAGATACACGGATACACGGATATGTGGGAGTCGCAATATGAGTTTGAATGTACCTTCAAATGACCACGCTTGCCACCAACGTGTATCAGTCAGCCCTCGCCGCTGGCCGGAAGTCGCCAGAGCGTCAAAGCGAGTGGAGGCGGACCACGTCGGAAGGCAGCGTCGGCACCATGCGTCTATGGGCCGAACTGTTGACCAGCCTCTAGTGAGTCTTGGTTGATCATGTGTCCTATATCTGATACGCTCGGGGTGCCACCGACGGCCAATTGTGGGACAGGACGTCTAATCTGCCCGCCAAGTCGGGACATGTCGTGCAGGTGGACGTGCAGGAGCGTGCATGACCTCACAAGACGTTGAGTAAGAATTGGCACCGGGAAGGTTCGTGACCTGAAGGGATTACCACTGGGCGCGCCTGTGGTGAGCGCAGTAACGAATCATGATAGCTGCGTGGATGGAATGGAGCACGGGGAGATGCTTACAGATCAGCAGACGGATAATTCGAAGTGAATACGGGGGCTATTGCGGGACGGTGAGGACCGTGTTGACGGCGTACCAAGGCAACACCAAGGCGCAACTGCCAGCCGCAGCAGGGGTTGGCGGCCGTAATTGGCGGCTATATGTTGTGTGCGAGTCGGGATGCGGCCTGCGCGTGCACGGTCCTGACTGAGGAGGCTTCCGGAAGGTACAGGCAGCGCCGTAGGCTTTCGTGCAAATCCGGAGCAGCGCTATTTCTGGTGTGCCTCATGGGTGGAGCCGGCGGTCGCCACATGTGATGCCCTCTAGACGCGTTTCCGGTCGCTGTGGCTGGGCCTCCTTCCTCAAGAGTATCTAAGGACTCCCACACTACTCACCTCATCTCATGACCTTTGGTCTTTCCCCTGTCAACTAGATCTCTATAAGACCTCTTGTACTTGTCTCGATGTTCAATCGCTTGGCATCTCGCCCTGTCTCTTCTCTCTCTCGTCCCCTCGCTCGTAATTTCTCCCAAACTTCGTCACGCAACATGAAGGTGCGCGACACCGCGGCTCTTCGCAGTTTCTGCTCACGTATCCTCTTCAGGTTTTGGCTATCTTGTACAAGGGTGGCGACGCAGCTACTCAGGAACCTCGTCTCTTGGGTACCGTCGAGAACCAGCTGGGCCTACGCCAGTGGCTGGAGTCGCAGGGTCATGAATTCATTGTACGGCCTCTGATGAATTGCGGATTGTTTCGCTAACGCCTCGCAGGTCTCCGACAGCAAGGAGGGCCCCAACAGCGACTTCCAAAAGCACATCACTGATGTGAGTACACTGCGCCTCATCGAAGTGCTCACTGCTGACGAGCTATGGTAGGCTGAGGTGCTGATTACTACACCCTTCCATCCTGGCTACCTCACTCGTGATCTCATCGCAAAGGTACGATAATTATCCGGCCCGGCGGTGACGTCACGCGTCATGCCATGCTGATCGACGGGTTTGACAGGCCAAGAATCTCAAGATCTGTATCACTGCCGGCGTCGGCTCTGACCACGTCGACCTCAACGCCGCCGTCGAGAAGAAGATCCAGGTCCTCGAGGTTTCTGGCTCCAACGTCGTCTCCGTCGCTGAGCACGTCGTCATGAGCATCCTCCTCCTTGTCCGCAACTTCGTCCCTGCCCATGAGGTTTGTATTCGTAATTCGCTACTATTTGCCGAGCCCGGCCTGACGGCGCATATTTGCAGATGATCGAGCGCGGCGACTGGCAGGTGTCTGCGATCGCCCGTAACGCCTACGACCTCGAGGGCAAGGTCGTTGGCACCATTGGCGCCGGTCGTATTGGGTACCGTGTCCTGCAGCGTCTGACGCCCTTCGACTGCAAGGAGCTCCTCTACTTCGACTACGCTGACCTCCCTGAGCGTAGGTCATAGCCATCGATAGAAAATGGCGTCACACCACTCATTCTATTTTTGTTAGATGCCTCGAAGGCGGTCAAGGCGCGCCGCGTCGAGGACCTCAAGGAGATGGTCTCGCAGGTATGTTTAGCCATTCTAGAGGTAATTTACCGTCGGTGACGTCATGCTTTCCAACCAGTGCGACATTGTTACGGTCAACTGCCCGCTGCACGAGGGCACTCGTGGGCTCGTCAACGCAGACCTGCTCAAGCACTTCAAGAAGGGTGCCTGGCTCGTCAACACCGCCCGTGGTGCCATCTGCGACAAGGACGCCGTCGCCGCGGCCATCAAGAGCGGTCAGCTCAACGGTAATGCTCCTAATCTGTCTAACCGCGCTCGTCAGCATACGCTGACATAGCGTCCAGGCTACGCCGGTGACGTCTGGAACGTCCAGCCCGCGCCCGTCGACCACGCCTGGCGCACGATGAAGAACCCGCTCGGCGGCGGGAACGGCATGGTGCCCCACTATTCCGGCACGACGCTCGATGCGCAGGCCCGCTACGCCGCTGGCACCCGCAGCATCCTCGAGAACTACCTCACCGGCAAGGCACAGGAGCCGCAAAACATCATCGTCGGCCTCGGCAAGTACGAGACCAAGGCTTGTGAGTGACTTCACTCTTTGTAATGCACCGTGGGCGCGGGCTGATGCACCTTGCAGACGGCCAGCGTTGAGTACTGAGTGTGGAGTTCCTTCGCGTGGACGCTGACTAGGCTGAGGGTTTGACTGACTGTATGAGTACTGACGTCAAGAGATCTTGTCTAAAATATGTACACTGTTGAATTATCATTTGCATATGTCGTCAGTGTGATTTCGACTTCTACGGCATTGATTCATTGCGGATGCATTGCAGTGAAGTTGTCCGCACCAGTGAGCGGCGAATCGCGTGCAGATTACACGTATACGACGGTACGGAGAGATCAGTATGACATCACGAAAACTAGCATCCGAAAGGCCGTACATCACGCTCAACAACACGAGAGCGCTCCCAGGAATCCAAAAACAGAAAACAGAATTAGTACATGCCCTGATATCATTTCCAAGCCGGGTATCGCTGCCAAAGTAGGAGACTGGGACGTCTGGGTATCTGGTCTGCGCAGACCGTCATCAGTAAGACAAGCATGCAATGAGACTATTCTGGACTCACGGTACACCATTTTGTAGTGAGTAGGAAGGACAGGTATCGTTGCCCTGTGGGCACCGAGAGGGTCAGGTAGGCGTGCGGATAGCGAGAAAATGCATGCTTACGGAAGGGTTAGCGGGACAGCATACGCTGGAGCCGTCTTGCACGCTTCCGAGGGCAGCTTGGTTGTTGGACCCGGCCCAGGAGCCGAGGCAGTCGACTAGCTCGTAGCTGACGTTCCATACGCCGAAGGACTGCGCAAGGCGTATCAATGCACGAGTCATGACTCGTTCATATTGACGGCACGTACAGCGTATCCTGCGTCATAGGTGGGTATGTCAGCTTGGTAATGCCAGTCAATGGTGGCAGAAGGGCTCGCCGTATTCCGAGACGTTGGAGGGGAAGAAGTCGTTTGATATTGAGTTAGACGGGAACGCAAGGTCAAAATTGATATACGCCCCGCCTCTGCCGTCCATGACTTAGCCGCAGTACCTACGCTCTGAACGCTGATTGCACGCACTTATTCGGCTTACTCGACGTGGCAGAGCACCACCCGTTCCCGCCCACAGGACAGAGGTCCGTGACCTTCACGACGACGCTGTTATGCACGTCCGGGAAGAACGGCGGGTCGGACTCGAACGTGTTGAGTAGCGTGAGGTTGAAGCACCGGCCGCAGCCCGGGCCGTACGCCATGCTGCTCCCGTACGCCATCTGGCTCATGGCGGCGGTCGGGTAGTGCGTGCTGTCCGCGGTGCACCCGCATGCGGCGATGTAGTTCTCCGGCAGAGAGTAAGTCGTCAGCGTCGCGGTGCCGTCCGCGGGGTAGTCGATCCATTGAGCGCGCGTTGCTACCGCGGCGAGACCCAGGAGAAAAGCCAGGAGGGGTACCGGGATGGGGAATGAGGCCATGGCGGCCGAGGTAGAAGGTCGCGCGAGAGTCAAAAGAATGAAAGCTGCGCGCAGAACATGGTACACCAACTCCAACAAAAAGTTGCAGGAACTTCTCAGGCAGATGATCTGGAGTCTAGCAACCGACACGTGGCCGAGTTTAAGTCCTCCGACGCCCGTAGGCCTTGGGGGACAGAGAAGATATCCATGAAGCCATGTTTCGAGCTGCTGCAAGTTCTCTCGAGTTTTTCGGAAGTGCAGGATCTCGAGATCGACGCAGCTGAACGAGCGGAAGCAAATATCATAACTTACAGGAGAACTGGAGTGCCCAGGGTCCTTCCACGAAAGGCGAGTCAGCGCTGTGCCCGACGACGACGACGGCGTCGAGCAGCGTACCGTTCTCCCTCAAAATCATGGCTTTCACGACAATGAAAGCTTTATACCCTGCATCACACGAGATACCCCAGCTGTCCGACGCGCTCCTCGCGCTCAAAATTTCGCGGCACTCGAGCTGCACCGCGTGCCCCTCCTGCTACGGACTCCGACCACCACCAGACGTGCAGGTCGTGTTAGATACAGAGCACTTAGCGTCTTCGCTGGGCACGTTGGCCATCTACGGCTCTGATGACGACGACGGTTCCACCAGTTATTTGGAGATTTGCGCCTGCGGACACGGTGTCGCTGACCATGGCGCCGACATTGCCTCCATCGGAAAGGAGGAGTTCGACCGGCGAGGACGGGTTGCTGTCCGTCTCGATGAATTACTACAGGTGCGTCCCGGGACCGTTATCTCAGCGATGCTGCCTCGTTCAAGGCATTCCTTTGTATCTTTCTAGGTGCGAATTTGGTAGTCCGTCGCTTTGTGTACCCGTATTTTTTTCCTTACGGCATTGCCAGGATTGCAGCAAGTTGCTTGATTTCGAATTTACAAACGAGGATATCCAGTCGTTGCGGCAGCAGATGCAGCTCCCTCCAGACTCCCCACACAGCTCGTTGTCCGACGTGCTCGGCTCACTCGGTGCGCCACACTACGAACGCTGTTTCCGTCGCTCTGACGCGCTCTCCAGTGCCTTCGCCCGGGCAGCCTCTTTCGCCGGCTTCGTCCTTTCTAAGCGACAACTTCGAACCACCATCGAAGAAGCGCCGCGTGTCATTTTCCTCTCTAAGCGACGCTGACGACGACGACGATGACGAAGAGGAGGACAAGCCACTCGCAGCCAGCGTGTCTGCCGCGCCTCCAGCTCCCACGCGTGAGAACGGGACTCGCGGAGTGGCACACAGGAGTGGCAAGCAGATGCCAAGCATGAAGTCCAAAGCCCATACTGCGCCCGCAACGATCGCGCCACCGACGGGGGAAGAGCAAACCGCGATGAACAGACCCGCAGAGAGCGTGATTGGCCGCGAGCCAAGGATCAAGGTCGAAGACAAGATGGACGAGGGTCAGCTTACACGTCTTGCCACTGGGGTGACCGTGGACGCGAGTGGCACGACAACAACAATGGTGGGCCATTGTCTGTTTGGCTTTGATTTCAGCTGCTGACTACCTCTCACCTTCCATTTCCCGCTCACGCTCTTTCTCATCCCTAGCCGTCACTGAAACCGGAGAAGATGGCCCACATCGAGCTGCGCAAGGGCGTTATTCGCGTCGTTGCGGTCGAGAATGACGCACAGCCACGATCTTGGGTCATCCTCACCGGCCTGAAGACATTGTTCCAGAAGCAACTCCCCAAGATGCCTCGAGAGTACATTGCACGGTTGGTCTATGATTCCAACTCGAGATGTCTTGCGATCGTCAAGCACGGATTCAAGGTGGTCGGCGGAATATGTTTCCGGCCGTTTCCTCACAGAGGATTCGCGGAAATAGTGTTCTTCGCCACAACGTCCATCGATCAAGTCAAGGTACGCCTGTGCGCCACATCGATCTGGAACCCCTGCTCACAACAGGCGCTGTCCAGGGATACGGCGGGATGCTCATGGACCACTTTAAGTCGCACATTCGCAACACCTACCCAGACATGATGCACTTCCTGACGTATGCGGACAACTACGCGGTCGGGTACTTCCGCAAGCAGGGCTTCACCAAGGAGATCACGCTCGATCGCTCCGTTTGGGCAGGGTATATCAAGGACTACGAGGGCGGCACGATCATGCAGTGCACGATGCTGCGGAAGGTTAACTACCTCGAGACGCGCGACATCATTTCGCAGCAGCGCGAAGCGATTCTCACCAAGATCCGCGAGATGTCGCGTTCGCATATTGTGTATGAAGGCCTGCCCCAGTTCCGGGAGGGTGCTCCTGAGGGCATCACAGTGGACCCGAAGGACGTTCCTGGCTTGAGTACGAGTCTATCTCATGAAGCCGCGATATCGTTACTGATAGGCTTTGTAGGAGAGAGCGGATGGACACCATCCATGGCAGCACTGTCAGTAAACAATGTACTCTCTGCATCAGTCTCATCCTGACGATCCTGAATAGTCCGCCTCGGCCTTCAGGGAGAAGTGTCGACCACTCGGCGATGCAGAAGCTGCTTTCAGACTTGCAAGGCCATCCGTTAGCATGGGCGTTCCTTCAACCAGTGAATGGCCAAGATGTTCCTGACTACTACGATGTCATCAAGAAACCCATGGGTACGCTCGCCAAGCTCCCGTTCACACGTGATCGCTGATCGATTGGGATGCAGATTTCAGCATGATGGAACACAAATTGGACACCAACCAGTACCCGAACCTGGATGCGTTCCTCGTCGACGCACAGCTAGTTTTCGAGAATTGCCGGTCGTACAATCCCGAGGGCGGCACCTACTACAAGAACGCCACGAAGGTGGAGAAATTCGTGAAGGAGCAGCTATCTCTCTACCAGTTGAAGCACGAGGAATAGCACCGTCATTCGTTTCCCTCTCCCCATACCTCTAGCTCTGTCGTCGCTGTTATCGCGTGGCTATGCATGTTTTCTTCGCGCATGTTGTATCTATAGACTGCGGAAATTGTATTGATGCTGACTCGGGTCTGCTTTTTTGTTGTGAAGTCAGATCGATATCGATAATTGAGTTGACACATGATCGGGTAGTGATCGACGCGCATTGACTTGGAACAATCCAATGTGAGCTTGAGCTTACCCCGCCAACATCATCATGGCCAACGCAGGCGACCCCAAGCCCACCTACATCTATAAACTCATATCACGCGACTTCCCCCCTCCCGACCCGCTCCCAGCAGCGCTACCCGTGAGCAGCCTGGATGCATCCTCCGGGTTCGTGCACCTCTCGACCGCGCAGCAGGTGCCCAACACGCTCAAGACGTTCTTTGGGAGCGAGTGCCGCATGTACATCCTACGGCTGGCGTATGACGTGCTTGAGCCGCAGATCCGATGGGAGGATCCCAAGGCGGAGGTGTGTGGCCCGCGTGGCGGCGAGGGCATGTTCCCGCATCTCTACAATGGGCTGAAGCTCGGGAAGGACCAAGTGGAGAGCGTGAGGACATGGGACAGGGCGGAGGGGGAGAGTTGGGATGATGTGCTTGGGAGGGCAGCTGACTGGTTGGTCTATTGAACGGATTGCAGACACTGGGGCAGTCGAGGAATACTGCAGAGTCGACCATTGATATTCAACATATCATACTTTTGGACTACACAGTCTGACGAATACTCTAAACGCAGCGCAGCAGCGCTCGTAGAGTAACAACGAACGTGCCTTCGGCTTTAAAGGGTCTCACTGGGGCCTGCTAGGTCAGAGCTCGCCCTGCTGTGAAGTCGCTTCTCACCAGCAGTCGAAAGCATGCACTTCCGAGTTGTTCCCTTGTTTGCCGTGTTGGCACTTTGTGCGCTCAAGGCGCAGCCCGCTGGATCTCGTGGTAAGCGAATCATCCGATCGTATGCGACTCCATTATTCTGATCCCAATTTCAGCGGTCGCTCTGGCGTCCAGGGAAGGCCCAGAGGACCATGAGGCGCCTTACCCCGACGTTGCTGAGCGCAGGGGCTCCCTTTCCTGCGAATATATGCTTCTGCTCTTTGTTAGCCATCTTTGACCTTCATTGTTTCTGTCGCCAGAGAGGGTGCTGAGGACTACAAGCCGGACACCGATGTTGTGGGGCGTGACTTACGCGAGGGTCCTGAAGACTATGAGGAACCCTACTCCGATGCCACTGAATGTAGTCGCGAGGCCTGGGGGCCACCATGGAGTAATGTCACGGCCTCGTAGGGGCTACTCGTTCACTTCGGGTGTTTGGCTTCAACGTGTTTCGGATCGGTCGAAGACTTGAATATACAAGTGATCGAGCACTTACACACTGCACATGTCTCACGACGGGCAATGGCCTCGGACAATCTATCAATGGAGGCGGATTGCAGAGATGGGATTGTTTTGATGAACATCAACCATGTCCCTCGCGCTGCACGGGTGGACAAAGGTTTAACTGCAAGGACTAGTCACTCGGAACAGTTTTACTATCCTCTGATCGCCTTCCATGTATGGCAATCAGGCTATCCTGTTGTCAGAAAAACTATCTTTGAGTGTGCATCAAGAAGCTCAGAAAGATGCTTTTAAGACAATTCCCTCTCTGCTATATATCCGCCTGCTGATGCTGGTAAGCCACCATTGCCTGGTCGTGTCTGCGGGATGATGCACGATCGTCGATGCATCACGATCGACGATACATACACCAGATTGTATTTGACACGAAGAAGATCTGGTCCTGTACCCGCAGCCACAGGGGGGATCTTGCAGCAGGAAAACTACTATACTTGAGATACCTCCCCTGAATGATGTCTCTATAATTGCGGATTTCCTTTGCAGGCCTCGGCTGAATGATACGGAGTCGTCCATCTTCTGAAATAGAGGAATCAAGTATGCTGTGACGGCTCAGTACATAATGCGTCAGCGACGATCAGAGGGGCGTATTACGATCCTGGCCCACAAGGACATTCGAAGAAATGAATGATATTTGGTGCGCAGTGCCCGATGCAGATAATATACAAGCAAGAACGACCGACCTCTACCGAAAACAAGGGCCAACCCAGCCTATTTCTCCAAATCGCGGTCCGAGCTGTTCACCTTGCGGTACTGGCCCCGCTTGTTCACGAGCGACTTCACCCATAGCCCGGCACCCATCCACCAGAACAGTGCACCGACCGCGACGGCAACGACTAGCAAGATGAGGTACGTCAGGAAACTCCAGCCATGCTTCACGTCGGAGACGATGGGAGCAAGGCTCCCTGTCGGCTCGGCGATGTCGTCGACGGGTTTGACGGCGGTGGCGGCTTCATCCTTGCTCGCAGTCGCCTCGAAGACAGGCGTGATGACCGTCTCGGAGACGGGTGTGATGACTGTCACGGAGGCAGCCACACTGCTGGACAACTCAGCCGACGTGCTCGGCTCAAAAGTAAGGTCCTGTTGGCAGCAAAGATAGCATTCGTTTGTATCACATCGTACTGCACAGATAAAGGCTGGCAAACTAAAGCTCAACCCTGAGAGGTACCTCTTTTCCATCCGTGTCTACGTCCGGCTCGACCGACAGCTATGAAAGCGGAGGTAAGAGAGTCAACGCCGGTGCAAACGACCAAAAAGAAACGAATGCATACCTCGCCGGAGTCGACGACGGTGACGTCCTCTAGGGGACGGTCAGCCTTGCCCTTCGGAACATCCTCTGTTTGGTGAGTAATGGTGAGACTGGCGTTACGAAGAGGAACAAGCCAGATGCGACAAACCGATGGCCTTCACAATTTCCATACCCTCCACAACCTCACCGAAGACGACCTAGCAGTTATTGTGAATAAGTAGTGGATCTGACTTGAGGACGGAACCAAACATACGTGCTTGCCATCCAACCAACCCGTGACGACAGTCGTGATGAACTAAAATGAAGTAAGACGTCAACGATATCCTACGGAGACAGGGAAGATCACGGCGTACGAATTGGGAACCTAGCTGCAGATAAGCGCATTGCACTGCAGGGCAATAAAAGCGTTACGACTTACCGTTAGTGTTCTTGCCTGCATTTGCCATGGAAAGAATACCGGGGCGAGTGTGGCGAAGTTTGCTGGAAAAATGAAACGACATTGACATATACTCGTCTAGTAACGAGTAAGTGCTACTCACAAGTTCTCGTCGGGGAACCTGTCGCCGTAGATTGACTAATACAGGGCGATGTTAAATGCTTCTCATCCACGTATCATGAGCACACATACCTTTCCTCCTGTTCCATCGCCCTTTGCTGTATCGTGATGAATATACTGTCTGAGGACGCAACAACGGACACGTACTGAAGTCACCACCCTGAATCATGAAGTTCTTGATCACCCGGTGGAACTTAGAACCCTTGTAACCAAAGCCGGGACCGAGTTCAGTGCCATCCTTCTTCACGCCAGTAGCGAGAGCGCGGAAGTTCTCAACGGTCTTGGGTACAGTCTAGCAGCGCTGTATTTAAAACGCGTGGGACGCCGTCACGCAGCGACAAACTTACACCGCCATACAGCCCAATGACGACTGAAAAGTGATATTGAGTATGTATTCGGTTGTGACAGAGCATGACACGCACTTCTGCCCATATCCTTGTCACCATGCTTGATGTCGAAGTAGACCTTGTGGGTAATTTTGGGTCCCTTCGCTGCCACGACTGATTGCGCGCAAAAGAATGCGGCGATGGTGACCAAGATGAGGCCAAGGGTCAACCGACGGAACATCATGGTGCTCGGTCGGAATGGAGGAAAAGTATGAGCTGCTCGACCAATGCAGACGTGGCTTCATCAGTATGATCGGGACCCACGACACTCCGTCGGGTATATAACACTGGCGGATTCACTGTCTGTTAGTTGCAGAACAAGTGATATACCACCGAATCCCTTCTTCAGTACTACATACATACAGGATATACTACCTGTTTTGTGGTGTATTAAATGAATAGAAGGCACACACAGTACATTCTGTCCTGGACAATCAAAATGAGATGGTCATAGAACGGTGCACGTGCTGCGCGATCGAAGTGACATCCCGAGCATTTTCTTTCGATTTACTCGATATTTTTCCCCTCCGCTCGACATGGACGACGGACTGGTGCTCAACCTTGCCGTAGACGATGCCTCGACGTCTAAAGTGACGTCGGCCAAGAAAGGTGGGCGGTGGACTGACCGGTGAGCACATTTGCAGACTTACGCAGCAATTTTCTTTGACCGATGCAGACTGAAAGCGAAACGGGTCGCGAAGCGGAAAACAAGATCAGAGGAGTCTGAACACACACAGGAGCCAGACCATGATGTTGAAAGACGTCCTTCAAAGAAACTTCGCGAAGAGCATCCCACGCCGTCTACAAATGTAGATCATACTGAAGAACGCTCTGCCCGACCGGTACAAATCATTTCTTCACTGTTCACATCCAACCCGAAAGTCGAGCAGCCCACTCCGTCTGCACACCCCCTCAAGTCAGCTTCTCGCCCGAGTAATGCCCCCTTGACCGACCTGTCCACGTTCTCTGGACTTGGCCTTGATCCCCTCATGGTTGCCCACTTGTCCTCAAAGATGGATATATCCAAGCCCACATCAATACAGAGGGCTGCGCTCCCACATCTACTGACCGCATCCGAGAACACCTCCTCGAGGGACGTGTTCATCCAATCGGAAACAGGTTCCGGCAAGACGCTCTCGTTCCTGCTCCCGATCATCCAAGACCTCCTCCCGTTCAGCTCTCTATCGTACATTGACCGCTCCATCGGCACCTTAGCCGTCATCATCGCGCCGACGCGCGAACTAGCTAAGCAGATATCAGATGTCCTGGAGGCGCTCCTGCAGCTCCGTCTGCGGCCTCAAGACGAAACCGCGGACGCCTCGGACGCGTCGCCCCGTCTCACGCGCTGGCTGGTTTCCGGCTTGCTCACCGGCGGCTCCACACGCACGCACGAAAAGGCGCGCCTCCGCAAGGGCGTACCGATCCTCGTGTCCACGCCCGGGCGCCTGCTCGACCACCTCCAGAACACCGAGTCGTTCGACGTCGGCAAGTGTCGCTGGCTCGTGCTCGACGAGGCCGACCGGTTGATGGAACTCGGATTCGAGGAGACGATTCAGGGCATCCTGCGCGGCCTCGACGGGCGACGCAAGCTTGCCATGCAGGCGGCAGACGAAGGCAAGAGCACGGAGGTGGGCGGATGGGATTGGGAGACGAGAAGGAGGACGGTACTGTGTTCGGCGACGATGCGCGAGGACGTGCAGAAGCTGGCCGGGACCACACTGAAGGACCCGATCATGATCAGGGCGACGCAGGACGATACCCCACGGCCCAGAGATGGTGCCCTCCGCGACGACGATGTGTCTGGGCTTGCCACAAACAGCCAGAAGTTCACTCCACCATCGCAGCTGTCTCAGAAGTATGTCGTTGTCCCGTTGAAGCTGCGCATGGTCACTCTCGTGGCCTTACTCCGTTCACTACTATCCCAGGCGCAGAGTCAAAGAGGAGCGAAGATTATTGTTTTTCTCAGCTGCACAGACTCAGTCGACTTCCATTGGCATCTCTTGGGTGGTACGTCTATGGGTGATGGAGAAGACGGATCAGACGATTCCGATGGCGAACAGAGCGGTATCGAAAAACAGGATCCATCTCCACGCAAGAACGGGATAGATATATCGCCGGAAAAAATACATTTCAAGTCACCGCTACTTCCTGATACATCCATATTCCGGCTACACGGCTCGCTCCCTCTGCAAACGCGACTCGCCTCTCTGCGTGGATTTTCTGCGGTGCCATCACCAAAATCTACCGATGTATCTTCGTTTTCTGTGCTGCTATGTACGTCCGTGGCGTCGCGGGGTCTGGATTTACCGCTCGTGCGAGCCGTCATCCAGTATGACCTACCGACCGAAGGCGGTGCAACAGAGTATGTGCACCGCGTGGGACGTACCGCACGAGTGGGTAAAGGCGGCGAAGCGTGGAGCATTGTTGCACCCAGTGAGGCTGGATGGGTGAAATGGGTGGAAGGGAAGATGCAGGGTGATACACTGGAAGACGTCAAGGGCAAGAACGTTGCATTGGAAGGTGTTCCTGTAGAAACAGTCCTCAAACAAGGTTTTGGGGGTAAGGGGAGCGAATACGAGGAGCGGGCAACAGAGGTGCAACTCTCGTTCGAGAGATGGGTACTCAAAGATAAACAGGTGTGATCCTTCTCGACTTCGATATCCAACTCTAATGGTACACCCTTCTAGAACGCACAGTTCGCTCGTAAAGCCTTCTTGTCCCATGTGCGGGCGTATGCTACCCATCCATCAGACGAAAAACATATCTTCCACATCCGACATCTGCATCTCGGACACCTTGCAAAAGCATTTGCACTGCGTGAAGCTCCGACTACTGTGACCAACGCAGGAAGCAAGGGCAGGGGCGCCAAGGCCCCAGCGAAGCGCAAAACCTTTCATCACGAGCCATCAGCTAGAGACCCGAGGAGCAGGGGGGGCAAACCTACTGAGACGGACAACGGCCACGATATTGGGGACGCGGAGAAGCGGATGGAGAAGGTGGTGAGGGCGCAAGGACGATTGACGAAGAAAGGAGGGAAGATGGTCAGCACTGGGACGTCGGAATTCCAGATCGCTGGAGGGTACACGTTGGAAAAATTCGTTCAAGGATCTCGGACATAGCTATCCGTGTTTCATCCGTTCGTATTTTGAGCATTTCTTACTAGCTTCCTCTTTGTATCGTTATCGTGATCACAGGTCTCCACCGCCCGGTGTGCAATGCCCTGATCGCAGAGAGCTTATGGCGCACAGAAAGGCTCTCAAACTCAATAAATTTAATGAAGTGACATGAGGAAGCTCATACATAGCATGCAGTTTGTGGAGGTCTGTGGGCGCTGACGCCACCTGCTTAGTCATATGTCAGGGAATCTCAACATAAGAGTGAGTCACATCTGCGCCTCTACAACAGACATTTTCATGGCACCACACACCCCTGCGAAAGATGAAGCACCTCAGGAGCCTCCCCCAATTACGCCAGGAGGCACGTATTCCATCCAGGTATGTGTTTTCTGATGCCACGAGTCCGACCAACTCTTGCGCCACAGCCACTCACGCGACTCAGACCGTCTCCGTAGGCTGCAAGATATACATTCGTCGCCAAAACCCCGACGGCGAGGAGGAACGTCTAGCAGAAATCCTCTCTATTCGGGACAAACCCGTCAATCCGTACGCCGCACGTTTGCAGGGCGGCGTGAAGCAGGAGGAGGCGCAGCGACCAGAGGACCGGCTTGAATTCTTTGTGCACTGGGACCAATTCAACAAACGGCTGGACGAATGGGTTTCGGGCTCACGCCTGGTGCTCAGCAAGGACCTCGAGTGGCCCCGCCCGAAGCTGCCGCCCGCGACTAAGAAATATGTCGGGAAGAAGACCCCTGCGCGCGCGCAGTCGCTCCTGAAGAAGGCGGCGACGACCAACGCCCTCGCGGTCGCGGGTTCAAAGGTGGATTTTGGCACGCCGGCCCCGTCGGCTCCGTCTACGCCGTCTGCGCGTGCTAGCCCCTCCCCGGCGCCGAGCGGCTCGCTGAAGCGCAAGTTTCCTCAGGATGAGGAGGAAGAGGACGAGGATCTCGATGCGGATGCGGATGGCGAGATGGACGTCGACGCGGAGGGTGAGGTGATGGAGATTGACGAGACACCGACGCCCCTGCCTCCGCCCCCACCCTCTGCGTTCAGCAAAGAGCAGGAGATCGAGAAGCTGCGCACGTCCGGCTCTATGACGCAGTCCATTTCGGAGATTGCACGGGTGAAGAATCTGAACCGTCTGCAGATTGGCAGGCACGAGGTCGAGTCGTGGTACTTCAGCCCGTACCCTCAGGAGTACGCCCATCTGCCTGTGCTTTACATCTGCGAGTTCTGTTTGAGCTACTTTGCGTCTCCGTTCATGCTCTCGAGACATCGGAAGCGATGCAACCTGCTCCATCCGCCTGGAAATGAGATTTATCGTTATGAAGACATCTCCGTCTTTGAGCTGGATGGAAAGCGTCAGTTGACGTGGTGCCGCAATCTCAGTTTGCTATCTAAATGCTTTCTTGATCAGTGAGTGTTACCATTATTTAGCGACTTTCTGAGCTCAGGCTGACCGCCGTGCAGCAAAACTTTGTATTATGATGTAACACCTTTCTTGTACTATGTCATGGTAAGTGTTGCAGCTTCGTCTTGCTCGTTATCTCTGACCCCCCAGTGTTGCAGTGTCACCGGGACTCTTCCGGCTGCCATATCATTGGCTACTTTTCGAAAGAGAAGGAATCCGCAGACAATTACAATGTCGCCTGCATCCTCACGCTGCCGCAGCACCAGCGCCATGGATACGGCAAACTTCTTATGGAGTTTTCCTACGAGCTAAGCAAGAAGGAGGGGAAGCTTGGCAGCCCCGAGAAGCCACTCAGTGATCTTGGGTTGCTGAGCTACCGGGCTTTCTGGGCAGAAACGATCATCGAGCTTCTGCTCAACACGAATGACGACATCAGCATAGACGAGATTGCACAGAAGACGTCGATTACGCACGCAGACGTTATGAATACGTACGTTTTGCCCACCGTCGGCTGAGGCTAGCTGCTGACATTCTGTCTGGCCAGGTGCACGACGTTGCAGCTGTTCAAGCACTACAAGGGTCAGCATGTCATCTCCATCCCAGAGGCTGTCCAGGAGCGCTACAAGAAGGGAATAGCAAAGCGCAAGCGGCGGATACACGCCGATCAACTGACCGCCTGGAAGCCTCCCGTCTTCACGAGAGATCAGCTAAGATTTGGTTGGTGAGTTATGGCTCGGGGGCTCGCACGCGTGTCAGTCAAGGTTATCTGGACGATGTACACTATCTCTCATATTCTGTATGTGCACCAGCGGTAAAAATACAAGCATATAATTGGGTCGTGGTGGGGCGTGTGCAGCTGTCCATGGTCCAGGAACATGGACGGAAGACGGAAGCGCGTCGACCTGAACTCTCGGTGCGCACCCGCATGCTACGAACCATCTGCATCGTCTAGCCGCGTCCGCCTTCTCACCGTGACCTCCGCCGCCTCCTCGGACCCAGACTCGGGCTCCAGCATCGCAAACGACTCCTCCCCGCTGCTCGACGCGTCCCGCTGTCCTCCACCGCCCCCTCCCTCCTCCCCCTCCTCTTCGAGCACGTCGTGCGGCGAGTAGTGCATGTGCGGGCCGAGCTCGCGGCGGGAGGCTGAGGGCGAGGGCGGCTCGGACGGCGCGGGCGAGAACATGCCGACGCCCGCGAGCTGCAGGTTGCCGTCGTACTCGAGCGCGCCGCGGAGGAACGCGCCGCGCGGGGTGTCGGACTCTGGCTCGGGCTCGGGCGCGCTCTCGGACTCGCTGCTGTCCTGGATGACGATCGCGGGCGTGCTGCTCGCCGCCGCCGCGGGGCTCGTGGACGCCTTGGTGTCGTCGACCACACCGAGCGTGCGCGCGATCACGTATGAGGCGACGTCCTAGCAGATGCACCACGGCGGAGTGAGCGAGGGAAGCGCGACGCGGATCAGAGAAGGTGCGTACCAAGAGCGTGAGGAGGACGAAGGGGGCGATGGAGAGAAAGGCGAGGGCGCGGAAGGTGTATGCGACGCTGGCGACCCACGAGGCCGAATGGTAGTCCCAGAGATAGTCGAGGTACAGATGCCAGAGTGTGCCGGGGACGGAGAGGAAGTCGACCATCGTCGTCGCTCAGGCCAAGGCGTGCGCGCTTACAGTCATCTATGCTTGGCTTATACACCAACAAAACTAAAATTTTGGTGCCATCTGCCGCCACACTGTACAACAAACATTCTGAGTAGGCAGAAATTTGGGGATACATACAGCGCACTAGATTCCCAAGCTTTGAAGAGATCGGAAATGGTGTGGCCGAATTATTGTCAGAACAAGGGTGTATAATGTTTGGTGCTTAAGCCCTAAAACTAGGTTACACCCGTGGAAAGATGTTAATTTTTCATCGGGAAGGATTCACTCATGGGCTACTGAAGGGACAGATTTGATACATTAGAAACTAATTCCTGAAGAAGAGACTAAAATGAAGAGGAAAGAAGGGAGGGAGGGAGGGAGGGAGGTATATTCCGGCTTGGGTCCCAATCAGGAACGCCGGTTTTCTGTACTATACATGGTAGGCTACTAGTCCATGTACATACAGAAGGAGTGTAGCATCCCATATGTCTGCAACAAAAGTATAAATGACTTTACCAGATACCTCCGCGGCACTCTCCGGTCCGGGAATCTGCCGCACACGCATACATGGCATGAAGTCGGACATACGTTGAGATGCAATGCTAATATACAGGGGTACACGCCGCCGAGGGCTCGATATCCTACCACTAACACACGGGAATAGCATGCACAAGTCTATGGCGAACAAACGAAACGAGGGGGTAGTCGATAGATAGATAGATCGTAACAGCGAAATGCGACGAAGATGCGAGCAGACCAAAACCAACCAGGACGACGCGAGCGAGCGAGCACACGAAACACACAAACCAACCAAGCCACCGCCATCGCGCTAAGGATAGAACACGTTCGACGGGAACACGATCCCGTCATTCCGCACGAGAATGATCGGCCGGCGCTTCGTGCTCTGCGAGTCGGGCGGGAGACACCCCAGCACCTCCGCACAGCGCACCTCGACGTACGGCGACGGCTCTGAGCCGAAGAACACCGTCAACGGATCCGCCTTGGAGAAGTTCTCGCCGTACACCGTCAGCATCTTCGACGCGTGCGGATTCGGCTTCGCCAGCCCGCCGCGCGACGACACGCTGTGCTGCTTCGGCGCCTCCGACGCGCGGTCGGGCGGGAGGTACTTCACCACGCCCGGGAACGGCGTCACCGGCTTCGACGGCGTCGGGAATGAGCCCGTCGGCGGCGCGTTCTGATTGTCGAACAGCACCGCTGGGACGTAGAAGTTGTACCGGATCTGGTCTGCAGAAGCAATTAATGAAACGTGATCAGCGCTGTCCGGCCACAGAGCACAGAAGAGAAGAGCGGGGTAAGCGGGGTAAGTGGAGGCGCGAAGCTCACCGGTACCGACGATCGTCCACACGCTCGTCTCCCCGATGTCGACCTGCCAGAGCGCGCCGGACGACGCGCCGGCATCACTGGCAGAGCCCCGCCGGCTGGATCCCGCCGAACCCGCCGACGTCGGCCGGCGCCGGCCCTTCTGTGACGCAGGCTTCGAGAGCCCGCCGCCGCTGGACGACCCGCGCTTGCCCTTCTTGACGCGCCCGCCGTCATTGGACGGGAACTCGGCCGGGTCGGGCGACGTCGGCGTACTACTCACGCCGCCCGTGCCATTGAAGTAGTCCGCGGAGCCGGAGCTCGACGTCGGCGTGCTTGCCGCGGGCGAGCCGGGCATCGCGATCGGCGAGCCGCTCTCTCGCGCAGCGGGCACGTTCTGCGGGGCGGCCCATGCGCGCCCCTCGACCGGACGATACGTGTTCACCTTCTCGCCCAGGCAAGAGAGGAACGCGCCAGTGAGGCCGAGCTTACCCGGCTCGGGCAGCGCCTTGCTCGCGTCGTACACCTCCAGCGCGATCTTGTGCAGCTGCGAGACGGGGTCGCCGCACACCTCGCCGGGCACGCAATAGTGGTCCGCGACGCCCTTGGCGCCCTCCTGCAGCCCGCCGCCGACGGCCGTCGTCTGGTGGTCAACCTTGCGGATGATCAGCACGGGGCTGACCACGCCCGAGGTGAGGCACTGCAGGACGACCGTCTGATTGTAGTAGATCGGAATTTGCGACCCGTTGTTCGTGGACGGGATCGCGTTTGGAGGGGGTGACGGGTAGTCCGGCTGCAGCGGAGGCGGCGGCGGCGCGTCTACGCCACCAGCGGGTTTGTTCACATCCACAATGTACATGATGAACGGATCTGATCGGAGGTTAGAAGGTGGCGCCTGCAATGAAGACAGCGTCACGTACCCCAACTGGCAGTGCGGGCGATGAACGACGGCGTCGTCGACCGCGAACGCTGGTCGAGGCCCATGAGGGGATTACCGTCCGATCCTTTGAAGGACGACCCCGAACCAGAAACGCAGAGATACTTCGTAGATACCGTCTGCGAGCGAAGACGGTGGAACAGCGAGATCGTAGACCCATGATTGATGCACACTGAAACAAAGTCAGACACTCGGTAGCCTAGCGCACACCACGGGACGCACATTCTAGGTTCTTGGCGCTTTGCCTCTTCTTGCTCGGCTTGCTGATGACCTTGATAGAGCGACTTGGGAAAGTGCCTATCACGCGCTCGGGCTCGTCATCCGCGGAAGGGGCCATAATCTTAACGAGCGCTTCGACCTTCTTCTTCTTTTCGTCAACGTCCGAGATGAATAGCTGCTTTCCGACGCAGCGGCCAATGAAGGTCGTGCCTGTAGGCGGGTCCGCAGTGTCGAACGGCTTCCCGGCGCCACCGCACCACTCGACCGAGCCTTCCTGCGGAGCAGGCTCCCCAGAAATGGAGACGACGACCCGCGGCGGGCACAGCTTGGGCTCTTCTCCGCGACGAATGACGTCCGACCACCACGAATTCCCAATCAAAATGGCCGTTGGCGGAGGGCAGAGGAAGCTGCAGCAGGTGCGGGGGAAACGCTCAGTCGGCGCAGGAGACGCGCAAGAAGCACGGCATGTACGTACCGCTTCTCCGTGCCGTAAGACTTTTGGGCAACCTTGCTGGACATCACTATCACGGTGCGCTCGCCAAAGGCGAGACGGTTCGGGGTACGCACATATTGATCCAGATACGGGCTGCGGAATCAGTACATTCATTCGTTGAGCGTTACCGTTCTGTCATAGCACGTAAGATGCGGCAGGGGAATCGCGTACCGTATGAACGTCTGCAGATCAGTAGACTGCAGGCGCATGCGCGACAGGGTCTCGTCCACGCTGGGGATGCGTATAGGGAAATCCACGTGCGGGTTGGGCGTCATATACGCCGGCAGGTCGTCGTAAGACATGCCCTCTGACCTGAAGGCATGGGTCGCGTGGGGATTGACGCCGCGCATGAGGTCAGCGGGGTGAGATTGGTGCAAGTGGGCGGGCAAGCTGCCCTGCATGGAGGAGACCATGGCACCAGAGAAACGCGTGTCGGGCTGCATGCGCAGGCGGTCCTGGAATTGATGGACCTGGGACGGAGGGAAGCCGATGCCCATGGCCGAGTTGATGCCCATGGCGCCGTAGTCGGTGTTGTATTCAGATTGGTAACTGCCGGTGCTGACGTTGCTCATGCGACGATCCTGGACGTCTGGAAAGGTGGAATGGAAGTCTTTGTTCTGGTTCGGGAAACCGCCAGGGGAATAGTGCAGGGAGGGTATGCCGTCGGAGGGAGTAAGCGGGGAGGGCTTGCCGCTGGAGTAGGAGGAGGAGGAGAGGCTGCTGAGCATGTCATAAGGGTTGGCGTTGGGGGAGTTGAAGGACGGCAGAGGATCTGGGAAGGGCCCTGGGGAGTAGATGGAGTCGACGAGACCATTGTAGGGCGTGAGGGGAGCAGAAGAGGAGGGCGTCTGGCGGAAACGGTGGGAGGAGGAAGCGGGGTTAAACAGATCGTACGCTTGGTGATCTGCAGGGTCGATGTTGTCTACGCGATCGAGGGAATGAGGGTTGATGTGCAACTGGGAGTTGGGATGGTGCTGGTTCTGTGCGGAGGACGCGAGGTCGGCATTCTGGAGGGAGTTGAAGGGGTCGATGTCCTGCTGGGAGTAGAGGGAGTGTGGGGGGCCGGAGGAGGAGAAGTCGATGGACATTTTGCGTTCACGGTGGATAGCAGGCTTGAGCAAGTCTGAGAGTGGACGTGGTGGTGGTAGTGGTATAAGAGAGAGGCCGGGTGGAGAGGTCAGAGGAGCGGCGACGCGAGACGCGATCGCCTACTTACCATACTCTGATCGGCGGTCGGCGGATGCCGAGACGGACATCCAGGCAGCGGCAGAGGCCATGGTGGTTCGGTGAAGCTATTGTCGTCGGCGGCAGTCGCGGTCGGCAGTCGCGTGCGGGGCTGAGCGTACGTAGTCTTCGATGGTGGAGTCAGAGTTTTTAGAGGCGACAGCGGACAGACGTCTTCGTCGAAGCGCTTGGCAGAGTAGGAGAAGAGCGGAGCTGCGAACACGACTGGCTGCTGGCGGTGTGTGCAGCAGGATCTCCTGCGCGCGATATTTATACTAGGATGCTGACGAGATCTGTAATGGGTTTTTCGAATGCAATTTGTATTTTGTAATCGAAAAGCTCATTCGCTATCAGGCCGTCGTCGTCGACACGCCGAATATTGCGGCAAAGTCAGACTCTCATCGATGCTCGAATCTCGCCCGGCGACTCAATCACCATCAGGAGGCTCCCAATCAGACTCCACGTCCTGCTCGTCCTTCTTCCGAATATTATGCTTTTCCCCGATTGGCCCGTGCGCGTTGACGTTATCCCAGTCGGCGGACATGTTGCTCTCCACCAATCCTGCATCTTCCTCTTCGTCCTCCTCGTCTGCCCGACCCTCAGCCACGAGTCCCCTCGCAATTACTGCCACCGACCCGCCTGCTTCTGCGCCTGCTTCTGCGCCTGCTCGTCTGCGTCCATGTCCAATTGTCCCGTCGTCAATTGCCACCGCCCTCTTTTCTCTCCCGCGTAATCCCTTCTCCCCCTGGCTGCTCTCCTACCCATCTGTCGCTGCCTGATCGACGCCTTCCTGTTCCATCGCGCCCACTCCTCTGGCTCCATCCATCACTGCCTGCCCAACCGCTGTCACTTCCTCAGTCACTCTCCTGTCACTCACGCCAGCCCGCGTCCCAGCGTCCCTCCTGCCCATTCCGTCCCTCCTTCCATATCGAACTCTGCGTACCCCCTCGAACCATCGCGCTGATGTTCTCCGGCGAACCCCCGGGGCGTTCCACAGACCACAGACCACAGACCCCATCCGGGACCCGTCTATACGGCATCGCCATATGGGCCTCCGACAACTTCTATCCTCCGGCCCGCCCGCCCCTCGCCCGCGTGCCTCCGCAGCCCGCTGAATAACCGTCCATCCTCCTCCGTCCTCGCATGAGCCAGCCTACATTGACACTGACGCTGCTGTATCCCTGATCGTTGCAACCCCCTCACCTGCCAGATCCGCTCGCCGCGTTCAACGTAACCCGTTCGTCATCCACACCACCTCGCATAGATAGACGTTAGCATCGCCCCCACGTGGCACATACATTCCTCACGCACATTAATGCGCGTTGTGGACGAAAAATACAGCTTGTACACAGGACACAATACACCGGAGCACTACTACAGGCTGGACCGGACAGTCTGAGTCGACGTCATGACAGTACCGCTGTATCCCATCCCAGTAGATAGAAAGCGCTCAGGTTCGTTGAATACTCGATACAAGTCTATCAAGCAGGTGACGTAGGGCGTGGACATGAACGCGGCACGCGTAGCGGCGAGCATGATGCACCGCTTCTCGGGGTCGACGTCTGCTCATTCCGCGGGCGGCGGGACGGGCATGCCTGGCCTGCTCAGCGATGCGAGCGCATCTGCCCGAGCAAAACAAATGAGATGTTTGGAATGAGAGGCGATCAAAGGTCCTGCTCGCCTCTGCCGTGCTCCTGGAGGGGGAACGGAATTTTGGGCTGGTGCAGTGACTCGTTCGTCGACGCCAACGTTCAGGTCACGGACGGTCTTCGCAAGGGGCCCCAGCAGCAAGGCCGTCGAGAACTCGTCTGCCCGTGCGCGTGAATGCCGTCAGTGTGCATTTCCGTGACGGAATCTCCTTTCGCGTGACCGACGCGCTGGAAACGTCACGCATTGACGGTCACGGTCAGTCTCATCTGCCAACTCTCCGCCCAAGGCAACCCGGTGACGTGACGACGGCTGTTCGCCTGCCAGCTCTGTCGTCATCGCCGTCCCACGAATCTGCCCGTTATGTATACTTATCGGTCTATCGTCACATCAATATTATGGCACCCATAAATCACAGTCGCACTCGTCGCGGGAGCGCACAGGCGCGTCGCGTAACGCTCTTTCATCGACACCCCCATGTGTTCCTGGCGAAGCCCGAGCCCAATGTTCGACCAACCCCGTTTCCCTGGCGTTTTTGCAATCCAGCTCACCAATGAACGCGTCCCTGGCAGTGCCCGCGCAGCATGTGCGTCCGACCCTCCAATGTTCACAGCCAATTGCAATTTGTTGTGCATCTTTAATATTCTTCCGTGGATCGACAGTACGAGCGGCGGACGCCGCGGGGACAGCACGCCCCGGTGCGCATATGGCCGTCGTGCACCTCCGCGCTGCGAACCAATGCGCCTCTCCCCGTTGGCCACGCCCACCATGTGCACCAGCCCCCCTTCGCCTTGGATCCCAGACGCGATAGGCCGCGACGGAGCTCCTGGCGGCGCACGATAGCTGCTGCCCCCAGATGCACCTCGAGAGATACGTCGTAGATAGCGTACGAAGGTGACATATGATCGACCTCTTCGCGAACCCCTTCGTTCTGATCTGATGTGCGCGCGTAGCCTCGCCGATGGGGCGACACGCCCCGGAAGACGGGCGAGATATCGTACAGACGGGCCCTACGCATACGTACGCGTGCGTGCAGCCCCGATGGCGATACATGCGCACCGAGGAGAGTGGGACAGCGCGATCGGTGCCAAGCCCCTTCGAGCGACGACGCTCCCACTCCGAGCCCCCGTCCCTTCCCTCGTCCGCCCTGACACTGGACGGCTTCACAGCAGCACCGCATACACGCATTGCGCAATGGCACGATGACGCACAGCGTACCGTGCACAACGCACAATCTGGCATAAGCCCTGGACCAGGTCACGCCAGCCTTATTCACGCGTCGATTGCAACGCGCACCGCACGAAGTGCTGGTTCCCGGCGCCCTCCATACCGTACACCTGCGGCCGCGCGATACAAAGCAGCCCGATTGCGGATTGCTTCCGCGAGGGTTGGCCCGCTCGGCCTCCGTCAGATGCGCGTGCGCGGCAAGGAGATGCCCCAATCGGCCGCGATCCATCCTTGCGCTCCGCCGCGCCGCTCTGCACTCCGCGCTCCACCCTCAGGGCGGCAGCACGGGGTGCGCTGGGTTCAGTGGGAGATTTAGAACCTAGATTTGCTCCTCGATATTTGGAACGGAGGATCGCGGTGGGCATTAATAGCATGGACGTGGTCGTGGGTACATACAGGGCGAGCATCCAACTCTAAACCCCCACCCGTCCAGTCCCGGACAGCCCCGCAGGCCCGCCCCCAGACAAACGCGGACAGCATGCCTACCAAAGAAAGAGCCAGAACGCCTGACAATGATATGACACAACCCGACTCTCTTTCGGACAATCTTCGTCTTCCCAGAGTTTCCCGGAAACTTGCGTACACCATCATATCACATCACACCCCCCCAGCGGCAGCCAGCCAACGCGACCGTGACACGGCTGCCAGTGCTTCTCGCAAAGCGCCAAGCTAACCCTGTATAAATAAACCCAAAGAGAGTCGACCCAGGAACGCACGCACCGGCCGTTGGCGCAGAAGGGGTCCGGCGATAATGGCAAGGAGACTCCGGCAGGCTGGCGCGCACAGCGAAGTAGAAGAAGGGGTAGTAATATTAGCCACGACAACCACCGTGGCGCCTCGCCGAGAAGAGCAGCGATCCACAAGCGTCCGAGCCACGGCCGCGCGCGCCAGATGCGATATTGTTGAACGATGAAGTATCAAACAAACGTTGACGATTCCAGCGCGATACCGCGGCAACCGTCGCCCGACGCAGTCCCAAACGGCACGCGTGAGGGCGCAGTCTCTTGTCGGCGCCCCCATCACGCCCTCAAAATTTGCTATCGACCTGAGAGATTTCGACAGGCCATCAGCGCAACAGATTGCATGGAACCTGTAAATGTCCCGATGATACCCAAATACGCTCCGCAGGGCGCAGCACCCGCTGGCCCTCCCGGCGGACAGCTTTGCCTCAACACCGCAGCCGTTGCTCCAGGTGGCCTGGCCACGGACTCCTCATGCCAGCACGTCAGAGAGCAGGCTATGCCTGGCGCGAGGCTGGTGCGCGGTGCTACCGGCGGTGACATGCAAGTGCACATGTATATCACTTGCAACATTTGCTGAGGAAGACGTTACGTACCCCAGAGGTTGTTCGTACAGCAGAGTTCGAGCGTGGCCTTGGTACCCTAGTACCCTACATAGGCTCGAGGATGATGAGCGCCCCTAGAAGTTAATTAACGAAGACCGGCGAACAATGCTTACCAGGCGCGCGTGATCATCTCAGACTAGCAGGATAGCAGAAAGAAAAAAAAAGATCAAGACCTTGTTTTCCGACGAGAGATCGCGCGCGGTACATCGACAGTGAAGGGAAAAGCCCGCCGACCAGTTTCAGCAATTGCGCAGCGCGGCCTGCAGATACAGATACGCCAAAACCATCCAAACAGCCCCGAAAGTGTATCGCGGGATGGAATCTACCGGCACGGTGGCCATAACGGCAGGCAGAATCGGTCCAGGCGGTCATTTGTTAAACACCGCAGCAACAACGCGGCAGGACAGTGCCCGAGATCATCATCTTCGAGCCTGTCCAAAGCGCATGACTTGCAATGAAGCCCGGTCCGAAAACACAAGGATGCATCTATCACCTGCCGTGAAGGTGCGGCAGTGCTGTAATAGGTGCCAAACAAGACTGCCGGTGGAAGAGGGACCGGTCACTGGAATCGCTCGGACGGTAAGAATAACGTTACTTGCGTTGCCGAAATGAAGGTCATATCGCCGAGGATTGCGAGAGTTTGAGGGCAAGCGAACACTTGAGGCACCACCGGCACTAAGCGCGGGGAACATTGGCATCTGAACTGATGCACGGTGCGAAGCGATGGAGATAGTATCAGGAGCCCGGGTCTGACATATCAACTTGAGCGGAGCACATGGACGGGTCGGCCTGTCAGGTCTATCATAGATCGCAGCAGCACCAGCTTTGCACGAGAAACGTCGTAAAAACTGATCACCACAGCAGGTCCGATGGAGCAAAATAAACAAGGAAAAGTCTATTCTCGAATGGTCGCAGCCATAGGGTCGAGATGACAAAATCTGGCATGAATATTTAGTAACACCGTTGGACAGTATGACGACAGAGAAGACAAGCAAGGTGGCTGTTTACCACATTTGATATCACATACCGATCTGGCAATCAGTGAAAAGCCTCGCTTTCATCTCGAGGCCAAACGATGCCACCACCGAATATATGAAAGACCACTTAGAAAAAGGTAGGTTCAGAATATAAGCGAGCTGTTAGCACAATAAATGGGGGCAAACCGGCAACCTTGACATATCCAACCAATGAGCATGCTCAGAGAACACACCATATCAACCGAAGGCGGCTTTGCAACACAGGAAAAGGGTCCGCGGCGCGGCATAATTCAGTCAATCTCAAGTGGGCACGCTCGGACCACAGGACAAAATCCAAGAAGACGCACTAACCACAAAGGTACATGATCTTACGAATTCGACGACTCATCTTCCGAAGATGTTTTAGTCGCGGAGGCTGTTGAGAGAAGGTAGGGTCTGAGTACTGTGAGAACCAGCTCTGATCTCGGCAGGTGAACTTAAACCTTCACCAGAAACGCTTGGAAAGGCAATGAGCGTTGTTCGACGCGTGCAGGACTTCATTGAAGAGTCAGTTGGACGGTCATGAGCTCTTGCAACCGAAGAAGCAGCTCACTTTCACCGTAATTTTGAAACACCATCGAAGCACATTTCCCCGTGGGGGATGTACTCGGGGATATACCGGGTAAGTTCTTCGAGCAGGTGGCTTAAGCTGAAGGTATGAGCAGGGTGGATCCTTAACTTTTGGCCATACCTTCCGCTCCCGGAGAATCAGAAGGAAGAGAACATTCAAGGGAGCGAGAATGTTCGGAGAAGTCCAGTGAAAGGGCAGTTCGCGTCACGGTCGCGACAAAGAGCATGGAGAGATCACCGCCGACCGTTGCAGGCAACCCCGGAAGAACTTTGACCTGGACGAAGAAGAGTGAGTGTGTCGCCTCGACGAATGGCATCGACGACGAGCAGGGCGGGGTGTTTCTTCCAGAACGCGACGTCCCCAGGTATCAATCACCCGACGAGATACGTGCCCGTAGTATAGCTGAGCTCCACTGCGACAGACTCGGACAGGTAAGTAGTTCTGAACTTCAACTTGCCCGCCACAGTGGCGACGCCACAATGACCAAATATGGGAAGCCCACGCGAGGGTCGCATGGCGTTGAGCCTGGCCGTGCCAGGAGCTGCCACCAACGCTGCCTTGAGGTCGCTGGTGACCACTCTGGATGACTTTGCTTCCTGCTATCATCGTCCATCTATTGTCTTGAGCATCGAGCTCGACGAACACGACGGCGGAGCCGCTGCTTTGGCCAGCACTCTCATCGTTCTCTCTCCTACGCTCGCGCACCCCTGGCTATCTCCGACACCAAATACGCATCTTCCCCCAACTCAGGCCTTCGTTGGCTTGTTGAGATATCTCAGGCCAGTTTTCTACTATGTCCGTGTCCTCTTACAGGCTCGAGACCCCGCGCCCCCGCCCCCCGCCCCCGCCAATTCGCACACACAACTTCTCTGCGAAATCTCCTACACCATCCAATCGCAGCCGAGAGGCGACACGTACACTCCTTTATGACGTTCCCTCAGCAACAACGAGACGCACAGCGTCTCCGTCTGGAATCGCTTCGCCGAGCTCCCCGTTCAGGTCTCGTGCGAGGACCCGCGGTATGACACCCCCGCCGTCAACCCATCGTTCGATCACCCCATCTCAGCCTGCTCGTAGCGACTTTGAGGAATTCGCTGAGCATTGTCGAGCATGGTAGTTCCGCCCTTGTTGCTTTGTTACTGAATTTGGAATTGATTTCTATGACAGGTATTACGAACAGAACGACAACGCTGGACGTGTTATGACGCAAACTCTCGCGACTCTGCCTCCTTCACAACGGGCACCGTTCGCTAGACTACAAGCATCTGTTCGTTCCGCATACCATGCTAGTGTCAACGCCCGACGAAATGCAGAATTCAAAGCGCACCTCAGTGCTACGAAGCCTGGTGGTTCGTTGATGCCTCATTCCCGGGCTGACCCAAACGGTCCCCTGGCGAAGAAGGAACGTTACGAACGGCTTGAGCGCTTCGTCCGAACGTGGTGCACGATGGGTATGCCTGGCACGAAACCTTTCTTTCAAGGCCTCTGGGCAGTCATGAGGCTGCAGGTCATACCACAGGCATTGGGAGGCGCCGGGGGATTGAGAATCGAGTGGGAAATCGATGACAGCGTCTTCAAAGAAGCAGCGTGAGTACTTCGATTCTCGACCGCATTCATGCGACGATTGACCGTTCGTCGGCCCTCTCCGCTGCAGCGGGAAAGACTTTATGCTTGACGCCATTGACGTCCTGAAAGGAGTAAGCGTCCGGAGTTTATCATTGGTCCGTTGCTCATTCGCTGCGCACTTGAATTTAGGTTCTTGGATTCGAAGAGGCACCGACGACAAACAACTCCCCTTCACTTACTATTCCTGGACCTTACTCGGCGTTTTCACCGTTGTCGACGATACATTCTCGGTCGCAATCACAGCCACTTCCGACAGACTTTTCCGCTCCTCCTAATTTGCAGAAAGTCCCACCAATTAGCTCTACGACGACGACACAGCCCAAGCGACCGCGAGCCCCAAGCGACCCGTTCTCGGATACACCCGCTCTGTCTGCATCCTATTCGTCCGCCACCACGACTCGCCTATCAACCTCTGGTTCCACACTGGCGGAGGAACCACTTACTCCCACCACTCCAGTGGATGGCGAAGACGTATTCGCGCAAGCAGCCTCCGTTAACACTGAATTTTGTGATCTGGATGGTCACCTACGCACTTGGACAGCGCCCGATCTCCGCAATCCTGAATATGTTAACCTACTTTCTGTTTTCCCCGCGTTCATAACGCAAAATACTTTGCCTCGATTCCCCATCACGTCAGGGTCTCAACGGCCTGCTGACATCGAGGAAGGCGAAGAGATGCAGGAAGACTCCAGGCGTATCACCATCGGTACAGGTACCATGTGGCTTGGAGCGAAACCTCGCACGACTGGTTGGGAAGGTGGATGGTGGACGAGGTTCAAGCTTTGGTTGCAGAGAATCTTCTGCTAGTCGCTCGGATAATCGATCTAGACTTTCACCTCCCCCGCATCACCCCATATGCCCCACTGCGTCGGGTTTCTCTCGGGGCTTGTCCCCTCGTCGCATCTCGTGCAGGTATCCAGTATCGCTTCCTCGGACATACCATGCCACGCGCGCGTATCTCATCCCTGTGCCCGATGTACATTCCGTGTATTGTATACATCGTATCGTCCGACGTCTCACGGCGAATTACATCCCTTTTACCCTCCTCCCCCTACCCTTTTTCTACAACATAGACCCACATGGTCGTCCTGCGCATACCCTGTATTTCCACCCGCGATGTTGATAGTGTTTGCTATGAATATGTGCTGATAACAGAGAACACTAGTTTGATATTCAGGACAGTCTGAGTCTCGTCATGATCATCTTCCGACCATCCTTGCAGCTACGACTTGTCGATTGCGCCGACCGTCGGCACGCCAGAAATATACCAACCAAGCCTTCCCAATCACCATGCAGTCTTGAATCAAAGTGCGCAGCATGAGGTCCTCGCAAGCTTCCGAGTGATATTTTTGCTTGCATCCAAGCCGCTCGGATCTACCGGGTCAGTAATCTCTGTCTTCCTCCAAGGGGAAGTCGTAGTATACGCTTTAATCCCGGTCCTTCCCCGCCAGTGGTTGGCGTAATCGAGTGCTTTGGCTATCCATGAGTCGACCGCGTGATGTGGACCATTAAATTACATCACTGACGATTCGATTCTATGTGGCAGGTCGCGGTGGCTTTGCCGCTCATGATTTCGGGGACAATATCTAGGGGATGTGCAGATTGGTGGTGCGTCTTATTCCCTCCGTTACATCCGTGGTGGTTTACCATTAAATTGAGAATCACGAACAAAAAATCGGGGACAGTCTAATACCGATGAGTCTGCTCACAAGTGAACTGGGGCGTGCCAAGCACGTCTATAGAGGGTGCAAAGCATAAATGCATTGCGACGCGGACTGTATTTCAAAAATCCTCAGTTCCCTTCCCTTCTACGCAGCAATTGTCCCCGCTCTTACCTCCTGGTCGTTGCAGATAGGCCTCTTTCCGCATGGAGATCTCCGCTCAACAGTCTTGCGGTCTTCATTCTGGTTGGCTAATGGCTAGCGAACCACAGCAGAGTCGTAATTCTGTACCCACACTGTCGGCATCAAGTCAGGTTCTCCTCAGCATTACAATTTCTTCGTGCCTCAAGGCAGGGTCGCGACCGTGATTGGCACACATCTTTCCCCCTCCCATCGCTAACGTATGCCATGGCCAATACGCTTGTCGGACGTTTCAGCCCTCTTGTTGGTCGATGTGCAATTTCGATTCCTCGGCTGTGAAGGTTGAAGTTGAGTAGCATGGAAAGGCGGTCATTCTACCTTCATACAACCTTTTATGGGTTGCTTTCGACGCGGATGCCCTCGGTGATCTCCTTGTTCTCTCAATTATGTGAACTCTTTCCAGGACGCAGCCCTTTCAGATCAATTGGGCCATCCCCGTCGTCCGCCATCTTGAAGCCCTCTGATTCGATCCAGCCCTGCTCGTGGCTTTTGCAATCACTCGGCTCGGCGAAGCCTGCTCCACACGAGGGATTTGCTGTGCGGGTGTCAGGCTATGTTAGCGTCCCTGTATTCATCTAGGTGGTGAGTTATCATACTGGTTCGAGTTCAGCTGCGTTGATTCGTCCTTAACGAGCCTTGGCATGTTCCTGTGCTTAATCTGCCTTGTGCCCGAGAACCCCGCCACTGACCTTCTCCTGCATGCGACACTTGCGATAATTTCAAACCGACTGGAAAGCGAATATCACCGAATGCACGTGCATGAAGTTTCTTCCTGACATTTGAAGTGAATTTGAAGTCGTTGTTTCCTAATACATCAGCCCTTGTCGCGGACATCGCACTTACTCCCGAGCATCTCTAATTGGTATCGGCGAGGACGAAATATTTCGGTAAGTACCATCTGTTGCTCTTCTCCCCTATGAGAGTCTTTTACCTCTTCAGAGAATTCAAACTCGCCCGTCGCGTCCAAATGTCCCGACATAGCCCGGAAGGCACCGCTCTGCCTTCCAATGCTTAATTAGTTCGCACACATCAACGGCCGTTGCCACACGCGTTGTTGCATTACAGATGACGGTGCATAACGGCCCGTTGTAGCCACCCGTGCAGAATGTCTGCAATCAGAGCCTTCTGTACAGGTTGGCATCCCGTCCGCTGGATAGCTGGCGCGCAACATCCCGAGGGCCCTTAATATGATTGGCCACAGGCCCCCTCATCAATCTTGTGCGAGGTTCAAGCTCAAGGTTCAAGCTCATCTCGATTATCGTACCGCTGATCATCATCCCAGTCGTTCGGTCAGGGCCAGCCTGAAGTGAGAAATCGCAGCCAGCGCCTCAGGGAGGAATGCGACGCGCGTAGGTCGCATTGCCGGCTGTTCGTTTACAGAGCTTTCTATCCCGCACTTGAAGGCGACAGAACTGCTGGCTGCCGTAACTATCACATATCTTATTAACTCAACAGCATACCGGGGGCTGTGGATGTGGTGCCGCAGTCTGTCTTCTCGAGAAGTCGAAGCAACACGGGATACATTCATTGCAAGCAATGCATACAACAACACGGTACGTAGATGACGTAGACTGGATCTCGACGCTCGGCGGGACAGCAAAGCCGCACCGAATCGGAATATAAAACCAAACTTGAGACACAACGAAGGGCACCACACGCAAAATAGAGAATACGCACAGATCGAGGCTACAGATTGAGACGAAATGGGCCGTCCGCATAGAAAAGAGAAAAGCACCGAATGGAGACAATAAGTTGTCGGATTGAAGAGCAGGATCAATGTCGTGCAGGAAAAAGCACTCATTCACGCCTTGCTTGCATGGTCGAAATAATCTCCATATAGGTGTTTTTCTGGTTCTGAATCCTGTGGTAACTTCGTCAGTATCCAAGGATTAATCATAGAAGTAACTACGCACGACAACTTCTCTTGCTTCAGTTCTCGCTCCAGTTCTTCAATCCTGTGCTCTTTTGCGAGAACACTCTGCTGAGCGGCGGCAAGCTTTCCTTCAAGCTTTCGAACGTAGTCCGGTATGTTCGACAATCCAGCAATTCGCGAATTAATGACGTCTGCTGACAGCTGATCTAGGGTTACGCTGCCGCCTGTCTGCGTGGAACCCTGCAGAGCAGCGGCACGCTCGTAGAATGGATACTCCTGCAACATCGTTAGATGTTTATTCGGCGCCCATAAATAACGATACTCACAGGATCTGCCTGTATCTTGTCGCACAGTAGATTCGAACCATCCAAGGCTTTCCCCTTGCCCTTATCTTTCGTTGGAGAATCGGGGGCGTCCGCATAGCTGAGCTGACTGGAGGATGCATAGGCCAGCTGGGAGCTTTGCGGTGGCGTTAGAAGCATGTCATTCTCACTGCGTCCATGTGCACTGGAGGACCCAGGGGTGCGCGGCCCGCGAATTTCAGGATGGGTTCCCCGAAAGTGATAAGGCGGCGGCGTTGAAGGACGAGCTCCGTCTTCGCCCTGACTTTGGTGACTGAGCCACACGGCATCCTCGTCGACGCTCTCCTCTTGACCCCCTACGTCGCCTTCTGTCGGCGAATAAGAGTGACCTCCCTCGCTGCTTTCAATGCGGCTGCGCTTCGACGGTGAGGGGGGAACAGATCGCAGACTCTCCATAGACTTCCGCGCTGGTCGCGCAGTGAACCCTGCTGTAATATCTGCGAGGCGATGGGAAAGATTCTTACCTGAAAGACCAGCATTTATATCCATAAGACGCCTCTCCTTCTGTGACGGCGTGAACTTGCTTGAGGGCGTCATCTGGGAGCCCGACAGTAGAGCTTGGGAGCCGTATGAGGGCCCCTGACGCGTCGGAGTGGCAGGAGGGGTGGCGGAACGAGGCCGCTTCGTAGGTGACGACGGTGCCGAGGGGGTTCTAGCCATAATTGCTCGCTGCCTCTGGGAAGGACGAGGGGACTCCTGAGAAGAGCCAGGCGCAGCAGCCTGCGGTTGGGCAGGGGGCAGGTCGTCCTCCCAATCTGCATATAGTCAATTAAAACACCGTGTCGCAGCCACTAGATGCTTACAAAAAAAGTCGCACTGTTCCGAATTGACGGGCTTTGCGCACTTGTAAAATGCACTATGGTCTGCTGTAAAGCAGTCGATCAACAGTGACCGTACAAGACACAACTCACCGACCTCTGGTCCTATCAGTCTTGCTAACAAGTCTTTGAGCAGGTTCATGGTGACCAGGACATCTGACTACACCCTCTGAATCGCGGGGATTGGTCTTTGACTTGGCCATGGCGGAAGGGGTGAAGGAGAGTGAGTTGTGAATCTTGTGATGGCGCAGGACGGCACCGCCCCTCGTCAGTCAGTTTACCAAAGATGGACAAGGCGCGTGACCGATCGGCTGCTCGCGACTAACCACCATAGACCACCATGTCCCTCACAACAACGGAGAGCTCGCCCTCGTCCAGCTCGCGTATCCATGTCAAAACCAGGTACATACCCCCTCCAGAGCCTTCTCTACCCGCTCTGGCCGTCCAGGTAACCGAGATGGTCGACTCTTACATGCTGTGGATCGGCACGACGAACGAGCCCGCCGAGAGCGTGCAGAACGCGCCATTGCAGGGCTGTCTCGCGAGAGACTGGGCATGTGCCATGCCCACCCGAGATGTGAGTGTTCTTCAGCCGGTGCGGCAAAGTGAACGAGCAGGCTTCTCGGTTGTTGACTGATACTGGACAAGATCAACTCAAGTCTGCCGCCTGCAGCGACCTCTCTGTTCCGCACCTCAGGCTCCGACATCGCGCTCTCGATGTCACAGCGTTTGGGTGATCGCTCCATTTTCTTCCTACCACATCCGATCTGCGCTGACTGCAACCCCCGGATGTCGTAACTGCACACTGGCACGCTCAACTGCCCTATCTTCCTAAATACAGCCCGGCGCTTCAAAAAACAGATATTCTTGTCGGTGGACATTCCGCCCTCGTTCCAGACGATGGGGCAGGGTCCGCAACTGATTTTGGCGGTAGAGAAGACGATGGTAGAGACGCTGAAGGAGCTGGAGCAGAGGCGCACATGACCACGCGGCACGATATACTGTCATCGAGTAGCTCGGCAAGTCGATAGATATGTGGTAGTAGGATATCATTTTTGTCGATAGGAGAATAGAATGAGTGCAAAGGCATCAGAATAACGAGTGAAATCGAGCAGCCATCCAGGTGCTATCGATAAGTGAGGCGCAGGATGTTCGCCACTCGCGGCTGCGCCGTAACGGCTCGGCGTCCATGATCGGGGCTCACTTCATCTGAGCTCTGCTCGCCCTCCATTCTCTTCGTCGTCTTCTCTGTCGTCCTCGTCGGCCTCGTACATCATCGGCAGGGCACCTCGACGTTCCCATCCACGACGACCACCCTCCAGTTTATGTCGGAACCCGAGCTCTTGCCGTACATGTCTGGTACAAACGAAGAATTTGACCTTCCCCGTTGGCATACTCAGACTCTTCACGACGGCCTGTCCTCTTCGGCACAGGCTGCTCAGTCGGCAGCGCAAGCCTCGTATATATACGCGCAGGGCCCCTCTCTGCCGCCGATGCAAGCTACTGCGCATCGTCTTGCACCGATGCACCAACAGTCGCCTACAGGTTCTTCTCGCCAACCCCGTATCACGCAGCTACTCGATGAAGACCAACCATTTGTCATGAATTCCCTTCCGTACACCTCAAGCAGTCTTGCACGCAGTGTCTCCCTCGGTGGTGGCGCTAGCGCAGCGCCCACTTCCAGAGGGCGCCGCCATCAACAGGACGATCTCGAGGGCGCATTCCATGTCGACGAAGAGTCCGTTCAGAGGCAGGCTTCTCAGGCAATGCAGCAGTCTTCCCACTCGCTGTATCCCCCCAATCTTGCATACCATCCAGCTCAGTCATCGGTGGGCAGCGCGGCCAATAACAGCGCCTCTGCAGCGCCTGCCGCTGATTCATACCACGACCCTTATTTTACCACCGGGCAGCAGCCGAGAAGATCACAGACACAGCACGATGTGAGCACTTCCTCCAGGGCGCCGCGTTCGCCTCATCGGGGGGTTACATCCAATGCGCTACTCGGCCCTTACATTCCACAGCAGAACCAGTATTCATCCTCGACCCCAATTTCCTACCCTTACTCGCCATCGCTGGAGCAGCAGGGAGCGTATATGCCCGGGACTTATCAGGCACACTCGCGCTCCCACTCTCAAAGCAAGGGTGAAGCTATGACCCCACCCGTCCCGGCCGCATCGGCATATTCATCGCAGAACGTCTTGCAGACATCTAATGTCTACTCGCCTGTGTATCCGATGGAGACCACAAGCCCAGCGCCGTCGTCGTCGCAGAATCTTGCTACGCAGCGCGTTCCGCGGCAATCTTCCGTGTCGCAGCCTGCTACGCCTTTGTCTTTCGGGCACACTTCCCAGAAGGCTCAGCAGGCACAGGCGCAGTACTTTGCACAGGAGCATCAGCCTATGACTGTGGAAGTGCCACCGCCGAAGCGTCGTGCGTCTGGGCTCAGGCGCGTCAGAGATCACCGAGATTTGCGGCCATATGTGAATGCCCAACCTGCCGGACGGCGAATGGATGCCAGTGGCATATTTCTTTCAGTCAGTGTTCTGTGCCGCCAGTTACCTAGTCAATGGTCTAACGTGATGCTCCTGCGCGTTATATCTACAGCCGCTCAGACAGCTAACAACGAATATAGTCGAGACATATCAAATATGCAACCCCCAGTTCAGATACGAATCGACTCACAATCCACGGCGGGTTCTTACCAAGCCAAGCAAACCTTCGCACAACGATGGGTTTGACAATGACGATTATGACTACATCCTGTACGTCAATGACTGGCTTGGGACAGATGAAGGTCATAAGTGCGTTGCGGTGTCTCGACTCGCTCTTCTTGAATGTCGATTTACAACGCCCCATCAGATACCTCATTTTGGACATCTTGGGACAAGGAACATTCGGGCAGGTGGTGAAATGCCAAGATATGAAAACACACGAGGTAGTGGCGGTGAAGGTGGTGAAAAACAAGCCGGCTTACTTCAACCAGAGTATGATGGAGGTGACGATCCTAGAGCTGGTGCGTATTCTATTTCCCCTTCTGCGTCAGTTGAATCACCGAGTGATATTCGTCATACAGTTGAACTCACAATGCGATCCACATGACGAGCACCATATATTGCGGTTGCGGGATTCATTCATTCACAAGAACCACTTGTGTCTTGTGTTTGAGCTGCTGTCTTCTAATTTGTACGAGCTGATCAAGCAGAACCAATTCCAAGGCCTTAGTACCCAGCTGGTGAAAGTCTTCACCGCTCAGTTACTGGACGCGATGACTGTCTTGAAGGAGGCTCGGTTAATTCATTGTGATATGAAGCCAGAGAATATTCTTCTGAAGTCGTGAGTTGAATATATTGCTATGACATCGGTGGCGCGAGCGCTGACACCTCCCGACAGACTACAATCACCACAAATCAAAGTCATCGACTTTGGTTCTGCGTGTCATGAACGACAAACGGTCTACACATACATCCAATCTCGATTCTACCGCTCGCCAGAAGTGCTACTGGGAATACCATACACGGCGGCTATTGACATGTGGTCATTAGGCTGCATAGCGGTCGAGCTCTTTTTGGGATTACCTCTCTTTCCTGGTACGAGCGAGTACAATCAGATCACACGGATAGTGGACATGCTGGGGTATGTCTACAATCTGTCGTCCATTGCCGATATGCTGACCAATATGCGTAGGTTACCGCCACAGTACATGCTTGACATAGGCAAGCAGACCGGCCAGTTCTTTGACACTTACACGGACGTGTATGGCCAAAAGAAATACAAGTTGAAGACCTTAGAGCAGTATTCTCGCGAACACAACACCCAAGAGCAGCCTGGCAAGCAATACTTCAAGGCAAGCTCTTTGCGGGAGATCATCACCCAGGCTCCGATGCCAACATTCAAGTCTTCAAGGCAGGCTCATGAGGCGGAGAAAGGTCAGTCCGTTGCTCCTCCTGTCACTGGATAAATGTGGATTAATCGCTGGATAGAACTGAACAATCGAGCATCCTTCATCGATTTCTGTCAAGGACTGCTGAACATGAACCCTATCGAGCGATGGTCACCTCAGCAGGCAAGAATGCACCCGTTCATCACGGGAGAGAAGTGGACAAAGCCCTGGACGGTAAGCCATCTTTGATCTTGCGATGATGCGGCACCCTTAATTGCGCATTTGTGATAGCCTGCTGGACAGCCTAACAACGCAGTGGCACCGCCGTCAACGAGCGGGCCTGACACTAAGCGACCCTACGGTGGTTTGGTGCCGTCACAACCGAAAGGTACCCGAGCATATCAAGATGCAGCTGCATACAACCAGCATCTCGCCCAACATCAGGCATACACGGCGCAAGCCCAGGCTGCGTCACAGGCGGCGCAGAATGTGTACAGGAATCCATACATCACACCACAGACTTCCCAGCAAGGATCGACGTCGTACTCGGGGTCGCAGGATGCCGCGACTAGCTACGCCGCACAGCAGCAGTACACAGCCCAGCCTGCCCAAGCGACAGCCCAGAGGGGGCTGACTCATCAGAGCTCACACGGGCAGCTGAACGTCAACACGAATGTCGGGCAATACGCCGGGCATCCACAAGGAGGCGCGTTCCCTGCCGCGGCGTCGCATCTCAGCCCCACTGCGCCGTCTAACTCTTACTATTCTTCTGCCCGGGCACGGTCGAACACCATCAACAACATGATGGATAACATTCCCCCAGCTCTGGCGCGGCTGCAACACATGAATCAAGACGTGATAGGCGGGCGCAAGGCATTGACACCGGTGCTAAAGCGCGACGATGCCATCCGGGAATGGGAGCGGCGGCAATCGGGCAAGGCTGCTGCAGCACAGCCTTATCCACAGTTGGAGTTCTTGCAGCAGCAGGCTGAGCTCGCAGCTGCGCAAGGGCTTACCAACTGGGGCCAGACGGGCACATCGAGGAGTTATCATCATCAGCCCACGTCGAACCTTGCGCATTCGTATCATCCCTCTACATCCATGGTTGTTGACGAGGATCGTCGGGACGCCATCCTGTCGAACGTCCGCTCCGCCGCGCGCGCAGAGCCACCCGCTAATATGTTCAGCTCGAACTCGAACGTGATCCCGACCCCTCCGCAGGCGTACTCGAGCAATTCCACCACGTCGGGGAATCGGTACGCTGCGACCTATACGCAGCCGCAGCAGACGCCCACCTCTCCTTTCGATTCCCTCGACCGACGGACGGATATCGGTACCCTATATGTTCCAATGCAGCCTGACCAGTATGGATCATACAGCAATCAGGCGGCGGCGTCGGCCGTTGCTCGCCAAGTTGCACCGCCTGCCCAGGCTGTCCCACCGTCCTTCTATGGTGCGGGTGTCGTGCCTGCGGGAATGGCGACCAACCAGCAGCGCAATCCGTTCTCCACCGCAGACACTTTGCCCACCTCCCAGGGGCAGGTGAGCTCCAAAGAGAGTCGACGGAAGAGTGGAATGGATCTGTGGACACAGTAAAGCTTGCACCCGCTTCTCGTTTTCTTGTCTCTACAAAACATCCGATGTGGTTTCACTCGACATCTGCTCTCCCCATTTGTACCCCATTTGATTCCGTCGCATCATACTCAGATGACGCAAGATATGCTGTCGAAGCCATGCATGACCCAATCAATTCAGGATGCGCTAGTCGCCCATGGACTCAACCTGCGGTGTAGCTTCTGACCTTTGCTATGTGTATATTCCACGACTGTACCTACCATCCAACAGACAATTCATGATTGACCTTGCCGTCTGCTGTACTCAACCTCTCTACTAATTACATGCGCTTAGGTACCGGGAGGACACCAAGGTGCGTCTACTGAGTGCGGGGATTACGTTTGACGTTTGTCAGAGACCTATCAGAGGCTTCCGAAAATCTCCTCCACTTCCCAAGCGCCGGTCCAATATCGGACCTCTGCCTTGACACGCCTATCGTCCGCGAACGTCTCGTCGCCTTCGTAGGCTGTAATCAGCTTGTGGAGACCGCGGTGCCGCCTGCAGAGCACCATATCTTGGCTGTACACAGTCTGAGTGGATGTGACGTAAGAACGAGAGCAACACAGAGGTCACCTTCTGAGACGTAAGATTGGACAAAAGTCGTTTGAGCCATCTCCGACGTAGATGACCCGGTCGAAGTCGGGGCGGTGTCGTGCCAGGAAAGCTTCGAGTTCCTCGCCTAGGGCAGATGTCGGAGTCACACAGAGCCGGTCAGCACACCAGAGCAGCGGTACCTTTACACATGTTGGGGCTGCAGCCCACCGCACACTGGTGCTGGGGACCGGCAGGGTCAATTTTTCTCCGGAGCTTGAGGAGGCCTGACGCGTCCCATTCGGCAGGATTAGTGACGACCTCGTCGAAGAGGGAATCTAAGCCCTTATCCTGCGGATAGCCTTTAGACGACGTGTCTACGCGCGCGTGAGGGAATATCCGAGTAACCGACCTTGAGAATGGTGGAGATGAACACGATGTTCGCGTTGGACAGGCAGAGAAAGTGGGTGCTTGGGTTGGACTTGGCTTTTAGGGCCTGCACCCCACGGATCATTGCTGGGTGCTGCGTAGATAGAGCGACCGTCAGAAAGGGCCAAGAAATGATGGACGGGAGAACACTAACGAAAGGCATCTTTCTCAGAGCACCCTCAATATCATCCCTGGAGCCCCCCTTGTCATGCAACTCGTGCAAGAGTAGCGCGCTGGTAAGATCAGTCATTAGTGCGTAGAGCGCGTAGGTGAGATCTGTAATCGTACACGATATCAGTCCACTGCATGTCGAGCTTCAGTGTCTTCATTTTCCTGCGCAACTCCGGGGCGAGGACTTCGAAGACCCATCGGTCCGAATCCTGATCTGCCAGAGACCTGTGACTGGTCAGAGATGGATGAGGGTTTCCAGCGAACTGTGAAGTCACCAGTCGAAGTCGAACACAACCAGTTGTCTTTGGATGGAGGTAGCCATGGTTTGGGTATCTGCGAGTAGTTAGAGAGCTTATAACTGCATGTCTACCCCAATCGTTACCTGCACACTGTGAAATTAAAAGATTGAGCGCGAACGTGACTCGCGTCGCGATCGACAGCCACGTGCGTGCACAGACGCGTCGACCCTGCGTAAGGCGCGCTTAGACGCAACCTCTAACTCCTCAGACAAGCAATATTCTAAGTAGTCGTCCATCTTAAATAAGAACTGTGCTTGCATGGACAAGGCTACAAAAAATACGTGGTGATTTACGCCAAATGGTGGGGCACTGCCAACCTTAAAAGGGGGTACGCGTGCATAGGACAGTCTGCCCCGGGTGAAGATGATACAGCGCGCCAGACACGTGTCTCATCCGGAGGCTACCCGGCCCCATGCCGCTCTAGCAAGAAGGCAGTGCATCCCAACTAGCTTCCAAGATGTATTGCGGCTCCGATCGCCGAGCGCGCCCGAGGATCGATACAAAAGAATGCAATATAACAGAATTATGCGTGTCATGGATGTATCATGAATGTCATACCATACGAAAGTTCGCCAGTGAGCCCTTCGAACATGTCGAGGTCATCACCGAGGCATTTTGGAAGAGCGCACCCGCGAGAATGCGAGTGCTTTGTCGACTGCGTCCAGGATCGGCTGCATAGCCTACATCAACCATTAAGCTGCATCATTATACACGAGAGTACCGTAAAAACCACTCACAACTCGCACGCGCGTCGGATCGACGCCCTCCGCCTGCGCGGCGCGCACGAGGGCATCTACCTTTTCGTGCGTCTTCCCTAGGTACCCGACCATCTTCGCCGCCTTCGCCGCCTTCTGCACCGGCGTCGACATCGACAGCGTCTGCACCTCTACCAGCGGCGGATATATCGACAGCCAGAACTGTCGCAGGAACTCGTTGGCGGCGGTTTGGCATGTGGTCATCTGTCGGAAGATGCCCTCAGGCAGGTCGTCTGGAAAACGAATTGGGTGTGAATGAGGAGAGGAGTATGAGGAGACCTACGCTTTTTCATCTTGACCTCCAGTCGGGCACTCACGTTCTGCGTCATCCCAAGCAGGGCTGTATCTGAGGCTTTTCGCTCTATCTTGAGCTGGTACGAGGGTACGGATTGGAATTATATAGCTTCTAGCGTTAGAAGAAAAATGAAGTACCTGGCTGAGATCAGCAGACCACCCCTGCATACTCTCTTTCGCCTCCCGCAACGCCGTTCGAAGATCAAGACCCTACGTGTCTCCGCGGTTAGGGAGTAAAGACAGCATGGAACGAAACTCACTGGATTCGGAGTCTGTGGTGCTGACGACTCCATCCTACCTTGGAAGTATCGCTGCCGATCTTGCATATCTAGCAGAATACCTGCAGAGGCTTGGTTATCGTGTAGGTCTTCTAGGTCCAATTGCGCTAGGCGCTGTCGACATCAAAATTCTGAGAACAGGATACCCTAGAGATAAAAGGGGCTCACATCGAGGCCTTCGTCTGTTCGTTTCCGTTTCGCCGCAGGTTCTCCTCTTCTTCCCTTTCAGACGGAATATCTTGGAAGAATATGGGAGACGTACAACGCGGTATCCAGCAATCTCCCTGAGTGTTCGTTGAATTTGCGAATGAGTGGCAGGACCGCTCGCTGTTTCCCCGCCTGCATCGTGACGTCTCTCGCGTTGCCAGTCTACCAGAATATTAGCCAGACACCTTGTGAATTCATTTACCACTACCTCATCATGGTCCTCCTGCGTGGCGCCTAAGTCAATGAATATATCCACGCCTTCTTGTCTGAGCCGCCGGGGCTCCAACTCTAAGCAGGACCGGCGTGATTCACGATCTCATTGGCTTGACGACTACTTACCATCGTCCTCCTTCTCCAGGTACTTGTCGAATACCGGATCATCCTTGACGACATGCTGAGCTGCAGACGAGCGGATGGAGGCTCGGTGAGCGTTGAAGAGCTTCGACTGGAAGTAGCGCTTCCAGAACTCCGCTTCGGAGAGCTTCCGTGTGGTTTAATGGAATGCGCTATGAGAGACAAAGACTTGAGATACCTTGTTTGGAACGTTCTCGCTGTACGCCTTCGCTACGACGGGATATTCTTCGAAGATATCATGTACAAGCTGTGGGGTGATGACGATCTTGACCTCCCCATCCATGGTCTGTGGTCGTGGGTCAACCAACTGACCTGGTTTTCCTCGCTGCTGGTTCTCGGTAGCAGCCTGCGCTAGGAGAAGATGCTGCATAAAAGTTTCAAAAGACGGTACACACGGGTGCAAAGCTTGGAATTACTTCTCGGCCTTCCCAGAACTCGTTTTCTGTAATTTGCCCGCCCATGACGAGCTCTCTGTGTAAAGCCGCAAGTTCCGGGTTGCTCAGAAGCACTTTCTTGCGCAGCCTGAACTCGCTCGTAGGATCGTTGACCGGAGTTCCCGAGGCGTGCGAGTCGCTGCCAGTAGAGGGCGCGCGGGACGTTGACGCCCTAGACGCCTGTACCGAAGGTCGGTGTCCATGCGTGATAGGCCGCGCGGGCACTGGGGTTCCAGGGGGAACAGCGGAGGCGGGTGTTGCGACCCCGCTACGGTTGCGGCTGATGATGGCAGTCAGTTCGTTCTTGAATTTTTCGCGTTCGGCGAGCGCCACGCCTTGTGGCGCTGTGAAAGTGAAGTTGTGGCCTGTGTCATCCCCGACGACTCCGAGCTTGAGACGTGTTTGTGCGGCGCCCTCTTTGCTGCAAAATAGAGCTTCGAGAGGGGGATGTCAGTAAAGGTTTGAGCGGGAGACAGAGATAATTCGGCATAATAAACCTGAGATTAAGTGCACATGGACAAAAGCTCGAATGAATCGCGCACATATCAGGTCAAAGTGCGAGCCCGTCCACCGAAGTCCACGATTCAGTCGAGGTGCCTACCAATACACGAGGTGCAAAAGTATTGGGAAAGCTCACATGCTGCTTCGGCATAGGATACCCTGACAGATGGTACTTTCTTTCCATCTTGGGTCCATAGAAGATGGGTGTGAGTGAGTTCTAAGAGGCCGGGCAACTTCTTGTAGGAGGCCTTGGCCGTGCAGAGAGTGGAAGGCATGCAAGCGGTGGCGTCGAGCGCTCTCGCCGGCAGCTACTTTAGCGCTGGATGTAGTACGCGTGCACGTGATCCCTGCGCGTCCACGGTTCGAGTAGGACGCGTACACCAACCACGACGACCCACGATCTCCCTTATGTTGCGTAGGGATACGACGAAGAGAACTGACTTCTACGAAAACAGGTGAAAAACATGTGGGCATGTGCGGCTCTCCCTGCTAATGCCTGCTGTGCACCAGGCTCATCGAAGCAAGCTCAAGACCGACATGTCAGGATACCATTTCACGAATGCTCCGATGCCCTCCACGGACTCAAGCTTCGACTACGATAACAGAGACCAGGCTGCTGCCGGTGTGTTAAGTCGATTATCCAGGACGTCGCCTGTCCGCAACCCTTCTCTGCCTACCGTTGAAGAGGACACGGAAGATAATTCTTCTATTGGCGACTGGTCTTCACCTTCGAGACCTAACACGGCGTCTGGAATCTCTCTTGTACCTCGATCTCAGAGATACGACAACTACTACAATCCCCTGCCCGCCATCAACTCTGGCGAACCACTGCACTGGGACGACCTGCACCTTCAAGGGGACGAGGATCCTTTTTCGGCCCCTCAAAGCGCGGTACAGTCCCCAGTACGCCCACGAACGCAGAACACGACCCAATCTCAGGACTACCGCAATTCTGGCTATTCATACACAACAACAGACAGCTGGCAGCTTCCCTCAAGGCCCATATCTGCGTACAGCGCAGTCAGCGCCGATCCTTCTCCTGTGCGCCCCAACTCCACGGGATATACATACTATCAGTCCGAAGACGAATTATCAATCGACCACTTCAGGCATGACACGGAGGCCTACGCCTCTGGGACGTATTCCCGCCCGTCTTACCGGCCCCCGCGATCCCGCTCTCCTACTCCTGCCGTGGATGATGAGGACTACCAGATAGTGGGGAACGACAGCGTCCACTACACGGGGCAGTCACCAGCGCGGCAGCAATCGCCTTATGATGAGGAAAAGGCCGCCGCTTCACATGAACATTATCGGAGCTCCTACACCGACGCAGACGGGCAGACTATGTATAGCGGTGAAAGCGGCAATCCGGAGAAGTCCCCATACCCCGAACCCCCGACTCCCGTCACCACTCGCCATTTCGGCCCTGCGCCTGTCGGGCGCGTCCTTCGTCGTCGCAAGACGAAGAAACGCGTGCAGCTCACGAATGGTAACTTGGTGCTCGACCTGGATATCCCCCCGACGTTGGTGCTGCCTAGGAAGGGGGAGCCGGAGATGATGAAGACACGATACACTGCTGTGACCTGCGATCCAGATGAGTTCGAGAAAAGCGGCTTTTTCTTGAGACAGAACGAGATGAGGAGAACAACCGAGCTCTTTATTGTTATCACTATGTATAATGTACGTACCCGTTTCGTTATTCTGGGTGTGTGGTTCTTTGACATAGCTTGCGTCTCGTTGCTCATTCGCCTCCTTCCAGGAAGATGAGGTTCTTTTCTGCAGGACAATATATGGTGTCATGCGGAACATATCTCATCTTTGCTCTCGGAAGAATTCCCGTACATGGGGTCAGGATGCGTGGAAGAAGGTTCTTTTATTCCCTCCCTAATCTCTCTTGACCTTCTTACTGTTCATACAGGTCGTTGTCTGTATTGTAGCGGATGGCCGCAAAAAGGTGCACCCACGGGTCCTCGACTGCCTGACCTTGCTCGGCGTATACCAAGCCGGCGACCACATGAAAAATATGGTCAACAACAAGCCCGTCACCGCCCATCTGTTCGAGTACACCACATCTTTCGGTTTGGATTCCAACCTGCACTTCAAGTACCCCGACAAGGGTGTCATGCCGACACAGATTATATTTTGCATGAAGGAGAAGAACCAGAAGAAGATCAACAGTCATCGGTGGTTCTTCAACGCTTTTGCTCCCATGCTGCAGGTAGTATTTATTCTGTAATACGCAACACCTCACTTGTTGGCTGATGTCCGGTGTTCAGCCCAACGTCTGCGTCCTCCTCGATGTCGGTACGCGACCCGAGAACAAGAGCATATACTACCTGTGGAAGGCATTCGACGTGAACTCCAACGTCGCCGGTGCATGCGGCGAAATTGCTGCGTACAAAGGCAAACGGTGGTCCGCATTGCTGAACCCGCTCGGTGAGTTGTGCGACGCGATATATTCTGCACTCTTCCGTGACACCCTTGTTCCAGTTGCGGCACAAAATTTCGAGTACAAAATTGCCAACATCCTCGACAAGCCGACAGAGTCACTGTTCGGCTACATCAGTGTCCTGGTGAGTAAGTCATTTACATGTGATCGTTCTGCTGTTTGACGGCTCCCCAGCCCGGTGCCTTTTCAGCGTATCGGTCTGTAATGACGACTCGTGCGCTGTATGTCGCGAATTCATTTTGGTCGTAGGTACATCGCACTGCAAAATGACAAGATGGGCTATGGGCCGTTGGCATCGTACTTCAAGGGTGAAGTGCTGCATGGTCGCGACACGGATATTTTCACTTCGAACATGTGTACGTTCACCCTGCTATCTCATCTGAATTCATCTGATGATAATGATCGTTTGATGAACAGACCTCGCCGAGGATGTATGCGTTTTGACCTACTTCTTTGACAATATCCGCTTACGATTTGAGTGCAGCGAATTCTGTGCTTCGAGCTTGTCGCGAAGTCGAATTCCAATTGGTGAGTTCAGACGGAATCTCATCTCATGGTACTTACACCCGATACCTCACAGGATACTCAAATACGTGAAGAGTGCAATCGCCGAGACGGATGTCCCCGACGCTCTGCCTGAGTTCATCAGCCAACGCAGACGGTGGCTGAATGGATCTTTCTTCGCAGCGACCTACGCGATCGCCCATTTGGGGCAAATTCTGCGGTCGGGGCATAGTGTGCACCGGAAAGTTGTTCTCGTCTTCGAGACCATCTACAATGTGATCAACCTGGTGGCGGCATGGTTTGCTATCGTAAGTCAGTTTCATGCTTTGCGCTGTGCTCCTGAGCTGATTCGGCGACAGGGCAATTTCTATGTTTTCTTCGTTAGTTGACATCTCCATGTGTTATGTTTCCTCCAAGCTGAATGACGACGCAGATTATTCTGACGTCATCTTTGGAGGCCCCATCCTTCCATATGACAGGTATCAAGTATTTCAACTCCGTTGTTCAGGTATTTACCACATTATTTCCTGGCTAACGTGTGGCTTGAGCCCGGGCATGTAGTTCCTGATGGCAAGTGTCATCGTGGCGTGTTTCCTGTTCTCCATGGGCAACAAACCAAAAGCGTGAGCACCACATGAAACACACCATCTCCCGCTAACTCCACCTCTGCGTCCAGATCTAAATGGAAGTACAAGCTATCGGTGATCTTCCTCGCCGTCATGATGGTCTATATCATCTTCGCCGCCGTCATGTGCTCCATACAGGCGGCATACCAGGGCGGCGGGGCGTATCGGGTCATGCTCTTTAGCATCATCGTGACCTATGGAGGTGAGGATCCTGGCTCCTGCAGCGAATGTGCAGGCGAGGGCTGACGGTCTGTAGTCTACTGTTTCTCTAGTCTCCTCGCCTTCGATCCGTGGCATATTTTCACGAGTTTCATACCGTATCTGCTGCTGTCTCCCACGTATATCAACATCCTGAATATGTAAGCTCTAACATGTTTCTCTGGCAGTAATAAAAGTGCTTACCAGACTACCCAACAGCTACGCGTTCTCCAACCTGGACGATGTCAGTGCTCTCGCCTTCTGCCATTGCTCCCGCTGAGCTGTATCATCGCAGATCTCGTGGGGCACCAAGCAAGACACGGACGTGGAGACGGACCTCGGCGCGGTCATCCAGAACAGCAACTCGCAGGTCGACGTTGAGGTGCTCACGGACGCCGCGGACGTCAACGGCATCTACGAGGATGCGCTCCTGAACCTGCGGGACAGAAAACCCGTCCCGAAAGCCAGTGCGGGACCGAGCATCGCGGAGAAGGAACAGGTGGCCAGAGATTACTACGCGAATGTCCGAACGAATGTATGTTGTCTTCTACAATGGGTGCCCGGGTAGTCTGTTTATGGTGTTGTTTAGGTATTGTTGGTATGGGTTATTTCCAACGTGAGTGGTTTCTTGTCGTGGCTTGGCTGTGATGCACACTTGCTATTAACAGGTCCTACTGCTGGTGTTCATCCTGGGCTGCGGGGACGCCTCGCAAGCGTTCACCGGCCAATCGTTCACTCGGTCAAGGGCGTATATGACCTTCATCCTTACCTTCGTCGCATTCACCACCATCATTGTACGTCTTGTGCGCTCGTCACAATTCCGATACTCACTCTGGGCGCACAGCGATTCCTCGGCTCAACAATGTATCTCGTCGCACGCATCTTCACCGGGTAACTTCGCATCTAGCTCATGTATCGTTATCGTATATACAGCCCCAGTGGGCACCAGCGGACATTGTCTTCAGTAGTTGTCGTACATAGACACGGACTGCTATACCTATACCACATAGCTTACAGAGCGAGCCCAAACACCAAACGGAAAGCATCACGCAAACAAATACTCGTAGAACGAACGTGCGGCATTCGGCTGCTCGACGCGTGGCGGCTCGACACGGGGGCGCACCCGCGACGAGGTCCGTCTCGCGGGCGAGCGCGAGGGCGAAGATGCGGAGCGGCGGGAGCGCTCCCACACATGCGCACGCAGCGACACCTGCCGGACGCGCGGAGCATGGCCGGCGTCACGCAGGCCCAGTGGAGAAACGGCTGCAGGGAGGCCGCGCTCTGCCTCCGCGTCGGCCTCGCTGTCCTCGGCGTCTGCGTCAGTGTCGCCGATGACGGACCACGCGTCATCGCTCGCGTACGTGGGCACGGGGAGGAGTTCAGAAGATAGCGGCGCGGAGGCGTCTGAACCCTCTGCGATCGCGCTAAGCGATTGAGCTCGTGCTTCTGCTGGTGTGGAGGTGAGCCCGTCGGCGTCGGAGTCGGTGCCTACCTCGTGATCGGAGACGAGGTCGAACTCAGAGACGAACTCGGAGTCGAGGTCCGTTGAGGGCGGGGTGTCGAGGCCGGCGGCGGTGCCGTGGTTGGGGCGGGTGACGTTGGGGCGCAGGAGATAAGTGAGGCGCTTGCCGGACGTCTCCTTGCCTGTGCGACCGTCCATATTCAGCCATGCCGGGGTCAGTGGGGCGAACATACGCATCATGTGTGGAGGAACGACGCACTGAAACTGACGACATCGTGGTAGCGCGCACAGCAGTGCACGACGTACCGCGTGAAGGCATGGTCCACGATCCACCACACGAGCTGCAGGGGAGTGCGCGCGACCTCACGGATCGCGTCCGTGCTCCCGACGCGCACCCCGGGAAAAGACATCTGTGCGGCGGCGTCGGGAGATAAGAGGACGCCGCCCGCGCGCAGCCAGGCGAGCAATTCCCCCTCGACCTCGCGGACGAGAAGCTCTGTCCTGGGCCCTGTCTTGCGCAGCTCGCGGCGCATGCCCTTGAGGCTTAAGCTGAAGCGGCCTGCGTTGGCTGAGGCGGGCTCGCGCGCGGGGATCGCGGCGGGCGGGACGGCGTTGTTACGCGAGAGATAGCACGGTAGGGGCTGCGGGAATGTCGCATGGATGCTGGGGGCGGGTACAGCGTAGTCCCGCTTGGTTGGGGGCACGATGTGGGAGTTGCCCACGAAGCGGGCTGCGAGGAGGATTCAGACTTAGGATTGATGGGGGGTATGGTACCTGACTCACCGTTCTCTTTACGCCGGATCCACCGCTTGCCCTCATTATCGTCCCTCCTGCTCTTCTTAGGGGCGAGCGGGGCAAACGATGCTTCCTTCAGGTCATCTGCAGTGGTGCGTAAATGCGCAAAACGGTCTGAGATCCCAGGGGCCCGCAGGATGGCAGGAAAAGACATAGGCACCGGCCCATCGTCCTTGCGAACAATGGTTGGAGTCTGTTCCGTGGGCGTAGGTGCAGGGAGAACCTCCATAATATTTATTGTGCGGGGGGGATTGAAAGAATAAAGAGCAAGCGATGATAGGGTACAGTTCCGATCACCTGGACCTCACATGTTACTAAGCTAATTAGCTTGCCATATGGGGTGGGTACGGCAAGCTAATTAGCTTGCTTCCCCTATTTTAGACATACTGCCAGTAACATACCAAATAGCTATGCTTTCCCCTACCGGCACAAGTCCTCCGGCTATTGCGGATGACCCGAGGCTCCCGATGATGCAATCTATAGATAGCGGGAGGTCTGGGCGGTCCATCCCGCCGGGCGTTGAGTATACCGTCGGCTATTCCCGCTCCCGCCGCCACGCGCGCGGCGCGCCGTCCCCGCCCTCGTCGGGCACGACGCCGACACCGTTTTCCCCCTACTTCCCGTAGTTACTGTTACTTTTCCTTCGTTTTTCCCGCCGCCACGCGCGCCGCGCGCGGTCCCCGCGCTCGTCGGGCACGACACCGACACCGTTTCCCCCCTACTTCCCGTAGTTATTGTTACTTTTCCTTCGTTTTTTTCGCAGTCTAATGTAAATAATGCAGGCTATTAGTTTATTGTAATGCAGCGTTTATCTTTCGCATTAAGCCTGATGTTCAACAAGATCACGTGCATAGTTCTTACGCGCCTTCCGCGCCTACAGCCACACTCGGCGCCTCATCCACAACGTTTCTGTCGTCGTGATGGCGGGAGGCACGCGAGCCACCCGCCGCCAGGGCATGTCTCGATCGGTGCATGTAGCATCTCTTGTAATCTCTGGTGGATCATCCTCTCGACATGCCAAGCACCACCGCGAAGCTGTTTATGGTGCGAAGGCTATTGCCCGGGAACAACAGCGAGCAGAGGAGCGGTATCGGTTGGCGGTCACAGGTAAGTAATATGGTGGATCTTGACCTGTGTCCAGCTCATATCATTCACAGGACTGGGTGCTCAGAGTCTTCAAGCACTCTCGGATATCAGAGAAGACGACATTCCCATGGGAGACGCGAGCGCTCCCGATAATCCATTCGCTAACACCGGGGAAGCAGAAGGAGCAGGAGCACCAAACACAGGACATGACCCTTCATCTGCGAGACTGCAGGATGGCATGGAGTGGGAAGATTTACCCGAGGTCCTTCAAGGTGATGCGTCTTTCGTGCATGCTGTGCGGGACATTGTCGGCTCTGAGTATGTATTATGAATGGTAGTTATTCATCATCTAACATTCTGCACACAGGTGGAAGGCACGGTGGTATAAAGATGCGCGCACTTGGCGCCAGCGCGTGCATAGGATGGATGAGAACTGGCGGCCCCTCATCCCCGACCTTATCGATGCTTATCTTACCTGGAAATACGCTCCTGAGCAGCCTCCCAATGTGCCTGCAACTACGGATGACCCTTCCCCCTATGACTTCATGATCAACGTGATGGATTTCTACTCTCTCGCTTCATCGGCCACCATCTCTCGTGCAGAGGACTCTAGGTCCATGGCACATACACTCGTTCTCAATGGCTACCTAGGGACATCGCCTGTTTTCCCATCCATGGCAATCTCACTCAAGACATTGGAGCTCCTCCGGAGCTTGAGGCTCGTCAAGGCTTCATTCAGCATTGAAGCCTTCGGTAAGCTCCTGTGCCATTATTACAAGGCAAGTAATATTTGTGGATTTATCTTTATAATTCTTACCCCGCCGTGATAGGTTCCGTATCGCCGTCACTATCACACCCTCCTTTCTGACACTTTTGAAATCTATCTCGAAATTCTGCGTGCTGTTGACAAGCGCGTCTTTTCGGCACTCGGCTGGGACTCGCCCAACTGGCGGGTGCTCAACGCTTGCCCTGCTTGTACATATGAGGTGAGTAGTCAGGCTGCAGTCCGAGCATCATAGTACTCACAGTCCCACAGCTTGAAGGAGAGCCACCACGCCGGTGGAGCCGCATGTTCTGTATGGATGGGAACAATTCGCTGAAGCGGATCGCGCAGGTCGGGAACCGCATTCGAGGTGATGCCCGAGTCTTTGTCGATAGCGACTACTATCTGTCGCAGGAATTTGTCGACAAGTACGCGGATGAAGTGCCACCACGCCAGACCTCGAGCACCCCAAGCAACGGTGATGACCTGGAAGAACACGGCCAGGAGGACGACATCAATTGCGGAGATCCAGAGGGAGGGGACCCGACTGACGGGGCATTTGGTGACATTATCGTTCCTTGCATGGAGAACTGGAAGGCGGCAGCGGCGGATGAAAAAAATGCATGTGGGGTATTTTTGAAGAGACTGGGATCTTTGCGAGCGCGTGTCCCCACAGGTTCATCCTGTGGCTAATCGACATGGTTCGTAGCGGTGAGCTGTAAGTGAATTACATCGGATGCCATAAAAATTTGCTAACCTGTAAATTAGGGCAAAATATCCGCTTGCTACCATTGCAAAGGCGCTGGAAGTACTCAGTGACAAGACACTGGCAGGTTACGACATCGGCTGCGTCTTTGAGGGTACAATACAGCGTAGCTCGCTGGGACCTGAATGGCAACGGTGCCAGTGCCGTTGCTGCGTGAATGCATTCCACGGCTACTCCCACAACTATCTTTGTCAACTCACGAATCACCCGAACATCATTGAAGGTATGGGTCTCGAAGACCTTGAGACGATGGAAAGGATATTTAGCGCATCAAACAACCTTGCCGCCATCACACGCTATGCGTCGGGATTTCGCCGGCGCCTCTTCATCGATGCTTTCTTCCACCAGTGGGATATGGAGAAGTACGCCAATCTCAGCACTATGTTATTCAACAACTATGTCCAGGCTCTCAAGATCATCAAGGAGGATGGAGCTGCACTCAAAGAAGCCATAGCGGCTCTTCAGATCACGCATGAAGATCTCGCCAAGTGGTCGCATGAGGAGCGCGAATACTTCAAGAGCCTCGGTGAGGAACCCGAGTGGGATATCCACGCCATGGCCTACGTCGAAAGTCTCCAGGAGTTGCGCACCATCACGTAAGTTTGGATGCTCATATTCTTGTGCACGATCATTCTGATTGGATCTCGTTGCAGAGCACACCTTGAGAACACGTCCACCCAGTTCCTCGCCACAACACCCGATGACTATATATTCATGGAGCTGACATCGGGGCGTGTGGTATATAATGCGGACGTATCCCGGACTCGCAAGCTCGAGACGAATAAACGTTATCTCTCCGAACGCCAAGCCAAGGTCCATCACGATGTCATCGCGATAGAAGTTAAGATGGGCATAGCGCGTCGTTGGCAGCCAACTGATAATGAATACATCGCCACCGTCAAGTACATTTCCACTCGCAAGTACCATCGTGCTCTCGACAACCTGCAGCGTCTCGTTGTGCACCGTCTGTTTGAACTGCATAAGCTCAATCTCTCCCAGACCGGCAAGTAACAGATTTTATTCATGCATTGCTATGACTCATACAGCCCCCATCGTATCGGGTCTGTACTCACATCGCCAAATCGCTCCAGGTCCATTGCAAGGTGATTCGCAATGCTGTCAAGGTGTACAATGCTGCTGCCAATGCCCTTGTCCCTCCGCATCCCACCCTCGACTGGACGAAGGTCTCCCATTACAGCTTCATCGACGAGTTCCATATTCTCAAGGATACCCGCAATGATGTCCATCAGAAGGAGTGGACAAGGCCTGCTGTTCGGGAAGCAATGAAGCAGGCACGTCGAATTGCCCAAGCACATGTCGAGCTCGAGCGGTGCAACGTTGAGGCGCGCTGTCTTCATACATCCATCCGTGATGAGGAATTGCAATTTACTGCGGTCATCAACCAGCTGAAGGAGCAGCAAGCTTCGATCTGTGGAGCGGTAGAAGATTTTTGTGAACACCGCCGCAATGTGAACGCTCGACACCTTATGCGACTTCAGCGGCTATATGCATTGAATGGGTTCACTGGTGCCCCATCCCCTGGGCAGCGGAAGGGGTCTGCGATTATGGCCCCTCCTCTGGCTTCTTCGTCATTGGCCCCGGATTTGGACGACGATGTGGACCCTGAAGTGGAGGAGGAGGAGGAGCTCCAGGGGGATATCGGCGGCATAGTTGATTATATGTGCAACCTCGCAGTTTAGCATGTCATGTACTTCTTAGCAATATCAGTTCTTACAGCAATGTGCTAGATGGACGAGCGGCAGAAGTGTTACAGATGTTGGAGTACAGTTCAACCAAATTCAAACCTCTGAGTCTCGCAAGCATTGGGGGTGTACAAAAATTGGTTTGCAGCAGGGGTGAACTAATAGAAATATATTGTGATACTTAGTGGAGCTTAGAAAATTATGCCCCGTCCGCTACAAACTGATCTCACAGTTCGAGTGCACGATCAGACTGAACATCTTGCAACTCGCAACTCGCGACTTGCCTGTGCAGCCACCGTCCGGTTGTGCGGCACCACTTCAACCACTCTCTTGATCTTGCCCGCATGCGAGGCCTCACTGCTACGCTGCCACCAGATGGACCTTATTTTGTTGTCTATCGGCTTGGACTAATGACAGTATACAACGATCGGTGAGTCTAATATTGCGTTATCAAGGTATTGTTCTCGCAACTCACAATCTCTGACATTCAAGTCCTGAAGGCATTGCGCTAGGTGTCTATACAGAGCCCTTCCCAATTGTCTTGAAGCTACATAAGCTTGCCGAAGTCGAGGAAGCGGTCACCTTGCAGGCTGTCTTCGATGATGAGCATGCACACCTAGAGGGCCTCTTGGATACACTACAGAACTCGCGCGAGGTTAGGAACACTATGAAGAAATTTGTAGACTTGCGCTACTACGCCGTGGTACGAGGTAAAAATACTGGTATCTATCTTAGATGGTGAGTTTCTCGGTCATGTCAATGGAATTAAACTCTGATCACCTCGTGATCACTTAGGGACGGCCGTGATGAAGCAGAGGAGCAGATCCTGGGCTTCCATTGGCGGAATCATAAATCATTCTTGGTCCTCGCTGATGCTCTCGTGTACTATATGTGCAAAGGACCTCATCCAGAGCCAGTGAAGCCGGCATTATCGAGTCAGAGATCGACTGGGCAGAGTACAGCACAGGCGCCGATGCAAGGTGAGTCTGATCGCATTCCGTGCGACTTCGTGAAGCTGACAGAACTTAGTTGTGACACCTCGCTCTTCTGCAGCTGCTCAACCGTCGACGGGTCATTTGGGAGTCAACATACCCGTATCCATGATGGCAGGTAAGCCAGTGGTATTTGATTGCGATGAAGTATATAACAATGCCACTGATATTTTGTGCATCTACCAGGCTTAAGGCTGGGCAAGAATAACCAAGGCACCCCTGCTTTACCTTTGACCCCACCTCGCAGCCCATTGGTCACTGTCCCCTCCACTCCTGTAAGTCCTTCTCCGGCATTCCGGTATGCTGTTATGCACTCTCCGATCTCTGTTGCTGTCTCGACATCCTATCATGGCACTTCAACTAGTTCTTCTCGCGTGTCTGTACCTGTGACCATCCGTTATAGGCATGAGCGATCACTCACTGGAATAGTCGGAACCATTTACGAGAGGCGCGCTGACGTACCCCTCAACACCGAGCTTGGTTATCTCGCAGATCGATACCTTCACACCCACGGATATGGTGGCAATGTCGAGGCCATGCTGGCTATCAATCAGGCTTACCTGACCAGCCAATCGCTCGAGCAGTTCGTCAACTATCTGGTTGTGAGAGGTATGGTAGTTGATGAGGTAGAGTTCCTATGGGAGGCTGCAACGACTTATAATCCGCACTCTCGCATACATTCCCCTATCTCGTGATGCTCTGTATGATATGTCGTGGCTATCTTGCCACAGATTTTGTACTTCATAATATTAACAGTGATTCTAACATGACCAATTATATCACGTGAGTTTGTTGAAGAAGATAGTCCTGGGATTCCGAAGACGCGTTCTTGACAGGTGCCAACATCTCTATGTGTCAGATGCATTCTTCTCTTTCTCATGGCGCAGACGGCTCAAGATGACGGCCTTCAGCGCGTCTCTAACAAAAAGCGTAAAAAGGTCGCTCCAAAAAATACGACCAGAACGCGAACTCCATGGAGGTCCAGGACGAAGCGCAAGGCAGTGGTGCAGACACCTGCCCAGAAGGCATACCTGAAAGGGAAGAGGTATGAATGTAAGGAGACGTATGTGGAGGCGCTTCGCGAAGCCCGTGATGTGATATGGCAGCAAGCAGCGCGCCTGCAGGAGCGCTTCGGTCCTCACAATATTGAGTACTACCACCAGGAGGTCATGCAGTGCTCTCGCCTTGTCTCATTGAAGAGAAAAGTGAGCCGCTGGAATGTCTTCCAGCGCATGGAAGTTCAGCGCATGAATCAAGGTGAGTCCCACTACGTTCGGTATAGTTGTGCATACTCACTTACTTACATGTCCTTCAGCCCTGCCAGCGGGTATGCCGCACAAGAAAGCTTCTGCGTACATGGCGGAGATATCGGCAACATGGAATGTCATGAGCGAAGCTGACAAGGTAGCTGCGACAGAGGACCACATACAGGAAGTCAATGAGCTGTGACAGATGAGGGCGACGGCCAAGCATAATGCCCCCATCAACGCGTTCCATGATGCTCGTTCTACTCTCAACAACATATCCCGTGAGGTAAGTACTTATGCTCCACTGATTGTACCGATTTTATATTAATTGACCTTCCACAGCTCGAAGGCTTAAGTCAACGTACCGGCACCGAGACTTTACTTTTTGCAGTTCGCTCAAGCACGGACCAGTATAACCAGCCCTTCATCTATGCTAGCAACGATCGCCTTCCTGAGTACTTCTACCTGAAGACAAAAACCGACATCCTGATGTTTGCCATCAAGATGGAATCCTATGGCATCTCCGGCGTGGAAGGTAAGCATCAACAGGATCGCACGTCTTTTGAGGTCACTGCTGACTACTCGTTGCAGGAGTTGTGATGAATCATGTCGAGAAGATACTCGACCTCAAGCGGAGGATAAGTGCATTGATCATTCAGAAGCTCCGTGAGTATTACATTACATTTATGTTCTGTATGAGACTGATGAAGATTACAGAGGATATCTCTCCGTTAAAAATTTCGAAAATGTACTACAAAGGTTTTGAAGAGAGGATGACGGCTCGCTATCGCATTACCGTCGTCAACTGGCCCCTCAAAGAGTTCAATAGCCCTGGCGACATCTCCCACAAGGGTGACCTGCAGCTCCTGTATTGTGCATGGGAGAGCGGCACGACACACTTCAAGCTTCTCAACGATGAGGAACACAAGGAGTGGGAGGAGGAACGATTCCAAGGAAGAATGTGGGAGATGCGTGGGCCGACAGCTGAGGATGAGGGCAAGGAGGACGAGCCGAACAGTGTGTTACCCACATCCCCTGTGCAGTCACCTGTGCCCGAGTCCACCGCATCCAACGGCGAGCCCATTGACGTTAATGCCACAGCTACGATGACCATCAATGAAGGGGCCGGGTCTGTGAATGACGATACCTCATCCCCTTCCTCTGCAGCATTGATCGTGGGTCAGGGCACGTCCAGTCAGACGTCCTCCAGCGCAAAACGTCATGCACTGGCCAATGGTGCAGAAGCGCGCAAGAAGGCCAAGACCGTCCAGCCTCTCAGCAGCTTCATCAACGTCGTCACAGGTGCTGACGGCAACCCCCTCACAGTTCAGAAGAAAACTCGCAAGGACCGCTCGGACAAAGGCATGAAGAAGGGGCCAAGGAAGAAGCAAGCTGCCGGCAATGAGAACACGAACCCATCTTCGACCACCACCTCTGAACCTGCCCCACCCGTCTCTGTCCCTCCCACATTGGCCACCTCTCCTCATCGTCCCTCCACTCATCGCCATCGTGTTCCCCCTGCCTTGGCCTCTGCCTGCAATACTACCTCTGCGCCTGTCATTGCCCCGCCTACTGCCCCTGGCCCTACCGTTCCCATCCCTGCACCTGCTGCCACCACACCCGGTACTCCTTCCACCTTTGCACCCGGTGGTGCTCCTTCTCCCTTCATGCCTGGAGCTCCTTCCCCCTTCGTACCCGGCACTCCTTCCACCTTCGTGCCCGGTGATGCCCCTTCCATGTTCGTGCCGAGCACTCCTTCCATCTTCACGCCCAGTGCTACTTCCATCTTCGCGCCCGGTGTTCCTGCCGCCTTCACGCCCGGTGCTACTTCCATCTTCGCGCCCGGTGGTCCTGCCACCTTCGCGCCCGGTGCTCCTGCCACCTTCGCGCCTGGTGGTCCTACCACCTTCGCGCCCGGTGCTCCTGCCACCTTCGCGCCCGGTGTCTCTACTCCTTTTGTCTTCATGCCAGCTGGCCCTGCTCCCTCGCCCTTTGCAACTGATGCATCTCCGTTGCTAAATATATAGCCCGTATCGCATAGAGTGTGTTAGAAACCGCTGTTCTCAGTATTGAACCTCACAATACAGAAGACTATTGATTTATTGATGCTGACTGTCTGAGCCATCTATACTACACTCTATTTACATTAGACTGCGAAAAAAAACGAAGGAAAAGTAACAGTAACTACGGGAAGTAGGGGGGAAACAGTGTCGGCGTCGTGCCCGACGAGGGCGGGGACGGTGCGCCGTGCACGTGGCGGCGGGAGCGGGAATAGCCGACGGTATACTCAACGCCCGGCGGGATGGACCGCCCAGACCTCCCGCTATCTATAGATTGCGTCATCGGGAGCCTCGGGTCATCCGCAATAGCCGGAGGACTTGTGCCGGTAGGGGAAAGCATAGCTATTTGGTATGTTACTGGCAGTATGTCTAAAATAGGGGAAGCAAGCTAATTAGCTTGCCGTACCCACCCCATATGGCAAGCTAATTAGCTTAGTAACATGTGAGGTCCAGGTGTTCCGATTCCACTTGAGTCGGTTAAGAGTACTAGTAAGTACTCGTGACCAGTCTCTATATTGAGAATAGCCGGTAGCGGCACCCTCGGAGTTCCGCGGACCACTTCCGTTCTCAACCAGAAGTTATTCAACGCCAACCTTGCCGATCAACCTGGGGACTCAGCACATCGTATCTCCCGCTCGTCTTCTGGATTTCCTCGGGGAAACTATTCATGGTTCGCCTTAAGGGATATCATGGAGGTGAACCAGTGCAACCGCGTCAGCGCGGGATACTACTTCCGAGTAGCAGCCTGCCATAAAGTGTCATCAACTGTTAAGGGAAGTCGTTGGATCCATCCTTATATGGAAGTACCGTTGTGCCCCAAACCGCGCAAGCATCGCCATGGTCTGATGGGAACTAAACCCCATTTGGCTTGAAATCCTATTGTGTCTTGCCTCGTGGCGTACGTTGCTATTGCTTGTTGCTCAGATTGGGCTCTGACTCATGCATCTGCAGCAATAGATCTTCGCTTTGATTTGAAAATTTCATGCTGCGGTTTTCCCTCCAGCGTATAAATACTCCAAGTGATTCCCCCCACTTTCCCCCATCGCCTCTGCCTTCTCTCCTCCACGTGGACGGTTGAGTTTCTGGGTATATAATCTTGTGTCTACCGCTCTTTCTCCCATCGCCCTTTTCCTCTGTCTTCCATCACCTATCCTCAACCTCAACGTCGACCTCAACGTCTTCCACATTCTCAAGCGATCTTGTCCAAGCTCTTGTATGACCCCGACTGAGGGTTCAAGAACAGAGGCAAGTCTTCTCCGACGTTGTTGTCCACTGTCTGTACTCAACGGTCGCCCATCCACGTGGCAGGTCACTCCAGTGTTTTTCAACATGTCACTAGTAAGTTGGACTGGGCTCCCTCCTGGTCGACGAGCGGTATCCCCAGATTGGGCAACACAACGGCGCGACTTCTTCGGCGTTGAATGGACTCACTTCAGCCTCGGCGATGGTGGCCACCAATGTGGCCACACCAACACTGGGCTTCTTTTCTTTTTTTTCTGGCGACGGGTGGGCAGTGGGCGAGTCTTAGCTTCATTCTTTTCCTCTGACGACAAACTCTTCTCTGGCGATGACTTTCTTCTGTGGGACTTGGCAACATACCTTCTACTTTTCCACTTCCCATTTCTCCGCTCATTTTTTCATTCCTTTTTTCATTCCTTTTGTCTTCATGACGCTTGGCGACAATCGCGTGGACCGACCCCCCCGGGGGCTGGCGCGGACCTCTTCGTGGTCCCCGGGACGAGTACCCCGTCGCCCTTGTGCGACGGGCGAAACCAACTCGCGCCAACCTCGAACCCAACCTGAAATCCAAGGTGTGTCCTTTGGTTTGTTCCTCTATAGTTCGTGGACTAATATTTGGCCGTTCCATTCCAAGACCGCCGTCGATAGCCCGACGTGCGCTTAATCAAATTCTTTCGCACTAACAATTCTTTGTAGGTTCACTCGGATTATCGTCATCCCGTCTGCAAGGCTAGCACAAACTGTTCCTCGGCATCGGCGAGGGGCGTATGGACCCTGTAAACCCTTCAGAAGAGCGAGATCATCACAGACCAGTGCGCAATGATTTGGGCATTTTTCTGCCTTCTGCACCCTGTGGCTGGTCGGCAGGTCACCTTTCGTTCTATGTCGACTGCAGGCGAGCACAAGCTGTTGCTCAGAATCGGCGATGAGTGTATCCTGCAAAGCCTCCCCGAGGGTGAGACCGACGATGTACTGGAGTGCAGCGATGACGTTGCACGACGGTTTCCGTGACTGGTCAACAGTGATCACTGTCGTGGGTTTTGTTGACTGCAGTCTAGTGCAAGTTGTCGACGGTCGGCATCGGCGAGGGGTTGGACGCTTTAAACTCTTCTGAAGGGCGAGATCGATGGAGAGCCGGTGTGCAATGATACGGGCATTTTTTGCCCTCTGCGCACCACAATGGCTTTCTGTGACTGGTCGGCAGGTCGCTCTTCGTTCGGTGTTGGTTGCAGTTTGTGCTAGCCTTGCGGTGCGGTTGTCCCCAATGCAACAGAAGGTGAGATTTGCACCAAGTTCGTTTCGTCTGCACTTTGACTAACAACGTTGTGCAGGGTCGCCATATAAGCGCGTTCAAATACCCTCAATCATATCAGGTGCGTCCCGAGGGCGGGCAGCACTTGCGATGCAGCGCTGTCCGGGCGCGGACCTTTACGTGGTCCTCGGGATAAGTACCCCGTTGCCTCCCGGTGGTGGGGGAAACCAACTCGCGCCGAATCGTGGTTTGCCTCCAGTTCTATGCATCACTGTTTGGCTGACCATTCTCCGGCCTTCTAGACATCTACTTTTGATCTCGGATGTCTGGCTCGAAATGAAGGTGCGCTCTTGATTGTGTTATCTCGCTCACTGACCAATGGTCGTCCGCCTAGACCGAGGATGGCCGTCGCCGTCCCTGCCGCATGGTGAGTGTAAACTGCCAGCCAACGTCGTGCAAGGAGCATACACACTGCGCCCTTCCTCGAAGGAGACCGACGGAACGACCCGGTGCGGTCCGATGACGGCACTCGTTGCCTCCGCGCACTGTAGAGCTCTCCGTGTCTGGTCGGCAGGCTGCTTGTTGCTCGACGTTGGTTGACGGTTTGCGCTCGCCTTGCGGTTGTCGTCAAGAGGAGACGGATTCGCCGGAGGATACCATGTGGCCCCATGCAAGGTGAGCTATCTTAATTCTGGCTAACTTTTGGTACTATAGCTGCGACGCTGTGGGCGTCGGTGCTGGCGGTGCCTGGTGAGTACTCGTATATCTTGTCTGGGCTACACTTTCTCTGGCGACTGCATCCACCTGTTCGGCGTTCTCTGGCGACACGATACTGCGGCCCCTTGTGCGTACTGGTTCTGGTTTATGGGCAGGTAAGTTGACGACGGCTGATATTGACTTTGACGACAACGCTTCGTGTAAAGGTGAGTCAACGATGGCCGGGTCAAATCTACTCTGGCGACACGGCTCTTGAGCGCCGACGCTCGAGTCTCGACAACTGCAGTGGTCTGTGGCGACTCTTAGGCGACCGTTCATTGCTACTCTGCTTTTCTGTTGATAATCTGTAAAGTATGGCTCGTGTGCTACTTTGTGCTTGACTCTCTGGCGGCTGCCATATGTCGGTGAGCGTTGTGGCATGATATCATATTTGTTTCGTTTGATTTCTCTCAGAACGAATTCACGAGTCCGACATAGTATGCGACATCGCAGAGATTAAATGATCCATTTCTACTGTGTGGTGAGCGCTCCGTTCACTTTAGTTCGGCGAGTGTGTGGCATTCGTCTGCTTTGACATGTTAGTTGGACGTAGATGCATTTGGCCTGAACGCCGTTGTCAATCGACTACGCTTTTTTACTTGGTGAGAGTTCTCGTCTCGAGTTGGGTGATGTGCTGCGCTCGTCCGCTTTCACACTCATTAAAGGTATAATCACGACAAGACCGCTATATCCAGTAAAGGTGCGTCGTTTTTTTCCCGAGGGCGGGCAGCGCTTGTGATGCAGGCGCTGTCCGGGCGCGGACCTTTACGTGGTCCTCGGGATAAGTACCTCGTTGCTTCCTGGCAGCGGGGGAAACCAACTCGCGCCGAACTTCAGGTACTATTTCTTTCTCATCTTCTCACATGCTTCCTCCTTGCCGCCGCCGCATATTGACAGCTCCCCTTGTTGGCCCTTCATCTTCTCACCTGCTTCCATATTGACAGCTCTCCTTGGTGGCCCCCTTCCACACCGCAGTGAGAAAGGTGAGTCTAATACAACGCTGCTATTTTCTCTTTGTGCCTGACTAATACTCGCTCTGCCATCCGGTGCATCAGGCAGCTACTATCGGTGTTATTTTCGACATTCACTTCCTCGAAGTCGACTGCCGATTTTTTTAGTCTGGACAGCATCCTTTCTGCCGCCTTCGGCTCCAGACCAGCTATCACGCTTGGCGCTGATTTTGGCTTAGGGACTCTACCTCCGCTCGGTTGTTTTCGATGGCGCCGATTGCATTGATTGGTTCACAGCGATCGCACCTTCAACCTCTGCGGCCGTTGCTCATCTGGTTATGACTGACGACGTTGACTGTAGTCTGTGGTAGTTCCTCTGCAGCCAGTGCTCTTGGCTGCGACTGAATGCGACGTTTGTGAAGATGCAAAGAGACTTTAGGTATGCACTGTGCAACCATATCTGCGTTGACTTCTCGTCATTGCTCCGCATTCCATCGACTGCTGTCTCTTTCTGCACCCGGCGACATGTTATGGCACGTCTTAACTCGACTGTTGCTGCATCTGCCTCTCCACCTGGCTTCAGTATTTTGGTCCTTGTCCTGCGTCGGCGTTTTTGCTCATCGTCTGGTAGGGTTTGTTTTTTCTCATTTGGATTGGTCTCTTCCGACAATCATGTTACTTCTCTCCTCCTGTATTCGTGGACGAGTGATGTCTGCTTGCAGACCTTATCCGATACCCTTGTCTTCCGATGTATAGGTGAAATATGCTCGCATGTCCCTCACAACATTTCTCACATCAACGTCTCGTTATCCTCGGCCACTCTGTGCTCTCGGACGGCGACTGTCGACCGGTGGCGGCCTCTTGCGACATAACTGATGTTCCTCTCCTGATCTTGTCGCTGTTGCTAGGCTTGATGTTATTCTTATTGGCTGCCAACACTCTTTTGGACTCTCGAGATAGCGCGAAACAACTTGGCAACACCACTGAAGACGCTACTATGGGCCACATCGGTCAGTGGGATGCTATGCTCTATGAATGAGGATCTGGTTCTCTTCTGTTGTCTGGGCGACGTCCTCTATCTAGTTTGCACTGCTGCTCGGTTGCGCTCCTCGACTTATTCTTGCACACTTCACACGGTGACATTTTTCTTCTGTTCAGTTGGTGCTTCGCCGTATCATTAGTCTGGTGTCGTGCTATGATTGAACTCGAACCCACCAACAATACCAACATACCAAGAACGTCAATGTCTTGATCAAGTTGTTTGTTATTTTCGTCTTTATTTCATCTTTCTGTCCAGTCTTCGTTGTTTGTGAATTTTCTCGACACCGTGACTCATGTTGCATGCGTCCTCATGTACCTGAGGGCGGGTGGTGTCCGGAAAGCGGATGCCATTCGGGCGCGGACCTCTACGTGGTCCTCGGGACGTAAGGAACGACTGTCTTCCTGCAGGTAACTAGAGGCTGTATCTATGAGCCTACTCGGGACGAGTACCTTGTTGCCTCGGGGCAAGGGACACGAACTCGCGCCGAAGTTGGTCGTATATTCTCTGTTTCATTCGTCCGCTGGTTTTGAAGCTAAGAAAGCCTCAGAACAGCCATCCGAATATCTCAAGTGAATTGGCGGCGGTTACTCCCCTGCACGACGCAGACGTCAATGAAAACAAGTGTCTTGGTTCCGTGTCGTCTGACGCTCTTGTTCGACGAATGGTGTCTCCCTCAGTTGACTCGACATTTGGTTGGCTTGGCTATGACGTTCATGGCGATCTTCGATGGCTTCTGGAGTGATTGCTAACTGTGTTTGCCTCGAGGCGATTCTGGCGACCGTCCACTACTGCCATGATTTGCGCGCGGCGCTCCGATTCAGCTGCTTTTCTGATACTGTGGCTCGCTTGGTCTCTTTGTATACTTATGCTCGGCTATGGCTCGTCTGGGGCGACACTTGTCTCTGAGCTCTCCGAAATCTTCACTCGTCGCTGACTCAGTACAATTCTGGTGACACAGGGTATGCATTGCGGAGCTCGATCGTGTCTGCGGCTACAATTTCTGGGGTCGCTGTTACCACCTAACGACTCGGCATGCGCGCTAGCCACTGCTCAATCGGCTCCGGCGCCACTCGTTGGGGGATGTGGATGATATATCATTGAGAGTCTGTCAGTGAGTCCAGTGCTTGATGTAAATACCACGGTGAAATTGCACACTTCGTGCATAATATATCCGGGCCGAGTGTCTACCTTGATCATCTTGTTCTTGTACATGCTACTATCGCGCACCTGACGTTGAGGAACACGATATCGCTCTATTGATCACGGATGTGCCGGTAAGGTAAGTGATCAGACCCGCAGTACAGTCTTCACTGCATAGACAGCATAGACAGAGCAGTAAGAACTTGGCACAATGCCCCAGCGCTGCGGAATCATAACCGATGTTGTGTACATCGGACGGGACGGACTTAGACTGTTTTCAAAGACCCGATCATTAATTTTATGTATGCACACAGAAAACGATGTGATTGCGCACCAAGCGATGGTCCCAACCTTCGGTGGAATCAGGAAGTCGAACGTAAGCGCTATCCCCTGCTTCCCCTGCTTCCAGCACCACCAGCAGGTACCTTTCGTTTGCGGAACAGACTACCCGTTGACGGTACTGTGGCACCTCCGTTTACTTCTACCTTGACCTCCGCATCCTCTGTCTTCAGAATTGCAGAGGTCTCTTTGGCGTCCGCAGGTGGAACATCAGGAGATATGGCCAATTGCTCCTTCACCTCTGCTTCAAATTTCACGCCGGAATCTTCCGCAGCGAGAACACCATCCTCTCCCGGCTGGTCGTCTCCACCGGCATTGCGCTCTCCTGGTCTGTTCCAACCTCTCGCGGACCACTTCGGCTTCGCCGTGGGTGTTGATGTACCAGCATGTGAGCTAGACCCACCTTCCGTAAGAGTAGGCAGTGGTTCGACAGACTCCTCCTTCTTCAGCTTTATTGGGATAAGGCCAGGGTCATAGACCTCCCCAAGTCCAACGTCGACCGTCTTCTTGCGCAACTTGAAGGTCCGGCTATCTTCGTGATCATCTTGCTCCGCGCCTCTCTTTCTACTCGCGTCGCCCTCCGCGAGAGGTGGCACAGGCTCCTCTTCCTTTATCTCCGCGGCTGGTTCCACAATCGCGACGACTTCCCACTCGCCTGCTACTCCTTGCGTTCGGCGACGCTCCGTCTCGGCCTTGAGTCGCTCCGCGTCTGGATCCTGGTAACCCAGTGACTCTGCGGTAGAGTAGTTTGCATATGGATTCGAAGGCTTCGGATCAGGCTTTCTGGATGTAGAAGATGTCGAGGGAGTGGGTGCACTACTACCGCTGCCTGGCTTCACCAAGCCTGCGCCGACATCTCTGGCGTATGCAGCTTGAGCTGCCTATGACCACTCCAAGTTAGGATATGCAATCATTCATATATTGAAAGAATGTACCTGCTCGACCCGCGCCATCTCCCGCTTCTCCTCTTCCAGATCCTGTTTCTTCTTCTCCCCCTCCTTGTACAGTCCTCGTACGAACCGCTCGACGCTGCCCTTGTGTCGCAGGCCACTCTCATGTTGTCGTCGCGAAGGAACGTCGTCTGCGATGTAGACGTTGCAGTATTTGCAGAAGTACTTTTTGTGCGAGACCCAGTATTCGCTCATGGTGGAAAGGGTAGAGAGTGATGACGAGCGCCCAAATCTTCGTTCGTGACCAAAAGCGGAAAGGCCACGTGGATCTAGTCGCGTCAAGTCACAGGAGACGCGTGACGGTGACTGTGACGTCTCCTGTTTCGCATCCTCCACAAGTCCACTCAACCAGTGAATTGACTGTGGCACGCAGCGTGCCCATGGCCGACTCTATCCATTCGGCGTGGATTTCAGACTACCTCATTCAAATGGCGGAGGCGTATGGTGGCGATCTAGGTGCGATTCCTCCGCGCGAGAAACCAGGCAGAGCACAGCTGGTCAAGGCAAGCACAACACATTTCTTGTTCGATCGTGCTTGCTAATTTTCGGTTTTGCGACATAGTTTTTGACGTACTTGCGGCCTGAAGATGAGGGCTCGTGCATCTGGGCGCTGCTGTCCGACAAGGCCCACATCATACACGTACGCTTAACCAGCGAAGCTATCAAGCAACACAAACTGTGCGTTTTGTAGTGCCAACTCGCCCTGCTGCCCTCATCGACATGACACTCACTTTTTTTTCAAAGCAACCCAACATTCCACGGCAAATCGCTCACACAATACAAGACCGCACTAGTGCTCATCAAGAACTTCCGCCCCTGCTTCGCTCGCGTTCCTCTCGGGGGTGGTGACGGGCGCGGCATGTCCCCCTCGGAGCAGTTGTTCCTCGAAATCGCTCACTTCCAAGTCAAGGGCTCCTTCGACGAGGACGTTTGGGGGTCTCCCAATGACATCGCCGCAAACGCGAAGGTCAGCGAGTGGATGGAGGGCCTGAGGAGCGGCGGCGGCGGCGGGTACGTCGTGCTCTCTCTCACTGCTTGCACAGTGCCCAATTAAATCTTAGGTTCTTCGCATGCTAGCAATGTACTGAAATTACGCAGGCTGGAGCTGCAAGCTCTGCAGGCTCGCCAGCAGGTGTCCGAGGTCTTCGCCGAGAAGCAGCCAGTTGGGCAGCAGACGCTGCCTCGAAGGCCCGCGCAGATAGCTGGCGCCAGGAAGACGGTTAAACGTGCTCCTCAAGCTGTCCCCGCCACACGACCTGCTCCTGCCTCGGCCGAAGTGAGAGTCGATCCAAAGAAGGTGTATGAGAAAAGCTGGCGCGTACGTGCTCTTACCAATGTGTATACGCTGAGTCGGCCTGATTATTTTATTGCAGTATGTAACTTCGAGTTCGGCAAGACGGAAACGTGCGCTACCCCCTGCAGATCTTCTGGCGGTGATTCACAAGGTCACGCGTGAGCCTCTCTACATGTGAGCCACTACAACTGCTGATCTAGTTATAGTTGTGAGCAATGGCGAGGTTGAAGCCGTTCGCGACCCGCATACTGACGCGAAGGCTGTCACCAGCATGGCAGAATCCTCCACTCCACCAAAACCTCCTCGGCCAAGTAAGCCATCGCAGACTGTCATTTCAAGTCAGCCTAACCATCACCCCCAATCAGGGCGAAACCCACTCGATATTTCATCGAGCCCTCCTGGATCCCCCAAAGCGCAGAGCCCTGAACCGCTGCCAGCAACACCGTCTCACTGGTCCGAATCCTCACCCGGAAGTCCACAACCAGATCTTCCGGACGCAGAGACGTCGGACAGCGAAGACGAGGCAAATCAATTCACGGACCACAATGGCTCACCCAGAGCCCGCAATCTGATGGCATCAACGGAGAAGACGCTGGTCGGCGACGACGATGACGCGCAGAGCGATTTGAAGAAAGCCAAAGTGCCCTACGCGCCCCTCCCAAACACCCTCTCCTCCTACCTCTCCGCGCCGACGCCTGCACAGCGGCCGATGCCCCTCTCTTCGTCCCCCCTGCCGAACCCCCCCTCCACCCCGACCGCGTCCAAGGATCCTCAGATGTCGAGTGCCAAGACACCCGACACGCGAACCCCCCTTCAGCGGCCGTATACCCGCAGGGTCCCGCTCCCCCGTGCCGGCCGCAGTGTCGTTTCCATTGGCCGGATCCTGGTGCCAAATTCGGATACTTCTGGGACTGCGTCCCAGCCCCAATCGCAGGAGCAGGGTCAGTTGCAATCGCAGTCGCAACTTTCTCAAATCATCCCAGAGCCGTCGCAGCCGTCGCAGTCACAGTCTCAGCCTTCTCAGACGTCTCAGGTCATCCCAGGCCCGTCGCAGATTCAGCACGGCTCCCACCGATCTCCCTCACGTGCTCCACCGTCCCAGAACCATAGCCAGAGCCAGAGCCAGAATCATGAAAGTGGGCAGTCGGCGTGCACGCACCAGTCCCTCTCGTACACGTCACAGTCGTCGTACGAGAAGGGCATGAGCCAGGGACAAATGCAGACGAGCCGGCCGACGACTCGGTCACAGCTCCGGAACGAGGTTGAGATTTTGCCCAGTAGCGACGCGCCAATTGCTCCAAAAAGTGTTACTGAGACTGCCCATCAAGCTACTCTGGCGGAAGCTCTCGATCGGTCGCCTGAGCTGAAAACCGGTCGGGCTGCGAGGCGTTCGTCGAAGGGGGTGTTTACTGCTAAAGAGGCACACGGGACTGAGCCGGGGGGCAGAGCCGCTCTGCGGTCTCAGGCCACAAAGCCGACAGATGGGAACGATATTAGTGTAACCGAGGATGAGGACGCAGACGATGAGATGGATGTTGACGAACTCGATATGAGTAGGTCTCCACGTGGCACCCACCCTCTGGCACGAGAGGAGGAAGAGTCGCTTCCCGTGGAAGAGGAGGAAGAGTCGCCAAGCATTCACTCACTGCCAGTCACCGAGGAGGATGAAGCGGACGAAGTCGAAGGGAAGAGCAGGCCTCAGCGCAGCCGTGCCCACCCGCTGGCGCAGGAAGATGAGGAGTCGCAGACCGCGCCTGTGCAGGCTGTTGCAGAAGAGTCACAGACGCACGCGCAGGAGGGCGCGGAAGGAGGCAGGGCGTCGAGTAATGAGCTCGATTCGGGCGATGCCTGGACAAAAGTGGTGGTCGATGGCCACTCACCAGAGAGAGCAGAGAACACCGCTTCTTCAGAGAAGAAGCGGTCGTCTCGCGTTCGCTCCCCAGGCAGTCGAGATGTGTCTCCAAAGCCCGCGAAAGCCCGGCGCCCACTCAAACGTCAAGCGACCCACTCCTCTTTGCATGACGAGGGCTCGGATGCCCCCCTCCGTCCTTCAAGCCCCGACGTTTTCCTCAGCGAGGCGTCTTTCCACGCCTCCCAGGACATCCCCCCGATGAAGCTCACTTCGAGGGGGTCCTTCTCAAAACCACATCCCGCCCAAGCACCTCGCGCAAGCACTTCGAACTCCGTCGTAGCACAGCCTACACTCTCTAGCGCGGTGAAGACGCCACCTTCTGGCAAGCCGCACGCTCCAGCTGAGACCATCTATCATTACCCTGAAGCTTGGCGTGCGCCTGCCTTCCAGCTACTGCGCACTAATGGCAAAGGCAAGGAGAGGGAGCAACCTATACCGAAGGCCGCACTGAGGCAGCCTGCGGCTCGTAGCAAAAGGCCAATTGAGGTTGTGTCTTCCCCGGAACACCCGCCTCCGAAGAAGCAGAAGTTGTCGGTCACTTCATTTGCTCCTGCCAGTGCGACGAGCATGTCAGGTCCGTCAGTGGGAGATGAAAAGTATCATGTGTTCTTGAAAAACCAAAACTTGACAAGTACGACAAGTGCCGACGAGTCCTTCCACCGAGATCAGAGGCAGGACTCATCCTCAAAAATCCAACTAGTCCCGAGCGCGGGATCGTCATCTCGGCAAATTGAGAGGCAAAATATGCCCTCGGAAGTCCAGGCCACCGCAGGGTCAGCGACAAACGGAACGGGGAGACATACGAATGGATTAAGTGTAAAGAAGCTGGACTTGCTTCGGACCGCTTCCATGTCTTCCTCGGCCCCTTCAACGAAACGGAAAAGACCGAACGATGCGGAGAGGTCTATGAAGGCGTCCACATCAAAGCCGGAGGTCCGCACTATCCAGCAACTTTCCCCGGGTGGCTCTACTTCGCATGAGATCAAGCAGGTCGATTTCTCTTCGACAGAGTCGTCCCGGTCGTTGTCTCGGAAGAGAGACAAAAGGGCGGGGTCGGGAGCTGTCCAGTATGCCAGCTTCAAACAAGATATCCGTCCTCTTGTGCAGGCGGCCAAGGATGTTTCTGCTCGACAAGTAGCCGAAAACTCCCGAGCGTCGAGCTCAAGAGCCGTGGGTTCAACGTGTGTAAAAATGGAGCAGGACGACAGTCAGCCTGACGACAGCGGGGAACCTGCATCTGGTGGCGAAGTGCCAGCGACTCGGAGCTCCTCGGGGCTGCTTGGAGGATACTTCGTTGACTTCAACATGGTGCGGGCGAGGGATGGGCCTCCGTTGGTAACATGGCGCGAACTGTCGAATATTCTACTGCGGACGGGTCGGACAAGAACTCTTGCTCAGCGGAGAATGTTGGGGGAACATCCCCGGCCCAAGCAAGGATGATCTTCAGGTTTCACGTTGTTCTTGTTGACCTTTCTATGCATTTGTCCGTCGCTGGAACTCTACCCAGACTCGAGCTCCTTTACGTTGCACGTAGCCCATAGTAACTCAGGTCCAGGAAATGGATCGCAATAGTATGCGCGTTCGATGGTAGCTCAACTTACAGAGGAATATGCCTGTGCACGAGTGTGGAAATTTGATGGTAAGAAACAAGTAAGAAGCGGTACATGCACAGAGTCATAGCCTGCAAACAGTGACCTCATACATGGCAATGGAAACTACATCGACGGCGCACTGCCCTTCGACCCAGAGTACACGTCCACCAATCACGCATCCTCGAAACCGCCATCAAATAGGTAATTTGCCGCAAGCTCCTCGTTCTTGTCGCACGCGAAGTACGCCTCGATAACGGCCTGGCGCGGGAAGCCGAGGGCTTCTAACTGTTATCCGTGCGATCAGGTCAGCTCTGTAAACACATGATTACACCTTGCACCGATACTTACACGCTGAATGGCGGCCTGCTCTTCCTCCGTGATATGGATGACATGTGCACCAGGGGGTATATCGCCCTCCTCATCCCCCTCTTGACCAAGGAGCTGCATAAGGGCCTCGGGGTTCTGGGCTAGTGCCTGAGCCAGCTGCGGGTTCTGCGCCGCGAGCTGCTGGAGAACCTGCTGGAGCATGGCGGGGTTCTGCTGCATCAGATCGCGCAGGTGCTGGACCTGGGGGTTGCCCTGCAGAGCTGCCAAATCAATACCAGGAACATTACCCCCTGCTCCCCCAAGCCCGGGTTGTGCTTGATGTTGCTGCTGCTGGTGCTGTTGTTGTGCAAGCTAGTACGAATGAATGCAAATTTAGCAGGAATCGTTTGAGAGAAAGCGTCGTTTAGACACACCTGGAAAAGGTTCTGGGGAACATTCGGAGCGGCAGCCGGTGCTGGAGCAGCGGGAGCGGGAGCGGCCGCTGCCCCAGCCCCAGCTTCAGGTTCAGGTTCAGCTTGAGCAGGAGCACCACCCTGTGGACCTGCAGCATGTGCCTCCAAGTGAGCAGGGATGCCCTGTATTTCGCGTTAGCTGATCCGAACTTGCAATGAAAACAATATATCTGCGAGACGCACGCTGAACAGATACTCCACCGCTCGATCGGGGTTGTTGAAACTTGCCCTCAGTGCCCGCATAACCTGCTCCCGCTCGAAACCCATTTCCATCATGTTCTGGATTGTTGATTGCAACGCATCGCCTGTCACGAACGAATTTGAGTCCCCGAAAGCGGTCGGTGGAGCCTCCGCCGGTGGTGCAGCTACGGTGGCTGGGCTAAGGAGAGGAGCATTCGGCGGCTCAGGGACAGCGGCAGCAGGAGCGGGCGCGGCCGCTGGCTCTGGTGCCGACGGCGCAGGGGAGGCAGCAGGAACTGGTGCCGCAATTGCGGTCACGGTGGCACTTGTGGAAGCAGCTGGGGTCGCAGGCGAAACTTTAGGCTGTGCCGAGTAAAAAAAGTTGGTAAGGATCCTACTTTAAGTTCAGCAAGCGGACGCACTTTCGACACCATCAGCACCAAGAAATCTTTCTCCTTGATCTCACATGATTCAACAGTGTTCCCGTCCGGCAAAATCCTCCCTGTAATTGAGATAAGTCGACAGATCAATTAACTATGAGCGATGGATGATCCTACCCGAGTAGATAATCTTCTGGGTCTCTACTGCGTGTCCTTGACTCTCTTGAATTTTTTTCTTCAAGTCAGCTACCGTATCTGTGCCCTCGGCATCGATCTGAAGCCAGAAAGATGGTGAGACACATCCAAGTAGCTTTTCAGACAGAGACATACCTGGAAGATCTTCTGCTGAAGAGTCTTCACTGTAAGCTTCATGGTGATATAGGACTAGAGGGCAGATGGAAGCAAGTGGCAAGTGGTAAGCCCAGAAGGAAAGGAGTACGCGTCGTGCACGTGCCTCCCGGCCGGAGCTGCTCCGGACCTCCCCCGGGTAGTCCGGAGCCCATCCCGTGACTCGCTTAAGCTTGTGCCATACTCAGGCTGGCGGTGGCTCGTGGCTTTACACCGTCCACACTTGCTGTCTTCCTCCCACCACCCCCATGGAGCACGAACCAGGCGACGAGTACATCAGACGGATTGCCGCATACATTAGAAAGCACGAGCTGGGTCTCGCAGCGGCTAGTCTCACCCGCAGGCGGCGCACGAAGGGTGTGCCAGAGACATCCGTGTTCAATCCTCTGGGCTGGTTCTCCTCCGACAATGCTGCTCTACTGAACGTCAAGCCTGTCGTCCTGTCATTTGATTCGCACCACCTCTTCTATTTGCTGATGCGGCTGGAGGCGCTAGGACTCGATATTGGTTCGCTGGACGTGGAAGTGGAAGCTCCTTCCAGACCGATGAACTACATCAATATTTTTCCTGGTTCGGACAAGTCAGATGCCCTCTCTCTGATGTCCTTCCGCTCCTCTCTCTCAGCCGTCTCTCGTCTGTCTCTGGGCGCTGGCTGGTGGGGCAGGCCAGCACCTCTCAGTGTGGATGCAGAGCTCAAGTACATCTACAGCTGCTTCACGAAGATCCCGGCGTTGTCACTGCATGCGCCAGAAGCTAGGTTGATTGCGGAACTAGCTGACGAAGCTCCCAACCAGAACGCGTTGCCGCTTGACGCGTTCAAGAACCTGCAGACCTTGCACTGTATTGATGTCGACCCGCGGACGCTGCTCGGCTGGGACCGGCTGGCGGAGAGCCTCAGAAGTTTGACAGTCAAGAAGAGTGGGTTGGAGGATGTCTCTGACATCTTTGTCAGTGCTGTCGTAGATGATCAGGCAAGGAGAGAGGGAAGATTGGGCGGCTCGAGATCCCGCAAGCTCGCGCGGCTGTTGTCACGACAAACGTCATTTCACAGCACACGCTTACCGGACTCTGTGCCAGAGGATGCCGAAGAATCCTCAGAGATGCCCTCTACACCTACTGTTGAAGATACACCCAAGCCTTCTATGCCTGTAGAGCTGCCTTCGTTGAAGTGGGCCTTCCTCCGACACCTGTCATTAAGCGATAATGCCCTCACTTTCCTCCCATCGTCACCGCTTCCATACCTAACCTCTCTAACCCATCTTGACCTCTCCTCGAATCTGCTTGTCTCCGTTCCGTCAGGTCTCTCCGCCCTCTATAATCTCGTGTCGCTCAATCTGTCGGATAATATGATCGACTCAGTCCTGGGCATTTACACAGTCCTTGGACAGGTCCTATATCTTGACCTCTCTCACAACCGGCTTGAATCAATTTGTGGTCTGGAGCGTCTTCTCGCCTTAGAGCGAGTCGATTTGCGACAGAATGTCATCGAGGAGAGCGCGGAAGTAGGCAGACTGGCAGCTCTTCCAAACATTGCCGAAGTATGGGTGGAGGGGAACCCCCTGGTGGATATCGAGGAAGGCTATCGCATACGGTGTTTCGATTACTTCTCCAAGGAGGGGAAGAGTATCCTGCTCGATGGCTCACTGCCAGGCTTCTACGAGAAGATGTATATGTCGGCGCCGCCGCCTGACCAGATGACATCTTCTCGACCACCGTCGGTCGCTCAGTCACCTCCTGTAGTTGCCGTTGGGTCCCCGACTGTTAATGGTGTGCCATCACGCGAGAGCCCTCTGCAGTCTTCCTCTCCTTCGTCACCGCCTTCGCACACCGCCTCACCACAGACAGCAGCTTTGGTTGGTAGAGGGCGGCGGCGGAAGAACAAGCGGATTGTGGATCTGGATGGTGGGGTGGAGACGAGCGAAGCGGGGAGCTCATGGAGTGGTTCGCATGCGCATGTGCCTACGGACGCACAGCCAACGAGGAATGATATTCCTACTCAGCCTTTGCCAGAGGAATCAGCTCCTGCGGGACCCTCGAGTGAAGCCGGAGTGGAGGCAGCGCCGTCTGCAGCCACACCAGTTGTCGGGGCAGGGCGAAAGTCGCGGCATACTCGGAACTGGACTGAGTTCGCGCCTGCGTCCAATGCTGCGTCCGACGAGGCAGCATTCACTACCTCGGCTATGGGGAACGCAGCGTCTTTGCGGAGGGGTTCCATGCGGAGAGCGCGGGTGGCTGCGTCAGTGTACGAGCCTGCAGAGGAGAGCAAGGTGGACCAGTTCAGGGAGGCGGATGTGTTCCGTGCACGCATGGAAGCCTTGCGGTCAGACATGGGGGAAGGGTGGTTGAAGGTATTCAACCAGTCGCAACTGGGCTCGCCGGGGGTTCCTTCTGGATAACGACTCTTCATGCACATATACCATTCTCTGGAATATCGATATCTTGTATTTTCTGTGCGTACATATTCACCGTAATGATCGCCGTGTATTGTACTTGGCTGGTGGGATGCATGCTCATTTCTTGAGGCGGAAATGTTTTTGACTAGTCCGAGGTCACGAGACATGTCATTCTGAATACGAAGGTCGGAACGCGCCGTGGAATATTTCGACCGCGTCCTTCTCTCTTTGTACCTCTCTGGTGGCCACACTCACCCTCCTGTCGTTCTTTACTTTCGTTACAACTCGTCGATATCCAACATGGGTGCTAATCTTTCGAAAGCGCTGGGTAGGCCACTGCATCGCTCACGCGAATAAGAGGGCGTGCTGTTGACGTGTATATGTTTTCAGCGAAGATCTTTGGGAACAGGGAGATGAGGTTGTTGATGTTGGGTCTTGATGCAGCAGGAAAGACCAGTGAGTGGTACTGTCCGAGGAATATGGGTGCAGCCTGAACGGTTCTCTCGCAACAGCAATTCTGTACAAGCTCAAGTTGAACCAATCTGTCACCACAATACCAACAGGTCAGTCCGCTAACTCTGTAGTTCTGACGCTTGGAATCCATTTCTGTCTAGTTGGCTTCAATGTGGAGACTGTAACATACAAGAATGTAAAGTTCAATGTGTGGGACGTCGGTGGCCAGGACAAGATTCGCCCTCTGTGGAGGCATTACTATACCGGCACCCAAGGACTCGTGTTCGTTGTTGATAGCCAGGACAGGGAGCGGATAGATGAGGCGAAGCAGGAGCTGCATCGAATATTGAGCGACCGAGAGATGAAAGAGTGTTTGCTACTCGTGTTCGCCAACAAACAGGATCTGCCAGGAGGTGGGTGGCCAGACTACGCGTTTCTGCACCCGTTCACTCAATTACTCCACAGCGATGTCCCCAGCGGAGGTGACAGAAAAGTTGGGTTTACACCGGATGCGTGATAGGTCGTGGTATGTCCATCCCAGGTGCGTGGCTTGTTTCTTCTTCCAGATGTTCGCAATGCTGATGCTCGGTCAGTTGCGCGACTACTGGGGAGGGTCTGTTCGAGGGCCTTCAGTGGCTATCACAGAATGTCAAGAAGCGCCAGCCTTGAACCATCCCCTGTTGTCACATCCGGATATCTGTCTGCTCTCTGCTTATACCCGTCCCGTTCTCGGGACATCAACTCTTATGGCTCGCATGACTCCACGCACGCTCGCACGACGGACATTTCGGTCCACACGCCTTCCGTTTACTGTTTCCTTTGGCTAGCTAACCGGGTCCTGTTTGCTCCACACGTCTCGGGATGTTTTCTATTTACCCTCTTCGATGATACGCCTATGCACATGCACTTTAATGGATAGGGCTGATCAGAATCTCATTTTACTTCGTGTCTACAATCCTTCTGTCCAACTCGTTTGCAATATATAGCAGCGCTTCACGAAGTTCAGAAATATTGAAGTAGACCAGAGCAGCTGCAAACAGTCCCGGGAATCAAGACTCCGTCGACAAATTGATACGTCCGACGTAGTATGTACGTAGTAGTTAGTGCTCACGATCACGCCTTGCAGTCAATATACTCGCCTCGCCCGCGTTGTATTCGCTCTCTGCTTCTCCCACACCTATGTCGAGTGCATTGCGGGCCAAAGCCTTCAGAAGGGCATTCACCTCCCGCGCCGTCGACGGGTTCGTCGGGGCTGTCGGAAACACACCTCTTGTAAGTACAGCCGTGGTTGAAGCATATGGCGGGCCATCCTCTCACACGAATTTCAGATTCGACTAAAAAAGCTCTCTGAGCTAACTGGGTGTAACATCGTCGGCAAGGCAGAGTTCCAGAATCCAGGAGGCAGCGTCAAGGATCGCGCTGCGCTGGGTGTTATCCGGGATGCCGAGGAACGAGGTCTGTACGTGTTTCACCCTGCACACTCAGCGTTTCGTTGCCGATGGTTATAGGCGTAAAGTCTCAAGGCTGGAGGTACCGTGGTCGAAGGCACCGCAGGAAACACCGGCATCGGTCTCGCACATGTCTGCAGAGCCCGGGGCTATAGATGTGTGATATTCATGCCTGACTCGCAGGTGAGCCCAAAGCACCATCTTCCTCTTCGGTTCTTCTGCTTAGGGCTTTCTCCGTACACCAGAGTCAAGAAAAGATCGATCTCCTGCGGATGCTGGGCGCCGAGGTCTACCCAGTTCCCGCGGTCGCGTACGAGAACCCGAAGAACTACAACCACCAGGCGCGCGAATTCGCTGCATTGCTGCCGAACGCCATCTGGACGGACCAGTTCGACAACACCGCGAACGCGCGGGCGCACTACGAGACCACGGGTCCGGAGATCTGGGAGCAGACTGGCGGGAACGTCGACGGGTTCATCTGCGCGACCGGCACCGGCGGCACATTGGCGGGTGCGGGTAAGCTCTTGCTCGAGAAGAGTGACGGGAAGACGCAGATATGGTTGGCGGACCCACCGGGCAGTGTCCTTTACAGCTATATCACCAGCGGCGGACAACTCACTGAGAGGAGCGGTAGCTCGATCACGGAAGGTTTGTGCACTTTCATACAAAGAAGCATTTTCGCTCAGAAATATGTTACCGCTCCTCGTAGGTATTGGCCAGGGTCGTATTACAAACAACTTGGGCACAATTGTCAAACAACTCTCGGGGGCGTTGCAAATACCCGACACCAAATCCATGGCGATGATCTATGACTTGTTGGATACAGAAGGTCTATACCTGGGAGCTAGTTCTGCACTGAACGTCGTCGCTGCGGTAGAACTTGCACAGCAACTGGGTCCAGGTACAAATCGCATTCTAATTCATTGTCGTGGCCTGACTTACGCGTTTGTGCAGGCAAAACTATCGCCACGATCCTTTGTGATGGTGCCTACCGGTACCAGAGCCGACTGTTCTCGAAAACGTGGTTGCAGGCGAAGGAGCTTGAGGGTGCGATCCCCGAGCACCTGAAGAAATACGCCGTGTTGGACTAGCTGGGAATCGTGTTGTATCCATTGAAGTTATCGTTGCTTTGATGTAAGTTCTTTAGAAGGTCGTCGGATTGTGCTTCGCAAATGTTGGCTCTCTCGCAACTACACACGCATGTCACTCCGACATCTGCGTCTTACGGTGCACAAAGCTTGGATGGGACACGTAAATCACGAAAATAAATGATCGAGGACATATGGACAGCAGATGCAGCAGATATAGGAGAACTGCACCCACACTCTACATGAGCTCGTCAATGGTCATATCTCCCTGCCCATACTCCACCTCTGGCATCGGCTCAAGCTTCTTCAGACTGCCCGTACTGCTGAGGCTCTTCGCAGACTCACTCAGCCGAGTGCCGGAGATGACGTTCACGTTCTGAATGGCGAGCGGAACGCGGCCCACCCTCGTGACGGTTGTGCGCGGTTTCATCTCTGGTGGGACTGCAACAGACTTGTACAGCTCCAGCTCGTGTCGCAGGTCTTCGTTGTTCACGGCAACTGCATCTCTGTCGCGTGTGGACATGAGTAATTTCTGTAAACAAACCGGTGTCAGCGCTTGTCTTGGCACTGACTTAACTAACAAACATGGAACACACCTGTTTCGTTTCGTACAACTCTCTGCGGATCCTGTCGACATACATAATGCGCTGGTTTGGATTGTTATGACCTAGAATCTCGGCGTTGAATCGGCTGATACGCTGAGCCTCTTCCTCCGCAAGAGCATTCCGATAAACCAGAGCATCGACTTCTTCCAGAAGGCTGTTGTATGCCTCCTGGTAGCGTTCTGCTTGTGCGAGCTCTGAAGCCATCCTGTCAATTGCGGAAGCAGGGTTAACGCCGCGGTAAGCTTCCATGAACTACAGGATAACAATCACGGCCAACATGAGAACACTCACTGGTCGACCTCAGTCTGGAGTGCCTCTTCGGCTGCTCTGCACTTTTGCGCCGTCTCTGCCAGGCGATGGTTCGCGTCTTTCTGTGTCCGGAGTGCTTGCTCGACTCTGGAAACATCCGCTTGCGCCTTCGCGCGAGTGTCTTCCAACTGTTTCTTCGTGGACGCCTCTGCAACCTGGGAAATCTGTAGAGACGCTGTTGTTTCGGAGAGTTGCCGCTGGGCCTCTGCGTGCGCTACCTGAGCAGCCTCAAGTGTGGCGCGGAGCTCTGTGTACTTCCCCTCGGCCTGTGCCAGTTCGGCGGCGCTCTGTTCAAGCTGAATTTCTGCATTACCCAGGCCCTTCACAAGGGCTGAGCTATGCAGAAGTAGAGTATCGCTTCTGAGGCGGTAGAACTCACTCCATACAGAGCTATCCGCGACAAGCCCTTGCTGGACGGAAGCCTGCGACTGAAGAACCTCGTGACCCATGGAGAACAGGGAATTATCGAGGTCCCGATAAATTGAGGGCTCGTCCAACCGCTCTTCCTGGGTGATATCCTTCAGGGCTTGGGAGTAGAACGCCGTCTCCGCGTCTACCTCTCGGAGCCGGGCAGACAGGAACTGTTTGTCTTCTTTGGTGTGTCGGATCAAGTTCACCAACTCGATGACCTGGCCCTCTGCATTTGCGAGTTTGCGCTCCAGTCTCAACACGCGCATCTGCAGGATCGCGGACTCTTCTTTGATGCGGGAGTGGACTGACAAGGGGACCGTCGTCGACGCCAGTCGACCATATTCGGTAGCAACCTGGGCCACGAGCATTCGATGTTGCTCCAGCCGCTGAAGAAGCCCTTCCTCCTCGTCTCCAGTGCGTTTCTGCAAGTCGAGCAACGCGCCCTTCATCTGCTGGGCGGCTGCGCGGGTGTCGCGTAGTTGTGCTTCCAAACTATTCGCAACGACTCGGGCTGCTTGCAATTCTTCATCGCCCTTGCTCTTCATATCCGCCAGCCTCGCTTCGGCAAGTTCGCGCTTCTTCCTCTCCGAGTTCAGCCCTTTCTCCACCTCGGCGAGCTTCCTCTCTCGCTCACGCACTTCCTCCTTCCTCCTTGACTCTGCTGCCTGCAGAACCTGCCGTGCCTCTCCTGCAGAGCCCTGCTTCGCAGCGAGTTGGGCACGCTCGTGCTCCGCGACACGCAGCTTCATACGGAGCTCCCGCAGGTCGGCTTGGTCAGAGGTGCCCGTCTTCTTCAACTCCTGCACCCGCGATTCCAGGGCGTCGTTCTGCTTCTTCAACTTGTCGGCGCGTTCCGCGTGCTCTGCCGCGGATTTCTGAGCACGGCTCAGCTCGAGCTTGAGGTGTTCTAGGTCAAGATGATGCTGCACTGAAGAAGATAAGTGGATTGGTAAGGGAATCAGATGTGTTTTCCCACCGATTTCTTGTTCTCTGCGTGTATTCGCTCTAGCTCCTCGAGTTTGTGCTGTAACGCCGCAGAACGATCAGTGACAGGCTTTCCCGCTCTTGAAGACGACCTTGTAGTTTTTGCAGCAGCATCTGCATCATACGCGCCGGGGCCTGTACATACATCAGCCCCCATTCTTTGTCTTCGCAGCGAAACTCACCGGGAACATCAGGCACATTTTCCTTCATGAACCGGGTTGTCTTCTCCAGAAAGGCGCCATGCTTGTATGCATCGAAGTCGGGTTCTTGCGCACGATAAACACGAGTTATATGACTGTGTAAAGGACATACCTTGAGGGTTGTAAGCATTTGGTCCAGGGACCTGCGGAACTGAGGAATTCAACCACAGACCGAATCGCATACAACTGTGTACTCACCTTTAACCGCAGGGAAACGTGGTCCTTTGGGAAACATGCACTCTTCACTTTGAATTTGCTGCTTGCTCAGTGATTGCGGAGAACGCCTGTCTTCACGGCGAAATTGAACCCGGTCCACGCGTTTGGGAACTCGAACAAACACGAACAAATACATAAGTCGCGTCGCAGTCATGTGGACTCTGGCGCTCCAGCACCTGACCGCGACACCACATTTCTGTGGGGTATGTGGAAACCAGACTACAGTAATATCGAGTACAGTGTAGTTAGATGTTAGATATAGTACAAATCTATGCTACATACAACACGTCTATGAGGGGCGGTCGAAGGGGGTATACACTCGCAGCGAATTGACTTCCCAGTACGCATTCGCGAACGCCTGAGGGTTGTTGTTAACGTCTGCCAAACAGTGTTCAATCATACAACAACCACGCAATGGAAAGGGGGAAATGCTGCTTACAATCCGTGCACGACCCACTGCAACCGGTGGATGTGTAGTCATTACCAGCCCAATCGCCCTGCTCAACACCTTCAGTGAAACGAATGATTGCAAAATTGCTGAATGACTTACGCAGAAGGTCAGGTCGAACACAAACTGGTGCGCATTGAAGTGAGAGTCATAATCGCACGTCGACCCGACGGGGAATATCGCAGAAGGCGTGCCCCATGAAGGATCTGGCGAGATCGTGGGCGGACCGAGCAGGCCAAGGGCCGCAGGAGCTGGATTTATCACTTCTGCTGGAGTGGCGGCGTCGTTCCGCGCCCAGAACCAGATGCGCACGCCGTCCTGCTGCGTGCGCACCACGACGAAGTAGCCGCCGCCAGCCGCGTTGAACGGCGCGCCGTACGAGCCGTAGGGAAAGGACACGCCGCAGCCTTGGTTGAAATTCGCGTTGGCGTCACAGTTCGTCGAGGACGTTGTGCTGAAGTGGGGGACGTAATTGAGGGAGGATAAGGTCGACGAAAGGAAACTCACCCTGTCTGCGCCCTCTGCTGCTGCATGGTGCAAAGCGGGGTAGTGTGCAACGAAGCAAGGTTGCCATTATTCAGGTTGACGCCTGCACCGGGTCAGCCGAGTATGAGTAGCGAATCCCGGCACTTTCTTCACTGAATCTACCTTCTACTATGTCGATTTCACCGCCCTGCGGCCACGGTCCCGCTTGGCTGAGTGACCAGAACGCAGGCCATGTACTGCAGCCCTCAGGCATGTGCTGGAGGTCGAGCACCGTGACGGAATCACTGTACGCGTTATTCGAGATGATTCGGATACTGTCTCTTCCCCGTGCACTAGGTGCCACTACGTTCTGGTCATCCGCCCGCATAATGAACTTGCTATCCGTCGCTAGAGGGAAAAGGGGACGATAAATTGTGGAACGTGTCCGCATATAACGGACACGGGGGTTAACGTACCGAAAGACAAGTTCGAACTAACGGCGGTGTTCTGGTCCACGTAATTCACGCGTCCATTGGTCGGGTCGTCCATCGTCTCCCAAGTCCAGCTGTCGAAGAAATCCCGCCCGGCATAGGTGTCCGCCAACGCGAAGTGCCCGCTGACAGTGGGCATAAGGACGGACGCAAGACAGAGGATAGCATAACCAGTACGCATGTTGATAGACGTCTCTGAAAATCCGGTAAGGACTGACGGTTGCCTCGAGATACGGGCGGATATAGAGCAGGACGGCGATGACAAAGAAACTGGAGGAGACGACTGCGACGACCAGCGGGGAAGTCGAGGGGGGTAGACGTGCGGCTGACATGTTGACTTTCGACGAAGAGGGGGCCTTCTGGTTCAATTGAGTGCGGCGGGTCAATCGTGGGTCGTCGATCATATGCAGTCGGTGACAGCGGTCAACAACACAACCCTGCGTGTGAATATTAGTTGTAGCCTCTCTTCGCTTACTGTTGGCTATACAGCGTGCGAGGGGTAAAGCAAACCGAAGAAACGAGGTGAAGAGGTCGTGAACCGGTGTCGAGCATCAAGTTGCAGCAAGCACTTGGGAAAGACGTAGATAAGATGAGATGTCCGGTAGACGCCAAATCGGCGAATGCACCACCACAACGGATATAATTATTAAAGCTGTATTCAAGAGTACAACATTCAATCAAATGACATTCTGCAAGACACATCCAACCATTCCTAAAATCTCATAGCCCGAGAGCTGAACCAATCGACGGAGCCACGGAGCCACGCCGCCTAGGAGATGTAACAGAGGGCGCGACAGAGCTCTGCCGCAACGCCGACACAACGGAGGGAGCGACAGACGTGTGTCGCTGGCGGTCCCACAGTCTATCCTTCGCCCGCACCTCGATATTCTCAAACGGCACTTCCTGTGACAGCTTGACACAGTCACGGGTGCCGAGGACGAGGAGCTCGAAGAAGAACGACGAGGCTGCTCGACGAGTAGCCTGGTACCAGCGGTGAGACAACATATTGCAGGATATAAAAGACAACAAACCTTCTCGGACATCTTCTTGAAGCTCAGCACCTTTTCTTCGTCGTGTTCTTCTCCGGGAGTCGGCCGCAGCTCTCTGCGGATGATCGACAGCGCCTTAACGGTGTTCCTGCTGTAGCCCTTCCCGTCGTCGCTCGACCCCTCCTCGCTCTGTGTTTGCGAACGTGACGAGCGGTCGTCAAATGCCGCAATGGGGCATGCTACGTCCGCGTAGGTTTCCTCGCCCTCCTCCACAGCCGCTCCCTCGGGAGCGGGGGTAGACAAACGGCTCAGTGCGGAGAGCGCAAGAGACTTTGAGCGCGCCCGCTCCATCCCTGGCACTGCACCCATCTCAAACTCCGGGACCTCCATCTGGAAATCTTCAACACCTCCAGTATTGTCAAAGCCGAAGTCGTTCACGCCTGGCCCAATGCTCGCCCGTCCAAGTACGTCGCTGCCCAACGCCATGCTCGGCGCCACGCTCCCCGCGCGACGCGCCAGCTCCACCTCGTCCTCACCAGCCACGCTGCCCTCGGTACGGCGTCTCTTGTTGGGGCTCTTCTCGGGAGACGCACCGCGGCGCTTCGGCGGAGCAAGATTCTGCACTGGCCGCATAAACATCTCTGCCAGCTCTGGTGCGAGCCCAGGCGGCGCGGCGCAGAAGAACGTCCCGGCAGGTGTCACTTTAGTGGGAAGGAAGTGTGCGAGGGGGTCGTCGCGAATCTCCAGCAGGCGCATGACGAGCGGAGACCGCGGCAGGTAGTGGTGCTCCATCACGATGTTGCTCACGTCTTTCGGTTGCGATTCCAGGCCGGCATTGTGTCCCCGGCCGACTCTCGCACCGGGACCGTCGGCGAGCTCTGTGACGGAGTCGATGATCTGCTTCTTGTCTTTCTTCTTCTTCGCCTTTGCTGCTTGTGCGTCGGCCCGTGGAGTCAATTCGACGTCCGGCGGAGGAGTCTGGGGAGGTTCCGTAAGAGGGGAGGCTACACGAACAATTAGCATCGTCATCAACGGCCGGATATAGCACTCACATGCACGGGAGGGAGTGAGACGCGGTGTGGGCGCATGCTCGCTGGGGACGTTATCACCAAAGTTGATCCCAAGGTCAAGGTCCATCCCTCCAATATCCGGACCAAAATCCAAATTCATGTCGGCATCAAAGGGATGCGCGGACGGCTCCCTGCTCTTATTCGAGAGCATATCAACATCTTCATCCACCCCGCGCCGCCCCAGGAGGTGCGAATCCAATGACTCCCGCATCGCCCTCGGAGGCGCTGCATCTCGTCCCACCTCGACGCTCATGCTGTCGTCCTCGGCGCGCGTGCCCTGGACGCTAACATGCCCGTCACCGAAATCCAGTCCGAGATCAACCTCGAAATCCTGCGAACCGATGCCGTCGGACGGACCGAGGTCAAAGCCGTAGCCTGGCTCGTCGAAGTCGAACTGGAAATCGTCCGCGGTGGCCAGCGTGATGTCCGCCACGCGTGCAATATGCTGCCCGCCAGGCTGTACTGGCCGATCTTCGTAGTCCATATTCCTACACAGAAACAAAAAGCACCGGGAAACCGATGTCAACTTGGGTGTGTATGAGCTGCAGGCGGCGCGTACCAATTGATGTCGGGGAGCAAGGCGTCGAGGTCGAGGTTGTTTCCTTGTAGCGTGATGGCATTGCTGTTAACGGCGAGTTGATCCTCTGTCATGTCCACAACCCCTGGACGGAACGCCTGCGAAAGGAAAATTATAACCTGCCACTTTTCACGACGGATACATGGTGGGCGCACCATCTTAATCTTCAACAGTGCTTCATTACAATCATCCAGTAGATACTTCGCTTTACGGCTGTAGATTCGCACCACACCAAGCAGCAGCTGGCCGCTGAGTCGCAGAGCCATCACTTCAACCTCCTGACCCATTATAGCGTCTAAAGCGGTGGGATCTCATCAATTCGGTCCAACTAAAGGATGAGTGGTGGGACGTACCAACGGACTGCTCGATATCTGTCTGCAGAGTTTGGGCTTTCGAGAGCTTCCGCTCCATGTGTGCGGCGAGCCATACTTTCGCGAGGGGCCCTCGCCGCGACAAGATTGCTTCGGAATAGAACTGCAGACTGTCAGCCAAAAGCGCAATGCGTTATCATAGAACATACCATAGTGTACGGGTATCCAAGAAGATGAAAAACGCGTCTGTTGGGACTATAGCAGACCGCGTTGCGGAGGTATCGCGAGCACACACGGTGGCGGGAACTGTTAAAGGTGGAGTTACCGCGTTAGGTTTCAGAACCATGTCTTTTCGATCTCCGCTCACTGAATATAGGCGGGCTTCTACTGATTGGCTCTCAGTCTTACCCACTTGAATCTCCGCTTTATTAACGGTGGCACGCGCCTGATAATTTCTCTCCACAAACGCGTCTGCTAGCTCGAGCTAGTCGGGATGCTGGCAAGCTCATCTCGCAATGCACTCAAAACAGCGCATACACGACTTTCGGGCATAGCTACAGACCTCTGCAGCGCCCAGCAGGCGCAGGTGGTCACCTTCGGCTGGTCAAGTACGTCTCTATTCGTTCCGCATCCGTTTCCCTTCTGACGACGCCAGCGATTGCCTCACAGGGTGCGCCCAGCAGCAGCGGCATGAGTCGTCCGCGCAGGTGCGCACGCAGCAGAATATCTTCCATGAGCGCGATGGCCGGGCTCGGCGGCATGGTGGCCTCCGCAACCAGCCCTACCAGTTCACACCGGACGTCGACTTCCGCGGCACGACGGTTATGACCGAGGTCGCGCGGTACAACCTCAAGCTCAGCCGCTTCATCGAGGGGAGCCTCACGCGCGTTGTGATGCGCGTCTGCCTCCAGATGAAGAACAAGGGCCTCCGGCCGAACCTCACGACCTATACCTATATCATGCAGGCGTGCGGTATTGAGGGCAGTTACGACATGGCTCGCGCGACGCTCGAGGATATGGTCTCAATGGACATTCGTCCTGACCGCGAGATTTTCCATTACCTACTCAATGTGAGGTGAATTTTACTGCGCGTCGCGCTCCCCGAGACTGGCTGGCTTACACGCTTGATTCGTAGGCAGCACGCTACCAGGACAGCCGGAAGCTCTGGGAGGTCATCTCCATGATGGAGCGCTTCGATATAAGACCAAATGAGTCGACATATGAGTATATCATATTGCAGTATGCTGAGAGCGGTAATCTCGAGCTCGCCCTGCAGTATCTTTCCGCTCTAGGCATGCGCGGCTTGTCTCCAACATTGAAAACCGCGCAAGGCATTATCCGCGTGGCAGGCTCGATGGGATTCCCACGACTAGCATTGGATCTGGCAGAGGCTTTCGAGCAGACGTCTGTGCGCCGTCTGGACGGAGAAGTTTGGGCGGAGTGCTTGGAATCGTCCTCCGAGGCATTATACGTGCGTACGCGAGATGACGCATGGGTTGCGAGTTTTTACATGTTTATGCAGGAGGAAGGTGTCCTCCGGACTTGGCAAAAGGTGGTACACGAGCTCAACATTACTCCCGACGAAGGTTGTTGCATTCAGGTCCTGCATACGGCCGCGAGACATGGTCTATCTGGACTGGGCCTTGATGTTCTGCGGGTGCTCAGTCGTATAGGTGTCGCTTGGCAGGAGTATCACTTCGCGCCCGTCATTGAGGCGTTCTGCAAGGACAACAAGATCAAGGACGCGATGGAGATGCTGGCAATGATCCGCGCGCATGGAATTAACCCCATCTCGGAGACAGCTTATCCGATATTCCAGATGATTCAAAAAGACCCTGATACTGTCGACGAGGCATGGGGTTACCTGGAGACGCTCCGCGAAGAAGGAAAGGTGGTGGACGTGACTGCGTTGAACGTGATAATCCAAGCTTCGGTTGGGATCGGTGACCTTCAGCGGGCAGTCGGAACGTACAAGGCGGCCGGCGACCTTGGGGTGGCGCCGAACGTGGACTCGTATAACCTGCTACTCTCCGGGTGCATCGTCTCTCAGCACCGAGAGCTGGGTGACCGGCTGCTAGGGGAGATGAAGGATGCGTCCATCAAACCGGACGTGCGGACGTACGAGCGGCTGATCGTGCTGTGCCTGACACAGGCGAACTATGAGGACGCGTTCTTCTACCTGGAGGAGATGAAGAACGAGGGGCACCTGCCACCGGTGACGGTGTATGAGGCGATCATCCGGAAGTGCGTGCAGGTGGGAGACACGCGGTACCAGCTTGCGGTGGATGAGATGGTGGAGTGCGGGTATGAGATGTCTGAGAAGCTGGAGAAGCTCATTCAGTCTGGAGGGGAGAACGAAGGGTCGGAGGGGACGCCTGACCCTGTCGCGCGCAGTGAGCGTCGGCGGGGAGCGTGGCTGCAGGATACGCGACGGGGACAAGAGTGATCATGTCTATATTATCTAATAATCATCTCTAGAGATCCTGATGATGGGGCGTCGGCCAGCGAAGACTGAGATGCGTTCGCAGGTACTGCCAGTGTGTGGATGCAACGCGGTCACGCGTTTGGGCGTCTGTTTACTCTACAGCATCTCGCCGCTCAGCCTCCCCCGGTCTCATCCAGTTTGAACACTCTTCTTTTCCTCGTGTTGCCCTGCATGAATACTCGCAACCACGACGTTATCGACGTCGATGCCGCAGAAGACGCTAATGAGGTCCAATTCCGAGGATTCTACCGCAACGTAGGAGCACACCATACATACGTCAGTAAGCTAGAGGAAGAGGGTATCCTCTTCACCGGTTGGGTCTCACCTGAGCGGACGCAGCTAGTTAATCGCATTAGGGAGAATAATGTGATTGACCTCATATCTGACGATGAGGGGGACGGAGGTGCTGGTCCCAGTATCGCGCCACAGAAGGGTTTCAGACCCAAGTCACTGGTGAGCCCCCTGCGAATCCTGATCTTATACAATTGTCATGGCCATTCTGACAACAAGGGCAAGGTTGTTGCAAAGGATTTGCCACGGTCACATGTATGCCTTCCAAGATTGTTGAACTGAGTGCAACTTCCTCATCTTCATACTCAGCCTTCCTCGTCAAGGAGCAAGTTGCCTTCTGATGAGAAAGCTATGGCTCTTGCAAAGAAACGCCCACTTTCCAGTGAGAAGACTAAATCTTCCGAGAAGGGACGCCAACCTTCCAACGACAAAGCCAAGCCCCCGGCGAAGAGGGACTCGTCTTCCAGCGACAAGTCCAAGAAGCGAAACCTTGATCCTGGCGAGAGGATAGAGCCTCCCGCAAAGCGCTTTAAAGGTTCGGACGGAAAATTTGCACCCGCTCCCAACCCCTACTCCCGCAAGCGCCCTCGCCAACCGCTCATGGCTTCCAGCAGGGAGGCGGAAGTGATTGTCATTGACGACTCTGACGAGGAGGAATTACCGCTAAAGGTGTGCACGTTCTATCTGCTTTGGGTGTAACTGAATATTCGTGCAGAGAGCGCGCACGTCCCCGGACGACACGCCTGATGCGCCAGATCCGGTTCCTGAGTTGGAGGATGAACTAGGTCGTAGTACCGAAGTCCTGCAATGTCTAGCGCTTGGTCAAGACGGGCCGGATCCTGATCCTGATCCTGACTCTGAGTATGACTACTTTCATGACGCATATGATCTGCACAGAAAGAGTAATGTGAGTATATGTCTTACTATCTATGTTCTACGGCTTTAGCTGAAATATTCTCAATGTCAATTGCCAGTGGGAGCCTTTCCCCGAGTCCACAGTTGATTATGAACTTGAAACCAAGGAAGGTCAGACCCTTGCCGAGAAGATGGCAAAGCTATCCGTGTCAACCTATTCCACCACGCGCACATTATTCTCCTCACCCTGGGACTCTGACAATGAAGACGGCACAGACGTTTGGTGCAGGGTACATATAGCGTTCTTTTCAATCTTGTATTGCATAGATGAGAATTTGACAAAATTGTGTTTTAGTTACAAGGAATGCATCGCCCGCGATTCAAGTGTTCCAGTCGGTCACCATATGACCACTTGGTTCCAGCCAAATCACTATCGACAACTTCAGGTTGTAAGTCGATTGCACTGTGGCACACGTTGAATTTTTCGTAGTAAATTCCAGAGTCCAGCCGTCATGAAAGTACGGCAATCCGCCGGCATCATTGCAATTGCGAGCGCCGTCGCTGACGGAACAGCTGACATGGATGATCGTAAGCTGAACCCGTTCTCTCCCATGCTCTTAGGGTTCTCACCTGTTTTACTGTTTGAAGAGGAGCCAAGCGCATACAACCGTGAAGGCAATTTGAGAGTCTGGTGCGATGGGACAGGTAAATCTGATTATACTCTGTGCGTGCAGTGCTGACTGTCTGTCAGAGTTTACGCTGTATGGCCACGAAAGAAGTTACACTTCAGAAGGTCGAGGTATGCACTCCCCAATAACGCGATAGTGTAGTCGCTGAGTCCGTGAAACACAGATATGCGCAGGTTCTATACCGTGAACGATGTTCAGTTCGATCCTGCCCTGTAAGTTATTCCGTGCATATTGAATGCAGGATACTAAAGAAGTTCATTTGACAGTCCAACAAGACTAGTTTCGTGTGGACATGACCTCACAGTAAAAGTTTGGGATTGTACCGCCGTTGAATCTGGTGCTACAGCTCTGGAATATGCTACGACCCCGGAGTACGGTGCGCCAGAACTGGTCCAAACAGGTAATTGTTCTGAAACTCAAACCTCCACCAAGACAGAAGTTGTTGAATTACCTCTCACAGTCACATTCCCCTGCATACCTGAATCTATGCAGTTCAAACCGGAGGGCTCTGTGCTCGCCGTGGCGGGCTCGAATGGGTGAGTGACCACTACCTTCCCTCCTCCTTGCGACTACCAACAGGCCAAAAGACGCGTGTACCTGCAGCGCAATACGAATTTGAAGTACCGGACCGTGCTGACCGTCGCTTCGGGTGCGGAAGGCGGCGTGGTGGACCTCACTTGGGGTGCGGAGAGCTCGGCCAACAAGTTATTCGCAACGGCCGCAGGGGAAGGCGACGGTGTGCACAAGGCATTCGACGTCACCAAGGGCAAGGAGATCTGCCAGTTTGACGCGGAAGACCCAGGCGAGAGGCTCGCGATCGACGAGAGCGGTACGTTCCACCCCCCCAAATGCACTCATCCGACATCACTTATAAACACCCAACGTGCCGACTCCCCGCAGGCACAACGCTCGCCCTTGCAACGCTCAGTCCCACCCGCGCACACCACTTGCACCTGTACGATGCGCGGCGGTGCCTCCGGCGGGCAACGCAGACCGTCGCTCTCGAGCGCTTCCGCGGGGGGTTCAACGAGGTGAACCGCATGTCATTCAGTCCGGACGCGCTGTTCCTCGCCGTCGCGCGCAGTGATAATGCCGTAAGCGTGTATGACGCACGTATGCTCAGCCGTGGGCCGCTGCAGGCGTTCGCGCACGACGAGCGGTCGACGAAGAAGCCTGCGCGATACGGCGTTGTCGAGGCGCTATGGGTCGAGCGTGGTCGCGCGCTGTTGACAGGGGGAAATGATGGTGAGGCGTGTCCTGAGAAATTGTTTGGGCGGAGGCTGACCTAGCCGGTGACGACTGGTTGTCAGGGTTTGTTCGCATGTGGGACGTCCGCAGGGCCGCTAGCGATCCGTATAATGGTGTGGCCGTGGCCGGGTGCGATTATGATATCGCGCATTTTGCACTGGGGAAGGACAGGGGGGACAAGCCGCTTGTCGTGTGAGTGCAACTCATTGAACTCATCATGGCGAGTTTCTGAACAAGAAGCGAGCAGGGGCGACTTGTCTGGCAGGGTCAAAGTTTTCGACTATGGAAGGACATAGACGCCATGAGTTCGTATACCAGGACTTTATCACAGGACATTTTGTGAGTGTGTAACGATGCTACTTCGTACAAGCAGAGTGACACTTTCTGCATCGACAGCTCTGCAGCCTCCACATACAATACCACGCTTAGGCCCGCACAACATTTGCCTCCTGATCGTGCTTGAAAGCTTTCTTTACCTGCGCAGGATCGAGCGAAGTAATCAGTATTCACACATTTCGGCAGTGAAGTGTCAAGTTTACCCTGTCCGTGAACTCCGCGTCGTCCAGCACACGGAACGCCGCGCCAGCTAGGCCCTTGGTGACCGCGATCGCGGCGGCATGTGCCGCAGGCGTACCCGCAGACTGCGTGAATTGCGGAGTGTGGTTCGAGCCGTTTGGCTCAGTCGGGATCGTGAAGCTCGGGTGCAGCGCGGGTAGGGCTGTAAATGAATTAAAGATGAGGATTAGCACAGGACTGGGGTGTGGACGTACCGTATGTGATATTTCCCTGTGACGTAGGGACGACGGTGTGCATGACGTAGGGACGGATTCATGCAGTTTAGCAGTTTAGTTGCGGGGTGGAGAAATGAGAACGCACAAAGTCCGTCGATGCGCCCATCCCGCCATCCGCGAGCGACTTCACTCCATAGCGGGCGTCCATAATGTGCGAGAATTCATCACCTGCGGCCAAGTCCACATTAACCCTGGGGATGGCCATTGAGTAAAGATTGGAGACGTACCAAGGACGCTGTTCTGCCGGAGATCATAGTACCCGACTTCCTGGTTTATCTCAGCCTTGCATCCCGTGGCAGTCGCCGCCGCCCTGTGAGGATGAAGTAAAGAAGGAAAGGCATAACTCTCAGTAGAAAGCAACGTGCGATAACAAATACTCACTCGAAGCACTTGAGGACGCGCTCGCGGAGCACCTCGACCTCGGGCCATGTCGGTGCGCGGACGATCCACACCATCTTTGAATAGTCGGGGATGACTGTACGACATGGCAGAACAAGTCAGTACATGACGAGGAAGCCAGCTAATCGTGCACAAACTGTTCGCCGCCCAGTTCTTCCCGCTGACGATCCCGTGCACGCGGTGCGTGGGCTTGATCTGCTGGCGGAGCACGGATATGTTGGTGTAAGCGAGGAACGCTGCATCGAGCGCGTTCTGCGCCTCCCATGGTGCCCATGCTGCGTGTGCGCTTTACGCGAACAGTTCAACTCGTGGGTAGCAAAGCGGTAGGAAAAAGTGGGCGCACGTATGTCCGAAGAACTCCACCTCGATGGTCTGGCAGGCGAGGCAAGGGCCGACGGAGACACTGTGCAGGGGACCGGGGCTGGGGTGGCACCTATTGGGAGTGGACGTGAGCGGGGAATATGTGAGCGCTCGAGCGAGAGTCCGTACATGATACATGCGTCCATCTCGTCGTAGGCGCCGCGGTCCAGCAGTTTGACCTTGCCTCCTCCGCTCTCCTCCGCTGGACGTATGAACCGGAGCTGAGCAGGTGTCCTCTGTGCAGCAATCAGAGCACTCACCTGGGGTCCCGAGCAGCACGATCTTCCCGGACACATCATGCTTCTCGAGTGCAGCTTTCACAGCGAGAGCGGCTCCTACACCTGCGATGGCGATGAGATTATGCCCGCAAGCGTGCCCGATGCCGGGCAGCGCATCCATCTCGGAGTTCACGCCAATGACGCGGATTGCGTCCCCATTCTTGGTGGAGGACGACGTGTGTTTGAAGACGGCGCGCCAGGCGGTGGAGAGGTCGAGGTAGTGAGGGGTGACGTCGAAGCCATGCTGCGACATGAACTTGGTGAGAACGTCATGAGCGCGCCTGTGGAATTGATTGATCAGGATGGTGAGAGCCAAGTTATGCAGCGATCGACACACTTCTCCTCGTACGCAATTTCAGGATGGTCTGCGTACGTCGTAAATACGAGGATGCCGCGGATAGATACGAAGTTGCTTACTCCAGATTTCGAGGTTGAGCTCGCGGAGCTCCGGATTGAGCTCGTCCACAGTCTCCTCGATCGTCTTGATCACTTCCGGACGGAAGACGTCCTCCGCGTCACGTAAAGTATACGCAGGTGGTATCTCCGAGGTGGGGGGAGACACGGGCATACCATGCCAGTCGCAGTGGTGACAGTTCAAGTTGGAGAAGTCCGCGGGCTTCGGGGAAATAGTAAAGAACACAACCATACATTTACACACAAAACGCACCAGTTCAACTGCACCTCGTCCGCTGCTCAACTCTAGTTTAGACATATCGGCAGCTGTGGAACGCCTCGAGCGTGCATTGCCCGTAGCGAAAAAGGAGAACAGGCCGGAAAAGCAACCTGCTTGGATATCTGGACCTGGCATGTCTGTATGTCAGCGGCAAAGGAGGGAGTTCGCTGATGGAGGAACCTGGAAGAGAGCAAAGCTGAGCGGAAATACTGCGACTGCACGTAAGGTACCTGTCGCGGGTAATCTCCGGACAATGCGGGCGATGATCAATGTCGCGATCTCATCTCAGACGTGAGATTAGATCGACGACCCTCGATCGAGTGGCAGCCTCCACAAAACATATCTACCGTACCATGTTCTACACATTTATCCTGCACATCGCTCCGCGAGCATTGCCTGGCGCATTTTCGAATTCTGCCCTTCAGCCTTCTTCATGATAGCCGTGCGCAGGAATGAGCACCAGACTCACGCAGTTCTCTCTTCTTTTTCTCGTGCTCGGCTCCTACTCAACGCCACTGGCTGACACAGGCACTAATCAGCTACGCCACACGGAAACACGTTCAAAGGCATTCGTCGCAAGAGTGAGGAGGCGTGCAAACCAAACCTCTGCACAGAATGCAAACGATATGCACATTTTCAACCCGACATTCGCGGTAGGTCAATCCTGCTTATCGCCTCTCCGCTAACCACGATGGATGTCTTTACCAGACAAACGGGCTGAAAGGCGTCCTGGGGAAGTACGCTCAGGCAGCGCAGTTCCTCGCCGGAATCGGGCTCAACCCAAGCACGCACCCCGCGAGCGGCTACGCGCCCTTCAACCCGACTGCACCCAACGCGACCAATGCTCCCTTCCTCATACTCACCAACACCACGGCCCTCTCCGCCGACACAAGCGAAGACACCGCAACGGGGATCCTCGAGCTCCCGGGTACGGCGGAGCTGCCGCTGACGGACTACGTCACCGACGGGCTCGACGTGTTGTACTACGGGTCGCTCACATTCGGCTCGGGCGCGCAGCCGCTGACGGTCGACATCGACACCGGTTCGGCGGATTTGTGGGTCCCCGTCGAGTGCCGCACCTGCGCGGGCGAGCAATTCCGCGAATGGGAGAGCAACTCATACCAAAGTCTCGGGCGGAGGTTCTCTGTCACATACGTTTGAGTCCTCCCGCTTCCCATGCAAAGTGACGCTGACCGACTGGCTGCACACGCTGGACACGGCAGGGCGAAGGCCGCGTTTCCGGCACGCTCGTGCAGGACAGGGTTGCGGCGGGCGGTCTCGTCGTCCCTACGCAAGCGTTCCTCGCGGTGAGCAGCGAATCATACGACTTCGCGGACGAGCCGAGTGCCGGGCTGCTTGGACTCGCGTTCGGAAGCATCGCACGGTCGAAGAGGCCGACGCTCTTCGAGAACCTCTTGAGCGATAAACAAATCCCTGTGGGTGCTTTTGCGGTCCATCTGGAGCGCGGGCAGGCGAGTGGGTCTGAGGTGCGTGAGGAAGAAGATGGCCAAGGGGACGCTTACTCACCACTGAAGGTGTCGGCGACGGGGCAATAGGTTTGCTTTGGATGCTACGACGCGACCAAGACGACGGGCACGGTACGCTGGAATCCATTGATCTCGCAGGTGCATAAGCTACCTCAGAAGTCAGCTATCGTCGCTCATGATCTTTCGTTCAAAGACATACTGGTCAATTCTGATGGACGGTGTCTCTCCAATCTCGGGCCAGTCCATCTCGACAAACCTCACGGCAGTACGTCCCGGACTACTGCATCTATTTCATGACTATCTGATGGCACGCACTAGGCCATCGATACCGGCACGTCGCTGATCTACGTCCCAGACGACGTAGCAGACCAATTCTACGCGCTGGTGAGCCGTCCGTATACCCTCTTTCCACGTTTCTTTCACCTTCCTTGAATCCACTCACTCCGCACAGATCCCCGGCTCGCAATCCACCACGGAATTCGGCGCAGGTGCCGTCCATTTACCCGTCCCCGATCAGCAAACGCTCTTACCACTCACATACACGGCGCAGGGTTCTACACCTTCCCCTGCGCGTCCGCGCTCGACATCTCCCTCTCCTTCAGCGGGAACTCCTTCTCTGTGAACATGCTCGACTTCAACTTGGGGCGGACGACCGCCGGGTCCCCGTGCGTCCCCGCGTGCGTCGGCGTCCATCCATTCTAGCTGATTCCTTTCGGCCAGGGACTGTGTCGGCGGCATCCTGGCGCTGGGCAGCGACTTCCCCTCGGACCTCGCGATTGTCGGTGAGTCCACGTTACCCCTCCCCGGAGCTCTGCTAAGTGTGGACCCGATGCAGGCGACGAGTTCCTGAAGTCCTGTGAGTCGCGTTAGTGATTGACGCCTACCTTCGCCTGTGTGATGAGGTTTCTGATAGGGTACTCGGTCTTCGATTACGCGGGGCTGCGCGTCGGGTTCGCGCCGAGCATCAACAACAAATGACGGGAAGCTGAACTTCAGAGAGGGTGAGGGACGCATGGATTGTGTGGGTTTGATTTACGACGCATCAGAGCAACGCTATGTATCTTTTTGGTTACGAGTAGGTACTCTTCTGCGTAGCATAGTATACCGAGAACCTGGAAACATGGGATCCAGATTCGTGTCCCGGTCAGCAACGGCAATCACAAGACAACAGAAGCCTGAGCACACACCGAGATCTACGATTAAATGCCATCACACCGCCACAAACACGCGAAAATAGATCGTATATATATATAACTCAGCATCTCTAGCGCATCACAGCGTCTTCGGCTTCGCGCCGAGCGTGCGCCCGCCTCCCAGCACGCGGCGGCGCTGGCGCATCATATGGGTATACAGCATGTACAACGCTGAACCACGCACGGTGTAGGCATACGTCAGCACCCAGAATTCCAACGACAAACTCGACACTCACAAGGCCACCAGATGCAAAACATGATCGCGCGGAAGTCCGCATGCACGACCTCCGGCCAGGACATGCCCCGCACCTGGCCAAGCACCGCGCGCAGGACGGTGGGGGACGTGAACGCGGCGGGGAGCGAGTCAAAGATCAGCAACGCCTCGGAGCCCGCGCCGGTGGGGTAGAGCACGAGAAACGCGGTGTAGCGCACCCAGAGGAGCGCGTACGGCTCGGAGCCGAGTAGCGTGCAGACGTAGAAGGCGTAGCGGATCACCTCTGCGATGGACCAGGAGAGAACAGCGCTGGCATAGAGCGGGTTCGTGCGCGTCTGTACGATTGCGGGGACGCTGAGTGAGCAGATGGGGTTGGGGCTGCGGCGAGAGGACTTACGTGCGGGAAGAGATGCAGGACGCCCCAGACGACGTACAGTCTGCTATACACCTGCGAGAATGTGGTGAGCGGGGAGCTCCGCACCCACCCGAGCAGCGCATGCACGATCTCGAGCACCGCGAAGCTCTGCACGATCGCGGTCACCCCGCCCACGGCAGCATAGGTCGAGCTGGCCCTGCGGAATAGAGGGATGAGTTCTGGAGGAGCATACTTCTCCCAGCGGTGCGTCTGAAGGAACGGGAAGGAATGCGTGAGGAAGGCTGGGAGGTAGGAGGCTAGCCGGGAGGAAGGCGGCGCGGAGGTGAGGAAGTGCGTGAGGGTTGCAAAGAGGACGTATGACCACCCGAGAGTAGAGAGGAGGTTGTAAAGAACAAGATAGTACTTGATTACGGCTGGCTGACCTGAGGTGCATGTGAGTGCTATGACGGTGCATGAGACTGCAGACTCACCCCGCCTTTTCGGCCTTGTCTTGTTGGGCCCCTCTGTGATCTGAGCCATGTTCGTGCGTGTGTAACTGGGCTGAAATACGTGTCTAGCAGACCTTTGCAGAATAACAGGCTAGGCCTTGGGCTAGACAGTCTTAACTATTGAGTAGACACGTGGAGACGCGACGCGTCGGCGAGACACGTGACAAATGCCGTTCCGGCAAAACACATATTGCTTGATAAAGATAATCTCCGAAAACATATGGCCCAGGTAACACAGAAAACAACAGTGAAGCTAAGTTAATAATATAGTATCGGCGAACAAAACAGCTATTATTTACCATAACGTGTACGCAAATGCACCCAGACACTCGGATAAAACCCAGACGTCGATTCGGACTCTGTAAGACGAAACATAGCCATTCGAAATATGATAGTTCAGAGCGCACAACAATTAATCTTCCTTCTGGTTATTCTCTTCTTCGAGCACTCCTTCTCCTCCCTCTGCAGGCTTCGGATCGTCCACCCTTGGCTGCTCTGGTAACAACGATGTGGGGATCGGAGGAGGGGGAGGGACACCGTTCGGAGGGTTCGCGTTAAGTCCTGCCGCTGCCTGCATCTGATTGAGTGCAGCGCGCAGAGCAGTGTTCTCGATTCGCAGCTGATCGACAAGGGTGCGACATTCTTCCCAGCGCCTGTTCGCTTCGTCTGCAGACGCGAGTGCAGCGTCGAGCAGCTGCGAGCGCGACTCGAGAGCTTTAACGTGTCTGCACGATATAAAACGATCAATATCGCCCGTCACGCATACGCATAAGGGGCGTTACTCACTGGTCGCGTCGCTCTCTGAACGCACGCTGCGCTTTCCGGTTCTGCTCCGCGCGTTTGCTCTGGCTCAATGTCCTTCCCACAGACGTCCCCCCTTGCTGATCAGGCTGCTGTGGTGGGGCCGGGGGCGGCTGCGGTTGAAGCGACGGAGGTATACCACCAGAGGTGAAGTCCGTAGGGGGGTACTGGTACCCATGCGGGATGGGCGGGCCACCGAGGTGTGGTGGAGGTGGGTGGAATGCATGCATGCCCGGAGGGGGGGCCATTGAAGGACCAGGAAGACCTGGTGGGCCGGGGGGCTGCTGTTGCTGCTGCTGCTGCTGCTGCTGTTGTTGTTGTTGTTGTTGTTGCTGCTGCTGCTGCTGCTGCTGCTGTTGCTGGTCGGGATTGGCGTCGGGGGGGCTCTTGCGCTTGCGGGAGCGAGGGGCTGGGGGTTGTGTCACGGGGGGAGGTTCGTCGCGAAGACGAAGGGTTTGGAAAGTGCCCGGTGGCTGAGCATGGGGCGGCTGTGGGTGTATGGCATTTGGGTCTGGAGGAGGATACGGGGTGTGTCCTAACATGGCCAATTCAACCGTCCTCATCTCTGGCGTGTGTATTAGTAAGAATCGTAAGCAGGCGGAGTTCCTCTTTTCGGCACACCCCGTGCCGCCGCCACAACGCTTACGAGTGCTTTTCCCGCGCTCCCCTGCTTACCTAACACCTCCTGTCTCCGGGCAGTATGCCGACCTTGCTGACCCGCAGGAGGATGCTGAGTGCGGCCTGCACCACCGAAAAGATTTATCACGACAAGGGTGGTATCGACGATACTATCGATGACCCGGAAGTGCCATAATATGGCACTTCTGATCCCGCTACACGCCACCATGCCCGATTGTCTTCGGCACTTCAGATATTGTTTCTGTAGCATATAGAATACTAGAAACTATTTTTTTCGGAGTTTTTGCACTAGTGTTGAACATTTTGGAGACATGCCGAGGTGTGGCACCAGCCAAATACATTCCGGCAATCCCGATTTTCGTGGGACCCAAGTGGGCCACGCTTAATTCTTAAACTTTTACAGTGTTGAAGTGCAATGTATGAGAGCATCCCTGATTAACTTTGAGGCAATCGGTGCAGAGAATCAAACTGTAGAAAAAGTAAGGCACTTCTGCGCCATATGGCATATCCGGGCCACTGATACTTACTTAGTACTGGGCTTTTGCGATGCATACTTTCCTCGGAGAAATGCGACGTTTCACGACTTCCGGATGGCTGGTATCACTATTTAGAAATTCCCTTCATATGAACCGATGGACGCGATTGCCAAATATTTTGCCAGCCTCGGCGCGCGAGGACCGCAGGTGGTATCTGCATGTTGAGGCTGTGCATGAGTTGGAGACGTGGTCCGTGGACGATTTTCCGTTACTACTCTCTTCGTCGTAAGGCTGTGTTGGAATATCTTGATGTTGCTTCTAGCCTGTCCCTAATATATGGTTGAATTGCTGCTATGTCAATTATGATCCCGTGTGATGTGGTTGTGGATGCTTGTTGACCACTCTGAGCGGGAGTGAGGACACGGAACATGTCCGGAAACGGCAGGAAGGCTTCCCACGGGCCCACGATGCAGGCGCCGCGACCTCGAGAAGAGCGTCCGTTGTTCTCGTCTATTCGCTCTCTCTGTCCTCGTACCCCCCGTGCCCTCTGCAGTGCTGCTTTTACTCATGGACACCGACCACCCCCCCGCCGACCACAGTTCCCCGGTATTTTTCCTCATACACCGCCTTGCTCACCCACAATCTCTCTGACTTCTTCGCCCCACAGGACGCGAAGGGAAAGCAAGTAGAGGCAGAGCAATCCCGAGCACAGCCTGCAGAGGGAACGCTTCTCCAAAACGGCAGCAAAGTGCATGCCTCGGCTACGCACGACCCAGACCACCACGCCCCGCGTGCCGCTCCCAGCGAGTCCAATGGTTCTGCCAACGTTGACGGCAACCACCACTCTGTCGCCGACCCAGGGCAGGCCCCTGCAGCATCCCAAGCACCCTTTCACCCAGAGTCCCCACAAGAGCCGAATACGAGCTCGTCTTCCTCGTCTGCATTTCCATCCGGAGGCAAGGAGCGGCCGGAGGAGCCCGACCAGCAGAAAGAGACGGATTCCAAGGACAAGAACTCACTTGATACCACCCTCGCGGGAACGCAGACCTTCTCGCACGGGCTCTTTAGGAAGGACGGGAAGTCGTCGGACGGCGCACATACCATGTCCAGCATGGCGGAACAGCCGGAACGCGCACCCAAACACACAAAAAGGCACAAGTCGTCGGTGTTCGTCAAGTTGTTCCGCGTCTTTGTTCCCTGCGTTGGCCATACGCATGCGCACATTATCGACGTCGAGAGCGGGCCACTGCACCAGCCTCAGGTAGGCGCCGATGCTGATGCCAGCACATCCGCACTGAAGGGCAAGCTGGCCTTGAAGGAGGCGGAGAAGCTCCCGCCTCCACCGCCCGCAGAGGAACCGATGCCCAGTGCCCCTCCGGAGGAAATCCCAGAAGTTCCGCAACCTGCTCCTCCAGTAGAAACAGACCTACCCACAGGCCCACCAGACCTGTCGCTGCAGCCGCTTGACATCCCAGAGCAACCTGAGGATCCTGCGGTGATCGTTCCGCCAACGCCCACGAAACTGCTTCCCGAGGAAGAGACGCATAATATGACGTCCGGTGCGGTGCAGCCGCCGGGATCCACAGGAGAGGAGAGCCTTCATGAGCATGCACACCATGGGCGGGACTCGGGAGACGAGAGTGATGGCTCTACTAGCTTTACGGAGGATGAGGAAATGGAGGAGCCTAATCGGATTGATGAGGTGGAAGACGAGGAAGAGCGGCTCATTATGAATGGGGGAACAGGCATCCCAATAGGACCTGTGAGTGACATTCCTCGTCTGTGGTGTCCGGCAAACTCACCCGACTCACCTGCGTAACGGAATAATAGGACGGTGTCGAACAACCTCTATTACCTCCAATTTTGCCGAAGCACGCTGGCCGAAAGTGTCTTGTACTCGATCTTGATGAGACGTTAGTACACAGTAGCTTCAAGGTATGTCACTTGTATAGCTTATCTGGGGGTGGCTGTACCTAACAGCTCGCGCGTATTTGCAGTCAATACAGCAGGCAGACTACGTTGTGCCAGTAGAGATCGAATATCACCTGCACAACGTGTATGTGATCAAGCGACCAGGAGTCGACAACTTCTTGAAGAAGATGGGGGAGATTTATGAGGTTGTGGTGTTCACGGCAAGTCTTAGCAAGGTGGGTGTCTCCATTGTCTTTGCACGCCGATCGGCTGAGATCTGACCTTATGGTCGCAGTATGCTGATCCGGTGCTGGACAAGCTGGATATCCATCAAGTCGTTTCGCATCGGCTATTCCGGGAGAGCTGTTACAACCATAGGGGGAACTACGTCAAGGTCAGTTGCATATCGATCTGTGTTCTCGATCAGCTTCTCCATTCTCATCTCCCATTTCTCGCTCCGCATACAGGATCTCTCGCAACTCGGGCGATCAGTCTCAGACACGATCATCCTTGACAATTCGCCCGCATCGTACATCTTCCACCCAAATAATGCCGTGCCTGTCTCGTCATGGTTTAACGACCCACATGACACGGAACTTACCGACCTCTGCCCATTCCTTGCGGACCTCGGGCAAGTCGACGACGTCAGAGGCGTTCTCGACGGCGGCCTATAGCCTTTAGTACTACGGACTTGCAGCCGCCCCAAGGCGGGCAGTGGCATTCGTTGGTCATGTTGGACTGCAATCCTCCTCGTTACTTCGTTATCTCGATACCTGCTGTTCTGACCTGTCCTCCCCGCCGTGCGAGCTGTTTCTATCTGTCTATTGCTTGTGCAACACACACCGCTTGTATCATAATCCCTCGCCGCGAAACGGCTGCTGGAGCAGGACTACTGTTACTTTGAATTCGGCCCCGTCAACGCGAGACGCTCCATGAACAACAGTCTCGCGCCAGTCCTCGCCTCGCCTCGCCCTTCTTGCCTCGTGTCTCTTCAGCCATCCGTCACTTCGTACATATACTGTATACCCCCGCAATCCACTGCAGTCCATCTACCCAGCCAGTCTGTCGTCTCCGCATTCGATTGAGGTCTTCGCGCATTCGCCCTCCCTGCGATATCATACTCTATTCCGCTCTCCATGGACTAAACGATTTCTGCTCTGTCACTTACGCATATTTGTGGTTCGTCCATCGTCGCTCGTCTCCTACTCGCAACCAAGCCAAAACCCAACCAGTCCGAAATTCGCTCCCTCCTTTTGTGCACAACTGTCCCGCTTCACCTCGCATATATACACAGTACACACTGTATCTGCCGGACCGTCCGTATTCCTATATTTGCTGGTAGCTTTCGTCTCCCTTCCTTTATATGTATGTTTCGCTTCTTCGACACCCCATACGCACGCGTATAATCAACCCGCCGCGCTGGATCCCAACGGTCGTCCGTTTCTGGCACTTATTCATTCCTATTCTCGTTCGCTTCGGCTTACCTTTTTCACTTGCCGTTGCTAGTACACGCCATCCGGCATTAGCGTATACCTCCCTACCGTCACGAATAGCACGAACGCGTCGACGAACTGATATATATGAGACTAGGATATATATATTGCAGTCACATGAATTCAGCCCGATTTTTATGCGAGGTGGCCTATTGCGAAGTGCCACGCGGGGAAGTGGTTCGCCAGGGCAAGAAGAAGTCCTCGTTCGCCCCTTTGATGAGGAAGCAGCGCCTGAAATGTCCGAAGGTCCTATGGGTGCCTTCCCGGATTCGTGATGTGAATTCAGTGGAGATATGATCGCGCCTGTTTGTGGTGATGGGGCACCCCCATTTCATCCACCGGAGAGTCGATGTCGCCGCCTCAGGGACGCGGTTTCATTGACAGCGAAGCGGGTGAGATTGCACTGCGGCGTAGTCCAAGGCAACTCGTAGCTAAGTATCAGAGGAGTCGCCGGAGCATACTCGCAAGCCAAACCCAGCTGAGTCTATAGGCAAACCAACTCGTCCAGGATACTGCTCCAGAGACGGAGACTCGTCAAGGGGCACGGCTGAACATGGCAGATTCGGGCGGTCAAGGGACATGAAAAGGCGCCGCGGTGGGAGCGCTGGTCGAGTTATGCAGTGCTGGCATGAATTGGCCCGGGGGTGGGGGTGGGGCTGCGGTTGGAAGTTGGAACGGCCAGTCAGGGATGCAGCAAAATATAACGGATGAAGAGACGGAGCTATCAGATGTACCGTGGCCCCTTCAGAAACTTATCTTGTGCAGGCGTGAGAGAGCTGAGCCGGGGTCAGCGGCCTTGCGCCGCCAAGGAGTACTATACAGTGCCATGATGTGCTCGGATCAACTTCACACCGACACGTATCAAACAGACTGAAGCATGGCAAAGGCATGGTGAACATGCGTATGATGCTTATGAAATTCACTCACTGCAACGACGAACATGAGAGCTCAAAAAGAGGGCACAAATCGAGTGTTTCAGCCAATGCAGGTGAGAACAGTAGCATCACCGTCGAAACGACGATAGCCTGAATCCCCATATGCACATGTATCAAAAGCTCGCACCTATCCAAGTGAGTTATTTTTTGCACGGCGTCTAGATTCTCACCACTGAATCATGAACACATACCGCGAATCTCCTTCACATGAAAAATTGGGGGTGGAGCCAATGTTCACGCCCTCACAGCCTACAGAAACAAAGAGAATAACTACAAGATCAACCGTGTACCACACATATTTGACCGCGTTTGAAGGCCATTACACATAAGTACGCACCTGGTATGTGGTACTTCCATGGGCAGAGCCGACACCATGACGACAATGCTGCGGCGCTGATGAAGTCCCATACCTCGCGACAAGCGGAGTCTGCGGTACTGCGTGGTCGACTCGTAGTGCATTTTTAATACGGGTAGTCAGGACTCAGCGCACTTTCGTGATGAGTTCTTGCGGTCCAGACACCAGACTTTCGACTGGAAATATCTGATGAGTTATCGCAGTAGAAAAGTATACGTACATGGAAGAATATGACACAGATCTGAAATGCCAATCCCAGTGAGGCAGAGCACGACGAGTGGTCTATTAGTATCTTAGTCTAAGTAATGTTTCGGAGAGGGCACGACGGGTCCGACGGTCAGGAACGAAGGATATAAAAGGGAATGTAGAAGAAGACGGGATCTGAGATCCATAGCACGTGCCTGGGCTCGGTCACGGGTAAGTGGTTGCAGTGCAATCACCCCCGCTCGTTGCTCTCAACTCCCTCAGACACCTGGAGGCTCCGGAAAGTCCTCTGCCTTTATTTCTTCTCGGTCTCTTCCCTCGGTTTGTTTTCTGTCTTTCCTCTGTCTTCCCCCCCTCATCTCTCGCGCACAGGGCGCAGGGCGCGCCGGCTGCTGGTCCATCTTCGGTCTCTCGCACACTATCCCAGTCTATATTTCGTGTACTATTCTCTAGTTTCCGTCACTTCGCCGTGCGATGCTGGCCGCTCTGCCCTACAACTCTGCACCGATGTCAGACGTTTCAAACCTCGGGTCTCGCGGTATTTCCGCGCAGCCGGATTCCCCGCTCTTGAACGAGAGTAGACTATGTCCAGGATGCAAGAAATCGGTAATAACAGAAGTCGGAGGTGTAGTGGTAGCCTTTGGGTGAGTTTTCTTGATATGAAGTTAGCGCAGATATGAATCTCCCGAACGGTCGTGTGTGGTGCGCTGTCGCTGCAGCTCGTATGACTTCGTCCGTGTTATTACGCGTTTGGCGCTGTCATACGCGGTGTAAGATGCTGCTTCGACTTCCGTATAGGTTTAGATGAGAGTGTTCTTAGCTTCGGTATTGAAGTTGTTCAGTACTGGGACGATATCACTCCCTAACGAGGAAGTGGATCTCCATACACAACGTCGTGGTCGTAGTTACTGGAAGCAACTGTAATAACGCCTTAAAATCCCACCCTACTAAATCGCTCACCGGAAATTACTGACATGCCTGCTCGTTCAGCCAGTCGTTCTTCCACGTAGACTGCTTCATGTGCGCCAAGTGCGGGAACCAAGTTACGGCCGACACCAATTTGCTCCTTCTGTCGGATGGCTCACCAGTATGCGAGAATTGCTCCTATTGTTGCAGTATCTGCAAGTTGCCGATCCTGGATGAGGCGATTATGGCCGGCGATGATTCGTACCATGCCCACTGTTTCAAGTGTAAAGTGTGCAAGAACCGGATAGATGAGCTCATGTTTGCCAAGACCAGCCAAGGAATCTATTGCATGGACTGCCATAGTGAGCGGGTGGCACGGTCCAGACGTCACGCGCAGCGCCAGCGCGAGAGGGAGGAAGAGAAGGAGAGGGAAAGGGCAAGGGAGCAGGCTGGAGCGGTCGCAGGAACTGTCGACGGAGGTTCCGCCAGTTCTCGCGAAGATGCAGCAAAGGCACGGGAAGTGATAGGAGTGAGTCTCTTTTATATGTTCTGTGTTGTGTGCTGTGGTATGTTGCGCATCAGTGATACTGATGGCGAATGGTAATTCGCATTGACAGGCCCCAGCCCGATTGTCGCCTCCGCTGGACCATCATTCCTCTCCGGATTCACCTCGTCCGTTATCGCATGCGCACTCTCGCGCTGATCCGAACGGCACACATCACCGTCCTGGTCCAATCCGTGCTACGAAGTCCGCCCCTAGTGCGCACAGAGCATCCTCTATCCCGGACCGTGGGGACGGCGTTCATGGTGGTAGCGATCACGTTCCCCGTCAGCCTTCGGTGCCAGTATCCTCCATCCCTTCCATTTCCGCTACCCCAAGTTCCCCACCGCAACCGCAGAGATCGACCCCTCTCCCCGACACTGGATCATTGACCGTCTCTATTTGTCAGCCCAAAGCTATCCCTGCATCGAACTCGAGTTCGCGTAAGAATTCGTTCTCCGAGAATGTCAGATCTCATTCTCCGGTACCACGTATGGACTCTCTCGGTGTTCCTTCCTCTGGTGCGGAGAAGTCGCTCCTAACGAGGAAGAGCTTTGATGGAAGCGTAAGGCCGTCGAATCTGCAACTTCGTCCAAGTCACAGTTCCCATTCTTTAAAAGCTGCTGCCAGTATGAGTCGCGCTAGCCCGAATTCCAGAGGTTTAAGTTTGCCCGACAGAGATCAGGCCCGCAGAGACAAGCGCAGTTCCATCAATCCCGCGGTCGCCCGATCCTTCGCCAATGCGCAAACTCAGCCATCATCCTCTAGCAGTAGTACAGCCCCCGCGGTTTCATCGACGCATGGACGCGACTTCCCTCGGTCCACATCTACTCTTCATGAGCACACCTCTGCAGAGCAGACAGCACCTGCCTATTCCTTATCGGTCCCGCCCGCCCCGGCCACGTATAATCTCAACCCACAGTTGTTGGGACGCGCCCGCTCAGGCTCATCTGGCAGTCCGTTGTCGGAGAATAAGCAGCAGCTTAATCAAGCCGTTCATTCCCTCTCAAGACCGGGATCTGGCTTGGATCACTTACCTTCGCGCCCCGGAAGCCACTCGGAACAGCAAGCCCGTCTTGCGGCTGGAGATACCACGCGCTCTCATGATGCAGGTCCTTCGTTTGGTGACGGCCGGCGTAAGGACGAGCGTAGACCACCCAGTCTTCATTTGGCAGATGGCAACGTCGCTCGTGCCCAGGAGTCGTCGGTAGACAGGCCGCAGGCGAGTCCTACACCTTCAGTACATACTCTGCGAAATAGCAGGTCTTCGTCCGGCACGATTGGCATGGAGCTTGAGCTGCCGCCTGCCTCATCTTCCCCGATGTCTCCTTCTCACCATGTGGACGTCCCTCACGGCATTGAGAGTGGCACAGACACAGAATCAGAGGAGAGCAGAGACATGGAAGAGCCTAATGTGGACGCGCTCCCACCGGCCCTACCGCCCAAGGGTCTGCCGCACCGGGGAAGTATTGCTCGTCCACCTCCTCTACGACTGGACACAATGGATATGAGTCGTAACTCGTCGGATGCAGGTCACACCGACAGTGGAGAGGGTATCGTAGAATCTCCCGAGTCATCTCCTGTGGAGCGGACGTCGCATGCGACTTTCATCGCACCTGCGCTGCCGCCGATCAGAATTTCTATGGGAGGAACAGACTTCTCTGACTTGTTGAAGTCTGTGGGGGGGAATGTGCTCAAGCTCGACCAGCTCAAGGAGGCGAACGAGGATGGCAGCGTAAACTCAATCTCGAGATCTCCGTCCATACTTCCCTCGCCTAGTTCCATTTTTGCGTCAACACCGACGAGTGACGGCATAATGAAGTCTCCTGATACCGACGAAACCCCTGTCAAACGTGTAGAACCAATCCGAAATGGCTTGAGTCGGCAACCAAGTCTAGCTCACGAGAGAAGCGGAAGCCCTACACCATCGCTGGCCAAGGATCGTGCGTTTCCCAAGCTATCAACGAATGTAGATTCTGTGGGGATGGGCACAGATAGTCGACCCCAATCCCCGCGTGTTCTGGAGGATCGTCGAGCATTAGTCGAGGGGCCGTCATCTACTCAGTCTGGCCATCTGGACGGTCGCCGCTCCTTGGACGTCAAATCAAGGCCGCGGAAGATTAGTACCCACTCCTCGCGCACTGCAACCATCGAGTCACGTGACGCTGCGCACATTACCGTCACATCTCCCGACAACCTGACCTCGAAGCTGTTGCGCGCTGACTCTGCAAGTGTGGTTAAACGGCAGCTACAGGATGTGTTGTCGACCGCTGCCTCACGCAAAGAGACTCATGTGACACTGCCTGTTGATCTAGTACAGACTATGTTTGCATTGTTGGAACAGCGTGCGGAAGAGTACAATGATCTCAAACAAAAACTTGACGGTGCAAAGGTTTGTTCGGGTCTTGTCTGTAGCCCTATCTGCAAATCTGAATTTTTACTGTATCTTCTCACAGAGAGCAAGTAAACAGTATATTGACGGATTGACCGTTGCACAAACCGAGTATGACCGTGAGCTTAAAGCTCGGCGGGATGCAGAGGCAGAAGTTACCCGTCTCAGGGTCTTACTGTCAGGGCAAGCAGTGCGACTATCCGCGATCTCTGGGGAGTCAAAACGCCATGAGGTGCAGAAACAGTTGTCTCGGGAACTGAACGACAATCTTTCCACCTTGGAGAAGTCTCTTTCCCAGCTGAAGGTTGAACGGGACATGACGTTGGCAGAGGTAGAACAGCTCTCCGCATCAAGGAGGCGAGTGCATGCCACAGGCCTATTCATACCTGCCTGGCTAACTTTTCGTATTTAGTTCCACCACTGTCGTTGGTGCCGAAGACGGTTCGCCTGCTTCCATGACCCGGGCGTTGTCAATGCGGTTCGACAACATCAAGACTCAGTACAAGCTTGAGCTCCTCCCTCTGACGGAACAACGTGAGGCTTTGACACGAGAGCTTGCCGAACTGAAGGCCTCTCGAGATGCGTTCCTGGAGGAGACCACCATGCTGAATGCCCGTAATGAGGAGCTGGCGCAGTTGAATTCGCAGTACGTCCGTGGTCTGGAGGCTGCCGGAATTGATTACGCCAAACCTGGCCACGCTCTTCAAGACAGCATCGACTACATCAAACCGAAGAATCTGGCAGATTTTTCGGCGTCTGTCTCGTCACTGACCGAAGAATCATCCGAATCGAGATTTGTTAAGATCTCGAAACCAGATATCATGGAGAGTCCCCAGGTAAAGCCGACCAGATTCATTAAGTGGCCGGGTTCCAAGACACCGAAGGATAATGTCGCTGTGGCCTGGCCTGACCCTCACAAGCCGATGGGCCGTAAGGAGCATGTCTTCCAGCAAATCAGCGTTCTACGCCTTGGACGGTGTGACCATTGTAGCGACAAGATGTGGGGTTCACAGCTGCGCTGTTCGAGTAAGTACAGCACACTGTTCTTATCGAAGCCCCCGCCTATCTTGTGCGTTATAGGTTGCAACATTGCAGTCCATACACGTTGCATCCATCAAGTAGCTCCATGTTCGCAGCAGAGGGTCGCACGTGAGGATAACGCGGCTCCACTTCGTACGTACTGCTCCCGTTGGTGGATCGCTGTTGATCCTGACGTCGTGCTGTTCAGACCCTTCGATCTTCGGACGTGACCTCATCGAGCAAGTACGGTTTGATTCGCGGGAAGACCCGCGGTCCATTCCGGTCATCGTCGAAAAGTGTATTGATGCCGTTGATGCATTGGGTGAGTTTCGATCATCCTCAACAGCTTTAGTGCTCTTATGTTGAATTGTTCGCTAGCACTGGATTATGAGGGCATATACCGCAAGACGGGCGGCTCAGGCCAATCGAAAGTAATCACTCAGCTCTTCAATAGCGCAAATTACCGGTCTTTCGACCTGCGCAATACGGAGAAATTCAACGACATCTGCAGCGTCACTTCCGTGCTCAAGTCATACTTCCGGGCGCTGCCAGACCCTCTTCTAACATACGCATTACATGATGAATTCATTGCCGCTTCCAACATCAAGGATTCTGCTGTGAAAAGTGAGGCACTTACCAAGCTTGTGCACAAATTACCGAAAGAGCATTACCACACCACACGTGCTCTGATGCTCCACTTGCATAGGTTAGTTCGGGGTCTACTGCACAATTGACTGGCTACTCACAGTGACATGTAATTGTACAGGATCAGCGAGAGAAGCGACCAAAACCTCATGCACGCCAGGAATCTGGGGGTCGTATTTGGACGTACGTGTTTTATCATCGGGTAGCCTGTTCGTCTCACTAATATTGATGATTAGCCACCCTCATGCGCTCGCGCGACCCTAATGCTGAGTTCGTCGATATGGCTGGCAAGGCCCTCTCTGTCGAGTGGCTCATTGAGAATGCTCCCATGGTCTTTGAGCATTCAGGACCAACGCAATAATGCAATAACGCAATAACGCAATAACGCATTCGTCTTATTCTTGATTATTTCGGTTTCGTCATGGAGGTGGATACCCTTGGATCTTTGGCGGTGCTTGTCCATATATCCCCCATCCCGTTGTTTGTTCATATCCCCCTGCATTCATTTATCCTTCATTCGAATATATGTCTCTCCTTCAGCTTTTTTTCGTCCTGCCCCTCCTGGCACTTTTGTATGACTACCACGTTGCATGCGTATATAACCTCATTAGATATACCCTGCCACTTTATACATACGTATCTCATCGTGCCCGAGTGCATTACTTATTCCCTACCTAACCTTACTCTGGAGTAACCCGTCTCTTTCGTCAGGCCCGAACGCATGGTGTGACTTCAGAACAAGTGGATTTGCAATCTTTGGGTACAAGAGATATGATATAGATATTGCTGTTTTCAGTACTGTCGCGGGGGCAAACACACACAAATTCGCACCATTCCTACCGAATGGCGTGAATTAGTGTGTTTGCCGCTGCGACAGTCCTACTGAATACAGCAATAGTGCCTACGACAACTCGCGAGACCGCTTACCGCGCGTAGTCGGCTCGGCTTTGAGTGTGCAATACAAGAAATGGCGTCGAAGACCAGTCGACACTCCAGCGACTGCAGCAACTCGCGCGCCCAGCGGAGCAGTGTCGGTACCACTACCCCACACACCGAGTGAGAACATCCTGTCAAACACTGACGGACATATAGGCATAGATGTAGGCTATGGATGGATGACATGAACTAACTTACGTGCAGTGATGAACGCCTTCGCGGTCGCTTGGCAGCTGAGGTGAGTGAGGGAGAGCGGCGGACTGATGCCTTCCATGGTTCGCAGGTAGCGGAAAACCATTGAAGGTTGGCAGGGACCTGTTGCACACGGATAGATGAGACGCGTTGAGGCGGGGTGATGATTGTACTTGCCGAAGCGGAAGACGGCTTGATAAGCTAGCCTCCATTTTTCCTCGAGCAGGCGTGCACAGTTAGCGGGGTCCGGGCATGTTGAACACTAGACCGGCGATGAATACCAGGAGTGAGACACGAGGGACCTAAGCCTCACACACTGGTACTCTTTCGCTACCTGGACGAGGCCGAGCTTCAGGACGCGCTCCAGGAACCACGTCCGGCTATGAAGCAAATGTGACGCTCGCCCATTTGGGGAAATGAACATGGCCACACACCGTTTCTCCAGCTTCAGGAGGGTCTCTTGGCTGAGAGTGCTGAGCTCTTCCTCGGACCAGCCACCAGGATTATCGAGTACGAAGCGCGAGGACTCGCGATAGAGCTCCTCCTCACCGAATAGCTCCGCGATGCGCATCGCCTTGAGAGGCCGCCCGGCTGCATGTGTGAGAAGGAACGTAAGGCACTCGCGCTCAAGCGCGCCGACATGCAGCTTATGCGAAATGTTCATCAGCCCCTCGACGTTGTTCCAGGTGATCGTGCACACGAGGCTGCACGGTGTGAGCACAAGCAGATACAGTGGAAGAGATGACGCACTGTGGATATACGAATTTAAGGAAGTCATGAAATGTGCTAGCCTGGTCTTGCTGTAAGACATTATTTGTCTACACCCCCAGTGCGAGACTCACCTTCTCCTCTTTCAAAATGATGATCGCGTCGGGCTTTCTCTTGTCCTTTAATAATAATCCATCTTTCTGTACGGGTATCCCCACTTCGCCGTCGTTGTCAGGTGCTCTTTGCGTGCCCTTGTCGACGTTCACGGTGGTTGGGCTCGTGCTCTCGAGCTTATTCAGACTGCGCTCTCTAGCTCGTACCTTTGTAATGTGAGCATTCTCATCTATGTTATCCTCGCACCCGCTAGAGTCTCTCTTGGCATCGGGGTCAATGTCAAGTCCAAGGCCACCTTCTTCTGGATCCAAATCAGGGTCCACGGGGGCGAAAGTCATCTCCGCCGGAGGACCCCCTGCCTTGGAACACCCGGGTACGGAAGGAGGCTGCGAGATGGTTATAACAGAGGACATGGACAAGGGACGGCCTGTCTCAGCCCACTGGCCACTAAGCGCCGCCTGGAAGAAGGACGAGGCGAAATAGAGCACTTCTTTGTGCGCCCTAGTATGGACAAAGGATGGGATGATGAGCGAAGAATTCAGTACGGAGCCGAGAGGCACAGAACTCACCAGAAGGTGGTGCTCTCTACGATGATCTTGACGGTGCCGGGGAAAGGTGCATTTTTGGTGAAGGTTCCATCGAGCTCGATGGGGTCATCATAGTCGCCGTCATTGCTGAGAGAGGAGACCATCTCGTCGGACTCACACTCCTGGAGGTACCATGGGGGGGAGCCGGCAGACCTGAATATACCCGCCGCCGCGGCGTGAGTCTCGGTGGGGGAACTGAGGGACGCGGACGGGTTCGCGGTATTTAGGCCCCGGGAGTTGCGCGCAATGAGGATATGTGGTGGGTTCATTCAACGGGACGAGAGGCGCAAGACGAATGTAGTCTTTCGGGAGTCTATGTGACTCAGGGCAATACTAAATAGCTTCCCAGGGATCCTCGTATGAGTGACAAATCTGCCAAGAGTCATTCCAGACATCAGTAGCTTCGAGCTCACCTGCCGTTCCTCACAATATAGCTCTCTATGTTTTTTCTGAGGACAAACGAACGGAAAGCTACGGCGAGCCACAACCGTTTCAGACGCAGGCGTGTATAATATTTCACCCTACAAACACGATTTTCCCACGCTTTGAGCATAAGGGCCGCTCGTACAAACGGCTCTTCCGAAGATCCAGGCCACCCGTAGTAATTATCATAGGAAAATAGATTCGAGTTATCATAGGAAAATAGAAGTGGCCGCTCTTCATATACGTACAATGCACCGTCGAGGGAGAAAAATAAATTACACGGTACTTCAGTACAGCGCCTGAGCCGTCGTCGTCACGGTCTCAAGTTCGCCTCGATATACGCCGCAAAATTTTCTGCCACGCTCTCCTCGCTCCAATCCACCGCGCCCTTCTCCGTCGTCCCGAGCGTGATCGCTTTCTTGTGTACCGTCACGAACTGACGCTTCAGCCGCTGCAGCTCGGACAGCGTCACGCTGCGCGGCGGGAGCGTGACGCGCGGCTTCAGCGAGGTGCTCAGCGAGAGTACTATGGTGCCGCCTGTGCTACCGCTACTCTGCTCCGCCATGATAGCCGCTACTACACTGGTGGTCGTGCTTTCTAGCGCGCGCAGGGCGTCGGTGGGCGCTTTCGGGACCTGGCGGGAGGAGGGTAGATGAGCGAGTTGGGACGAGGTAGGACGCGTGAAGACGTACCGCTTGGGTACCTGCGTTGGGTGGCTTCACTGCTCCCTCCATCACTGCCTTCCAGATATTGTCAGCAGGCACGTCGGCGTCTGTCCATAGTACGGTGAAGAGCGGGGAGTCCCATCGGACCATCGATGAGGGCTCTTCGTATCGTTTCAGGAGGTTCTCCAGCCTAGCATACGCATGCTCGTCAGCCTATCTCCCTCCCTCTCATGATGTCGCGGACTCACGTTTCAGGTGCATACTGCTCTCCTTCCGGCCGCGCGGCGTTCCACTTGGTGCAAAGCTCGGGTGGGGCCACGACGTACATCTACTTCGTGGTACGTTGCATCACACCCTCTGGCTGGAAAAAACGGAGGACATACAGTGCACACTCGCACTTTCTGCTCGCGCGCGGCGCAGTACATCTGGTAGCGGAATCCCTTGATGTAGTTCAATGAATCGACTATGAGGATGGTGTCCTGACCCATCTGTCGCTGCATTGCGGCGAAGAGGGCCGCGCGAGCGGATTTTTCTGTCCTACTATCTACAAAACATATGGGTTGTCGTAGCACGGTGAGGGTCTCCAAGGCGTACCGTTGTATACATGTCTCCCAATGTTTAGCACATCATCCGAAAGGACAGAGACCTTCAGCTTCGGGCCTGCATATATCGGATCCTGCAAACGCGATTCCAGCTGTTCTCGAAGCTGTTCAACACGTCGAGTTTTACCTGAAGAGGGGTACCCAGATATTGTTATCAGGGCCATTGCAATACAAGGTTCTACTGGTTAAAAGGCAAGAAACTCAACACTCACAACACAATTCAAGTCAATTATCAGTTCGGACTCAGAAAACTTTCCAACACCAAAAGATACCACTGAACAAATCAATTTTTTTGGTATTCTACACATGCACAGTACACTAGCCACCACATCCACCCGCCATAAAACCCTCAAACACCAAGTGTCATCACAGGGAGTAAGTTGTCCAAAAATTGCTGGAAGCCGAAGCTAACAGACGTGTTCGGATGTGTAATTTGCAATCAGCAAAAGACTGTGCCTCGGTATAACCTCACTGGCGACAGTACGTGCCCGAGCACAAGAATACGGAATCCGTTGAAGAGGGTTGGACTATATAGGCGAGGGATGTGCGCACGGACCACCTTATTGAGGGCAGGCAGCATGACCCGCAGCTTGGCGTTTTGGCCGATCGCGGAGCTTTTTTTGACGTGGCAGATGGTATTTGCGAAGTCTCCCTCTTCACGCGTACGTATTGGCACCGTATGTTAGGTTACGCCCGTCATTATACCAGACAGTTGGAGCGGAACCACGTAGAAGAAATTTGCGGCTATCGTCTCTATGTTCTCCACTTTCCACCCATAGTAATGAGATAACTAGATTTGCGTGTGAAGGCCTAGAACTTCATTTGGTTGATCAGTGAGAGACCCTATGAACTGGAAGCAAAGTTCGACTCGGGGACATCTTGGATGACCACCACATCGTCTTCGTCCCCTCCTCTCTCTCTTCACCCCCTCCGCAGGCTCTGAGTCGTTCGCATGGCCTCCTCAACGTCGAACACCATTCAGGTATTACGATCGTCGTATCGGATGTACAAAAAAATTCAGGAAGCTCACTAGTTACGCGTGAACAGACCTCGGACACGGACACAGACATGGACGCCACCCAGGTCAGCGTTCAGCCAGTCGACACCGTCGCCGAGGACCGTGCCGAGCAGAGCCAGCGCGCAGAGGACGTCTTCGCGAGTTCACCAGCGAGCGGCGCGCAGAGCACGCAGGCTGCTGCCAGTGGTTCGGGACGACGGCTCCCCGTACGCGCTTCTACCCCGGACACTGTTTCGGCTGCAGACCAGGCATGCAGCGGCATAAGGCGGGGGCCTTCTTCTACTGGGCTGGCACCAGACACATCTGAGAAGGAGGAGCGCGCATCTTACACCGCGACGTTCACCAAGCCAATGGGCAAGCGCCACCGAGGCGAGAAGTCGGCGTCCGAGGGCACTCACACGGTGACCAGCACCACTGTACGACCCTCGGACCGTCGTAAGAAGAAGCCGAAGAAATCAAAACCATCATTCATTACTCGTTTGCTGCATTTCTGTATTCCGTGCATAGGTAGGTCGAACCACGAAGATGTAGACGTTTCAGACGAGGATGGCTCGTACACCAAGGAGAAACAGGCCATAACGGATGTACAGCCGTCGCGCGAGTCTTCCACGTCTACTACAGGTAGGGTTGCATATCGTTTGTCGCAGTACAGTATTCACAGACTTTCATAGTGTCACCGCCCGAAAATGTCGTCCCTCCTACTCCGGTGGAGACTTCGGACGTTGTTATAGCGCCAAAGCAACTTCTTCCTCACTCAGAAACAGATGGTCTCACGTCCGGTGCGGTGCAGCCTCCAGGATCTACAGGACACGATGTAACACACGAACTCCACCCACATGTGAAAGACTCTGGTGACGAATCGGACAGCTCGATGTCGGAGGATGAAGTATCACAGGATCTCATACACGTGGAAGAGTTTGATGATGAGGAGCAGAGGCTCATCCGTCAGGGAGGAGCCGGTATCCCTATTGGCCCTGTGAGTTGATGTTGCTAATACGTTGCGGAGCTGCTCGCCCATATTCATACACAATAGGATGGGAAGAAGATGCCTCTCTTGCCCCCCATTGCTCTGGAACATTTGGGGCGCAAGTGCCTTGTGGTTGATCTTGACGAGACTCTTGTACATAGTAGTCTGAAGGTGAGTCGGTGCATGTGTTACCTCCGGAGTTTCGTTTATCGTGATATTCTGACAGGCGGTGCCATCACCCGATTATGTTGTTCCAGTGGAGATTGAGTCCTTTTGGCATAACTTCTATGTACTAAAGCGGCCTGGGGTCGACGGCTTCCTTCAGAAGATGGGGGAGATATACGAGGTAGTAGTTTTTACGGCAAGTCTGAGCAAGGTTAGTGCTTCAGATGCGTCATCATCTATCGCATGTGTTCATGACAATATCATGTAGTACGCGGATCCAGTATTGGATAGACTAGACCCGCACCGATCCGTCGCACATCGGTTGTTTCGGGAAAGTTGCTACAACCATCGAGGTAACTATGTCAAGGTCAGTGAATTCCTTCCGCTTCAGCTTCTACCATCGTTCACTAACGTCCATCTGTGCAGGATCTATCACAATTGGGTCGACCCATAGGCGATACGATCATTCTCGACAACTCACCCGCGTCTTACATCTTCCATCCATACAACGCTGTGCCTATCTCGTCGTGGTTCAATGACCCCCATGATACTGAGCTCACCGACCTCTGTCCCTTCCTTACCGATCTCGGCGCACTTCCTGTAGACGTGCGAGGAATCCTCGACCCGTCCATATAGCGCTTTGCGCCGTTCACCCTATCTGGTTGCTCTAGTCCCCAGATTGCCAGCGTTGGATCCTTGAAAGTCCTGCTGCGCTATCAGGTAGAGTTAGTCTTCCTGATAAGCCATTTGGCAGTTTCCACTGTGCTGCGTCCGGTGATACCGCAGTGCATCTTCACGCTTATCCTATACAATCTACCTTCACCTCATCGGGACATCGGCAGTCCTTGTCCATTCTCATGTTTTTGTATACCCCGCAAACAGGTGAGTCCTCCAGCGCATGACCGCCTGGGGGACGTGATTGAAACTCATTCAGAAAGATTGTCTCTCGTGTTGTCTGTTGGGTGGATTCGTTGCACATCACGCTCGCTTGTGCTTTCACAGTCGCTTGGTACGTGTCCGTCGATGCTGCGCCTGTTTGCGAGCAGCGCGCTATTCCGCCTCCTTTGCTGAATGCACTATGTCGCGACAGGTCTCGCCGCAAGTATTTATTCCGTGATACCCTTCCATACGTTCAGGTTCCCCTGCTTTTCCGCTAGTGACGCACCGATACGAATACAGTGACGAGGTTTGCTTCAGTGTACACGGTGTGCTGTGTGAACGGTGCGCGACAATCAACGCCGCTTTCATTACCCACAGTGGTGTATTTGTAAACCACTGAGTGGCCGTTCCCTTCCGTCTGGGAATCGTCCCATGAGTCTCTTCACCTCCTCGGTGATGGCCTCATGGCCACACCAAGTATTCTGCGCGAATGGGGCCCCATGCCGACAAGTGCCCGGGAGGCCATATGGCTACGAAGGGCCTACTTCCTGGCACGCCGTCGAATGGGGAAGGCAATATGTATAGCAACACGTCTATAAAAAACACTCCGCTTCATACACACCCCCTGCAGCTGAGATGCCGAAGAGCACCGCGTTGTCATTTCAACATTCGTTACTGCATGTTATAATCTGCGCAGAACCCGCCCGCCAACTGGTTTAGATCTCCCCCAGTACACTTTACTTTACCGCCGTCCCACAACAACAAAATTACATAGCCTGCTCCCAGAGCACCTAGATCGCACCACGACACCGCACGACGCACAACAGCAACTACTGGCTCGCATTGCTCGTACCGCCCGCCCCCGCCTCGGTCGGCACCTCGTCCGCGTCCTCCCACGGGCTGAACTTGTGCTTGCGCATCCGCGGCAGCTGGAGCCAGGAGAGGCCGGGGGGCAGGAGCGTCCTGCCGCCCGGGTGGTGTTGCGCGGCGATCGCCTGCACGTGCGACGGCGACGGCGGCATGCTCGCGATGGCGACCTCGCTGAGGGTGGGGAGGCGCTCGAGGCTGCCGCTCGACGAGCCACCGAGCGCGCGCTGGAGCGCCTCGCGCTCCGCGGGCGAGGGCGCGAACGCACGCATCGAGATGGACGAGAGGAGCGCGCTCGGCTCCGCGGGCGGCGGCGCGAGCATGCTCGGGAGGCTGAGCGTCGACGCGGCGGACGCGTGCTGCTGCTGCTGCGACGGCGCGAGCGGGTTGAACGCGAGTGGCGGCGGCGTGACGAGAGAGGAGGGGAGCGACTTCTTCGCCAGGCGGAAGACCTTCGCCTCTGGGTTGAGCCCCTTCTTCTCCCTCTCCCGCTCCTTCTCCTTCGGGTCCGCGGAGAACCAGCGGCGGTGCGCCCCGCCAGCCTTGTCGTCCGCCTCGCGTGAGCGCGCGCGCGTGAGTGGCGGCGGGTCGGACGTCGTGCGAGATGGCGGGGGGAAAAGCGCGCGCTGCATGTCCATCGCATCGGTGGTCAGGCGGTGGCGCAGGGGCGGCGGCGGGCGGATCTCGAAGGGGTCCTCCTTGTCGACGCCGTCGAACGAGGGGCAGGTGATCGACGTGGGGGACGTGGTAAACACGCTGGGGACCTGTATGGGCAGCGGGGGAGGGTAGCGCTTGCGCCAGTCGGGCGGCACGACTGCGTCGCCCTCGGTCTCGAACGATCGCGACACCGCCTCCTCTGCGCCACCGCCACCCTCCAGGGAGCTGATCAGGCTTGTCGAGATCAGCGAGGTGCTTCTGGGAGATAAAACGCCACCGACGTCGACGTCGTTGTCGCTAAAAGGGGAGAAGCGTGTGGAGTGCGACTGTGCAGAGGAAAGGGGGATAGGGAACGTTGGTGGGCGCAAAAAGACCTGGCTGCCGCTATCTTCTGACACAACAGGGTGAACATGTTCGCGGAAGTTGGAGATGCCCCCGAGGGACAAATGCCTCGGTCTGGGCGAGACCGAAAAGTCCTTGTGTCTCCCCGAACCCGACGACCGGCGACTTGGAGGCGGCACTTGCAAGGACGGGGGGAACACGTCAATGTGTTCCGAGAAGTCAGTATTGATGTGAGTATGTGGATCTTGCGTGTAAGACTGATCATACGGCGCGATGGGCGACCACGGGCCCGACGACGGGTCAACACTGGCAGTGCCGACCACATGAAGAGGAAAGAATGAGCGATCCTGCTTCCGCATCTCCGCCTGCTCCCTCGCGCGCTGCAGCCGCTTCTCCTCCTCGACAATGCGCTCCTCCAGCTCCTTCGCGCGCGCGTTGAGCGCGGCGATCACATCCTCCGCCACGTTGATTTCTTTTTTCTTCAGCTCCACCTGCTGCGTCATCTCGCGCTCCGCCGCGTCGCTCTCCTCCGTGCAGCGCACCGCCGCCTGCTCGTCCTCCCTCATGCGGCCCTGCAGCGCGCCGATCTCCTTGTCGAGCCGTTCGATGCGTTGGCTCGCGTTATCGCGCAGGCCCTCAGCCGCCCTGAGCCGCTTCTCCGCATCGCGCTTGCTGCTCTCCGTCGCGCGCTTCGAGTCCTCGAGCGTCTTCGTGCGCGCCTTGAGCTCGACGCGCGAAGCGTCCTCTGCGCGCTTACGTTCGCGGTGCGCCTCGAGGTCGCCCTGGATCGCCGCGCGCGACTCGGATGACGCGGCGCGGAAGTCCGTCAGCTGTGTGCGCAGGTCGTGCACGGCAGCGTTCGAGTGCGATATCTGCCGGACGATGTCAGCGATCATCGGGGACTGGTCAAAGTACGAGGTGGACGGGGGCGGGAAGGCCGCGGGGTGTGGCGCGCTGTGTTCGGCTTTACTGGGCGCCTGTGTCTGCGATGGAGCCGGGCCCATGCGCTGGCTCGCGCCGCGCTCGTTCTTCGGAGGTGTCGCGACGGGAACTCGGGGTGCGTGCAGAGGGAGTGAGGCCGACTTGGGGAGTGGTGGGGGCGTCGTACTCCGAGGGGCGTTATTTGTCGCGCGCTGTGCAGATCGTTCCGAGCCTCTAGATTTCTGGGACACATCTTGGCTATTCGGCAGTGCACGTAGGGAGGGGGTAGAGAACGGAAGACCTGGGATAGAGCACTATTGAGTGTCCGAGTATTGCTTCATCGTGAGGCGCTCACCATCGTACCCCTGGAGACTATCAAGCGCCTTGAGATCGAGGATACCGGAGCTGCACCGCTCTGCGTCCTTGATGTGGTCGAGGGCGTCGTTGCACCGGGGCGGGATAGTGCCGCCGCGCCACCACTTGCCGAATATGCCAATAAACCATGAGTCAGACACCATCGGCCCGAGGCCCTCATTCCGCAAGATGTGGGGCTGCGAGCGAGCAGGGGGAGAGACCGCGGCGATGGTGAGGATCCCGAAGCTGCGGAAGACGTGCTTGGGGGTGCGCAGGGAGACCGAGGCGCGCTTGACGAAGTGAAACGGCGAGTTGGTGTCAGAGTGAGAGCCGGGTTTGTGAGAAGCCGGATGGGTTCGACGGGCGAGACTGTAGTGCACACCGGAGTCCTCCCTCTCCGCGTGTTCGTCCTGTGCGTTGTCGTCGAGGCGGCTGAGATGCTGGCGGAAGGACTGCTCGGTGAGATAGGTACGAAATGACGTTTCCGATGGATTCGTGAGACAGGCTGGCGGGGATATTAGTATACGGGACGCACGGAGTAGGCAAAGTGAAACAACGGAAGAGAGCAGGTGATAATGCAAGGAAATGGTGGGGAAGGGGGGGACCGAAGAAGATGAATAATAGAATATGACGCACCCAGGACCAGCAGGATGATGGTAAACACGGTGGCGAAGAACATGGAGCGCAAGTCGAGCTTGCGGAGGAGGAGACCCATGTTGATGGCGGTGTGGCTGGAGCGGAAGACCATGGCGGTCAAGCCGCCGAAGACCATGGTGAGGAAGAGGAGGAATGGCCGCCTCTCCTCTGCCCGGGGGCGAGACTGAGTGCTGCTGGCTGGAGTTGAGCTGTGGGTGTGGAGATTGCCCGACACTGTTGCGTGGGCCGCGCGGGGCGCGTCCCTTCGATGGTGGATGGTGAGAGGATGTGGAGAGGTCAAGGGAAGGGAAGGGGAGACAGACGACCGAAAAAGAGGAGAAAACGACTGCGATGCGTTCACCGCCGCACCGTCTGCTGACCAAATCCAGCCATCAACCAAACTCCGCTCCGGTACCGCCACCCGCCGCCCGCGCATTTCTCGGCCCCGGCCGACTCTTTTCATTCTCAGAATCAATCATTCCATCGCCTCCGCCATCGATTCTTGTGCTGCCAGGCCTCGCTAGACGTCCTTCTCGCGCAGACGCCCCAGTTCCCGTGCTCACTCCACTTATCTTTCCCCGCCACGGGGCTCTTCGCCGAATCCTCACTCGTCCACGCACATTGCCGCAGATCTACACCTGCTTCGGCCGCCGGGACCGACGCGGATCCTCCAGCCATTCCAACACGCTGCTGGATGGCTGCATTGTTACTCTCTGGCTGCCAGCCGAACCCTCGCTCTCGCATATCGCGTCTTCTGTACCCAGCGTGGTCCCCGCTCTGCTCACACGACCCATTCAGATGCGCTCAACTCCTCACGATCCTCGGAGTGAGCTTATCCGCATCACTTGACACACAGCAACGCTAGGACGCGGACTGCTAAACGCGCCTTGGATCTCAGCTTCGTGATAACTCTACTTGCTCGACCATGCCATACTTCCAGGTGTTCTATCTCGCCATCCGGATCATACGTGCGTCTTTTATCGCAATTCAATTTCTCGCATCTGTCTCATCTGCAACTGCTGCTTTCGCCGTTGCGTGTTCTGGCGACATGCATCACGTCCTGTTGCTCTCTAGGATCTCTGCGGCTGTACAGTATCATCGCTCGCGATGCTCCTCGATCTCATGTGCGGTCGGTTTCTCGACTAGTTTGACGCCGGTGTATGCACGTCATAATCGTCCCCACTCCCGATACGTACCACCGCGTATTAAGAAGTCGTGGCCCCCTCAAGGCGCAAGAGCGTCAACATTCCGACCCAGGAGGGCCGCATCGTTGCACTCAATCCAGAACAACACAACCGTCACCTCAGGGCCGCTGCCGGTGCGTACATCGACCCATCCTCACTAGGCATTCGAGGCGCTCTGGTCAAAACTCGGAAGAGAAACAACGTATCCGCCCCGCGTGCGCCCGCATTCCATTTCGTCAAACCGATGTCGCGGTTCCGATTCTAATTACTGCGGCATTTTGGCGGCATAGTGTATGCGCCTGCGGATCTTCGTTGTCAATGTGCAGATCCTGCCTTTATATGCGTGTACGCGCACGCCGCACGGCTTGTCTAGATGTCTTGGTGCTGCGCTGCCGATTTCAGCCTTCCTGTGCGTCACCTAGAGCTTTAGGGCTCGTTTGTCTGGGTCTCATCCACCACCCTGCGGGTAGCTGTATGCGGTGTGTCGCTGCAGTAGGGAGAGTAGAGCCGCAGTAGAGCATCTGCTGTACAATTTTACGTCACACACCAGTTATCCCTTCAATCGATCTACTTGCTGCTTGCGTGTACCACCTCTGCAATTACTCGGTGTGATCCAGCGAAGTGGGGATGGCGTGCAACAATACAATGAGATTAGCTCTATACGACTAAATAAGATGCACCGGCTCTCGCAGCCGGACCACGGCTGCCCTAGCTATGATGGCGGCGGCGGCGGAGGGTTCGACGACGGCGGTGGTGGGGGTGGGGGCGTGGGGTGCTCCCCCGTGCTCGCCTCTGCCTGCAGCCGCTGCAGCGCGCGGACGACCTTGGACTGGAGATAATGCGAGTGCGCGGGCCCGGGCTGTGCGCGACCCGTGCCCGAGCCTGGGGGTTTTGGCGGGAGGGGCGGGGGCGAGTTCGCCCTGAAGAGGTGCTCGTAGCGCTAGCACGCACGCGTCAGCACGCAGGAGAAAACACCGGGGAGGAAGGGGCGGGACAGGGCGGGGCGTGACGCACCTGGTGCAGCAGCTCCGCGGGGTCGTCCTTCTTCACGTTGAGGATAAGGCGCGCCTCGTCGAGCGCCATGCGGTGCTCGCGCGTGAGGCGGTCCGTGTGCGAACCCGAGGTCGCGTTCTGCACGCCCGCGGCGTCGCCCCCGAGCGCGGCCTGTGGTCGGTGCTTCGCGTCTGGCGTGCCGCGCAGCAGCGGTCAGTACGCCCCGGGCGTCATGTGTGAAGTGCGGGGGGTGGACGCACTTTGGATCGCCTGCCTGCCCGCTGCGACGAACGCCTTTCCCAGGATCTGCGCGCCCGCGATCGCTATCTGCACAATAATTTTGGGGGACGACTGCCGTGCACACCGTCAGCGCCTGGTTTAGCATCATTGGGAGAGACACGAGTACTGACCATGGGAGCACCGGCGCACGATGAGCGAGCGCAGGATGCTGGCCGTGGACGCAGAGGAGACGCGCGCGGGCACGGCACGTGCCCACCGTCAAAATTTCCTCTCGCGACACCGTCATTGCATGAAGAACGGCATTCTGATATCTGTCTCGTCCAGTATTTCTACACTAGTTACTCTGGGCAGGAACTCGCCCCTGCTCACTCACTTCCTCACTTATGTCGCAGCCGCACGACAAAAAGGCAAAAAAGCGCAAGCACGCCCTCGCCGAAATCGGCGCGGACGAGGTGCCCCCGACACCCGCGAAGAAGGCGAAGAAGGACAAGGACAAACACAGGGCGGGCGCGGAACACATGCACACGCACGCGCACAAGGGAAAGGGCAAGGCGCGCGCAGACGTGGACGGCGAGTTCCGCGTCGTGCAGGCGTCGCTCGCGGTCTCCGTGCCCCCCGTGTTCGCCAGCAACCTCGCAAGGGGCGTCGAGGAGCTGCTCGACTCGATGCTCATGAGGTACGCGCCGCTTCCCCCTCCTCCGTGCGCAGGCCCCGGCGAACTGATCGCGGAGGCGCTCTCCCTGCGGCTGATAGGTACATCCCCGCGTTGCACGGCGTCGTGCTCGCGCACGACAGCCTGCGGTTCCTCGACAGGACGGCGACGATCAAGGCGGACTGCCCGTTCGCAAACTGCCGCGTCGGGTTCGACGCGACGGTCTGGAGCCCGCGCGTGGGCATGAAGCTCGGTGCGCGCTCACGCTGGCTGCTTGCTCTGACGGCGTGCTGTACTCATCCATGCCACGTACAGTGGGGAAGGTGAATCTGTGCTCGCCGGACCACGTCTCGCTGCTCATACACCGCACGTTCAACGCGTCGATACCGCGCCATCATATATCCACGGACGAATGGGAGTTCGAGTACGGCCCCGCAGAAAACGACCCCGAGTTTGGACCCGAGGTCGCGGCGGAGAATGATGCGGACGGTACGCCAAAGATGGGCGCAGACGATGAGAAGGCGGCAGGCGTGGATCGGGGCGGGCGATGGGTGCACAAAATTACCGGTGCCAAGCTAGGAGGAGAGGATGGATCTCTGGAGTTCACGGTCGTTGGGTGCGTCCTCTGTCTCAATTTTCGTATATTTTGACGGTGCTCATCCACTACAGGTTGACCGTCGCGAACCAGATGCTCTCGCTCGTGGGGTCGATCCAGCCCGACCCATTTTCGCCCGAACACGTTCCCGTACATACGGCGGCTGCATCGGAGTCACGGGAGAAAGCAGCTCCCTCGAATATTGCGGACGAGCCTGAACCGCTTGCGGTTGACGGCGACTCCCCAGACATCGCTATGGACGGGGAAGACGAGGAGGAAGAGGACACGTTCGAGATGCTGGGGCGGCTCGCGGACGAAGCGGCTGCACAGGAAAAGGAGCAGAGAGTGAAGGAAGAGGAAGCCGCTAGGAAGGAGAAAAGGCGCAAACGGAAGGAAGCAAAGTCAGTGCAGGGCCAGGACGGTGCTGCCAGCGATGTGCCCGAGGTGAAGAAGGCAAAAAAGAAAAAGAAAAGCTAGCGAGATCGAGTTTGTTGTATTTTTTTCCGTCATCACGTATTGCCCTGCTGCATCGCTCCCCCCACGTATACGGTTTTCGGCTATCGTATCGGTCCTCGGACGCTCAGGCCAGTCTCCCAAAGGCAGACTGACACTCTGCTTCAACCTTCGTTCCTCAGGATATCCGGCTCAGGCAGTTCTTACTCAGTTGCCTGATAGGGTGTGGCTAGCGCTTACAGCCAGGATCCTCAAGCTTAGGTGCAATCAACATGAGAATGTCTCTGACTGTTAGAATCTTTGCCAGTGATGTGCAATCTTTCGTATCCCTGTTGTTTAAATCAAATTTTGCAGGATCCTTGCAGACCAAGGTCAAGGTTTTACACGCCGTGAGCGATGAGTCTGGGATTTTCCTGTCAATGTATTATGGCGAAACTCAGAGTCTGAGGCAGACATTCATGCAGCATTTAGCAGTTTTCCGCGCGTCGGCGCACGAAATTGATCCTCCCCAAGATCAACGTGGTTAGTTATCTCAGAAGAGAAATCTGCAAGTCGCCTCCACGACCGCGTGCCTCAGGCTGTCTCACCAGGTTCCTACATTGCCACTGGAGATCTCAAGACAAATTTCTTGAGCTTGCTTTCACGGGTGAGTGGGCTCTAACTTCGAATACAAGCAGAGGCCCATTTTCATTAGCATTTGCGTCACAACTTGTGCTGGTCTTACATTCTGCATGGCAGCCGCGCTTCCAAGGTTCGTATGTCAACGTCGGCACTTCAGGCTTCAGTTATTATGGAGTATGTACTTGCTGGTATCTTCGTCAGACTCGAGTCTATTAATCCCACCATCTCTAAAAATACAACAAGGGTCGCGAACCTGATCCGAGAGCGTCCTCTGATCGCCACTACCACAATAACTGACGTCTACGCTGCTGGCGTCTTGTTGGCTGCAAGCTCCTCGAGTCGCTGCTCCACAGCCTTCACCTCCTTCTCTACCAGATCAAACTCTGCCACGAAATCCTTGGACGTAAGGGGATCCACGGGCACGGTATTATCGTCGGGACCAGACGCGGTGTTCTCTGACAGAGCGTTGAGCAATTCTCGTATCCTCTCCCTCATGAGACTCTTCAAGTTGTGCATCCACATGTAGCGGATGTATATTTCGTTATAATACGACTGAAGGCGCTCGCTGTCTTGGGGTAGCGGGCGCAGAAGGCTGAGGCGACGGAACTTCAGCATCGCCTTGTCCAGAGTCGGGGGATCTTCACTCTCGTCCTCAGAAGAGGTGTATATGGGCGACCGCCGACGGAGTTTAGAGGAGCCGCGGGCACGCTTGTGCTCGCTGTGTTTCTGAGACGACGATGACGCCACGGGAGCTGTCCTCTCGCTGGTTGAAGGGCGGGATGGGGGTATCAGCGACTGTGCCGGGGGTAAAGGAGGTAGGGGCGATGCCTCTTTCTTAACTTTAATGCGGGGAGGAGGGAGAGGAGAACCATCGCGTTTTGCGGGCCTCTTGAATGCCGCTTCACTGTTCTTGCCTCTGGCACTCTCTCTATCACTCTCCTTGTCTCGCCCCCTTTCAGCCTTGGTTTCCCTTTTTGGCTCGGTCTTGCGCTTCTTGGGTATCGCGCCAACGGCGGAGCCGCGCTCCGGGTATTCAGGATCCTGGTCATCATCTATAACTTTCTTTCGTTTCTTCCCAGTAGCCTGTACTGCGGGCGAGTCTCTTTCGCGGTCTCGCTCGCGCATCGCCTCCCGTTCTCGTGCTCGGTCACGTTCCCGGGGGCGTTCTCTATCCTGCTCTGGCTCTTTCCTCTTCTTCTGCGCGCCAGGGTTCGCAGACCCTGACGGTACGGGAGCATCCTTGGCGTCTCTCTTGCCCTCCCGGACATCGACGAGTTTGGTCTTCTTCGGAGGTTGTGGCACCGTTGGCGACGCCAGCGCAGGGGGAGTCACGCTCGAGCTCCCCGCCGTTGCCTTGAATCCGGAACCTGGCAAGCGACGTGCTGCAAGCCGCGCCAAAGGGGCATCCCCAGAAGAGCCCGACGAATCGGCAGCCTTCTCCTCCTTCGCCTTGCGTTTGCCCATCACCTCTCTGGATGGTCGGACACCCTCGTCCTTCGCGACGATCACGTTGGACGCGGTGCGCTTCTTCGCGCCGTCCGCTGGCTTTATTTTCTTCGACTTCACGTCTTTCGACATGATGCCGATCCGCGCCTCAGGCTTCGTGCCCTCCGGCGTGGCGGCTGACGACCCATTTCGCGAGTAGACAGTGGGCGTGGAGTCCCTGCTGCGAGGCCACATGGGATCCCAACGAGGGTCCGTTTCTGGGATATCCAACTGTCGCAACGCAGCCCGAGCCTGGGTTGCTAGCTCCTCTCGCTCGGCTGTCTGAAGACGCCCCCAGTCAAAAGGCCGAACCTCGATCCATGATGTTGTTTTGAGCCTCCACGTCGGACCAGAACTTCTATTGGCACCCCTAGGAAGTGGGGCGCGCTCCGCGACCTGAAGATAAAGTGCACGATAAGCAGGGTATTCGGAAAAGCGCAAGGTAATCAGAACCACCTCCTCTAAGATACGGAAAAGATCTTCTCGGGCTGCAGCACTGTAGTTTTTGCCAACCATATTGAGAATCTGATCCGATGTACGATCATTGGTGGCCACACAATGAATGATGCGTGAGCGCGTAGACTTCAGAGGATCTTCGCGCGGAGGGCGTGGCGATGCTCCTCTCGTCGATGGAACAGTATGGGGAGATGCGACCCTTGTAGCTGGCACAGTGCGTGGAGATGCTGCCTGCGCAGACAGGCCTGGGCGGGGAGATGCGACGCGTGTAGATAGACCGGGACGTGAAGAGGCCACACCCGTTGCAGGAGACGACACTCGTGTCGACTGCGAAGTGACTGGCGCAGACAGATTACGGTGGCCGTCGACGAGGTGTGGCGGCTTCCGCAGCATCTGCGGTGGCTCCTTGCGCTTCTTCGGTTTTGGCATATCTGGCGGGACTTCGAGCAAGATAGTCTTGCGCTCCGTGCGCTGCTTCTCCGCCATGAGCGTGCTCTCACGAATCTTCTCATGGACCTTGTTCCCGAGCTGAGGATTGATAGAGCCCTTTCCCGTGACATTGGCGTAGAGTTTTAGCGGGGTCGTCGGCTTGGAGTGGGTAGATTTAGAATTGGGCGCTGTCCGCAGGAAGAGCTCGTTCGGACAGTCCTCCTTCAGCAGGCGCATGGGAAAGAACACGCCGCCGATGTATAGTCCCTGCACACACAGTCAGCCAGGCCATCTCAAAGCGACGAGAAGAGATGAAACCTCACCGGATTCGCACCGAGCTCGATCTCCACCTCGGGCTGCTTGGGATAGCCCTCCAGAGCCTCGAGAGTCTCTTGCGACATGCGGAGGAGCATGGCTTGCCGCGGTTTAGAGTAGGTGGCTTCCCCTGGGCGAGGACATTGGAGCGACAAAGTGCCGCTTTCGGGGAGTGGCATGATGGCCTGATGTTATCCAGAGGACGCTTTAACACGACGAGTCGGAGTGTACTCCGAACAGGTTTTTGAGAGTAAGAATGTAGTCCAGGCGAGCAGGAGGCGGTGTGGCCGCTATGCGGCCGAAGATTGAGGATCGTCGTGTTGGTGAAAAGAGGATAAGGGCGTTTACATGGCAGCAGACATGTTTGAAGTCTCTTTGTGCGCCACAAGCTTGACGCCACCCGAGATCATATCCCACGTGCCAGAGCCCATTATGTCTTGTTCGCGGAATTTCAACTCTTTCTACCTTTGCTTCCGTGCCTTGCTACAGGGGAGCACACCCAGCAACCACAAAAACATAGATTGGCATCGCTCAGGTAGAACATTAGGAGAACAAGATAACAACAGAGACACCAGCTTTACTTTACAATAATCATTTGAGCTACAGAAGCTCCCCAGCATCGCTCGATCCGGTCATCTTTTGTTCAGCGATCTTGCGAGTCGTTGAGGAGACGCAGGATATTGATAACTACGGACATTTGTCAGCCATGGATAACTTGATGTCCCTGAGCGAATGAATTACTCACAGAGATTGATGAAGCTGTTATGGAGGTACAAGAACAGATCAGCCTGCGATGTAACATAGCGAAGTGATTGATACGCACTCAAGGTAGAGGCTGATAGCAGCCAGGATATACTCATCTGGCGACAATCTCTTCGTGATGATATAGGTGTCGTAGACAACATAGCCGCTGAAAAGAAGGCAACCCCCCGCAGCGAAGATAAGATCTGTCGTTCTGCCGAAAGGCAAGAAGATCGAAACAAATCCAGTCATCACTGTACAGTAATATTAAAACTACATGGCAGCGACAGGACTGAATATGAGACATACCCATGGCGATTAGCCCGGCAAACAGCCAAGAGCCCATTCCAGAGAAGTCATACTGTGGTAGTCAGTGAATACCTGTGAGGAACATCTCGACTACGTTATGGACGCACTTTGGATTGGAAGGTAAACAGAGTCAAGCCAAGGAAGACGCCAAGTGTGATCAGCCTTGAACCAATGGAGTTAGATCACTCCTTAGATTCATGATGCTTATACTCACAATGCCTGAAGGACGATCACGTTGTCAAAGAATGCGACCGTGACACCGAGCGTGAAAGCCTCGAAAAGGGTGAACAGCGAGAGGAGCGCCAAATTCAGGGGGTGGCTGTGACGCTTCCAGTAAAGCACGCCCAGGTTAATGAACGTTCCAATGAGTGGAACATAGAAGGCCCAGGTGCTACCCAATGTTTATGAGTATGGATGTCATGAAGCTGCGCTCAAAGATGGCACTCACTGAGTCTGAACCCAGATAACGGCATTTGGCGAATGCGAAACAGCGCCACCTACGATGCAAGTCGCGAGCTGTTAAAACGGCAAGTTAGCGGCTAGAGCTGAGGTGGTTGAGTGGGAGCGTACGATTTGGCAAACTAATCGAAGAAATCAGTACGGCACCTAAGAGGATTGCGTTGGTCTACTCACAGAGGATTGTGTACACCTTGCGCACGAATGCATTCCTGATCTCGAGCGAACTCTCCGATACAGACGTTCCATACTGACCATACCTGTCAGCCATAGTCCTGCTCTAGTGAACTTGACGCATACCTTGAAATCATCTGGAACATCGCCGAACGCTGGCTGGTTGTAGATGGCTCCCGGACCACTGCTGGGTCCTGCCTGCGCACTGCGGGGGCTCCCGAGTAAGGGTTCAGTGGCATCATCCTCGGCGCGAACAGTGGAGAGCTTCTGGGCAGCGAATGCGCCTTGGTAGGCGGGAGGTGCAGTGGTATAATTGTTCGTGCTCATGATTGTTGTTGGCAGAGATGGGCGGAAGCTTTCGCGGCCGAGACACAGCTGCGTATGTCATAGCCTCTCACGTGACTTATGTTATCTGTGCTTCCAAATGCAAACCCTTGCGGTCCAAGTCCTCGCGGCGGCCGCTCTAGTGACCAGCCCGAATGTTATTCGCCATCTGTGGCTGCGAGCACGTAAGTGTGCGGTATACATAGCGGCGGTGCAGATGGCGACCACAACCCCTGTGTTGCCTCCTTCTCCTGAACATATCCTCTCGACGCCCTCGAGATGTCGACCGACCAGCTTGAGGATGAGTTCGTCGCCGGGGACATTGAGACGGATCCCCTCCTGGTCCGCAGTCCGCAGGCTTCACGACCCACTCCTCTTCCGAAAGTGCAGCTGGGCGCAGTGTATGCCATCAAGCTGATACTGCCGATCGCGCAGACGCAAGTGCTGCCGTATCTGAATGTCTTGGTCCAGGGACTGGCTAAGTCCGACGGTGCAAAGACGGGTTACTACAGTGGAGTGGTGGTTAGCATGCTGAGCTCGCGTCTGAACGTGGTTTGGGATACCTGAACTTCCGTGCAGGGGAGTGCTACTTCTGTCGCACATCTGTTGACAATTTACCTCTGGGGTCGGATTTCCGGTACGATTTCGCACCCATCGCATCGCAATATACGTGTCTGGTTCACGAGATTTTGAACGTAAGATAGGATCGGGCGTATACCCGTGATCGTGCTAGGTACGACAGGCATTGCCGTCTTTACGCTATTGTTTGGCCTGTCGCGCACGTTTGCGACCGTGTTATTGACGCGCTTTCTGGGTCAGTATGTTACCTGTCCGCACCGTTCTCCGGTTCACTCACACGTTCGCTCGCTGTGTCTCTAGTTGGAATATTCTCCGGCACGACTGGAGCGATTCATTCTGTGGTGGGTGAAATCACCGATGCCAGCAATCAGTCGACCGCGTTCCCGCTGTATGACATCGTATCAGCACTCGGCTTTGTTATTGGGTCAGTTAATTTTGCCTTGATTTATATTTATTGCGAACCATTGGTCCGGAGTGATGACCTGCTTTTGCAGACCACTCATTGGTGGAACTTTCGCAAACCCCGCCACCCTATTCCCTCGGTGGTTCGACAGTCCATTCTGGAGAATATATCCTTACTTTCTACCATGCCTCGTCACTGCATCAATCGCTATGCTTACGCTATTTATTGCTGTGTTCGTTCTCGAGGAGGTAGGCGGTTTATAGTACTTTCCCACCGCGTGATATTTACTCCTCTTTGTCAGACCCTTCCCAGCAAGCGCAGAACGAAGGTCACGTACGATGTCCTCTTCTCCGAGGAGTCATCCTTCTCCGAGATGGAAGGAGAGATCGTGCAAACTACTCAAGCCAAGCCTCTCAGCATCAAGGCATTATTGTCAATCCCTGTCATCCGATCCATCTGCGCATCCAGCGCAGCTTTAGGCTTTGTTGGGTCGTGCTTCAACACTGTGTTCGTCCTCATGGCGTACACACCCATCCACGATGGCGGGCTCGCCCTCTCGGTACGATTCCATGTCCATCAACTATTTCGAAAAATGTGCTGACAAAAATTTAACGCAAGCCGCTAGCAATCGGCCAAGCACTCTCGGTTATGGGTATCGTCTCGATCTTCCTGAAACTCACAATGCCGGTGCTTCTCCGGCGCTTCGGGACGCTGACCGTGTTCAGGTCCTGCATGCAGTCGTGGCCCGTGACGTTCGCGTCGATGGCGCTGCTCTCGTTCGTCGCGAAGCAGGCTGTCGCGATGGAGAGCAAGGCGATCGAGTGGGTCGCTGTGGGCTTCACTCTGTTCATGTCGAGAGTGGGCTGTATGGCTTTCTCGTGAGTGTCGCGTCGATGTTGCGTAGAGTGTGGTGTCCTGAATGATATGTTTGGTGGTAGGATTATCATGATCCTTACGAAGGACCATACGCCTGGAACGATGTCTCTAGGAACGTCAAACGGCATGGCCGAGTTCGCGCAGTCGTCCCTCGCTGCGCTGGGACCAACTGTTGTCAGGTGAGAAGGGTGTCGTATCTCTACGGAGTGGTCCCCAACACTCATCGGAAACCTGACAGCTCCCTCTTCGCGTTCTCGGCATCGAACAACATCCTCGGCGGCCAGCTGTGGGTGATCATTATGGTCCTCGTCACTCTACTCGGAGGGTCGTTCGCAGAGCGCATCAGGAAGTACCGCGACGACAAGTAGTATGCGTATCGGATACAGTATTTATGTCTGTAGATTTTCTCCAACAGGATGTATGTAGATTATCTGTACTGTCGCTTTTACTTAATTAGTCCAACACCCTGAGCTCCACCCTGGAGACTTGACTACCCGCGTCGCAACCCTCTCGGTCACACAACACCATGATTCGGATGACTTCTGTGTTGACAAAGCAGTCAGGAATTTATTCTGTCAGAGGGAAATTCCCCGGCATCAGAAGTACAGCATCGTAAGGAAGACCCTGGTCGTACAGCTCGCGCAGGTGTGCCGCCATGGGGTCCATCAAGGTCCGCAAGGCAGACAAGATGGCGCTCGCTGTCATCTGCAGGCTCCATGCACTGACCGCTTTTACACGGCGATTGAAGTTAGCTTGCATGACATGGTACGCCATTGCCTCGTAGACCTAGCAGAATGTGTCAGCATGCGAGTAGGATTACTTTGAGGTTGGATCACCTTCAATGAGATCATATCCATAAGACCGGCTAATAAGAATAAATCGTGAGCTAACGGTACATGATAATGAAGAGATTTTATGACTGACTTTCCCACATCTGTGGTAGCGGAATGTTAGAATTAAGATGGGAGGTATAATGCAAGGAATAGCTCACCGTCAACGATCCGTCAAAGTTACTGAGATCCGTGACCACCCGAGAGCGGATGGGTACCAAAGTCCGGTTAGCACTGACGACGAGCTCAATCAATAATGTCAACGAATTCAACAAGGGGTAACGCACTTCATGAACGCGACAATGGGTCTCACAAGTGCGTTATTGACGTAGCTCAAGTCAGACGTAAATATCGGGACGGCTGCCTTAAGGTCGCGGAAGCGCAAGTCGATGTCGATGACCACCTTGGGCGTGTCCTCCGCGACGTCCTCATTATCTGAGGGCGCGCTCAGCGGCGGCTTCGCAAGCTCGCGCTGGCCGGGGATGTAGTCGGAGACAGACGCAGCCGCCGTCGTGATGGCGTCCGCAAGCTCGCCCAGGATGGCGTTCAGCGCAAGCTCGTCCTGGGGGTCGCGCGGAAATTTGACGTCCAGCACCGCGTCGACCTTGCCAGAGGTGATCCACGAGAAGGGGCCTTCTTGCGTTGTCATGCTTTGCAGATGATCGATGTTGACGCCGTCGATGCGGAAGCGTGACTGTTCACAGTAACGAGGTCAACTGAAGGAAGTGCTATATAGGAAGTTGGCTCACCATGCGCCCCCACTTGCCGCCCATGAGATCCTGTTCTGTAGTACGTCCAATACTCTGCGGCTTATGCAGACTAAACAGGCAGTTGTCGAACTGCCCGACAGCATTCTCCGCGGACAAGAAGTCATAGAAAAGCCACTGCTTGCGGAAAGTTCGGATATCCGCACGGAAAATGGACGCTGTATATGGCCTGAAACCGCCTGGCTGGTAGACGGTGACGAGGAGATCTTCGAGTTGAAGGGACTCCAGCTCAAAATCGCCTGGCTGTCCGACAAGTCGGAAGGATGCAGGATCAAGTGGATGGTCAGGATCCCACGTCACGGAGCGACGGTCTGAAGACGATAGTTCAGTTTGACTCCCGATAAGAAATGTGCTAATGAGTACCCAAAACTCCCCGTACTCCCTTGACGACGGCATCTGCGACCAGGCCTTTACCTTTAAACCAACGAGCAAAAGATAGAGTGACGTCGATTGATTCCACACTCAAGTCAAACATAGAGTAATTTGTATCTTCATCCGAGATGTCCTCTATGTTCACTTCATCCTCGTCAAAAATGTGGTGATTGGACGGGTGGTTGCTGACGTCATATCCTAATGCCGCCGAGTAGCCCACATTCAAGTCTGGTTTCTTGCGCTCCGTGTGTTTGCCACCGTTCGGACGGCGCGTCATATATACATTCTTGAACGAGATCCGTGAATCCTTCCATTTGGGAACGATCGCAGACTCAAAGATAATAGTGATTCCTGTTTCTGAAGTGATGTAGTCGCTGAGGGCGCGTGCGACGTACTCTGTCATTAAGTTAAAAAAGACTACTCCTCACGCATGACATCCGGAGAAGCCTCACCTTGTAACCGTAGACTGTTCAACGTTGTGAAGACTACAGAGAAGAAGGTAGTACTGAATGTATTGTGAGTTAGACGATGGGAAGAACAGAAGTACAATAGCTCTCACGTTCCGACAAAAAGCCAAAGTGTTTGACTCATGAAGAACCAGGTCACGAAAGCCGAGATGTCGTCGGCATTGTACTTGCGGAATGAGCGGATAGTGAGCCACTTGAATCGCACTCGAGCACGTTGCCAGAATCCAGTAGAAGCACGCAGAAAGTCGTCTCTGGTTGGCCGGTGGAGATGAGGCAAAGAGGCAGCAAGCCGTCGAAACAAGCGTGGATAGTTGTCGAGGCCGACAGGTGGAGGTTCTTCGGGTTTCTGATCTTCAGGACGCTCGGTGGTGGTAGAAGATGTCCGACTCTGCTTCTCTCCCGAGTTTTGTAAGCCAGAATGTTTTTGCTCCTCTCTTCGACACGCCATGACGGAGAACGTCCGACAGGTCAAGGGCGTACCAAACGCATGTCCACGCGCCAACGCATCTGAAAGTGCAAAATATGGGCGGGATTGCAATTGGATATGGACTTCTCGGGCGTGTGTAATTGCACGAGTGGGCTGCTGCTGCCTGAAAAAATTGCGTATGGTGGTGTATCGGTCAACAGCGGCTGAGCCTCGGGCACGACTGGTGTGCCGTAGAAGAAATGAGGTCCTCTGAGTCAAATGCATAAAATAATGGACGACAGTTTCAAGCAGATGGACTTAGAGCCCTTGGTGCTTGGCAGGAGTGAGTTGGTGGTAGAACGCAGAGGCAGAGAAACTAATTAAATTTTTGCCACTTTCTGCGGTCACGTGGACCTTTGCCCATTCGCGTCTTCCGAGAATGGAAGCCGAGCTCCTTCAAGTTGCTACTCGGAGCTCTGGGTAACGGGGAGTTATTTCGACATGGCAGTGGCGATGGCGGCTCGTTGCTCGAGGCAGCTGGTATACTATAAATACTACCTTACCTTGACGCTGGTATACGAACTCGATCAGACAGGAAGACGTTTCGTTCGTGACTACCATGTTTCCGCTGCCAGTGACCGAAGCCGTTCTATGTCTTGGTTACTCATCCTTGGACAAGGTGAACACATTCTTGCTGACAAAACTTTGCAGGACTCTGGCTTATTAACTACTGGAACGATAGGGCCTTATTCCAGATTTTGTTATACGCCCAGTCATACGAGCCTTATGTCGCCAGAGACTTCGTGAGATTGATACCGGCTCATTCGACGCCAATCATGCCGCCAAGATGGAGTGGATTGAACGCGCCCGCGCGCGAAAGGCCATCGCAGATCTCACAGAAAAAGCAAACAAGCAACACTACGAAGTTAGTAATTGACATTCCCATATAATCACCTCTCATCGTATCTGCAGGTGTCGACCAGTTTCATCTTGTCCTGCTTGGGGCCCTGCGCTAAGTATTCCTCCTGCTTTTATCCAACTGGAGAGGAGACACTGGGAGAAGCTGAAGTTCATATGCTGGAGATGTATTGCAAGAATGCACAATTGAAGGATGGACAAGACGTTCTCGATCTAGGGTGTGGTACGACTCTTTATCCCAAATGTGCATGCACGCTCTGATCCTTTAGCTTGAAAGGATGGGGTAGTTTGACATTATGTCTGGCTCAGGCTAGTCTGTCCAACGGCCGAGCTAAAACGAACGCTGACCGTTATCATCAGAAATACCCAAATTCGCGTATCACGGCCTTGTCGAACTCAACCACCCAGAGAGTATACATCGAGGAAACAGCACGTTGTCGAGGCATCACTAATATAGAGGTAACGAGGTGTTGCATGTCATAATTCACCATGCTTTCAACTCAATAATCTAGGTGATCACCGCAGACATCAACATCTTCGATTTCAAAGGCTCAAAGCAGTGAGTGACAATGAGCGGGTCACAGTTTTTCTTCCTAACAATCCTCATGTAGCTTTGACCGTATCCTATCCATAGAGGTGCAAATAATACCTGGCGCACTGAAGTGTTCTCACAGCAGTTTATGCTAGATGTTTGAGCACATGAAGAACTACAAGCTGCTCATGGCCAAGATCTCGTCTTGGCTTCGCCCAGATTGTGCCGCCGAAAATGCGCTTGTCTTCATACAAGTCTTCTGCCACCGCACTATGCCGTATGATTTCGAGGATGGCAATGGCTGGATGGCTAGCATGTTCTTCTCTGGTCTGTCCATCATATTCTCTGCAATTGAACGGAGTCTTGGTTGATCCCCTTTGGCGTAGGTGGAACCATGCCCTCTCACGATCTCCTCGTACGTTGAGCCCGGGCGCTTGAAAGTAACCTTTCTCACTGACCTATCATCAAGCTTTACTTCCAGGACGACTTGTCTCTTGTACGTAGCTGGTATATTAATGGCAGGCATTACGCGCAGACGTGTGAGGACTGGCTCAAGCGGCAGGACGAGTTTGGTGCGGTGGGTCTTGCGACGCTCAAGATGGACGCAGAGAAAAAGGGCCTCGACGGTGAAGAGGGCTCGAAAATGTTCTACAGGTTTGTTCTTGGGTGAAAACTGCGCCCCAGTTCGTTGTGGGTCCAGGATTAACACGCGCTTCATCTAGGTTCAGAGTATTCTACATGGCATGTGCAGAGTTGTTTTCCATGAACGATGGCCAAGAGTGCGTCGACTTCCGTATGTCACAACCTGCTGACCCAGTCAAATTGTTTCACAGATGGGGCGTGGGGCATTATTTGTTCAAGAGGAAAGACTGAATGCGTGTTTAACGTACAACAGGTCTACAATTACGTCGGGGGTTTTTGGCTCCCGCCGTTGACGACATTCGTCTTTGTGCTGATTGTCGGAGAGAGATCTCGGTGGAGGATGATGGTGTATATTTCTTGGAACGTGTATATCGCAATTAAACTTCCTTCCACCAAAGACCACATAAAGCCAACACAGCTGCGAATATGACCACGATAGATTTACGGTGTGGTGCGACCTCGCCATCCTCTAACTCGATGCTTGTGGCCCTGGTCTACCAGTGTATTATTCTTCGACGTCTACGCCTAAATAATAATCAGGAGATATTCAGCAACATGACTCTCACCTTGAGCGAACAATAACACGCACACTACAACACAGAATATTCCGTGTGCGCAACTTCGACAACCGAGTCAAGAGTGCTTCGTTCCATTTCCAGGCTTCAGTTGTTCTCGGGATCTTGAGTGTGATTAATTCCAACTTGGCAAACTTCGTAAGGGAGAGTGTCTCCTCAATGAAATCGCAGTAAATCAAATCGAGGACCCTCTGGATTATTCCTTCTATATTTGGATCGCCGTGATATTGGGTCGGGATCCACACATTGAATATAATCTCGTGAAATCCACGAGATGTAGAAATATGGGTAACCAGGAGTAGTCCGGGTCATCGTCGACTATAAGCCCCATCGTAAGCACGGTAAGGTTAACATTCTGCGCAAGGCTGAGATGCTGTTCTATAATAATGGATGAGGGCATGCAACACAAGATGTGTGGAAAATACTTACCCACTGTGTTCTTCAATTCTCTGAGTCAAGGTTGACGTTGGCAAAGATACTGAACTCCAGCAAACGAAGAGATGCGCCCGCGGCTTGCCACAACCTGCCCAATCCGATTGTCTCCATATCCTGAAGTTGAATCGAAGTGTATAGCTTTATGTTACGGAGAGAGGTGCTTGCTGTCGCATCGACGAATACACGGAATATATCCGCGATACTCGCAGGCAATGCCATTACATGAAGATCCGTCAGGGATGCGTGAGTACCCTGGTGCCGAATAACGAGGGGATCAAATCTATTCTTCGTCCACTGAATGTTGGTGCACGAGAGAGTCAGAAGATTAGGGAAGCTAAACGCAAGGCGTTGAAGAGACAAGCCGAGCCGAAGGAACGACGTCAGTATCTCGATAGAACAAGAGAAGAGTCATCATACACAATATACGCAAAGAACGAGCGCAAAGTGCAAGCAAAGTGAGTGCCTCGAACGCTCGCACTCACAGAACCTTCCGCATTAGGAAGTATCATGTAATTCAAAGTCCGGTCAGTATCAGTATCAGTATCAGTATCAGGCCACACCTACTATCAGTGACCCGGATATGCCATATGACCCAGAAGTGCCATATTTTTTTCTGTGGTTTGATCCTCTTGCCGATTCCCTCAAAATTATAGACAGAGAGTTGTAAATACCCTAATTTAATACTGTAAAAGTTTGGGAAGCAAAGATAGCTCACTTGGATCCCAAGAAATTCGGGATTGCAAGAGTATTTGGCTGGTGCCACACCTCGGCATCTCTCCAAGGTGTCCAATACAGCTAAAAAAATCCGAAAAAATGGTGTATAGTACTCTGTATACTACAGAAACATCACCTGAGATGCCGCAGACAATCGAGCAAGACGTCGTGCTGCGGGACCAGAAGTGCCATATTATGGCACATCCGGATCATCGATAGTACCAGTAACGGGCCATATACTAGGAAATGGGATCCTGAGTCGGAAATATATGTTATACAAGATCTTTTCAAAACGGACGGAGACATACCGCTTTTGGTTGAACCATAACAAGGACAAGCAGACCACCCAACATTCCCCAGCTGGCTGGCTCGGCTAGGCGCTTGGTATTCTCTAACTTACTACCAAGTTCAGGACGACAATATGTGTAATTGCTTTCTGTATTCCTCATTCCTCAAACGCAGGAACATTGACATTTCGGACAGCTCTGGTCAAGTTCTCTGTTCTAGTAGAGGGCGAGGTTATCTCCGTTCAAATGGAAAGGAGGGAGGTCGTGATGGAGATCTACCACTGGATCAGATCCTTCTCCGTCCCCCTGAAGAACAAGCTCGCACTGCTTACGGTTACCCAGCTCACTTATTTCAAGCTCAAAGAGCCAGTACGGAATGATGCGCCGTTAGAATCTCGTGTGGCGGAAGGCAATTTGGAGCCGCTCGACTCTAACACACGTATAGAACAGTTCGCAGAGCAATTCAAAGTGGGTTTCATCTGCGTGCTAGTTAAGCTCCCACCAGGTGAGTTATTGTTGTACCGATGAAGAAGATAACTTACGGTACCACTAGACGAGACGGGCATAGCGATCGAACAGTTGCAGCAAAATTACAGCGATTTGTTTAGCCGACTGCAAATCACCGTCGCTCATCCTGGTCGCTGGTCGGCGGATGATATCCGTGAGAGCGGTGGGGTCTACGTGGGTGGCAATCAACCTACGCCACGCGAAATATCAGACATAGAGACAAAGTTGACGAGGAAGCGATCGTACCGAGTTCGTTTATTCTCTTCATTTCCTATAAGCCTTCTCACCAGGACTATTATCAGGAGAGTAGCAGTGAATATCTTCGCATCGCGCTTACCTATAGAGATCATTTCTCCTCGATTTTCGAGCCCAGCTTGGCTGGTTCCGTGGATGTCCAGAACGACGGAGAATTTGTCGCCTTTTGCAATGCCCTGTGCTGTTATCGTGAAAATTCAGAAAAAATCGCGCAGAATATCTCATCATCTTTGAAAGCAAGCTCCTTCGCTGTATATTTTATTCACCCTCCCTTCTTCTCGTGGAGGCCTCCGCAGGACCCTCTCGAGTACAAAGAGTAAGTGATATCATACTTGAAAATTGCATCTCAAGCTCATAGCTTAATTTGAGACAACTTTCATGGAACTTTCCAATGTTCATTGCCACATGCGGCATGGCAGAACCATGGAGAAAGTTCACCCCAGACAGCGACTTCGGCGTTATCTCCCGCACACATTTATGTCCTTTCGTCATTTCTGACGTTATCTCGCAGAAGCATGAACAAGACCGACACCGCATGCTGCTAGAGGCCATCGTTGCTGCCCGAACGGGCAGCTACCTCCTAAAGGATCGTTCCCAATCGCGGTTCTTCGTCGTAGCGGTTTACCTTGCAGCTTCTTTGTGCGCATCAAGGTACATTGTGACCGAAGCAGATTCAGGGAGACAGGTAGGATTGTACTGTCTTAACTTCTTCCCATTCCGCCGATAAAAATTCCACTGTCGCAGGTCCATATTGCACGGGCAGACTTCGACCTTACAGATGCGAATGCAGCCGTCCGATTCTTCGGTGAAATGTGCAATCTCTCGCAACTCCTGGGCGAGCTTGCGGGTGAACTCGATGAGTTGAAACGCGAAAGTCTGTTAACAATTCAGCAAGTCGCTTCAAAGATGAGGTCTCTCAATCATCGGAGAAGAGCTCGGCGGAGTACGCGACCTTCGTTGTCTTCAAACTCAGATAGATCGGGGCTCCAAGAGGAAGATGATCTGGGAATTTTCCATCAACAGCGATCAAGTCCGGTCGGTTGTCGATCACATTAATTACGGGTGTCGTATGTTGCTTTCGGAGTACGTTTGCGGAATGTCCCGCGTTTGATGTCGACATGTACTGAGAATTTCGACAGCACCCCCATATTGCGCTTGTTGTACGACAGGAGGACGATTCTGCTGTTGGATATCTCATGTTCGTGGAAGACGGAGCCAAGGAACTGTAGATTCTGCAATACCTCCATAGAATCGATGCCCCAACTAACTATACCATACGCCCTGTTCGCATCTGGCCGATCGATGGGGGGACGACCATATTGATGCCCATTGCAGGAGGCCGGCTCAGTTCGCTCAAGGATCCTGATTCTTATCTATGGCTTGTCGTATAGCAGTTGTTCGAAGCCGTTGACTTCATGCATGGCCACGGCGTCGCGCACTTAGACCTGAAACCGCAGAACATCATCATCCCACCGAACTATGGATGGCTTACCATCATCGACTTTAGTTTGTCCGTTCGCGTAAGGATCCCGCGCCATACGTTCACAGGTCATGTCGGGACGGAAGGGTACATTGCTCCGGAGGTTGGTCGAGGGCAGTATAACCCGATCCGTGCAGACCTGTGGTCGTGCGGCAAAGTCGTTGAAGAACTTTGCCGCCGTTGTAGACTATCGCCGGCGCGCGAGCGGTTGCTTCGGATCAGTAACCGACTCTTGGATGCTGTCCTGGGCAACAGGCCGACGATGGCACAGGTCCTTAGGTGGATGTCGGGGCCCGATAACTCGATAACTCGAGTGAGGGGCATGTCACGTGAGTGCACTCAATATGTGGCTTCGTTTGTTACATGTTGCGTAGAGACCATCCGATACATGGCACTGGATGCAATTTCCAATAAGTTGAGGGGAGTATGCAAAAGTTATTTGAGAGCTAGAGTAAATAAGCTTCATGTAAGTGGAACTGCTTTCAAGAGACTTATCCAAAAGTTATTTGAAACTTATCTCAAAGTAGAAATAACTTCATAATAAGTTTTCCATTTCTAGGATAACTGTCAGATAAGTCTCTCATAAGCAGTGCAACTTACACTAAACATATTCACTCTATCTTTCAAATAACTTTTGTGTAATCCCCCCAACTTATTGGAAATTGCATCCAGTGTGGCCTAGCGGCGGTGAACGCCTAGGTGTTCTAAGGCCACGGTATTCATGATCGTTCTTAGAGCTGTGTTTAGTATCCGTGTTTTCGAATTGTGTATTGCAATTACATGTACAGCACTCTAGCAACCGTAAAGATGGGGAACAGTTCATACAAATATTGCGAATGCTTTGCTCAAACTGGACAGGCCTTCGCCTGTCACGTATTCTCTCTTTCCTCTCGAATTAATTAAATTAATTTTGCCATGCGCACTACAAAAAAAAATCGAAAAAGGCAACAATAAAGGCGGCTCGATACCGGTCACGGTAAAGCTAGCCAGAGCGTCTACGCGTCGCCCACAGACTCGGATGCGCCATCCCTTCATGTCGGTATTGTACGAATATACCTGCTTAAGATGAATTCATATCCTCCTGAGCTACTTGTGCAGCTAGCTCCAGTTATGTTTGTCTCAGGACTAGACCATCCAGAGAAGACGCAAGATCCATTTGCCATACTATCTGGCCGGTTACGTGACGCGCTCAATTCCCAGCGCAAGGGAGTTGTCTGGCACGCTGAGAAAACGAAAACGTTCCAAGTCATTTTGGTCGATAAGGTGCGCTCTGGGTGATCCTGCAAACCTGTATCTGGTTAACGACCGGAGTGGCAATTTCCAGGACGTTCGCTTCCCTCCTCGGAAACTGCTACCACCAGAAGACCCTCAGTATAACGCGTCTCATTCGCCATTATCTCCGTTGACACCAACTTCTCCGCTATACCCCGACGGCCTCATTGCACCAATCTGGATCCGCAAGCACACTACTCTTGTGCCGTCTGTCTTCGTAGTGTTCACCCGTATATTCGAATACGTGCAACCTATTCCCAGTGCCATTTCGGATGCAGTGGATGCAGCCCGAGATAGAGAGACTGAAGAGCGCCGCAGGGATGCGGAGTTAGCTACTGAGATCGCACAGCGGAAGAGGAGCACGAATGACAGAGGTATCAAACTGACGGTGGTGCTCATGGCAAGCAGGCGGATGTTGGGTATGTCTCGTCAATCTCTGGTAGGTTTGAATAATAATGTGAGCGAAATACAGACGACCCATCGTTGGATGCTCGCCTAACGTACATTCGACGACAAAGCGGGTTGGATCCGCGTGCAGCATTGTTTGTCCTCAGTCCAGTTACTTCGTCTGAGATTGGTGATTTTGTGCGGAGGTAAGGTCGTGTTATGAATTATACCTTTTCTTAGGTGAATAATTATTCGAAGTTTGCAAGAGGCACTTTATGAGCCTGCACTGGAGTATTATACCAATCATTCGAAACGCGTGCGCCGCAAACGCAACCGACACTCTCAAATTACCGCTTCCTACGCTGTGCCGCACTCACCCATCGGTGCAGCTAATGCTGCGCGACCATTACGCTCCGAGGGTTGGACGGTACGATACGAGTACAAGATGGCTTGTTTCGCAGAGTTCCGTGGAGAGTATGAGGTCGCTTTGAAGTACGCTGCTCGCTTTTTTCTTTTCGGCTTTGTAGTTCATTATTGTCCCGTAAGACATTATCAAGATGCGTACTCCTCCCTCTTAATTATGTTCGGCTCGACTGCCATCCTGCCACCTCGGACAAAACGGTGGGCAGAAGCGAAAGTACTGGCCGATTGCATCAGCTTAAAAGTCTGTATCTAGCAAATGAGGGAACGATGGCTACTGACCGTTCTTGGCAGATCTGCAAACTCTACTTGTATAACAACGAGCACGGTTTAGCTCTTTCACATCACAACAATCATATGAGAAGATTTGCGGACTTCTCGCGAGGTTGGGGCATCGGTGACGAGACCTTCGAGTTCTGGAGCTGGTTAGCCAGGCAGTGAGTTCAATGAAGGCTTCATTCTATCGTCTTCGCTTACTGCGTTAAGCAGACACCGGGTCTTTGCAGAATTACTTGAGCAAGGCACGCGTTCGACACTCAAGCTCCCGACTCAATGGTCTTCTTCTGTCGCAGCAGTACCAACGACGCAAGTTCTTGATGGTATTCAGCGCAACCTCATAGACGTGGATCCTTTGCGAGCTATGGGTCTGAATCCCTATGAAGCGTTACAACATCCGGGTTTCTATTACTATATGGCTGCGCGGTGCACGGAGAGGAGAAGGCAGCGCTTCCTGAGCGCTCTTGAAGCGGAGGTGGGTACTTCCGATCTTAATCACTGAGGTGTTACCCTGAGCATGCCAAGTCGTCAACATCTACCCCAGGTTATACCAACGAAAAAAAGGTCGACCATCTAGCACTCATACTTGAGGTCCGTCCCTTTCTGCGAGTAACTCTTGTTTTCCTGAGTTGTGACGACCGTATCTTAGCTATACACGCGATCGTACGAGCTATTCAAGAAGTATAATACGTCTAATGGCCAGAATCAAGGCCGCTTGACACTTTGGATAGCGTGTCTCATTGCGCAAACGTACCACCAGTCAGGAAAGTTCGACATGGCGGTCCGGTACGTCGCGGAGACCCAACTTCTCAGCTCGTCTCACATTGATCTCTTTCAGTTTCTTCGAACGGATAGCAAAGACTTACCGTCGTGAAAAGTGGGAATCTTTGTTGCAACCGCTGTTATCGACATGGTATGCTTGTGCGCAACAAATGGGTGACGTGGAGTTGAGTGTTCGACTGCTCTTTGAGATGTTGGGTCACGGTTTGTTTGTCGAACCCTCTTCATTGCTTGGAGTACTTACCAAATATGTCAGGCATGAATATTCATCAGGATGATGCTGACGCGATTCAGGAAGACTTACTGGCGGTCCTAAAGGTGCGCTCGGTGGCTGATGCTGGTGTCATGGTGCTAACTTCACGGTCAGAGTTCAGTACCATCTTCACCTGATGAGGTCTTCGTGATCGACTTGTCGGACTCGGAGCCGCTATGTAGGTGATTCTCGCTCATTCCACCACACAATTTCAAACTTGTCTGAAATCGTCGTAGTAAATTCTTCCATGGTGTTCTGGAAACACGACGTAAATGTCGGAGAGGCTGCAGCGTTCCAATTGTCGCTTAGTTCGCGGCCAGGCGTTCCTATGTCATCTCTGCCTTGGACATCACTAAAGATCCATTTCTCTTCTCACATTCCGCCGATCACTGTCCGCCACTCTCGCGCTGGCCAAGGAGAGAAAGTGCCACCTACATGCGAGGTCGCGCTAGGGCATATCATCGCGACTGAGAGCAAGATTGACGGCAAGGAGGTCGACGGTGTTCTGCAGTGGGGTCCTGGGACGACGACCATTTTCGCCGGCAGTGTATCCTCTGATGTACCGACAAATGTAAAGGTGGGAAGCAACATCTATCTCTGCGTAGACTTAGCGCCTTACCTGTACACAGATTTCCAAACTCGCATTAACGATGAAGGAGGGGGCATGGTCTATCGAGGTCCCTTTGCATCTCGTCGATCCCTCCCTCGTGGACTTGTCGCCGTCTCGCTGGCTGACATCACTGGATCCTGTGCAATTCATTCCTATCAGAAGAGATCACTGCTCTACTGTTACGTACGCTCCCAATTCTCTCCCACTTGTCTTCGATGAATAACTTTCGCGTCTCAGTATTCACCATCGACGCCACGCGGTGCATGTAACTCTATCGCATTGCGCGCCAGCCTACATTGGAGAAGATTTCCCGATCGTGTTGGACGTAACCAATGCAGATGGGAAGGAACTAGATGTTGTCGTGGACGTTCTCCTGCAGCCCACTGACATCGACGAAGTGGATGAACGTTGGTACCATACTTGAAGGCCGTCGTACAGATTCGCTGACGATCCCATCAGTGAACTTCATCAGCCTCGGCGACGAACGATCCACGAGTCTGATTAAGGGTGTCTCATTCGGTGTTCTGGCACCAGGTGTCAGCGCTGTGAAGACATTGTATCTCGGGTGCAGGGGCGTTGCCGCGGACAGGATCATCGATATCTCTGTACAGTCTCGTACTCCTTCGATGGCCACGCCCTCAGAGCCCGCGTCGCCGGACGTTGCCTCTACCACAGTACCCGCGGATAGAGGGGAAGTGCTGCATACCCTGATTGTCCCTGCTTTGGACCCCATCAAGGTAGAACACCGGATCGTGTACAGGCGATCCCTGCAAGCGCAGCCTGGCCTGGCAGACCTGCAGACATACGAAGAAGACTTCTGGGACGACAGAGATGGCGGCGAAGCCGTTGTGACGACCGTCATGACTTGTCTAGCTCCGCCAGGCATCGTGGTTGAAGACGTCAGTCTGAACAGAGAGGTACAGAGACCGCGGATGCTGCGTTTTCAATATGTCTCACCACCGTATACAGGATGGTCCATTCGCAAAGATCGTGGCTAGCTCGATCGAGGAAGGGAAAGATGACCGTCTCGATGGTATATCTCTCATAACGTGGAAGGGGCCGGCTTCTGACTTTGTGACAGAATGGCTTCCAGGAGATGAGCTTTGTGAACGATGCTGCATCAGTTTGGCCCCGGATGAGCGATACTCCGAAGAGGAGGCAATTGCTGGACCTGGGACATACCAAGTTTCTTGGAAGAGGTATTGTGCAACCCCTGTAATACGGTAGTGCATACTCATGCCTTCACTAGGATCATGCCTGATGGATTATACGGCACTATGGCAGTCACCCGATTTCACCTCCCTTCCTTGCGGCCACCCATGGACGGGCTTATAGCACTGTTGGAAGCGCCATCGACTGCGAAGCTGCACAACCCAATTTCGCTGCACCTGACTGTTCGAAACCGCCATCCGACGCACGGCGCAAACGTAATTGTACAACTGGAGCCCGATAACGCTGACGGATTTGTTGCAGCCGGCCTTAGAAGCGGACGAATACCTATTCTGCTGCCTGGAGGCGAAGAAAGGCTTATGTGGAAGTTGATACCCATCGAGTGCGGGTATGTCAAGCTCCCTCGGATTAAGGTGACAGATCGGAGGAAAGCGGTGGGCGTCCAGGCGGTCGCAGGGCAGGATGCTGAGGTGGAGACGGAGGGAGAGCAGGTTCAGATCGTCGACGTTCGCTGGGATGGGAGAGTGGCTGGTGAAGCCGGGGATGCGCAACAAGCAGGCTCGAGTACTCCAGAGGGTGTGCAGCAGGACCCTTCGGAAGTGGTGCACCCGCCTGGTCAACCTGTAGTTCTTGTACTGCCGTGATAGAATATATTATTTCTTTTCACTAAATTAGCGCTTTCAGATTCGGGGATCATGTAAAGCAGATAAGATCCAGATTACAACGGATCAAGGTTATCTACATAATCGCTTCCGACTCCGAGTCAAAGCTGCTCTCTCCTCTTGCCTCTGGCTGCGCGCCGTGAAAGACCTCGTTTCGACATCCACCAAGCCTGCTGACCATGGCGCTGATTGAGGTTAGTTTTCCTGTTCTCTCTCTTGTTCGGATCCTTGCTGATCCACAAGCACCATCTCTCCACGTACTTTCGTGCAACTCACTGATACCGTCGTGCTGAACAGGTTATTGCCAACGATCGTCTAGGGCGCAAAGGTACATAGACCCTCTTTCTTTCAATCATACGCTAATTAGGGCCACCCGCACAGTGCGCGTGAAGTGCAGCCCGGACGACACCGTCGGCGACCTGAAGAAGCTAATTGCGGCGCAGACGGGCACGGACTGGACGAAAATCCAGCTCAAGAAATGGTGGGCCCCTACCACGACCGATTTCCACGCGCGTGAACACTGATGCGCGGGCCACAGGTATACGATATACAAGGACCACATCACGCTCGCGGACTACGAGATCCATGACGGCATGAGCCTCGAGATGTACTAGTCTGCACTCTCCTCAGCGACCGTCGCCTGCTCACACGACGACGCCCTCTTCGAATTCCTGTTGTCCGTCTAACCGTTATGTTGTCAAAGTGAGATATGCGTGTACGAGTATCGGACAGTTGTGCAGTTCCTACATAGCAATCTATTGGCATTCCCTGAATCTCTGTGTGGACAGATCCTCGCCACCGGTCGAGTTCTGCCCACGTCGACAAGCCAGTGCACTCCGTGACATTCGTACGGCGTCTGTTATCACGCCGATATGATCCTCGACGTCCAGTTTTCCTGCTAGGATCAGCCTTTCCACAGCCGACACCCCGCCTTATCCAACGCCTTCCTGACGGTGGACTCTCTCCGATTCGGCGCGAGCGCGAGACACGTCGGGACGTCTTCAGGTTGCTCGACCCACAGATGGTGCGGCACTGGTGGCGTGCAGGACGCGAGGAGCGTGTGCAGGCGCTCGATGCTGCTCCTGTCCGCTGTCTGGAAGTGAGCAGAGCAAGGTAACACGTCAGACGAGGCTATTTGGGGGGGACAGTACGCGGCACCTGGAGGACGACCTGGGAAGGGTCAAAGGAGATGGATTATACCGTAGAGAAAGGGTGGACGGACCTTCCGCATGTGTGTGAGATTGTCGAGGTATGCTTGGGTCTCCGGTCTGTCCTTCGTTTCGTGCAGCACCTGTGCCGTGGACCTTAGTTGCATGTGTATCGAGTAAGGCGCGAAGATGCGCACCGCAGCTGTAGCGTGTGCAGCCTGCGCCATCAGTGGCCCGACGCCCCAGTCCTCAGACTTGATCCACCACCGCCATCGAAGAGATGTAGCACAGTAGGGCGCGCAGCAGCCAGAAGGACCAAGATCAAGACACGCATCGCAGTTGAATCGGAGCAGACGGTCAGTCGAGGGCGGGGATCAGTGGCAGCACATTCCTAACCAGATGGAGAGACGGACATCGAGCAAGTCTCGGCGGACAACGATTTGCATGACGAGCGGCGGTAGCTGAGCTTCAGTATTAGGATTGTCTTGTTCCGATGGCGCTGCAGTGCTCGAGCCAGTGTCGGAGGTCGCCATGGACGTGTGCGTGTGGTGTGCGGAAGAGTATGCGGAAGAGTAAATGGTGGGGGGCTTTCTCGCAGTAAAACTGGTTCGGACAATCGTTCTTCTTGAAGTCGAAGTGAAGGAAGTTGAGAGACCCAGGATCATGAACTTCACTGTACGTGCGAATGCGCAGAGTGCTCGTGCACCACAGCTGGCGTAAGTTACAGAGGGCAGGCGGAGATGGCGTGAAGTCGAAGCGACAGGGCGCTCATTCGAGGACGATGGTTCAAAACTACAAGTACAACACTCTCGTAATACAGTCTTCCATGAATCGTACAACTTCAAGCTTCAAGGCTTCACGGGAGACCCCTCCCACTCCTGATAGCCTTCGCGACCTCGCTCTGCGCCTCGTCGCGCAGGTACCGAGCGTATATCTCCTCGTAATGTTCCTTGTCCTGCACATCATGTCATCATCGGCACACTCCAAGACATCCGAGCATGGTGAAGACTCACGCTCTGTGTCTTCAGCACAGACTCGCGCTTCTCGAGACTCTCAGCATACTCCTTCCACCTGGCGCCGACCGCCTCCCTCGTATAGCCGCGATGCTCCTGCACGATGTAGTCGCGCACGACCCACGGTGCGAGAGCGACGTCGATCAGGCTGAACTGCTCTCCAAGGAAATACGGGCCCTTGACCTTCTCTGCGAGAGTCCGCAGGGCCCTGTTGAATTCTTCGAGCCCAGCCTTCTGTTTCTCCGCGTCCTGGGCCTGAATGACGCGGTGAAAAGCTGGGACGATGCTCTTCGAGATGAAGTCGACCCAGAGGCGCACGAATGCGCGTTCGAAAGGGTCTGAGGGGAGGAGGTGCGGCGTGTAGGAGGGGTATGCGTCCTCGAAGAACTCGCAGATGATGAGCGACTCGTAGAGGGCTTTTCCCTTGTACTCGACCGCGGGAACAAGGCCCTTCGGGTTGATCTCTGCGTTCGTGGCCAGTGGATGAGTAAATCAGTGGTTGCATGCATCGTGACCGTGTGCACTTACCGAGGAAGCGCTTTTCCTTCTTGTACGGGTTTACCTCCTTGTATTGATACGGGATACCCTTCTCCTCGAGCGCAATCCAAGACCTCTGCACGAAGGGGCAAAACTATAGTAACGGTCAGATGTATGTGATGAAAAATCGGATTAGGTGCACACCCATCCGGCATAGAAGACGAGATCCTGGGGCTGCTGATGCAGCTCAACTGTCTTGGCGGCGAGGCCAGTTGCGTGGGGGAATATCTTCTCATCTGGGATGCTCATAGTGGTTCGTTGGATTGTCTGCTACGCAGCAATACCGCGGAGAGTGCATGCCATCTTCTGCTGAGTATGACGACATACTAATCAAGAATACTAATAGCCACGTTGTTCTTGATTTCACCTCGTCCTCACGTAATAGAGTGTATCTGCTAGAGTAATTATTCCTCCCCCGAATATTCAGATCGGCAGAAAATAGGTCATTACCAAGGCTTTTTTAGGACCCTGGATAATTCCCTTAGACGCCATCTCCGGACAAAAAATCCAAGAATTTGCGGTCGACGCCGTCTTACCGGACACGCGACGTGAAAGTGAAAGTGTGCAATGAAATTACATCGCGGAAGTTGCCGCATCCGGAAGATCGTTGGGTGAGTGGATCCCCTCACCTCCTCCTGAGCCCTAGCGGTAATCGCCTTGCTCGTGCGGTTATGGTGGTTAAATACCTATCTGATCTCGCCGCCGACGACAAGGATTTTGAGGAAGATGACCTAAGCTTTCGTATTCTATATCGCGAGTTGTGGAGAAGCCAAGGGGACGGGGAGGGCAAAGTCTTCGTTCGGAAGCGTCGCTCAATTCCAGATTATGAAGATTTGCGGGATACGATGGAGTCCAACGCTATGGAGGTTGATTCCTCGGGAGGTAGTGTGGAAGGTGATAACAATGAGGCGGCCGCGTCAGCTGTTGGTGACGATATCCCTCACATTGCCATCGACTACACCGTTCTTGACCTGTCGTGGCTGCCCGAGTCTCTCATAACCTCTCAGCCCATGCTACTCGCTCGACAGGAGTATGTAGATGCAGTGGAGACATTTGAGAAAGACCAGAGGCCTGTGATGTTGATTGGGCAACCCGGTGTTGGTGCGTGGCATACGGCCCGACGAATTCAAGTGACAATGTAACTGACTTGCGCGACCAGGGAAGACGCTGTTCCTTCTGTACGCTCTGATCAAACGGCTCATCAAGGGTCGATCAACGATTTATTCCACCGATCCAAGGTCATGCTATCTGTTTCGAGAGTCCGGTGCCTACCAATTCACGTCGGAGGACATGACGCCCAGAGATTTACGTTCCGCGATGCGCGAAATACACGGGCGAAATGTACCCGGAGGGGATTTCGGTGCGGTGGATGAAGGATGGATTCTGTTTGAGTTGAATGAATCCCAAGAGTCGCTGACGTGGAACAGCGCGAAGTTCTTGAGGTGGAAGACCGTCATTTCCTCTTCGCCGAAACTCTCCAGATACAAGGAATGGGTCAAACAAAAAAATGCTATGAAGTATGTCATGAAACCGTGGTCCTGGTCTGAGATATGTGCTGGAGCGTATGTCAGGCGGTTTTGCAGCTATTACGAAGATTTGATCAAATTCTGTTTTAGGCCACTACAGACCTCCGCATCTCGTACTACTAAGGTTCTTTGGGATGCCTATCAACAATTTGGTCCGTCCGCACACATCGTATACAAATCAGACCCTGTGGAGCACCAGAACAATATTCGTTATGCATTACGAAAGTGTCAAGACCCTTCAATGCTATTCCCCCAACATGATGATGCTTGGGATGAATCCAGCAATGTATTGGTGGTCGTGGAGCCGGCGACCATAGATGGGGTTGTCCACAGAAACATCTTCATTGGAAAGATCGCCACCTCATACATCATGAACATGGTGCATGAAGAGGCGCAACATCTGTTGGGATCAGCCATACGGCGAACATACCAACACCTCTTGTCAAATAATATCTGCAGAGAAGTAACGGGAACCATATTCGAGGATATGGCGCATCACCTCCTCGGCGGTATTGCATCACGCACTCACTCCCTCAGGACTCTCCCACGGGGTCGGAGTCGTTCCACTACGGAACTAAAGGACCTGACGATGAATTCCCGTATGACCTTCGAGAATATCGCCCCGATATCCGGCAATGCGAGGCAGCGTACGTACTATCGTCCGCTGCCGGGAAGTTTGCCGGGTATCGATTCTTTCGCATTCGTTGATGGGACCCTGGTCCTGTTCCAGTTCACCATCAGTCCAGATCATCCAGTCAAAGTCAAAGGACTCGAAGGCGTTAACGTCCTTTCTGTTGAGCAGCGAGTTAGACGCAAGTGGATGTTGATTTTCGTTGTTCCTACAGCCGTCGAATCTGACTTTAAACACCAACCATTCCAGCCTTTGTCATACGGAGAAAAGTGGGAAGGAGAAGTAGACCAATATGTGATGGGATTGACTCCCGAAGAGCTCTTTCCAACTGTGTATGCTTGCCTTTCCTTTTGACGCTTGTATTCCATTGACAACACTAATATATATATCGATAGCATTGATGCTATTTAGGTTGGCCGCTCCGCAGAAGATTCTCAGCCTGATGAAGTGGAGTCTGCTGCACACAAGAAGGGCGAAGACAATCAAAACTCCGAAAGTGGTTGTGATACAGTCTTCCATCAGCCTCTGTACGACTTCACGGGAGACCACTCCCACTCCTGGTAGCCTTTGCGACCTCGCATTGCGCCTCGTTGCGAAGGAACCGGTCATATATCTCCTCGTAATGTTCCTTGTCCTGCATGGGACTCTTATCAGCACATTTCAAGACATCCGAGCATAATAAGGGCTCACGCTCTGTGTCTTCAATACAGACTCGCGATTCTCGAGACGCTCCGCGTATTCCTTCCATCCGGCGCCTGCCGCCTCCCTCGTATAGCCACGATGCTCCTGCAGGACGTAATCGCGCGCTACCCACGGCGCGAGCGCGACGTCGACCAAGCTGAACTGGTCTCCGAGGAAATACGGGCCCTTCACCTGTTCCGAGAGCGTACGCAGCACTCTGTTGAACTCATCGAGCCCTGCCTTCTGCTTCTCCGCGTCCTGCGCCTGGATGACGCGGTAGAAAGCGGGGACGACGCTTTTTGAGATGAAGTCCACCCAGAGGCGCACGAGTGCGCGTTCGAAGGGGTCTGAGGGCAAGAGGGGTGTGTAGGAGGGGTATGCATCTTCGAGGAACTCGCAGATGATGAGCGACTCGTAGAGGGCCTTTCCCTTGTACTCGACCGCGGGTACAAGGCCCTTCGGATTAATCTCTGCGTTCGTCTGTGAACGAGAGGATTTATGTGTCGGGATGTATGCTCACCGAGGAAATGATTTTCCTTCTTGTATGGGTTTACCTCCTTGTACTGATACGGGATGCCCTTCTCCTCAAGTGCAATCCATGACCTATGCACAAAGGGGCAAAACTATAGAACATGGTCGGACGATAATGCGATGAAAAGTCAGATTCAATGCACACCCATCCGGCATAGAAAATGAGGTCCTGGGGCTGCTGATGCTTCTCAACAGTTTGGGCAGCGAGGCCTGTCGCGTACGGGAAGAACCTTTCGTCTGGGATGCTCATCGTGGTTGGGTATCACCTTACAAACCTTGAATCAATCACGGCACGTTGTTCTTAGCTTCCCATATCCGGCCCAGCGAACGCTTGAACATCCACGCCACCTGTAAAGTAAGACCTACTCCTGTACTAAGCACACTACATCGGCATTGACTCGGGGATCTCATGCGTTCTAAAGTGGCGAAAATGCGTATCCAAGTTCGGGAGACTTCTGACAGCGCTTCTTATCTTCGTTTCGCAGCGTTCTGAATTCCGCTTGGCTTGTGCCATCATGTCTGCTTCACATAAGGTCGTCCTTGTAACCGGGTGCAGCGCGGGTGGCATAGGATTCGCACTGCAAGTCATCAATTTGTGTCGGACTTAGTCGAAAAGCTGACCCCTTGGCGGGCAGGTGCGAGGAGTTCGCAGCGCGCGGATGCAAGGTGTACGCGACTGCGCGCCGTGTGCAGGCGATGGAAGGCTTCAAGCACGAAAACATCCAACGGCTGCAGCTGGACGTCACCAGCGAGGAGAACATCAGCACAGTCGTCCAAACCATTGTCAACGAGGAGGGAAAGATAGACATCGTGGTCAACAACGCAGGGGTTCCCTGCCATGGTTCGTAGGTTGCGTCTGATGTGCGCTGCATTGCTGACCCGTGACTGTGCACTTACAGGCCCATTGATTGATGTCCCCATAGACACTGTCCAGCGAGTCTTTGAGACGAACGTGTTCTCTATCTTGCGCGTCTCGCGGGCAGTTATACCCTATATGGCCTCGCGGAAGAGCGGTACGATTGTGAATATAGGATCCATCGCGGGTGAAATGTGTGCATGTCCACCCGCAGTCACTCTCCCAGGCTAACCCAGACAACCCATCTTCCACAGCACCACCCCTTGGAGTGGCATCTACTCCGCGACGAAAGCGTGCGTCGAGAGGTTCAGCGAGTCGCTTTACATGGAGTGCCAGCCGTTCAACATCTCTGTCGTGCACATCTCGCCGGGCGGTGTGACCTCCAATATCGCGCAAAACATGCTCACCCAGCTTGCGCTGCCACCAGACTCGCTGTACAAGCCGTACGTTGACGCGATCATCATGCGCGTTAACGTGAGCCAGCAGCGCGCGATGTCAGCGGAGGAGTTCGCGCGCCGTGTGGTTGGCGCGGCCATCGCCCACCGTCCTCCGCGGTATATGACGCTGGGCACGTCGTCCTTCTTGTTCGCAATCTTCAAGTGGCTCCCGAGAGGATGGGTGTTAGGACGGCTATGGAAAACCTTCGGCTGGCGGAGTGACAAGGCGGCATAGCAGATGGATCGGTACCAATTCCCATGTCAGGGTGTTAGGGTGTCGCTGTTCTGAGCGAGTTTCCTTTTCTTGGGCTTCGAATCGCCGACTTTTATGGGTGTCTACGATCAACGTCTATTTGACCCCTCACTGCGATCTTGGGTATTTATGCTCTGATACTCTTTGTTGAGTCTGCTAGCCAAGTAGTGCCAGTTAGCTTTCCAGCTGTTTCGTTAAGGTTCAAGGAGTGCAGTACTCGACCGTAGGCCAGCCATATACCGGGAACGATCGATCGAGAAAGCTGGTCAGTGTGGTGATGAAAAGACCACATACCTGATCGTGACGCACCAACAACAGCACCGGTACTTGCGGCGACGTACACCGTAATAAAGATGAAAAGGGCCTGTACTATCGTTGACCCTGAAGCCCAGTCAAAACCCCACCTTCCCAGGTCGGGCCAAATCGAAGAGGCTCGGCACACAAGGAGGACCGTCGTACCAAATCGAAGCAGACCGAAAGGTAACAGTTGCACATGATTTTCCTCTGATCAGCGTTCTCGAAATGCTCTGGGAATTTGACGCATTTCGTGGATGTACATAGAATTCTCTTACATCAGGCCTGGAAATATCTACATTCAAATGCTCGACGTCCGTGAACGAAATTCTAAAGCTCTCGAAATACATGGTCATGTGACATTGTCACAATGCTTCACCGCTAACGGCGCTATACTCGACGTCGCCCTTCGTCCTTCCACCATCCACGACTCTCTGCTCTGAGAGTCTCCTCCGATAGATATCTTGGTGATCTTTTTGTTTCATCCTGTTCACTCAAGCTTATTTCTCTGCCGCTCAGAGACACCATCCACGGCTCTCTGCTCTGAGAGTCTCCTCCGATAGATATCTTGGTGATCTTTTTGTTTCATCCTGTTCACTCAAGCTTATTTCTCTGCCGCTCAAGCTTCAAATCCATTACCCTTTCCGATAGATTTGATACTCTCGCTCAGCCCCTATTTCTGACCCCAATGACCCGCAGGAGCCACGGACAATGTCAAGCCAGGTTTTAATGACATCGGGTCCTGTGCGGTCAATATCAGGTCTCAAATGGTCAATGGTGCATTCAGCATGCCCTACGTCACATCCCCTGTGGGCGACGACACCGTACGCGTCTCAGGTGAATGATGGTGTTATAAGTTGTTCGTGCTGGTATGATTGTTGTGCTAGTCTGATTGTATGGTTCAAACTGATGAATACTGACCATGTCCGTTATGTCAAATATTCAATCCACTGGTAGGTGATGAGTTTCTGGACAAACTATTAATGAGTTTCAAAGTGCAGAAGAGCACTCCGGGAGCAAGTCACCCGCATGCACCTCGCTGCGCATGTGCACAGGTTTGAGTCCCCGCCCTGTGCAATAGTATGCGAGTCCATGCGCACAGGTTCAAGTTCCCTCCCAGCACCGTGCCCGTCGAGTCTCCGCCCGTGGACGCCAGTTCCGGCACCCACCAGCGCGCACTCACAGGTTCGAGTCACACAGGTCCAGGTCCGAGTCTCCCATGTGCAAGTCCGAGCTCCCGCCCTGCGCCGCGCGCGCACAGGTTCGAGTTCCTGCTGCCCGAGTCTGCATTCCCGCCTAATGCGGGGTGCCATTGCAAGGGTCCGAGTCGCGCGTGTGTATGTCTGCACTGTTCATCCCTCCCAGTGCTCCGCGTGCCAGTGCGTGCAGGTTCCCGACCAGGTTCGATTTTCCGCCGCCGGTGTGAGCGTTCAATGCTGCGCACAGGTCCGAGATCCCGCAATGCTGCGCCGCGCTGATGCGAGTTCCCGCCTGCATTGCGCCCGTGCGGCCCTGCATATTCAGCGAAGAGGGATGGGATAGGTGGTGGAACGGGCGGTGGGTGGCAGCGGAGGGGGGCGGCGGGGCGGGGGCGGGGGCGGGGGCGGGTGGCTGGATGGGAGGACGGTAGTAACTACAGAAATCGCACTGTATCAAATTGCATTGGTATAAATCAAAGTGGATTGAACCGTACTGAAGCGTATCGAAGTGTAGCAATGCCAAGCAAATATAGAACTCCTCTCCCGGTGCCGTTCGATGGGCTTCGACTACATCCGATCTTGCATCGAACCCGTCCTGATTTTGTTCGACTCATTTCGGTCTGGACCGTTCATTTTCCTCTTCTCGTGTAATATCGAGGCAGGTCGAAGGTGCCGATCTATTTCGTTCTACCCCGACCCGGCAAGGTGGGGTTTTGACTGGGCCTGAAGTGCAAAGTGGCCTAGTAGAGCGATCACTCAAACCTCACTACTCTATTTCTTAGTCTCCGAGATGCATCCGACCCTTTCGCAACCTTATGCGAACTTTTGCAACTTCGTTCAACTTCGCTCAATTTCTCACGACTTTGCTCCGAGATTCGACATTCTTTCATCACTCATACGCCACTCTTGCGTCTCCCCACTGTCGGATACCACTTACCCGTTGTCCTTTGGTCTAGTCCGATGCGCCCTGGCCGATTTTCTTCTAAGTCTGTACTTTCCGACATCGCACCACCTCTCTGGATGTTGCGCCAACTTACTGGTTCATCGCACTGACTTATCGGTGTCGCACGATGGTCGTGCCCTCTTGTTTTGCAAATCCCATTTCCTTTATTGTTTTACCTTCCCCTTTAAGACCCCTACCTTCGTGCTGGACCAGAGATGCCGTTAGAGTGTTCCATGTGGTTCAGGACAAGTAGCATATGTTTTCTTTTGATTTCTCTCTACTTTACCATTCTTTTCCATCACTAACGTACAACATTCACCTCTTCACTCCCTTTACCTATTTTTCCATTGGTCCTAGACCATTGCGACTCTTTCCGATGTCAGGATCCATCTTCCGATATTTTGCGACTTTCGCATTTCACCTCTCCCATTTTCCCCTCCTGTATCTACATCGATTATCATCGAAGACCAGTAGGAGGCTTCTCCCTTCACTTCAGATCACCGAGAAACTGCATTTACTGCGATAGCGACTTCGAACTGTGATATACCCCACTGCAACATAGCGACACTGCGACACTGTGACATAGCGAGACTGCGATACTTCGAGACTGCGTACTGCGACTGTGATAGCAAACTGTGACACTGCGATAGTGACATAGCGATATAGCGATATACCACCTGCATTAGTCTTAATCTGACTTTGACTGACTGCGACTTCGTCGAGACAGCGAATACTGCATTCCCCCATAGTGTTCTACCCCCACAGATAGTTCCCTTCCCCTTTGCAATTTAGTTCATCTTTGCCTATGAGTTTGGCGAGTGTGTCGCGACTTTAGCTTCCTACCTCCGACTTTTGTGACTTTGTTGTAGATTGTCGCCCGACTTTGCGTTTACGTCGTGAGCCCTCATTTCTTTACAGGTTGCATCCCCCTTTGGCTTAGGTCGAGGTTCTGGGACCCACTTGCATTATTTTACAGTTACGATGCCCTTCCCTCTCACACAGATCACCCTGCTTCTTGTTTGTTTTAGTTGGGTTTAGGTGTTTGTGTCGGGTGTGCACTCATCAGCACATGGCCGTCCTTCCTGCGTGCATGTGCCCATTCTTTCTGTGTACTCGCGTTCGCACTCCATGTGCACCTGTCCTCCCTGTGCACTCATGCCCATCCTCCCTGTGTGCTCACACTCATTCTCCCTGTAGCATAATATACATATATATTTTAATATAAATAAATCCATCTGAGGGCAAAAAATTGAAGAGAACCCGTGAGAACCTGTAGGTACCTGTGTAAAACTTGTACCCATGAGCACGGGTACGATACCCTCACAGGTATGGGTATGGGTATGGGTACAGGTAAGCCTCAGGATACCCAGGAGTATACCCCTGCTCTGCACTAATCAAAGAGGGGAGATGGGAGTATCATGGAGAAAAAGGATCTCTAGATGATGGGGGAGTGGAAGCAAGATATGTGTCCATGTTACAGAAGCAAATGGTGGCCGCATGTCAACATGTGTAAACATTCATAAGTAGTAAGTGTCAGGCTTACACCATGCAACCGGTGAAGGCACCATGAGAATCAAAATTCTGAACAGTGATCAGTCAATGACTGTAATGCTCAAAGACATTCTGTATGCACCTGAGATTGCATTTGCCCTTATCTCAATTGCACGAGTGAATGGTGCGGGCTATTTCACCACCTTTGAGAACAGTGAGTGTTGTTTATGCTCACATTGACACTCCTGCATAATTGGGTGCATCCCCTCGATGAATGGGCTGTATAAAGTTGAGCACCCGAAGTCGAGCGAGGTAGCATCAGTCACAGAGGAGAGCGAAGATGAGTGTGCTCTCATCTCACTCTCCATCATGGACTTCCATCACCACATGGGACATATCGCACGCACAATCACTGAAATTCTTGTCCATGAAGGCAGAGTCAAAGGCATACAGCTGACAGACAAGGCCAGCTTGGACAAGAACTGTAAGTCTTGCATACAGGCAAAAATCACGTGTCAGCCCATGCCAATGGAACGAGAAGGAAGACACGCAAAGGAGGAGTCAAATTGCATCAAGCTCACCATGTCTCAGTGCGGGTGTGCTGCCACATTGAAAAGGTAATCTTTCCCTTTCCTTTGCACATGAACGATGCAGTGATTGAACCCGAGCGCATATATTTCTCCACAGCTACATGTGCTGATCCTGCCTCCTTCATACCATCCACTGCAGCAAGAGCTTCATCCCCCCAGCACTTGCGTGCATACTTGCATAAGTTTCTGGTGGATTTTGCATCACCCTTATTGAGGTAGCGCCTTACTGATGTCTTGCAACCACGATTGGCACACTTGAAGACATGTGTACAATGGCCTTCACAATACTCAATTTTGACTTCGGGCTTAAAGAATGCATACACGGGTGCAGTCCATTCCTCACAAAGATGTTCTGAATGTTATGTGAGTAATACCTTCATTCTGAGGATGGAGTGACATACTCAGTTTGTCTTCCGAGTCCTCTGGTTCCAAAGCCTCTCCAGCATCTTCAACACCCTCCTCCCT